CTAACCCTAACCCTAACCCTAACCCTAACCCTAACCCTAACCCTAACCCTAACCCTAACCCTAACCCTAACCCTAACCCTAACCCTAACCCTAACACCTCCTACAAAGCAAGCCGCCCCTTACAGATAGTCCTGGCACTCATTGGGGCGGGAGCCTTCGAGGGGTCTATCCGGTGGTGGGCTCGTAAGCACCGCGCTCACCATCGATACACCGACACGGTCAAAGATCCATATTCCGTCCACAAGGGCCTTCTATACGCTCATATCGGGTGGTTGGTAATGAGGCAGGACCCCAAGCGAGCTGGCCGGACAGACACTCCAGATCTGGATTTGGACCCTGTTGTGGTCTGGCAGAACTCTTATTTCTTGTGGATTGCTCCTGTGATGGCATTACTTCTGCCAATTTCTGTTCCGGGTGTATTATGGGGGGACTGGAAGGGTGGATTTGTATATGCCGGGCTTCTGCGCATGGCATACATCCACAACGTAACATTTTGCGTCAACTCATTAGCGCACTACCTCGGCGAGCAACCGATTGATGGGCGTAATTCACCACGAGACCATCTTCTCACGGCGATGATCACACTAGGGGAGGGGTACCATAACTACCACCATGCATTCCCATCCGATTATCGCAACGGGATTAAATGGTGGCAATGGGATCCTACCAAATGGGTCATTTGGACGTGGAAGCAGCTCGGTCTAGCCTCGGAATTGCAGCGCTTTGACGACCCAGACATCGAAAAATGTCGTCTTCGCCAGCAGCAGATTGTGCTGAATCAGGAGAAGGAACATTTCGACTGGGGTGTTCCAATCGACATTTTACCTGTGATGTCATGGGACGACTACCAAGAGCAGACAAGTGTGCGAAAGAAATCTTTGGTTGCGATTTCTGGTGTCGTGCATGATGTGGGTGAGTTTATGGAGAAGCATCCAGGAGGGATTAACATGATCAAGAGTGGGATTGGAAAAGATGCTACTTCCATGTTTAAGGGCGGGGTCTACGATCATTCTGGGTATGCCCATGACAAACTGGCCACCTTGAGAGTGGCAGGACTTAGGACTAGATGAAGTGTGTAGTTAAATTGGGTATAAGGAGGAAATCATACTGAACACTTCGTAAACTCTACTAAAACCGATTCCTATGGCGTATCTTGATAACAGAATAAATAAGCTTTAAGCGTAAGCAAATAATGATTGATACCTGTCGTATTATAATACGCTAAGCATAATGGTAACCATTCACGCTGGGGGCAAAGCTTACCTATATATGGTATGATAATGGTGACTAAACACATTGAGCAGAACAGTTCTGGTAATGGCACTGTTTGAGGGTCCTTGCCTAACAAGTAACAATACATACTTTATATAGTAGACAGTTTGCCCATTCACCATTAAATCACACAGCTACTAATGCATCTCCTCTTGTGAAAATGGATTCACTGCCTCTAAACATAGCTTCCCATATCCAATTCTTCCTGTTATCAGTCCTGGGTCTCTCGCAGACCGCTTTGGCTCTTAATACCACACAGAAAGGATCCCCTGTTCGATACTTCGCTGCCGCCTTGTTGTCGCCTATTATTTATTTGCTATATTTATCTTCTGCCCGTCTCATCTTCAATGCAATATGGAGAGTAATCGCAGGCTCGGCTATCCTTATATGGACTACCCATCTACTCAATATTTTACTGATCGCCGACATCCATGATCCCCAAGCAGTTACAAAAGGCAGAGGAGCAACTCAGCTTGTCCTTGAGATCCGTGGTATTCATACGCCATGGCAGATCAGGGATATTCAGCCGTATCCGTCGATCCTTTCTCGATCCAATCCTCAGAGCAAAAAACTATTTCTGTTCCGACAAATATCAATCACGATTTGGACATCTCTCTTTCTGCATGGTGTCCAGCATTTCTGGAATTCGGTTTCCCCAGAAACACGGTTCAGGCTATTTCCCCCAGCAGCCGAGAGAGGAATGATCAACCCGTTTGGAGAGCATTCTCTCGTAAGGATCTTGTCTGGGATTGTTGGAATTTGCGTGACAGGAGTGAATATTGATATTCTGTATCGGGCTATTACGGTCCTCTCTGTCGGTTCAGGGCGTTCTATCCCAGAGGATTGGCCACCCCTATTTGGGAGCGTATGGGATGCATACACGATACAAACCTTCTGGGGGTATTTTTTTTCTTTCTTTCTTCTGGGTTTTTTTTTTTTTTTTTTTTTGTATTCACAATCAATCTATCACATTGAGCCTAGGTAGCCAGCTAACAAATGCAGAAATTTCTGGCACCAAGGTCTCCGGTGGCCAAATACTTCCGTCACCAACTTCATCACCAAGGATATCCTCTTACTACGTTCCTCGATCTTTCGGAAACTTCTGCAATTGACTCTTGTATTTATGATTTCGGGCCTTCAGCATTTGGCCGGGGCAATCCTGATGCATGTCTCTCACACGGCCTCAGAAACCTTCAGCTTTTTCCTACTCTCCGCGCTGGGAATTGTGACTGAATGCATTGTGCAGTGGGCTTGGCGAAAACTCAGACAACGATTGGGGTTAAACAGGTGGTCGCTCGTCGAGCGAGTAATTGGCTTCACCTGGTTGGTCCTCTGGTTCTCTATGATATGTCCGGGGCATTTGTATCCTCTGCTTCGGTTGAGCGGAGATGAACTCACAGTGGTGCCGTGTGCCTTGATCAGTACGATCGGGGTGGGTCCATTCTGTGCACTTCTCCTATTGGGTGGTGTTTGGATCAAGGTGGCTTTGGAAACTACTCTATAGTATATTTTATATGCCTAGTTGACGGCGTCTACTTCTTACATCTTGAGTAATTGGACTATCTGTTCTTTGAAAAGCAACATCAATATCCGTTGTATGACAAAGTAGATCTGATCTCGTAACAACAAGCCCTCTGTAGGGATCAGACCACTGCACTATTAGTAAAAGACTCGTAGTCTCCGCCAAGACCTGAGAGTCTTGCTAAACTTACAAGAGACCCCAGTCTGCGTGCGGGAGATTGCCATGCGGGTATAGATCTGAAGCCGCTGCCAGCGGTGTGACAATAGCCACATCTTTGCCAAGTCCATGGGCATGGTACTCGGTCGCACCTGTCAGTAAGGCGGCCTGATCTATTGACCCTTGTCCTACCCATGCAGAACCTTATCATGACTGTCGATCCAATCGGTTATTTTCTGTATGGGTCTACATAACGTCACGGTCGCAAATAGATGAGATCATTCAATAATTGGATTATCGGTATGTCAAGCTCCTAGCATTGAGTATACTGACTATCAAGAATATGCAAGTAGTAACACTATGCAGTTCTGTAGGATTGATGATGATCTTTCATGCCGGTGCTGTCCAACATATTGGACACATTCCAATGTTCCTTTTTCTCCTCTTCCTTTTTTGACTGTTTGTGGCTGGCTGAAATGAAACCTACATGATGACAGCCCAAGCCAATGGACAACTGTACTGTTCATTGGGCTTACTAACTCCTTAATATCCACTCATTCCATCTTAATGTATAGACTCTCATAATAAACATAAGAAAGTTGGCCAAGTGCCTGTCCGACACCTCACCGCTGGTTGCCTTTCCAGAGTTGCATTCCATTCAAATTCTTTTCAAAATCAACTCACGCCCCACAGCCACATAGGGCTGGTATAGCAATAGCCATTTTCCGGTCTGCCGCCGCGGCATCCTATCAAGAGTGCCCCCAAACTGTTAGGGCCTGTGCATGTAGAAAACCAAGACCATGGCTCAGATATGGGCACGTGACCTCTGATCGCGAGTTTGGGAGGCTTTCCAAGCCAGTCATTAGTTCTATTATGAATTGACCGCTACGTTTACCATGCTATCTTCATTTGATATTGAACCTGCGTACTTGTATTACCGTACGTTCTCACACAAAGAAGCTTTACTTGATTGTCTTCCTTTTTATATGATATGTAAACATGCACCATACATATATATTCATTCCTTTCAAGATCTCCTTCAGCTCAGAGCTCTGTCAAATTGGGCGATCCATGGGCCGGGGGCGCAGAGAATCTTGTCTCTACAAAGATCTTTTGTATTCCATATTCACGCTTGTTGAACAAGTCATATGTCTTCTCCATGTCCTCCAGTCGGAAACGATGGCTGACCATATGCAGTGGATGAATCTTATCCTCTTGGATCAGCTTCAGGAGCTGCTCCCAATATAGATGCACCGGTGCTTGTCCATTGCCAATAAGTCGAATCCCGGTTTGCATCAGAGACCCGATGTTGAAGTGATTGCACTATAATTTTGTCAGCTTATCATCCACCATTTAAAGGAACATCATACAAATCCTGCATAGACGCCAGTCACACCGCATCGACCAAACCCTCGCACCGAGGTAATCATCTCATTGACCAGCTCAGGAGTGTCTGTTTCCATGCCCAGTAATGTCTGAAAGTAATGAGCCCAGCCTTTTGAATACTCCCCAGCCGCACATTCAATCGCCACATCAGGCCCACGTCCATCACACATCTTCTTAAGGGTTGAGGAAACAGATTCCCCTTTAGGAAGTCTTGTATAGTCGATTGTCTCCACATCCTTGACAATGGAAGGAACATATTTCAGTCTCCATTGTCCGTTTCCACCGTCGATGATGATAACACGGCTTGCGCCATGGTAGAAGCTGAATTCAGCGACCATCTGACCGATGGGCCCGGCACCCCAGATAGCCACCGTGTCTCCCTGCTGGACGCCAGTGTCTACCACTGCGTTCCAGGCAGTTGGCAATACATCGGATAGAAAAAGCCCCTTTTCGTCGGGAACATCATCAGGTAAAGGCAGGAGGTTAACATCGCCATATGGCACACGGACAAATTCTGCCTGTCCGCCAGCAAAGCCACCGGTGAAATGGGAATATCCAAACATGCCTATAACAAGTCAATCTGGTGGCTGGAGTTGAATGCATAGGAGCAACAGACCTGCTGTTCGACGGCCATACAGTGAGCTTGCAGACTGGCTCGAATTAGTCCGCTCACACATTGAAGACAGCCTCCTTTGGCAGTAAAAACATTTTCCACATCCAATTTGAAATGATGCGACTACGCGATCCCCTGGCTTGAGCTTTGCTGTGGCTGGACCCACGGTATCCACGACGCCACAGAATTCATGGCCCAGAATGTCACCTTTTTGAAGTTCCGGAATGGCTCCTATAATAGGGTCAGTTAAAGATATTTATAAAGACCACATTTGAATAAATACCATGAAGCAGATGCAGGTCACTCCCACAAATAGTAGTGCCCGTTATCTTAACAATCACATCTTGTTCGTCAACGATTTTAGGCCTGGCAGTTTCAACTACGTATAGTTAGAAACCGTACTACGTTTAATAATCAATGACAGTACCAAGTTTGATTGAATTCTTTCCTTGCCAGGTCAATGCCTTCATTTGATGTTGTGGATCCCCAGTGCTTTCGTAGTTGGCGATATCAGTCGTGATGGAGGCCATTGTAGTCAGGTTGTCCAAGTAGTCAAAGTTGATAATAAATATTATTGTTGAAATGAAGTATGAAGCTGGAAATTCCAGTCGCGTAGAAAGAGCATCTTCATCAGACGGGTGACGTCATGGTGAGGTTTAAACTGTTATATAAATGACATCACCTATGACACGATCACTACGCTGCTAAACACGGACGCCTACCAGAACCTCCCATAACGGGACATCAACACGCCACTGATTGGAGTGGCAATAATCAAGGCACCAAAGGCAACGCAGAGCATGCCCAATCGGGATGTGCGACCCAATATCGCGGGGATCTCGAGGAACCTGGGCGAAGCAGGCTAATGACATGAACACAACAGCCCCAGAGGGGAATCCATATAAAATGGGGAATACGATGATTCCTGCGGTCGAAGAGGTTTTACATGGCAGAGATTCCGAGGACATTGAGACATTTGCACATGAGTGGTCAGACTGCATTCCAAGGCACATGATAATAACATGAAACCCGATTAACTCATATTTGCACAAGACATCTCTACTTTCCTGTGACTGTCTAATATAAATTAAAAGATCGCATAGCAGTAATTTTTCTGCTAATATTCGTAGGATATAGTATGGTAGCAACCACGTACTATAGCAGCGAATGTACATATTCCACTGCGAATATGATTTGGTGCATTATGAAAAATCGATTTAGCCCAACTAAACTAATGTAATTTTAACGCTGCAAATACGTCTCGGGATGAAACAGGTACTTCATGATAAGAAAATATGAAACATCACCCCATGTTCCGAACTGACCAAGCTTAACATTCCAGCCCCTTGACACCAAGGTCCTCTTTCCTGGATAACCCCTCAAACTGCTACTTGCTGTACATGGAAATGGAATAGGAAAAATGTTTCTTTATTTTAAAATTGTAGGCCACAGCCACGAATACCTTATCCTGGATTATTACCATGTAATGTTCTACCACTTGTATGATAATTCTATGCAGAGGTTGAGGATGAGCACAATATTAATAAGGCTGAAGAACCAAGCCGTATTGAGATAGATAGGAGATAAAAGAGTTTTTCTTTTTTCGTTCTCTCCTCATTCCACTTGAGGTTGATCTACATAAAAGCTTGTCTCAAAAGACTTGACGGTGTTTCTTTTTCACCCCACGCTATTGAAAAACAGATGTACATCGTTCTATAAGCGAGCATGATCAGCGACTTGGTGAGCTTAGCATTGTTTCAATTAGGTTCGTTCAATCAAAGTGAGTAGATTGTCATCTTTAATTTCACCGTCATGTGGGGTGTGAAACATGATCTACCGATGGATCAAAGGAGGCGTTCGCGATTTTAAAGTTGTTGAATAAACAGACTGTTCTAAATCTGAGTCTAGAGATAATATTAAAGTAATACTATTTTTATGTTCATCGTCATGTTATTTGTATAAAAAAAGTGATGATCAGGATAAACCAAGGCATCAACATTGCATGCGGAATTGCAGATCTATACAACCCCCATCTTCAACCTCCTTTTCATCCCCACGTCAAGAAAAGCAAATCCACCAACTGATCAGATGCTGTCTACATTTTGCTGGTGGCGAGGTAAGATAAATACCACTCCATCTATCCATCTTGTTGATTCCCTCATTCATTCATTCTTACTATTCCCTATGATCAGATACCAAACATGTCTTCATTCAGGAAATTGGGGCTCTTTCTGGGTAGTCCAGGACGAGGGATCCCAATTCAGGCCTCTGACCCCCTCCAACTCCCGGGCAGGTCTTTCCCAGCCGTCGAAGAGGAGGAAGACGAGAAACTCCCTATCCAAACAGCCGCCTCCGTGGACCTGGAAGGCCGTCGAAAGCTCTGCCGAACTGGGCGATTATACGACAAAGTGACCAACCTGGCCGGGACGCGAGTCAGTTTCTGTGTGACGCTCGCCTGTCTGGTCGGATGGGGCATTGCGGGTGGTTTGACGGGCGCGGGAGAAACATGGCAGATTGTCCTGCAGGATGCGAGTTCCATCCAGTGTTATTTCTCCGACTCGCTGCTGATGCGACAGCAGCAGATCAACTACTCCAAGTTACTGATGCTAGTCTGTCGGTTGAGGTCGCGCGGTGCTACCTGTTGTCGGGTTCTGGAGCAGGCAATGAAGGAGGAACATTACCAACAAGAGAAAATCCCTGCAGGACCAGTGGAAATCGAATTGGATGAGAGCCTGCATGATACTGTCACACTGCCCGCGTATGGCATCCTCGATCATATCGGCAACTTTGGTGCGAGGGTGTTTGGCTCAGTGTATGCCTTCATCATCTACTGGGCTGGTATCATCGTGTGGATTGCAATGGGCCCCGGCATGGGCTGGGGAGATCTGTGGCAGCTCTACGTCAACACGGCTACTGCGGCAGAGCTGACTTTCACCAGCATGTTCCTCCAAAACACCCGCTACCAACACATGAAGTACCTTGAGAAATGCCATGCCTCGATCCTCGACGCAGATTGCGAAATGGAACGACGTGTCCGTCATATCAAGGGTGACACGGTGCCGAACCCGATGGTGGAGATTCCTGCTCTGCCAGTCACTCGGGGTCATCGAGCGATCGACTACTACGCAGCCATTGTGGGAACAGGCACTGGCCTCGTCATCTCCTCAGTCGTCTTTGCCATATGGATTGGAATCGGAAACCTCATGAGCTGGAACTCCAATTGGTGGCTCATCATCGGCACCTATACCGGTCTTGTTGGTTTCCTCGATGGATTCGTCTTGCGAAGTGTCTATTTCCGAGAGAATATCCACATCGACGAGCAGTTCCAGATCCTCGCCCAAGAAGACGCTGCTCTGTATGAGATACTCGGGATCCGTGAACCTGGCGAGCACCTCCCATCCGAAGATTCCTTGCAGTACCGCATCAGTCGAGGACTGGGATACATCTTCTCGCAGTCTTACTCCGTATTGGCCTCATTGATTGTGATTGTGGCCTTGATCTGCGTCGCCAGTGGTTTGAAATGGTCTGAAACGGGGCAGTTGCTGTGCAACACCCCCACGATGATCATTGAGGGATTCCTCCTACTGGTGCTTATCGAAGCACACAACGTCTCTCATCGTCGTCGCCGGGCGGAGATCAAGGCAATTCTGGTCCGACGACTGCGTATCAATGCTCGGATGAAGGCGATTTTCGAGCCCCGGGGACTCACTCCTGGGCAGGTTCTATTTCAGAAATAGTTCGTTGACCGGGGGATGGAAGATATGCTCTTTCTCCCTTCTTGCTCCCCGGCACAATATGTATTTGAGGTTAGTTAGATCCGAAGTGTCAGATGTGCCTTTCAACATGCCATCTATAAATACGCGTAATTTAAAAACACACCTTCTTTCCATAGAAATTCATCTACAGTAGTATAACCACTGTATATCTGGTAATAGAAGCGCTGGCCTTGAGTAGATATTTTCCTGTAAAACTGCACAATATTCAGAGCCCCAAATGTAAATAACAAACTACGGCAGCTTCCGTTGAATGTTGCTAACATGATGGAATGAATACAGTGTCAATCCTTGATTATTTACTATAGCGCATGCTAGTATTCACATTCAGTACTGCATTCGCCACCATAGTACTATTATGGTTGAATGGCTACGAGATGGAGAGACATGGTGAGATAAATCCGACTAGGCCATTATGTATAACTCAGAAGTGCATTATTTCTTAGAACTACATATATTATGCCCCATCTCCTGCCACCCATTTGTGCTCTGTCGATTACATTTCTAATCCGTCTTGATCTCGTTAGCCACACCCTGACGATGGATAAAGATGTACTCAATTTTAACACTCAAATCCAGTGGCTTGATGATTTTCATACTGTATTTTGTATTTTTGACAATTTCAGAGCTTAACAGACTTTTGAACTGGAAATATACTATATAATAACATGCTACTTCGGCATTGCCAACGAACTGCAGTGTAAAACTCCCAATCCAGAGTATGCTAGGTGTAAAAAGACTCGAGGCCACGTGGCGGAAAAAAAGGGTTTGAGAGCAGCCGCGGAGATCTGCACCTCGCATCTTATCATTCAAGACTGGGCAGGGGTCAATCCACCTTTCTTCGAGCACCTTGGAAGCTCCGCCTGCAGATGTCTCGCTCCTTGTGTCTGGAACCTCGTGCTTACATATGCTACAGAACCCGTATTGGGGTGGCGTGCTGGGAATTAGAAATCATCTTTTGGCCAGCTATGCCGATAGATATATCCATGAGGAAACCTTAAATGCGCCAGAGCATTGCCGGCCTATCACTTGGACCACGTCATATTCCTAGTGTGCCGGCCAGGGAAATTGGATATTTCGGGATACCGCACGGGATCCCGAGCCTATGTGGTTTCGACCTGTGGTGGCAATCCAGGCCTCGCTGGAATACGACCTGCGGCGCTGATGGCCCTTCCAACAGTAACCCGATAGAGTCACCCGGCATGCCGTCCTCGGCGCCAAGAAACCTTGACGCTATGAGACGTGCATGGCGCTCTCACCGAGTGCGCTGATGCCGTATCCAACCTTAATGATGATTTTCATATCTATCAAATTTCCTCAAGATTCACTGTCATATCAACACGTTCCTTCTTGCGTGACCGCAAACCAATCATTATCTCACGCCTTGATGACCGGCTCAGTCGCTGGTTCCAAAGACAATCTTGGCAATATACCTTGAGCAATAGCGAGACTATACCGATGCATCGAGATCCAGGCGATATGACAAACTCACACAAAGAGGCCATGTCTTTATATACGCTGCACAAGCCTGGTCATTCGGATAGCTTCGGATATTCAACCCATTCTTCCTTTCCATTCATTCTTTCCCACCACTTCCTCTGTGAGGATTTCTATTCGACACAATGAGGTACACCATCCTCGGTTCCATTCTTTTCACTGCTGTCGCAGCCCAGTCCACCTTCAAACCCCAACCGGTCGACCAGACCGATGTCCAGGCTGCCCTGATCAGCGATCCCCGGCAGGTGGCCGACAAGAGCTACGACTATGTCATTGCCGGTGGTGGTCTGACCGGTCTTACTGTTGCCGCCAAGCTCAGTGAGAACCCCAAGATCAACGTCCTGGTCATTGAGAAGGGCTTCTACGAATCCAACGACGGTGCTATCATCGAGGACCCCAACGAGTACGGCAAGATCTTCGGCACTGTTGTCGACCAGGGATACCTCACCATTCCGCTCCAGATCCACAACCGTACCGAGAGCATCAAGGCCGGTAACGGTCTTGGAGGATCGACCCTGATTAATGGTGACTCGTGGACTCGACCTGACAAGGCCCAGATTGACTCGTGGGAGAAGGTCTTTGGCAATGAGGGTTGGAACTGGAGCAATGTTTTTGAGCTTATGAAGCAGTCCGAGCGTATGCGGTACCCTACTCCCGAGCAGATCGCCGCCGGTCACTATCTCGACCCATCCTGCCATGGATTCAACGGCACTATCCACGCCGGACCCCGTGATAATGGCCAGCCCTGGTCTCCCATCGTCCAGGCCCTCATGAACACCACTGCCGCCAGGGGTGTCCCTACCAAGGTTGATGTTGGCTGCGGTCACCCCCGCGGTGTCTCCATGATCCCCAACAACCTGCTGCCGGACCAGATCCGCGACGATGCTGCCCGTGCCTGGCTCTTGCCCAACTACAAGCGCCAGAACCTGCATGTCCTGACTGGCCAAAAGGTCGGAAAGGTCATTATGGAGGGCACCAAGGCCGTTGGTGTCAACTTTGGAACCAACAAGGGCGTCAACTTCAACGTTTCCGCCACCCATGAAGTCCTGCTCGCCGCCGGTTCCAACATCTCTCCCCTCATTCTTGAGTACTCTGGTATCGGTATGAAGTCCGTCCTTGATGCTGCCAAGGTCCCTCAGGTGATTGAGCTCCCTGTTGGTGTCAACCTACAGGACCAGACTACTTCTACTGTCCGCGCCCGCGCCAATGCTGCTGGTGCTGGACAGGGTCAGGCTGTCTACTTCGCCAACTTCACTGAAGTCTTCGGTGACTATGCTCCCCAGGCCAGGAACCTGCTTGAGACTAAGCTTGACCAGTGGGCTGAGGAGACTGTTGCCCGTGGTGGTTTCCACAACGCTACTGCCCTTAAGGTCCAGTACGAGAACTACCGCAACTGGTTGCTGGACGAGGATGTTGCCCTCACTGAGCTTTTCCTTGATACCTCTGGCCAGATCAACTTCGACCTGTGGGATCTCATCCCCTTCACCCGTGGCTCTATCCATATTCTGAGCGCCGACCCCTACCTAACCCAATTCGCCAACGACCCCAAGTTCTTGCTCAACGAGTTTGACCTTCTCACCCAGGCTGCCTCTAACAAGCTTGCCCGTGAGCTCCAGAACTCTGGCGAAATGTCCAAATACTTCGCCGGTGAGGTGCTTCCTGGAGACAGCTTGGCCTACAACGCTACTCTCGACCAGTGGGTGGAATGGACCAAGCAGAACTTCCGTGCCAACTGGCACGCTGTCTCCAGCTGCTCCATGATGTCCAAGGAGCTTGGTGGTGTTGTCGACTCTTCTGCCAAGGTCTATGGTGCCCAGAACCTCCGTGTCATCGACGGCTCCATCCCTCCCACCCAGGTTTCTTCTCACGTCATGACCATCTTCTACGGTATGGCTCTGAAGATCGCTCAGTCTATCTTGTCCGACTATGCCAAATAGGCCTCTAATGGAATCGAGTGACCTGTGTCTATAACGGGACTCCTGCCATGGACTTGGAGGCTATTGTATTGCGTGCTGGTTCGATCTTCTCTACGCCAACCTTTTGTCTGTCTTTTCATGCCAGTGTTTCTTTTTACATTTGTCGATTTAATAGCTATAGATATAGATTTATACGTATTATAAATATTTATACAATTATTACTTTTCTTTCTTGATCAATGAACTGAGTTGAATAGAGTGATAGGAAAATTATTTTACTGATGAGCCACCTACGTCTATATATATTCTGTAGGTATATAGGCCTTCCAGAGTAAGAGACCAGCCAACCGGAAGGCACAAGGAAAACTGGAATAAAAAACTACCAAGATATTATGAGCTAGCGCCATACCATTGCACCCATACCCTTGTAGAGCTGCAGAGCATTATCAGTTAGAACTGCGATGGGCTTTAGAAGCGAAGTGCCATCCGCCCATAAGCTCTCAGTCCCACCATCGGCTTCTTGCTCTGACGAAAAAGCATATCCTAGCATCATGGGCAAAGCAAGCGCAAGTCCTGAAATCTCTTGACTTGTGAAACGAAAGAATGGTAGAGGAAATCCTCCTCCTAAAAAAAAAAACGGTATCGCACCCGACGTCTTGCTATATGTAGGCAGGATAGACTACGACATGGCTTATATTTGATATCAAAATCACAATTGGTCAGCTTAGAATAGTGTGGTAGTGAGAAGCAGATCACGGTATTTGACATGAATTGATTCTGCCAAGAAAATGACCTGCTTCCCAACCTGCTTTCCCTTTCAAATATATTGTACAGCCTCATCTGCCTTCTCAAAGGAATATAAAATATCGATTATATCTCTAAGTGGCATTTGTGTGGCAGGTAGAGCAGCACATATATCATCCAGGTCATGCTTCGATCCTGCATCGATTCACCTGAGACTGAAATCAGTTATTGGCTATAGCGTATGTTGAGTAATAGCAACTTACTGTAGAACTACCCTTGGGTCAATTAGCACTGGTAGCAGTAATGCCAGATCATTCGAATTCTGCTTGCTCAAGTATCCTACTTGACTGATGGTTCCACCGCGCTTTGTACATTTCATGCTTTTTACCAATGATTCTGCGCCACCAATCTCAATGACTAGATCAACACCATGACCGCCAGTGTGTTTAAGAACGTCTTCATGCCATTCAAAATTTGTCACATAGTTCACTGCTAACAATGTAGGACTGGCAAACTGCTTCCTTATCTTCTCAAATTTCTCATCACTTGATGAACTCAGGATTACTTTAAGACCAGACAATCTAGCAGGCTTAAGAGCCAAATTACTGACACCGCCAGTGCCGGCCAAGCTATGAATATAAAATTTAAACCATGTGGCCTTTTTAATCTGTCTGTACATACCTTGGACAAGCACACTGTTTCCAATGCCAAACCCCTGTAAAGCTGTCCAGGCAGTGACGCCGGCACACGCGATGACGCAGGCTTTGGTCGAATCTAGAGAACACGGCAACTTTGATACCTTTCTCTCATCAAACACAATGAAGTCTGCTAGAACTCCATCCTCGTCCGCCGTCAGCCATGATCGTGTAGACTCCCTCCCAGTGATATTCTCTGTGTCGACAATAGGGCCGACGCAATTTCCGATAGCCAGCGATTTCACTTTCTCACCGACAGCAATAACCTTGCCCGCTGAATCATTGCATAACACACCATGTGGCACTACCGGCCATGGGTTGCCGCCATTTGCGATGTTAGCGTCCCGGCCGTTGGGCGACAGTGTGGACCTTGATCAGGACAAAGGTTGGATCAAGATCAATGGGTGTTGTTTGTAATCCAATAACAAATATAAATAATCAATCATCTGAAAAAAAAAATCTTTCCTCGGTTCTTAAATCTAGACATTAACCCTAACCTGCCATCTTTCAAAGGCAACTAAATCCGGCTCACAAATGCGATGCGGGGAAGGCTTCATAACACTGTCTGCCATTCTGACCGTGGAATCCGAACCCTGCATGCATTAACCAATGATGGACCATTACCTCCATGGTCTAGTAGTGTTCCGAATCCCATCCTTGTATAATGCTGAGGAGCGAACTAGACTATTCCCTATGTTCAATAATCCAATCACTAGTATAGAACATTACCTTTAGAATCGCTATGAAGCACCTATAGACAAGCACACTGCATAATTTGGATGCAGATCTGCATGATGATGATGATGATTTTCATATTATATTGATAGCCTGTCTGTCCTTTACTTGACAAAAAAGGCCCTTCTATTCTCGTAATATCTCATTGTTAATATATCATATCGAGTTATAAATATAAAAGATCTTAAAATTACACAACACGAATCAATGTCTTCCAGGTTGACTCTCCCTGTCCAGGCGGGTTTATCATCTCTCCGATCTGCTGCGGATGTCTCAGCTCTATATTCTCACAGGATCCAGTGAGAACGATGGAACAAAAGTCGCTGAAAATGACAGAACAACTGAATATAATGTGCTGTGGCTCTGAACGGACTACTTTTTGGCTAAATTAGAGTTAATATGTATGGAATATTGTCTGTTTCCCTGTGGGAACATCATGCCCCCGAAGAATAAATCAGACGATGATGTCATGTCAACCAAGGGTCACGTGTATTGCGCCATTCCAGATGGCGGCAAGATATGGTTGATTATATGTTAAGCAGGATCAAGCAGATGGTAATGCTCATTAGTATCCTTGCCAATACGCAGTAGAACAATATTCTTTAAAGCCCCCAAAAACAACGTAAGAGACAGTGTTTGGGCACTTGGTGTCGACTGATTTGATCCCCACTGCTTTGTAAGCGCGGGGCACATTGGAAGACCGATATCAAGAATTCAAGATGAAAACTCCTACCACAAACACACTTTCTCTTCTCCAACTCCCCCCTCAGCTAAAGCATTTTGTACAAACATTCTTGTAGAGTCTCATTGCAAATATGGTCAAAACAGTTGTTGCAACAGGCACCTCCTCAGGCCTGGTAAGTGTTTGTTGACCCCTTAGCAACGGTGTGTCTAACACCTCCATAGGGATTCGAAGCTATCAAACAGCTGCTTCAAGAGTCTGAGTCGTATAATTTTATCCTGGGAGCGCGAGACACAGTCAAAACCCAGGCTGAGTATGATGGTCTCAGATATGACACCACGAAGCATTCGATTCGCATTGTGCCATTGGATCTCTTATCACTACAGAGTGTGCAGTCGTTTGCAAAGGAGGTCCTTTTTCATCTAGGCTCTACCAAGCTGGATTACTTGTTCCTGTGCGCAGGCATGTTGGACAGTGCCAGTGGACCTGGTCCGAATGGATCGCCATGGTGCGAAGGCTACGTGGTCAATCATTTGGGTACGTGGAAGATGGACCTTCAAAACAAAACACGAAAATGCTAATAATTTCACCCTGACAGCCCAGCATTATTTGGTTCATTTGCTCCGTGACAGCCTGTCTACATCTTCATCACGACTTGTCATTGTTTCCTCGGGCTCTATCCGCAATGTCAGAGGACAAGATCCATGTACGTTTATTTCGACCCGGACATATTGCACATATTGACTCGATCTCCCCAGCAACACTTGATGTAGACCTCAAAGCAAAATCAAACGCGGGAGTTAGAGCGGTCTACAGCGCCTCCAAGTTCGTGCAGCTGCTGGGCGCATTTTACTGGCGTCGCGAGCTTCCCTCGTGTACAGTCGTGGCTGTCTCGCCTGGCCTCATTCCCAGCACCAAGCTTGCCACGAGCATGGGCTTGACGATGGACATGGCCGACGCTAAGACTATTCCAGAAGGTAAGATGGATGCAATTATTCTTTAGGCTCCTCTTAGACCGTACCTATCTGACACTTTAAACAGGAGCCCAGAATCTTCTCCGCGCATTTGCTGCTACCGACCTTCCGTCTGACCCAGAGCAGCTCTTCTTGACCAGTTGGGGAGAATGGTGGCCGAAGGATGTCTATGCCCTTGCCCTTGACCAGGGGCTGCAGAAGAAGTGGTGTTTGGGCAGAGAGCAGATTGAAAAGGATGGAGGGCTTGCCGCGCAAGTGTAGTGTTTCCAATGCTCAAACTGGAAATCACAATAATGCACCACAAGTATATATCTTGCTCTATGCATATTGAGATGTTACTCTTTTTGAATCTACCTTTACAACTGAAGATACTGACTAAACGATCGAAATTACACAGTTTGTTGAAAATTTTACATATTTCATCGTACCGCTCGCAAAGAATATATAGATTGTCATCCCATTGTTCTCACATTCCTGACTCAGAACAGGCCTTACTCGATATGCTCTGCCATATGAGATTGTGTCTTGGATAGATTTGTAGTGCCCAACTTGGCATTCTTTTGTACTTCTTCCTGCTCGTGCTGGATATATTTGAGAGGACGATGGCTGCAGATGGCGTCGGGGTCTTTGATCACCAGTAATGATGGGTTGGAACGGTAATAAGCGTCGAGGTCTTCGAGAGAGCGGTTTGCTGTTTTTGTCAGCTTCATCCGATCTATATCCAAAAAGAACGTACATGTTTCAGGGTAGAAGCAGTAGATTATGGGCAGGAATACGGCGTTGAAAACCGTCCAGACAATCCAGAATTTCCAGCCGATGGATTGAATGCCGATCGGGGTGATTTCCACAATGATGAAATTGGTGATCCTTGGATTGATTAGTATTGAATATGACGAAGAATGTCAAGTCATACCAGTTTGTTGCTGTTGCGACTGATGCTCCCTTGGTCCTCATGGGAAGGGAACTGATCTCCGTCGAGTACAGCCAAGGCACTCCCAACATTCCCAGTCCGAACGAGATATAAAAGGTGAAGAAGAATGCGACCGATGCTGAAGCGAACTTTTCTCCCGTGCCATGGTTCTCGGCATATCGTAACATGATTGTAATAATGAGGAAGGAAACGAACTGCCCAAAAGTTGAGAGCAGCATCAGACCTCGCCGACCAAGACGTTCGATCAGAAGAACCGCAACAGAGGAGAAGATCAGATAGGAAATGGCATTCACGGCAGTCAGCAGTCGAGCCATTCTGTTCGAAAGACCAACCGAGTCCATCAACACGGTCGGAAGGTAATATGACATGATGTTGATGCCCTCAAACTGCTGCATGAATTGTGTGCCAGCACCAAGCAGCAATCGCCGGAACGTCTTGGTGTCGCTCGTGCTCGTCTTCCAAGGGTTGATGAGGTCGGTCCATGAGACCTCATTCTCTCGTTCATAATGAATACTGTATTCGATTTCATTTCGGAGGGTCGAGATGAAGGGGTCGTTCACGGGCTTGTTCTCGAGGGCTGCGAGCACTTGGATGGCTTCAACATCGTGGCCGTGAGAGAGCAGCCATCTACTCAGTCAGTATGTATCGTAATAAAGACCAAATTGACTGGTCATACCTGGGAGACTCGGGCAGCCAAGGGACAGTGCCAAAAAGGATGATGATGAAGATAAACTGAAAGGCAATGGGAAACCGCCAGGCCACGGCACCTCCGACAAACGAGAAACCAAAGTTGATCCAGTTAACGAGAGTGAAACCAGCAATGTTCATCACCATCTCGAGAATCACCAGCTTTCCTCTCCACTGCGGCGGTGCAGTCTCGGTCTGCCAGATCGGCGCAGTCGCGGTGTTGATGCCATTCCCCAGACCCAGTACAATGCGGCCAACAAACATCTGTGCCAGGCTAAACGATGTTGCTTGAAGCACACAGCCGATGGCCATGATGGCCGTGCCAGCGATGATGGAGTGTTTTCGACCGAATCGCTCACCAAAGGTAAAGGCCATGATGGCCCCGAAGAAACAGCCGACATCGTAGATGGCAGTCACCGTGGAGAGGACCTGTGTTTTTCCATTTCCTTCGAGATCGTGGACTTGGAGAAAGTCCTCCGTGACAACGACACCACCTGATGAAGTTAGAGAATAGTAAACTGTCGGTGATGGAGATACTTACTGAAGACTCCTTGGTCGTAACCGAACAGGGTCATGTCCGTCGCACATGCTATCTATAGCCATGAATATACTGATTCACCGTAGATAGAGTGGACTTACTGTAATCCAGACCACCAGCCATCCTCCCACCAAGCCAAAGTAGGGCTTCTTTGATTCCTGCGTTGAATTCGCCATGACGGACACGATGGATGGAAAGGGGCAGAGAATAATCTGATGCAGAGACTGGCTATTGAATCTGCAGATATCACGCCCCTTTTATCCTCGTCCGCCTTGACCAAATCCAGCATAGCTTAGGCCTCACGGCAATACTTCTGCCCAAGCCACCCCATAGATGGAATAACATCATTTCCTCCTCTAGAACAAGGTTTGCGGGGGTGGCATTTGCGGGGGTCAGGGCATACCGGAAGATGGCATGCCGCGAATATCCTCATCCGGGGATAGAGGATGGCGTTCCCCAGATTAGGAAATTTAGGAGAGTATGTTCGTCACTTATGACATCAGCCGGATCTGGGGGTAGCATCAGATCAAGTTGATGCGAACATCTGTTTCGACAAGTTACACGACATCGCCATGACGTTGAGCTCTATTCATCTCAAGGGGAAGTTGCCTCGAGTGGAAAGTCATACGATGGCACCATGAAGTAGGAATCTCATTTGGTAATTCACCAGGATACGAGTTTGAAACAGAATCATGTGTATGCTCTATTTATTGTTCAATTCATCTAATATTCCTCTATTCTATGCATAATTCATGTATCATTCCATTACGGCAGCGTGTAACCACCGTCAATCACAATATTCGATCCGGTCATGTACGAGCACGAGTCACTGGCGAGGAACACATAGGCCTAGGGGGATTAGCTTTCTTCTTTGAAGCACCAGAGATACGTACACCCTTGAGCTCGGCGGGATCGCAAATACGACGGCCGGGGATCATGGACATCCATTGGTCGAAGAGTTCTTTGGGCTGCTGGGTGAGCACTAGCAGCTGTTAGCGACTGTCTCTTCCTGCAACGGGATCGTAGCCTACTTTTGGTCATGATAAAGCCCGGCGAGATGCAGTTGACGCGGGCAAAGTCGGTCCATTCGACCGCCAGACTCTTCGCGAGATGGACGGCCGCGGCCTTGGAGGCGTTGTAGGCGACCTGAGTCTGGGGGATGTTGACCAGGATGGCGCTGACAGACGCGGTGATGATCAGATTGCCTTTGCCCTGCTTCTTGAAGATCTTGCCGGCTCCCTGGGCAGTCCACATCACGCCGTCGTAGTTGACTCGGTTGTCCCGAGCCCAGGTCTCCTCGGTATATTCCAGGTTGGGAGAATTGGTGCAGGTGCCGGCATTGGCGACGACAATGTCCAGTCGGCCGCGGCCAAACTGCTCGGCAACCTGGTTGAGCGTGGCAGCGATCACATCGCGCTTGGTGACATCCGACTGGAAGGCCTCGACGCGCTGGCCAGTCTCTGCAGCGATCTTGGCTGCAGTCTCCTGCGCTTCGGCGTTGGTGCCGTACAGCAGAGCCACGTCCGCGCCGGCCTCTGCCAGGCCCCGGACGATTTCCAGGCCAATGCCGCGGGCGCCACCGGTGACGGCGGCGATCTTGCCCTTGAGGGAGAACTGGTTGAGCACTGGCTCGTGCACGTTGGGGGGCTGGTAGAGAGGCATTTTGAGAACTAAGAGAAGATGGTGTTTTCAAGCGGGATGAGGGGTTTGCGTTTCGACGATGAGATCAATCCGAGGCATGGTTAAATAATAAAGGACAGCCACTGGCCGTTGAAGCTGAAGCACTTGAAGCACAAAGTGGTTCATCGCTATCCAGATCCCAAACGGGAAATACACGCGCGGGGGCCGACTTGCCCGATGCGGTATGTTTGGCGAACCCACTCTCTCCACACCTGCGCATCCCCGGTTTTGCCTCATCCTGCTTCGGCCTGTCTGTACCCCACAGTCTGCCCTCGAAACTCCCCGACTGCCCATTCTTCATCAGTCGCTTTCCTGATTTCCCCATGGTCCTTGCGCATCCTGTCTCTACAGCGAATTGCATCATCCGGTTCTTCTGTCCACTCAGCAATGGGTATTCTCCATGTCTTCGCCTCGGAGTACAGGCCAGCGGCCAGCATCTGCCACGAGGCGCGCCCCTGCCTCAGCATCATCTCGCGCCTCAGGCCGGGAGACTCAGCGATCGCGAAAGGGCTGGTATGTCTGCTAGCAGATGGAGAAGTGGGGTTGAGGTCTAACCCATCGCAGCAGTCCGGAATGCCGTAAGAGGAAAATTAAGTGCGATGAAAATCGCCCGGAATGCGGCCAATGTCTACGCAGTGGCCGGGTCTGCCATGTCGTCGACAGTCTCTTCCGCCAGCACTGCTACACCTTCTTGGCCACTTCGCAGCAGACTGATCAGCCCCAGCATCCCCCCGAGACAACCCGGGAAGAGGGTGTTCGCTCGCCTGAAGCCCCGAGAGCGGTTTCCCGGGAGGTTGAGCAGCCTCGGTCTCACGATCAGCAGCCAGGTATTCCATCTCCTTTCTAGAAGATGACACGTTGCTGACTGCTCTGCAGGTGCTGCGAGTGGACCATCTCCAAGGGCCAATGATACCCATCAAACACCGTCGCCGGCTTCATCGCATCCGCAAGAGTTGGTGGCGGCGACATGGCAGTCGGTCAACTCACCGTCCCTGCACAGTATCTACGAGGACGAACGGCATCATGCCCCGGTGCCACCAGTTGAGCCACCTCCAGTTCCTAGTCCATTGAACCACTTCACTGCGAATTCCCTGCCGGCGCATCCCATCCCAGGTACGCAGTCGGTTCCCTCCCATCTATGCAGCATCCCGAATGGCCTGCCCGATGAAGATCAACAGGACCAGTACGAGATCGCATTCTTCCTACGATGCTTCTCTGAAAGTCCTGGTCAATGGATGGACGTATTCACCGAGCAGCAGTCGTACTTCAGTCAGCATATTGTCCTTCTTGCACATATGAGCACCTTGATACGCTATTCTGCCTGTGCCGTGGCAGCAAAGCAACTAGGACAGATGAAAGAACCAATGTCGGTTATTCGTCAAACACCGACGAACAAGCTCATGCTCAAATCATTTGCCGACTCAAAACTCGATTTCCTCTGGTACGGTGCCAAGTATTACGAAAAGTCCATTCAGCTTCTAGCAAAGCAGATCTCCCATGAGGAGCTCTCTATTTCCGCGCTGTCTCCCTGTTGTATCTACAACTCGGCTTTATCAGTTAATGGCGATGACCATAGCATGCTGGGAGATACCGACGACACATCCAGCATTTTTCAGATCCTCGCGGCATGTATGCTCTGCCAGTATGAAGACCTCAGTGCGACGATGAGAGCACGCTCGGGGCATTTGGACGGCATTTTCAAACTTTTCCAATCCCATCTAAATGATACACTGGACCTCCAGCCATCGATCCAACCACCTGAACCGGCAAGAGCGGTTGAAGCAATATTTTGGTTCTTCGTTCTCAATGACATGCTTGATGCTTGTAAGTTATCTTTTCCCTCAACGTCCTGCCAATCTAACCTGTCCAGATGTCTCGCGGAAGCAGTGTCGAATCGACCCCGAAAACCTCTTGATCTGGCAGAAGATGGGTCTTCCCATCGACGAGCACGGGCACTTGGTGACGGACTACATCAACAACACCCAGTATCCGGAAAGTGTCTACTTCAGAGCACTGATCCGACACATGTGTCAGCTTATCAATCAAGATCTCAACAACACAGCTCAATGGACCCGCATGACCGAGGAGTTCGACCATTGGCGCGATTCACTTCCTGCATCGTTCAGCGCCACCATCTCCTGGCCTCATCTGTCACCTGAACCCGATCCAAATAACTTTGCCCAGGACTCTTCCCCCAAGGAGATTTGGTACTCCAACGACCTATGCGCTATGTCCATGATGTTCTACCACATGGCACGCATTCTTCTACTGATCCACAGACCGGTAGACGTGTTTCTCACAAGGCATCAGCCTTTGAATCAATCCGATCTACTGGCGACTTATAACTCTTTACAACGGGATATTCGCGCACATGTGACAGAAATTATTCCCATCGCACGGGGACTACCCCATAGTCGAGTGCGCAAGTACATGTTACAACCACTCTACGTCGCAGGACGATGTTTTACAGATGCCAATGACCGACGCGAATTGTTCAAGATACTCTGTCACATTGAAAGTGACCTGGGATCAGCGACCGAGTATCGCATGAAGGACCTGTCAGGAGAATGGGGGATCCCATTTGAAATTGTCAATCGCATTGGTGTGGATGCGGGGTTACTTGATATGTAAAGTGTATATATATTATGTATTTTTATGAGTTATGAACAGTACGAATTCCACTTTATGATGAACAGAAGATCACCACTACTACCAAATACGACGTCACCTCCGACATCAACATTATAAAATCATCTGACTACCCCGCTTTAACCACGCGTTTTCCCCTTTCCTGATCCAATCTTGATTCTCTTCGGCATTTGCCATTTTGACCTCGCGACTACGCCAAAAATACCCAAAGCGGCTTAGCGCTGTCTCAGAAGTGTTCCATCTCAACCAAAAATACGGTGGGATTGCGGGGTATTTTCAAGTCTGGCCCGAAATCGGCCCGTGCTTGTCTGCATCATTTCACCTCCAGAACAAAATATCGGACCGACTGAGGGTGAGGGGTTTACGCCTATATTCAGTATCCTTTGTTAGCGAGGCCATTCGGGATGTTCAATTCATCGGTCGCTGGGAATATGCAGATCATCCTTTGTTAGGGGTAATCGTTTAGCCAGGGGCTTCTGACGTTGCATTCCCGGTTATCGAACTGATGTTGACGTGGCTTCATTCCAAGTCTGCCTGTATGGCCATGACAGAACAATGAGTATCATATCTACCTCAACATCTATTTATTTAGGACAATGTAGAGGTCATCACTAACACACTTTCATCCATGGTATACTACAGCTTATTCTTGAGTCTACTCCATCCCAACGACAACACCAAATAATTTTCATTCGATTATATTACATTGCTATATACATTTACCGCGCAGTGTAACCTCCATCGACCAGGATATCCGCACCGGTAGTATAAGTGCTTGCGTCACTCAGCAAGTAGACATAAAGACCCTTCAACTCCTTGGACACGCCATTTCTCCCAATGGGAATCAGCGACCTCCACAGATCCTTGGTGTCCTGGGGAATATAGTCTGACAGTCCAGTGTCAATGTATCCAGGCGACACGGAGTTGACTCTGGCAAACTCTCTCCATTCGTTGGCCAGCGACTTGGCCAGATGCACACATCCAGCCTTGGCCACATTGTAAGATGTTTGTTCCTGAGGGAAGTTGGCAATGTGACCAGACATGGAGGACGTCACCACAAAGGATCCTGTGCCACGCTGCTTGAAATGCTCGCCGACTGCCTTTGCGCAGTGGAATGTCCCGTTCAGGTCGACCTGGATCACCTGCATCCAGTCGTCCACGCTGCCCTGCAGCACACCGGCATCGGCTGCCTGACCGGCGTTGGCAATGAAACCGTCGATCTTGCCAAAGTCACCGATGACCGAGTCGATGACAGCCTTGGTGGTGGCAAAGTCGCGGATATCGAGGCGGTAGGCCTGTGCCTTGACGCCATATTCTTTGGTGAGGATCTCAGCATTCTGGTTGGCGCTGTCCTCGCGGCCGAAGTAGGTGATGGCCACATCGGCGCCCATCTCGGCGCATCCTCGGGCAGCTTCAAAGCCGATCCCATTAGGATTAGAAGCGCCAGTGACAACGACAACCTTGCCCTTCAGGCTGAAGAGGTCGGCGAGGCTGTTGCTCTGGGGAATGGAGATGGGCATGGTGGAGGGGTAAGAGAAGGATGAATGCAGGAAATGAAGTGTGGGGTTTTAGCTGGGAGTCTACCACCAGACTTGGACTGCTGAGGCACCATCTGCTATCTTTATACTCGTCTAGACTCTCTGTGCTCCGCTCGCTTCCTGTTTGGGAAGAGAAGGCGAAGTGTGGGGAAACCGCCAGAATTTCCCTTTTCGGCCAGATCAACTCCACCATTTTCATCGTAGCAACTGAATAAGATGAACAAAATGAGAATTCTCTTATCAACTGCCCCTCGATTGCCCCTCATCTCGAATATATATAGAGGGGTAATTCATCGACATCAAGTTCCTCAACACATCAATCTTTCATCAAATCATCTACATTCATCATGGAGGTTCGCATACAAACACCCCGTTTACGATATGCGCTGACTCTTTAGAACGCATCTTTTGTTCTGCGCGACATCAAAGACGTTGTCATTGAAGACCGTCCCAAGCCTGTCATCAAGGACCCTCACGATGTGATGGTCCACGTTGCCCAGACTGGTATCTGCGGCAGTGATGTACGGTTTTCTCTATCTTACTTCTATGCCTCTGCTAATATCCACAGGTCCACTATTGGCAGCGAGGCCGTATCGGCGACTACATCCTCACCGGCCCCATGGTCCTGGGTCATGAATCCTCCGGTGTCGTTGCTGAGGTCGGCGACAAAGTCACTCACCTCAAGCCTGGAGACCGCGTCGCCATGGAGCCTGGTGTTCCCTGCCGTCGCTGCGACTACTGCCGCAAAGGCGCCTACCATCTCTGCGGCGACATGATCTTCGCGGCCACTCCTCCGTGGGACGGCACTCTGGCCAAGTACTACATCAACGCCTCGGACTTTTGCTACAAGGTGCCCGACAACATGAACCTCGAAGAAGCCGCCATGGTTGAGCCTGTGTCGGTTGCCGTGGCTATCTCCAAGACGGCCGATTTGCGTGCCCACCAGACTGTGCTTGTCCTGGGTTGTGGACCCATTGGTGTCCTCTGCCAGGCTGTCGCCAAGGCATGGGGTGCTAAGAAGGTGATCGGTGTTGATGTCGTCCAGTCTCGCCTGGATGTCGCCCAGTCGTATGGTGTCGACCACACGTTCATTCCTTCTCGCGCAGAGGCCGGTTCAGACCCCATGGCCCATGCCGAGAAAGTGGCCGAGATGATCAAGAAGGAATTCGACCTTGGCGAGGGCCCCGATGTCGTCCTGGAATGCTCTGGCGCGGAGCCCTGCGTACAACTCGGTGTTTATGTCGCCAAGCGTGGTGCAACTTTTGTGCAGGCCGGTATGGGCAAGGAAGTCATCCAGTTCCCCATCACTGCTGTGTGCACTCGAGGTCTGAACATCAAGGGCTCCATTCACTATCTCACCGGATGCTACCCAGCCGCCATTGATCTCATCTCCAGCGGTCAGGTCGATGTCAAGCGACTGATTACCAACCGCTTCAAGTTCGAAGAGTCCGAGCAGGCCTTTGAGCTGGTCAAGGCAGGACGACAAGATGTCTTCAAGGTTATGATTTCTGGCGTTGGATTTTAGGAAAATATCATTCATGTTTGTTTATGATGAGGCGTTGATGAAGAGGTTGTGTGTTTTGCATGAACGAAATTATAGAACGGGTTTGGGATGAATTAGATGAAGAATTCACTTTCCATGTGTCTATTGGAGCTTTCTTTATTGGCTTCCATTGGTCTTTTGTGATCTCAAGATGACTTGGCAGATGAAGGGTGGCACTGAGATAATGCCGGAATTAAACCAGATTTACATTTTGCTAAGGCTTGTCCACAGCTACTATCATAACGCCATCGCATATATCCATTATTATATTATATTTCCTACTGTAATGACCGCAAACATCGATCAATCTTTATGTTTGACCAAGAATAGACCACCGTGTACTCCGATGTACGTTATTCCTACGGACATCCTGTCTGAGATTGATCACGTAGTCTAGCATGCTTGTTTGTTGGAAATAGCCACCGCAACTGTCCTATATTCTATCTTAGTAGTGGCTACGCGTGATTGAAGGAGTGATCCATGGTAGTCGATAAATCTGGAACAGTTGCAACATCTCCAAAAAAGGGAATTCGGGCGGTTCTATCTCCACTTGATGCCCTGGCATTGCGGGATGAAGTGCATAAATCATTTTCTGGAGGTAAAGTCAAAAGAAATTACTTGATGATAAAGTGCAAGTTAGAAGTCCTTGTTTGGGCTTGTCTTTTCCGTTATACACTCGGAATGCCGAGATTATAATACAGAGACAACATACAGGGATGATGTAGCCGTTGCATATTCTAGAATAAGTCGGTCCAATTCCATGTACATCATCGGTATTCCGAGTGAGACATTAAACCAGGTGACACTTGCCCCTGGCGATGAACTCAGGACCGTGCTTTAATTACATCATACATACAATCGAGTCAACCGGATTTCCCCTGAAAACATGGGGTTGGTCCACCGTCCCCGGACCCCAGACTAAATTCCCCCTTTGGGTAATTCTGGCGACTCGGCCATGAGACCGCGATCCATGGTTGCAAATGATTAGCCGCCGGATCAGATGCGATGGTATCAGGCCACTAGAGTTGGTCCATGTTTAGCTGGACGTCGATGAGGCATTTTGGACCAATCCTCGCTTCGGGTATCTACTATTCTGTAAGTATCCTAAGGAAAAGGCAATATCCGGCGACCTTGCGGGGATACAGTCCGTGTAGAGCCCTGTTTTGGCTGTTTTGTACAGGGAAAACTACCGACTGACAGAATGGAGAAAATCGGGAGAAGCCGTCATCGTCCCGAGAGATAGCCATATCTTCTCGCATTCGGACTGGTGTCTAGTCTTCATATCCAGTTCAATATTTTGTCTTTGTTACTCTTATTGTAACAGCCCATTCACCATGAAGTTCGATATCTTCGGGAGAGGGCGCACATTGCGTATGGCAGTGACCTTTACCTGTGAAATCTCTTTTATCTTCTTTGGTGCGTCCTGATGATCTATCTCTGATATACAGCCTGAGTACTGACTGGTACAGGCTATGATCAAGGACTCTTCGGCGGAATCATCGGCAATGAAAACTTCCTCCAGGCCGTTGGCAACCCTGGCGACAGTGTCACAGGTATCATGCTCAGTATCTACAATCTGGGCTGCTGTGCTGGATGTCTCTTGAATTTCCTATATGGCGATTACTTTGGTCGACGAAGAGTGATGTGGATTGCCATGGCATGGATTCTGGTACTACCGCCTTTTTCTCGTGGATGAATAAATACTAAAGTGTGTCCAGGTCGGTGCTGCATTGCAGACGTCATGCTTCAGTCTGGCACATCTGATGGTTGGACGATTCATCTGTGGCATTGGGACGGGCATCGAGACGTCGACTGTTCCCATGTACCAGGCGGAGATGTGCGAGGCATCCAAGAGAGGTCGTCTGGTCTGTTCAGAAGTTATTTTCATCGGACTGGGACTTGTCGTTTGTAAGTATCACGATTGAAACCCTACTCCGTTACTGACATTGGGCAGCATACTTCTTTGATTATGGCATGAGCAGCGTCGACGGATCTCTTTCATGGAGACTGCCGGTTGGATGCCAAATGATCTTTGCTTTGGTAGGTTGAATCTATCATAATATCAGACCTGTTGCTAACCGGCCTAGATCGTGATAGCCATGGTGTTTGGTCTGCCAGAATCCCCTCGGTACCTATACAGCAAAGGTCGAAACGATGAAGCAATCCGAGTACTCTGCGATGTTTACGACAAGGAGGTCGACGACGAGAAAATCCTGCGAGAACAAACGGACATCCTGGATGCTCTGCAGCTGGAAACCAATGCGAACGAATATTCGTTTCGGAAGATCTTCAAGAAGGACGAGGTGCAAACCGGCAAGCGCGTTCTTCTTGCGTATGGAATGCAGTTTATGAACCAGGCTGGAGGCATCAATCTTGTCGTGTTTGTCTCTCTATCATGTCTGCTTGATGCGTGCTGATCTCTCAGGTACTATGTTCCTACTGTGTTGGAAAACAATGTCGGCTTGACTCGAGATCTATCGTTGATCCTCAGTGGATGGTATGTCTGCATCCTATTAACTGACCTCAATGCTAATCCTGCAGCATCCAATGCATGTTCTTCCTCGGTGCCTTTGTCCCGTCCTTCTTCGTCGACCGTCTAGGACGCCGTAAGCCCATGATGTGGGGATCCTTTGGCCTGGGGATTTCGATGATGATGATTTCTATCCTGCTCAGCTTCAAGGGAACATCGATTGAGCATCCAGCAGCCTCTGCCAGTGTGGCCTTTTTCTTCACCGTTTGTCTTCCATTCCGTCCTATTCGATCGCATCTGACTTGAACAGTTCACCCTCATCTACAGTGCATCTGCGAGTGCCATTCCTTGGTGCTACGTGCCTGAGATCCTGCCTCTACATGCTCGTGCAAAGGGAACTGCAATTGGTGTCTCGTCCAACTGGCTTTGGGTATGTATCTCCAATCCATATATGATACCTCGCTAACCATTCAGAACTTTGTCATTGTCATGATCACACCCGTCATCATCAGCCGACTGCAGTGGAAAGCCTACCTCATCTTCATGTGCACCAATCTCGCCTTCGTGCCACTCGTTTACTTCTGCTACCCCGAGACATCCAACTTGACCCTGGAAGAGATCGACCTGCTGTATCGTGAACACGGTACATCAGCACGCATTGTCGCTGACCGATACCAGAAGGGAATCAAGGCCAGACGGAACGGTGTTGTGGAGGTGGATATTGAACGCAAGGCTGTCGAGGGAGTCCAACCTGAGGTTTTCCACGATGAGGGTAAATCGATATAAAGAGACACTGGAACCGCCGAATAAACTGTTGTTTGATATTTCACGGACATGAGGGACGACATGATGATTACTTGGGAATAGATATCCAGTGCTATATTTCTATTTATTCATTCTAGCAAGCCATGATGACCCAGAAGTATTATAGAGCATAGAAAAGAATATACCGGCGGAGTAATGCTTTTAATTCTCTGTTATAGTCCATTGCAACTAATTCTGTGGCCTTCAAATCCAGTATACGAATACCATTGCCATTTCTCCGTGGTTGATGCCGGATTTAGCCATCACATCCCGCGCAACAGATCCTTGTTCAGAAAGTGTTGGATCGCTTGTCTCCCCCCGAAATCGCATTTTCCATTTGCTGACGAAATGCAAAGCATAACATCCTAGCCCAGACGACTGATGATATCGCAATCTTGCTTGAATATTTTCCATTCCATACACGTGACACTTGTGCGGTCGCGATCGCGATGCTGTCAATGTTCTGATTGGTCAATAGAGTTTATGCCTCAGGCATGAGTTCTCAGCTGTACAAGAAAAAGGTATTCATCAAGCTAGCTCATTGTAATTAATAGACTTATAGTGTAGACTAATGGATTGGTGTTGATAATAGTTGAGAAAGTTATCATCTGAGTAGTGATGCTATGGAAATGCAATGGTCGAACTTCACAAATATATATTCCGCTGATGCCAGTGGTATCATGCCACCACTATTTTACGAGTCAATCTTGTAAAACCAAACTATCTAGTATTCTGGAAATGAACCATTTACTAAACCTCGGCCAATCACAAGCCCAATTTCTTGGCAATTTCAAAACCCTCTGCCAATTATACCACACGGGCATCAATCGCATAGCCTTCCCCATCCAGCCTTTTCAACTCCGTACATAATGAAGTCAGCGGCACTGAGAAGCACTCGATAAACTCGCTGTCCTCAAGCTGTGGCTTGGGATTCTGGTTGTCAGGGTGGGACATGTCGACGTGAATATAGACCAGGTTGAAATTGGTGTTGCAGAAGCCGGATCTGCCAAGTCAGTCATTATTCCAGACATCAGACGACACGCACCATTGTACATGATGGTGCTGGTCTGCTGTGCCACGCCAACATAGCCCGTTTCCTCTTTGAGCTCGCGTACCGCACAATCCTCGACGGTCTCTCCCGCATCTATCATTCCAGCAGGAATCTCAATTACTTCTTTATCAATAGAGGGGCGATATTGCTTTTCAAGCAGGAGTTCAGGGCCCGTTGCCTTATTGAGTATTGTGACTATTCCGACGCCATCGACCAGGGAGTCTGCTGGTCTTGTCTGCCCGAAGTTACTATTTGCGTTTTTCCTAAATAGAATTCATTTACCTGGCGCCCTGCCGATTCCCACGTTCTCTCGACCCCGTTGGGATCGGAAAATGTAGTTTTGACCAGTCTTTTCCATCTCGCTTCGGCGGGGTCCTATAATCGTTGCACGCATCGGATCAGTCATGCTGATCATCGGTGTGTTGATATGATGTCACATACCAATGGACCGCGTGCGACAACTCGAGAGTTGAGCTGTGGCATGGTTTCGCCAGGCAAATGATGTCTGAAGTGCAGGTAGTGAGTATGTCTGATAGTAGAGCTTCTACGGTAGTCCTGGTGCCTTTGATGACGCTGCACGATGAAAATGGAAGCTAATGTTGCTTCGAAGCAGGTGGAAGCTTTGGAAAAGCGGAGCAAAGTCACCTGGATTTGATAAATCGCCCACCATCTGCAAGGATCTTTCGACTTGTTTGTATACCACGATAACCACGATAACCACGATAACCACGATCAGCCGGATATGCCACCACGGGGGAGCTCATTGCCGAATGATATGTTATGATGAACGCCGGCAACACCACCGCCATTGCCTTGACTACTATTCTTTCCCCCAAACCCAACTGCTTGGTTTGTCGATAGGAGGGGGTTGTCCGTGCCTTGGATCTAAAGGACTGGTTATCATCGATATACCTCGGAGTTGATCTGGGAGGATTGGCGCAGACAAAAACATTCACCTGTTCGCCTGGAGACATGCCTAACATTATTGGACGCAGGGACCTTATGATAATAAAAGATTGACATGATTCATCATATCTAAAAGAGAGGAGCTCGAACCTGACCAGCAACCTCAGTCCGCCTATAGCGAAGTGATCGGCTACTCCCAGTGGTATCTTAACCAACCATTTTAACGATAAAGACAGCAGTACCTGATCAGTGCTTTCAACTTGTTTCGCACCACTTCGCCCGATCTGGTACAAACTACTATGTAGGCACTTTTTGACCCCTCCCCGAGATTCAATCGGGCAATATTATATACTGGCAATGGTTGACCTCCACCCCATAAGGCCTAGGAACTCCTAGCCCCTCAATGTTTAACCGGTGCTGTTCACCATTGACCGCTAGCACCTGCACGGGTTCGAGCGCAGGCGTGGAGATGGCAGCGAAGATCCGTCCGCCCATCTCCGCAACGGACAGACCAGATCCACCTTCCGGGAGCCGTGTCTCAGACTCTCGGTGCCAACGAAGAGGATGGTTGTTTCTTTCACATGACTGGCCGTCCTTCGAAGGATCGAGACTATCCACACTAGTGGAATCTTTTTTACGAATAATGTGCGCCACGAGTGGCAATGTCTCCTAAATGCAACCCATTGTTCTATCATCTTTCTTCGCGTCGTGTAAGAAAAGTTTATTCGCAAATCGATATATTATACAGCCAAGACATTTCTCCATGCCTTACGGAATCACTGATTTTCGATATAGCAAAAAGGGGCAAGGCTGGAGTGACGAGTATCTGCAACCCCTGTATATCATTTTTATGGACTGCGTGGTAAGGTCTGGACAATGCCTTGTTTATTGAGGAATGATATGCATGGCTGGGGATACTTGATGAAGAGCACACATAGACAAGATAATCCATTCTATCCCAATAGCAAGATGATTGAATTATTATCAGATTTATCATCTTCAATACCCCGTAGTTCTATTGATTTGGCTCAGATGCTGCCGTGCAAAGCATCTTGAATACTGCTGGATCCACCCTTGGCGTGAGACCCTGTCCCATGGAAATGGGTAGGCAAAAAGAGGCATTGCGAGCATATTTGAGTTTCGAGGATTGAATATATTCTTCCGTCCAACTCCATATTCCCATTTCATGGTGAAAGCCGACTTTGCAGAGTAACTACCGAACGATCGTCACAGGAGGATGTGGCGATCCACCTTGGTTAACGCTGCTGTTTCACAACGTCCCTCCTTATGCCTCGGCCTCTACTTGCTCGAATATCCTAACTGGGGCAAGGGTGTGGCCCTGGCCCACATGGTCCAATACAAATCGTTGTAAGAAACAATGCCCGTTCCCCGATCTTTGACATCGAATTAAAATAGAGCATAAACCCCACCAATCTCACCAAAACAATCGGATTGTAATTTTGTTTCCTGTGTGGGCCCCGCCTCTTCTCTTCTTGGCCGGCGCAAACAAGCTTATGCATGTCCCCACCACAGGCGCGACATTAAGCTGGTGCTGTATTATGCCGTATTAAGACCCGCAGACCACCCCATCCAGCCAGGGGTGTCGCAGTGTTTTATTTTAAAATAATTTGCTAATAGTTACGGATGTCTTCGACAATCCTGAATTCTGGGTTTTGGCCCCCCCGAGCACTGCTGTCCGGGCCATTTATCGGTCCAACTCCAGATACGGAAGGGCGAATCCGAATCTCATCTATTCAAGGCAGGGAAAAATGACTCCAGTAATAACCTGGAGATTTCCCGGTTCTGTTATCTTCTTTTCATTTTCTCATTTGAGTTCCCATACTGTTTTTCACCATGAGTGCGGAGGAGCACTCGCAAGCCTTTCTAAATGAGACAAAACAACCACTGGTTGTTGGCATTGCAGTGCTTTTTATCACACTGGACACTGTGTGTGTTGCTCTGAGATTTCTGTCGAAATACATTGGGCGTCTGCGCATGGGATTGGATGATGTTTTGATTGTCTTGGGTCTAATAATATGCGCGGGGGAAGTGACCTGCACACTCCGTATGTTAGGTCTTGGGTCTCTTTCTATTTCCGCCAAAACTAACCTCGAAAAGTCGATGTACGATATGGCGGAGTTGGGCTCCATGAGGCACGAGTCAAGCAGATCGATCCAGACATGATGATAACCTGGGGGAAATTCCTGATCATCATTCCCATCTTTTATTTCTCCACAGTCGTGCCACCGAAATTGGTGCTGCTTCACCTCTATTTGAGCATCTTTACAGACAATACCCTTCGAAAGGTCTGCTGGGCAACGGTCGCCGTGGTTATTGCGAACTGGATTGCGGTGTTTATCACCGGCTTCCTGGCCTGCATACCAATCAGTTACTTCTGGACTGGAGTGGGGCATTGCATCGATACGAATAGCTACTTGCGCTGGGGTGGATTTGCCAATATCCTCACCGACGTGGTCATGCTCATTCTACCAATGCCGGTTGTCTGGAGTTTACATACCTCGACACGCCTGAAGATCGGTATTCTGACGACATTTCTACTGGGTAGCATGTGAGTGCCCCTGTCTAACTGATCCTTTCTGCTATTGTTGCATGGGAAACTAATCAATGCCATAAAAAAGGGGTCTGATCGCTGCAATCGTTCGATTTATTGAATTCTACATCACCGATTCTGGGGGCGATGTCACCTGGAATGCCAGCAACCTGGAGATCTGGGCGACTATCGAAGGAGGCATTTATATGATCGCCGCCTGTCTGCCGACCTATCGCCCTTTGCTGCGATATATTTCCCGCCGTGCCCGTGGAGAAAGCCAGGAGGCCAGCACCGGCAAATATTATGCGGGCGGTTCTGCTGCGTTTGGCGGAACAGCCAAGAGTGACAACCGGGTTCAGGGTCCCCTGAAACGAGTATCCTTGAAGTACTCTCAAATGAATGACTCGATGGACGAAGAGGAGGATGCAGTGAGACTGGTGAATATGAGGCATCAGCGATCTGAGCGATCCGATATTGCGCCGGGGACAATTGTTGTTGACCAGGAGTTTACTGTGCACTGAGATGGACTAGTAATGGTTGTATGATGAGTTCTTTCTATGATATCCATGTATTAATATTCTTTTCTTGGCCTTTTTACCCAAAAAAGCTTTGATCTGTCCGCCAAAGGACAGTTGTCATTTCATCATTCGGGACTCATATATTGTTTTAAAGAAGTGGACTATCTAGACCTGATTCATGGCCCTATATCAAGCTAGGAGCGCTGGTGTCGTGCATCAACAGAGATGCTGCCAGATATACCTTATTGACGGAAAGATGACGATGAACAGCTGTCAACTGCTAGGTTGGTTCCATTATCACCGAAGATTTGCAAGGAACTTCCAGTGACTCAACTGTCTGAGAGTCCAAATATGGTTATCTTCGCCCCAGGTTACATGGTAACATTTCACACTGTACACTCATTTGTACAGTCTTTCATTCGCCGGGATAATTTATCCATTCTTATATTATGGCCATTCAGATCCTGCTCAAGGATACTTATGGAACGGAGCAGCAAACGACTGATTGGGTCAACTGGGTGAGTGATGTATATTCTCATCTGCATGTTGCAGAAATTGGAGAGGAAATAGCATGTTATACCCATACTATGGCCCTGAAGACATCCGATAGTCTCCACCGGGACGTTTGATAGGTTCCTTTCCATCGGAACATCTGACAGGCATGACATGCATTGTACTTTATTCAGCCCTCGGAGAATGCTTTGGAAATCATCGATTCGTATATCCCGATCACGCTATGCAGGGTCTGTGAATCATTCTCGCACGAGTTGGCCATAGTGGGTCGGGGTCTGCCTCGGGATCTGTCCATCTATCCCAGACTATCCGAGGGCGCCGGGCGGGGCGGAAGATGCAGGGAGTTTCAAGCCACAGGTTTGCTTCAGCATTTGGACTGGGGATAGTTAAATCTTATGAGGAGGATCTACACTTCATGTCCATACAAGAGCAATGAACCAAGGCAAATGATTTGTTGTTGACTTGTTGCCACCGAACAGTTCGGCCCGAACTGCAGCCTGGACTCGACACCGAATTAGTAATCATTACGTTGATTCCCCAATTTCCTCCGATTCTGCGATGAGATTGGGTTTCGGCAGCCGTTCCCCTTGTGGTGGACCCCGGTAACTGTCGGACCGGATTGGAAATCAAAAAAGACAGAAAGTTATTAAAGGACATTGTCTCTATCGTTGCTCCATCATCAACAATCTCATTCCATTCAAGATATCTACATCACATCACCATGGCAAACCTCTCCAGCCCTCTCCGCGTTGGCCGCGTGGAGCTTTCCCACCGCATGGTCCTCGCACCTCTGACACGATTTCGCGCCGACGATGACCATGTGCCTCTGCCCCTCATGAAGGAATACTACTCCCAACGGGCCTCGGAGCCTGGCACGCTGCTCATCACCGAAGCTACATTTATTGCACCCCAGGCAGGAGGATACCCCAACGTCCCGATGATCCACACTCCCGCCCAGATTGCCGGCTGGAAAGAAGTCACCGATGCTGTCCACGCCAAGGGATCCTACATTTACTTGCAATTATGGGCATTGGGCCGAGTCGCCAACCCAACCGTCCTTTCCTCTGAGGGCGGATTCGACGTCGTGTCCAGCAGTGCCACTCCAGCTGGCCCAGATGCGTCCACCCCGCGGGCCCTCGACGAGAAAGAGATCCAAGCGTACATCAGCGAGTATGCCCAGGCAGCACGCAATGCCGTAGCCGCAGGGTTCGATGGCGTGGAGATCCACGCTGCCAACGGCTACCTGATCGACCAATTCACCCAAGACACCTGCAACACCCGCACCGACCGCTGGGGTGGAAGCGTCGAGAACCGAGCACGATTCGCCCTGGAGGTCACCAAGGCTGTCGTGGATGCCGTTGGCCCAGATCGCACCGGAATCCGATTCAGCCCGTGGAGCAACTTCCAAGGAATGCGCATGAAGGACCCTGTTCCCCAGTTCGCATATCTCGCCCAGCAGCTGTCCAAGTTCAGCCTCTCATACGTGCACTTGGTGGAATCGCGCATTTCCGGCAATGCTGACATTGAAGCCACCGACCAGCTCGACTTCTTCTTGGACGCATACAACCGCGCCAGCCCGATCATCTTTGCCGGCGGTTTCAAGCCAGACTCTGCATCGGAGGCAGTCAAGAGCAGGTACGCTGCATACGACGCCGTCATCGCCTTTGGCAGACTGTTTATCTCGAACCCTGATCTGCCTTTCCGGGTCAAGTCGGGGCTTCCACTCACTCCCTACGACCGGGACAGCTTCTATCTCGCCAAAAACCCCAAGGGATACACCGATTACGAGTTTAGCCCCGAGTTCAGTGCTAAGGCGGCAGCTTGATTGTTGTGAATATGAGATAAACCGGGATTTTTGTAATTAGACTGCATTCACTTTTGGCTCTTCAATTACTACCTTGACTATGATAATTGGCATATCGAGGTGCAGATCTAAGTCTTTAAACGTCATATCTAGGCAATGTAAGCCAATTGGAAGTACATAACTGAAAAAAAAAAAAAAAAAAAAAAAAAAACTAAAACTCTGCTTGATACATGGATGCCATCAAGCTATTACTGCCGATCTGATCTCGAGAATGCTGATCAGGATGATCAGGTTGTAAGCGAGCTGACAAGCGGTTATCATTGGCCACTATGGCCATTGCTTTTTCTGCGATCCATCAACTATGCGATCGTGCATGCCAGACAGTCGGAATAACTCCATTGACCGAAATCGACTATTAACAGGGACCTTGCTGTCCTTTCCAGCCTTGAAACCTTCGAAACTCCTACTTCGTTCCCTTCCCTCAATCATGCGCTTCTACTATTTCCTCACCCTGGGACTCGGATCCCTTCCTCTCTTTGTCAATGCCCGTCAGGACGACAGTGTTGACCACGATGATGACCCTGATGACAGTCATAGTTCAGGTATACCAGGCGGTGATATTGGTTACGAAGAATGCAGCAAATACAGCACGCCTGAAGTCACGAATGTCCCATACCCCGGCGACTGCAGCAAGTACATCAAGTGTGATTTTGGATTTGGCCTTGTTTTTACCGGAATTTCCACTGTCCACATCTGCGATGCGCCGCTTCATTTCAGTCCAGTGATTCAGACCTGTGTCTGGCCAGAGAATGCAGGCTGCGAGAGTGATTAGGCACCATGGTTATGCCGGGTAAATCGTTGCGATATTGGCTGATGTTAGACTATTGTTGTGGTGATAAGATGGAATATGTATTAGTGTTCTAATGATCTGTCATTTCCGTTTTTGGAAATATATGATGATTCTCTTGGTAGACATAAAACACCAAGTATTTTCCCGATCGGCATCCAACCTCCAGGCGGAGATACGATCCACTTATAAACAAGGAGATCGCGGAAAAACGGACCAGTTCACCGACCCGGAAAGCGGGGGTCTTTCAGCTGAAGAGGGGTAATTTCCCAGCTGAAGCTGAAGCTTTTGCATCACACACCATGGAGAGAATCGATACGCACGCCCACATTGTGCCCGAAGTCTGGCGCCAATGGTGCCTGAAATATGGTCTCCAGCGGCCAGATGGAATGTCTGGCATTCCAGTGAGTTTGATCATACTGCATCGCACCTCTTACTTACATCGTACAGGCATGGAGCCCTGAGAGCCACATTGCGTCGATGGAGGAAAACCGCGTAACACGATCCATTCTCAGCGTCACCTCCCCCGGCACGGCTTTTGGCGACACCGATGAGATCTGTCGCCAGATCACTCGCGAGACCAACGACGCCATTGCAGGGGTCTGTGGCCAGTATCCAGACAAATTCGGGTTCTTCGCATCGCTGCCTCTCCCTGACGTCGACGGTTCGCTGGAGGAAATCGACTACGCCTTGGACACTCTCAAGGCCGATGGCTTCGCCCTCATGACCAACGCCCGGGGTCACTACCTGGGCGATGAGAAGCTCGATGCGGTGTTTGCCAAACTGAACGAGCGCAAGGCCAAGGTCTTCATGCATCCCACGGCCTGCTGCCATCCTGAAAACCCCAAGGGGCCCTGGCCATTGAACAAGTACATGGCGCCGATGATGGAGTATTTCTTCGACACCTCGCGAGTGGTGACCAATCTGCTGCTCAGCGGCACCGTGACCAAGTATCCCAACATCACCTATCTCGTCTCCCACTGCGGTGCGACACTCGCCCCGCTCGTCCAGCGCATCGCTGCATTCTCCGGTGGTGCTTTGCCAGCAGACAAGATCAAGGAGCTTTTCCGCACGCGCTTCTACTTTGATCTCGCCGGATTTCCCTTTCCTGATCTGATCCATGGGTTCTTGAACATGGCTGGTCCAGACCGTCTGCTGTATGGCAGTGACGGCCCGTATACGCCCCCTCCAATGGTTGCAAAGTTGGCGAATGTGATGGATGAAGAGCTTCCTAAGCTCTTTGACGAGGACACCATTCGGCAGATATACTCTGGAAATGCCAAACAGATTCTGAATTTGTGAACGATAGTATATAAAATGCTGCCTGCGTCTGAGTATAAATGATCTAGATAGGAGTAGATATAAAAAGCTAGAAAATCATTCTTGGAGATGCCACCTCTTTTGGTATGAAGGTGTCCTCGGTTCCTATAAATATACACCCAATGGGAATCAATATACGGCGTCTGTTTTGTAGTCTTTCGGCCATTTTTCGGCTATAGCAGTGGCCAGTGGGACCTCCATCTGATCAAATTTCATTTCATGCGATGTTGCCTTATTACTAAGTCCCTGGGCAACTCTTGGGGTCCTCACTGGTGGATAGTCAATCTTGCCCCTATATCCTACCTACATGACTATACTAAAACAGACTAACTTGTACATGTTACACAGCTTATCAATAAAGCAGGGAATAGTCATGAATATCAAGAGATCAAAGCACGTTTGCTTGGATCAAGCCTTAGAGTGAGTCTAGATTCCAACATTGTCAACAACCAAGACTGATGGCGAATGTAATCGAACATTAAAACAACCAGTAAAAAGACAGAGACAGAATAAGCTTTGCTTTAATGTGTGATATATATTGACTGGGAATACACAGCCTCATTGTGGTACTTTGTGCTCCACTTGATGCTCAGATTGGCGATACTCCATGTGAAAGCTTTCCATATCGATATACCCGTTGTATTTTCCTGCTCTGATCCAGGCTTATTCTATGATATACAATGCCGGTTTCATAGATTACTGTAGAAATTCGTCCATCCCTCGAGGTTGCTCTACTCAATCAATTGCATTATCCTATTCTCGCCATCATCATGATTCGATTAGCAATGTTGGATTGAAGACGCAAAGATCGACGAGATTGCGATATGTGACATCGTAAGGGGTGGGTCACCAGATAGCATGTCGTGATTGATCTCGTTTAATAGCCTCGATTGCCTCGTGTGGCTTGAGCCTATGGGCCACCTGGCTACCAATGCCTCGTTTGAGTAGCCGGTAGTGTGATGTGGCTGTTCGTAATAAGATGAAGTATCCAAGCTTTCCGATATTCCCCACTTGGTACCCAACGCAGTGTTGATGCTGATAAGATGCAGGGACTGTACCTTTTCTCCAGGAACAACTGCATTTAAATCCAGTCGATTCCACTGGAATCATGAGCCCTTTATGAGAATACCGACTGTCTGGATATCCCCAGCCAATGATGTCCAGCAGGTGACTCGTACACAATAGCGGCCCCGAATTGCGTGATAATAGTCTGCATTCCACCATCGCGTCCACCATTCACATCTCTTCCTTCACGAACAGCCAGATCAATAAATAATCTTGTCTTAACTCGGCTGGTCCAAAATTATCACGTCATCTATCACCGGACTGGTTCATCCGCACAGACCAGAATCCAAACCTTCATCTCTCGGCTGCACCACCGGAAAGATACATCTCATCCTCTTCTTCCCCATGCTGTCCGACATCCCCATCCATCCCATCCTTATGGTCCGACCCCTACCATGTCGCTGTCGGACGAGCAGCAGCGCACCCTAGCCATCGTCGAGCGGTCCGCCTCGGTGCTCTCCATCCTCGGCGTCCTGACCATCATCCTCACCTTCAGCTTCTCCCGCCACTTTCGCAACCCCATCCAGCGGCTGATCTTCATCAATGCCTTTTACAACCTGTTCGACTTTGCGGCTACCATGATCTCGCTCAGCGGGCCTGACGCGGGGAATCGGTCGGCATTGTGCCAGTTCCAGGGTTTCTGTCTGCAAATGTACGTGCGAGTCGGCTGCGGTTAAACGCCATCACAATCCAACATTGACCAGGAGAACTGCAGGTTTCCACTCGCAGATGTCTTTTGGACACTGGCCACGGCTCTTGATGTCTTTCTGGTGGTCTTCAAACAGTACGATGCAGAGGCATTACGCAAGCTGGAGATGAAATACATTGGCATCATCACGCCTCTGGTGTTCATCCCAGCCCTCACGTTTCTCTTTATCAACACAGAAGACCGAGGGCCCATGTATAGCAGTGTGATTGTAAGTATCTAGAATGAAGATGTCATGATTGACAGTTGCTGATTGTACAGCTGTGGTGCTCAATCTCTCCGAAATGGGTGCTGTTCCGTATACTCTTCTACTACGGACCAATATGGTACGCTGTTCCATCTGTCTATCGTTCTCTTCTGACTCTCCAGGGTTGTCATCGCCATCATCCTCATCCTCTACTTCCTCATCGGCCTCGAGATCTTCAAGCTCAAAGGCAAATTCGAAATGGCCAGCGACAACCGCATCGAGCTGGCCTCGACGATTTCCACGACCAACGTGTCTTTCGACCAGACCGACACCAGCTTCAAAGTGAACGCCTCCAAGCCTCTCCATATCTCTGACTCGCACGATACACACAGATCTTCCCTCCAGCAGCTCACTCCCTCGCAGGCGCCGCCATCTCGCAGCATCACCTTGAAGCTTCCCAAACAGTCGCCCGTGTCGTTCAGACACTACCTTCTCATGCCAGTCATATTCTTCCTCATTCTGCTAGCCACCTGGGTCGCACCGACCATCAACCGTGTTGAGGCCTTTGCTACTCCTGGCCATGAGTCCTATCCATTGCTGCTGGCTGTGGGCGCGATGGGCTCACTGCGTGGCTTCTGGAATGGAGTTCTTTTCATTGCGATTGGGATGAAAGGGTGGAAAAGACAGAAGAGGTTGGAGAAGAAGTTATTTCCCAGGGTGCGTATATAGATCCTTGAACTGGATAGAAATGCTGATTCAATATAGCCAGCAGTTAGATAACGATAGAAATATAAACAACTATAGATATTAAATAGTGCTTAGCATAGCGTGACTAGTTTCCAATCATCGTAAGCCCAGATAACCGCGTGTCATTTTCATCGATGATTTTTCCAAGATAGAATAACAACGCCATGTCGTCTTCGCGCTGGCATCAGATACCCTCAATCAGCCATCCAAACGGAGAAAAATACGCAAAGGCACTTTCAGCTGCTGGGAATGCAAGTGCCGCAAGATCCGATGCGACCAGCCCCGCGTGTGTTTCGTGTCAGCATCGCCAACTGCCATGCGTCAGCCAGCAGTTTGTCGACGACGACAGTGGCTATAGAAAAGTTGGACGGCGAATTGACCATGTTGAAGCTCTTGTTGGAGAGTTGATCAAGCAAAGATCCCGGTCCACAGCTGCCACAATAAACGATGGAAGTATCTCACTTCCCTGGCAGCTATCAACAGGCCACTCACGCAGCAGTTATCTATATTCGATTCTCCCTCGCCCACACGATGCTGCTCTTCTTCTGAGTCGTGCCAAATTCTGCAACAGACCATTCCAGATGTTTGTTTCGACTTCATCGACCGACAGCGAGGCACTCCCACCACCAACCGCCCATCCAGTCCAGTTTGCACGGTAATGAATCCAAATCGCCCTCTGTTTGCAGCAGCTGGACTTTAATCGATCAAACGAGCCAGAGGTGCATTCGAATAAATCGCTTCATGACGCCCGTCACTACATCAATGCAGCCTCGCGCCACATCACCTCACAGGACGGAATGATGGAATCCCTCGACGGACTCGAGACTCTGATGCTCGAGGCACGCTATCATATCCATGCTGGCAATTTGCGACCTGCCTGGCTTCTTTTTCGCCGGGCGCTCGGTATAGCACAGTTGATGTGTCTTCCTCGGGGGGACGGAGACAGCCGTGCAGACTCTCTCTGGTTTTGGCTTGTATACAGCGATCGCTTTCTTTCATTGATGCTAGGCCTTCCATTATCAGTTGATGGTACTCTTACAATTAATTTATATGGTACACCAAGACGCTTAAGCGAGCTGTGGATGGCTTCACGGCAGTACTCCGGTGACGAGTCGACGCGGAATCGTGGCTGCTGGTCGGGAGTCATCTTGATGCCGAATTTCGTGGCGAGAAAAATGTCGTTTCGTTTGTCGGGATTCGCAGCAAACCATTTTCCAAGGAGATCCTCAGAAGTGCTATACTCGTCGGCTGATTCGTTAGCCATTGTCCCATTCAGAAAAAGAATACTCACCCCTGTCCCAGAATGTTTCGCCCCTCTTGTATGCTTCGTCGAGGAAGGCCATGTGCTCCGATTCTGCAAGTGGCATCCCGTACATTCCGCTGGCCCCCATCAGGCCCAATCCCAGACGTGGAATCAGTGGTCCGTTCTTGCCCAATTGGCGCATGGGGGGGGGTGTTTCAAGGTTGGCATAGTGCTGTTTGAGATTGAAAGTGGAGGTGTATGGAATGAGATGGCTGTCCTTATCATGATATGGGAGATCGCTATATATCTTTGGATATCGGGGCTTACGGCGAAATATTCTACATGCAGTTTGAAACCACTGAACCGTAAAGCTATTGTTGTCATGCATTATTGATTCATTCCGCCGTTATCTCCACCTTATCTCCGTCGAAGCATGCATAAACAATTATACTGCCATTTCTACTCCGCGCGGCTACCAATTGGTCGCTGATGATTTCGAGATCCAAGGTCTCCAAGACCATCCGGACCCTCAAACGGCAGATTTGGAAGGTTTGAAAACACGCAGTTCGAACCTTTCAATCGTTGCCGATAGGTCCTGCATGACCTATCTGGGGAAAGACGCTACAATGAATATTGTTCTCCCAGTAACCCCAGCCTTGGATCTTGCATGGCCACGGTCAGACCAGTCTGTAAGCACGGATAAATTAGAAGTGGCTCTGCATGTCTTCTAGAATGTACGAAAGCAAAGAGCAGAGGTTGTGCAACAGGGCAGTCTGGACTCGGGAGAGATAGACCACGTGTCGGAAAATGAGGAACGGGATATGCTCTCTAGATCAATGAATGGTGACAACGGAGTGAATAAATTCCAGAGACCATCCATTGGGGGCAATGATTGATCGAAGGACGAGACACTGGTGCTATGGATATTATTTTTTTGCAGACGTGACCACAAGGTATCATAATCCTCGATTGAAGGCATCCTTGTGATCTTCCAATTATCAGAAAAGGTCTTCGCTCATAGATTAGCAATTAAATACATATAAAAATATTATTGCAAGAGCATGAAAATAAAAGCAATTAGTCCAGTGCACGCAGTGGCCATCAAACATATTAGATCCGTCAATTCATCTCCTGTACGACTGGTAGACCATTATTTCGGATCTTTGTATGTGATCGAATAGTCCGTCGACTTCACGATTCCCAAGTGGTGATCTTCTTCCCTATTTGCAACAGCACGGCTCTTCTCATCGCCCTCGAAATCACGTTCAGACTCGTCAACAGCAGTGGTGGTTGTCGTCTCAGTCTTGAGTGTCGTGAGATGATCCCAGTTACGGAACCTTCGGGCAGGTCTGTCGACAGGATAACCGTTGTTGTGCTCATCCGAGGGTTGCTGGCCATCACTTCTGTCGACGGTGCTGAAGAGGCGTGGGAAGGTCTGGATGAGGAGTGGACGCATGATGGGGAGACAGGAGCAGATGATGCCGACATTGATCTCAACCATGCTAAGAAATCAGTATTATACTTGCAAATATAAGAGTCAACATACCACCATTTCGCTAGTGTCACTTTGAACCATGTAAAGTCAGTGCTTTGCAGGAAGGGCATCATGGTGATGATCCGAACACACGACACGATACAAGCACTAACATCATCAGTCATGAATAGTTATACCAGGAAGGATACTTACAAAGACCCCATGACCAGCACAATCATCAGCAGAAGCTTCTGTCGAAACCTGGTTTGCAGAGACCAGCACAGCCTGATGGGCAGAACCAGCGTCACTACATCAGAGACGACATTAAAAACGGCATTGGCATAGACAAATGCAAGCTGGTCGATGCAGGTCGCGTGGTCCATGAGTGTCATATCCCATTGTGCTGCGATCGGATTACATCCAAACGTAAAGAGGAAGATGCTCAGGATGCTGTATACCGCTACAAAAGCCATGATGGCAAATGTCATTTGCCGGAAGCGTTTCTCGGGGCTGAGTCGGAGGTAGAAGAGCAGAATGGACGTCTTGACAAACCAGACTCCGAGGGCGTAGATGCCTTCTTCTGCAAGGTCGTACTGGCCCATTATTAGTTTGGTTCGATGTATAATGGGCTAATCTCACCTGCTTAAAGGGCTTGAGCTTGTCGGCATACAAGTCCCAGATGTGCACTCCGTATCCATTCTTGATATCTGAAAGGTTAGTCACGTCCAGCAACTGGTCATGATACATACTGAGAATACTGAGAATGGCAAATATCCATGCACAGATCTGTCCCATCACACAACACACTAGAATGTCAATATAGTTCATATATTCTCTCAGGTGGACTTACAATCATCTGAGCTCAGGCCCCTGAGAATAGCCACTCGTGTGTACAACCGTAGCAGCAAGACCACAGTTGCTGTCGAACACAGGGCAATACTAATGGAGTAAATCTCATATTCAGAGCCATCCGGATTGTCAAAGTTGGGAGTCACTCCGGGTGGAGGCGGGGCTGCTGGTGTTTTGCTCATTGCATGGGAATTATAACACAAGAATAGAAGAACTTGATTTACAGGTGCTTTGGAAGTGTTGAACTGTCGGGACGGAGGTTTATATACATTCCGACCATCGACAAAGTACTGTATATTTCCCTTCTGGATGAGTCGATTCAACGAAGGGCACAGAGTGTAGAGAATAGTCTCCCAAAGCATAGCGCAATGACTCGGACCGGAGAATATACTTGGATTCTATGACAAACAGGTTGACACGGCACAGACAGTATAATCTGGATCTGGTAGCCTCATCTCACTAGAGTACGAGTACGCCAGATTGGCCGAGGCTGTTCTATCCGCATATCTTGACGTATCTATTTTGACCATGGCGTCTCCTGTTTCTTGCATGAATGATCGAATGATCAGCAGCGGAGAGTTGCATTGCATGCGCATTAGTCCGGCACAATACTGCGATGCTGGCCATAGCTGACTGAAGCTGAATGCATCTAAAGCAAGGGCCAATGTAACATTTCCTTGGACTATTCGCTATATTATCCGTTGCTGCCCTGATTCAGGTATGGCGAATAGGCTAGGACATGTCATATGTACAATATGAGATTCTGATTGGCCGGGGAGCTATTTCCTGGCTACCTGATATATGTCGCCTTATTTGCTGTCCTCATTCGGCTGCTGCTGGACACGCAATCTGTCTACAGACACGTAGGATCATCGATCTTAGAGTTTGAATGTATCAGGTACTCTAGAGTCTGACAGCGTACTTCATTGTTATTCTGTTCTCCGTCCTGAGATGAATACTCCGGGTACATTCAAGGGCGATCGGCTGATATTAACTTTCGATTCAGCTGTTCACATCTTCAGATTCATCAGTTGAATTTCATTCCATGCCTGTGGACAAATTCAGCCGCTCTCATGGGTATATTCAGGCCCGATCGGTCGGTAGTAGCAAAACAAATCCCTCATCTGGCATGCACTCCGCGATCTGGATGACATGCTCGATATGGAGATGGCCTGCTATGATATGCACCTGTTCTGCGCCATTCTGGGAATGATGGCCAGCTGGTCTGTCACTGCCATGACAAGTGCATGAGAGGGGTAATCCTAACTGGCCAATAGGAAGCCGAGAATATCTTCCATCAAGTCTATTGAACAGACGGAATCTTCGACGGATTTTTGTTTGTTGTGGGCCATCGTCAGCACTGGCCTGACGTGTCATTGATTCGTGCACAAGCCTGATTTTATGTGGCTTGCATCGGGCTGAATCAATTATTAATCGCCATTTGAATGATTCAAGATGCATTCGTGATCCAATTGGCCGTCCTTAACTTCGACCATATTATAGTGTGGGAATACCTGCAGGTCGTCTGCATTCCGGTTCCGCACCGCCAATCAGCTGCCATATAGCGCCGTACTTTGTGCTCTGTCACATCGTCGCCAGCAGCTGCACATTCACACTGACGATCCCAGCGCAGCCCCTCTGCCAGGCGACGCTCTAAATTCCGTCCATTTCCAGAATTCCCATCCATCGCACTACACACTATTGGTTTGTACAACGTCAAAATGGGAAGCATTTCAAATGGAGCAATCCAACATGACTTGGATCAACTGGTCGCTTCCGCCAATGAATACCAGAAGGATTTGTCCGATGAAGGCAGGTATGACTTGATGCTCAAGGCAATTCGTCTCCTTCAGACCATCCGCGGTCCGGCTGATATGCTCTTTGCACAGTTTGAGAATGTGAGTAATTGTACACTTCCAATGTAGCCTGTACTGATTAATTGAGATATCAAATATCGGATCCATTCGAGCCCTTCTGGAAGCGGGTGTTTTCCATGCCATTCCCACCGGCGGAAAGAGTATCTCTGCCGCGGAGATTTCTGCAAAGACTGGAGTGGACAAGGAGTTGATTGGTATATCACCATGAACTGACAGGTGTAGCAATGCTAACTAAACAGTCCGTCATATGCGTGCTGCTGCTCCCCACGGACCATTCAAAGAAACAGGGGAGGAGCAGTATGCCCATACGCCCTTTTCGGAAATCTATCTCGCGCCTCAAATGATGGCCGTCTTCAAATTCATGTATGCCATCCACTCTCTGTCAAATCATCTCGACTAATACATCATAGGATCGACGAATTCGCCGCCCCAAAGCTCAGAAACCACGAGTATCTGCGCCAGAAAAACTGGAAAAATGAGATTGGTCTGCGTAGTAACCCATACACACTCGTGCACAACTGCGAGGGAAAGACCATGTTTGAGCATGTCGCTGAATACCCCGACCGACTCAGCCTGTGCAACGATGCCATGATGGCGTCGGATTCGTCCTTGGTCACTGTCGGTCTGTACCCTTTTGCAGAAGAACTGGGCGATCTGGCAAGTGATGATACGGTCACTCTCGTCGATGTTGGAGGAGGTCGAGGCCATGCCACTCGGCAGATGAAAGAGAGTGCTCCGGGCCTCAAAGGGAGGTGGATTCTTCAAGATCAGGCACATGTCATCAAGGATAATGGGGGGGAAATCAAGTCTCATGGGATAGAACCTATGGCTCATGACTTTTTTACTCCGCAGCCAGTCAAGGGTATGTCGCATTCCGGCTCGAAATATCCCTGCTAACGACATCAGGAGCCCTGGTCTACTATATTCGACGCTGTCTCCACGACTGGCCAGATGAGGAGTGTCAGCAAATCCTGCAGAATCTGGCTGCATCTATGGATCGAGAAAAGTCTCGAGTACTGATCACTGAATATATTGTCCCCGAAGTAGGCAGCACGATGTTCTCGGCGTGGATGGATCAGACAATGATGACCTTTGGTGGTCTGGAACGTACGGAGAAGGACTGGGCTCGTTTGCTGGATATTTCAGGATTGCACTTAGTCAAGATTTGGAGAACGCCGGGAGTGCCAGTCGGTGTTGTCGAGGGGAGGTTAAAGTGAGATATGAGTTTATCAATATATGTGAATTACATATCGCTAGCAGACGATGTATAGACTTCACACGCGTAAATCCCGAGAGCTTTTGTAAGACCTGCGTAGTCTGTCCCAGTATTGAGGTGATCTAGTATCCACTCGCACGTTTACAGAGGTCAAATGGTTGAAATTCGCACACGGATGCGGCGGTTCAGGTCGATCCCAAAAGGTCCATCTGCCAGGCCAAACACCGTGAATATCGAGGGTGCGAAGACCTGGCCATGCTTCGTGCAAGACCGGCAAAAGGATATGGTCGAACACCCGATTTCCAGGTCGTGGTAACCTGCATGTTCTTCCCTGCAGCTCTGACAACCTTTCCATGCAGAGGACAAAGTATTCTATCGTCAAGTGCTGTGGCTGCACAACCTTGAGGAACGATGTCCATTCTTCATGAGTTTCATCAGGCAAGTAGTTCCAGCCGGGAGGAATATTGTTTCTGTGACGCAGCATGTCGAGATCCAAATAGCAGAGTGTCAGGTCAGAAAGATCCCGACATCGAGACTGAAGCGATAGATTGAAAACACGTCTCATACAGCCAGCGTATATCTGGATAGGATTCGAATCTTCCGGCCAGTCCTCCTCCATCTCCCTGCCACTCTTTCTGTAAATATAATTCTCTCCGGAACGCACACGGCCTCTTTCTAGTAGACAGCCGATCCGCAAAGAAGTCAACGGTGCTTTGTCTTGGCCGTGGAGAATAGCGGATGCCAGTGCATAATGCATCTGTCCACTGAGGGAGATGTGCGTGGCATTTGGAAAAAGCGAAGTAAGATGCGAAGAGTCAGACAGATATGGATGAATAGGCCCTCCACCGATGTCGACGAATGTAACTTGGTCCATGAGAGCAAAAAGGGCGTAGATATTTTCCAGTTCCTGGATGGGAGAATCATCCTCCTTTGCCCATTCGGGAAGGTTGCATAACCGATGAAGTCCCATTGTCCAGGTAAACGAGCGGACCATAGAGGCATACTCTGGTTTGTTGAATATCTGTCGCATGAAGAAGCTCTGTTGGGCGAAGACATATCGGATGTTGGAGGGCCATCGCTGGACGATATAATCATCTTCGATGATGGGCTCATAGTGATGGACACTTAGATTGACATTGCGATAGAGAGAGGGTGTGAAAAAAGTGTTCAAGTCTTTCGATACTTCTGCCATGTTCTTGATCGATGAGAATTCAAGGTTGTCCGCAATGAAATGCCACAGTTCGGGCGGCAATGACACTGAACGGCCGCATGCTGGGTTGGCCATTGTCCAGCAGATGAACGGTTGGATAGACTTACAATATTTGAAAGAGGAAAAGGAACCAACAAGTGCGATGCAAATTTATCTGTCGTACAAAATGCGGCGCAGTCTCGCAAGGCTTACGTGTTCCCTTGTCTGTCGACCGCTGCGAAGTTATGAAAATGAGTCACAAATATTACGACATCACAAAACAATTGAAGCCATATTGCCACTCCATCAATGCTTCAGTCTGGGAAGGACAATAAATTCAATCAACATACAGAAACTTCCAATTCTTCTATCTATCCTAAGATCCCAGCCCAGGCCAGCTGTGGCAACTCTTCTCGCACACCATGGCCTTCCACCATCGCTTATTTATAGCGCATTCAAATCACCTAGTGAGCAGTAGAGACATTCGGGTAGTCAAGACCTGAAATAGGAGCGTTGTACCATCCAAGGATGAAGATACTCATGACAGCGCCAGTAAGAATGAGCCTGGCCTTTGCGGGTTGGGTGCGGCGGTATTCGCCGACCTGCAAACGAATGTCCGTGGCGAGAGCATTCATCTTCTCCGCACCAAGCTTGTAATAGGTCAATCCAGCGAGGGAGATGGAGTAACCGAAAAATTGCTGGGCGGTGACGGGGTCGTGGAAGATGGCCATGGAGGCGAAGACGAGGAGGACATCCTTGAGGACACCAGCCATCGTCAGGACGACAGCGGATGTTTTGCCAATCTGAAAGGTCAGTATCAATGTGGCGAGTATTCGCATGGAAATCTTACCAGAAGCACAGATGACACGTTCAGGAAGAACGCGATAGCAGCGTTGACAATCAGAGTCGAGATACCGAGGGAGTAGATTTCACTCATGGTCATGCGAGGGAGTTCAGTGAAGAACATGACGGCAAAGTTGCCGACCGCACAGGCCGGGGCGAAGTAGTAAAGCGAGACCAGAGGGTCCATCTTGAATTCGGCCGAGCTGAGGAGAGCCTGGACCATGACCAGACGAATAGCCTCGAAAACGACACCACCGATTTGGACTGGGACCGTTAGTATCGCGCGTCAAGTCAAGAAATGGCGAGACATACAGAGGAAGCCAACCATGTCGAACTTGATCTCGCCAAACGAGGCAATCATGACGCCAATAACAATCAGAATCACGTTGGCAAGGGTCTTGAGGTTGACCTGTGCGATTCCAAACATCCAGGTGGAAAGAAGAGTCGCGACGGCGGTGGTGGCCTGATAATCAATTAGTGATGTTCATGCGCGTAACCGGCTGGACTCACCTTGAGCATCTGGATAAAAGACACACTGAGATAGAGGTATGCCAGATTACCGCAGATCAGACTCAAACTGAACATGACACCAATGGGCATGATCGCCTTCCTGTTATGCATCAGCATCACATCTCTTCCATCCTGCTATTCCACGCACATGTATGTCTGCGGAGTCATGGGGACTCTGTGTCGCGAATCGAGCTTCGTGGTGAAGTGGGCCAGGATCTGGGTCATGACCGTGGAGAATGTCATATGCCATGTTGTCAGGAACAAAGCTGGTCGAGTTAGTATCGCCGGAGGAGAGGAGGAGGATTCGAACTAACGATAGTCTGGAAGAGAGAAGAGTTAGCTGGGTCACGATGCTATCCACGATTCACGAAGACTTACTGAACTTGGCGGTCGACAGAATCCACTTGTTGAAGATGATGACGCTCGAACTCAATCCGATCCACAGACTGTCTTATTAGCCGCTGCTCGTATGCGAAGAAGATGGACTCACGCGATGTAGAATGCCGGGTGCAGACCACCCCTGCCCTTGGTGGCAGCTGTGCCACTCTCGAGCTTGCGATCATCCTGCGAGGAGCGACCGTTGGCCATGGCGACTGGAAGACTCGGGAACAGCAAAAGAATGACTTTGGTGGGAAAGACCGCTGTGCGCCCAGAGGGAACGAAGAGGATGAAGACGATTAGACGAGGACACGAGGACAGATGAAGCTGAAGCTGGCAGACCCTGATTATCAGCCGCACGATCGGCGTGGATGGCGACAACTGATTGGAGGACGTGATTGGACAATGACGCGTCGTGCACAAGTATGTCATGGTGACTAATGATTATGCCATGCATAACTCAAGATATTCTGTAGCCATATAAAAATGTCTGCCAAGTTTCAATCATGATATAGAAGACCTAAGTGTTTATCAATGAAACAGTTCATGACCAGTCTATTCTCCATTCTAGAGTCCAGCATTAGCCCAGAAGTCTATCAATAAACTCTATTCCACTCTTATGTTCAACAGAAGTCACAATGCATGCAATCCATAAATCTGACCATCGGCCCGTCCCGTTTTACATTCGGGGGGTCGTCGGGTTATTGGATGGCCCATGTGTCTTTGCCTAGACGAAGAAGTTATGCATCGCAGTTGGTGAATTATGGGGCGTTTGATTTAAGAGACTCCATACTCCGTAGATGCATAACAGACATGGCACTGCACTTACATGACATATCCTGGATACAGGTAACTGTGACTTAATGTACTACTGTAGGCCCTGCTCATAGATATACTTTCCCACTGCATGCAGGACATCAACGATAGTCAAAGTCCCCGACGGCGATGCCATTTCTGTCAATAAAGATCCATTTTCAAGAATTCAAGGGTTTCTATTGGCTACCACTTGGTCGGTTCGAACTGTGGAGTCGAAGCCCAAGAACCTGACCAATCAAATGGATATATCTGTCATGTTCGAACAGGAGTATTGCACAGGACATTTAAATTTAATCGTTTTATAAAGTAGATACAGAGCTTTAAATGCATGTCACCAATAGACAAATACGCTTTGTGCTTATCGCAGTTCTTTTTCGTGTATAAACCACTGTAGACTATGTCAACACTATATGTGTCTGGACCATCAAGAACTCCGTATGATTATCTGTAGCCTCATATCTACATCATAGCAATACTTGAGCAATCATGATTGCCGTTGTGTCAGTATAATTGCCCTGACAAAACCTGAATGTATGTATTTAGATAATGGAATTGGGAGAGAGGCACTTTTTTGTAATCGCAACATGGTAGGTAATAAAGATAGCCTACTTGAGCATCAAATGGGACTGTACAGCCATCTCATAAGCATGATATGTTATCCGCGCGAATGGACCGCAGCAGAAGACCAGATGCTGTCTGATAAAGTCACCGAACTGGGCCATGCCTGGTCTTCCTCCCCTAACCTGTCGCAATCGATGGCGCAAGTTATCCAAATCCACTTCGTCTCCATCCAACCCGATCGACACGTCCTCTGCAGGCCGTGTCTCCAGTCCCCACGACCCGGTCTTTTCAGGGTCGGAGATTCCTGAATCGGCTTCATTGCCCTCGTTTACGGGCTGGGAAGGAGATTCAGTGGGAGGATTTATGGATAATGGGCTGGGTCTGGATTTGGATACCTCACTGCCAGGTGTGGACTTGGTGGTTTTTATTGATCCGTCATTGATGGAATTAGAAGGGATGGAGTATTCAGAGCCAGCCAATTCCTTCTTCAATTGTATGCAGACTTCCATCTGGATCGTAGCGGTAGAAACAGCCAGTAGGCGTATATCCACCGGAAATGTGAGGTTGTTACATGTCACTGCACCGTCAGATATATTCTCTCATCAGTTGGAGAACTCACGATCCATCAAGCCAGACATCTAAGGAACTAAACCAGAGTCTGGCCATGCAGTCCACTGTGCTATCATTTAATCTCACCGTCTGCTTATCCTTATCTGGAATAGCGGTCTGTAGAACTGTCTAATGTCCATTATAGTCATGGACAATGCAGTGAATGTGCAAATGAGATATCCATCATCACAGGAATTTATTGAAGCAACTGGCTCAGGGCAAGAAATTGTTCTTCTTTTGTACGGAGTTGATGATAATTCAACAATATGGATTGCATTGCTGAGAATGTCAATGTAGTGGACGGTATCGTCGCTTTCTCGTCATAGGACACTTTCTCCGATTGTCGTGTGGTTCAATAAATGCTTCGATTGTTTCGTTCATTTTCAATACTGTGCATTATTGATAGAGGCAAGTGTTGTGAGAAATTGGTGCGGTTATATTCCATCCAAAGGGCCGAGTCAGTTGACTCTTCCCATTACACAACGTATAAACAATATATTCAATTTATTCAAATATTCATAATCATCCAAACATCGTCTTCCAGTATTCTTCCACCCGGTCGCAAATTCCAGATTCGCCCTTCCAACTTATAATCTTCTCTTCCAACGCACACGCCGTCCAATTAATCTCCGTCCAAAACAGCTTCTCAACATCCGAATCAAACATCGCCACCACGTCTTCCGGCGCCGTCCAAGCACGCGTATAGCTCCCATCCTCTCTTACCGCAGGCCCGTTTTTAACAAATATCGTCGCCGGATTAAACTTGGGATAGTTTGCATGGATGAAGAATGGACTGGGCGCAGGTGCAGTATCGCCTTTGACTCGCCGTACTCCCTTTTTCGTCAAAGCATAGTCGTCGATAGGACTGGATTGGACCATGGTCGATCCTGCAAAGCCATCTTTCGCATGGCGTCCCAGAGCATGGATGGGCTCGCTGACTTGGTAGAATGGTTCGTTCATGACAGTTGCTGCTGCGATGAAGGTTTCTTTGTCGCCTTCACCTGCGGCGCCTTGGGAAAGGAGAGAGTAGTAATAGGATGGGCCGTAAAAGTTGTAATATGTGCATAGCAGAAGAGTCTTGAGATGGCTTTTTCTAGAGATGAATATCTCTCCTGATTCCGAAGCCTGTCGCAGGTTGGGTGCTGGCTGCTGCTGCGATGAGATTTCATAGTATAGAGGAGACACAGTCGTGCCCCAGAAATCAGGGAAGGTAATCAGGCCATTTGACTTGAATGGCTCACTGGAGAATACCAGCTCTGGCTGTTTAAGGGGGAATGCATCTGCGTCTAGAAAGAGGATCTCCTCAAAGGAAGAGAACAGCATGGCGAATGGTTTGTATTGGTATTTCTCAATGTTGCTTTTGCTGCCAGGGACTCCATCCAGGATCTCTGAGAGCACGACACACTTTGCATTGAGCGATGGGAGAACAACATTGCAGATGTATCCTTCATACTCGGTCCAATCGGCAAGAAAGACTTCCATAGGGAGTGTTGAGCCTGTTTTGCGCAGCATCCGCAGTGAGATGACCAGAACAGGCAGATATGACCCTCCTGCGGTAGAGACTATTCCCCGCGTTCCTTGTTTATACGGCAGAGCTGGAGGGTTTGATGAGATGGCGTCGACAAATTGACCATGCGCACTCTTCATCTGTGCTACATCTTGCGGAGGCATCTGCAGCATGCTCGGTGGCTGCTTTGTGCTGAACGGATCGAATCCTTGATACGGTGCATCCCCGAATTTAGTCGGTGGATCGCAGTTGGGTGCGTAAGCTGTCAACAGCGGCTGGAATTGTTTCCAGAAGTTGGCATTGGCAGATGTGCTGCTTTCATTCTGTTTCGATGGAGACTGGCAGAGGGACCAGATGGTGATGGCCGCCAGTGCGAGCGCAACCAGCAGGATGCGCCGTCGTAACTGCGACTGGGACACTTGCATCTTCAGATGATGAAGAGAAGAAAGTGAGATTAAGCAAAAGTCCAATCAAACAAGATCCAACAAATTCTGCCCATGCCATGGCTCCAACGGCAGACTGGCCAATCAGTGGCGGGCAGGTGGAGATCAGGATCAGGATCCTGGGCCATCCCGTGTTTTAGCGTTTGACAGGCTCCACAGACCAATGTTGATTCGTTGTATTTCTTGTCGAATTATCAGTTTAATCAGATGGATATCAGGAGTAATTGAAATGCAATCAATCAATCTATTATCTATAATACAATACTAAATTATCTAACACAGAACCGAATACCTATTACCATCTCCTTCCAACTCTCAATCTAGTTCTTCTTTCTCTTGGGCTTGCCCTTGGTGGCCTGGCAAACCTGGCCACCGCAGTGGGGGTCCTCGGAGCTCTTCTCGGTGGGATCCTTGAAGGACTTGCCGCAGACTTCCGACCAGAACAGCTCGGCAGCAAACCAACTGTAGTTGTCGGCGTTGTTGGTGGCCTTGTCCTTGTTCAGGTGGCGTGCACCGTGAGGCCCGTAACCACCCTTGATGTCGTCGGTTTCATCCTTCAGGGGCGGCACCACCAGGTTGGTGAAGTGGGTGTATTCGTGGATGAGAATGGAGCCCATTGTCTCCATCTTCCATGATACTTCCTCGTCCAGATAGCCGCAGTCGATTGCCTTGACGCCGTGGTAGCCCTTGCTGACACCGCCGTGGCCAAATCCAGCGCCCTCGCAAATAATCAACTTGGGGTGTTTTTCATCGATTCCACGCAGCTCAGCCATGGTGTCTCCATCGCAAGCCAGCACGTTGTTGTCGTCTGGGTCCGGGTAGTCGATCACAACGTGGAGGTCACCCAGCGTTGCGCTGCCGTCTTTGCCTTTGGTGAGATCGCCGGTGATTTTCTTGAAAACGTCTGTGGCAGTTAGCAATGTGGTTCTAACAGTCGGATGCGCTCACTAACCAATGACTGTGTTTTTGTCCTTCTCGTGAAAGTATTTCTTCAGGATGGGGTCGACGCGGGCTGCTGGGATGGTCTGGGGGTAGGTGGCCAGGTTGATGGCATCCGCGAAGCCATCTTCGATCTGCTTTTTGTGCTGGTCATTGTAGCCCTTGATGGTGGGATTGGCCCGCTTCGAGATTGAGAAGGTTGGAGAAGCCACAGCAGCTCCTGTGAGGAGGAGGGAGAGGAAAGTGTTGGTCAACATGATATAGAAGACTTGAGATTATGATGGTGGTGGTGATGATGAGGATGATGATAATAATTGATGATTCTGAGCTGTTCATTGCCTTTTTATACCTTTTCCTGCATACCATCTTCAAACATCTCGCTTCACAGCCTCTGTATCTAGATTGCTCGTCTCAGAATTGGCCCCAGTCGTGGAATCCTGCAGGCTTCGCCCCAGGAATATCAATTGTGGATCCACTGCAGAGTGATCGGCGCCCGCACTCTCCAGTAGCTTGGCCATGCTTGTCTGTCTGCATTGTGCTTTATCCTCTGCTTGTGCAGAAACCGCCTTGGTATCTCCTCGCTATGACCGCCCAACACCGCCCCTTGCCGTGATGTCATTCGCTCGACAAAAACCACTAAAGAACACTGCATCCTTCGTCTCTCTTCACTATTCTGCTATTCAGCCTGGCTGCTTTTTCTCCTATTCCATATTCCCTGCCGCTGTGCGAACCGCCCCAATGTCTGCTCCATCTATTTCCGTCCAACTCTCCATCCATCCTCCGCGCTTTACTCCGGGCTCACAACCGCCCCCATCCCTCTCCATCACAGCAACCTCCCATGCAACCCAGCCGATCACAATCTTCACATGGCCCGAAATATTCAATCTCGCCTTAGCCCAGCGCCGTAAGAACTTTACCTGTCTGAACCTAACAACCAACACTGCCATTCGGTTGGAAACCACCAAAGGCCCCAAGCGCACGGCGTTCAGCCAGGCATCTGGTGGCCGTGATGACAAGGCCTTTGTGACTCTCGAGCCGGAGATACCAGTCACATTTACTGACAGTTTCAAGCTTGGCATCGCCCAGGGAGAGCGATGTCGGGTTGAGCCTGGCCATCGATACCGATTTGGTGTTAATGAGGGAGAGGAAATCTGGTGGTGGCAGTATGGGAGGAAGGAGGATGTCATGAAGTCTCCTGATTCGGCGGGAATGGATGAGCCCAGTGGTCTGCCTATTGCTTTGGATAATGTTGCTCCGGTCGAGTTTGAGGTCGAGGGATCTGAGTAGTTGATGAAATCATCTACTAGAAGTAATTGGTTATCGCAAGTATCAAATGTCAATATAAATTCTGCAGTTATAACTGATGTAAGTCCCAACATGCAGAGTATGATAGATTGAGCGTAGTAGAATAGGTGTAACTATTGCGACCACCCCTTTAAAACTACCAGTGCTATTTTGATGAACCCCCTGCAGTATCCACAAATAGAGTGTATACTAAGAGTGATTGTACTAGCAAATGGATTTTTAAAAGGGTTGTATACAGAAGAAGTTTCCAAAGGTGTAGTGAGATGACAGTAGGTATAACAAGAATAGTATATTATTTATCCTATTCAAATTCTACAATAAAAGTACCTGAGTAGTATATAACAAATAAGTTGTATATACACAAAAAAATAGAATATGTTCCGGTCATGGACCGAAATGCTGGTGGTATGCAGATATATATATTCAACATCTACCGCAGAATGAACGATTGCATGCCATACTTTAATAAATACAACTGGTTGCCTCCATTTAAGAATAAGAATTATAAAACTCTTCTTGACCGACATATGCAAATTGAATTATGAATAAATATATCATGACTTGTGTAGCAGCAGCTTCAAGTCCAGATTTACTATGGAATGTTCTGATGCCTCATGTATGTATATCTGCTCCACACATTGCCAAGCTTCTTATTACATTGTAGCTAAGGATCAGAACAGTCAGAACCATACATCTATTCTAATTGGAATAAGACTGAATAGAACAATCTTATTGTTGATAGCATATCAGAATTCTATTCCATTCGTGGCACCGGGAATATAAGATGAGATATGAGAGATAAGATGGTTATGATGAACATAGCACAACTAGTATAACCATACATCTTTTGACATGGAAACAACTGATTGACAGCCTACTGTATAGCTGTCTATACCTTAGCAATACTCTCTATGCTACCAGTAGACTTGGATAAACATCAACCATGGCAACAGCCGTACAATCTCAAACTGACCATTAACTCAACCTCCTATTCCACAGCCTCCACCATAACCACCCATCCGAAGGATTTCTAGACCCCAAGTGTCATGAATCCTCTCATCTTGCCTTTGGCTTCAAATCCTGCCTCGTAGTTAGCCCGGATTGATCATCCATCTAGATACGAGCAGGATGCATCTTCAGCCGGTGTTTGATTGGAAGGATTACAATTGGGGCGAAGTTCTGGGAGAGCATCTTCCTGGTGTGCTGAAGACGAACTTGAAGCCGTACCTGAATCCTTCGGTATAGCTATCCTGGTGTTGGTAGGCTGTACATACTCTGCGACAGGAACGCACTGATGAACCGCCCCATGGAGCATTGACGATTGTTATTTCAAATCCAAAGATAGGGCTAGATTGTGACGGGAATGCACTGTCATTGGATAGACACAGCCAACAGTTTAGAGGCTGTCCAACAGTTCGCAACCAGAGTGAGAACTTCTATTCCTGGCCGCTGATCGTGTCCCTGAATGAAGAAGCTAAGAGATGCTAGCTTATTGTTCCTGGCCCACTGCAGAAGGTAGCCCCACTTCCACAGCCAGTCATAATATCAGAAAGTGCACACGCCCCACTCTTCCATTCCGAAACGCGGGATGCAGACGCTAGCCAAGCTTCGCCAGAGTTTGTCTGGAGGATCGCGGGTCCGCAGCATCGCTTAAGCAAAACCGAATGGGAGGGATTGGCGCTGATAGGCACGATATTCATTACCTTGGGGCGGCAAGGTGGACCTGCGTTGTCTTCTCTGTGCTGTGCAACCAGCTGCAGAGTTGGTTCTAGACAGAGAACAGCATGAGATCGACACGCATACTGCACTCTGTATACTTGCTGAAATCGACTTGCAACACTTCCAACAGACATCAAATGATGGGGCCAAAGGATTCATTCACAGCCTCGAAACCAGCAGAATCTGCCGTGCAGGATGGATTGTATCTTGGCAGTGTATACGGAAATATCAAAGTCGATATCGAAGTGCTGTGTCGAGATGGATATAAGAATGCCCTCCTCGTCGACTGTTGTTTGAATCATCCAGCAATCATCCAGCCTTCCAATTATCAAAACAATCAATCCTCTCTACAGAAACCTCATTCTCTCTATCATCTTTTGATTCTTTGAATCCATCCATCTCATTCACCATGTTCGCCAAATCCCCTCTTGTCCTGCTCACTGCAGCCCTCGCTCTGGTCGGCCAGACTGTTGCCGCTCCTGCGCAAGACACCAACGAGACCGTCTTGGAACTCGTCGGTGAATACCACATTGACGATGCCTACACCGACTCGGCCTTCATCAAGTGCCTCAAGGCCAAGAACGCCTACGATGAAGATGGCTCCATGGACCAGGACGCTGCTCTCGAGTGCCGCCACGCCTTTGACGAGGAAAACGGCCTCCACGCCCGCACTCTTCCCTCCACCTTCGAGACTCCCGAGCCCCAGACCTGCGGCAAGAACATCCCCAACATCTTCGAGGAGGCTGCTCCCTTCCGAGACATTGTCGACACGGTCTGCGACGACCTGGTCGGCAAGCTGATGAAGAAGGGCTGGGAGAAGGGCGGCAACGCCATCCAGCACAAGTTCGGCAACGCCTTCCACAAGAAGAACTCGTGGCTCGACAAGAACAAGGAGGTTCTCCTTGAGGTCGCTCTCTCCATGAACCCCCAGACCCGTGCTGCCCTGAAGAGCGCCAAGGTTGCCAAAGCCACTCTCGACACTCTCTGCAACGACGGCCTCAAGAAGCTGGGCACCAAGGGCAGTGGCTGCACCGAGGAGCTGGGCTACTACAAGAAGACCCTCGGCGTCCCTGGCGCTGGTATCCCCTACGACCACGCAACCACCACTGCAGTCAAGAACGGCATCGTCGACCTCTTCACCAACAACGCCAAGGACTACTTTGGCCAGATCTCCTTGAACTTCAAGAACGCTTAGATTGCCTGTTTTGATTCCTTTGTTTTTTCTCGTTGACCTGTTTGAAAAGTGTACCACTAGTTCTCCTGTTTGTTAAATACCTTTACTGTTATAGATAGATGCTTATTTCTTAATATTTACTGCTGCTCTTCACAACCCTATCTTCTTGCCCTAATTCCAAATACAGTAAATCACATGACCACCACAACCTGATTGGCCAATTCCAGCTGACGCGTCCCCATCAGATATTGCAGATCTCCAGCGAAGAAAGGAGTTTTCATCTGCAGATGAACCGATTCACTGCTGTATCCTGATGTCTCACAATCACTGAATAGCATGCAAAGCAAGAAAGAATGTCCAGATGCAGTGCCCCATACTGCGGATCGCGATCGGGCGTTGGTGCTCATTCCGCGCCCAAGTGACGACCCCCAAGACCCTCTGGTATACCCACTTTCTCCCTCTCGCTGGCTTCAATCTGACGCTTCCAGAACTGGTCCGACCGCAGGAAGTATGTCATTCTGTCGATTCTCTGTCTGGCTTCCTTTTCGGGTGCCATTGCGCCTCTTTCTGGGCAACTCAATCTCGTCCAGCAGGCCAAGATCTATGGCAAAACCAAAACCCAAGAGTCTTATGCTGTATGTCTTCTCTTCCCAACCTATATCAGCTACTGACCGTTTAGAACTCGGCCGCTTTGGCTGGCATGGCCTTTGGGCCCTTTTTCTTCGCCCCAATCGCCCACTGCCTCGGTCGCAGCTCTGTCATCTTCTGGTGTATCCTTTTCGCCATGGTCTGTCAGATCTGGGGTGCCGTGATGACCCATTCGAATGAGTACATTGCCTTTATCATGTCTCGTCTCTTCGCTGGCTTCTTCGGTGCTGTTCCTACGGTGGTCGGGCCTCGAATGATCACCGACCTTTTCTTCCTACATCAGCGAGGTCGTGCTTTTACGGTGCTGCACATGGCGTTTCTTTTTGGAACTATTGCTGGGCCGACTTTCTCGGCTTTCATCTCTGCAAATGCATTCTTTCCGGTGGAATTCTGGTGGTCGGTTGGCTTGCTTGGTGCTACGGCTATTCTGATCTTTCTGTTCCTGGAAGAGACTGGATTCGATCGAGAGAATCCAGAGAAGAATCCGATTCTTCCAGCATCGTGGACTGGCAACCGGTTGGTGACTTTCTTTTTTGGCCAGCGTGTGGTTCAGCCAACGACTTTCAAGGAGACAGTGAGTCTTATTGCTATATTAAATGGCAGATGCTAACGAGACAGATGAAAATCGCCGCTGCACCTGTCCTCATCGGAATTTGTCCCGTCACCATCATCATGGGCATCTTCACGCTGATATCCTTCGGCTTCTACGTCGCCATGAACGCACTCGTGCCAGTCTGGCTGCAAAAGTCCCCTGCAGTAGGCGGGTATGGCTTCTCCCTGAAACAAAACGCCGCGTTCACCTTCTGCCACTGGATCGGTATTGTCATCGTCCAGATCGCCGGGCACTACTGGAATGATCGACTCCCACTCGCGTTCGCCCGACGCTTCAACGACGGAGTCTGGAAGCCAGAGTATCGACTGCACGTCCTTTGGATCCCCAGTTTGATTCTCAACCCCATCGGCCTGGGCATCTTCGGTGCCACGCTACAATATCACCTGCACTACATGGTCCTCGCATTAGCAGTCTTCATCGTCACAATCGGATCCCTCGCCAGCGTCCCCGTGGCGGTGAACTACGTCGTCGAATGCTTCACGCACCACCCCGCAGAAGCAGGTATCGTGATCGGCGCATATCGCATCGTGTACGGACTGACGATTAGCTTCTACATCGACCCGTGGGTTGAAGCCGTCGATGTGGGCTGGGCCTACGGGATGATGGCGTTCTTTGCCGTGTTTAGCTTCCTGTTCGTCATGTTGCTCATGTGGAAAGGGGAAGCTATCCGGGGTATTCGGTTTGCTAGATTGGCGAGTAGCGAGGAGGGAGAGAGGTTGGTTAATCGGGGGGAGGATGAGAAAGCTTGATGGGCTTATATACCCATTGGGATGATAATTTTAATCATACAATGTTTTGTATTGTAAATCGCAGGTTTCTATGAGAATATAGTTGTATGATGTACTACCTTGTATCCCTCCCATAGACCAGTAGGGGATAACTCTATTCAGTGAGAAGGGTGAAGTAAGGATGCATGTTACCATAGATAGCCTATAGCCCTCACCAAGACGAGGATATTCACCCTTGCAATCGCTCACCGCAACCCGCACAATGCACTCCACAATTCATTTCATAGATTGGATAGAGCAGCCTGGTACTCTGGCAACACAAGATAGCACAGGCTGGTGGTGAGAGCATTTGCTGTCATCTCTGTGCCGGCTATGAGCATCTTACGGCCTTCGTGCAGAAGATGGTCTGAGGTTCGCTGGTCTGGGGGTATATCGGGGTTATTCACGCCGTCAAAAATGGGTTTGGAATCGTTTTTCCTGCTTGTATCCGTGTTGACTTTCTGGATCGAGAGCTGGCGGAACAGCTGTTTCATATCTGCAATGCCTGGGTTCAGCTTCACCAGCAACGACAGCGGAAGGGCTGTCAGCACATTGAGCAAGGGAAACTGTCGAAAGAGAAGACGACTGGCCACGGTGCCCAACACTGCATCTTTCCACTTTTTATTGAAGCCACTCTCGTCAAGGTAGTTGCAGCTATGGCCATACGGACGACGAGTGACTATGTCTGCCGTGATGGACATGGTCTACCGTGGCCAGTGTTGACATGGGAGCCGTGATCATCTGGACAAAACGGGCATCTTCGTAGCGGATGCGTCCCCCGCTGGCGTAGTCTTTGATGTGTAGTTTATCGAGAGTGATCCGGACATGGGGCCTTTGAATCAGCGACGAGTTTTCATATTATACTCTGTCTCACCGTATATCTTGTGTAATTTCTCGACCTCCCACATGAAGATTCCATCGCGGTTGAAGTAAAATTCGTACAAAAAGGCCACTACTGCCAGCTTTGGGCCTGGAAATGATCGCAGCGGATGCAGGAAGGGACAGTAGACAGCAATAGATGAATTATAGAGAAGGGCAATAACAATCTGTACTGTCAGGCGTGAATTCACTTGGGCTGGTGTCATATCCCTGTAAGAAGGGTTTCCATCTTGATATCCTGGGTATACTGCATCTTGTCTGCTCCTGGAGGGAAAGCAACAAGATTATAGTATCTTTATATAATATACTGATATGCAGAACACTCTACTTGATAGGGTGGTGAGGTACTGAATTGGGCAAGGAGTGGATGGACCTGATATCACGTATAACCTTCGATTAATAAATAAGGAGTACATGTATATACCAACTCTACCTTCTTTACTGCTAGCTATACTCAGAGACGATGGTGTATGATTCAGTCATTCAGATCCAAGTTTGAACCTCACAAGCTTGCCTGAAAAGTATTTTATAACTTGTTTTCTGCATTTATAGCTACGCTACATCACAGGGAATTTTGGAGTATTTTCACATGGCCATGACGCCGAGGCATGAATATTTGCATGCAAAAATACCAGATGCACATGCTATTTCAGTCGGCCTAAAAGTGTTGGTGGAGCTAAAAACCGTTGAGGCGAAAGACGGCAAAAGTGAAAATTTCAAATTTGCAAATTGGAACTCAATTCCGAGACGGCCCTTGCATTAGGCCAACAGCTATTCTTATCCTTCTAATACTGTGCTACATGCCACTCTATCAGTATATACTAAACCACTTACTTATACACTCTCTATCGACATATATTCTCTCACCAGATATCGAATTTCTCCATTTGTTGGGCCAAAATAGCTCAACTCCATGTGAGACCGGTGGATCCTGCGGCACAAAAGACGCTCTCTGATTGGACCGTTTTAGAGTTTCGGCTATAAAATTGACAGTTCCAAAACGTTTTTCTAGAAAAAAGGGGGATTGGCCAATAATTGGACAGTCAGCAGATTCTAGATTTCCTTTTTTTGTCTTTTTCTTTGGCTTATTTTTTTCTTCTCTCTCCAACCCCCAGAATCCGTTCCTCCTTGTTTTTGCTTCTCCAGATCCTGTTTTGGAGAGACAACATGGCTGACAAGATGGCTGTCAAGGCAGAGGTATATATCACACTCTATGAACAATTGACCAATCTAACATTGACTATCTAGACCCAGACTCAAACCACAGGCGAAATCCCCAGTCTGAAAACCCTCAAAGACGCCATCCCCAAACACTGCTTCGAGTCCTCCGTCGTTACCTCGCTCCTCTATCTTGCCCGTGATATCTTCTACTGCGCTGCCCTCATCTACGGAGCTCTCCACATCCATCTGCTCGAATCTCTGCATCTGCGCATTCTTGCTTGGGCTACGTATGGCTTCTTCCAGGGCTGTGTTGGAACAGGAATCTGGATTCTGTCCCACGAGTGCGGCCATGGAGCTTTCTCCAAGTACCAAACCTTCAACGACTTTGTCGGCTGGGCTGGACATTCCTTCCTGATGGTTCCCTACTTCTCCTGGAAGATCACCCACGCCCGTCACCACCGCTACACCGGACACATGGAGAAGGACACGGTCTTCGTGCCATGGACAGACAAGGACCTGGCAGGCAAGAAGAACGTGGCTGTTGAGCAGCTGAAGCATCTCGTCGAGGAGACGCCCATTGTGTCGTTCTTCAAGCTCATCGGCCACCAATTGGCCGGATGGCAGTTGTATCTTCTGCTGAACGTCACTGCTGGCTCCAAGAGCTTCCCCGAGGGCGCCAAATCTGGAACTGCCAGTCACTTCTACCCTCCCAGTGCCATGTTTACTCCTTCGCAGCGCATCCTCATCGCGTTGTCTGACTTGGGTTTGTTGATTATGGGCTCTGTGCTTTACTACACTGGCACTCACATTGGCGCGTGGAACGTCTTCCTGCTCTACGGAATCCCCTACCTCTGGGTTCACCACTGGTTGAGTATGTTCTCCCTCTATCATATTTATCGAACCTATCTAACAGACCCAGTTGCCATCACCTACCTCCAACACACTCACCCCGAAGTCCCCCACTACACTCCCGAAGCATGGACCTACACCAAGGGCGCCCTCGCCACCATTGACCGCACCACTGGCTTCATCGGCCGTCACTTCTTCCACGAGATCATCGACTACCACGTCGTCCACCACCTCTTCAGCCGTATCCCCTTCTACAAAGCCGAGGAAGCAACCAAGGCTATCCAGCCTCTTCTCGGAAACAACTACCACGAGGAGAAGGGCGAGAGCTTCTTGTACTCCCTCATGGTGACATTCAGAAAGTGTCTGTATGTCTCCGAGAAGAGCTCCCAGCCTGGCGTTTTGCATTTCGTTCCTCTGGAGCGGAAGAATTAATTGAAAGCCTTTGGTGATAGATTTTTATTTTGGAGTTGTATGATGTATGTATGTATAGAACATAGATAGACATAGACTATTAAACATAATAGACCAAGTGAATATCAACAGACTTTTGCTTTGAGAGGCACGTTGACTAGTTATCGCCATTTCTGGATGGGCCACTGACTACGTACAACAAAAGTATATGAAAGACACTTCTAAACATTCCTCGATCAATCAGATAAGCCAGATCATCCACATGGACTTCGTGAGTTTCATAGTGGCATATCAGATCGACATCCCGAGTTCCGCCCGGGCTTTTGCCGACCGAGCGATATCCGAACTCTATAGCATCAACTTGCGGTCGCAAAATACCACCAGACGAGGGAAAGTGCTCAGACGGCTTTCATATCCTCATCTTGCCATTTCAAGATCATACTGTCATTTTCACGCTATTTGGAATCCAGTTTACCGCCAACGTCTCCGTTTCCCCGATGCTAAATGCACTAGTGGTGGGGAAATATATACCAACACAACTAGCTATCTACTTAACATCTGCCGGTCCAACTAGAAGTGTTCGGTGCATGATATATTGACTAACTAATATCCCTGGACGATCATTCTCAGTCCTCCTTCCAATTAGACTCCGAATAGGGGTAGCCAAAAGGGGCCTGGAAGATCAACAGTGTCATCCAGCGGACTACTGTCGGGGGGAAGCCGGAATATATCCACACGGTCCATCTACGAGACAGTGTCAGTATAACTATTGCTCTTGCTTTTGCTGGTATTGAAATTGAAACTGAAAATGTATATCTGCGTTTTAAAAGCGGATTCGAATGTGACTTGGTGTTACGTGTCCATTTCCAACAGGACCGGCCTCATAGCTCTCCATTCTCCGAGAAATCCAGTTCAGTATCATTCGCGATATGGATATTGTCATCCCACTCTTCAATTGGAACACTTGTCCAGGCGCCCTTGGCTAGCTGGTGGTATCGGTACACCTGTCCCTTGAACTCCCATATATCACCATGACGGATTGAACCATCGTCGCGCATGGAATTGTGCATGGAATTAGAAAGAGTGATGGCGTCGCATTCGTCAACGTCCCTTTCTAATTGTTTCTCTCCTTTCAAGCTTGCAGTATTGTCACTCTTATCGACGATACGGAAAGATGGATTTTGGATATTGGATGAATGAATCGTCACGCAGTGAGCAGAAGCTCCCGCTTCCGCTTCAGCAATAACAGCATTGTTGAAGCAGTTGTCGTTGTCGAAGAATTGGACCTTGTTGTCATCATCTCCGGAATCAGTGCGCTCGATTAACACATCCTGCGCAGGACCAGAATACGCTATGTTACAGTGCTTTTCAGGACCTCCATCCCATGATGATATGCTCCTGCCGTCGCATTTTCCATTACCGGAGTCGTAGAAGGTCAGCTTGTAGCATTGGGCCGAGGCAGAAAGAAAGGCTATGGTATAGACTATTGATTTCATCGCGAGTGCTTCCACAATGGCCAGAAAGCTATTTCAGAGAGTGAGTCTAGATGGACAACATTATTTAAGAAGAATGGAGCAAAACCTGCGGGAATCGCGACTTTTAAGCTGTTTATTCGGCCCTTACGGATGCGCATTGCTCGTCAGCCAATCATCGTGACTGGAGGCGTTCTAAGAATAGAATGAGCATCACGACGTGCATATACGAGTCAGTGTGAGTTGAGTTAGAGCTACATGGGCTATATCATAGACGGCTTGCTCAACCGTTGTGTTTATTCCCCGAATTTCATTGTCTGTACTTCTCGATGCTTTCTATTTAATGGCCCGTCAAATCGTCAATATCGCCAGGATAGCCATGCACAAACTCGAGAGTTCAATGTTCTCGTCTACCCGAAAATGAAAATAGATACTAAAAATGGCCAAACTGGGCATCCATGTCTGCTGCTCGTGTGACTCCTTCGGCGTTCGTATGGTTCTGCCCTCCTACGGGCGCGCCGCATTGCGGGCATCGAGCTTGCTCCATTGGCATTCCGCAGTCTCCCACGGTGAACTATTCATGGTCAGTCCTTGTCTAAATTCAAAGAAAGTATTGAAATGTCTTACAGGATGATGGTTTCGACAATAATACCAATGACCAGTGCCCGAGAACTGCTGCGCCATGGCCCTATAGACTTCTCTTTTTTCTTCAGTCGTGACGAAATCGTAAAATGTCCCACCGTTCACCAATCGTTTGGCTTTCTCAATATCGTCTTTCAAAAACGACGTGCCCGAATGTCGAGAACACAGCTCTTCACACTCCTTTAAATTCTGAAGCTCTCTTTGACGCGTTGAAATTTCCAAGGCGGCATCAACAGCCTGGCCTCGGGCCTTGAGATTAGTGAGTAACAGCATGGAGAATAAAGCGTGATGGATCCGTCCTTCCAATTCCTGTTGTGGAAACCTAGCATTCTTGCTGCATTCAACGAGGGAAACGCATTTTGTGAGAAGACCATTTATTCTGTTTGCAATTCCATCAACCAGGGCTGTGCGAACACGCGAGTCCACAGTGTCGTTACCGGATATCGCATCATGGTCCCATGAAATGGCCCAGCTAAGTCGAAGACTGAGGCTATGACCTCGAAGTTCGAACCCTGTCTGGATGGCCGACTCATCAAACTCGAAGGCGTTGGGTGCGATGTCTCGTTGTCGTGCGACTGCCGCAGCAAATATACTGTTCACCCTCCCAAACGGCTGCTCTGTCTTTGATACAGCTTTAACGTATTTGGCGACACGCTTTTGGAGGTTGGCCCCCTTCGCTTTATAGGCCTCTAGGGAGTCTCTGATTTGTTCCGCGTTTCGCGACTCACCAAGCGCTTTCGACCATTCGAGGATAAATCGCGATCTCTCCTCCTGCATCTGGACCTCGCATCGCTGAATATCCTCCAGTAAATGCGCACACTTGGAATTTGCTTGTGCGACAAATCTTCTCGTAGCCTCATCCAGCAACGCTTTTTTGACGATCCGATTGTAGCGATCGACATCCCTAACTGGCATTCGGCATTCAGGGCACCCTTTCATCGTTGTACCGGAGGTTATTACCCGGTTTGATAACCTTGGCCGAACAATATTTCCAGAGGTGGGATCAGTGATGTAGTGTGTAGTAAGCTCCATGATGCCATCAAGAGAAGAGACCGTATAGAAATGTCCACAAGAGAGGAACATCAATGGATCCGCGTCAAGATCAACTTCGCCGTATTTCTCAAACGTAATCAAGTCCACATCTCGCTGAAGAATATCTGGCTCACAGCAAATCTGGCAGAACTTGGAATCGGGACAGGATTCCCCACAAACACTGGGGCATCGGTGTCTGCAAGTATCAAGTTTCTTATCGCACCGGCGGCTGCAAGGAATGATATCGCACGGGACTGCACATGGCATATGGCAATGATCTTCACGATGGTCACAACTCCATCCGCATAGTTCTGCACAAGGAGGACACGGTTCGTTGCATTTCTTGGGACATCTGCTATGTTTGCACCGCACCTCGCAAGGGCGTTTGCATGGGGAACAGACAGTGTCAGGATGGCATGGTTGGTCGCAGATGTGCGAGCAGGTCGTATATGATCGTCCACAGGATGTGTTGCACGAGCCGTGATTTATACGAACGGAGCCATTTTGGATATTCGTACACTTCCAGCACGGCTTTCGGCAGTTGTGACCGCAGGGCAGAAGAGAATTGCATGGCTGCGAACACTTGACGCGATCTATGTTTTCATGACAGCGCATGGTGATGCTGTGACCACAACCAGAAACTATCCGGGTCACTGGCTGCTCGCATTTGATATTTGTGAGGTTGACCAAGTGCTGGCATTCCACCTCAGCCTTGTGCCCGCATGGAAGGACAACATCGGGAATCTTCTCCGGACAGTCTCCACACGGCTCATGGCATTTCCTGGAACACAAATGGCCACAGTTTCGAATCCTAGTACACAAATCCATGCATTTTACCGCTCGATGTAGTGTCGTCGAATGGCATTTCACCGAGCAGCTATGTCCACAGGTCAATCTCAACCCGCACTTCTCCGCACAGCCTCCCTCAGGAGCATGGATGGCAAAGTCATCAGGGGAGGAGACATAGACTTTATTGTTCGGGTGGCGCGAGCATTGGAGCTCCAGCCTTCGGCCAATATTGGCTTCCTTTTCGAGGATTTGTATGACAGATGACCACATCGGAACGGGGGAAGCGGTGTTGGCGTCGCCGATTATATACATACCATGCCTGGCACGACTGCATGTTGTAAAAAGTTAGTAAACTTATCATGGGGAGGAGCTCGCCCTCTAGTTATAGAGCCAAATGGCTACTTACCTCAGAAGAACGTTGATCCGATTTGGAGTCTTAAGGAACCCGCAGTTCTGATACTTGTTGCTTCGTACAAGGGAGATGATAACAACAGTCGCTTCTTCGCCCTGAAGGTTAAGTAAGATCAGTAAAGAACTAAAGTGCACTTTGGCTCTTACCTGGAAGTTATCCACTGTTGCAATTCTTAGCTCGTCTAAAAGCTTTCCCTTTTGCACCGGGAATTGTTGGTCTCGTTGTCTTGGCCATCGCTCCTTCTTGTCGCTCGTATTATCTCTTTCCGAGTCATCCAAAGCCTCCAAATCTTCTTCGCCGATGATGAGATCCACGATCTCTCCCAGCATATCCCTCAGTAACTGGAGTTGCCCGACGTATGGTGTCAAGACGGCGATTTCACCGGGCTTGTATTTTCCCTGTCGACACAGGTGCCTCACCGTTGCCGTCACCATGCTCGCTTCCCAGATGTTTGTCTTGCTTTGCATCGGCTCAGCCGGATCACTGGGGTCCTCTGTATTCCGGTGATCAAGCCAGAATAACCTGCGTTTCATACCAGCAATTGCAGGGTATGTTGTTGTATCGGGGTGATCTCGGAGGTGAGGATAGAGAGTGTCGCGAACTAGTGTTGATACCAAAGGATGCATTCGTCGCTGATGGTCTAGCTGTGCAATGGGAAAACGGCATCGTGGCAGTTCATCTCCTTCGCCACTATTCGCCAACATGTCTCCAAAGTTCGAGTTGGCGAGCCGTTCGAATAGCGACTCGTCAAGGTTGTACTTTGGACCAGACCGCCCGTACTCCATTGACAGCTTCAAATTGGAGATGCGTGGACGCAATTGGAGGTGATCCCCGATGAATATAGCATGCTGAATGGAAGGGAGCAGCGCTATAAGAACATGGGATTCTAGCACCTCTCCGGCTTCTTCACAGATCATGACTTTGGCACGAAGGCCACGAAGCATGTCAGAATTATTGGCTAGACCAACCGTCGTTACCCCTATAATATGGAACTGATCAAGAAGTACGGCATCCGATTCGTGGTGTAAGGCAGTCAGTTGCTGCATGACTGACGAGTGTACTTGCAGGAGAGTTTTGAATTCTTGCGAAAGCTCTTTGAAAGCCGAGTCGTTCCAGTACTGAAATAAACGAGTGCGCTCGAGGTTCGTCAGTGTCCAGACATCGACACTAAGAAGTTGGTCAATAGATCGGTCGTTCCCATTGCTGTTCCAGTCACCAGGAGCATCGCCAGAGAACCAGTCCATTAGCAAATCGTATTCCATTTCTTCCGTTGCGCCACCTAATATTTTGTCTGCCTGTACCGGCAACCTCTTCTTCAGAAACCATGCCACAACTCCGATAGGACTTCCTTGAACCCGGTTGCATATTTGTTCGATCATCGCACTTATCGAGTCCCTCCTTGCCCGACATTCGGCAATTATCTTACCCAGGCCTCTAATCCGTGGCTTGGGCATTTTTTTCTTATGGTTATCGAGAGATAGCTCTTCTAAACGGGCAGACGTGCTTGGAGAACCGATTCGAGCAATATTGCTGACGCCGGAATCGAGGAGCTCATGAAGAAATTGGTCAAGAGCATGGTTGGTATAGCAGCTATAGCGAATTATTCAGCACTGCCACGATGGATATGAAATGATAAAGGCACTGCCAGGAAAATTCGGACGGGGACACTTACACGCACAAAATTGGACCCAGCCCCAATAGATCCCTGTTGCTTAACAACACCCTTGCAAGCTGTATTCCCACAAACGATTTGCCAGTTCCTGGTGGACCTTGAATAAGTGCTACTTCGTGTTTCAATGCAGACACCATCGCAACGGCCTGTCCGTGGTCTAGAGTCGTTACTTCGGAGAGATGTGTGGAAAGACTGTGCGGGTCGTCTGAAACAGATATTGCTAATGGCGGGAAGGTGTCATTGGTATCGTTTTTCGATTTCGGAATACATGAAAGGTCAAGAGCACGATTCTGGAGGTATGCAGGTGAGGGGACGATGATATTACCATCGGTGTAGATAGTTGTTGGGACCTGATTGGAGAGATTTGCCTGTGCATAGGGGGCTAGCCAGGTGGTAAATGGGATAGAAGTCGGGTTCCTGTGTAATGTTTGCAGACATCGCAGAACTCCTTCAAAGGACTTGTAGAGGACTGCCGGAAATTCGACAAGAATAAGTGGCCTGCTCGGGTCTCTCTGGCCTGTCAGCGATAATAGATTGGACATGTCGACTTCGTATGTTAGACTTGTTGGGCGAGCTGTGATCATGGCTCTATGTCCATCACTGACAAGATCGCGCACACGACGACCGGTCAAAGATGCGTCACGCTCTTCTTGGTATGATGGATTGATTTCCCTTTTTGAAACGAGCAGGAAAATGACGTTCGGATTTTCCTCATCTTCGCCGTCGATAAGAGCTAATAATGGCCCCCCTTCTTTTAATGCCCGGAATTCACGCCACCATTGCTTTCTTTTGGCTGCTGGCTGATTCTTTAGTCTGCTGAGCTGCTCGAATTCTATCTCGATGTCGACACTTTTGTTCAAATTGGACTTGACTTGCTGGATCATAGCACCGAGGTAGATTCGAGCAGGAGTTGGACTTGCATCGCGTAGGATTCTGCGCTTGACCCGCCAGTCCGGATTGTGCACAAGGGTGGCCCAGTTTTCCAGAATCAGACGGACAGCGTCACGAATTACCCCAGACGTGTCTTCTCTTAGCAAACGAAACTGAGAGTCGAGAAGCCGAAGAATGCCAGTCTGGTGATGTTGTGAAGGGGAATTGAGAGTATTTCGGACTGGCAGGAAGTCATCCCGTTCGGTAGATATGATCTCATTGATTGTGGGTAAGATCCTGATATCCGAGATCAACGCATGATCATTGTCGTGACGTGGTCCAAATTCAGATAGTTCTCCGGGAAGGTCGACAACAGGCTCGGGAATAGTTTTTTGCTGAGGCACATTAGTTCCTTTGGAGACTAATATGCTGTCTCCCATCGAAAGAATGTCTTTGATTTTTAGAAGATTCTCGTGTATCAAGCGGATGCTGCGACTGGCACTACCACGATCAATGTCTTCCGGAGAGTAAAAACTGCAGAGTTTCTTGACAATTTCGCGAAACTCAGGCATGATTCCGGCCGCCTGATTCAGTGTCAAATTTCCGAGAAGGGTTTTGGTTGTAAGACGGAGCGCCTCTTCAAATTTCAAGACCTCCTCTTGTCCAGTATTGTTGCTGTTCTCAACTTGATCTTTCATCCGTAGTAAATGACTCGTCACGTTCGTGAAAAATGCAACACCCCTTCTCCCATCATGCCCATGAATGACGTTGTATACGGTTCCAACTGCTTTTTCCAGGACAAGGGAAGACATGATGTTGTCATTGGAGACTAAACAAAAGAACATAATGCAGTGAGGGTCAAACATCGGTTTCAGAACGCTGTAGGATGGAGAGAAGTCTGTTTCAACAATTTGACGGATTAAGAGAAGGCCATGTTCGGTAGCCAGGTTGTTGATCACGGAATGCTTTGACTCTGTGGAGGTTGCGACGCCATGAATTGCATTTTCCAGAAATTCTTCTATTTGCCCGGTGGAGAGTGTTGTCGCTTTCCCTGAGATGAAATCTCTTTTTTTGGGGGGCTTGCCCGGTATCAAACTACAGAATGCTACTGTCAGTACTGGACGTAATTCTTTTGCGGTGACTTGATAATTTTAGTCGTGCATACATACCTCTTGCCCCTCATATCAGTACCACGGCCTCGTCGCTGGGTTCCACGAACTGTCGCCATAGGCCTCCCACCTTCTTTTTTTCTTTCATTATTTTTCGGTCTAGAAATTTCACCGTTAGACTTTTGAGCGTCACCACCAACAAGAGCAGGATTTTCATGCCCAGGAGCTTCTGCTTCAGGCTTCCGACCACGCCCACGACCATGGCCCCTTCTACGAGTGGCCCCGTTGCCGCGACTCGTTGGATTCCTGCCGCTGTCTCCCATTTTTGATGGACGACACACGTCCTGAGCTTGCGGAGACTCGAAGGATCACTTGTGAGAGGAAAGAGGTGAAGGTGGGAGAATGCTGGAGGAGAGAAGGTGGGGAGCAAACAATGAGGCTGTCAACACAGCGCGCCTAACCGTTTTAGGAAACATGACCAAACAACTCACGCAACACATTCACTTGGATTTTTGTTTATTTTGATTAACATCTGATCTCGACTCTGCTTAATTTAAAACTGGCTATCAGAGGATGAAACTTCCATTCCGAACCACCTGGTCCTTTAACGGGTGGGTTGCATCCAAACAGTGTACCTCAGCTGCCTCGCACTCCTGACACATATTGAATCCACCGGGGCATAACCAACAGTTATAGAAACGCTCCAAATCGGGGAGATCAGACTGACAGTTATTGCAGAATGTCACCTTGCTATGTGGATACGGTGGCGTAAAAGTCGACTCCGTGCTGCCTTTCTTTGCCTCGATGAGCTCCCGAATTTCATCCACCTGGGTTGCTGAGGATGCATCTCGGTGAGCTGTGGTAAGAGAGCTCGTTGCGCCATGGGCAAGGAGAGTCTCGACTGCTGATTTATTTCCATGCCAGGCTGCGAAGAACAACGGTGTACGGCCAAACGGATCTGCAAAGTTGATTGGAACGTCTTCCTTCAAGAGCAAGCGTATCACCTCTGGATCTCCACCTTCGGCCGCATATGACAGCAAGTTTCTGTCAAAGAGACAAAGAGAGTCGCGTTTGGCACCACGGCTGAGAAGCAGCTGCACAATCTGGGGATGTCTTCCTTTCGCTGCAAATGCGAGAGGAGTCTGGCCGAATTTGTTGGGTGTGTCTGGATTGGCGCCCTGATCCAGCATTTGTTGAGCCAAAGAGTGCTTACCGCGCATAGCGACGTATGAAAGCGCAGTGTTGCCTTTGAAGCCAATGCCATCGTTCGTTGCTTTGGCGTCGAGCAACAGGCGCATCACGGTATAGTGTTGGTTCTCTGCTGCATAGGCCAAGGGCGAGCCAGCTTTCCTGTCAATAGAATTGACTTCGACGCCGTGGCTAATTAAACACTGGACGACATCTGCATGTCCATTCATTGCTGCATATAACAACGGACTGCGATTGTGGGTGCACATGGAGTCGGGTTGTGCCCTTTTATCCAGAAGTAATCGCACGACAGAAAGATGGCCTCCTTCAGCAGCCAAAGATAACAGACTTCGGCCCTGATTTGTTCTCTCATCGGCCTGTGCCCCGTTGTCCAGCAACAACTGCACCACGTCCAAATGCCCCCTTTGAGCTGCAGAGCATAAGGGCGTTGAACCGTCGATACTTTTATAATGCCCATTCGCTCCATGCTCCAGAAGCTGTCCCACTGCTCCAACGCTGCCATTCGATGCAGCGTAATACAAAGGCGTTCGTTGGTCAACGATGCTCTTGCCATCTATCTCCGCTCCGGCATTTACGAGACAGAGGATGACATATAAATTTCCGTCCACCGCTGCCCATGACAGGGGACCCCGGTTATCTTCATCCTTGCTGTCAACCTGTGCTCCTCGTTGAAGCAATAAATCCGTCAATTCTCGACTCCCTCGACCAGCAACGTACGATAGCGCTGTACGGCCTTGCGTATCCCTCAATTCCAGATCAATGCCGTTGTCCAATAAATGTTTTGCCAGTCGTACACATCCACCCTCGACGGCGTAGGACAGTAGGGTTCGAGAATCTCGTTCATTTCGATCATTTATATCTGACACTCTGGCTCCCAAGAGTTTGAAAGCCATTTCCTCCTTGCCGTAAAGCGCTGCGAGCTCCAGTGGACTAGGACCCCATCTGCCCTCCTCGTTGGCCACAGCACCGCTGTCCAGCAGCAATTGAACCGTCGTCTGATCTCCGTCCTTTGCCGCGAAATGCAACGGCGATAGGCCATCTGTATTCATCTTGTTTGGATCGGCGCCGTTTTTCAGTAAAACCTCTGCCACGCTTATACTTCCCCGCTGGATAGCCCAGGATAATGGGGTGGAATGGTTGCTGTCCAGGGCATTCACAGAGTGACCACGCTCGATCCATGTTGCTGTTAGGTGAGGCCAATTGAGATGAGCCAGAATGTGCAGTGCTGTCACGTCTTTCGGGTATCCTTGACTGCGGAGGCCATGAAAAGAAGCAGACGAAAAGATTGCCTGGACGCAGCTCTGGATTGCTCCGTGACAATTCAGGAACTGTTCAAGGTCATCGATGATTTCGGGCTCCGGCGACATTCCCAAATTATTCGCTGCGACTTCCAACAATGGATATTTTTCAAGTCGCGATTCATACTCTTCGTCGCTCTTGCATGGACCACCCCGGAGGACGTCCAAGAATAGGTATGTAGTAGATGCATTTCCGATGTAGTCCGTCGCCTCTGGGTACTCCTGCAGCCAACTGTCCATCGGATATTTTTGAAACTTGGGATGAACATGAATAATGTTACTCTGATCATTGAGGGCTATTAAACCAGCGCAGAGGGGTACAATTTCCGAAACATCATGAAAGCTACCCCGATCAAGAACTCTCTGGCCCGGTTTCACTGCGAGGGCATGCTGCAATTGGACTGTCGTGAGGGGCTGTTTGGAGATGAGAACCCAGGATAGCGTCTTGTAAGCTAGATCACGAGACTCTGGTTCAAGATTGCGGATATGATCGAGGGCGTCCTCAAGTTTCTTCGACATGATCAAGTAGCGGTGAGACTGGTGATTGGGTGGGGATGGTTCGATTTGATGGGTGTTGCTTTTCAAGTAAGCATTTTATCAACGCTGAACGTGGGCGAGAGCAGAATTTAAATTTCTTGAATCTGAATCTCAGCTGAAGATCGCCAACGCCACGTGGACGTCGAGCTGAAATAAAGGTGGGGTGGCGAGGATCGCGCTTCAGCTGAAGCTGAACCTCAGCGGGGCCAGAATATGACGATGTTTTCTCAACTCAATCATTATTATGTATATTGTTTGGGCTTGAACAATTCCTAAAACTCTCCCTTTAATGAGCATACTATCTTTTCAACAATGGTGTTCAGTGACGGTATAGCGCAGCGCTGGTATGCTGCTGGCCTATACTTATGGTCAATGTGAGTGCTCTATGTCCAGGCTAAAGAATGAAATAATGCAAGAAGAATACTAATGGAATTGAAATATATGATCGCAAAATGATACTATCGGCTAATGTAAATAATGTCAACATTGGGTGTCTCAGGCAACCCCACAGCTAGGCAGACACTGGCAAGGCAGCAACCAGGACATCCTTTGGTCCCAGCGGTGTCGAATTTAAACAAACATTTGACCAAGATAGGAGCGTTTATCATTGTAATTCCTTAAGCTATCCAAATAATGTATGGACAAACAAGGTCGGATCTTCAGGCTACATGTGCCTCTGATTCAATCAAAGCCGTCCAAAAAACAATTTGGGCTGCAAATGTGAATGACCTCAATTCAGCTCTATGCAAGGCATGTATTGATGGGAAATTGTCTATCGTGAATGCTCTACTGAAATGTGCCCCAGGACCGACATGAATGCGACGCAAGACAACACTGCATGTTTATTGCAATTCTCTATCGCGAGACTGACATCATCAATGCCCGTTTACAACATGAGGGCTTCCAGATATCAACTTGGAATTCATTTTTTATAAACAATCCAGACCCTCTACCTACTGTCCTCTCTCCAACGCATCCGCCATCTCCCCTAGAGTATCAAACTTCCAATCGTAGATATTATCCTCCAAATTGCCCATCGTCGCACCCGGCCTCACAATCCACACTGACTTGAGTCCCATCTTCTTCGCCGGATGATGATCGTGAAACTGGCTCTGCGCAGTCTGCAGCACCTGCTCTGGAGTGACACCAAACTTGTCCTTGACAGATCCAAGCATATACTCAAAGTTGCGCAGATCCGGCTTATACGACCCCACATCCTGCGCCGTGATGATCAGATCGAATGGGAAGCCTTGCAGACTCCCCGCATTCGTCTTTGCGAACGACCCTCTATCCACATTCGATAGAACGACAAGTTTATATTGTTTTGCCAATCTCTTCAGTGCATCAATCGTATCCGGAAACGCAGGCCACTTTCCAACCGAGTTTCCGAATTCTTGCGATTCTTCTTCGGATGGTGCGGGGAGGGAAAGGCGTGCAGCGAAGGGGGCGTAAATCGTCGCTAAGAGCTGCGAATAGGGCATATCGGGTGTTTGGGTCTGCTGTTCTCTTTCGAGCTCATGATAGACGGTAAGCAGATGCTGGCGAGAGTATTTCTCGGTGGATTTGTTCAGGAGAGGCTGGAGGGCTGCGAGGATGCCGCCTTCCCAGTCGACGAGAGTGCCGTAGACATCGAAGGAGAGGAGGCGGTAGGCGGAGAGGGACATGGTGCTGATATGATATATGATATTTGATTTGATGATGTAGGATACAGAGTTGGATATCTCGATATTTATGTGGTATTCTTATCGTCGTGAGTCAATTAATACGGTCGTATCTGCTTATCCGGATGCGGGGATGATTCGGGTACATGCACCCGATCGGAGGGGCACCGATCGGGATAGCATTATCACATCGGAAGAGAATGTATTCGTATATTCATAGCAATGTACAGTTATATTCATCACATTGCAGAATCCAAATTCAACGGATCATCCGGGATCTGCAGTTCATCCATCCAGTTGCTTCCGAGTGAGAGATTCTCCTCCGATCCCGGAATGGCGGCGAACGCATTCAACTCGTTCGGGAATGACGAGAAGAAGCCATCAAAGGAAGGGACTGTCGTGTCCGTCTGCAACTCTAGATCGGGTGTTGAAGTCACTGGCTCCGACCGCCACAGTCTCGCCCATTGCCTGAACTGATCATATCCCGATGCCTCAGTCACTGTATTTTCTGTCTGGCTCCGGCTGTTTAATCGCTGTCTGGCTCTTTCAAGTGCTTCAATAACAGCGACTTCTGATCGGGCGGATTCCAGCCCAACACACATCTGTCGGATCAAGGACATTCCTTGCGTGAGCGATGTTGATATCGCATCGGTTGCTTCGTTCAGACCGTGTGCAATCAGCGCTAGCAAAGCAGCTCGACACGCATTAAACTCGGTATAGGATACTCGAGCTAATCCACCTGAGTTCTGTAGTAACTGGCACAGCTCGATCGCTCTGATCGCAGCATTCAAGGAATCAACGCGTAGATCAGTCATTGGATCCGAACGCGTCGAGCTCGGCGATTCCTCGCCTGACTGGTGAGAGAATATAAAAGGTCTCCCCATGTAGATCGTGGCAGTGGTATAGTTGAGCTCGAGATGGACATTGCAGCGGAATAGAGGTCCATCCGGATTGAGATCTCGACAGTGAGTCTGGGATGGAAGAGACGACCACCAGGCACGGAGTCGAGAGCGGATAGTTGTTAGCTTGTCAAGATATCCACTTTGATGGTTTCGAGGGCATCGACGGAGAGATTTGATGGTGTTGCATGCTTCTGAAAGACGGCTGGTGAGGAAGATGACCGCTGTGAAGTTGGGCAGATTCGAAACACGAGAAGATGTGATTGATGGTATATCAACTGGCATGTCTGCGTCTGTTTCTGCTGAGGACACAGATACAGGCCGTCCATGGAGAATGCTGATCCGACTGGAATGGTTAGCAGTTACAACCAACAGGTAGGGATCCATACCATTCTAAGGAGTATGCAGACCACCACAGCCGATTGCGCAACTCAACAGTCGTGATATCGGCATTCCTCCTGTAAAACCTGCGATGCATTCCATTCTGAACGGCCATCTTAATCGCAAGCCCATAATAGGTATACGCCAGCCCAGACGTATCAATCGGTAGCGTATAAATCCCCAACAGCAAAAAGGCCTGCACAGTCTCCACAGACGCAATCGTGATCAAGTCCGGAATCAACCGACACGAGAACCGATACAATTCAAGTCCAACATGGTCGTCCGGAATATTCTCAGACACAGGCGTTCCATGCGCGGGTTTCGTCTGCATATAAGCAAACTGCGTCCCAACCGCCAACGTCATGAGGAGAGTGCAGACCCAGCCTGCATCGTGGATCGTCAGTGGCTGCTTGTTAGTGTAGTAGTACTCGAGCTTTTGACGAAAGGTTGTCTCGTCAAAATAGTAGTAGTTGGTCTGCGCGAACTCGAGGAACGTGTCGGTGAGGAATTCAGCAATGTTGCGTGGTGGAAAGTACATCATGGCTGAAGATATACAGGAACTGGACGATTGAAGGCCAGTTGCTCTGAATGATCGGTCGGGTTCATCCTAAGCTGTTAGTTACGCTCATCTATGATTCCGAAAGATGTACCTCATTATCAGGGACATTGCCCAGGCTTTGCAATCTGCGTTGGATCATTTTGGAAAAGTTCCAGTAGGAGAATTCGCCAGAGTAGTCTACCTAGTCAGCGTATATCAATATAAACCGGGAGGACATACGCATCGTGTTTGTCGAAAGAGGATCCAGAGAATAGCTTTCTGATATCTCGTCTTTTTCTTCATCTTGATGGCTATTTTCGAGATTGTCTGCTACTTCCTCCAGACTGCCAGCGTCAAAGGATATATCGCCCAGAAAGTGTCGAATAATGCGCTTCATATGTCGGTCTTTATCTGTGCTGCACGAATTAATTCAGTCCAATGAATTGTGCGTGGTCATACCTCATATCTGGTGGTGGACCCTCAAAACATGTCCTGCTGTACTGCTGACATCGTGCACATGGCACACCTCCATTACCTGTAACAATCAGTCTCCATAAACTAGTATATCGAAGTGAAGTACATTTCTGTTTATGCTGTCGACACGGCATGCATCTAACCCAGTCAGCAGACTTTTCACCACACGAATCCCCCACTTACGCCCGCGCAGTTCTCTTCCGCAGTGACTCTGGGACTCGAGGCCGTCTCTGCCGCCCTGATCCTTTTTGCCGTGGTTCATTCATTATTATTGCAATCCATTGGATGATTGATGGTGATGAATTGAAACGCGGTGTTGCGCTCCGGATGCGGGGATTTGCCGTGTTTGCCTGAGGTGCAAAGTATGCCTGAGGCAGAAATCGTCTATCCTCGAGATGAACTACACATACTGGATGGTTAGATACGATAATTATCTATTTTAAGTGATGGATTGGTCTAACTGGTTGCAAAATGTGCATGATAATGATATGACTGGAGCCCTAAGAGCATCATTACAGATATATATATAAGCAGTTACGCCATGCGGCCATATATTATATAGCTGTATATATATTAGGTTCCCTAGATACCTATTCTAGGTAGTCTATAGCTAATATTACTATCTAAATAAAAATGATGAGGGTAGTTGTAGTATCTAATTTGAAGCGTTGCGTTCCCAACCCGCGAAGCCCGCCCTCTAGTCCAAAGCCTGAGCCTCACACATCTTGCTATACAATCCACCAGTCGCAATTAAATCAGAATGTGATCCCATCTCCTTAATGTTACCCTCATGGAATACACAGATCATATCCGCATCCTTGACAGTACTAAGACGATGCGCAACGGCTACTGTGATGCGACGTCCATCCTTAGCCGCAGCAAGGGCAGCATGCACAGCCCGCTCACTCTCCGTATCAAGTGCACTAGTGGCCTCATCAAGAAGAAGAATCTTTGGATCTCGGATCAGTGCTCTCGCAATTGCAATACGCTGCCTCTGACCACCGGACAGCTGTGATCCACCAAACCCAACAGATGTAGCCAACCCATCGGGGAGAGATGAGACAAAGTCCCACGCATTGGCAGCTCGAAGGGCAGACTCGATCTGACAATGTTCTACCTCAAGATCAGTGGAATTGTCATGGCTTAGGCCAAAAGCGACGTTTTCACGGATAGAGACTGGGAATAGATCTGGTTCTTGCTGTACGAGGGCGACGATCTTGCGGTAGAGGCGTGGGTTGAAGCTCGGTAGGGGAGAGGAATCGAGTTTGATCGAGCCGGCTGATGGATCGTAGAATCTTTCTAGAAGAGCTATAACTGTTGATTTGCCACATCCGGATGAGCCGACGAGGGCTATGAATTGGCCTTTTTTCAACTGTGGAATTTAGTTTCGATTCGTGAAGACAAGAGTGATAACGTACGCTCAGATCAAGGCCTTTCAGAATAGGGATGTCGGGTCGAAGAGGATAGGAAAACTTGACATTGTCCAGATCAATGGTGTCTGCTGCGCCAGGGCCATTTTCACGGGATTTATCTGTCTCCCGCACTGTTTGCTGGAGGTCATTGAGCCAGAAGAGGTAGTTGGCGGCGTTGACACCTTTCGTGATGCTAGTGGAATATTGAAAGAGCTGCGATGCGCTTTGGCCGGAGAAGAAGACCCCCAGAAAGGCGACAAAGAAGGCGTAAAGGGTAACCTGATCCAGCGACAGCAGGCGACATCCATACCAGAAGCCAAGAGCCATGAACCAGTATTCTGCGGACTGCGTGAAGGCAAAGCTCACCATCACCTTGAATAACGGACGCTTCAAGTCCGCCAATGCTTCATCCAACTCTCTGGTGTACCTCTCCAATACAGTATGCTTAATAGCAAGCGACGCAATCGTGCGGATCGAAGTGACAGCCTCTGACGCAATGGACGCGCTCATCATGTAGCGCTTTGAAGTATCACGATCAAACTTGGCGTCTAGCCTGATCTTCAAATAGCCTGAGCCCACCAACGGAGTCAGACCAGCACATATCACCACAAGACCAAGTTTCCAAGAATAGACGAGTGCCAAAACAGAACATGCAAAAAGATTCAGGGCGGCGATCAGTACAAGACCGATATTATAGCCCATCAGCTCGAGGATAGCCTGTGGGTTCGAATCCACGCGCGCAACAAGTGCGCCAGTACTATTCTCATCGCGATCGAAAAATTGAAGATCTTGTTGGAGGATGTCATGGAGACATTGTTTCCGGAGTTTGTGGCCGAAATGTTGGGCGACAGTGTTGGTTGCATAGCCGAGAATGAAATAAGATACTAGACAGCCAGCGGCAAGCACGATGAACATGGTTGCCAGGAAGTTTCCCTGCTGTTCTAATTCCGTTGATGGCAGGGTGAGGATATCAACCACACGAGATAGCAGAATCGCTTGGCCAGGGAAAGTCGCTCCTATTTTTGTTATTAGAAGGTAATGGCATCATGGCATATTACTTACCACCAACTATACATCCAGCTAATACCAGACAGTACACAAAGCTAAGCTCGGGGGTTGCCCGGAGAAGACGATAGATGACGAAGATAATGTTTCGCTGCTTGTAGTCATCGTAGTTGGCGTACTCTTTCTGCGGCATATTTCCGTTGCTCTTGTCAACCGAGACGCATGAAGTTGGGACTGAGAGTTTGGACGCAGTCTCTGCTTTCGAGGCATTGACCGATTCCAATTCTGGTTTCGATTGCCATCCGCGACTTGAAACAGCCAAGTCTTGGACTCTCACCAGTTGAGCATATGTGCCGTCACGGGCAAGCAAAGAATCGTGTGTTCCATGCTCGACGATACATCCCTTCTTCATCACGATGATGTTGTCAGCCTTTCGGATGGTCGCAAGCTTATGAGCAATGACGATTGTAGTGCGGCCTTCTGAAGCCCTATCCAAGGCCTTTTGAACCACACTTTCGGCATGCGGATCCAGGGCACTGGTGGCCTCATCTAGGATAAGAACTTTGGGTTGAGAAACAATACTGCGAGCAATTGCAATTCTTTGCTTTTGTCCGCCAGACAAAAGGCCACCACGCTGGCCGATCTCGGTCTCATAACCATTCGGGAGGCCGGCGATAAAATCGTGCGCAAAGGCCATGGTGGCTGCTTCTTGGATTCGTTCCATTTGTTCATCTTTCGGAGCATATTCCCAATTTGTACCCACCAGTCCTTGTTTGATATTTTCGAAAACAGTGCCCTGGAAGAGGACTGGCTCTTGCTGGACGAGACGGACATTTTTTCGGAGCCAGCTGAGATTCAATTGGTCGATTGGGTGGCCATCTAATTTGATGATTCCGGACTGAGGGTTATACCAACGCTCCAGAAGGCCGACAATCGTACTCTTTCCAGAACCAGATTGCCCCTAGGCAAATTTAGCTTCAAACAGTGACCATTTTTCATGATGAACTCACCACCAGGGCAGTAACTTTGCCAGCTTGGGCTCTCATGGAGAATCTGTCCAGAACCTTCACTCCAGGCCGAGTAGGGTAAGCAAAAGTAACATTGTCGAACTCCATTTCCCCTACAACCTCAGACGCTTGATGCCCGGTATTGTCATACGGATCAATTTCGGATTTGCGATCAATCAATGTGAATAGCTTCGATGCCGCCGTAGCGGAGCGGGTGAAGTCGACCATGTACGGAGCCAGCATAGTCAGCTGGGTAGCGGCAATAATGACCGACATGATGACACTTGATTGTTAGCAGAAATCCATAGCCGTTCAGGTAGCAGAGCTCACGTAAAGATGCCTCCAGTTTCCACAATCTCTCCTCCAGACAACATGCGGATACCTTGCCAGAAGGCTAAACCATAGCCCAAATAGACGATGCAGTACTCCGCCGAGAAAAAAACCCCGAAAATGATGGAAAGCTTGCTGCCAATCGTATGAGCCAAGGACAGGTACTCGTCAAATTTGTCAACCAGCCGGTCTCGAATTTCAAAGGCATGCGCAGTCCGCACACTAGAGAGAACGCTCTCACAAAAGGCGTTGGCCTTTGAGTTGATCTCGAGGATCTGATTCTCATAGCCTCCCATGAAACCTCCCGCAACACCATTCACGACAAGAGTCGCCGGGGCAATGCAGAGGCAGATAAGGGTAAGCTTCCATTGAACCACAAAGGCAATGATGAAAGCAGTGATGAACGCCGAGATGGCTTGGAAGACGAGACCGAGTTTTTCACTAATTCCGCCTTGAATCATGCGACCGTTAGATGTAGCTTGGGTCGCAATCGAGCCACCAGTTCCAGAATCAAAGAAAGCCACTTCCTGGCGAAGAGCCGATTTGAAAAAGTCATGCCGAATATTGCGAGTAATGATGTGCGAAGTGTATGTGAAAAGCGTGTTGTAGATATAAGATAGGACGAAGCGGGCAATTCCAAGGTAGAAGAAGTAAAGAGCTAGCTTTGAAGCTTCCGAGCGAAGTTGGGATTGCGAGGAGTGCGAGGATGTGAAGTCGGTGAGGGTGGTGATAAACCGGCCTATGATGAGGGGTTGGAAGGCGATGCCGGCACCGGAACCAATGGCTGCGAAGGATGCGACGGCCTGTAAGGAGAGCTCCAACGGACCGGCATACTGGAAGATTCGCTTGTAGGCGGCGAAAGAGCCTTCAGGCTCGTCTGGTGTAGCTGCTGCAGCGGTCTTTTCGCTGTCGATGGCCTCGGTATCCATGAGAGGTACTTCTGCAGAAACCCTTTTTTTCTTTCCACTTGACAAAGGGAATTATTCAAACGCTGAGTATAATCATCAATTATCAGGGGCTCCATTTTATAACTTATATACTACGACTTGTCGGGAGGAACTTTCGGGGCGGACTCCACGGTGTCCGTATAGGAAGTATGCAGAATAGGGCTAACGGCTCTCGGAGACGGCTGCCACGGGCCCCGGGCCCACCCATAACCATGGGTCAATATCCACCCATGCTTTGAGTCATTTTAAGGCCTTTCCAGGCGGGCACTGCTTTGGGAATAGGGCCGATAATTGGGCTACTGGGCCACCGCTAGACCACGTGACTCATGATCTCAATAGCAGATTTGGGTCTCGACGTTTCAATTCCCCGACCGTCAACCTCCAAGGGGTCGTGTTTTGCGTTATCGTCATGGAGGATCCTCATGCTCTGGGTGGATCTGATGATCCCGACGGCGTATCCTCGACAAGCCCGAATACTCTCATGACGCGAGCTGTTGGTGATCCATTTGGACTCTAAATTCTTCATCGCCATCGTTAACTCATGACCAGTGCGATACTTGTCGAATTCGCAAGGTATGTCTGAGCGCGACATCACGACTGATACATCGAAGCCTGATTTGCCCTAGATACGGTGTAACCGACAGTATCCTTGTGAGCATTGTGAGCAAAAGAACATTGAGTGTACCTATGCCGAGATTAAGGTCAAGGAGAAACGCACTCGCATCCACTTTACTCCTTTCTAGTATGCGCTGGGCCTTACTTACATTTTCGAATACACCTGAATGACCATCGTCTGATCCTATAGTGAAAGAAAAATCGACCACATCGAACGCCAACTCGACGGCATCATTGGGATTTTGCACGATCTCAAAGTAAGTCGGCCTGACACCGAACGGCCTGGGCTACCACGGAGTACACAAACACCATCCAACGAGTCACATTCGACGCCAGGAGTATCCAGCCATGCACCCCAGGGCGACTCGGCCGCTGGGCCACTCGTGGAAGGGGACTCTTCATTGACTGCCCACTCTGCTTTTGCAAACGAATTTCTGCAAAACTTCCTGAGCACGGATTCTGTGCATGATTGCAGTCTAGAGCTGCGTCAGACTCTAGATGCACTGGCCCATACTGTTGCTACACTCAAAAAGCAGACCACATCGAGCGAAATAGTTGGCACTCACTTGCCACCTACTCCCCGCCTCCGACTCCAAGGTTGCGAGCTTCCTCCCATTGAGAAAGCTGTTGCCCTGATACGTCTTGCAAAATGTGAGTACCAATTTTGACTGTTATGAGCACATATAATATCTAACCCGGTGGTTGCTTAGCCCAGACCCTCGCCGGTACCGGCTGGATCTATGAATTTATTCAATTAAATCAATTTTCAGATATGTGTGTCGGTGTCTATTTCTCCGGTGATTATCCCGAGGCAGATCTAATATCTGTAAACGCCGGCCTGCACTCTCTGTTCTGGGACTACGCTTTTGAACTATCCGAGGAACATAGGGAAGAATACTTTGGCTATGCTCGTCTATGCGAAAGAAATTTAGAAACTGCACTGGCTGGTCTGCCTCTGCATCTACCTGCAAACTCGAGCACAATTCTTGCACTCACTTTCGGTGTCAGTATCTCTTCATGAAACCCGAGGCTCAATCTGACCAATCAAAGGCTTTCCACTTCGTCGAGCGTTCAAAGCCTTCTATGTCCTGGACATTTTCATCCAAGGCATCTGAGTTATGCCAGACACTGGGCTATCATCGGAATTCATCCATGAAGCTCGACTCGCCAGAGACCATACAATACAAACGCTTTCTCTTCTGGGGCGTCTACTTTCTCGACAAGAGCTTATCACTTCGCCTTGGCCGAGCGTCAACTATTCCCGACTGTGAAATCACAGTACCGCGACCCTCAGCGGACAACTGCAACGCACCTGTTATGGCTTACTTTCCTTTGTGGATCGAATCTGCGCGATGCCAGGGCAGCATATATGCGACGTTATACAGCCCTTCCTCAATTGCTCAGCCTGATAAAGTGCGGCAAGAGAGAGTACAAATGCTGGTCAATGACCTACGGGAGTTGGAAAAGGCAACGCAAGAAACCCATGTAAGTCACCGTAGGCTGAGCAAAGAAGCTTTCTGATACCGCATAGAATCAATGGATCAGAGCTGCCAAGCAGAACTCTGGAGAAGACTTGATGGATTTTTTCGCTGTCTCGGACGACATCCTCCGTCTCTCTCTTCTCACGCTGGTTTATCGGGCCGCTCCGCCCACCAAAGAATCGTCCACCAGTTTCAGCTCAAACTGCATCAAAGCTGCCCAAGCCACGTTGCAGAGACATCATGACTGTATGCACGTGATCCACAGGAACCACCCTATCTACTTCTCCAAGTATATTCATTGGTAAGAAACTCCATCTCCGAATGATAACATCAACCAACTCCATCTTCTCCACAAGGACCCTCCTCTTCGCACCCTTTTCGCCATTCATCGTCATATTCTGCCACATCATCGAAACCCGAGATGAAAGTTACCTACCTCACCTACAGGCCTTTGTCGAATCCATCACATCCGCACCCACCGTCTCAGATGCTGCCGCCCGAATGTACCGTCTTTTCCTAGTCCTCTACAACGTCGCGTTGCGCTACGTAGAGTTCCGCACATCCCAGCAGCCAGAACAGACAGCAGCATGTGCCGAGATGGATCAACACCTTGCTGCATTGGGACTACCGGCACCTGGTTCGGGTGACGTCCATCAACAGGTGCAGTCTCTGAACACAGACCCTGGACATGATTCTATCGGACATCAAGACAAGCAGAGGGAGGAGCCGATGATGTGGATGGGAAATGAGGCAGAGTTGGATGGCTGGTTCTCTAGTAACCGGGCTATAATGGGGTTACTTCAGGAGCCGGACTTAAATATTCTGGATGAGGGTTGGATATACTAGAATTTCAGGGTTCTCTAATATTACTAGATACCTATAGGTTCTGGTGGGCATTTATTATAGCTTATTTACTATAGTTAGCAATAAAAGCAATCTACTCTTAATTATACACTAGATCTCTTCAAGCTGTGCAGCCGGCTTTTAATTTACTAGTATTTTTTAGTTGGCATGCATCTACACTGAACTCAGAATAGGATAAGACAACACATGGAATGAATGTCTTGCATATTAAGACTTTGCTTACAATTTGGGTGTATTTGTTGACGTAGAACGGTGTGGAGGGGACTGGGCGTGTCCAGCTTACAGCAACGAGGCACTGCATGCAGGTCTTATGTAGGAGGTACTACAACACAACGTGCATTTCTAGGGATTGATCTCAAGATGGTGCTCACCACAAGATCCTAGTCTTCCAAGAGGCCAACCCCAATACAACATGACAGCCGTGTATCCGTAGACTGCCAGTCTACCAATATTATTCTCTAGCCTCTGCAAGCAATGCGGATGGATCAGCACCGAGTCCACCCCCGAATGAGGTTACTCCCCGCGGTCCGTTCCTAAGACTACCCCAGATGCAGTAAAGGCAGGGTGGTATCCATGCAGTGCTATGCAAGACATGCGCCAGCTGCAGCATAAACCACGGGTACATCATAATTCTAACATCGTGGGCAGGTTTTTCTGTTGCTGTAGAAGAACTGTACCATGATGCTGCGAGCAAGGCATATGGTATTGGCTAAACTGTGTTGACGGAGCGGATTTTACTGACACCTCCATTTTACAGAGCACTTTAGCCAGCCACATTTAATATTCCCGTTTTCCATCTTTCGGTGAGTAGGAGGGATATTAGATGCGTCATGAAAGACATTTCTTTGATAGTCGTTCATTTAATGAGAATATATATATGGATCGGAGACTATTTCGAAGATAACATATTTCTAGAAACAGTGGTTGATTCAGCCCGATGGTTACTCCATTCTAGCCTTCACAGTAGAATGAGAAAGCTCCCTCTCTTTCCCTTACAATTTCAACAATCCCAGCAATGCACGATAATTTGCAAAATTGTATTTAACATATTTATGTTTTGTGGCGTGGAATCTTGCATGATGATATTTGATGCCAAGAGATTAGGAAATTTATCACTCAACCTAACATCAAACTCAATTGTAACCTTATGCAGATTCAAATCCGACGTCTTTTGGATATTTAATATTATCTGGATAATATTAATGGCCCAACGACCGATACCGGGTCAATGCCGAGTTCCACCAACCAGGTTCCTACATGATGTCATAAACGCAGAGCATTCAGCAGACAAGTATCTGACGCGTTCTCCATAATATCTCTGACAGTTACATGAACAGTTTCACAGTATGGGGATTGTGTAGGAGCACCAGTATGGTTTTACATTCTGATTGGATATGCAGCTAACAGACATAGTTACTATGGAGAACCCCTGCCGTTTCCAATCAATGAAAGTAGCCACCAGTGCATATGCAATTCCTAACGTTGAATCATTTCTTTGTGGTGTATTCTGCATCTGCACCGGTGCAGCTCGAGGCAGAATTGAATTACTTCGATCCGTCTACCGTACGATGGTGGATAAAGGATATGGTAAAAGCGCCCACAATCTACGCGATGCAAGGGAATACATCGTCGACCAGCTCTCCGACCCGCAGAATACATTGTCGATAAAACAGCTGTCTCGAGAATACCAGTTCCACCGACAGCCGGGTTTCAGACAATGACGGAAATTGAATAGTCGAGTAACTGGCATTGTGGCCTAGATTATCGACGGAAACGTTCGCAGCAACTGCCATGGTGGAAATAAGAGTATACTTCTTTCGTGTGACCTCATGCATCTAGGGTTTTTTGCCAGTGGTGGTAGCTGGACATGGCAGACATTAAGAACCCAGACTCTTCGTCACACAAAACACAGGCCCTGATTCCCTCGTCTCCGAATATCGACAGTCAGTTTGTGACTGGCAATTCCCCGATGGCCGAGTGAGTGGATTCCTTCCGGACCTTCCGCCCGCTGGTCGCATGAATCAAGAAACTGATGGCCGATCGATGCATCCATCCAACGTGTTTTGGACGACCGATTAGTATGACTCGTGGAGAATTTTCACCATGTTTGCGGAACAATCCGCCCCCAGCGTGTCGCAGGATATTCGTCCAGTCAACGTAGCTATTGAGCATACCACGTTGAATAAGTTCTTAAAGATTCAGAACGATGTTTTGATTACTCCATGACTCGGTATGATCTCTGCTTCGCAGACTCATACCGAGTCATGGAGTTGAAGAGTGGCTGCCGTTCTTTCGAGAAGATCGTAAACAGGGAGACATACTATGCTCAATTTGTATTAGACTTTGGCTATATCCCAACTGTAATATATTGATTATACAAGCCCGTTCAAATATCCAACATATGGCAATGATAGCCAGACTTTAGCGCCCAGAGTGTGGCTGTGAAGCTGTGCCGCTGCTTGGCGGGAAATAAGCTGTTTCACGCTGCATTGGCATTTCCAGATAGACTCTTCTTGGCTGTCGATCGGCTGCACCCAAAACTAGTCTGTCTCGAAGATATCATATCTCGTCGATAGAGGTGGCTAGGACGGTCTATGATATGTCTGTCGTTCGATGAATGGTCAATGTAAAGACCTTCAACGAGGTATAGGTTGATATAGATCGGCATCGTGTGTGGAGTTGATGAATCCATCTTGGCATCACATACGGAAGACCAATATTTAAAGCCTGCTTTATCCTGTCCAGATAGCTATCATAACTATTCCATCATTCAATAATCCACGACTGGTTCGGCAGGATACTTCATTCTTTCACCATCTTGTATAACACTCTTTACGTCAAAATGAGATACCAAATTCTTTCCGCCATTCTGGCCACCTCGGCCATCAGCGCCATTGCTGCTCCTACTGAAGAGCACAACCAAGTCCGTCGTTTCGATCGTTCTTCTTTCTACCGTCGCGTCACGAACCTCGAATATAAGCGCGATGACGATGACGACGACGACGATGATGACTCCGACAGCTCATCAGACCCCGTTGCACCGTCGAGTACTCCCTCCTGGAGCAGTCCCTCGTCTGCATCCACTCCCGCCGTCACCAGCGCGGCTGTCCAGGGAAGCGTGACAACCAAATTGCCCGCCTCCTCTGGCAGCTCCACCCTCAGCGCCGTCAAGACCATTGCTGCCGGTGAAACCTTTGACGGTGGCATGGTCATGTACGACCGTGGTGTCTCCTGCGAAGGCCAATCCGAAGGCGACGACAGTGACGCCGTGTTCGAGATCGAGGACGGTGGATCGCTGTCCAACGTTATCATCGGGCCCAACCAGATGGAGGGTGTCCACTGTTTCGGTGGGTGTACTTTGACCAACGTCTGGTGGAGTGCTGTCTGCGAGGATGCCTTTACCATCAAGGAGCAGAATGACGGCGATACCACTACTATCACCGGCGGTGGTGCTTTCGATGCGGATGACAAGGTCCTGCAGCACAATGGTGGCGGAACGCTGGAAGTGTCTGGCTTCTACGTCGAGAAGTTCGGCAAGTTGTATCGCAGCTGCGGAAACTGCGATGATATGCCCACGCGCCATGTCGTCATGGAGAATATCTACGCTGTGGATGGCAGTGAGATTGCCGGTATGTATTTCCCATTTCAATACAAAGATAGTTACTAACAGGTCTAGGAATCAACGCCAACTACGACGACACTGCCACCCTCAGCGGCATCACTGTCTCTGGCGTCGACGATGTTTGCGTTACTTATGAAGGCAACGCTGATGGTGATGAGCCTTCTGAGAGTGGCTCTGGTCCTGATGGCACCAACTGCAAGTACTCCCAGAGCGACATTACTCAAGCTTAGATAGACCTTGGAGATACACTTGACTACGGATGCCTTGACGGTTTGTATTCGTCGATACCTTCATGTTCATAAACTCCATGTTGGTGGAAGGAGTTCCTATCGAAGGAAGTTGGATGGCTCTTGATTGGTTGGTTGGTTCCTCAATTATAGTTTGATGCAGCAGCCATGGTTCTTATTAGGCCACTATGCAGACTTTCTTCAGCTAGATACAGGCAAATTATAATTCTATCCCACTCTACTAGGGAAAACACAACGCTAAGTAGGAACTTCTTAAAAGCCACCTAGAAATTCCGATTATACTTAGTATAGAGATAGTTATAAACAGGGGCAGGACCCCATACCACCAGACATTTTAATGTCTGACCAGAGAGTTACCACTTGACTACCAGGCCACCTTGGCTCTTGATTTGAAAAGCAATATTCCTTGGAAATTATGGAGATAACTCGTGAGCTAGTTACACCAAGCAGATATATATGTAGCAATATTCCGTACAACTTCACACCAACAAAAGTACCACCATAAGACACGTGCAGACCCCCCCACCTAAGCACATCGCAGCCCGCTGGTCGCCCTCCCGAGTAAAGGCACAAGCAAAAAGCGGAGGCCCGAGACAGTAGGATGCATACCGAAGATATTCTATGACGTATTAGTGTCGGCAATATCAAGAAGTGACAAACACATACCTTTATACTGGTCGGGATAGAGACATGCCATGGCCAGAAAGATCAGAGCCAAGACAGTACAAACAGGTGGCGCCCCTATAGGATGTCAGTTTCTGCAATCCCGCCCTTGTGATGTGGGCACCTACAATGCGAAAAGAAGCAATAAAGGTGATGATACCAACTCGACGAGATATCCTCCTGGACGCTGCTATATAGATATCCTCCAACCTCACGGCCAAATGTTGTTATAAAGTCATCTCGTGTTGCTTTGTGCAGGTGAGAGCCACGACCCAATACCCATTTATTCGCTATCTCATTCGCATAGTCGGGGTTTGTGTCGTGTTTGCTGGCGAGGACCAGACCTAGGTACGTGCGGACCTCATTTGGGGTGGCTGTCGAAGAAGGAAAGGTGGAGGGAATGTTGAACAGTGGCAGTTCTTCTTCAATCATCGTGCGTGTTGAAAGGTTGAAAGCTTGATGCTGAGAATCAGAAATTCTGCGGGTATTTTATTATGGGATTGATTGTAGGCATCACTCCATGTTAGCTCATCATGATGCCACTATCTCACGCATTGCTTCCCGATTTGGGCTATACTTGATCAAGCTCGGGGATAAGGTTGACTAATCGATAGAGGAATAGTAATGCGTTCAACGGCTTGAGCCATACTAGGAAAGAACATCGTAGCAAATTATTATATGACAGAGCAACTAATCAAAGTACAGAGACATGACTGATATCCATGACTGCATCAAGGCATGAATCGTTGAAATGGTGCAATAAAAGCTACGGGTATTTTGGCCACTTTGTGGTAGCGATAACCCCGAATATCACATTTTGAAACTCCTCTTTCCATCTCAAAATAGCTAGTTACATATACCCAAACAGAGTCCATGATCACCTTCAATTTATAAACGTAAAAAGCATCCCACACGTAGCAAGCACCCCAAAAAGCCCCATGGCTACAGCGCGCTCCCCTTGGTTCGCGAACGCACAAGCAACAATTGGAGGCCCAGAGTAAAAGCAAATAAAGCGGATATATTCTGTAAAAGTATCAGCGCTTGACTGTTGCATAGCCGATAGATTCATACCTTGAAATCGCTGGGGCTCGTGACACATTTTAAAAGTGAGGGAGATGGAAATAGTATAACAAATGAATGGGATCCCTATAGATGGTCAGTGGCCATGATGCTGTCTCTGTCGGTGGACCTACAGTATGCGATAAACCCAAAGGTGTTTTATATGGGTTAGAGCAGATATCCTCTTGGACACTATCGAATAGATAGTACCCATCTGTATGCCCAAACCAGTTCTGAAAGTCAGATCTTCTCATGCGTCGTAGATCCAAGCCACGCCCTAAGCCCCATTTCTTGGCCACTTTATTGGCATAGTCGGCAGTGGCGTTGTGCTTGGTGATGAGGACTTGGATGAGGTATGCGCGGACTTCATTTGGGGTAGCTGTGGAGGAAGGGCAACTGGAAGACATTTTGAATCGCAGAAGCTCTTTTGCAATATCCAATATGGGAAGACGACTGCTAGAGTAAGAAATGGAATGGGGTTGTGACTAGAGAGTAGTAGGCATAATTGTAGGCATGAATAGTGTCGTTGAAATCATCATGATACTATTATCCGCCGTATGCTTGGCAATATTACAGGCTGAAAGTCGAAATCTAATGCAATATAGTTTAGTCTAGTAATGGAGAAAAGAAGCGGTTTATACGACAATAGTAGCACGTAGCCAATGTTCATCGAAGGGAATTATATACGGGAAATCGACATCGCAGCAAATCTTCACTTGACAGATCAGCCAGACAAACAGAAGTAACATACATATCGTTCCATTCAACTTCTCTCTTTATACCCTCCATCGCTATTTATTTAGGCCCTTAAGAGGAGATCCGTAGACCCTACTCCATCCGACAGCCATAGCAACTGAAAATAAAATGCCGGTCCATATCAAAAACCAGTCATCCAAGTCCCATGCGAGACCCACAACGCCACAGAGTGTTAGACTGGGTCCAAAGAAGAAGCTACCATGCGCAAGGGACTCTGTCTAGTTCTTATTAGTAGGCACTTCGTGGAGTCGATGAACTTCGGATGATAGATTAGAATGAAGAACTTTTTTTCCCGAAGAAGTGTTTAATGGGATTACTCGGTGCCGAGTTGATTTAACCTTGGCATTTATTTCTCTGTTCTAATTCGTCTTACAGATCATTACAGAAAACCCTGTTTTGAATCAAGACTTGACTACTCCCGGCGACCATCGAGGGCTGTAAGCACCTGAGCTGTTTTGCAAGCGTAGCCCTGCCATTATGCTGTGCGGGCAGCCTTCTCGAACCGTTCAGTAGTTTTTGCGCCGCCTTCGCATAGGTCAAGAACCTTGGACAGTGGGAGCACGTCACATTGCTATTTTCACGGTTAATAAACTAATGTCTCATACTAAGCAACGGTTGACTTACATCAATCACCCTCCAGTTGTAGAAGTCACCCACGGTTCCACACCACTGTGCAGGGCTGTAATATCGTCATTAGCATATGGTTTCCTCGATATTAACCATCGAGTTTCTCCATAGCTTACTTATTACAGTACAATGTATCGCCCCCGGTCGCTTCCCAGGCCATCGCACTCGTGAGGTCCTGGGATGTTGTGGTACGGTCAGAGTTGGAGCCTCCGCCATGGCTTGTGCTGAAGGAACCCTGAGCAAATGATGACGAGATAGAGGCAGCTGCAGAGATTTTCATTGCTTTGGCGTGCTTTTCCTTGTCCTGAGTACTTGTAGCAGTGCTGCTCTCACTGGCGAAGAGAGAACCACCAAGTTGGACCCGTTGGGCGAAGATATCACCTTTGAGCGTCAATACACAGGCTAGTTGAGTATGGGCTCGGTATAAATTACGAACCGTATTTGTTGCTGAAATCTATCAGCTTCTGTTTGGTGTCGACCTTTTGGATATCTTTCATGCATTCTGGAGTGATCTCAAGAGAATCTTTGTCAAGGTACACAGTGATACGTGGAAACTGTTACCAGTTAATACTCATTTGAAAACATGATTGTCTGATACAGATTTACCTTGTAGCTGACATTCATGTTTTTGCTGTCAGAGGATGTTGCATGGAGGCTATCATCTTGATTATTCCAAGCGGCCCCGGCCTTGACTGCAGCGGATACACCCCAGAAACTAGCACCGCTGTCATGAAAGATAAGTCAACCACCGTCAATCATTAAGAGATAAGTCCACCATATTTACCCAGATGCTTCCACTGAGTGCTCGGAAAATGAGCCGCTGGCAAGTGATTTCTCTAGGGTGTTTTGCGTCTCATAAACGCTCACATATGAGTCGTCATCGACCCGGAATCGAGGGATCATGTACTTAGGCTAGATAGCATACACATCGTCAGTCATTGTCTGCGATAGCTGAGGGCCATTTCTTTCACTTTTCCCCCTTTATTGTCTGTCGATGGGATTGAGACAATAGACTGTGCACTATAACTTGATAATATCTCATATGTCTCAAATTCTCTTTTCTTCAGCGCGAAAGCTGCAAGGTGCTGTTTATCAGTAGCCATTCACCTTAACCTATCACAGAATATAACTTTTGCGTACCGTTGTAGGGGGTGCGCTCAACTTTCACGTCTTTGACTTTTCTGCCGTGAATCTTGCTTGGACTCGATTGCTTGTTGGGCTTTTCAGCAGGCGCCGGCACGGGACCTCCTATAGTTTTCTCAAACTCTACAACCTTATGACCACTGAGAAGACAGTTTGTACGGGTAATGATACTCCAATCATTTTCGGTGAGGGTCGCAGCGTGACTAAGTAGACAGGTTCATAGGTTTTTCATCTGTACCAAGACTTAAGCATAACAAAAGCACTTACCTTAGCGTTGTACTTTTCTTATCCGCCGCCGTCCAAGATTTTGCATCAAACGCAGATTTGATCCGTGCAATGTCCGCCTTCGACAATAGTTGACCCTCCTTTGAAACAATTTAGCAGATGAGTGATTGACTGTGAGAGGGGCAGTAGCCCGATAACCCACTTTAAGATTCAGATCCAGTGGCTTGTCAAGGAATTCCTTTGTTGCAGCATCCGCTGCGGTCATTTTCTTCTTGTAGTACACATTCCATTGAGGGTCTGGGGAGACTTTGGACGAATCCATCTTTTGGTAATGTCAGAAAAAGCTTTTCCCCGTAGATGGTGGATCATATATTCTCATACCTTCGTCACTAGTTCATTTCCAACAAGGCTGAGGTAGGTCTTGGTCAGGGTATCGTCGTCCATTTCAGACCCGTTCTCATCGCAGAATGGACTCGCGATGCTAGAAGGATGTAAGCCGCCGCCCTGGGTCTCCATCGACTCTGTATATCTTACCCTACAGAATCGAAGACTTTCTTTTCTCTCAAAAGATTCCTCAGCTCTTTCAATGTTCCAGTTTCGTTTAAATTAAGAGCATTTGTCTCCACCTGGAGAAGGCGTTGCTGGGTTGATTTGCCTTCGCTTCGGTCATAGGCATGGATGCGCAAAATGTAATAAGTTTTGGACGCCATTGTTGATTGATGGTTGCTATGTCAGATGTCACTTGGGATATTTTGAAAGGGGGCTTGATTTAGGTCTTTGGAAGACTCTAGCAGCACTCACCCTATAAATCATTCGCAGACATTCGCTGAGCCATATGGCTAGCCAGGTCTTTGGGTAACCAAGACACATCTGGGACACTAAACACATTGATTGTGAAGTGATGGGGGGCAGTGAGCTGCATGATCAAATTGCGGTGAAAGTAATACTTTCTTCCAAGTTTATTATTTATGCGGGATGGTATCAGTAGTTGCGAGGGGATATAGATCAGATGTAAGTGTAATGCTAGGTGGATCAATAGTGCACACAGAGTAGACGACAACCTTTGTACCGAGTTTCTATCGCCATATTGTGTAACCCATATACTGTTCTCTAGATATTTTGTTCATCCAGTACTGTGTGATGAGAAGCTTCTCAAGCCTACTATTCATACTCGAAAGCCTACTCTTATTTGTCAATCCATCATCTGTGCCAGTTAGATAAGCAATCAAGACTAGCCCAGCTAAATAGATCTACTACCAAAGTAATTTAATGAGAGAAAGTAAATGTAATGTAAATAAAACACAAATAATTATTGTGTATTATAGATTGATCCATACTATAGGAACTATACTGCGAATACGAACTGTGACCAATCAAGGGGGTGATAGAAGACTCTATTTCGGGCAGCTACGCAGATTAATGGGGAGATTTCAAGTAAGTTTGACTACAGGTGGCTGGCTGAAAGATGTCACACAGCAATGATACCCCGATGGGCCTCATACAGATTTTGATGTGGTGGCTTTAGCTGAGGAGTAGATGTGGAGTAATACTGGAGTTGCAGGGAAGTACCTAGTGGGGAAACTTCCTGCCCAATTAATGGACAATGCATTTTGTTGGGAAATATGTAATAATATCATGCATATTGACTGCAACAGAATGAAAAGTCGGTGGGATTATTTTCGTCACATGTTAGAAATCTCAATTAGTGCATCTTACGAAATAGATCTATTGATAAGTAGACTTAACGTCAGCAAGTTCAGCCTGAAAACAACTTTTTGTATTCACAAAACCATTGCAGATTCTCAATTCTTGTTTCCGAGACCATCTCATTCTAAATCAAGCCAAACTCCCTTTGGTTCTCCGTCATGGTCGACGCCGCCTATCGCATTCCTGGAAGTTCTCATGTCATGATTTGGTCAGCCACAAGATACGCCAGGATCCAGTGCAGAGCTGGTGATGATGACAGCATGATTTCAGGCCCACTGAAAATTCGCGATAGATGGCCATCCCTCAACAAATCTAATATTGGTAGAGTTGATGCCGTTTGTCCGGTACCAGGAAACAACAGACGCATATATGTCTTCTCTGGCGCCAAATACGTGAAATTGGAACTTAATCCCGATACCCTTGTTGACACACTAGCCACCGAGCCCACACCTATTACAGACGGCTGGAAAACCCTGGGAAGGGCTGGTTTTGATAGAATTGATGCGGCAATGGTTGTTCCAGGGACAGAAGACAATATTTATTTCTTTCGGGGGAAGGAATGGATTGACGTGAGCTGGACTGACCAGCTCATCTCGCACGGCACAATTGCCGAGTCGTGGCCATCTCTCAAGAAGGCGGAGTTCGAAACAGTTGACGCGATTCTCAAAAACGAGGATGATACCTATTACTTTTTCTCTGGGGATCGGTACGCACGAATTAGAATGAAACAGGACGAGGATACTCTGTATGATGATGGCCCCTACCACATAAGCCGGTGGAATACGTTTGGAAACTGGGTTTAGTGGTCTTTGAACGAGGGGGACAGCCCTGCAAGTTAGATGTCACTGTTCACTTTGATTATCTTTGTAACCTTCAACAATGTTGCAATCTATTTTGCATCTTAGAAGTCCTGCAAATGGCGATACCAAGAGAATTCATGCCCAGTAGGTACCAACTGTCCATCATCAGCATTATCATGACATGGTATCCCCGCCTATTCTTACTTTTCTGATTAGGATAGACAGCTATACCCTGCTTAATAAATGCATGAGACAATCTGGCATTCGAGAAGAGATTCTATCGAAATGCTGCGGAATTGGTTACCATTTGTTCAATACCTATAGCAAAAGTTCATGATATATCAATCAAAATCCATGAGATTTGAAAGTATATGATACCAACAGAGCTAAAGGATCCTATATGAATAACACCCGACACAGCTCTCCCTTTCACTGAAGCTCATTGCACCTGGCGCTCTACTTCTGGGCTGTAGAATTATAATGCCTCTGCACCGCACATCCGAGAAGACTAATAAAGAAATATATGCCCCCCATGATGGTCAGGAACCACCAACTATCCTCTAATATGTAGCTGGCGAGTGCGGAGGAGATGAGGCCAAGTCCAATGCCAACTGGCAGCCCTCGTATGGTCTCTGTGGAGCGGTTAGTGACATTCGACGATTTATCAACTCACCCGTACCTTCACGTTTCTCAGAGGAGTGACCGGGTTTACGCATGACTTTTAGACAGATAATGAGGAAACAGATCGAAGGCGCTAGCAAGGTGTTAGCAGGAAGTATTCAGAGACTCGGGATACTGACTGTAGCAAATAAAATGGCCTACTGCGCGATAGGTATCGCTCCAGATGTCCTCTTGGACACTTTTATACATATAGTATCCGTAGCCATCGCCAAAGATTTGCTGGAATTGATATTGATATGCCTCGCGCAAATCAGAGCCACGAGCTATATCCCAGTGACTCGCAATTTCTTCGGCAGCCTCTTTGGCCACGTCGTGCTTGGTCATGAGGAGGTGGATAAGATATTTGCGGACCTCAGCAGGGCCGGCAGAAGATGAGGGAACGATCGGGGCCATGTTGTGTTATCAGATCTGCGATGTTTTGGTTTGGAGAGGAGAGATGGATAGCTCGAAGGAATCTCGGGGGAGGAGTCGTTATGAATCTCAGTTACAGCCTATCTGATAGTGGTAGGCTTCTATCGTTGAGATCATCATGACACTGCTATTTTCCGGGTCTTTTGTAAGGCAAATCAAGAGGTGGGTGCCTAATAATAAACTAAGCATTCTTTTTTACTGGTCGTTCATTAAGATCTACCGTTATGCGTTATTCTAGATAGGCAATCTACTATCATAAATAGTGCCGGAGTATCAATGCACCACACGGTATGAGGAGTGTGAGATATATACATAAACCCCTATTCTATCCACCAGTTCTATTCTGGTAATCTTCCAAGGTACATAAATTTCCTGTCTCAATATCACACACCCCAATGAACCGTAGTCTAATACCTCGTTCGATAAGTGTTCATGAAGCCTTGCGTGGATCCAGGAAAACCACAGTATATTGCACACAAACCAAAAATGAAAATACAACCCCAATTATCACCAAGGTTGCACCCCAGTCCCCCAAGTCGTAATTAAGCAAACCAGAAACTATCAAGCCACCCCCGAGGACAAAGCCCATCCGTTTGGTATTTTCTTTAGAGCTGTCAGTAAACTTCGGTATCCTTTGATGGGATTACACATACCTTGACGGTTTTTCTGGCTGAAAACAAGATGCGTGGCATAAAACGCTCCAAGAGCAAGGGAGAGAATTGGAAGCCCTACTGGTATTAGCACACGTTTTAAATAGACTCAGGAAACATACAATAACTGATAAACCCGTGGATTGTGTTATACCGATCCCTCATCATGTCTTCATAGACGCTATTCCAGAGATACGGCCCGACTGTGGTGCCAAACATTTGTTCAAAGCGAGGACTATTTGCTTTATGCTAGTCCTTTCCCCGGCCCATCACCCATCGACTCGCAATGTCCTTGGCTTCTTCTATGTCCATGTCATGTTTGGTGGTGAGGACTCGGGCCAAGTAGGCGCGGATTTCAGCGGGGCCTGCCGATACTAGAGGTGCTATGTGATTCATTTTGATATACATGACTTGCAATCTGTATCACAACACCTGAGGCAGTAGCCTAACAGGATTTCAGGATGAGACGCGTAGATTGGGGGCTAGTTCCTGGTCAGCTGATATGACCCACTATATGCTTTCTGATAGGCTACATCGGTGTTTTCATCTTTCGCTTTATAAATTCGGTAAGAATCTATATGTATCTATACTCGCGACGAAAATTAATTGCATGAAGAAGTTCGTGGTTTCATTGTTGCTATCTTTTTCGCGAGATACCTGTGGCAGCGGCTTCTTACTGCTTTCGGAATGTACCCGGCAGTGCGGGGCTTATCTCCAAGATAACTGATATAGATGTACTTTATCTTTCATCTGCCGTTGAGTATAGCTCAAATCCTAGATGACAGTCCAGTTTACGCACTCTGAGCGATGATCTTCTCTGCCATCTCTGGCAGCGCATCTGCCGTCACTTCCATCTCCCCGAATAAGTCGGGGATTGCCTCTTTTTCCAACACCGATGAGTATGCCGTTCGGAATCTATATACTATCAGTATAAGCCAGTATAATACATGGAGTATGCTCACCCAGCCTTTCTTGCACCCGTAACATCCCATGCATGGGCGGCAGCAAACCATGGTCTACCTTGTTGTGACAACTGATCGAATAACGGCTTGTATGCGAGAGGATCAGGTTTACCAACTCCATTCGTATCACAGGATATTAAATTCTCAGAAGGCAGCTCAACTCCTGCTTGTTGGAAGATTCCCGCGACACTGGCAAGATCCGCAGCAGTCAACGCCCAGACCGTAAACCCAGCATCGCGAAGTTTGGCAATACATTCGACCGCTCCAGGTCGCATGGTCAAATGCTGATAGCCGTTAATCATGTATTTGATGTCCTCATGGGTGGCAAACTGCCGAGGCTCGGGTATATCAGCCATCCAGAGAATACGGTAGAAGAGCTTCTCCATACACTCGACAAAGGGGGTGTATTTCCCAGCTAAACTGAGATAGGTATATTCTCGCTCGGCAGTTTCGATCCAGGTATTTCCAAGCAGAGCGGCGTTCACATTATGAGCACGGAGAAGATCACCTAGGCGGTCGTTGATGGCGTCGAAGACGACGTTTTTACTAGACATATTGAGGGACTTCAGTATATATGATATATGATTATGGAACGAAGAGAATTGTTATATTCATTTGATTAGTTGTCTGGGGTCAAAGGCGATCCGTTTTAAATGTGGTCTTATCAAGAGGGGTAGCGTGCGGGGAAGATAGGAGACATCAAAGGAGCAATGCGATTGTTTAGGCTAATCCAGCACAGGATAAAGACACGAACAACAGATCCAACTTTATTAACAGATAGTGTGTCCTTGTTTATCTTCAATTATGTAACCTGAGAGGCCAGAACTCCAAGGAAACCGGACGCAATCAGACATATCGTCCCACACACGAAGGGCCCATCTTGCTTTTTGCAAAGCATCCATGGAAAACAAGCGCAGCTCAAAAAGCAAAGAACATTTGGCTAAGGGATACTATCAGGCTTAACTGCTTAGCGTCAGATTAAGGGTATGTGTTCATAGCTGCAGAGCTTGCGTTCAGGGAGTAGCAGACAGATTGCATGGCCAATATCGAAAGGAAGGTGAGAATGAATGACCTTGCGCCTGCAGCAGTGGTGTCATAGTTGCACGAGGGCGGGCGCTGGCTGGTAGAGCTTTGAGAGGCCATCTTTCGGTAAGTTTGTACGTCGACTTGTACAGCACAGCTCATCTTTAGAATGGCATATAAAGATTAGAGGGCTATGTGAAATATTACTTTGTGTGGAGAAGAAATCGGATTGAAAACATCATCGTGATACTATGATTTTTGCATTTTATATAAGGCAGAAATGCCTTCTTGGATGCCTACGATCAAGGCCTAGATAGTAAGAAGACGGAGTGCACTGCGCAATACAAGGCGGAATAGCTAAGCTTTCATATATTATCTATATAATAATTTTATTGCGAGCTGCCATCGGGAAAGGTGTATACAAAACTATCCGACCGTCTTCGAGACAAACCAAGGCTCAAGCCTCATGGAGACGGGAAAGCTGAAAATGCCATAATACTTGCTGCCAGCTCTGGCAGGGCTGATCGATTTATAAAAAAAAGAGAAAAGGTTCGTAGTGTAGCGCCTTCCCGGTTGGATGGCTTGGGCAGGACGCTCCTTCGCATAAACAACCCGGGCAAGACTCCATCTCGAAATCATCGTCATCTTACATTAACCATTCTATTCTACATCATCCCATCAGTACTCTTTGAATCCCATCACGAAATAACTACATCCACTATCTCCGACCAGCCGCCCCCTCAAAGTACAACTCTCCCGGAGAATCAAGGGTCCCCCCAGTCCATACTCGAAAGAAGCCCTACCAACTTCGGCATTATCTTCGTTCTCCTCTCTTCGACCATACTTCTCGAAAGCGTACTTTGTAATGAACGGCGGAACAACGCAGGTCAGCACTTATTAGCCATTATGCCATGTCAAAGAGGTCAATCGTTTATACAGCGTCCATCCCCAGAATGACCTTCATTCTGGGTGCTGCTATTCTAAGTCTTTCGGCCGTCGATAAATATGCCGTGACAGCTTTGTGGCATTATATGTCTAATCATTTGGGCAGTTATGCTCAAACATCTTGCTTGAGTGCTAGGTTACCTTTCTACTAGGGTAATCCGGATATTGTTATAGTTATGTATGGATAGAATCAGCGAATCATTCGCAGCGCGCCTCTGGCAGATTGAGACATCGGCAATACAAACAGATCCGAAATTCACTTCCTGTAAAGCAATATGGTATAGCCTATACACGTATTCATATACGCACATATAACCATCTAAGTGGAGACGAGAGTCAAGACAAATCCGGCAACCAGCCCGATCGCCCAGACAGGAAACCAGTATTCGGCGTTTCTCTCTTTGCGGGCAAATACATAGCACGTCAGAAGAGCTATGGCAAGGCAGATTCGTCTGATCGTAGCTAGGAAACGTTAGTGGCTCGACATTCTCCCTTCAACGTGTTCATACCTCCCAATTCAAGAGCCGGCGCGAGACAGAAGCCGTGGATGGCAAAGGTCGAAGCAAGACTGACTGAGATAGCCCACATATCAAAGCCGTCAGCTACTGCTCTCCCAATAGGTGGAAGTACATACAAATACATGCGATTCCTCCAGGCGACTGGCGCCAATCAGCCCGAATATCCTCCTGTACGCTTTTATACAGATAGAATCCAATTTCCTTTCCCCACAGCTTCTGATAGTCGGCTGCTTCAAGACGATACAAGTCCCAGCCACGGCGACATGGCCAGCAGTAGGCAAGTTTCTGGCTGTAGTCTTCGTGAAGCTGTGGTAGTTGGTTAGGACCCACAAGAGGTATGCGCGGACTTCGCTGGGGTTTGCAGTGGGTGGGGGTGCACCAGGTGGCATTTTGAGTTGATTCTGCCTTGAATCGTCTGCTTGAATCGTCTGGGTGACTTTGGGGTGTTTCATTAAGAATGAGGGATGAATTGATAGTATAGAACAAGATTTGTGCGGTGAAAATTCTATTCGGCTGATGCAGCGCAAAATTCAAGAGGTCATGGTGATGCCATCACTTTCACCACTTGTTCAAAGACTTCTATCAAATTTATTAATTTATATTCATCTCAAGTACACAGCATCAACTCAACCAATAACCCTCTCCGGAAATGCAAGCTGACCATCCAAATTCCCCTCGTATCCAGGACCTCCTTTATACAAATCGAAATGGCCGCCCTCGACTCTGATACTCTCCCAGCGGTGCCAGCTTGACTGCCTTCTCAGCGGCCGGTAATGAAGCTTGATTATCCCAAGTTGTCAGAACAATCAACAGTGGCTTTATACTGCGATGGACCTTTCCTATCGGTCTGTTCAATCTGAGACTGAATATCGATCGTGCGACAATCTTATTGGGAAAGTCGACATTGCTGGGCGGAGCAAGCCGTGCCCATCCCTCGATTACTTTGTCTCCCTTCATCAACGCTGGCTGCGATGTGTTGGATACGAGAGGGAGGTATATCGGCCTCTCCCAAAAGAAGGACAACAACCAGTCAAACGTTGCCGGAACCGGCATTCGCAGCGACGTGAAAGAGCGGAACCTGCAAACTCGACGCGAATCCATCCACACACGGACACTGCGCGATTCCAGCAGCCAGTTGATGATCCTAAGCCACCAGCACCGTAACATGCATTCCACCGCAACTCGTTCCCCAAACCACAATTCTGCTCACATCGAATCGATCCGGATGTTCTCGAACCAACGCATTGACGTCTCGGAAATCCCGCAGCTCTTGGGGCACGCTCATCAGATTGCGCGGCTGGCCATCACTCGATTCGAAGTGCAGGTAGTCGAATGCCAGTGCTGCATATCCTGCCTGTGCACAGGCAGCGGCGAACAGCTGTAGTCCGGCAGCTTTGATGGCTCCGATGCCGTGGCCCATGATGATGATGGGGGGGGTGGTGTGCGGGCATTCTCCGGGAGAAAGAGTGATTCAGTGATGAGGACGCGAACTGAGGATGTGAAAGTCTTCAGATGAATCCATTTGGGTGTTATGACTAATTATGGAGTATCAAGTGAAGGATCGGTTACAGCGGTACTCTCCTTTAAACAAGCTGTTTTCTACTCAATAATAGACTCAGAAATCCAATGATCTGGTATATCATCAAAAGTATGGGTATTGACACGTAGGACTAACAATAATTACCATTTTAATATTAGGTTGATCAGTGCTGTTTTATTATTCTCTAAACTTACAAAGCCTGTTACACTTTACACGCCTGCAGCATCCTTGGCTCATGAGAATTAACGCTGAACTTACAGGTAATAGTTGCCTGTGAGTCTATATAGGGGTTAGTATTAGCCTCCCTGGCGTTGCATTAGGTAGCAGGTTAATATTTGTTTTGAGCTTTAGTTTTGTTAAGTACAAACGAGAGGAGTAACAGTGGCTTACTGAATAGCAACTCTGCAATGATTAACTTGAGAATTACGTGAACAGAAATCGAGTGCAGTCGACGCGATAGAATCAATCTAAATACATGAAACGAGTGTTCTTAATATACTATCTTTGTAGCTACTCCCGCGACTTCTCCCTTGGGTAGGATTTCTTTTTCTCTGTTGAAAGTATCAGCGATGTTGTAAAGGAATTGCTCCGAAATCCCGAATATACTCGAGTTTCAATTTATGTGAAAGTTAAGTTGGCGGCAAACATTTTTTGAAGCAATATGTTTTGCTTGTTTTTTATTTGAGGCTTCTCCCACTCCATGAGCACCCCGAAACTTGATGATAACTCTAAACCGTGTGGGGTAGTTGCTCAGGAACACGTCTTCGACTTCTGGGACAGTATTAAAGAGCTGAGCTCTCTCCCACAGAAGAGACGAGTACCTCGATATTTCTGCCTCTGAATTGTCGAGGTTTCGATTTGCCCGTCGCGGTATGGTTTGCGAATACGGCGGGGGGGAGCTGTTGTCGTTTGATGAGTTGGTTGATTCAGCAGAGGACGTAAATGTATTGGATCTCTGTTGCGGTATCTTCGGAAGAATGTGATGGGAAATTACGTTCACAAAATTATCGCGCGTAGTTGTGCGGTGTAAGTAGCCAATAACCATGGGAAATAACTCGTTGGGGCTTTGGTTGGGAACGAAGTTTCGTGGTACGGTTGAATTAGCCCTGTACAGGGCTTCAACGGCTTCCTCATAATCAAATGCATTGATGGCTTCATCAATGACCCGCTGAAATTGTCTGATTAAATTGATGTATTGCAATGTGATGGTGCCACGAACCTGGAACATATGACCCTCGGCATCAATATTTGGACCTGATGCTATTGCCATGGTGATATAGAATAGAATTATATTTTTTCCTACTACCAAGTCTGTCGAATTGTAAGCTTTGAGCAATATAGATATATCCATTCGTCACTTTTATTAGACATACCTGCTGATTTAAATATAGGCACATAGCGTAGGGAACTCATATTGTTGAGAAACAGGTTACCGAAGCTGACTGGAAAATAAAACACTTATTTCAGGTCGAGAAAGAGATACTCATGCGTCTCTATCATAATTCGGAAGGGTTTGGGTAGTACTTATATCTAAAAGCGCCTGTCACATGCTTAGAGGGTAAATACCTTACCTAGAAGTAAATCAACATGAGTCATATTTAGTTCATGACAGGTCGGTGAGAATATAGTGATAGATACCATGCTTATTCCTCTGTAAGGCAATTTTCTTTATACGATACTAAATTCCAAATCCAAAATCCCAATCAGACTACAACAAAATGCACATCACTGAGGCTTAGTATATTGTCTTTCAGCCTCGAACTATGTATCTATGCTTGGGCCTCTCCGGATAAAACTTTCCTCTAGTAAAATGGAAGATTTCAAATCCAATACGCCAATCAGATTACAGGACAACGCATGTCAGTGAGAGTATCGTGTGTGGAGAGATTCATACAAAAGAGCGGCGCAGCCATCCAAGGTGTGTGGGGCAATAATTCTAAAGGAGGGTGGGGAAAGAGGCAAACGGAACGATGTGCATCCAGAGGCTTAGTACATTGTAGCCTTGATGTATGTTTTGTGGGATGATCCCAATATTCGTATTGAAGCCTCGAGTAAGCCCACAGCCTCGAACCTTAAGTTGGGCTAACTTGGCTTCGCGCCCAAAATCGACGACTCTAATGACTTCTCTTATAATCCATCATGTTGAGTTGGGTACCAAGTCAATAATGGATACAGTAAGCGGTAGAGTTGCGAACAAATTATGTACATATGAAGGTGTAATGTACTAACTAGGCTTTAGGCAAGTTGCTTAGCTAATTGATAACATAGCCGGCGCATGGGTTGCTGCACTCTGCGACCATTTGCTTTAACCTCCAGTATACATGAGAATGAAAACAAAGAAAAGCCAGATTTTAGTAGATTATGACTGTACTTTTATATATCAGGGAAAAGGCAGTGCTAACTTCAAGCAAAAAAACTATGAAACTAGTAGCCTAGTTGGGGTTAAATGCTTTGTATACTTGCAATGCGCCTTCTACAGATTGAACAAAGCCAAAGAAAATGGTCAAGATTAAGATGGCTACCGCCAGCCAAAAGGTATACCATTGTACTCGGTTCCTTCGGTCCCGCCACCATTGGGATATGGTCTGTGGGTGTGCGTGGTCGAATTTTTCCTTCAGTATTATCAATCGATCTTTCCAAAAATGAAACTGGTCAATCTCGCGGGCCCTGTGGTTTAAATATCCACACCGAAGAAGCCGTACATCAATTTCCGAGGAGAAATGGCGTTTCTTGAACCATTTGCGATTTTTGTCGTCGCATTGAGGGAAGAGGAGTGAAATCGTTCTTAATGTCTCGTTGACTAGGCCAGGAGGGAAAAGAGAGCTATCAAGGAGTCATTAATGAATTCATACTTGTGGCTGCCAGTGAGGAGAAACTTGCGTTCGTTGACACTCCAAGAATGTTACATGATGAAATATGACAACTTTTTTGTCATCCTCCACCAGGCGCAGATGATCTGCAATGTTATCCGTCCAGTGTATAGCGATGCCAGTAAAACTTTCGAGGTTATACGCCGTAAATGATTTTTCCAAAGTAATAGACGTATCGTCAAGTTTAGGTGGATGTGAAAAGTATTGATGGATTGCCGTTTCAATCGTGCCATCCGTCCATGACATACATTCATTTCCAGATATACCATATCGAGGAGGACTGAATTCAAACATCAATAGATTTCTTGCCGCGAGATTGATTGAGGCATCGTGTTCTTCTAGGCTTCCCTCAATATTTGAGGCAAAAAGGGAACTGCAGATAACATCCCGCGTACAGCCATCCTGAAGTTGTTGGGCAATATCTAATAATTGACGATGCGTTCGAATGGAAATATGCCTCCCCCCGTCGTGGAATGCAAGGATGCAGGCATTTATATAGGATTGAAAATAAGCTTCCAAATTGATTTCAGTGCAATATTCTCCATTCGAAAATTTTTCGGGCCGAGCTTGTAATCTCCAGATTCTGTCCGTAATTGCTTGTTTTATAGGGTTCTCGACAGACCTTGTAAGAAAGGTTTCAGAAAGAGAGTCCATGACGAATCAATAAATACTAGGTAGCAGGGATCATATAAGCGGGAAAAGAAGACAGATATGGATACAATTTAAATCGTTTCAATGGGATTATGAATTTTCTCGCAAATGCTCACCAGGACAAAATTATAACTCTAAAATGCGGCTCTGTTCAAGACATGATAAAAATTCGATCATTGGACATTGTACAACTCATACGATCACACAAGGCTTTAAGAGCATATGCATGTAATGCTACCCAACAAAGCGGGGTTTAAAAAGCAATGTTCATCGATAGCGAGGCTGTCTTGACCTTTTACTCTTCTGAGCCCTGTTAGTTTTTAATTTGGAAGACTCCATCCCATAACCAAAGTTCCCTGAGTGAATTCCCTGCTTATAGAAATCTCATGTCCACCCAATATCTTCGGCTTGCAGCTTTTGTTATGGCAGAAAGTGACTACGAAAATTTTACAGCCCTCAGGGATAAATGGAAAACCTCAAGGCCCTCTATATGTGTCGGGGAGAAATTAAGGTCCTCCAAGATAAAGGGAAACTGTTGGCAAGCTGTTGGAATTGTGCGCCAACTATTTGATCATCATATTGCGCCACAGATCAAGGAAATCCTTGATCAGTGTGGTGAGCCACCTGCGGTCCCTGTGACCTGGTCAATCTACATGATTGGAAGAAACCCAGAGAATTCGAGGGCGCATATTATATTTTCTTCAAGCCAAAAGAAAGCTCGGGAGCAAGCAAAGAAGATGGTCGATGAAAATTCTATTCTCAAAGACCTCTCCATAAGCACAGAGCACAGCTCCCACCCGCCAGAACTCAGCCGGCCAATACAGTTGCTCGGGGATACTGCCAAAGTTTGTGATGATTTAGATGAACACGGCAATCCTCATCAAGCAATATACTTCCAGGATGTACCCACTCATGCAGCTATGGGTCTCCGAATACTGCTCCCAGGGTCTTCAACTGAGGTTTCATGGAGACAGGCCACAATTGGGGGAGTATTATGCATAGAAGAGAAAGTATTCTACATTACGGTTGCGCACACCTTTTATTACCATCAAACAGCTCAAGAGACCGAAATGGGAAACAGCAATTTGAATCTCGAATACAACGATGCAGATGGCATAGTGTTTGATATGGAAAGCCACGACATGCTTGAACAGGACTGGAATGATGAGTATTCGGACAGGGGAAGCCACACACCAGATGACGTCCGGTTGCCGGGAGATATCTCAACTGGAAGCAGCAATAATAGCTCACCCAACGAATCTTTCGATAGCTATTTACGTCCAATTGATGATTTGCCTTCTCAAAGACAGCCAGGTCCGAAGCTTCTAGCCCATGTGAACTTGAGTTCATCGAGTACAATAATGAGCAAGGCATTGGACTATTTACTGATTGAAATCCGAGATGGAAGCTTGCAAACAAGAAATCATCTGGCTTCATCTGAAGCACCTTACAATCGTCTGTCTGTAAACAAGCTTGGTCAATTCAGCGGGGACAACAAAGTTGTACTAGTCATAACTAGTCGTGGTTTCCTGAAGGGGGAATTGATGACTGCACCTTCTTGGATTCGTCTGCCACAAGCTACGAAGTCACAAAAGATATATTTGTTGCGCTTGAACAGCCATATAAATTCTGGCGACAGTGGCTCTTGGGTTGTTGACGAGAGTTCCGGTGAGCTCTATGGGCATATCGTCGCCGGAGATGCTGGAACCGATACAGCCTATATTATCTCTGCAATAGATGTATTTGAAGATATTGGAGTTAAGTGCAACCAGTCTGTCACTTTTCCCGCCAAGTCCGTTCTGAGTCCCAAGGCGCACATACGATCCGAACTCAAAGCGGAAGTAAATGATTGCTCAGAAGAAACCATCAAGAAGATGAAGATTCCGACCTTTCCTCCCCGAACCAAAACTGGCTTCACCCGTGCCGACTTGCCTGAAAAAAAAGAAAGGGATTGTTTAGGCCAAAATACTGCTACAAGCAAGAGCCAATCCATCAAGAACCCTGAATTGTCTAATGCAGGCGGTCGTCCGGAAACATCAGAACTCTTTGCTTATCAGTCCAGCATTGCCTTACGTGAGACAATCAACAGTTTTGGTTCGCCCTCAAAACTCGTACGTGATGTTATTGAGGAGCTCCAGTCTCTACATGGGGTATTAGCCTCACTCGCAGAGAAAATGGGCGCGGTTGAAATGGACCCCGTTATGCTTGAAATTCCTTTAAAGCAATGCGGCAATGTTTGTGAAGAGTTCAGGCATGAACTAATCAAGTATTCTTCACAACATGGCGGTGGCTTAACCTTTCAAGATTGGCACAAGATAAGGTTTATGAATGATGATATTGATGGATTTCGACGACTCCTATCTGGATACAAATCCATTATACAGGTTGCTCTCATTAATCGGCGTCTGTAAGTCAATCTAATACGCCCTGGTTGCCATAAGTCCAAAATTTTACTTTTGACTTTCCCTTTTTCCCCTTTACTCTTTACTCTTTGTCTCCCTCCCCACGAACAATCTTTGACCTTAAATTTCGACTATTTCTAACCACATTTGTCTGGTTAGGCACAACTTGGTGGCATCTGAAACTCTTGAAGGCGACAAGAAACTCCTCAAAAACACCATGATTGATTTTGAGGATCACCTTGAGAATATCAATGAAAAAGTGGAGTTCATATTCAGAAAGGCAATAGTTGAATCTGACTCCAATATATCAGAGCTTCAGATTATTAGAGAACAGCAGCTGAAAAACGAAAATGGTTTCCAAATTTACGCCAAGTTCTCCCGATTTTTCGATCAAATGCAGATTTCTTCCAAGCACAACCTTACTTATCCGACCCAACAAGATTCATTACCTGATACTGTTGTCCAATATGGACTTCAAGGATGCAAGGATAGTCTCTTTCTCATGTCGACTAAGCTAAAAAACCTGGAACAGGACCTGGTGGACCAATTTTTAGCAGCCAGTTCTCACAACGTCGCCAAATCGGAGGAGTTAACAACCCTTCGAAGACTGCGAGACGAAAGGAAAGCCGCCCGCCACTGTATGGATATCTGCTCCAAAGTGGACAGGTACCTGCAGGAAGATACCACGACCATTAGCAATAGTGTGACTGCCAACTCCGACCACTTTATGACTTCAACGAATATAACATCCATGGATGATGAAGACCGAGAGCTTGGTTGGGAAAGAAAGCAAGGGAGGTACATGGGTGACGCTGCAGCTAACATCGCAAAAGGCATCTATGTATGTTCTCCTGAGATAGAACATCCATCTTGACAGAATACTTACTATCAAACTTCGATGAACAGGCGTACGAAAAGCTGATAACTGAAGGTCAGGTACGATATGAGTGAACGATGAAACTCATGCCCGAGCTTTCCTGGGTGACATATTTTCGGTGACTCTAGTGAAGTGAATGCTCATTGATCTCAAAGCAACCTAAGGTAGAAAATGCAGCCAAAAACATAGTAATCTGGTGAAGAATAAAGTTATAGGTTGGAATATGTAAGTATGACTACAGGCTTGCCAATTTCATAAATCTCCCCTAATCTCGGTCTGTCGATCATTTACCACCGCATCACCATGCCATAATCGGATCTGAATCTGCTATAGATGGACCCTGGAGATTGTATCCAAGTTAATGGTAACACAAGAAGATACAAAAATCAATGCTTTAACTGCGCAGAAATAACACGGGTATTATTTCCTAGATTTCACGATTTCCAATTGTAGTAATTCTCCAAGTCTCCCCTAAAATAAATCTTGTAGGTGCATATGCTGATGTTTAAAAATTGAAATTATCTCGAAAAGTTGATCGTCAACTGCATCTATCCCAACTCTGATCAACCCCTACATAAATGCCCCGAGCCGGATGAAAGCAAACCTCAAAATTATCAAGTCCCACTAGCTTCACTGTCAATCTAGTTCGTCTGACTCGCCCTGTTCGCAAGTTATTCCTCTTAAATGTATTCATTGCGACCGAGGGCGTCTGATGTTTATAGTAGGCGACTCACTTTCCATGTCCTTGCGGACAGAAGTAAATCAGGACATTCGGGCGAGTGCGTAAATTATCAGGTGGAAATACTCCATTTATTGAGTGGGAATCATGATCCTCTTCTCATTACTGGGATGGTCGTCCCTTCCGAAATGTTTAAACTTATTTTTCTCACATAATACTTTCCTCAATACATCCAATAAAATTATATATCTTGCCCAACAAGCCCCTTGACAAACGTGTAAAGGCCTACAAACAAGATTCGTCAGAATATATGAAGGTATTTCAAGTCTAATACCTTGTATGATTAAATATAGAAAAATATAATCCGCAATAAAGACAATTTATTACTTGTCCTATATAGCAAATTGTGCAGCCATTCTGATTGGCTGACACCTCCCCCGCATCCCCGCATCCCCTCATATTTTCCACGTCCCAAATCCATCTTTCTTCCTACAACATCATCATGAATCGAAATGTCAAACGAAAGCCTAGGTCTTGCGTGCGTTGCAGAGGTACGTCTTCCACCTGCCTGACCATAAAGCATATTAACAATAGCAGAACAACACCTCAAATGTAGGCCACCTCCCCCGATTTCCCTGTGTCTACTAACAGACAAGGCAATGGCGAGATACCCTGCGACTCGTGCCAGAAGTCCAAATCACAATGCGATCCTACCAATCAAGTTCGATTCCGAACTGAGCCTCGAGCGAAGCGGTCGTTTAGCTTTTCACCGGATCAGAAATGGGTGAATCCTATGAATAACCGTATGTTGTCAGGCCCAGAGGAGAACTGAGGCTGATGAGACAGGCCAATTGACATATGTCGATATGAATCCGAGGGTCAATCGCAATGGAAACAGGACAGTCAGTGAGGGAGATAGGCTCCCTACGACGAACGATGGTCAGACAACATCCCGTTCACTCGATCAAGAGCACAGGAATCCAACACCGCCATCATCGAATATAGCTCCTCTAGTTGACGACCGACAGACAAGAAGCAAGTACCCTCTTGGACCGCTACATGGGCTATCAGATAGTTACACTGATGATGCTTATCTCAGCTTGGAGGAGGCATGCTTGATTCGCCATTTTGCAGAGAATTTAGCCCCATGGGTATGTCTCTTTATATCAACATACAGGAAGTGAAAGTAACAATAATAGTTTGAGATCAGTGATCGAGATCGTCATTTCACCCTGTGCATCCCCGAGAGAGCCATGTTCTGTCCTGTCCTGCGTTATGCTGTATACACTGCTTCTGCAGGACACTTGATGAGGTTATCCCACTGTCGAGGGCAGTCTGTTGAGAAGATTGTCTTTGATGGGATTCCATTGCCAGGATTGAACTTTGACTCTGCCATTCGATATCATGATATTTGCATTTCATACTTGATTGAGATTTCCAACGACCCGGAAGAGGAATATAACGAGGATGTTCTGACAGCTGCTACGATACTGCGGTTCTATGAGCAGATTGACGGTTTGTCCTCGTCCCCTCTGAAGGGCAATTCAGCTAATATAGATAGCACCTTCTACCGGCCACTCCGAAACCTATCTTCATGCAATCCAATTCATCATCAGCACGCAGCATGACGAATCTTTCTACGCATATCAGACCATCCAAGGACCACCCCGCGATGCAGATGTACACATTGCACCCTCCATCTCACTCCGCCATTCAGCCTGTCTCATTGCTCTCCGCCAGGAAATATGGAGTGCCTTCCTATTCCAACGTCCCGTCCGACTACCCATATCACCCAGCAATGACTACACATCCTGGGACCCAGCCAGCGATTTCGTCTGGACCAACCGAATCTTCGTCTGGGTAGCCGATCTCCTCGGTTTCTGCTTCGGAAATCGCACAATGACACCAGAGGAATCCCTCCAACGGTGGCTATCCCTAAAATCCGTAGAACAAAGATGGAAAGCCGAAAAGCCACCGTCCTTCAAACCAATCTACTACCGCAAAGAAGATCCCCAATCAGGCCGCTACTTCCCAGGAATCTGGCACATGAATGAGTGTCAAGTCGCAGGGGCACAGCACATGGCATTAGGGAGGATTCTCCTCGCCGTATCCGACCCAACACGGGTATCGCGATTAGGCATCGGGGCTATATCGCGGAACATGTCACTACAGGAAGAGTTGCGGGGTATAACTCGGGAATTGTGTGGGCTGGGCATCTCGAATGCAAAGTGCCCCGTTGCGATAGTCACGGCTGTAGTGGGCATTTCGGTGTGCGGGGAGTACTTTACAGACGCCGGGGAACAGGAGGCGATGGTGAAGATCATGGAGCATTTGGAGTTTGAGTATGCGTGGCCGACGGCGGCGACGATTCGGGCGTTGAGGAGTGCGTGGATGACATCGTTGTGAATTACCTGGAAATAGCATAGATCAATAGAATTTCTGCATCAAGATAGTGAGGGGTACTGTCTCAGTTCAAACGCCGTTGTAGATGCAAGGGTTGATCAAGACAACCTGTTTCATTTGATAGACTAGAGAGGGGATATGAGAATAACCATCCATCAATGAGTGATGATGCTGTGGAATAAACTCGGCCAATCAGAGGTGTTTGCGGGGAATAAACTGCCTTATCCGGTAATGCCCTGATTAGGCAACTTTCCTCTTCGGGACACATGATCTAGAAGCTGGTGATCTTCACGATGACTTCAGGACAGTTCATCTTGCAAAAAGAGAAGATGAGCCCGTCTCTAGAAAGAGAAATATTCCCCTCGTCTGGTCGGTGGTGACTTGTATATAATGGCCTCGCTCCAGGGATTCATCCATCACCATCATCTCTGACCATATCGCCCATCATGCTGGCACTCTTCATCTTCACCGCCACGGCCCTCGCTGCTGTGTCTTATACGATCATTCGTCCCATTTTTAAATATCTCTATGATCCCAAAGGCCTTCGCAAATACCCGAACTTCTCTCCCATTTCAGGCCTCACCGATATGCGCCATATGTATCTCAGTACTTGTGGATATCGCTCTCGCGATCTCTACGAAGCACACAAACAATCTCCCATCCTCCGAACTGGTCCCAACGCGCTGTCCTTCGGTCACAGCGATGCCATCAAAGATATTTACGGCCATGGAACTCCGTGCACCAAGGACCTCAACTATGTCGTCCAGGGTGGGACTCACACCCACCTGTTCGACGTAGTTGGAAAGGAAGATCATGGACGGAAGAGAAAGGTCCTTTCTTCCGCTTTTGCATTGAAGAATCTCGAGCGATGGGAGTTTAAAGTGGCTGCCACGACGAAGCGTCTGTTAGATGCGATGGACAAACACTGCACTGCTCCATTGCCACCTGGACAGAGCATTCCCGATCCTGCCGACGTCAACTTTGACTGGGGGAAGTGGGCTAATCTGTGGACTATCGAGGCGATCAATAGCATTGCTTTGTCTTCAAACATGGACCTGCTTGACAAGGGGAATGACACTGTCATCGCACAGAAGATGGACGGTACATTGTACGAAGCGCGCTATCGACATGCCCAGAATCAGCTTGCCATCGCTCAGTCCACCTTTGTCTGGGATTTTAAACACTATGCCCTGTTTGAAAAGGCTTCGAAACTCATCCCGAAATGGAGAAAGATCTGGAAGAATGGCGAGCCCTGGAGTGACGTCGTCTATAATCAAGCAGCGACACGACTAGACCGATACATGAAGGGAGAGAAGCTGGATGACTTCTTCTCTGCTCTTATGGATGACAAAACCGGCAAGCCGAACTGCCTTGAATGGGGCGAGATTGTGGCTGAGATCAGTGCGATTATCAATGCTGGCGCGGACACAACTGCTATTGCCTTGACGCAGGTTCTCGAACAACTTCTGCAGCATCCAGAGTATCTCAAAACTCTTCGGGAGGAAATCGATAATGTCCTCGACGAAGACGAAGCAGTCGCTCCCCATGACAAAGTCAAGAACCTCCCATTCCTCCGCGCCTGTCTCGACGAAGCCCTCCGTCTAATCCCACCCACCTCAGCTGCTCTTCCTCGCCGCACGCCCCCAGAAGGAGCACGTATCCTCGGTGAATGGATCCCAGGAGACACCAGTGTGTCCATGACCATCTACGGTGCACACCGCGATCCAACCATCTTCCCCGAGCCAGAAGAATACAATCCACACCGCTGGATGGACCCCGAAGCACGGCGAAAAATGGAGTCGCATTTCATCCCGTTTTCTGCGGGGGCCAGAGGGTGTATTGGGCGGAATATATCATATCTGGAACAGACGCTGGTGTTGGCTACGTTGGTGCATCGGTATGAGTTTGCGATGCCGTCGCCGGAGTGGAAGTTGAAGAGATACGAGGCGTTTAATTTGGTGGTGGGAGAGATGCCGATTAAGTTGTGGAGGAGACATATAGTTAGTTGATGATATTTAGTTTAGTTGAATGACATGATTCGATTCTATTTACTCTTACTCTTCTGTATTATTCTATGTTAATCAGTAAACCATCCCCAAGAGTTATATTTCATATGCGAATACTGTAATATCTCAACGCTCAGATAACACTTTAGTCATTTAGTGGTTGTGTACGTCCCATGAAAAGATCGTCATCTGTATGGTGGAGTGGAGCGATCTGCCTACTTCCCAATGGGGCAACTTTCCGCATTAGGCGTCAGCATCATCCAAGAACAGTGGCTTCCTCCACACTTTTTCCCCGCAAAGTTTCCTTGGAAATCGACGGTATCTGACAGGCGGTAGATAGCCGTTGCGGGGAAGTTGGCATCTGCTAAGGACATGAGGTATATATGTTGGTCGTGTATGCCGGATGCCATAGGTGGTGAATCCAATTACCAGCATATTCATCTACACCATGCTTGAAGACGAATTACCCGACAAACTTCGTTCTGATCATGAAGAATACGCAGACGAGGTTATTCTAACTACACTATCTGAACCTGTCACATATGACGATGATAAAGGCATCAAGGGGTTGTTGAATTCCCCGTATGTTTTTGGTGCAGCTTTGCTCGCCTCATTCGGTGGCTTCTCCTTTGGATATGGTAAGATCATTCCAATTCATCTCATATAATACTAACAACTCAGACCAAGGCGTCATCTCCCTCATTCTGGTCATGCCCCAATTCCGCACCCAATACCCCGAAACCTCTCCCGACAATCCCAGCTATGGCTTCCACACAGGCTTCATGACCGGCATGCTCGAACTCGGCGCCTTCATCGGCTGTCTCTTCTTGCCATATCTCGCAGACCGCATGTCCCGGAAATGGAGTCTGAGTGTAGCCACTGTCTTCTTCGTCGTGGGCGCAGTCATTCAAACTGCGGCGCCAAATTATGATGCACTCGTTGCGGGTCGGTTTATCGGGGGTATTGGCGTGGGGACGTTGGCGATGGGCGCGCCGTTGTATATTTCTGAGATTGCACCCCCGACGAGACGAGGATCGTTGTTGGTGCTCGAGTCGATTAGTATTGTTATTGGGGCGATTGTGGCGTATTGGATTACGTATGGGACGAGGTGAGTATCCCATGTCCATATATCGGGATATATATCTAACAACTCAGATCCATATCCGGAGACTGGGCATTCAGACTCCCATTCCTACTCCAGATATTCCCCGCTCTGATGGTAGGCTGCGGTATCCATTTCTTCCCCTTCTCGCCCCGATGGCTGGCGATGCGAGGACGGAATGAAGAAAGTTTGTCTGCACTCGCAGAGCTGAGAAAGCGTCCTGAAGACGACAATCACGTCCAGCTCGAATGGAAGGGAATTCTATCCGAGGTCCGATTTCAGAAGGAGTTGGTTGACCGTGAATATCCAAATTCGCACCCGTTCATGGTGGAACTCAAGCAGTGGGGGTCGCTGTTTCAGCCAAAGTATTTTCGGAGGACGTTGATTGCGTTGGCTATTCCGTTTTTTCAACAGGTATACTTTATACTCATTAGCGATTAAACCATACTAACACTCTGGATAGTTCTCCGGAATCAACGCATTCGTATACTATGCCCCCACCTTCTTCGGAGCCCTGGGCCAAAGCGACGAAACATCACTTATTCTGTCCGGAATGGTGAATATCTGCCAACTCGTTGCGGGAATACCCATCGTCTTTTATCTGGATCGCGTGGGAAGACGTCCGCTAGCGATAATCGGTGGAGTGGCTATGGCAGTTCCTCATCTCATCATGGCTGGGCTTATGGGAAAGTTCAGCGACAGCTGGCCGTCACATCAGGGTGTGGGGTGGTTTTGCGTGGCGCTTATCTGTATGCCCTATCCAGCTGATCTACTGATTGGAGATATGCTAACTGTGATAGACATATACGTCCTCGCGTACGCTGCCTCGTATGGCCCTCTCCCGTGGGTGTTGCCGTCCGAAGTCTTCCCGAGTTCCAAGCGGGCAAAAGGAGTCGGTGCCGCCACGGCCGTGATCTGGATATCGAATTTCATCATTGGGTTTGTCGTTCCCGAAATGATCATCTCTATTGGATGGGGCACGTTTCTCTTCTTCGGACTGTTTTGTGTTGCTGCGGCTGTATTCTCGTTTATCTTCGTTCCCGAGACGTCGGGCAAGTCGTTGGAACAGATAGCGGACGTTTTTGGGGATAAACTGGGTGATGGAGAGAAAGAGTTGCGGAATCGGGTTGCCAGAGAGGTTTGGGCTGATCCATGGGGGAGTGCGATGGGCGTTTGATTGCTGTGTGTATGAAGGGAGATGTAGATGAAATGAAGATGCAAGTAGTAAATGTGAAATACATGCATTATAGTACACTAATTCTTCTATGCAATCATTATTCATAAGGAAACGTCATATCATAAACAAACAAATGAAAAAATCACCACATTCGGCGAGTCGGGATAAAATTCTGCGAATCCTTCTCCTGCTGGCTGAATGATTCGGGGAATGCTGCGATTCCACCGATGATGCCGATCGCCATAAAGGCGAGCGAGATGAAGGACCAGATGACGCCCCAGCACTGAGAGGATCCGCCGTACTTCTGGGCGAAGACGCTGGCGTCGGATGTGTTGACTTTGCGGAGAATGAGATCGTCGCACTGTGACTGTTAGTTTGGATATAAAAAACTGTTGGGCGGATGGCTTACAATATCCCAAACACTGTAGAGAGCGGACATGACACCAATAAAGAGCACCACCCATCGCAACGCCTCTCCATGGGCAATAAACCAACAAGCGACCAGCAATCCAACCGCAAGAAGGACGGTCATGATAGTCAGCCAGTCCCTGCGGGCCCACCAGAGGGTAAGCAGGAAGCAAACACCGAGAACAATACTGGCGATCTTGCTGGCGACAATGTCAAAGCCCGCAAAAATCAAGAGAGCGCCGATAATCGACGATCCAAGATATCCCGCTGGAAGAGTGATGGCGCTGATTCCGCCTTGCATGGTGGTGGCACCTCCTTCATGCGGATCGAGAGTGATGGATTTGACTCGGCCTCCGGTGCAACATGCGGTAATGGCATGGCCGAATTCATGGAAGGCGATGACCAGCATCTGTTCAGTTAGTTTGCGACCTCAAAAAAATCCGATCAAACACACCTTGAACGGCCATAGCGACCAGCGAACGTAGGGCAGATTCCACAGCAACGCAATCACCACAACATAGACCGCCATGACCCCCAGCGTCACCGACTGCGTGTGGTTGACCGACAGGCTGCGCTTGGCGAGATGGGGCACCTCCTCGATGGCCCGTTGGGCGAGTTTATCGTAGATAGCAGGCATGATGGATTTGATGATGATACTTTTGCCCAGTCCAGGATGAGACGATGTCGAGTATTTAAGCCAGACGACTGTCTACGCGTCCCCATAGGGATGGACGCGCATGCCACTTCTGGGCGTTGATTAATTGCCGGATCGGGACAAGTGTGTGGCTTGGATACTATTTTTAGCGACAAAAATTCATCATACATGCTATACCTCAGACACTAAGATTCAGGTACACCACGTTTTGGGGAAAAAGTGGATGGACAATGTCGATCTAATTTTTGGTCTTAATCTTATGGTTAATCTTGGGGTTCAACTGCTGATGCGTCGTGGATTGTGTTTCAATTTGGACGACGTTAATGTGATTTATCTATATTGTCGTCGAAATTGTTCTGCCTATCGCCTGCAGACTGCGCCTTGCGGATCTTTTTATAATCTCCTGCAGTCGGTCAATGCAACGGCGATTAAATTCAGCAACTGTGATTGACATGTATTTTGCTTGACAATATTGACTTTGACAGTCTTACAGGATCTGATTGCCTCAGGCAACATTCACATAATATCTTAGTCGAACCACAATCCTTATGTCGATCATCGATCGGCATCGTTATACTAAGCCTATACTAATCAATCTCATTCAGCCATGGATCTTCAAGCAGTTCTCGTGCCGTCTTTCTATCTTCCGGCCGCCACTGAAGCATTCCCCTCATGAACGCAAGAAACATTTCCTTATTTCGTCCCTGGAGAAACATTTCCTCCATCTCTAGGCTTCCTTGTTGTAGGGGCAAGTCATCTTCATGCTTCCATTGGCCTGCAAAATCTTTGTAAGCTCGCATATCTAAAATGCGTCCGGAAAACGGATGATACGAACCATCTTCAGTAAAGAATTCATGGCTTCGCTTTCCACGCTCAAGCATATCCAAAGGAGGCGGTCCCAGAATGGCTATTGTTTCCGCGAGATGTGCACGGGTGGAATATCCTTTGCCGTCTGGATCATTGCCATAAAACATGTGTCTGCCCTCGAATAAATCCCAGATCTAATTTTGCAATGTCAGTGGCGCCAAAAAAGCTTGGTCAAGAGCGCGCTATAGGAAAACGCACCATCACGCCAACATTCCATATATCCACTGGATAACTCCATTCCGTTTTCAGCATCATCTCTGGTGCTCTGTAAACATTGGGTTGTGCATCATGATTTCTCCTCTCGTCTCCTCGTACAGCTGAGCCAAAGTCACTCAGGACTGCCCGGCCAAATGCATTTGGTAAATCAAACATCCTAGATGCATATAGTGGCATACCGTCGATAAATTTCCGCGGTGAAGGGTTCTCCATTTCCGCTTGAGTGAAACTTTCAAGTATCCCTGCGTCTGCTATTTCTTGGAGAATGTTATCCCCTTTGATGTCTATTTACTTATCAGATAGGGATCCCAATGCGCTGCATCTTGAGAAACTATACCTGTATGGACAAGTTTGCATTCAGTATGCATATAATCCAACGCTAGAAAAACCTGCATGAGACTGGCTCTGAGCAGATCTTCGGTAAATCGATGGGTGGGATTGCGATACAGTAGATCTCTGAAGCTCTCCCACATGGGCTTTTGGACAAGACAGTGATGGTCCCCTCCAGCACGAGGGATGGTGAATAAATCCAGCGCTCTTCTCACATGGGCATAGCCAGGATGCGATCGATGTCCCTGGTTCAGATACTTATAAGTCTGCAACTCCTCATGGCTCACCTCATCGCGTGTATAAACCTTCAGTGTCACATATTGATGACCTCTGGCTCTGTTAGCCATATATCCAAATCTAGAAAATCGATGACAACTTAAGATCACGAGCAAGCCACACTGTGGAGGTCACACCAAAACCCAGCTTCCCAACAATCTGATATTTGGAACGAAAGACGTCCCCAGTATTGACTGGATAGTATTGCCCTTTCTTGAACGTTTCAAATCGCTCCTCTTCAAGTACCTCGGATGCCTTTACTGTTTCAAAGCCGCTGGTGGGGAAACGAATGGGACGTTTGCATTTTCGAAATGCGCTTTTCGCCCATTTTAGGAGAGAGAACATATTAGTATGGTGAATATTAATTGGACTTTTGAGGTCAGGGGATAGAAGGCGTAAAAAGATGGCTGAAGGGGAAGATACAGGTCAAGCCACGTGATGTCTCGATTAGGAAAGGCCCAACCCCTCCACCACTTTTGAATCAACGCGAATCTCCAACCTTCCCAACTATTCTCTCTTCATATTCATCTCCATCGAATATTGTGACACACTTACCCTTCCTGTACAATGGATTTGTTCGAGCAATGTCACAAGGCCTTCATCCCAATTCTCGACCCTGACCTCGACGGAGAGGTTGGGTCCTACTGGCCCGATGATCACCACCCGTCAGCCAAACAGCCCACTTAGCACGGGCTACTAACGACGAAAATGTGCGATGATTGGCAATGCTCGGACTCACTGGCAGGGATGCTGACTGAACCAGCACTTCAGCCATTTTGGCGCTTCATGACCAGTTTCTTCAACGTGCGTCCATCAAGGGAAAATCATTGTGTATCCTGGAGAGTGTTCTTTCAAAATGAACAAGAGGAGGGACTCCTCAGACATCGAAAGTATTGCACCAGAGACAACAGATTCCGACCGTGACATCCAAGATGACGACCTGTTTGCTTACTCGGTTGCACCGTCAGCGGACGACCAGGAACTCTCCCGATTATATTCTGAACTTCCCACTGCGATTGGCGAAGGCAGCATCGACGATGTTATGGAACTTGTGAAAATTGACGGCTCCCTAGATATTCGGTTTGATTATGAGTTGAATGGACGCATCGAGAGAGGGTTAACGCCATTGATGCTTGCTGTAGCACTTGGGAAAACCGAAATTGTTCACCTAATTGGTGATCTTGGAGCAGATATTACCGCAACAAGCCCATATTCTATGGCAAATGCACTGCATTTCGCTGCTAGATTTGATCATACAGAGGGTGTTTTTTACTTGTTATCCCACGGTGCTAAGGCTGTGGTGAACTCAAGACTGCTCAATCAGTCGACTGCACTGCAGCAGGCTGCGGCAAATGGATATTACGATATCTGCAGTATGCTTTTAGAATGGGGTGCAGATTTCGAAGCGAAAGATCGAGACGGATGGACTTCTCTCATGGTTGCTTCAAGGAACGGACATGAACGCGTCGTGAAATTACTTCTTGAGAGAGGAGCAAAGGTCAATGAGCAGAAGGACGGCGGATCGGCTGCATTGCTTCTAGCAGCTGCCACTAACAGATCCTCTGTTGTCAGGCTACTTCTAGACCACGGTGCAGATCGTGACCAGAAGACCGAGAGTGGATTCACACCTTGCATGGCTGCGGCAGCCGAAGGACATGAAGCCATTGTTGAGATACTTGTAGAGGAGGGAGCAAATATTAATTTAACGTCAAATGATGGTCGAACCGCACTGCATCTAGCGGCCATCGGCAACCATTTCGGTGTTTTCAAGGTCCTATCAGAAAGAAATGCAGACCTGAGTCCACGGGATGGTAGTGCCGACAGCCCGTGCCATAATGCCGCCGGCTGTGGGAGTCTGGATGTTCTCAAACTGCTCGTCGTGGGTGGTGCGAATTTCGACGAATCCAATGTGTTTTCCAACACACCTCTACATCTAGCTTGTTCAGGCGGACACCTGAATGTCGTTAAATTTCTTCTGAGCAGGGGCGCGGGGATCGAAAAGATAAATATCAGGCACGACACACCACTTCATATCGCGTCGATCCAGGGGCATGTTGAAGTTGCCAGATTCCTTCTGCAACAAGGAGCGAAAATTGACAAACGCAATAAGGATCAAAACACACCTCTTCATCTTGCTGTATGAACGGACACTTGCAGCTTGCTCAGTGCTTCTTAAACGAAGGCGTAGCTACTGAAACAGTGAATATCAGTCAAAATACAGCACTTCATCTAGCTTCAGTCGGTGGGCATATTGATATCGTCAGACTCCTTCTAGACCGAGACGCGAATCCCCACGCCAGAAATAACTATTCCGATACACCGCTACACATGGCCTGCTTCCATGGAAATCACCAGGTCGCAGATTTACTTTTAGATCGAGGCGCATTAGTTGACGAATCGGACATAAACCACAACACGGCCCTTCATATAGTTGCCTTGTCAGGGCGACCTGAAATACTCATCAGCCTTTTCAGCAGGGGTGCAGATATCAACAAGCCAAACATCTACGGAAATACCCCCCTTCACATCGCGTGTATCGAACAGCATAGTCGGGTTGTTGACTTCCTCGTCGACCACCATGCAGATGTCAACAAACGGAATTATTCAGGTGTCACTCCTCTTCATGAAGCTGGTTGTGGTCCAAATACCTCTATCGTGGAGAAGCTTCTCAGACACGGAGCGGATATGATGATACGAAATCGCCATGGGTCGACTGCCCTTCACCATGGCTCGAGGATGGGATTGCTTCCCGTTGTCAAAGCGCTGCTACATCATGCGACAATCACTGGTGGCCTAATAGATATTACGGTGCAGGACAATAATCAACGTACGCCTCTCCATCGTGCGGCTATGGAAAACCATGTCGAAGTCGTACTTGAGCTTTTAAAAACATCGCCATACTTTCCGGAAACCCCAGTTCAAACCAAGACATGCACGGCAACAATCACCGCGATCACGCAGGTTGAAGCTCTCCTCATGGCGTCTTTCGACCAAGCTGTATCCAAGGTTTCAGATGCATTTGAGGCGCTCATGTACTGGGCAGTTGCGAATGGCCGACCATGGATACTACGCAAGTGTATCGAGCACAAGCCCGAAGTGACATCGTGGTCTCGACAGAAGGCAACTTGGCTTCATGTAGCCGCTCTGCATGGGCAAGACGTAATCACCTATGAGCTCCTGCCTTATCTCAATGTCTCTACACCGGCAGAAGAAGGCACGACTGCTTTACACTTGGCAGCTGCACATGGACATCACAAGATCGCAGAAGTTCTGCTTGCGAATTTACCTTGGAATGGCGCATGCAATCAACATAATCATATAAACTTTTCCATGCCAACGCAATCCTTGACTGGTAATGTCTGTTCAGGGTGGGAGAGAATAGCAGCGATCATGCAGAAGAATCACGACCAAGAATGCCCCTTGTCCTTGGCCGTGAAACGAAGGCACAAACAAGTGGAAGCCCTCTTGTGGACTGAAATCGAGGCATCTGGAACGGAAAATCCACGGTCCATGGAATACCATCACGACAGAGCAGAGGATATTCTTGAATTGGTTGCAGAGCTCGAAAAGCCCGGTCGGGAGAGGGTTCTGAAACATCTCCTGTTGCAATGGTTCCCTGCCCCGACCTCTCCAAAACCAGTAGCTTGGACGGCCCTCACTCTAGCAGTCTATCATTCGCAAACAATCACAGTCTGGTGGCTATTGTCCAATGGAGGGCATCTCGGTATTGACGAAATCCAGACCGCTCTTGCCATTGCGGAGTCGAAGAAAGGGCAGGCAAACCTGCTCATTGCCAAACTCCTCCGAGATCCTCCCCAAATTCTCGAACAAGTCGCCAATCCCGATGAAGACCATCTACCTCTACTTCCGGAGCCACTGGAAGAGGACAAGAAGTTGCATGATCTGGAAGGAACCATTGTGGATTTCTACAGCAATGGAAAGAATGTCGACCTTCAATATACGCATCGCAGAATTGGTGATATCATCTACGGCAATGGGCCTCAAGCGGTTATGGCCGAAGCCAGCAGACTAGATCACCGTCAATTACATGTCCTCAAGAATGAGCTTAAGGATTTGTCAAAGAGCCATACATCAATGACAAAACAAGGGAGGGCCAGAGAAGGATCCCAGGACTCTGTGGTCATGGCCAGAACGGTAGATAGTATGGCTGCGACTTTAACGAGCGAGTCTCACGACAACACAACCACAGAAAGGCTAAGGGTCACAAGCTCAAAGGAACTGCAGTTTCGATGGATCCATGTTCCAGCCAATAATGTAAGAGCTCTCGAATAGATGACCTACTATGAAATGATGCTAACATTTTGTCTATAGATACAATTGGCCAGAGTGAGTTGAGACACGGCCGTGTGTTTTGAAATAATTATTGACAATTGCATAGGATCTTGTTACTCGACTTTCCTTCGATTTATCCAAAACAGAAAAGGACCATCGACCCTTGGCTCGCTTTTTCAACCGGAGCTGGGCTGAGCTGGCTGCTGGTGGAGGGAAGCACTACATGAAACCTCAATGTTTGGTATGTCGACCTCGCTTTGGTCAACGTCGAGATCTAACAAGAACCTAATAGCACGAAACCGTAGAGTATCAGTATGCAAGTAATAATTCCGGCTTGCAACAGAATCCTCAGCATAGAAATAGCTGTGCAGTCTATGTATGCCCCCAAAACTGCAACATTGTCACTTGGCTGATAGCCTGCAGATGCCTTATCTTAACTTCGGAAGAATACCCTCAGTGAGACATAAAAACCAGGGTACCACTGACGAGTTATCAAAGGGGTTTGATACAATGATCGATCGAAATTCTACGAGAATCATGCACGAGCCAATGAGTCTTGACCAATATTTCTACGCCACTATACAGGATACCCGTGACAGAGATCATAGCCAGGTGATATCACGCTACATCAGAAGACAAGATAAAATGGGCGATGACCAGCAGATTCTGGTAGTTGATCAGTTGTGGATATGGATCATTGACGAAAGTATGAATCTGCTTCTTTCACCATATATATTCTTACTTATTTCTCTACAGCGACTATCATAACAACCACTACGAAGCCTTTGGACCAGTCAGAAGATATCCTTCTGCGAAGTATCGTTTCCAGCCTCATTTCTGGAGAGAGTAAAGGCCACTTTGAACGCCCGTCATCAGTGATAACAATGATGGAGTTGATTCTCGGAACTGCAAGTGGACTATTCATGCAAAAAGCTCCGGTTGTTGATAAAGCACGAAAAGGGCCTTTGGAGATATTTCGAGAGTCCATTCGAGAAGTAGTAGGTGAACGTCTTTTCGCCGAATTCCCGACTCCCGAGTAACATGATGACAGGCCGACGGTGAAACAAAACTATTCGATGAATTTCTGGGAGACCTCAAGAAAGAATCCCATCACCAGCGGCCAGGAAAATCCAGTGGCTCCCCTGCTCACGGCATATCAGTTCGGGAGTTGCCGCCTAATCCTTATCACATTATATCTGCAGAGACCGAGCTTCTTGATGAAATCAAAGATATACGTGATGAGCTTAACATTCTAAGAACTCTGGCAGAAGACCAAGAAACGGTATGGAAACAGGCATTCAAGACAGAGAGGCTGGACAGTCAATCTGGCTTCAAGTACAATCATCTCTGTACGCCGACCGAAGTGAGAAGGGAGATCAAGGAAATGGCCTTGGAAGCGGACATGGTTCAGAATTCCGTAAGTCTATCTATCTTGGGTGGTGGATAATTTTAACAATATAGATCAACACACTACTGGATTTAAGACAGAAACAGGCCAGTATCAAGGAAGCGGAATTTGGACGACTACAGGCCAACGATACAGTCCGCCAGTCGAATACTATTATGGTTTTTACCATCGTGACGATTATTTTTGTACGCTCCCTAGACATTCGCAAAAGCCTTTCTAATATATCCAGCTCCCTCTATCGTTCCTGTCATCTCTGTTTGCGCTGGACGTATCAAGCTTTCCACACGAAGGAGACAATCTCAGGTATCCAGAATGGTGGTTGTTTCCAATACTTTGTGAGTTCTCCTCTCTTGATGAGGTCCAGTGTTAACATTTGCAGTCGGTGTTTCTGCGGCTGTATCTATTCCATGTATCTTTGTTGCATTCAATGTCAACTCGATCATCAAGTTCTTCCAAAAACAGCCGAGATCACCAGGGCAAGGACAGCAACAAGCTCCAATATCACCGGTAGTCCAGGATGACAAGGATGTCTATGGACATTCAACGACTGTTCACAGTGAAGTTTCTAAGCTCGAAGATGTATTCAGAACGATCAGACACAATGGTCGACGCGAACCACCTGCGACTAACCCCTGTTGATGTCCACCTGAGAAAATCCGTCTAACCTACTGACTAGGTGTGAATATACCTTTTCATATTTTAGTGAATAATGATAATGAAATTGTCTTACTTCATCTACATATCATACATACATACAATCACAACCTCGCCAAATTCTTCTGCTGCTTCGCAATCATATCCAGCAAAATCTCTTCACTCCCACCACTAACGACCAACACCCGGACATCACGGCTAATCAGCTCAACCCTCTGTCCCTGTCCACCTTTGGAATATCCAAGACCTCCAAAGACCTGTTGGGCTTCCCGTGAAATCTTCTCCAGGTGATGCGCGGCTTGAACCTTGAGCATGGCTGCCAAAGTAGCAAATTCAATGGCTGGCATGCGTACGGAGCGAAAAACGAGCTCCTCGACGTACGCCTGGGTGGGTTCCATCCGGTTGACCATTTTTGAGAATTTCTGTCGGATGACTTGGTTCTCGAAGAGTGGTTTTCCAAATGTTTCGCGTTTGAGGGCGTGGCGGTAGGCATCTTCGTAGGCGACGCGGCTCAAGCGGAGAGCTGTGATGCCGACCCAGAGTCGTTCGTGGGCAAACGCTATACAGTTAGCATGGCTTATATGCCGTTCAATGATAGACATACTCGACATGATTATCTCAAATCCTTGATTTTCCTTGCCTAGGAGGTTCTCCGCAGGGACCAGAACCTCGTCAAACTCCATGAAAGTCGAGCCTATGGTTGTCAGCACCCAATCTAGACTTGATCGTATCGACATACCACTCGAGCTAACGCCCGAATTATCCAGCTTCCTCTTTGTAATCCCCTTCTGATCCAATGGAACAATAAAGACTGAAATTCCCTTCGCAGTACGAGGACCAGTTCTGGCTGCAACCAAACCATGTGTAGCCCAGCGACCTTGAGTCACCCATTTCTTCTCTCCATTGATGGCATAGAATTTTCCATCTGGGGTTTTGGTAGCGGTCGTTGTGAGGCCCGCGACATCCGATCCAGCTGAATGGTCAGCAGATACATTCAAGTTGGGATATCAGGTCATACCAGACGGTTCGGTCACACAAAGACAATGTCTCTGCTGTCCACGCAGTAAAGGAGCGAGATACTTTTCTTTCTGTGTCTTGTTCCCGTAGCGGTCGATTGGGGGTCCTCCGACGGTGGCACCGCCGTTGATTCCCCAGATGGTGCCTAGACAGCCACAACGGGCCATTTCATCGATGATCTGGTCGTTAGCTTGGAAGCGACATGTCATGTTGGTGTCTTACTATAGCATCATGAAACTCGTCCCATTCTACATGATCAGCAAAGCCTCGAAACAGAGTGGTTGGACATACCATCAACACTTATCCCAGCAGGAAGAGTAACACCCTGTACATAAGCACGGGGAATGGGAAAGGCAGACGCAGCCAGGAAACCCAAGGAAGCATGTCTTTTGAAGGCCTATATTTATCAGTCCTGTCCATTTAATTCAAGCTGGTGACGAACTGCTTCTGGTACTTCGCCCTGTTTCTCCCATTGTTCCACGTTTGGGGCGATTTCTGCGTCGGCGTATTCGCGAACGAAACGCTGGAGGCGATGGTGACTTTCTTTGTAGTATGGGTGGTCATTCCGGCGATGCCAGGCAGGATCAGCGCCGGGGATGTTGGATGTGAGGGCAGTAGACATGGTGATTCTGATATTTGATCTATTCTTGAGTTTCTTTGTTGTTTTATTTTGAATAATTATCTACTGTCTCTTAAATACGATAGTATAAATTATGATTGTCCCACCCTTATCCTGCAGTATAAAGTCCGCTCCGTTCGGAATTGATGCAAGTGCAATAATTCCGAAGATACTCGGAATGGGTCATTAGAATTCAATGTAGCCTCGCAATTATTGTTATCTTTGTTTAGTTTTTATTCGGAAACTACATCCATAGAAAATAATGAACAAATACTATTTCTGCTGACCTCTCCGCGTTATCCTGGACAGATTGAAATATATATCAACATTTTGAATTATAATACAAACATCTCTACAAAAAAATCAAAATGGCCAACAATCGCCTTCGTCAAGTCCAAAATCACCTCGAAGCCAATGATCCCGTGGCTGATCCAAGTCGGATCGATGGCCATGTCATTATCATCACCGGCGCAGCTCAAGGTAGCGCAACCCCTGGTACTTTGGAATATCCATATTAACATAAATAGGAATCGGCCGATCAGCCGCAATTCTTTTAGCACAAAAAGGAGCAAAAATTGCCTTGAATGATCTAGATGTGACCAAAGCCCAGGAAGTGGTGGATGAGATACGTGCTGCGGGTGGTGAAGCTGAATGTTATCCGGGAAATGTACTCGACGAGGCCTTTCCACAACGGCTGGTTGATGCGGTTCTTGCGAGATGGAGAGTTATTCACGGTCTTGTCAATAATGCTGGTATGCTATACTTCATCCCTATACTATAAATAAACTGACAAGATAGGCTTCTGCCACGACAGCGCAATCCACAAAATGGACGATGAAAAATTTGACATCATCATGAAGGTGCATAATTACACGCCTTTTCGGATGATCAGGGCATTATCGTCTCACTGGATGGATTCTGCCAGTAGACACATCCCCAAGACGATCGTCAATGTATCTTCAACGTCTGGTCTCCACGGCGCAATGGGCCAGATCAACTACTCAACCGCCAAAGCGGGGATTGTGGGGTTAACCAAGACGGTTGCTTCAGAATGGAGTCGGTGAGATTTCTATCTGTCTATTATTTATACAGCTGCTAATGATTAGATACAACGTACGAGCAAACGCAGTGGCATACGGCTGGATTGACACGCGCATTACTCGGCCACCAACACAATCTGAAGTGCTCAACGTGGGCGGCCAAGAGATCCGACCTGGCATACCTCTCAATGCGAAGAAATGGAGGGATGTGTCTGATATACCACTGGGACGACCGGGATATGCTTATGAAGCAGCACGGGTGATGCTCTTCCTGTCGAGTCCGCTTTCGTCGTATGTTACAGGGACTTGCATTGAGTGTACAGGTGGGAGGTTTATGTGATTGCCTATCTATCTAAATCTTGCTGGTTTTTATAGGCCTACAGGACAATATACACATTCAAGTCATTCAGACAGAGATTGGGATTCCTGCATGCTAAGTGAACAAGGTCCAAGACATAGACTATCTCAATATTCAAGCATGATCTCCATCCCTGTCATAGCCTGCTTGTCTCAACAGATCATACGAAAACACCCGTTTAAGGATATCTCAAGAAGAACTGCTGGTTCTTGTGTCCATTCTTGGGGTAAGTAATTGCCGCAGTCCTATTTTCGGTTCCAGCGGCCTGGATATCAATCACATTCTCTGGATGCGCAACGCTGTAGATGCTACAAGTTGGATCAAACATTTAGCAATCATTCAACTTTAGATATATTATTAAGAACACCACTCACTAGTATGATCCGCTTCCATCACGGACGGGGACGATCTTCCAGCGCACGCTTTTCTCAAGCGGCGAGAGCAGATTGCCGGTGATTTGAGATTTGCCATCAGCTAGCCACCACGTTGTCAGTATAAGCCATCAGAGCAGAAGGAATGCTTCATACAACTAGCAGTCAGGTAGGTGCCAGCCCGGATGTTGAAGATAAAATATTCTTCATTGCCAGCATCGGCAAAAACGAATCGCTGGTTTGGGCCGTATTGGTCATTGTCTTTGTTTTCGCTAGGGCAAGGCGTTAGTTTGACAGCAGCGCGAGGAACGTCAGACGATGGAACATACAAGAGCTGAAGCTTCGTTTTATCTTCCTTCTTGCCGTCATCCAGATCAAGTCTCTTGTCGGCGTGTCTGGCGACGACAATGTACTCGTTTGGTCCGGTAAAGTCACTCATGATGGCGGATGTAGATTGAGAATGTTTGATGTTTGAGAAGAATGTAGTAGAAATAGCTTGCTTGTTTGAATGGATTTTCGAGGGTAGAAAGGCAGTATTTATAGATTGACCTGGACTATGTCAGTCACGCAATTGCAAAAGTACAAAACGAAAGCAGCCGTATGACGTTGCTGCACAAATTCTAGGCCGGCCTTCAATGACACGTATCTCAGCCTTCTGCGATGTTACTGACCCAAACCCCCAACATGTACAATTGATTGGCTGGACTCTGTCATGAAGATGATCAGCCAGCCATACCCGCGAGAGTGGGGCAGCCGAAGGGATGACAGCCGAATAGAGTGTGCTTTAATGTAACACTGCAGTATGTGAACTCTGGGTACGTTACACATGACATCAATCTTTCCGGTGATTTATCATAGAATACATTAATGGCGTGTTCAGCTTCATTGGCGGGGTCTGGCGCTATTCAGTCACAGATGGTCTGCTCCCATAACGAGTCCTACTAAATTCAATTGAGATTCATTTCAAAGATGATTAATACTGAGACAAACAGCAATACTCAAAATGCCGAGTCAACTCAGCCATAAATCGGTCCTATGAGCTTCTAAGAGGAATCCATTTGCCTTGTTGCCTAACCGGCAGATCTACAACAGATTGACTTTCTGCATGAGACTATCTGCAGCATCTGCATTGATGTGAGATTTATTACCGAAAAGATGAGGCACACTGCCCCCACAGAATCAATGTTTATTACGCAATAATAGCATCCAGTGGGGTAATACAGTGTGCAATAGAGGTTCACAGGTCTGTTGTTAAGATGGCTAGCTGAGGACTGTCTAGCACGTCAGCATTGCACCAGAAAAAGCACTTATTGCAAATGCCATAGGCAATGGTACTCTAGAAGAAAGTATCGCATTGCTACTCCACTACCATTGTGGCTGGCTAAAGCTGAAATACAACTCTGCCTCATTTCCAAGCGACAACGGAGTGGAATTATGGTCTCCACTTATGCCCTGGCTGTTATGTTCAGATCGATTCATAACGACTCGCAAAGCTACAATTTCGTAAATCAAAATATATAGACACTTATTATAGCTTCGCCTTTTGGTTTAAGATAACATCAAAGACCTGCTCCAATCTGGCGATGGGTTCATCCGATATCTCTGCTCATGTTAGACCAGTCTATCAAAAAGTGATGACTTATGATAATGGACCACAATCCTCCTCTCGGCCAGTCTCAGCCCCCTCTTCTTTCCAACATCCTGCATATATCCCGGTTCAATCCCTGCAGCATCAAGGTCGAGCCAGACCATGCTCGTCCCCGCGGGGAGGACTAACTTTCCTCCCCGGCTCGTCCACATGTTGGCTATTTTCTTGGTTTTGGCGTGGGTATCTTGGAGCTTCCCATTCCTTCCGTATCCATATAAACCAAAAACATGATCTATAGTAACCCTCGCAGCAGCTGATATAATCACCGCCTGACGGATTCCCCGTCAGATAGGCTTTCGAAACCAACGAGCTTTGTTGATAAAATCTGCTGAACCCACGAGGATACCTCCAATGGGTGCACCCAGGCCTTCCGAGAAACACAAATTCACGCTGTCAAAGATGGAGGTCTACTCAGATAGACTCCCTGCTCCGGCAACAACAGCATGCCAGAGTCTGGCTCCATCAAAATGAACGCAGATGTCATGGTTATGGGCCCAGTTGATAATCCGACTTGTTTCGTCCAGCGACATCACGAGTCCGTGGAGTGTATTCTTCTCTAGGCTAATAAGTCTCATCGGACAATGATCGATATTATCCCTCAACACAGCATGCTCTTGGATATCTTCCACTGTCAAGGACCGTCCATTCCGAGACATAACGCCCACAACAGTCGCCCCAGTCCACGCGCTCACGCCTGCTGACTCAGACGTGAGGATATCAGATCGATGATCACAGGGAACAGCGTATAGGGGCTGGTTGAAATGTGTCCGAATAGCAACATAATTTCCCATCATGCTGGACATGACGAGTAAGCTGCTTGATGGCCGGTGCGGGTTGCCATGTATTATTGCAGAGGGTTGGTGGCTTCGTCTTCCAGAAATACATCATTTGAGAGGGTTATTGCCATGATGACTTCGAGCATGGGGGGTTGGTTTTGTAGTCGTGTCGGCTTTTTTGTTAGATTGTACTGTGATATGCTGCATGTGGATAGGCTTACTTCGGAGGTCGAATTCTGCAGCTCCATGGTCTGTCCAGTGGCTCTAGATAGACTTGTTGGCTGACATTTTGGCTATCTACTGGTGATGGTTGCGAGAAGTTGATGTTAAGTGAATATACCCCGCTTGATGATAGAGCCGGAGAATAACAAAATACCGAGATAAGAGTCAGTGAGCATCAGAATAGGCGATACCCTTGTCCCTAGTCAACCATCTTATTCGTACTCTAATTATACTTGGCCGTAGATGCTATCCAACATGGTCTAGCTTGCCATTACATATATCTAACACCATTACATAGACTAGGAGGTTAGTGCTTAGACTCCCAACAATCTCAAAAAGGAAATCGGCCACAAGTCCGTACCCCACAGCCCACATCCAGCCAATCACAGCAGGACAATCCCCGCTTTCCCCGGAATTTCGGCATTTCGCGCGGAATCAACATCCCCGCCTTTTCTCTTCTTCATTCTTCTTGATATCAACCATGGCGAATTTATTCCAGTCTCTATTATTTGATGATGGCATACCGGGGAGTCTAAATGCGCAGCCGTCGCAGTCACCGGAGCAAGAAGGGGATGGGAAGAAGGATACGAGGAAGAGGGCGAAATATATTGGGCGTGCATGGTGTGTTTTTCAGCTGGAATATGGATGCGATGCTGATTAGTATAGCCAGGATTGTCAACGGCGAAAGGTCAAGGTATGTCACCCCTTAGCATTATATGGATCGTACTAACGATGTAGTGTTCTGGAGACGATGTCTGTCTTCATTGCCGCGTAAGGGGAATTCCCTGTATTTATATGCCCAAGAATCGACGGGGCAGACAAAAAGGAGCTATTCAGTATGTCTTCACTTCATTTTATATGCTATTCTGACTTTGAAAGACACAAAAAGAAGAGCCCCGTCAAACCAACTACACCGACAGAATGGTCCGCCCCATCGTCAATGGCAGATATTGTCGACACAACCCGAGGATTGGATGAAGACACAGACGCATACGATGTCGTTGAACGGCGATCACGGGGTATATCCCTCGCATCACAGTTGCAGTCATTACGGGAGTTAGTATGTTCGAGTAAACCACTCTCCGGAACATCTGAACGACAGAGTCTACTCAATCGGGTGTTTGCCGTTGAACTCCCTCGGCCGGGTCGGATGAAGAGTCTGCTGGATGTATACTTTCGTGATCTGGACTCCTTCTTTCCCTTCCTAGATAGAGAAGAAACAGAAGGTCGTGTGTTGGGTGTGTTGGAGAAACTCGGCTACGATGAACACCACCATATCATTGACGTGGATTTTCGACATCATTCGACCGTCGCTTTACTGTGCAATATGATTGCCGTGGCAGAGTGTTTCAGTCCATATGAGAACACTGAAGACGTCAGACCGGGATGGTCTATCTTTGTGCGCGGTCGGAAACTGATCCAGTACTGCTCTTCTCCGAAATACGTGGATATAGATCTTGTGAGGTATCATGCTCTGAGTGCAGAGTATCTCATGCAGTCGGAACTGCTTCAAGCTGCGTCCCAGGCTATCTCGACAGCCTCGCAGCTGGCGATGCTAGACCGATTGAATGACCAGCGATCATGGGAGAATCTCACCCCTCTAGAGATCGACCATCGCAAAATGCTGTGGTGGATTCTATACTTTCTCGATCGGAAAATCGCACAACGTCTAGGGAGTCCATACATCATCCGGGACAGTGAAGTGGCTGTATCTGAGTTCCACCAGATAACAAATGGCCCAACTGTACAACCGACATATGAATATATGCAGGCGTTGATTAATCTTGCCCGACTGTGGAGTCAGATATGGGATACCTTTTTTGCAGCGGCAGCAGCGAGACCGTCAGACTGGAAGGAGATAGAGATTATGGATACGCGCATTCTGAACTCGCAAAGAGAACTTCCAATGAGTCTTACGTGGGAAACTGGCATGCTCCATGTTTATATGCCCGAGACTGAGCCGCAGATCCGCCGTCGGTTGGCGATATATATTGTAAGACCCATATAGATAACCTCATATATATAGTACTGACAGCCCAGCGAACAAATCTATTACGACTGACCATCCGCCACAATCCACTGCAAAACGATAGACACAATCCATCAGCTCAATTATGCGCCCGATTGGCATCGCAGACCGTCGAAGCGATCGCAGCATTCACCAACAGTTGCCCGAGCATCAAACCATGCGGGTTCTTCTTCAGCACGGCCTTGATTGAGTGCATCTACCATTTAATGTCGGTTGTTCAAGATCCATCATTGCAGGATGAGAAATCCTCTATGATTAAATCATTCCGTCTCTCGTACCGACTGTTGGTGCAATTCTCGCAGACTCTCGACACGGCCAAACGGGCGATTTGCGCTTTACATTCTGCTGTTTTTCCAGACGAGCAGGACACGACTCACACGAATAATAATAATAATAGCCAAAATACAGAAATACCGACGCCATTCCCCGACTACGACCCGTTCACATTCATGGTGTCGCCTGGTTTCGAAGGAAGTGCGTTGATGAGCCAGCTGGAGAGTGGATTGAGTCCGATGGGAGTGGATTTTTGGAACAGCATCGAGGATATCCCTTTTCCGTTCTGATGTAGTCAAACATGAAGACGGAGATTCAACAATTGGCCGGATGGTGTAGTTGGTTATCACGTATCGTTAACAGTTCAAACTGAATCCGATAAGGTCCTGGGATCGAACCCCAGTCTGGTCATTTCTTTTTCTTTTTCTTTTTCTAACTTCATTCATTTTTTAATAACCACAATTGCAAATATTTGAATTACAGCTTATTCTCCCTCTCTGCCACTCGTAACTGCTTCTTCAACACCTTTCCAGTCGGATTCTTCGGCAACGCATCTACCACCACCACTCCCCCTCGGAGCGCTTTATAGTTGGATACCCGACTCGCCACGAATGCAGCAATCTCACACACATCTGCTGTTTTCGATTTAAGAACAACAAAAGCACGCGGAACTTCAGTTGCTTCATTCTCACTCCAGATGCCGATCACAGCTGCTTCTTGCACGAGAGGGTGCAGGATGAGGATGTTTTCTAGCTCAGACGGGGCCAATTGGAAGCTACACAATTAGTATCGTATACATTATAGATAGATGGAATGCTCACCCCTTGTACTTGATCAAATCCTTGATGCGGTCGTAAATATGCAAACAGTCATTCTGATCAATAAAGCCCAAGTCACCGGTCCGCAGCCATCCATTCTGGATCGCCTTTGCTGTTTCTTCGGCGTTGTCTTTGTAGCCCCTACTACCGTCAGCACTGATATCAAACATAGATAGACAGAGAAATACATCATGACATTCGGACCCCGACAGGTAATTTCGCCCGGTCCCTTCGCGCCAACATCCTTCCCATCTGTATCGAGAAAGCGGATTTCGCTATTGGCGATGAGTGTTCCGGCTGCAGTTGATGAAGTGAGGATATCTTTATCTCGGGCACCGCTTTGGATGCATGGGCCGGATAACTCGGTGCATCCATACGCTATACATACTTAGCTTTCATCACTGATAGAAGGAAGAAACATACTCTGAGCGAGAACCGCACCCGGAAACGCCTCTCTCAGCTTCGCAGCTGTATCTTCCTACAAAAATCAGCATCTAAACACACTCAATCAACAAGAGACATACATGCAACGGCGCAGCCGAACAACTAAAATACTCCAGACACGGATACTCAAACTTCCTCACCTCCTTCCTCTCGGCCAACATCTTCGCAATCGGCGGGACGATCCTGGCTATCGAGGCCTTTCTCTCACTCATAAGCCGACAGTACGTTTCCAGCTCGAACCGCGGCATGAGACACACATACATGCCCAGCCAGGCACACATGGTGAAACACACGTATAGTGCGTAGACGTGGGATAGAGGCGGGAAGAAGATCTCTCGATTGTGGATGTTCCAGTTTGACGGATTATGTGTGCGCAGCTGGTAACATGCGGCCACGAGGTTGGTGTGCGAGAGCATGACGGCTTTGGAGCGCCCGGTTGTGCCGCTGGAGAGGAGGATTGCGGCGCATGTTTTGGATGGATCTCCTGGGGGCATGGGATGGGCGAGTTCGGGTTCGTTCAGGGATGGGGAGGTGTTGATTGGAAATGGTGGGTAGGAAGGTGAAATCTTTCCGATCGAGAAGATCTGTATAGACTGTGCCTTGCAGTGCGTCGACCTTTCCAACACACCCGGCAACTTGGTATACAGACTCTCATCAACAACAAGATAATCAGGCTTCACCAGATCAACCGCATGTCTGAACTCATCTGGATGGAGACTATTATTGATCAAACTAACCACACCACCTACATACCACACAGCCTGCGCGACGAGTATATACTCAATACTGCTTCCCGCGGAGATAGAGAGTATCTGGCCCGGTTGGAACCCGATTTTCGCCAAGTTGTAGGCTGTTTGGCGGATGCGCCGGTGGAAGACGCCGTATGTGGCTGTTTTGCCGGTGTGGGATTCTTCGTAGATGATCTTGTCGGGTGGTGTGTTTTCAACGTTGTCTTGCATCAACTCGGCGATGGTGATGTTGGGGATCTCGACCCAGACGGTGGAGCGGTGGATGGACATGGTGCTGTAACTACAGACTTACTGTTTTTGATACTGTACTCTGTATCTTAGATATATATTCCATTACCCGAATATTCTAGATGAGGTCGGAACAGAAGTTCCGAGGAATATCTGATCGTGGTGAACTTGATAGTTCCGAAATAAATTCCGTACAACTACAACTCCGCTGGAATTTAATAATTCGTGAAAGGGAACTGGCAATCGAACAGGGCACTAACTTTGGTAGGGAAGAAGGTATTACTTTACTATAGGAAGGTCTATCATTCATTGTATTAACTTATCCATTCATCAGATCAATGGGTGATTATTTAATAGACTTGAATGAAAAGACAAATTCGCCGACACGGCCCATAATTAGAAAGGAATCACTTTACCCATTACACCTCTCCCCTCCAAGTTAATTACAAAGAATATTACTTTTGAAAGTTGTGTTCAATCAAACACATGTGTCAGCTAGATAAACAAACATATGAAACCAGACAAGATTATAGCTAAAATTCGTCCTCATGGAATTGACCATTGCACCGCTCTCCAGTTTGTCGCAAAGAATACGCCTTTTGAAAAGTTGCACTTCATCAAGCACATGTGTCGATCGAGACAAATTCACATCCAGAGCTAGGGAAAAATACATCATAGCTGAAGCCAGTCGTCGTGGGATTTCCTCTGAGAGACTTCTCCCAGTTTCCGTTTGGGCAAACTGCAGCATCAAAGAAATCCTGGTCTTGTGGCGCTGTTACAGACAGCGATGGGACCGTCAAGCAACCATTTCTATCGGGCCTGAGGATTGGTGAAGAGTTTTCGGCAGGGACGTTCTGCGTCTTGACTTCAACGATATTGCCTCCTTTGTTTCTGCAAGTCACAGTAGCAGTAAAGTCAGCAGTAATTTGTGCTTGCGCATTGTTATTGCCGACACCGCAGATTTGGAATGAACTGCAGGAAATACTGCCATCAGGGTTACAGGTACAAGTTGCTTGACCGGATTTAATATGTGCCCCGCCACATTTCTGGCTGCTGACCAATAATGGCAGGGTCACTAGGAGGGTTATGGCAAGCTTCATTGTCATTGGTCTCTTTATGGGAACAATGGAATAAGCTAATTATTAGGAAGGAGGAAATACTATAAAATAGCGGTTGGAGATTTTTTTCTTCTGTCGAATAGAGCCCGGGTGGATGTGCTATTTATGGCTCGTTGCGGAGGATATGGCATTGGACATCAGGTGGCTTTGTCCAAGCCAACTCATGAGCTAGATCTTTCATCCTCGTTTATATGTATTCGCTATTGGCGTAAAAGGGCTCCGAAAACCAAAATTTGCTAAATTAATAAACAAGTTTTATCCTATCTACGTCAAGTGTACGTAAAATACTTTGCAGAACATCCAGGTATGGCATATACTAAGGTTTGGTAGGTGTTGGTTGAAAATTCACGTAACTTTTTGATCATTTATGTCACCTGCCAATTCTTTGCCTCATTAAAAATAAAAGTTGAATAAACATTTATCACAATTGTCCCTACATAGTAAACGTGTACTCAATTCGGCTGAAACCCATGGTTCCGATGCGCTTTGATGCCCCTTGATTTTCTGGACTAGCCGCCGATGGAGATGCCCACTTGTTTCTGGATTCTACAGTGCTCTTGGATGATGAATCCCAATTCCGACGACGTTATGAAATATCCTTTGCTGGTACTGCCTACAGTGATGCACTTTGTGTTCTAACTGAGCTGGCTACCGTAGGAGAGAAATTATGATGCTAGACATAGTATTGAATCTTTGATTGTCCCTCAATAGAATTAAGCGCAAAGCCGACATTAATAGCATAAGTCAGGATCAACTCTGAGTACGCCCGGGATTTTGAAGGCTAAAACGTTTTTTGAGGGGGGTTAGTGATGGCGGACCAGGCTACTATACCATACATCAATCCTGACTAAACCTTAGAAACAATAAGACATTTTTAATGAAAAGCCAAATTGAGGTGTATGTTGGACTATCGTTCCTATACCCATCTGGATCTCAGATCTATATATTATCAAATTATCAAGTTGTGGTGTGGCGGCGACCGGGAAGTGGTCCAGTTTCTGTTTGTTTCAAATTCCTAAAACCAGTATTATTAAGTTTAGCTAAGATACAATCGAAGTATAAGGTCATTAAATCAGTCATATGAAAGCTTCCCATAGAGACAGGCTGCCGAGTTCTCGCAAAGAACATGTCAGAATGGTTGATTATGAACATTTCCGGAATCATAATATTGACCCTGAAACTAAACCTAGATGAGCAACATAAAAATGACCTCAACCAGGGTAAGGATGAACACAATATCTATCTCAGTTGAAAATAGCAATTTCCCTGCTACATTAGTGGCAGTAGGGGTCGGGCTGCCGGTGGTAGTTGTAGTGGCCGAACCGCTCGTAGTCGTGCTTGTGGCACTGGCAGAGGTGGTAGTTTCTGTAGGATTTGATGGACCGACAATGCCACCTTGAACGTTTGCTGGCGCGCTGTCGCCATTTGCGTTCGAAGCTGCCGACCTGAATGCATCAAGACTGTCTGGGCCAGCGGTGCTAATGAGAGGGTTAGGTATTCTATCCAATGGTATTTAGCCCATCGACACTTACGGGGGGTTGATGACCCCAACCATTCCAGCTTCACAGTGTCCAGTCCTGGGACAGTAATACCAGATAGGATCCGTGTTATTAACAGTTAGTGTGAAGACAGTGGTCTATTGTGTTAGGATTATATCAACTGATTGAAATTTGGTTACACTCACAGATTCACCAGAAGCAGAATCTATAAATCCACTAAAAAAGCTAGTATCACTGAGCGGGTGGCACGATTTGGTAAATGAGGCCTCGGCGACTCCATGACTACCTGGATAAAAATGGAATTCGACTTTGCCACCGGGAGCAACGTTGATAGTATCAGGTTTAAACGTCAAGCCGTCTTCACCGACATCGACTGTTTGGATAGCACTCGAAGTTGAAGTAGTTGCTGGGCTGCTAGAAGTTTTATCCTGGGCACTAACAAGAGAAAACCAGAAAAGCAAAAATGTGCACAAGTATTGCTTGAACATTGTTGCCACAGGGTTGAATGAGAAATTTGACGGGTACGGGTGCATAAAATCCATGCGACTAAGAATCAGAGGGACAGTAGCTTTATAGGAAGTTCTGCGATATAAGGGTTGTCTAAAAAAGATAGAAGTCGGCCGTTGACATGCCAGTGCCACAGATTGGTTCGAGATCGGCCTGTGGAGAATAAAGGTCACACAAGGACTATTCATAGATGATGAACGCCGCGCGAAGCCACATGAGCAAACCTATCTTAATGTAGGATAAAGCTTGAGGTTGTTAGAGTTTAACAGCATTTAATATAAATATACATAACTGGCTCTTAATAGAGAATATGTGTAGGAGAACGCGCGTGAATGTCCATAAATAGGAATAAGGGTTCGAACTAAGATGGATGATGCGACCGCAAATAAGTGGCTTAGGAGTGCATGATGGAGGTGTCCCATGGAACATCCAGTGCTTGATCATCTGGCACACCAGAGCCTAATATAAGTGTCATCGAATGACACAGCTTCTCGCCCGCTGTTATGCGCTCTACATAACAAATCCAAGCAAAGTATATTAAGTACTCATAATAGCACGGCTCTCCTCTCAACAGACGCAGCGCACCCTGCCATCATGTTAAGAATGTCGAGCGCATACCTTGGCCTCTGGCTTTTTATGTCTATATCAGCATATGCACAGTTAGAAACTTTCACGCCTCCTGGGCAGAATTCCATCAGCTACAGTGTGAATATACCCCGAATAACTGCCTTTTCCGGTTCGGGGCCGATTTATTTCCAGCTGAAATCTACGAGCAACCTTCAGTGGTTTGCATGGGGCCAAGGTTCGCAGATGCGAGGAGCAAATATCTTTGTCGTCTATTCATCTGTTGACGGCACCAATATTACCGTGTCTCCCCGGTTGGGGGGTAGAGGGCATACTGAGCCAACTTTTAACAGCGATGCCCAGATATCAGTCTTAAGTGGCAGTGGAATCAGCGATGGAATGATCACTGCAAACATCAGGTGTGACAGCTGTATTACATGGCCTGGTGGGAGTGAAGATCCAACCAGCTCGTCGAGTCCATGGATTTGGGCTGTTAAATTTGGGAGGCCACTCAACTCTAACAGCGTATCTTCAACAATCACAATACATGACGCTTCCGGGGTTGCAGCTCTGAACCTTCAAAATGCAGTCGGTGGCACGTCTGATAATCCGTTCGTCAGCTCAAACAATACGAAAGGTTCAGGACATGCAATTATGACAACTGCCACTGGTTCCCTTAACAATCGGAGAATCGCCCATGCTGTTATTATGACAGTGGTGTTTGGGTTATTATTCCCCATGTTTGCGTTTATGCTCCATGCTATTCCATACTCAAGGGTAGTTGATATTCATGCTGCCCTCCAACTATTCACGATCGCATTGGTGATTGCTGGATTTGGTCTTGGGATCTCATTGGCAAAAAGCCTTGGTTTGATAAATAACTATCACCCTATAATCGGGATGGTGGCTGTCCCGGCCCTTATCCTCTTCCAACCCGCCATGGGCTTTCTTCAACACAGCTACTTTCACAAAACCGGGAGGAAGAGTGTATTTGCTTACACGCATCGATGGTTTGGCCGTTCTATCATAGTCCTTGGTGTTGTTAACGGTGGGTTAGGTTTACACCTTGCAAAAACAACCACTTCATCTGCTTCGACTGGCGCAATAATTGCATATAGTGTGGTGGTGGGAATCATCGGACTAGCCTACATTTTTGGGGTGATCTTTTGGCCTCGAAGAACGCATGGCTAGCTGTCTTCTCAATAGAGTTATCTGGAGACTATTCTAAAAGCAAAGCCTATTCACCATGCTTCTAGGGTCAACAGTCAGGACTGCACCTAAAGTACCTTAGCAGTTCGAGAGCTTTGGGGGATTGTACTTCCCAAGCTTGTTGGCTTATTTCTTACTAGGTAACAAATAGTGCGCCTGGAGAATCAATAGTCAAGATCCATAGCGATGATCCTCATTATCAGAGGGTTTGTTCAGCTAGAAGGCGTGTGGCGCTGATCTCCCTCTCTCTCAGCTGGGTCCGCGGTAGTCCAAGCAAGTATAGAGGGAAAATTGTGTATATATAAGATGCTCTTCATGCCCCCAGCTTTCGTTCATTCATTTATCCATTCATATTTCCCCTACTTTTTCTCTTCCTAGTATCGTTACTTTGACAACCTGATTATAATGCGGTTCAAGATCTTTGCCCTTACTGCCCTCTTGGCAGCCTCCGCCCCGGTGTATGCCCAGGACATTAGCGGTGCTGATGTTGTACAAAAGCTTGACTTTCTTACGGAGAGTGCTAGAAACCTGAGCAGTATCCTCCTGAACACTCAGGACCCTGCTAAAATAGGCCAGGTTTGTTTAGTATATGGCTTTACTATTTGAATATGCACTAACATTAATCCAGGCTATTCTTAGTAGCAAAAATAATCTTATCGCTGCAATTCCTGATAACCTTTCCCCTTGAAGGACTAGGCCGCATTTTCAATAATGTGCCTGATCTAGATCGATGACAAATTTGCAACGCTTATGCTGGGGTAGGGTGCCCCAACTACCAACTTTAGTAGTGAAAGATACTGACAGTCTACTGCCTGAGATAGTTCCATCAAGTTGATATGGCACTTCTCGGTATTTTGGTAGGGAAATCGAGCATTCTTGCCAAAGTTCCCGGAATAGCTGAGAGCATCGCGGTGGACTTCCTAAAGACTCTTCTTGATTTTTATGATGTATGTGTTTCTCGTACCCCTTATATATCCCTTTGTGTGGTGCTCTATCCATGGAAAATGCGACTGACTGCTTTGTAGAATTCCCTGCCTGCCATTGTTGACAAGACTCTTGGTTGTTCATCGAGCATTACACCCGCAGACATACCCAACGAGATACAATCAGTAATTCAAAAATACGAAGGTAGATTTCCCAACTAAGCTGGAGATGTGCAAGCCGCAGGGCATTCCTAGAATAACCGGGGAAAAAAAATAGCCGCTAACGCATACCAGGCCTAGATTTAAATTGAGGTCCTGGAAGAGTGGTAATGGGCCTAAGATTTTCGCTGACGAACCTCAGTTGGGACGTGTTTGGCATATTTAGATACATAATACATTTTAATCTTAATCGAGATCAAAACTACCTGCTGATGAAGTTATTGGCCATGTATTTTTTACATTTCTTTTCTTTCTCCCCCCCTCCTCTTTCCGCCCCAACATTTGTACTATCAAATGAGCTTGGCAGCTGTCTATCTAAATTGATAGCTGACTAGAGAATACCTCTGAACGAGTTTACACAAACTGGCCATGAATCCGGAGCACGGTTGATTCTTCCCGAGATCGTTGCACTTTTTTAAGTAAGATGTGTATAAGATAGTCATTGGATCTATATCCTTGCAATCACTGCTCTTCTCATCATCAAGAAAAATGATTGCTGCTCGCATCGATATGCCCGCTGATGCTGGCCGGGTACAATGACCCGATCCCCAGATTTACATCACAGTACATCCCAGCGGCGGAGGGTCCGGGAAAGGATGGGAGCTGAAAGCGAGAAAAGAAAATGCACGGAACTGGATCTCGCCGACCGCCATGGGTTGAACACAGATAGGCTGACAGTTCCCCGCACAAATAATGTGATTGGCCCGATGGTCGCACCTGGCCCGAGATTCAGAGAAGTTGGCTGTAGATAAAGTGTGTTAGTGGCGGCCCGACCACCCACCGCCTCCGCTAGTGGGTGGTCGGCAGCATAAAGGAATTTTCAGCATAGAAAAGAATAAATATTTAGGATGTTTAAAGTTATACAAACCGCCCAAAATGCCTAAATCATCTAAAAATCATGATAAATGTGTTAATGAGGCATATAAAGCTACTTATTATTATTATTATTATTATTAAAAAAAAAAAAAAAAAAAAAAACCTAAATATTATAAAAATTATATTAGTATTCTGGCGGACGGCAAGCCCGAGCGCTGCAAATGGCTGTTGCCAGTTAATTTCTGGCTTGCGAGTTCCTTGCTGTTTTCGTACTGACCGTAGGATATAAATGAGTACTTGATGGTGTTTGATCAGAGTGAGGTAATGATACGATAAGATGGCGGATTCTAGATCTCGGTCCCAAATCCAAACGAAGGCGGGTTCAGGTTGGGTTTAAGGTTAGGTTTGACAGGCTGGGCCAGAATACCGGAGAACAAGAGTAAAAGAAAATATTTAGTCATGTCCCTCCCAGCCAAGATTTTCGGTTTGTATTCAGTTAGCAATCCAGGAAATACAGATAGGAAGACACTAGGTTCTGCTGTATAATCATATAACGACAATCCTATGTCCGTAGGAAAGATGACAAGCTTAAGGGCTTATTTACGTTCGCGATGCAGCTGATAACCATGTTATTGCAAGGACTAAAAAGACCTCATGGTACAATCTTGAGTTCGTCCAATATTAGGCTTTCCAAAAGAAAAAATTGAAATATAAATGAAATAAAAAAAGTACTTAACCATAAACTCAACTTTCAAATCACCCTAGCCACCATAGAGCTCCCGAATACCCGCGATGTCATCATCTTGAAGCTCTGACCTTCCTTTGAAGAAAGGATACATGACAGCATTCGGGTCCGCTGAATGCGCAAGTCCCAGGGAGTGGCCAAACTCATGGAGAGCAACCTGCATGAGAAAATTTTCTTGAGTCCAGTCCTCGTCCTCGTCAAAGTGCAGGTCACCTGCGAGATAACCGGCATTAGGAGGCGGGAAGAAGGCGTGCGCGAGCACATTCCCAGGACCGTCGAACGGGGCGCCATCACCATGATTTTGTCTCGCAAATTTGACGAGCATATCAGCGGCATCTGGATCATCAATACCATGGACATTATTTCCATTTTCATTGTTTCTATCAGGAATCATCTCGAACCACATATCTCTGGGTAGAAACATTTCCCATCTATCAAGGGCTGCCTTGAGAGACGCGTAGATCTGTTTTCTTGACAGACCCACAGTTGGGTGGACAAGGTTGACAAGTTTCCAGGTCAGAGGTCGGCGAGGCCAAGCGTTTCGCAGGGAAAAACTTGCAATAGAATTGGGGGTGTCAGGGAAACCGCATCGCTTGGCCTTCATCGCATCGGCTGTATCGGAATCATATTGGCCGGATACAGACAGGCCCAGGAATCGCTGCATACGGCCCAGTGCGGCACTATCATCCTCCTCGAAGCTGTACTGATCGGGAGCCCTGGATCGGTCCAAATAACCGAATCGTTGCAAATAGGCTCGTACATATCCCCTTGCCTCCTTGTCCCCAGCTGCAACGTCGTGAACCTCGGGGACCTCCCAAGCTTTAGTCTTCATAATGGCGGTAGATGGTAAGGAAGCTATACAAAGGGTTTATGATATCCTGAGAAAGGGGTATCAATAAAACAAAATCCAAATATTCCAGGGCATTCTTATACCTGAGGTGTGGCAAATTCCTGGATTGAATTACAAGCACTCGGTCGTATACATTCGGGTCAATCTGTAGACTCGAAGTCTAGAATTAGCTCATACGAGAATGTAGTTGACCAAAGTCAATGATAAAAAGTAAAATTTGCATTTCCGCATATTTGAACGTAGTCTCTTAATAATGGCACAGAACTAATAGCTTGGCTTGTAAAGTGCCAAGTTCTCTCTGTACATGGTAACACTGTCAGGTGGCCTTACATTCTGTACTCAGTTTAATCATTTGACATCGCAGAAACACACATGCATGACGTTAGAGACTTTATTAAGGCTATCATGCATATATTAGACAATCCATGGTATCTGTATATTCAAACCCATTGGACAATATTATTCTCTTTTCAAACTTGTTAGTTTTGGTTATTTACACTGTCTATTGTTCTAGATCTGTCCATCTACTTGTCAGTTGGGATCAGTTTGTTTTGATTGGATAGACAACTGCCAAGGTTATTACCCAGTTATACAAATATATAAACTTGTAAAGCCTGGGTTCAAAAAGCCCCCCCCCCCCCCCCCCCCCCCCTCCAGCTAACCTTGTAGCCGCACTTATGTCTGCGTTTGGGTTATTCAAATCCACTTTCGGCTCGATACTCCGCAAGCCGGCTGTATTATCCATTGTGCAGGGAACTTCCGCCGTATTAACATCCGTCGAGCCCTGACCAGGGTGGGATGATATAGTCCCTGGGCCCGAGTGATTTGGAATACTCTAGAAGCTGAAGGTCTACAGACAAAGAATCATTGGGAGGACATGAAATATATTAAAGAAAATAAACGAACAGAGGATAGGAGTGTTAGGTGGGTAGTTTCCAAGGAAGTGGTTCTGAAATCATAGAAAGTAGAAAGTTTAAGGGTCGAAGAGGAAGTTTTGATGCTAGAAGACACTCATTCACCTCCAAAACTAGCTTCTAATTTGGTGACAGTAATAAAAGGACAGAAGAAATGCATGCTAGGTTCATGTATCTGATGCACGCCACAATGCAGATCCAAGGAAAACGATTAGAATCGTGTGTGCATTAGTCTTTCCCTATTTCTTGATTCGAGCTGACGCAGAACTAGTCCCCCTGTGAGACTCTATCCTGAAGAAGCCTACCCAACTATTTGAATTTGAAATAGGCTTTGAGGCTTTTCATTCTAGCCCAGACACATTGTATAAATAATATGGCCATATCGACGGTAGGAGAGACCGAAATGACCATTTTCTTTTCTATCTTGTATATATAAAATAAGAAAAGACCTGAGAGATGTATTTAAGGGGTGCCTGTCATTTGCTAAACTCTTTGGCTTATATCCTTCCGTTACTAAGGTTTCTCTTACCTTTCTAAATCTACTTAAGCAAGAAAAACTCTTTGTGCGTGAATTGAATGTTTCGAAATTTCATGACCATAAGCTGAACCGAGTTCAGAGTTCTTTGATTATATTTGACTCTAGCTACTACTAGTAGATACTAGTCTTATTAACATTTCTAATAGTAATAGTAGGAAATAAGGAAATAACCCTATCAGTAACAGTAAAGGTAATAATAATAGCAGCTCTAGATGGACAATATTACTACATTACTAGTATAGAGGATATATTCTATAATTATTAATTATTAGTCCTTTATTATCGAGATACCTATACAGAGCCGAGTAGTACGTAATTCCTTATTAAAATAATAGTTAAATTCTCTATGCATGGTGGTAAATTATGGGGGAAGCCATAGACTGATCTTATTCTACTAGGATATCCTCCCGACTCTATGTGGGACTTCTTCAGTGCCCTGTCTTTCTAAGAACTTGCCCTGTCCACTTACCAGATCCCTTAATAAGATCAAGACCCCGATACAGCTTCAATGATTATCCCTGGAAAACAACGCAATGATATCATCTTTCCCACACGCAGCCGCTACATCCAACGCAGTCACGCCTTCTTTATTCTCTTTGCGCGGACTCACTCCTAATTCCACCACAAGCTTGAAGAGATCTAGTCCGCCCTCATCAGTTTCCCACGAAGTTCGTCGGGAAATGGCATGCAGCAAGGTATCGCCATTGTGATTCACAGCGTGGATGTCATTCTCTGTAAGTATCTTTCGATGATCTTCCACGTCAGGAGGATGGAGAAGTGCATATTCCCCCGAGCGTACTTTGACTGTTGACACATATGCGAATAACGGCGTATTACCGTGATTGTCTCGGGATTCACGGTCACATCCTGCCTCGACAAGTCGGTGGTATAGCTGTCTAGTATGGATGAGCTTCTGCTGCACTTCTTTATCTTCATCGCCTTCTCCCTTGCAGACGGATGTGCACTGCATCAAACATGGAGCTATACAATGGAGTGCTGTTCGACCATCCGCTAGCCTTGTCAGTGGATCAGCACCAGCGTTCCAGAGAGCCTCAATAGCCCATCCGGTGGCATGCTTATCCTCTTCACGTTGAGGAGGACTGTCCATGGCGTAGTGGAGAGGTGATAGGCCATCGTTATTCTTTTTCGTAGCAGACACAGACAATCTCAATAGCTCCTCAGTTGTCTTGCGCAGTCTAGACTGTATAGCATAATGTAATGCCGTTGATCCAAAGTTGTCAACCGCGTGAATATTCGCTCCCATCTGGATCAGTTGAAGAGCTGTATACTCCTTCCACATTGCTCGCTCCAATCGGTCAGATAGATCGCATGCTCTCATCAAGGGTGTACGCCCATTCGAGTCCCGTAGTTCTATATCAACACCCGCTTCAATAATCGGCTTAACCAGTCCGTTCATACCACAGATCTCATGAAACACAGTTGAACCCTCCAATGGGTGAAGAGGGTCTGCGCCACGAGCAAGTAGCACAGCGATGATCTCCTCTCTCGGCGCTACTTGCCCATTCCTATCTGTCCCATCATCCTCAATCCAGTAGCCATTCGGGCATGCGGCCAGGAATAAAGGAGTCTTTAATCGATCCTCATCTATACTGCGACCAACTGTTTTGGATTGGACGTTAGGATTGACACCTTCGCCCAAGAGCAACTCCACAGCAGAAGTGCTGAGACTGCTGACGGCTGAAAATATCGCCGGGATAGGCCCAATGGACGGGCTGGCACCATAGGCCAGAAGCCTTCGAATAATAGAAAGGTCCTTTTTGCTCAATAATGCCTCATTCAGGGGTGTACCGCTTCGTGATGAGATATCGTTCACATTTGCCCCATACTTGATCAATATATGCACCGTTCGATCACACCACATTGAGAATTCAGTTTCAAGTGCACAATACAATGGCGTTTCCCCATATCGAGCATTGGGCACATCTGGATCTGCTCCTGTTTCCAGCAAATCCGTCAGGGCAATGCTATGCCACCAGTGCTTCCCCGAAGCAAGATTGTGCACCGCCTGGGAATAACTATACGCTGGCCATTCTTGCATTCCTTTTCCTTGTCTCTTGATACCCCATCTAATCAATAGTCTGATCATCTCAATATTTGGCAGCTTCCTCTCTGTGGCAGTGACAAGGAGCGGAGGCGAAAATACCTCAAAATCCTCAACAAAAGGGATTAACCGTCTCATGATTGGCATGAGTCCCCAGCGGACGACAAAATGAAGTATCGATTTGCCGTTGTCCTCCACCAGCTTCAGATGTTTGGACCGGAAGAGCCTCTCAACTAACACATCGTGCCCTGCGGAGATGGCATGTTTCAAGAAGCTCATCCTGGCTTCAGGGGTTTGCAGCATTCCTCCCAGTCCTTGTAGGTTGTCTGCCGTGAAGAATGACAGGTATCCTCCCAGCGTGTGGGGGGCGTAGGAGCGTTTGGGGATGTGTAGCTTGTCAGGCAGACCCCGTATCAACGCCTCTTCTGATGGTGTCTCGCGATGACAGTTGACATGGCCTGGATCCGCCCCAGCAACCAAGAGTAAACGAATAACCTCGTCAATGCACTTGCTGTCCTTTTCACTACTGATGACAAGCTTTTCTGGATCAGAAACACGTTCAAACTGTGCCGCCATATGCAGGGCAGTTCGCTCTGTATTGTCATCCACCGACACGTCTGCTCCGGCATCCAGCAAAAGCTTGACACATTCATACCTCCCACAGTTTGAGGCAGCGTGTAGAGGAGTCTGTCCTGTGTCATTTCGACCATTTATCGGAAGGGGTCGTGCTTTGTATCTCTCGATCAGAAGACCAAGAGTATTGGCTTGGCCTGCCCCGGCAGCAATGTGAAGCGCGCTGCATCCCCTAGCGGTGGCCTGAATATCGGCTCCAGCTTTGATTAATCTCCACGCGTTCCTCTCAGAGGCCAAAGCTGCAAGATGCAATGGAGTGAGGCCTTTGCTATCAGCTCCATGGATGTCCAGCTCTAGCTGAGGCTGCAAGACAAAGTCGAGTCTGGTTGATGCTTTGCCGCTGCATGGTTCATCGTTATCCTCGTTCATCTCCGCTGCCATGTGCACCGCTGTTCTTCCCTGGTAATTGCGAAGTCCAAGCGGTGCTCCGAGTTGAACAACTGCATCCGCAGATTTCTGAGCTTCTTGCCACTCGATCTTCCACCTGATGGCGTCGTGGAAGACGCCATGTCCATTTACATCGACGGCATGAATGTCAGCGCCAGCATTGATGAGGTCCTGCATCGCCTCAACCTTTTTTTCAACGTCTCGATGGTCATCGGTTCCTATTCTACACCTTACAGCATAATGCAGTGCTATATCTGTCTGTCAGAGCCAGAATACATCCGGGGACATTCACTTACCAGTCTTTCCCATATTATCGTTCACCTTTGCATCCGCACCAAGCTTGAGCAGCTCCTTTATCAAAAGACAGTGATCATAGGACCAGTTACTGGCCATCAAGGAGAGAAGAGCAGTCCGACCATATTTATCCCGAGCTTCGAGGGACATTCCTTTTCCGACTATCAACGCGAGCATCTCAAGACGTTCAGGCGTACAGCAGTTACGCATGAAGTATGGTAGTGCATTTTCACCCGTTTCGTTCCGGACGTTGGGATCAGTACAAGAAAGCCACTTGAGCATCTGCTCGGGGTTGATGGACGGGTCATCCACTGCATAATGTAAAGCCGTTTTCCCATGATGGTCTTGTAGGTGGAAGTCAGCTTTCAACTCCTGGAAGAATGTGGGATCTTGTAGATTATGCCCTGCTGCAGCTGCGATCAACGGGGTCTGCTTGTGCTTTTTTGATACGGCGTTGATATCCACCCCCGCGTCAACTAGCAGTCTCATAGCCTCGTCGGTGTATTTCACTAATACCGAACCCAGCTGGTGAAGAGGAGTGCCTCCCTCAAAGTCGACAAGAGAGGCATTGGCACCATGGTGGAGCAACAAGGAAATGAAATAAGTGGCATCCTCCCCGCTCGATTCATTATCCATTCGCCCTGATGCAAACAGAGCAGTTTGTCCATTGTGATCTCGAGCATTGACATTGCAACCGGCATCCACAAGGACCTGCAGAACGTCTTTCATTTCTTGTCTGCTGCGACTCCGGGGAATCCAATGATAGAGACGCTCCATTCGCGCCCATCCGTGGACAGGCGTATATCTCTTCCCCTTGAACCCCTGTTCCTCAGAGTGGACGGTGATGCTCGCTCCGTGTTCGAGCAATGTGCGAACGGTAGCACTATCTCGAAATCGCGCCGCCAAATACAATGGAGTGTTACCATTCACATCCTTGTCATTAATGCTGTTTCGGACTTCTTCATGTTGCAACAAAGCACGAACAATGCCCATTTTACCCGAAGATGCAGCCCAATGGAGGGGACCACTTCGAAGATGAGATATGTCGAGAAAGTCCTGCAAAACGAGAAATGACTGGACATGTCCATGTCGACAAACATAGCGCAATGGCGTGTCACCTACTGTGGAGGTGTAAAATGCTCCCTGGTATCCAATGTCTTCCTTTGACTTAAGAACCAGCGGGTTTGCTCCTCCTGCTAGAAGCGTACGCAAGGTTGCTGGATGATTTCCTCTCGTTGCATGGTACACAGAGGCAAGTCCGCCATAATCCTTGCCATTGGGATTGGCCTGATGTTGTAGAAGAACCATAACAACTTTACTCTGTCCCTCCATGGCAGCATATAACAGCGGTGTCCGTCCAAATCCATCAACACAGTTTGGGTCTGCTCCGTTGCAGAGAAGGTGCTCAGTGTATCCAACAAGTCCGCTGTGAGCAGCAACATGAAGAGGCGAGACACCGTCTGGGACATGTGGGAACATGCCACGCCAGAAATACTTCCAAGATTCGAAATAGTGACTGTCTGTTTGTAGGAATGCATCTAGATGGGCATATGTTTCGGCATCCAAGTCGATCGCCTTGGAGGCGTGGAATGGCCAACGTTGTGCGGCATATTGCAGGAAGTGAAATAGCTGCATCAAGTCAGTCTGCTCTTTTGGATAATTCTTTGACATTCTTGGTTTCTTCTTGTCTTTGAGTGTCCACTCTTTGAAGCATCCGCTGGTAAGATAGTCGAGACAAGTACGCGCCATCATTGCATGGACAGCTCTGGTATCAAGCATGGCAAAGGATTCGTCGTTTCCTTCCCTGTGAACATGGTTCATGGTAGGGTTGGTAAGAAACTCAGTCAAAGAATGATGGATGATCTGGATGACTCCATCTTCGCAGAGTTCCAGCAAAGGACCGCATGTGGTCTTCACGGCCGACTTTGCATCTTGATTTGGATCGAGGCCACCTCGACCAGGCAAGGAATCAACCAAAGCTGCTAGTTCAAGTAATCGAAGCGGACGAGCAGAATGCGTCACCCATTTCAGAACTAGTTGTTGGAACTCCTTGGTGGTATGCGACCGTTGGGCATGTTCATGAAGGATGTCGGCGTACATGTTTCCCAGCCCGTCGGGGAGTGAATCGAGATGGGCAACAACATTTTCAGAATGCAGTAAAAGCTGGTCCATCATCAGTCTCGCATAGAGAAATAGACCTTTTCCTCTGTCGCATATAGTCTTCTCAACTATAGTAGCTTCATCCTGGTTGAAGTTGAACTGCGCACTCTCCAAACGATGGGCGATATACGTCGCAATGTCTCGATCCACATTTCGACGATCAAGACGAAGATCAACAATAGATGAGCCTTCGAGATGTTTTTCCAATTGTGGCAGCTGTCGACTGGTGATGATTATCTTGATGGACTTGGGATGTTGTCGTCCAAGGTGAAGAAGGTCCTGTAGAAAAGAATCATGCCCTTCCTCCATTTCATCTAAAGCATCAACAACACAGTAGACCTTGGGAAGTCTGGCCATAGAGGAAGAGAGACATTTCCAGATATCATCAAACGGGACTGTTTCGACATTGGGATGCTCCTTCATCAACAGCTTCAAGCTCGACTGCAAGCGGGAAGAATGGTCAACTAGAACAGAGCAAAAGTCCCGGACCAGCGATTGAGGAGTCTTATTAGAGAGGATGATACTGCGAAAGAAGAAAAACAAGACAGGAGTGTCTCTTTGTTGCTGTAATCGATGGATCAAACTGGCAGCGACGACGGACTTCCCACTGCCAGGAATGCCCCTGATCCAGAGATCACCGATCGTGTCTGACTCGCTCCATTGGCGATATTGATCTGTATTTAGTATCCATCCGCCAGTTCCTGGAGAGTGGGCGTTGAGATGTTTGTGATATTCGCTAGTGGGAGAGTCGAAGTCTGTGGGGGCCAGCCATGTTTTGATGTCGCATACGACAGCGGGTGGTTCTCGCATTGCTTCCTCAAGGTCTTGATTGTCAGTATTATACAACCGAATTAGAATCAAACTCACCAGAATGGGTGACGACAACGTAGTCGTCCATCACGGAGTCGCTCATGGTGGTTGTTGTTGACACGAGAGAGGAAGAGCCAGCGTGGGGATAAACAGTGACAGGCAACAGCGTCGATCACTTGATCCAACGAATTCCATCAGCGTTGATAAAGGATCCGCAAAACAAACATTGCTCTATTTAATGACTTTTGTCAGTCTATTATGATATGTCTATTATCATAAGTAGATTGTTACTGATTGGGCGATTTGTTTGCCATATGTATATGTCTACTTCCAAGGCCTTTTCAGAAACATAAAACCTACATAAAAGCCAAAAAAAAAACATTATTCAGCATAAACATATAGAAGGGATGTACAGAACCCTATCATAAATACGCTCGAGCATCCTTATTATCTTCTATACAGTCGAGTGTTGATGAAAGTCAAGATTGATATCAACCAGTAGACAACCAGTTGAGAACTAGTTCATGACTGGTTAAGGTATACTTCATGGTCCCAGATAGGCATAGCGCCCCACTTATCGCACTTTTGCATCATCTGATTGGCCCCTCCGACCCACTTTCAGCGTGATCTCCCTTTCTTTCCTGTTTTTCTCTCTCTTTCTCTCTTTCTTCATCTTTCGTGCCATCATCACAACCGAGACTGGCTCTCATGGATCCCTTCAAATTCTTCCCATGGAAGCCCACTGAGCTGAAAGCATGGCTGCGGCATTCCGACTTTCTGAGGAGGTCTGGAAGCCTCACTCGACTCAAGGCCTCTCGTATTGAAGGGAATGGCTATTGGATCTTCGCAAATGAGGCCTTTCGGGGATGGCACTGGTCCTCAGAACCCTCCATTCTCTGCCTCACCGGCGATTCAGGGACGGGCAAAAGTACCATGGCAGCGTCCATCGTCTCCTATCTTCGTCACGCAGAACATGAGGTCCCCATCCTGTTCTTCTTCAATCAGGCCATTGCTACTCGCCATGCTCTGCATATGCTGCTCAGAGACTGGCTCGCCCAACTAGTCGGATTTTCATGGACGGTGGAGGATGAACCGGGAAGAATCGTCAGAAACCAAGGAAGACCTCCTGATGATGTGTCGGTGGAGGAACTATGGTCAATCCTTCTTCGAGGACTGGAGGAAGTTCGTCACGTCCGCATCTACTGTGTTGCTGATGGCCTGGACGAAATGGACCCATCATCCAGTGCTCTTCTGGAAAGATTTCTAGAACTGGGACATTGCAGACCTATAACTGTCAAGCTTCTTCTAACCAGTCGTTCGGTGCCTCATCTACACGGCCTGTTGAGCCATCCATCGATGCATCAGGTGCGAATTGACCATGAGAGGGGGCTCAAGGCGAACATCTCTTTTTACGTCAGGTCCAGACTGCTGAAAGCAAAACATATTCCCGCAGTAGTTTACCCGCTGATCCAGTCATGGATAGAGAGACAAGCCGGGACATCGTTTCTATACGCCCATATCGCCGTAAATAGACTGGTCGAGAATCAGACCAGAATGGACATGGCTACGGCACATCAAGCGCTCTACGTTGTCCCTCGCAGTTTCACAGATCTCTATACAGACATGCTTCGTCATGCTATTACAAAAGACCATATTCCTCAGAAAGATCTGCTTGTCATTCTGCAGCTTGTCACTCACTGTGCCCGACCACTCCGTCTGAATGAAATTGCAGAAGCTCTGGACTTTATGCGGGTGGCGCCTAACGGACTCCCAAATACAAAGGCCACGGTTCGAGCATCATGTGGCCCTCTGCTAGAGGTCTTACCAGACGAAACGGTCCTAGTTATTCATCGTTCAGTCACAGACTTTCTGCTGGATTCAACTCGCAGTGACGACTTCCCCATCATCAGCCAAGTCGACACCCATAACCTGTTGGCAAAATTGTGCCTGCAATATTTGACCAGCGGCTGTCTCAACCCAGTGCCAATACGAATCAAAAAGGAGCTTGACCGGTATGATATGGAAGAAGAGTATCTTTCTCCCAGCTTTCGAAACGGCCTTGAAAAACAACTCCGTGGTCATCCTATGTTAGAATACGCCTTGAATCACTGGTACTTTCATGTGTGCCATTCGAGATTAAGCGCAGAGATTCTAGCTCTCCTGGAAGAATTTCTGAACCCTCGAAAAAAACCGGTGCTTGTATGGGTCTGCCATGCTTTCGGACCAGACTATGCATTGAAGCCCATCACACCACTGCACATCGCGGCCTGGACGGGTATGACAAACTATGCCGACATCCTCCTTCAAGGGGCCTTTGCCAGAAACCCAGACCCTCCTGATGAAAAGAGACGCACTCTCTTGGGTACTGCCACACGAAGGGGACACACGGAATTAGCTAAATTGTTGCTGGAACGTGGCGCGAGTCCTGACCTCGCGGATAGTGACTGTGTGAAGCCACTTCATTACGCTGCAAGCGGGGATCATCATTTAATCGTCAAAACACTGCTTGTTGCCGGAGTCAGTCCAGTGACTGATGGCATGTTAGGATATAGAGACTCAACCCCTCTAGAACGTGCTTTTGTTGCTAGGGCTGGAAGATCGATACATGAGATGATCCCTTATCTAAGCGCTGAGCGTATTGGCGATACCATTTGCCTGGCAGCAGGAACACGACAGCTGAAGATAGTTGAATTGCTTGTTTAAAAACCGGAAGCCAACATCAACTGTATGCGATACGAAACAACGGCCCTTTTCCAAGCGGCTCAGGACTGGGATTGGCAAATGGTAGAGTTATTGCTCCAGCGAGGGGCAGATCCAAAATTGGGTTCTCATCAGGACTCGAGGCTGGAGTTCTCTCTCAAGACTTTTTGCAAGAGTTCTGATTCCGGTGGTCCCAGATATCCACCTCTTCATGGTATTCTCCGCCATTTTCGTCGAGTCTTGGACTATGAACACCAGCGCAAAACCCTCGATGCATTACTCCAGGGCGGGGCAGATATAAATGTGGGTGACTACGAGGGTCGGACGCTGTTGATGCAAGCTGTTGTAAAACAAGCAGACATAGCCTTTGATTTGCTGCGTCATGGCGCCGACCCAAATATCGGCGATTCCAAGGGAAGTACGCCTCTCCACGAGGTGATGCATGGCACCCGCTCACCCCTCCTCGATGTTGGACATGACCCGGACATGGCACTCCTGCTTCTTTGGTCATTACTGGAACATGGTGCGTCGATATACACTCGCAGAAAGCCCACTGGGGACACACCATTGCATACCTTCCTTTCGGCTGGCGGTGACCCTCTCGACCTGCCCCCGCATCCGGACAACATAGACTGGAATGTTGTAGATGCGACAGGCAATACACCTCTCCATTATGCAATGGAACACTGTGGTAAATTCAAGGAGGAGTGCATCAAAGATCTAGTCGATGCGGGTGCAAAAATCAACCACATGAACCATGCCGGGCAGACACCATTGCACAAGGCGGCCATGACTAAAAATCTTCCCAGAGTCCTGCCCAAAATGCTCAAGCGTGGAGCAGGTATTGAATATTGTGACAATCGCGGGTACACCGTGCTGTTATATGCCTTACACTGTCCATACAGTGCGGCTAAGAATGTGTCCTGTCTTGTCAATGCGGGAGCTGATGTTTTTGCGATTGATAATAACGGAAATGGCGCCTTGCATCAATTTTGCCGGAATCCCATGGACATGAATTTGTTTCAGCAACTCATCGATGCAGGTTGTGATATTCATGAAGTAAACAATGTCGGAGACACACTACTACATACGATCGCCCGGGATCCAAGAGAAGGATCCGTCCAGTTAGCACGCAAACTGGTCGAACTTGGCCTGCCAGGGAACACAGGAAATAACAGTGGCCAGACTCCAGCACATATACTATGCTCTCATGAGAATTACTACCATGGATACTCCCTCAGCACCAATTTTTGTATGCAATTGCTGGGCCTGGAAACGGGCATTGGATCTGGGATAAATTTGGAAGACTGCAATGGTGTCCGGCCTATACATCTGGCAGCCAGCGCCACCGAGGCTTTCATGGCTAATCTGATTAACAAGGGCGTGGATGTCGAGCCACAGACACACCAGGGACGCAATGTGCTTCATATCGCCGCGGTGGCTGGAGATGCCAACATGATTGGACTCGTTTTGGAAGCATTGGGCCCCGACAAATCCGCGGTTGCTTGCAATCAGCAGGATGATTCTGGATTTACTCCATTACACGAGGCTTGTAGATCAGGACGACTGGAATCCGTGGCGCTACTCCTTCAAGCGGGCGCTCAAGCGACCAGCGCCGACAAAAGTCGCCGGACACCGCTTCATATATGTGCCGAGTTTAGCAAAGGGAACCGTCATGGAGATGACATGTGGGATGCTTACCGAGGATGGAGTGGTCACTCAGAGAAGGAGACACTGCGCGTTGGAGACATTGCGCTTCTTCTGATAAAACACGGGGCGGATATGTTCGCAACCAACGAGCGATACGGACACACGCCTATCCAACATGCGACGAAGCATAAATGCGAAGAGATGATAGCGGCTCTGGATCCTGCGATGAAAGATGCAGCACTTAGGGACAGTTCTCGTGCACCTAAATACCGAGATACGTTCATGGAAAACTACTTGACACTCCGTCGACGAGACATCCCGAGTCTGATCGATGAGTATCTAAAGGATGCGGGAAAAGACGTGGCAAGGCTTGGTCTTAGGCTACTCAACCTGGGTGAATACAACGGCGTGGAATACCTGGCTAGCAGGCTGGAAGAACCCCCCATTGACCTCTTAAAGAAGCTAGCAATGGGTGGCTTCACACGTCTCTTCGAAGCTATCGGGCGGAAGTTTCCTGATTCGTCCTGGATCAACACAACGGTGTTCAATGACGATGAAGACGGGCATGAGACCACATCTACATTCCTCTCAAAAACCTGTGAGAGAAGGGTTCCCAACTTAGACATGATCAAAGTCATGGTCGAGGTCTTTGGTGCAGATGTCAACCTACAAACCTTGCAAACGAAACGACAATATCACACCTTGGATAAAGTGACCGACAAGAGGCACAACGGAGCTCTGCACATTCTCGCTGTCGGCAAGCATTGGTGGCAGACAGAAGCCATGCCGTATCTGATCGAGAGAGGCGCTGATGTGGACTTGGTCAACGCCAAGGGAGACACGCCACTGCGAATAGCAATTGGAGGAGGGTATTGGCGGGATAAAACAGTCAAGTTACTTCATGATAATGGGGCAAATCGAAACGTCCGCCCGCACTTTGATCCGTTTTTAATAGGGCCGTTCTATTGATTTGCAGTCTTTGGTCTGTGCGGGCATCTGAAATATTACCCAGTGCAGAATAGAGTTGAGGCCACGAAACCAATCCATATGTTCATACGCAATCAATCTAATACAATCCATGTCCATACCAATCCCCATAACATAGCATAACATAGCAAGCATAACCATACACTAAGGCAAAGACAACGGATCCCCCTTATCCGAAGGCCCAATCCCGCGATTCTTCACTCCAAAGAGAGAAACCAACAAACCCAGCCCAGCCAGTCCAGCCGAACACCATAATCCCGTAGCGTACTGCTGTGACAGATCATGCCCTTTCTTGACGTCTACTGCTTCCGTGACGGCGGCTGAGATGGCGAGGGCTACGCCAGAGCCGATTTGAAAGGCCGTGTTGAGCTGTTTTATTAGCTGGTATTAACATGGATGGGATAAGGAGACTCACCATTCCACCGCAGAGACTCTTGACGTTGACAGGGACACTGTTCAACATGGTTGTGGTGGCAGTGACATATGCGAGGGAAACACCAGCAACACTAAGCAACGAGGTTGGGAAGACATTCGTCCAGCTACACAGTCAGTTCCATCCTAAACCGGGCAGGGTGAGAACATACAAACTTGACTCCGGCCCAGCACTCAAACAACTCGGAATCGGCGCGAGGACGGACAGCGTCATTCCCAGAACGAGAAGAACCTTCCCATTCATCACCTCGACCAGCTTTCCAGTTGTCAGGGACACGATGAATCCGCATGCGCCCATGGGGAGGAAACGGAGGGCAGTCTGTCCTGCTGAGAGGTTGTCGACCTGTTGGGCCATGAGAACAATGTAGTAGATGACTGTTTGGTAGCTTCCGTAGACAGCTAGACGGATTAGTATGGTTTCAACAACTGGGTAGATGACTTACTGAAACCCGCAATCCAGAGACCGGCAAAGTTGCGAATCTTCCATAAAGAAAGCGGCATGATGGGGTTACTGATGTATTTCTCGAGAAACGTGAAAATGACCAGCAGAGCACAGGAGATGACTAGTAGAGCGATGATGAACGCCTTACTCCAGCCATAGACACCACCACTAGACAGGACGAAAGAAAGCAGAATCAAACCTGCCGTCGACAGCGCAGCACCGAGATAATCCAGTTTTGCTCTGGTCGTGCCCTCGAGTCGATCTTTAGGAAGAACAACAGCACCAACACCACCCAGCAACGCAGTCAGAATCACTGCCAGACGGAAGATATACCTCCATCCTAACGAAGAAGAGAGAAATCCACCAAAGATAAGGCCCGTGCAGAAGCCTACCGCACCAGAGGCAGCATAGATGGACAGTGCGCGCGTGCGGTCAGGACCGACAAAGTAGGAGCTGATGATGCCGATGGCCGAGGGTACTGTCATGGCAGCTCCTATCCCCTGCAAGCCACGGAAGACGGAGATTTCAATAAACGACTTGCCGAAGCCGATAGCGAGAGTCCATGCTGAAAGCCAGAGGAGACCGATGCAGAGGATGTTTTTGCGTCCGTATCTACACGATGAGCATGAGACAAGTAGAGAGGGAGAGTAGAACTCACCGATCGGACAAGACTCCCGCCAGCAGGAGAAACCCGCCAAAGGTGAGGGTATACGCAGAGATCATCCACTGCAGGTTAGTGCTGGAGACGTCAAAATCTTTCTGGATAGATGAGAGAGCGATATTGGCGCCCGTCATGAAGACATTATCGAGGAATTGTGAGCCAGAAGTCACCAGTAGCACCATGACACCTCTCCACGAAGCGATGCGGCCAACATCTGGACATTCTTCAACTATCTGAACAGGCTGATCCTCTTTAGGCTCGATGGGAGGTGATTCTGGCGATGAAGAGTGGCCAGAGGAAGAACCAGGGCGGGAGATGATGGCCGGTTCAGGGACTTTGGGGCCATCGGGCGACTCGATGTCGCGGCGATGGCTTAATTCGACACTGGGCATTCTGATGTATAGTGCCAATATCAATAGACTCTAGGTCATTAGATTAATTTATGAGGGATTGAATTGAGGGAGAACTCTTAAAAACCAGACGTGACGCTTAGGTAAAAAAGTGGGTTTTCCGCATTGGGACATACTGATATAAAGGACAATCATTCCATGATCGACTGATCGACGGATCGACAACTGCTGTAGGGCCGCGTCATAAACAAAGCAGAGCTTATCAGTGATGGCAGAAGTGAGTCTTACGCAGCCTGTCTTCCCCTTTCGTCCTTGCGTTGTCTCATTGCGAATCTTGCATCTGATTTATTTCCTGTTTACCGCTTGTTGGTCTGTAATCTCCGAGCTCCTCCGTGCTGTCTTCTAATTTTGTGTGACTGCATTGATTGCGTGGGATATGCAGATGCAGAGATAAGGGCAAACAGGATATGCACTCCTGTAGATCAAGCAATGGCCCGTGGGATGATGCAGCACTCTTACTGGATTCGACTGGCTGCAGCAATGGATACTATTGATCAAGTCCAGAGCGATAATACGACTCTTGTTTCAATGAGTAAAATTCCATCACTGTCGATCAGCGGGTAAATGCATCATTGCTTATTGCATTATTGCTTGTTTGAATGCTTGATTTGAGTTGTTTCAGAGCAGTAATGCCACTGCTTTATTTCCACTTTCCAGTCTAAACAATGCAATGTGACGATCGATCTTTCTGATCCTGCGATTATTAAGCCTTATCAACAGTCCAATTAACATTTCTATTTAGCTCGTCTACTCCAGATTAAGCTCTACTATACCTGTCTATATAGCTTCATACTCCATCCTTCTTGAATATATCCATAGATTCTATATCAATAATGAATCCACGTGTTCCCCAGACTTATGCGGGGAACCCCGCAATTCGGGGTAGAAGATGCCGAACATCCCGTCTTCATCCTTATTCTGGCAGAAACAGACACTCTGACTGGACAGGACTATGTTAGAGTTAACCAGATTGATCTCGAAGGTTTCGAATAGACGGCAGAAGCACCAAGTTACCCCAGATCGGATATCCCGACAACGCCAACCATGTGCTAGCAGCAGGAAGCCGATATCATCGGGCGAAAAGACAGCGAAGGGAGAATAAAACCGGGGAAATAAGCTCATTTCCTCCACTTTCTCCCTCCACATTCTAAGCATACACCATAATCTTACATCAAAATGCAGCTCTGGAAACACAACTTTCGTGGCAAGACCATGATCATCGCCATCACCATGGCGTCTTGTCAGGCTTTTCTTCTTCTGGGCTTTGACCAGGGTGTGTATATCTTCTCAACTCAAATTCATCACTAACCGTGCAGGCGTCATGTCCGGCATAATCGGCGCCCAGAACCGCTTCGGACGAGACTTTGACAACCCCGACGCAGGCATGCAAGGAAACATCACTGCACTATATGACATCGGCTGCGTAGTCGGCTCCATCGTGTGCTACTTTATCGGCGAGAAATTCGGTCGTCGCACAATGCTCCTCGCTGGAGGCGCCATCATGACAATCGGGACAGCCATTCTGGGCTCGTCATACACAGTAGGCCAGTTAATCGCCGGACGCATAATCACGGGCATTGGGAATGGGATGAATTCGTCCACGGCGCCGGTTTATCAGAGCGAATGTTCGCCTGCTGCGATTCGGGGGGCCTTGTTGACGTTGCAGGGGACGGTGACCATTTTGGGGGTTGTTATTGCCTACTGGTATTTCTCCTCGCTTTAAATATAGGAGTGATATACTAATACGAGTAGGATGGACTATGGAACCAGCTTCACCGAATCCCCCCTTCAATGGCGATTCCCCCTCTCCTTCCAAGCTGTCTTTGCCATCTTCCTCATCCTCCAGGTCATTGGACTACCAGAAACACCTCGCTGGCTCGTCCAGCACGATCGCCACGAAGAAGCCCGCGCCGTGATCGCCGCGATTGAAGACAAACCGCTCGATGACGCGGAAATCACCAAAACCATCCTCGACATCCAAGTCGGACTCGAAGAAGAGCAGCGAGGCGGGCCATTCCGCTTCATGGAACTCTTCACCTGGGGCGAAGTGCAGAATCTCCGCCGGATGCTGATTACCATCTCCATCGAGATCGGACAGCAGTTCACCGGGTCGAATATGATCAACTACTACGCGCCGTCACTATTCCAGGAGAATATGGGGCTGAGTCGGAATCTATCGCTGATTCTAGCCGGGTGCGCGCAGTGCACGTATCTCGTTGGCTCGGCGATTCCAGTATTTCTGATGGATCGATTCGGTCGGAGGACATTGCTGATGGTGTGTTCCGCCGGGCTATGCTTGTGCTTCGTGATGGTGTCGATCCTGTTGTCGCTGGGGAGTACCGGTGCCGCGTATGGGGCAACGGCGTTTATCTTCATCTTCCAGCTGTTCTATGGGATTGGATGGCTGCCTGTTCCATGGTTCTATCCGGCTGAGATTAACACGACACGAGTGAGGACGAGAATGCAGGCGATTGCGAGCGGGTGGAATTGGATGGCTGTGTTTGCTGTGGTGAAGATTACGCCGATTGCTTTTGGTATGTCTTTTCTATCCTGATGAGGATTCACGGTCTAATTGGATGTGTAGCGAATATTGGGTGGAAGACGTTTGTCATCTTCGCTGTGTTGAATGCAGTCTTCATCCCGATGGTGTATTGCTTCTATCCTGAGACAAAAGGACTGGAACTCGAGGATATACCATTGCTGTTCGTCAAAGGAGGGGTCACGGGTGGTGTTCTCTCATCTAAAGGAGGGAGGACGGTGATGCCACATCAGCATGCTCAAGAAGTGCAGGTGGATAGCAAAATCGAGGGAATGCTGCAGCAGGTTGAGGTTGTCAACTGATATCGAATATAAACAGGCTATTCAGATAATGGCAGATCTCGTTGCCACAGTAACTGCATCATCGTCATCATCATGTACATACCCCGCATACTACAATAACTACAACAATCATTCTACACTACATCTACATCTACAATGGACCAAAATATCCACCGCAACCAGCTCTTCTCCGTCGATGGCCTGGTCGCCGTCATCACCGGCGGCGGCACCGTACGTCCACCACGCCCTGTATACATCCTATGCTAATCCACCCAGGGCATCGGCCGCATGATGGCGCACGCTCTCGCCCTCAACGGCGCTCAAAAAGTGTACATCCTCGGCCGACGAACCGACCAACTCGACTCCTGTGCCTCCGCCTCCCCATCCATCATCCGACCGATAGAATGCGACGTAACATCCAAGTCCTCCCTCGAGGACGCCGCCGACATCGTCATGTCCGAAGTGGGGTATATCAACTTTCTCGCCTGTAACGCTGGCACGGGGGGACCGCGCTCATTCACCCTCCCGTCGACGGGGGCATCGATAACGGAATTTGCGAAAGCGCAGTGGGAGGTTGATATGGATGAGTACGTGGATACGTTTCGGGTCAACACGGCAGCGGTGTGGTATACGGCGATGGCATTTTTAGAGCTTCTCGATGCGGGTAATAAGAAGGGGAATGTGAGTTGGTCCAGCCAGATCGTCGCGACGAGCAGTGTGGCTGCGTTTAATCGGGCGACACCGGGAAATTGGGCGTACGCGCAGAGTAAAGCCGGTGTGACACATATGATGAAGCAATTGGCGACGGGGCTGGTTCCGTATGGAATTCGGGCGAATTCGATAGCGCCGGGAGGTGAGTCCCATACTGTACCTGTATGGATTCTGTATAAGATGCTAAGAAGTAGTGTTTCCTTCTGAATTGTCAGCAGCCATGGTCGCGAGAGGACCACCGTCGAGGGAACAATTCCCGGCTGAGCGATTCGGCGATGAAGAGGACATGTCCGGGGTGATTCTGTTCATGGCCAGTCGAGCAGGGGCGTATATGAATGGGAATGTCGTCTTGGTGGATGGAGGGAGTCTGTCTGTCATGCCAGCCACATATTAGGTGATAGCTCAATGGTAAAATGATGGATATGCAGCAAAAAGGGGGATCTAATTATATTCGCTGGCACAGTGGAGACAGACAGCCTTACAGCCACTCCAATCGAGTCAAGAATACCGAAGCCATCAAAGAAACAGTCTATCGTGCATTCTGATTGGCGGATGCAATGGGGGCCGTGACTCCGCCCTGATGATCTACATTGGATGCACCACACAACAGCTTCATCTTCTCAAGGATTCAGCCGAAGGATTCTCTTAGCCTGCCATTGAGCAGACGCTTGCACTGAAACAACCAAGGAAGACAACCTTGTCAAAGCCACAGCCAGGATCTTCTGGTTGGGGGATATATAAACACCAGCAGCATCTAGTCGTAATTCGTAGATTAAACACTCAACTGTAGCACAGCAAATCTATCGTCATGACTATCAACGACATACAAGGCCTCAGAACCAGAGGCAACTGTCTCGCCTTCCGCTGCCAAGTCACAATCCTCCACATTGTCGCCATCTCCATCTTGTGTGTGGGCACATCTGCGTCATACTTCATGGACATCATCGTACGTCTTGGCAACAACAACCGATCCGTCTGTACTAACAATAATAACAAAGCTCGCCGTCTTCGCCATCTGGTCCATCATCGACCAGATGCTCCTCATATTCGAGCACAGGCTCCATCCCCGCTGGAGCATTGGCTTCGATCTTCTTTCCATGGTTGCTTGCGTCCTGGCTGGGTGTTGGAGTATCATATTCTTGACTGATATGTCCGACGGGCTGGTGATTTCCAGACAGTTCGAATTTAGGCTGAAGTTTGGGGGTACCTTATTACTGATTGCTGGGTATGCTTTCTCTTCTATTGTCCATTTTTCTATTCATCCTGGATACTGATTGTTTAGGGTTTTCTATTTTGTGATTTTTGTGCGGTCGTGCAGCAGTCTTCATCAACAGCGGAAGGATGCAAAACGGACTGCGTGGGAGGCTTTTGCACTGCATGGTTGATGTATATTAAACATAATTAAAAGTTTCTTTTATTCATTAATTTTATAATCTCATAATCTCAATATTCGGAAAGAAAATCTAAATTTGATCCTTCGCCCAGTTTCCACTTTGATTGATTCATGTCCGCAGATCCGATATATATTCCCGCTGCATCGGCATTTGCCATTTACGGTATTGGAGAAATGTTTAAATTATGGAACAACCATACTGACTTGGTCAGATTTTCATAAGTCTAAATTGAATAACATTTGTTATATTCTCTATATACAGTATAAATCGGATGCCCAGACAGGATTCGAGTGCCATTGCATTTCCAATGGCGAGTGCTACGACCTTAATAATATCTCCGGGCTGGCCTGTGCAAAATTGAAAAGAGCGAAACCAGAGTATTGGTAGCTGTAGTTTTAGGGAGCTCTGGAGTGGCTCGACGATCAAGATCTTCGGACTGTTTTCTTGTTAATTCCAGCCATCACCATTTGTTCAGTGACTCGAGCGCAGAAGCTTTTATATAGGCTGTATGTGCGCCCGGAGAGAAACAAAGTATGTTCTCAAGTTTTTCGATTTAGCAATATACTTGCATCATCCAATATGGATAGAGCATCCCGGAAAATGTCAACTCGACTGATCAATCCACCACTTAGCATCGCATCGAAGAAGTGACAGCGACTTTGACATCCCAGCCTCGATGAACAGCGTTGGCCAATGGCTTGACCTCTTCTCTTTGCTTTGTTTACTGGGTCAACTAGACTACCGATTAATATAAATAGGAAACGCTCATTTGATGCTAGAATTGACAAACCTGTCAGTGGTCTTGGCGACGTGTGAATTAAGGGTCTGCCAGTACGTATAAGAATGGAAAGTCACGGTGCGCCTTTAACAAGGTTTTCAAAAAGTGCTTGATAGTCTTTATCAAACAAGTCCACAAGAAGCTCAGGGCGTCGAGTAGTATAGCAGACCTCTCGGAATCTATAATCCTTTTCCGTCTGTGGGAATTTGTCGGTTGAACTTGTGAAGTTAGGCGGCAATCGTAATGGATCAGTGTTCAATTGATCATTCTGAACACGAGATGTGCCAAGAGACAAGTCTCGACTCAAACTGTTGAGAAATAGGCTGGAGGGTATATTTCCTCACTATCAGCCAGCTGCGTAGGAGAAGAGCTAGCCATGGATACAGGCAGATACATCAAGTTAAATATATCTGACTGACGTAAATGCGGCGCAAATAAGGTGATGGAGACAAAGAAGAAGACAAAGAGCGGAAATGTCAGAATGAGGGGTTAAAAGGATGGGACGCTAGCCAGATTGGGAATGACAACAGTGACTGTTGGCTGTAGCTGAGATTCATTCGTTTTAGTTCTTCATTTATATTGAATCTGATGTCCGATTGAATATATTGAATATATTGAAGACAGTCCCTGCAATTTCTCCAATCGTGATCGCTTCCTAATCCGGTTAGTGGCGCGACACAAAGACAGCCTCAGCTCCCACCTGTTCTTCATCACATCAACATGCATTTCCACCCCATTTCCTGCGCGCGCTGTCGCAAGTTCAAGGTATTCTCCTCGCTGCATCTGCAATATTTAATACTGACCTTGCAGCGCAAATGCACCCGAGAGCTGCCTGTGTGCAGCCGATGCCGCCGCCTCGGCTTCGACTGTGGCTATCCACCTTCGCGACGGCGACCGGCCGACATTAGAAATGCTGCCATCGTTTCGAATCCCCCACGCCACGAACAGATCAGACCCGTCACTGGATCGCTGATTCGAAATGGCCAGCTCACCTCGCAGAGTAGTGGGCTGGCTTTGCTGGATGTATACTTTTCGGTGTTCATGCCGTCCACTATTATCTTCCACCAGCCCCATGTCAAGCAGCGGTATCTGCAAGGGAATATCCCGACATATGCCCTCGACTCCATCCTCGCCATGGCTGCCTTCTTCTCCGGTTGCTCCAAAACGCCACGCCCGATCGGAGCGCCACCGATAAATGTTCCGGGAGAAGACTGGGCGACCTGTGCAAGTGCTCTCGCTGCAAACCAACCTGGTACTCCGACACTGGACGTGGTCAAGACCTTTTACAACGTTGCAGCATACTGGTGTGCAGTGGGAAATGCACAGAAATACCAGGAACATGCTGGTAAGCTCCGTCGCCCGTGTGTTAGGTCAAGCTCACTCATGGATTAGATATTGCCTTTCAGCTGGCCAAGTCTTTGGCCTCGCAATACCCGACTGTCACTGGACCCGAATCGCGTGAGGTCCGAAAGTCTTGTCTGTGGATCATCGTGGCCTGTCAATGTCTTTCGAATGAGGAATCCTTGATAGCCCGTCGTCAACCTGCTAAAGGATTCGAAAGTCAACATTCTTCTGGCCTGAAGCGAGAGGATGCCCTCAGACTTCCTGGAGGAAACCCATCAGATCTAGTCCATCGGGAGATTATGGAATTTGCAAAGCTTTGGTGAGTATTCATCTTACTGTGTCAGAACAAAGCTGACATTCTCAGCCTCGAGGCCAGACAACTAGTCTACGGTATCAACGAAGCGTCCGACGTCGGCATGAAATGGGCAGCACTCTTCAATTTCGAGCACAAAATACGCAGCCGTCATGAATTCCTCATATCAACAATACAAAACTACGATGGCAACGACGGACGGGACGGATCGAATCGCCCTGAAATCATCGCTCTCAAGGCTCTGTACTACATGAGTCGTATCATGCCATACCTGGGATTACTGATCTTGATAGGCAAGCAAAGTGTTCCATCACAAGAGCACATGAATTTCTGTGCTCAAGTTGCAGTCCAAGGCGTAAATGATTTTGGGGATATGATGACAAAATTCATGGCAACGGAAAATGCCCCCATCGCTGCTGTTCCACCCTTTGTGGCATACAGCGCATTTCTTTCTCTGAATATATCGCTCGGTTACATGGCACTGGTTGAAACTCGTGGTATTTCTAGCGGTGGCTGCTTTTATCTGCTGAAATCAAGAGTTCTCTCCAGTGTCATCCTCCTCGACCATCTTCGTCACTACTGGGCTCCAATCAAGAAAATGGTGAGTTCATTCAATCCAACCGAAATGTTACAGTACTAATGTACTGTATTTTGATCAGTGGGAAGAATTAAGGCCAGCGTTTGAAAATGCCAACATTACAAATGCCGACATCCAGTCACACATTGAGGCACTGAAAAAGCAATCACCATCGCTTCCCTTGAAGCAGCCACGTCTTTCCTATGCGACCGACCGTCAATTAGAGGCCTCGATGATTACGAACCTCTCGCAGGTTATGAGTTTTACTACCCTGGTTGACCCCGCCTATATCACAGTGGGCATTTTTCGCCCATTTCCCATTGGAAAGCAGACAAGTCCAGCTCCAATCAACCGTACCCCTCCACCGGCAAAGCTGACAGAATCGCCACAAATAACACACTCTTCACCTCGAGATGCGTCACATCCCAAAACCGGTCGAGGGGCCACCCCTGCAGCCAACAATAGTGGGCATGAGATACCCGGGTGGGATCTAGACGTCGATCCGGCGACTTTTATAGGAATGATGCAAATGGTTTTGCTTGATGGGTTTGACGTGTTGTGCAACTGACCGAATGCGTCGAGTGTGCAGGGGGGGTAAGCAGAGCTAAGCATTCCCAACACTCTGATAGATATCTGCTCTGTCAACTCTTCCCCTCAGCTCTTCTCAGCCGAAGCCAAGGTCGGTCCTTCCGCCCGCCGATCAGCCAATCGGGCTTCATTTTCGAGCGGACTGGGGGCTGATCTTGTCCCGTGCGGCCAATCAGCGGCCGCCAATGCATTGATGATCTGCGATCTTGTTGTACAAAAATTGCGGCTATCTGTGAATTATTGAGCTTAGCATCATTCGATTCCTCGCTTTTGCGCCGATGCCCCGACTGTGTCCGCATCGCTAGTGTGGGCTTTTAATTTTGATGTGCCCGTGGGTGGACCTGCGAAGGCCAGCCTTCGGGCGCGCAGTTCCCCCGACTCGTTTGATATAATAATTGGACGCATCCACCAGCCCTGTGACGTGAATTTTCCGTCTCTAGACTCTTCCCCCTTCTTCTCTTCCTGTCTGTTGCTTGGTCTATCTTGGAGTCCGGATACACCATGCATCCAGACAATTCCGGACAGGTTGTCGACGAGAAACACGACGTCGAATTGAAGAAGACTCGCACGGCTTCGAGTCGCATCTCCCATCATGATCGACAGACTGTTAATGATATCGCTTCCAGCCTGCGACGCCGCTCGATTTTTGACGCCGAGGAAGCTAAAGAAGCTCGAGTAGACCCCGATGTTCTCGACCCCGACAGCGAGGACTTTGACCCGTTCGAATGGGCAAAGAGGGCCATCCGCACATTCAATGCTGAAGACATTGACGCCCGTCGCCAGGGTGTCCTGTTTGAAAAGCTCTCCGTTTACGGTTCGGGCGCATCGCTGCGAATCCAGCAGACCGTGCTCTCGACAATCCTCCTCCCGTTCACGAAACTCGCGACCGTGACCCGACCATCAAAAAACACACATACGACTATCCTTCACAGTTTTGACGGTTTGATCGACAGTGGTGAATTGCTCCTCGTTCTGGGTCGTCCTGGTAGTGGATGCACAACCTTTTTGAAATCGATCACCGGCCATCTCAACGGAGTCAGCCTCGACGCTGAGACCGACATCCAATACAGGGGAATTCCGTATTCGCGGATGATCAAGGAGTACCGCGGCGAGGTGCTGTACAATCAAGAGGTCGATAAGCACTTTCCCCAATTGACCGTTGGCGAGACGTTGGAATTTGCTGCGCAAGCTCGCGCGCCCCAGAATCGTCGCCATGAACTTAGTCGGGAGGAATATGTGAAGACAATGGTTTCTGTTATCATGGCATTCTTCGGTCTGTCGCATACGAGAAACACCCGAGTTGGAAATGACTTTGTTCGTGGTGTCAGTGGTGGTGAGAGGAAGAGAGTCAGGTTAGTATTCACCCGCCCAAAAAATGTAATAACAGCTAATATCGCATAGTATCGCTGAGATGGCTCTATCTCGTGCATCCATTGGTGCCTGGGATAACAGCACCAGGGGTTTGGACTCTGCATCCGCCCTGCAATTCATCCAAACCCTTCGCCTGTCAGCCGATCTGTCGGGATCCTGCCATGCCATTGCTGCTTACCAGGCGTCTCAATCCATGTATGACCTATTCGACAAGGTTGTTGTCCTGTACGAAGGTCGTCAAATCTACTTCGGCCCATGCGACCGCGCGGTTCAATACTTTGAGGAGATGGGCTGGGAGAAGCCAACCCGACAGGTTAGTGGTGACTTTTTGAGTAGTGTCACGAACCCGCTTGAGCGTGTTGCCAGAGCCGGGATGGAGAGCCAGGTCCCGCGCACCCCTGAAGATTTCGAGGCTCACTGGCGAAAGAGCTCCGAGTATGCTGCTCTTCAAGGGAGCATGGCGCAGTATAAACAGGAGTTCTCATTGGATGGCCCTGAAGCGCAAGCATTCGGCCAAAAGAAGACCGAGGAGCAGGCAGACCACCAGCGCGTGCAGAGCCCCTATCTTCTTTCCCTCCCTATGCAGCTCCGACTTTGCTTGACGAGAGCGTACCAAAGAGCTCGGAATGATCTCGTTGCTTCTCTCGTTGCTGTCGTTGTTCAAGTTATTATCGCCCTTGTTATCGGTTCCGTATTCTACAACACTCCTGCCACCTCTGATGGGTTTTTCCAAAAGGGTGCAACGCTCTTCTGGTGTCTGATTATGAACGCACTCATTACTGTCAATGAAATCATGCTGCTTTATAGTCAACGGGAGATTGTTGAGAAACAAACTGGTTATGCTTTTGTTCATCCGTTCGCCGAAGCCCTGTCAGGAATCGTCTTGGATTTGCCCGTCAAGTTCTTCCGGAATTTCGTCTTTAGTATTGTTTTATACTTCATGGTGGATCTGCGGAGAGAGCCATCTCAATTCTTCATCTTCTTCCTATTTCTGATGACCACGACGATACTCATGTCAGGAATCTTTCGGACAATAGCGGCCTCGACGAAGACCATTGGTCAAGCCATGGCTTTGGCTGGTATCTGCATTATCATTATGGGTGTCTACACAGGTTTCACAGTTCCACAGCCATACATGCACCCATGGTTCGGCTGGCTCAGATGGCTCAACCCGCTGTACTACGGTTTCGAAGCAGTCATGTCCAACGAGTTCCATGGTCGCGACTTTGGCTGCGCAAGTTACGTCCCGAGCTACCCCAACATGACTGGCACTACCTTCGTCTGTTCGGCAGTTGGAGCAGTGGCCGGAGAGACGCATGTTTCTGGTGACAACTTCATCTCGGCCAACTACGAGTACTCCTACAGCCATGTGTGGAGGAACTTTGGTATTCTCATGGCATACCTGGTGTTTTTCCATATTTTGTATCTGGTTGTCTCGGAGTTCAGCCCGGGTATTGCTTCCCAGCCCGAGGCACTTGTTTTCCGTCCCGGACGTGTGCCGGACTACCTCGACAGTCCTGATGAGGAAACCGCTGGACCAAGCGAGAAAATTGGCGCTACCGGCGCGGGAGGAGAAACCGATGGAGGGTTCTCTAACCTGGCGGAGCAGAAGGAAGTTTTTATGTGGAGAGGATTGTCTTATGACATCCCGACCAAGGACGGTACGAAACGGTTACTGGATGATGTCAACGGATGGGTCAAACCTGGAACTCTCACTGCACTGATGGTATGTACAATCTCATATGGAGTAAGTGATGAGGCTAACAAGACTAGGGTGTATCTGGAGCTGGAAAAACCACACTTCTTGACGCACTTGCACAGCGAGCAACACTTGGTGTCATCACGGGAGAGATGCTAGTCAGCGGCAAGCCCCTTGACGAGAGTTTCCCGCGAAAGGCAGGCTACGTCCAGCAACAGGATCTGCATTTGGAAACTTCGACTGTCCGTGAGGCACTCCGCTTTAGTGCTGTCCTTCGCCAGCCTCGCTCTCTACCCAAGCAAGAAAAGTACGACTACGTTGAAGAGGTGATTAAGATGCTGGGCATGGATGACTTTGCTGAAGCAGTGGTCGGAAACCCTGGCGAAGGTCTGAACGTTGAACAGAGAAAGCTCCTGACTATCGGTGTTGAACTTGCCGCCAAACCCGAACTGCTCATTTTCTTGGATGAACCTACTAGTGGTCTTGACTCGCAGAGCTCTTGGGCAATTTGTTCTTTCATGAGGAAGCTCACTGATCACGGTCAGGCGGTGCTCGCGACCATCCACCAGCCAAGTGCTATTTTGTTCCAGGAATTTGATCGTCTTCTTTTCCTTGCAAAGGGCGGACGCACCGTCTACTTTGGTGATATCGGCAAGCAGTCGCAGACTTTGCTTGATTATTTTGAGAGCAACGGTGCCCGACACTGTGACTCTACCGAGAATGTAAGTACCAGCCCTCCTTGTATATGGATACTGCTAACCTCTCTAGCCCGCTGAGTACATGCTCGAAATCGTCAATGCTAGCCAAGCTGCCGAGTCATCGATCGACTGGGTTCAAAAGTGGAACGAGAGTGCAGAGCGCAAAGAAGTTCTCAACGAACTGGATCGCATCGCTGCAGCCCGGCCACCTTCTGATGATGGATCCGTCAACACGGACGAGCTTGGCGAATTTGCGTCTCCTTTGATCACTCAATACTTCTACGTAACCCGTCGTGTCTTGCAGCAGTACTTCCGTCAGCCGGAATACATCCTGGCCAAGTTTTTCTTGGCTATCGTGACCGGAATATTCATCGGTTTCTCTTTCTGGAAGGCTGACAATTCGGAGCAAGGGTTCCAGAATGTTCTCTTCAGTTTGTTCCTTGTGTGTACAGTCTTTTCGACCATGGTCAACCAGTAAGTCAACCACAACGAGAAAGAGGAGCAAAACTGACAGAATCAGGATCATACCGAAATTCGTTGGACAGCGAGCCTTGTACGAAGTCCGCGAGAGACCATCGCGCGTCTATTCGTGGAAGGTGTTTATCCTGGCCCAAATATCCGCCGAAATCCCCTGGCACATCCTCCTGGGCATCTGCTCGTGGGCCTGCTTCTACTTTGCCGTTATTGGTCCCGACCAAGATCCCGAGCGAAAGGGTCTGATTCTCATCTTCGTGATCCAGTTCTACCTGTGGGTTTCGAGTATCGCACACTTTGTCATCGCCGCCCTGCCGGATCCCAACCTCGGCGCCATCCTGGCTATTCTGCTCTTCGGTTTCTCCATGATCTTCAACGGCGTCATGCAGCCCCCGGATGACCTGCCCCGTTTCTGGATCTTCATGAACCGCGTGTCACCACTGACATACTACATCGGCGGGATCAGCGGCACAGCACTTCACGGGCGACAGATCGAATGTTCCGCAGCAGAAGTGAACGTGTTCGACCCACCATCCGGCAAAACCTGCTACGAGTGGATGTCGCAGTACCTCAGCAAAGCCCCCGGGCAGCTCCTCAACCACAATGCAACCAGCAACTGCCAGTACTGCTCGCTCTCCATAGCGGACCAGTATCTCGCACAGCGAAACATCTACTGGGACGACCGTTGGAGGAACTATGGACTTATGTGGGCTTATTTCGTGTTTAACATCGCTGGTGCGATTTTCCTGTACTACTTCTTCCGAGTTCGTCCGTACACCCGCAAGGCTAATGTGAAGCCGGTGGGCAAATAACTGGACTATTTGGAGGAAGGATGAAGGATGGTATGAGGGGGATAGATTTATGTAATGTGCATAGTTTAATATTTAGTGTTAATTATAGATATACTTATTCAGCTACAGAAACCAACGATAAAAAGGAATAATTTGGCGGTTGCCATAACTAGAAATCTACGGATCTTTCCGTGGTTAACCTAGGAATCCAAATCGGGGTTCGTACTCGGTTTGGTTGAACCAAGACAGATACGAGGCTGACATCATTTGTCTCAAATATCGTATCGTTTGCATCCAGATACTATTTCAGATGATCTGCTGATCTACTAATGTTGAATATAAATTCAGCTACTCGACCCTCTAAATATCTCGACTAAATTCAACTTGACAAAATATCGGTACTAACAATGCACATCCAACATCTTACTCTTGCTACTCTTGTCAGTCTAGCTGGTACATCCATCCTCTTACAGTAACACCTCTACACCTCTGCTAACCTATCAGGCTCCTCCCTCGCCGCCTGTGGCGACGCAGACGCCTGCGTCCTGACTGAAACCTGCACCACAGTCACCCGCACCGCGCCAGCAACTACAATCACCACCTGCGTTCCCACCCCAACCTGCCTCAAAGTCTACCGTATGCCATCTCACCCGGTTTAAGATAGTACTAACATCATACAGAAGACTGCGTGTCTGGCGGCGGCGGAGAAATCTGTTGTTCGGGATACTGCGCCGCGACAAAGTGTAGACCTACGGATCCGGAATGGCCGGGTTGTGCGGAGGATTTGGAGATTTGTAGTGCTGATGGAGACTGTTGTTATGGGAATAAGTGTATTGGGGGTGTTTGCCGGCGTGAATAACTCATACATTTCGTATGAGTATATGTAGTTGAGTAGTTAGGTAACTGATTGATGCTGTCCTAATGACTACATATTCATGGTCAGCCATGACGATTAATCGCTAAACTCATCGGAGAGTAGCGTAATCCGATTTCAAAGCGTCCAGACACGCTGTCCAGCTTGAAATTGATAAAAGACATGCTGAATGGTTTTGAATGGCTTTCTAGGCGTCCTGGGTCAGCAAAAATGATTCATTTGTCTTCCTGTCGCCTGATTAGAGTTGGTTGGATAATCGGTGGGTCCGGTTACCGAGACCCTTTATATACATGAGCGAGACAAACACTTGGCATACGCGCACTTGTGCTCGTCCTATGCTCTGCGATGCACCAGGTGTAAAAAAAAGGCGTAAAGTGAAGCTAGGCCGTAAATGGAAAGGGAAGAGTCACGGTTTCTGTAGAAAAAGAGCTCAGTCATATTCCACTGAGCCAGAGCGACTTGGATGAATGATTGTATAGAGCTATCTGCTCTAAATAGCAAACTAGTTCACCATGTACAGCCATCACATAACCCTATTTGTCAGATTCTACCCGAGCCTTCAGAATGATGTCCTGAATTGCCCCCGTGGCCGTCTGGGAACTGGCCAACTCCTTGCCATGCCTGTAGAGGATTGTCACTGGAATCTGGTGTGTGCCTATTACATGCGGAGGATGTTCGGGGTTCCAGTACGTCTCACAGAAATCGACCTTTGGGTGTCTCCAGGCTTGCTCGTGAAAGATATGGTACACTGGATCGAATTGCGAGACATCGTACCAGAATTGAATGAGGGTTGGTTTGCTGCTGTGCTTGATGGCGTCTTCAACCTGCTGGAGGCTGTAAATTTGTGTTAGAAAAATCAAGGCCAGACTGAGAAGAGGGAGGTGGTCATACCCTTTGAGGATTCTGACTGACATTTTTGGAGGTGGGTTGGGGTTGAAAGAATGATTGATGGATGATGGGAGGCTGGGTAGTATTTAAAGAGGGCGTGGAGAGATCGTCCTTGTTCTTTCAGCTGAGATCTCGTTCAGCTGATATCCCTTTCAGCTGTCGTATCCACCCGGTTGTCATGCATGATGCCTCAATTGATTACGAACATGCGAGATGAAATCATCGCTGAGGCATTAGGCGAGCTAAGTGGATCAGTCGACAACAGCCACGCCGCCAGTCATATATCATGCTATATCTTAACCAATTAGCTTTATTATATCTATATTACATAATCAACTACTTTATCCTACTGTACGGCTGTGTGGATGAGATGAAAAGCTCTAAGCCTGAAAATTCCATATATTGTCGTTATACCATGAGTAAAACGACCAGCAAGAACCTGGCCCTTGAATATCAAGATGGTATTCGTCGATGACACGGCCAGCAAGGTTGACCTCCTACACATTCCCCTAGAATTCGCCCACAGATTTTACCCCATCATGAGCTGCAGCCTGTATTAAAATTCCTGGCGAGTGTAGGGTCTGCTTTGATATCGACGCCTATGTTGATGAGTGTTCGGGCAATGCCGAAATATCCTCGAATAGCGGCAGTCTGCAACGCCATCGCGCCACCATCCATAGCAGGTGGGCTGTTGATATCAGCTACATGGCCAAGTAGCAGATTAACCAATTCCATAATTCCGTTTTCAACATGCAGTTGAAAAGCCGTACGCCAACTTGCACCGTCACCGAGGTAATTGATTTCAGTGTGCGTAGCTAGTTCCTCCGCAATGGATACTTGCTAGTCTCTCGCTGCGGCTTGAAGGGCTGTAATAGTCATGCTTCTTTCTGTTACTTCATCGCGGTTTTGGGGATATGGGTAGTCACCACATAGAACACCCAATGTGTGCTCCTTTCAAGCCCTAAATCCTCCTAACCAAGAGCCCTATCATATTCCACCTCCAAGCACTTTACTGCTTCCCAAACCTCACCTTCCACACACCACACAGCACCGATCCCCACCCATCTCTTCCTAAGTGTAACGTGGGAACTACAAAGCGCCGCAAGGAATTTTCGCAGAGTCTCTAGTGTGTTTTGGCTGGCTGTGTTGGTAATGCACAGAGTGCATCTGTATAGGTGTGTTGCAGGCGGAGAGACCTAGATGTAACTCAAGGAGCATGCCTCTCTAATAGTAAGCAAGCTAGTGCCACCCCTGAAGTGTTAAGGATCAAAGCAGCATGAACAATATCCGACTAAACTCGGCGTTATTGCGCGCCCAGGAAAGGGATTTAATCTCTAGAGTTACAGATGGTGACTAGGTAATGTTAACTTGCAGAGCCAGGATTGATTAAGCACTTTTCTTTAAACATAAGAGAGCCAGCCATTTTAATCAGATTTTTCTCGGTTTCTTTTCTCACTGACCAGGATGGCATTACCTGGGTGAATTGTGAGTACCCAGCCACAACTTAGCACAGCCACAGCGTTCGGATACTGTTCGCGAGCCACGTTCCAATCATTGTAACCAGGGCTGGATCTATTCTCAGGACACATATGGTGTGAAAAGGTTGGTTGGCCCATGTATCATGGTTTGTGTTTGAGTAGTCGCTTAGGTGTTGACTGCTGCAGCGATCACAGCCCGCAGCCTGAAGTATAGCCGCCCTCCCTGCACGCGGACAAGAACAGACACATAGCAACATCATCATGGCGGAACCAGATTGCAACTGTCTTAAGTATGTTAATGCCTTGATGGGCTCATGTGAGCCTTTCACCTTCTGTATCTTTGCTTCATTTCTCTGATTTCACGGCATTGAAAACACCAATTCTCACGTTCTTCCGCCTACTGCTAATAACCGATACCAACATGGACCCCGGAGCTTGTTTAATAATTGCGAGTCTCACGAGGGAGGCTGCGGCCGTACTTATCCGACGGCACGGTTCGGAAGCCGTCATCGCCGCGTTACGGGCATGGGCACAGTACAACAGCGGACGGTCGTCGAATCTGGGACACGAGGAGGCCATGAAACAAGCGAAGAACGCAATACCGAGGTTCTTGAATAAGGTCCAGCCAAATGAGCTTCGTGTCATTCCAGGTGCTTTCAACTCCTCTCCCGAATTCATGGCCATCTTCCAGGCCGAGGCGCTGGTCGCGATCCCCGTGGCCCTGCTTGCGGTCAAGGAGGCGATTGATGGAGTCGGGTCAAGTCTACAGGGTATTCAACACGAGCTTACGATCACCAACATGGCAAAGATCCAGGGCTGGGAACAGGAGGGCTTCGGCGCGCATGTCTATCGTTTTGTGGAGTACGAGATGCTCCAGGCTGCGAACGCCCGTACAAAGAGCGGTGATCAACGGCGGCACTACTTCTACGTCTGGAACCGGGATACAGATTGGTATCCCGTCTTCGAGGCGAAGAACCGAGCTTTCCCTCTTCGTGCTGAGTTTGGCGGGTGTCATCATGAACTTGATGCGATCTGTATGCGGATGAGGGCAGACAGGAGGACACTCATTCAAACTACGTCCCATGGACGCACGGCGCAGTTCCATCTCCTCGTTCCAACTCACGAGCCGTATGTTCTGGATCGCCCTGTCATATTCCACGAGAGCCTCCTTCCGCTTACTATCACGGGCCAGCGGCATCGCAGTGTGGATCTTGTCTGGTTTAATCTGTGTTCGAAACCAACGGAGTTGCATCTGCAATGTATAGGAGTCTTGGAAGAGAGGAGAAACACCATTGAGCATGCTGGATTTATTAGCTCCGCTGGCTGCTGTATTGGCTTCATGGCAGCTGGCTGTGCTGCTATGGCATTCCCGCCCTGCGCTCCTCTTGCAGAGGCAGTCATGTTGCCGCTCTGGTCGGGAGGAGTGGCTTCTTGGGGTGCTGCGACCGGCGCCTGTGTTTACGAGGACGTCAATCGTGAGGAGCTTTGCGTCCTAGGGGATTATTCCATACTGGTCTAGAGGAAGGCATAGTTTGCGTTGGCTTGGGATAAGCGTCTTTGGGGGTTCTTTGGATATTGTCTTGTGTTCAAGAAGGTTCTTACTAAGTCCGGGAATTGGCTTGTATTGCTCTCTGTCATTTGTTGTCTGCCTCGTCCACATTAATGGCTTTCTACCTTGTATCTAGTTTTTTCCGCCTCTTCGACAACTGCCATTCCATTATTATATCATGAGCATTCGAAATCAAGCGTAGGCAGTCGGAATCCTGCCACGCTCGTATGGACACCTGCTAGAATAACAATATAATCTTCTGATAGATGGCTCTGTACCGTAGAGGGGTTTGCGAGCTAATGTTAATAATAGTGGTATATTTGAATGTATATGCTTATTCATGTGTCGTAAGCGCCAACCCTTTCCAGAGGAGGAACTTCTATCATCCAGCACTATGAAACAGGTCGTTCAAATAATTTTGAATGACCTCCCCGAGCATCCCTTGCACGTCCATCGGATCCTCCCCAGTAAATTGGATTTTTTGGCGACCCTGCCTGCAACTAATTGCCTCACACCCAGTCAACACAGGTGACTATTTGCCCGGCATTAATATGCCTGGTTCAGTGCTTGCTGAAGACTTATCAGCACGGCTGGGAATACAACGGCGCTGGTGGGGATAGAGGTGTGATTATTGATTGGTTTATCAACCGCAACCAAATTGCGCGACATGCGAAGGAGATGGCCGCCAGAAATTACAGCAGTCCGAGTATTGTCGCTTCGAGGATCGAGGAGGAACTGGATGCTAATGTGGCCATCCACGAAACGGACGCGGGGAGATTGCTTGGGCTGCCTGCTCCTGCTCCGGCGCAGTTTACCACAGGCGCGGCAGCACGACCGAGCCAACATGCCTCTTCTCATACGGATACCTCCAACCCCGAACCCCCGCCAGCCGCACATACATCTAGCAATACAACCCAAGAACAATCAGCCACCCTGCCCCCCGCGAATTCTTTTACCCAAGTGTTTCTTGAGGGACTCAGCTGGTTTTTCCGTAACGTTAACCCTGGTAGTGCAGCTGGAGGCGAGGGTCCAAGAAGAAGCATGGTTAGCGGCGATCCACTCAGAGGAGGTGGAGGTGAGTTCCCAGTCTTTCTCCATACCTTTAAGTATATACTAGAATGTGGCTGACTGATGTTCCGCCAGATCCCCTTTCCCATGTTGACTTGATGAAATCTAGAGGCCTTGACTCGAGCCGGGAGGGCAGAGTAATGTATGCTCAGCAACATGGAATCGGAGGTGTGCCTTTTTCTGCGCCGTGGGGGGATGCAATGCTGAGGCATCTTCAAAGGAATGGGTGATACATGGCAATTGAAAAATATGGTTTGGAGGGTGCAAGGAATATGCTATGGTTAGTTGAAACCAAGGTGGCGTGATACTGCAGACGTTTGATTTAAAGGGTAAGAGGTGTATGTCCGTGATTCCTTTTTCGTTCTATCTATTCATTTGCGACTCCTTTCAATGAAATGTGATAGAATTTGCAGCGTGTAGTGTACAGAGATTTCTAGGAGCCGATGTTATTTACGTGGAATATTATGGATTATCAGTGAAACCTCAGGTATCTTTATCTTTATAAACATCACGCGTTCTGAAGAGCTAGGCAGAGTTTGGTTTGCCGTGGTTGTCATCAAAGGGTCTGTAATTATGTATGGATATCTAAAGGCATTGTGAGCCATAGAACAATTACCCCACCATCACCTCATCGCTGTTACCCCTGATATCATGGCATTATTACAGACCAGCTCTCCGCTGTGGCGTGGTGATACTTGTACTCTGGGAGGGTATGTTAGCATTGTGAGAGGAGTCGCTGGACATTTCTTTCTAACATGAGCCAGTTGCATCGCTGCAATCCGCACCCAGAAAAAATTAATGAATAAAAGAAAGAAAGAAAGAAAACGCTCACTATTGAGATAAATGACATAGCTGGTCGGTAGAGGTATAGAATTTAGTCCAGAATATCGGTCTGGAATTGGATTTGCTGCGCGGTATTAACTGCTACTTAATCTCTGTTCTATATCCTATTGAAAGTAGGTCTACAACCAGGTTTTTGCAGGTCTTTTCTTTTTGGGAAAAATACCGGATCCCATTCCATTATTTCCCTCCCTGAAGGATCTCCGAGAGCTACATTGTCTAATGCTCTTGTTTACAGCTGCTGATTCAGTCCAGCGCTATCTCACCCAGCTCACCGACCTGCTTCAACTCAGAAAGCATGACCATATAGGGGTTATGGACGTCTCTCTTGAATGCCCGAGCCAACGAGGCGAAAGCCCCTGTCGGTACTCCTTCATCTGACAATAAATATTCCTCAGCAGTTCGCGTGGCTGTCTCTTCCCAACAAGCTTGCTGCACCCTCTTGAACGAAGCGACCGCCTCCGTGGAAAGAGCTTCGATAATGTCATGAACATTCATGGCAGCCACAACTCGATCCGCCACCAGCCGGTCATCCACTTTTTTATTTCCAGCCTTTTGACAACGCTCCAGGCTTTGTAACTGGCTAACCACATTGTCTAGAGTTTTCATCCTGGAACTCGGAAGTTCAATTCCGTAGTCTTTTGGCACATTCTTCAACTCTTCCAAAAGCATGGTTGAGCACTGGACTTTTGCCGAGCCAAGAGGAGACTGCGATATTTGATCCATTATGATTTTGATACTGTTGGCGATGGCTAAACGACCCAAGGAAATTTGGTAGCGAGATTCGCATTCGCCTATTTCACACTTCGCCTGGGTGAGCTTCATGCTCATTTGGCCCTTGAGCGCTTTCTTGGGAAGTTTATCCAGGGGTGGAACTATCCAAGGTATTTTTGTCTGGAGTTGATAGCCGAGTGCTGCTGCGAGGGGGCTGTCCAAGGTGAAGTATTTCACTAATTTCTCGTTTCCGCGGAGGGAGACAGAACCATCACAACGCACTAACTGCAAATCACTTCTCATGTCTTCAATTTTCTTTTTCTGGGAGTTGATGCGGCTTCTCAATCGAGTGAACTGCTGGTCTGCTTCCGTGCCTTTATCCAGCAACTCTTGCCGCTTCTCAAGTATTGGCTGTCTCTGTGCTTTGAGATATTGGATGTGATCCTTGTGCTTGTCTCTCTTCTTGGCCATGAGCTTGACTGAGCCGTATGCTTTGAACAGCCAGTGTGCCTGGAGAATTATCTGATAATCGAGTGTCGTTTGGTGCTCCCCCTCCCAATCCGCATCCCCGTCGTGGGATTTCTCGACCCTTTCTATAGGGACATTTGTTTTGAACCTGAAAAGCCGGTAGCCTCCACCGGAAAGGTTTCTATCTGTCCATCCTTCTTCGCCATCGATCTCGCTTAGTGCGTCACATTCAACCTCTACCAGTTTCTTGTCGTACTCCTCTATCCGTTTCTGAAGGAAATCTGCGGTCGACCTGCAACGTGTGGTCTTAGACTGGAGGGAAATCTCATCCTGCCTACAGCTGTCGATATCCTGGCTTATCTTAGAAATCGCATGTTGAAGAGCATCGATTATGGCTTGGTCGTTGCATCTATGTTCTGGGGTCTTTGGGTAGTGAAGGTTTGAGAACTTCGCAGAAGAAGCAGCCGCGAGACATTTGAAAAGATTAGACAGGGCTTGGTTTCTGAAAAAGAGATCCATGGGAGCGGCTTGATCTGGGATATTGTCGATGAAGTGGTGCGTTGCGCCAGCCGGTCCAAATTTATCAAAGTCTCGCTGGCGAACTTCGCACGTCCCGTCTGCCCGGTCATCCACGTCAATATTCGTGTGGATGATATGATAGTTGAGATTCCAGGCGTTTGACCGCACAGAGAATTCTAGCAGCCCCATCATCCTCGTCACAAGATCCTGGAAGTCGCCACCATAGTTGGTATCGCGTTTGACGACGAAGCAGATAGCATGGACTTGCTCCACCTCTTGCAGTGTAAGAAGTATTCGAAGTTTGTGGCGCTCATCAATCGTACGCATGCCTGAGGTTGAGGTTCGACTGTTTGCTGAGTCGCTTAAACCCGGTGTGTCAATAAGTACCAATCTGATTTGGTCTCCGGAGTCCTCAACGACCTCCACCAGGTTCATGTCCTCAGCATCGTGGAATTCAAAGTCTTTTCCAGGAATGACAATGGTGCCATTCTTCTCCTCGTTCGTGCCGCTTATTTGTCGCAGGTGGTGACTCTTTAGAGGGACCTCTATGTCATACAGCGAACAAACTTGAGTCTCAGAGAAATTGCCCCGACCAACCCCCACTCTGCCAGCCTTTTCGTGTTCTCCGGCATATCGAAGTATCTGTTGAACCAATGAGCTCTTACCATTCTGTGTCATCCCAATGAAGATGACATTCTTTGTGGATGCCATGACTGCTATCCTGATTCGTGTGGTAGTCAACCTTGATTCTCTGCCAGTAATGAGGTAGGTGATAACTGCAGAGTCTGTGCTCGGCAGCTCTGAAGCAATTCGTGGGTCAAGACCCCAGTTGCCTTCTTTAATACCTCAAAATGACCCTCACACCGGTATCTGGCAAATCATCTCCGTCAACAAAGAGTGGGTATGAATGATCGCTGACGATATGCGTGCCCACGAGTGGGGTGGTTTGTGGCTATCGAAACCAGAATGCCTTATTCACCCAACCAGTGCTGCAGCACTGTGGCTTAAGCCATAATGAATGTAGACTGTCAACCAAAGCATGAGATGGTAGCTTTTGGCCTCGTACCCTGTGGCAGAGCTCCCTCTGCTTATTCTCTTCCTCAGAGAACAAGGAAATAATGTGACAGCCCAGTTATCTTACCTTGAGATCTGCATAAGATTCCCAGTAGGCTTAATGAGTTCTATCAACTCAGGTGGAATATTGTTTTTTTTTTATTATCTTTTTTCATTTTCAATTTTTTTTTTTTGCCTTGCCAAGAATGTCTAGAACTATTATGTTGTTTCCAAGAAAGACTAGATTCATCTCTTTCTGTTTGCAGCCGAGAGACTTTAGTTTAGGCAAATTTAGTCAACCGTGGAAAGCAAGGTAGTCTAAACCAGAGATAAGTCAGCGTTTCATACTGAAATAACAGATTTAAATTGGTTAAAATTCATTAAAACATCGTGTCTTACGCGCTACGCAGTGCCAGGCAAATGCCTAGGTGGCCTGGCGCCAATAAGGCGAGAAGGGCTAGACAAAAAGGAATGATTCTCGCTCCTGCATATTCTGTTGGAAGAACGTTCGGGGCAGTTGAGTTTCGTGTTTCTCATTCAATAGGCTAAGTATCTCATACAGTGGAGCGAAACCCGTTCCCTCCCCTAAAAAAAACCCCCCATATGAATCAATTGTGGTCAATTTTGTTCAGGGCAACGGCTAAAACTGACTTGAGACTTGGGGCTACTTCTTCAACGAAAGATATCAAATCGTCGTATCCAATCTTATCGATCGACTTAGCGTAACGTCGCCGAGCCGACTGATTGAATCCCTCATATAGGGGAACTTCTTCGTCTTGAAGTTGTTTGATGAGCGGCTCGCTGCGGGCAAGCCATGTGGTAAGCTGTTCTACGCGTGGATTCTCAGATCTTGCGATGACGTCGGCCTGATGTGCGATGATTTCCTTAGTTTCCCCGATATCATCTATCAGCACATCCTTCCTTTTCTCCGCCGCTTCGATCTCCTCGGCAAAGTGCGTCCTGTTCGTCGTATACGATCGAACAGAGAATCGAGGTACCTTTCCCCATTTTGACTTGTACTGCCCTTTCCACGTCTTGGTCTGTATGGTTGGCAGTTTCTTTGATACCCACACCGCGTCATCCGTATCTGCAGCATCTACCTGGAACGGATACACCTTCTCAGTGATTGTCAAGGAATTCTCAAAATGGGAGAAGGTCACAATCTTCCAAATCTTGTTTGGCGTGCTGATGTCATCCTTGGGCGAGTATGTGCCCAGATCCCATTGAACATCTGAGTCCCATTCAGAAAGTTTTCCGTCCAGCTCCTTGAGCTCATTTTCCCACGTTAGGACATTTCTCTCATGGATATAAAGGCTTTTTTGATTAGTAGTCATGGACATCATATGGAAGTCCCTTTCCTCATTCCAGATTTGTCGAACATCGTACAAACATCCAACCAACTTGGTGTCGATTGATAGCATATCTGGGAACTTGATGAGATGGACATTCTCAATAGGCAGTTTTCCTTGGCTTCTCAGGTATAGAAGAATGTCATAGACGGTGTTTGCCGACGTGAATTCCTCGAAAGCATTTTTAGGATTTGGTTTGCTGTCAATGAAGAAGTGTGGTGGATCGCAGTGAAAAATATCCGCCCAGGCCTCACGGCGATTCTTCATTTTGCTGTCTCTGGAAGAGGGTCCTGCCCCTCTAAAACTAACCATATTGACCGCCGTTTTCGTGTACTCCGTTTTCCAATCCTTGAGTCGGAAGTTGGTGTTGATGACTGCAATGCTGCCAAATAGATTTGGCATACAGCGTTGGTAGTAGAAGTACCATTTTTGAAGGCTGTCAGTAAACGACGCCCCAGACTTTATCACGAATATCACGGAGCTGAGATGACGATGGTCGAGGTTGCTGTCTTCAGCCGATTTGGCCAGGTACTGGAGAACTTTCTGAATGTTTTCGCAGTTCCTTTCAGGGTTGCTGTCGTCCAAACCAGGAGTGTCAAACAATCGAACGCGAACAAGTTCAGCGTCTGGGTTTCGTGGGCTCAAGGTCAGATCCTTTTTCTTCCAAAATCCCCATTTAAAGATGCTCTCTTCGTCCTCAGGGACATCTACTTCACTGGCTTTCGTAGCGTCCACTAAGCTATAACTAGTCATAGGAACATCGAACTCATACATGACAGGGTCTCTCGTGCATGAGGTTGTCCCAACCCCGGTTTCAGGGGATTCCTGCAGAGGATATGGACCGACAGCGAGAGACCGGAACCGGTTGACCAGCAGGCTTTTCCCACTTTGAGATGTGCCGATTAACATTACGTTCGCCGACCATTTCCATCTGCGAGAAGCACTTTGAGAAATATCAGCTGGCTCGATTGAGTCCGGTAGTTGACGTTTGGCACGAACTGGATCCATATTGTGAAGTAGAAAGGAATGTGACAGTCAGTGATGTAGGAAATCCCGAGCAACTCATTCCTCAGGGATGAGGAAAGCTGCCTTTTTCATACTATAACTTTCTGTTCAGACCCTCATTTCCTCATTGGGCGACACAGCGTGACTGTTTTTCAGTTGACGTGTTAGTGAACCGCCAATGGCTCTTGGGGCGTCATACATTAAGATTGGTTGCGTTTCTGTATGGTGTATAATTTAAATCTCCCGGTGGCTGTCTTGATTGAAGATGTAATAGCCCGAATCCATAACAATCATCTCGAATTCGGTACACTAAACATCAAGCCAGCATAAGGAGAGGAAGGACGGCATATACAGACTCACTTCCTTCTGCTAATCCAAAAGTTATCACTGAATCTGAACCGCGGACGCTCGGTCTTAGCAGACAGTTCCATGTCTTCACAATCGCTGCCAATGCGATATTCCTAATTTTGATCAAATTTCTGGCAGATTAAAGGATCTAGACTTCACTGTGAAGTCATACGCTAGGTAGACAGGCCGTTCTAGTCTCTTAAAGCCCGGCCACGGGATTGTCTCTCTTTTGTTCATCTTGAATCAGCGTTGCGTTCATCTATAAGTCACATAATACATGGCTACTCTCACAGCAGAATATGGCAAGTATTTTCTTTCCCTCTCACAGAATTCTGGGTGTCTCATTTCTCCATTCGAGCAGTTAAAATGGCTCCGCCTGAAGATACAGATTTATCTGCTGGACCTGTTTCGGAGAATATTGTTCCTCCTAGCTACGGCGAAGCGTGCACCATCAATGTCTTGATCACAGGCGAGTGCCAGCAGGGCAAGAGTACGTTGATCCGTCACCTTGCTCGATACGCCGATCTTCCAAACTTCTCCATTGGCATTGGCTCCGGAAATAAGGCCTATACAATGGAGGTCGGCAACTACGACATGCCCGTCACCTTGCGGCGTTATCAGCTAGTCGACTTCAATAACCAGCCCATTCCGCCCAGAGAATATTCCGACCTTGCCGAGCTTGATGATTTTGAAGCTAAGGCTGTGGAGGTGAGAGAACCGAATGCGCCGAAATTTATGTTCCGCTTCATCGACACACCCGGCCTGGACGATACTGCTGGCGAAGACTTCTCGATCATGAACAGAATCTTGGGCCGTGCCTGTGACCTCAAATACATAAACGCCCTGATATACGTGCGAAGCGTTGACCAGCCCTTCGGCTCCTCGTTCAAAAAGTTCTTCAGATATATCCAGAGATCCATGCCAAACCTTTGTAATGGTCTCATCGTCGTCCACTCTTTCTTCACTGTGGACAGGGTTGAAGAATTCTTGAATGAAAACAAACTGCTGGAGGAAATAAGGCGCAAGGGCTTTGAGGCTTCAACTCAGCTTGAACTCCAGCACTTTTTCATGGATAATTCTCCAGATCCTACTGCTCCTTTTGCCGTAATGCAGTCATTGAACGAGACGTATCGACTGCTCCTACATATTTCTTCTCAGATACCATTACCTGTTAAGAACATCAACCTCATAAAGACAGACGCAATGCGATCCGTGGACATCCACATTATCAATGCCCTGAAAAATCTTGCTCGCAGGTTGGAGAAGGAGTGGAAGTTAGGACAAAATACTGCAGAGACCCTGAAAGCTAATGCCATGTCAGCACAAAGAGAGATCAGCAGGCTGAGGAACAGGGTTCACATGAAAAAGGAAAAAATTGCCGAACTCAAGACTGGTGACGAGATCCTCTTAGGAACTAAGAGCTGTGTGGAGCGTTACAGCTTTGTTGGGGATCTTTTATTCCAAGGCAACCTCAATGTCGGCAGTCGCCCGCTGGAATACGATTCAGACTACATCATCTCCTCAGTACAGAAGAGTTGTTCTGGCGGAAGCAAGTGGCTTGATGAAGACCTACGGGGAACCAGCTGGCGTGGGAAAATCACTGCAAATCTCTTCAGGGATATTGATGGGACGGCGACATTCTATACGACTAGTGAACTGAAGCATAAGAAAGAAATTGAGACGTTGGAAGCTGCTGTACTGGAGTTGCAGGATATGCTCGCGACACAGGAAGAGAATCTGGCCAGAAACACTGACGCTGGTAGTTCTGACTCGAGGCTAGCGCAACTGGGTGATAATGTTGCCAAGGTAGAAGAGCTTACAGAGATAATTGAGCGGGACTCATTCAATGTTGCTCTTTGGCCATTGCTACGGGGGTTCTACACCCAACACACCGTCCCAACTTTTGAAAATATCAAAGAGTTTGTCCAGGTCTATGACATGAATATCAGTAAGCTGCTATAATTCGGATACCGTCTATAGTTAGCAAAACTGCTTGGGAAATTCGTGACAGGTACCTACGATGCGCCCGTCTAAATTGACTTTAACTATGGGTGTTACAAAACATTCTGCTATTGTATATTAATTTCGAATTTTGATCTTGGGTCTACCTTCTGGGTCTTATGAAATTCCGGGTTATTAAAAGCACTAAGCAGTAAATGTAAATGCAGCTTCCACAAATGACAGGCATCCGCGATTTTGCCTCTACCTTTCATAGATCGACTTTCGTGTAAATTCCACATTCACATGCCATAGTTAAAATACTATCCTCATCTTTAATTATAAAATGAGGCTAGACAGTAACTGCTACGTGTTGACATAGGGGCTTGAATAGTACAGGTCTGTAGCATGTTTCAGGATGTTGGTAAGATCCCGCATGGATGTACTGATTCCATATTGCTCTAGACTTATATGCAGCTATATACTCCTGACCTAATGCAGGGACCCTGTAGGTACTACAGAAAGGCAGTATGAGGAGCATATAGCAGTTTTCCTGATGTAACCATGTACTACTGAGTCGCAATGCAACCCAATAGGTACTCTGATCTATATCAGCTGGACATATCAATGGTTGCCTTTACCTTCTGACTTCTATTCCTCTTGCTTTTATTCAATTTAGTCTTCCACCTCTATCGAATGGCACCATTGCAGGTCATATTGTCAAGCCCAACCCTAGAGAAGTCGGCCATGGTAATCAACATCTCCATCCATAATCCATCTAGTACACCAGTTACCTTTCTCAACTAGGATACTCCATTTGACCCTCTTGCACATGTCCTCGGCATTTTGCAAATACGAGACAATCAAGACAACAAGCTACTCACGGTGGGCACCATCAAAGTATCACGAAAACTCCCCCATCGGTCGAAGGGTTGATAGAGATACCAGCGGATGAATATATCAGCACTGTGATCCATCTGCCAGCTGAACTGAATACAGGACGGGAATATCAAGTATGGGCAAAAGGGGTGTGGCATGCCGTGTGGGACTGTACACGGGATGGTGTTACTGCTGTCCAACTAGAAGAGTTTGGAAATTTATCTCAAATATCGTTGCTGTCAGGGTTGTGTAACGGGTCATTATCTATCTATCTGTTCATAAATCTAGGAAATCCCCAGAATTACATCCAGTGTAACAACAATCAATATAACTCACAAGACCCATCCGTACTCTAACTTCATAACCAAAATGCCAGAAATCAACATCAAAAATGATGCCCAACGTGTGTTTAACATCCTCCAATCCGGTGGCATCGCCATCATCCCCGCAAACGTGGGCTATGGCATCGTAGCCACCGACCCAGCAGCCCTCGATCGGATCTTCACAGCCAAGAAGCGGGAGCCGCACAAGCGACATGCTATGATCGGGAGCTATGCCCTTAAGGAGATCCACCGACTTTCTCCGCGAAAAGAGATGGTACGACTACTTACTGTTGACCTCGACCTTCCACTTGGTGTCGTGGCGCCGTTTCATGAGGATCATCCGATCATACAGAAATTAGGGAAGGACATGCTAGAGAAGAGCTCTGTTGATGGAACACTGTCTATGCTGGTGAATGGAGGGCAGCTCCAAGACGAACTATCCCGGCTCGCTACGGAAGCAGGAGTTCCTCTAATGGGCTCATCTGCCAATCTAACTGGGCAGGGAACAAAGACGCTCGTGGAAGATATCGAGCCGGAGATTCTTGCAGCAGCAAATATTGTGATTGACTACGGTCGACAGAAGTACCATCATCCGAGGCCTTCATCGACTATGTTTGACTTTAAGCATATGAAGTTGCTGCGCTTTGGGGCTTGCTATGAAGTCATTCAGGATGTTTTCCAGCGATTCTACGGGATTTCCTTGCCCGATGATCCAGGCAGAAAAGAGTTGTTTTCTGGTCATTTGCCATCAGAGTCATAATTAGAGTCACACAGTTACTGAATACGAAATACTCTCTCAGCCCGAGTTTTCTCCATCCCCATCTCAATTAATGACTCGTATACAGCATCGCCACATTTGCCGATCATCATCACATATCCCCTCAAAAACACCCTATTCGGAAATGCAACTTCGTATCCCAAAATACGCCCCAACTCAAACATCGCGATCGACCACCACCATACCAGAAAGAGACTCATTTTGCGATTTAAACACACCCAATCTGCGAAGTGGACTGCTATTCTAAAATTAACCGGATATCGACCAATCAGATGTTATCATTTCGTCCGTGATCATAATGCTCCGCCCCAGCCCTAGGAGATTTGGCGATGATCGGCGGTAGATACGAGGGATCATCAGGGCCACGATGGTTGCATTTACAGCTTCATTTACTTTGAGTAAGGTCGTATTCTTGAGATGGGTGAGGCTTGAACCTTCAATGGAGTTGTATAGGGGAGTTGGCTATATAAGAGTCGCACATTCTCGTCCTAATCCCTCATTATCATCAGCATCACTACAATTTCTACAATATACTGTCTACTCGAACCTCTCCATCTACATCAAAATGAAGCTCATCGCTATTGCCTCCCTCGTCGCCATGGCTGCTGCCCTCCCCTCCAACCTGGAGACTCGCAGCACCGGCATCAACCAAGACGCCGTCGAACTCATCGGCAGCCTCGAAGGCTTCCGCTCCGACTTTTACACTATCAACGGCCACAAGACCGTCGGTAAGTCTTCTTTCTCCTTCATAAAATACCCATCTAACAAAACAGGCTACGGCCACGACTGCGTCGCCAAACAAGACTGCGGCAGCATCAAGACTCCCCTCTCCAAGGCTGAAGGCCAGAAGCTCCTCAAGAAGGACTTGGCCGGATATGAAAGCTGCGTGTGCAAGCTCGACAACGCCAAGGAGCTCAACGCGAACCAGTACGGTGCGCTGGTCAGCTTTGCGTATAACTCTGGCTGCGGCGGAGTTGAGAACTGGTGGCATGGGGCGATGAAGAAGAAGAACTTTGACGGGATTTGCGAGGCTCTGCCTACGACTAATACTTTGAATGGGCTGTTGACTACACGGAGGAAGAAGGAGGGTGCTTTCTGTGCTAAGAAGACTACAGAGAAGTCTGGCTGTTAGATGCATAGATGAGTGATAGATGAGTGGTCGAGTAGTTCTTCTTGTTTGTATTATTGTTTATTGTGATGTAGCATCGCTACTTTTGAATACATTATGTGTGAATTCTGTCTACTCGCAGATGATTAAGCCTACTGCCTTCTAATTCATCGTACTAAGATGTTTAAAAGAGACATAGTCCATACTTACAAAGGAATGAACTCTATTGTATGCAAAGGATGCGTCGATCCAGTACAAGTATTATCTGGGGGAAGCCTGCAGATGTAAGACAAAGCTTCCTAGGGCCAAAATCGGCTACAAATATTGATTGAAAATACGAATAAGACTATGATTATAGTAATAAAGCGAGAATATACGAGAATGTCGATCCATCATCCCAATTAGGAATCTCGTATCGATCTACCTCGTATTGTCAAACAGCACTCAACTATAAAGAACTCATTCGTCCAGTTCAATCTGACCATCATTATCAACATCATCATCACAATGAAGTGGTCATTCCTCGCCCAGCTCTTTCCCCTGGCAGCAGCAGCCACAAACCTCACCATCGAAGCCGGATACCATGTCATCTACTCCTATCCCGGTCTCACGCCCCCATCTCATCTGTTCGACCTCATCAAAGCTGGAAAAGTAGGCGGGCTCATCATCTTTGGTGAGAACGTCAACGATGAGCTTCCTGCTACTATTCAGAAGTTCCAGGATGCATACACGGAAAGTCCAGCACATACCGGTTCTCCACTTCTTATCATGACGGATCAGGAAGGAGGTGATATTCGTCGTCTACCAGGTGGACCGGAGTTGTCTGCTAAAGATGTGGGCAAAGCGAAAAGCCCCGAAGAAGCAGCAGCAGACACAGGGAAATCTGCAGCGGCTGCATTGGATGAATACCACCACAACGCAAACCTCAGTCCCATCCTCGGTGTTTACCGTGAGAATGGCGACTTTCTAGACCACTACGAACGGTCATACGGAAACACATCCAGTCTAGTCGGAAAATGTGCATCCTCATTCATCAAAGCGCAACAATCAGCCGGTGTCCTCGCAACAGCCAAACACTTCCCCGGGTTGGGACTGGCAAAGACAAACGAAAATACAGATGAGCGACCGGTTACAATTAATGCTACGTTGGATACACTACGCAAGGTTGATGAAGCGCCGTATTACAGCGCGGTCAAGGCGGGTGTTGATATGGTTATGCCTTCGTGGGCTGTGTATCCTGCTATGGACAGCAAACCAGCTGGACTGAGCAGTGCGTGGCTGAAAGAACTACGAGAGCGTATTGGATTCAAGGGAGTTACGATTAGCGATGCCATCGAGGCTGGTGCGTTGAAAGAATTCGGAGATGATGCTGCTCGAGCTGTTCTCGCGACGCAGGCAGGAATGGATATCATCCTCGCCTCGGCACGAGACGTGTCACAGGGACAGAAGGTTGTTGACGCGTTGGTCGATGGATTGAAGCATGAAAAGATATCGAAGGAATCGTTTGAAGAAGGAAGCAAGAGAATCTTGGAATTGAGAAAGAAGATTCATTAAATGTATTATATCTGCAGATACTGACTGACTCCCTCCTCTCTATTTCGGACAATACACGCTTTCGATGGGAACGGGGTCTTTGGAGTTGTGCTCGCCTGGAGCAAGCGTCGCTGTTCGGCCGGTGCAGAGAGGGCCTCTATGGGTTATTAGCATCATCCTGATTGTTGATTAGAGTAGACATACGTGAAGAAAAGACACTTTTTGTTTATTGCGACGGTATGCACTTTTCTGTTTTCATTAGCTGATTCCATCTCCATGTTCTGTACAACACTCACTCTTGCTCCACCGAAGCACAATCATCCAAGGGTACTTCAAGAGCCGGACATCGGCCAGGTGGACTGTTGAGGCCGCGTTTTTTCTCCTCGAGATCGAGTCCAATCTATTCCATCAGCCGTCCAATTCCTTTTCTAGGCGAGAATCATACCGTCGTCGTGTTTGAACGAGCCGCCAGAATCGACGACGAAAAGAGCATGGCGCTCAAGAGGGTAAATTTGAGGGTCTGCATGGTGCTTGAATAAGTAGAGACAGATAGGTGGTGAGAAGAAGAAGGGGCGTGGAGTGTTTAAATTCCAGGCTGGAGAGGGATGGAAATATGTACGTGTTTGTTTGGCATTTATCCTCCCTTGATTGCCTTGTTGGTTCATTCTACTTTTCTCTACCATGAAACACATTATTTAATTATTTTTCTACCAGTTGAGTTCAAACAAATATCAACAGTCAATTACATGAGACGTGGAGTCCCTTGCATAATATCCGTTGGTTACCCCATGCAGGAGATTTGCACCCATCCCTTGTTTGTATACAGATCAAGTAACCGTTTATTTGGCTTCATGGTTTCCAATTACAATGGCAATTTGCTTCCCTCATTCGTCCTCTTTATACGGCCATAACCTCTCGAATAAATTCCTCTCTTCTTCATCCTTGGACAAGTTGATAAAAACATCCTTGAACTTGCTGCAGTTCTCTTTGGCCACCTCATAATCCTCAGCTTCGACCATCCCATCAACGGGAAGTACGCCCTGATCTCGAAACAGCGCAAGCATCTGTCCAACACCATTCATATTCTCATCTTCCTTCACGTGCATGTCAAGTTCTTCTTCCGTAAATGTAATAGGACAAGGCTGGCCATTGAAAATGTCATCCCAGTCAGCGACAAGCTCGATGAGTGCATCACGAAGAAAGAATAAATCCCGGCTTTCCCAAATCCCGTTCACGAGCCATACGGGCTTTCGAATGGCGGGAATAGATTTCTGCTGTAGCACAGCCCAATGGAGAGGCGCCCTTTTGTAGACTTGGGCTTCGTAGTATTTGTGAATGATTTGACTTTCCAGATCGGCGTCAATCTTGTTTTGCTCTTCATCGCTCAGAGATTCGAAGTCTTCCGGCCGTTGTGGAACAACCCATCCCTCTGCCACGGGTCCAGTATGTCGAAACATTCTGGGGACGCTGGATTGGTAAAATAGAGGCGCCACGCAAGCTGATTGCCAGTCTACGATGCGGGTGATGGTGTGTGTATCCGGATTAACAAATACATTATCGAGATGCAGATCCGGGTGCCACAGAATGTTGGATGAGGCGGCTTTGTCTGTTGGAACAAGATAGGGTGCAACATCCATGTATTGCTTGAGAAGGGCAAGACCATCACCGGGGTTTTCGGGAGATTGACTCGAGCGATGATAGTTCATCCGAGGTTTTGCATGTTTTTCGATCCAACTTATCTCATTGCGCCCCAGTGCTTGCGTGTATTCAACAGCATTTTGCCCTGCGATGGTTAGCAATGTCGCCGCGATGGTAAAGACAACTTACAAGGTCCCCGATCAAGCTTCATATCTCCCCTACCACCATTCCATAACTCAGCTGAAGTAAGAGGCCCGATCGAAAAATGTTGGAGGTCCTCTGAGGAATTATCCATGTCGATATGCTCCGCGTGTCCAACCAATTCCCGCAGATCGTCCTTGAAATATATAGAACCATGTCTGGGAAACGATATATTGGTCAAAGTATTCTCAATGTCGGCAATCTGCATTATCAACTTCAATTTTGTTTCTCTCGGCCATTGATGCCAGACAGAACCAAGTCGAACTCCGGGTGCTTTTTCTTCGATGATATATTCTGCCTCGACGGGGTTCCGAGGGTCAGAAGACCACGCCAATACCCGAGGAACGGGGATTTTGTACACATCGCGCAGCTATCGCTCTTAGCAAACCATCAACAGATCGGGAAAATTGTCTTACCAGATCACGTGTGGCGACTTCCGATGCAGTGGTATAACGGGCAGGACCGGCATTAGGATTTGGAAGTTTCGCAAATACCTCCATCCCGTTATCCATGGTCAATATGAAAGCTTTATTGTGTAGCCCCTCGGAACATTTCACAATCTTGGTACCTTCTCATGATATAAGCATTGTTATCGACACTATAGATAATAAAGAGAAAAACCCCATACAAGAGCGGGCTCCATCGCTGACTCCAACAGCAACTTTGATAAGCTGCTGAAGATTGAACTTGACGTATCGCTTGAGGAGTTCATGCTGTTCATTGAATCTGACCAATCAAGTTAGAGATAGAGTTAGAATTCCCATGAGTGCTTGTGTTCTCACAGCCATCGGTGTTTTCTGTATCGATACAAATCTTCTTCTGTGACTCTCTCATCTGACAGATCGAGTTAGATACGTCAATCAGTTTCGAAATCACACCAGGACGCATACCAATTCCGTTTTGTCTTTCTTGGTAGAGCTCTGGCTGATGAGACTTTGGCTGTCCTGCACCCCAGCTGAAGAAAGAAAACACCCTCATGCTCTGACGTTGATGAGAAGGGACGAGCCCATTCAACACGCTTTTACGAGTGATATGCCTCGAGAGAATCCTTGATTGCAAGCCCACGGAGGACATGGTTTTGTTGATGACATGGGTTATTCGAAAGCCAACTTCGAGGCGGATAACTAACATGGACGGAACAATGTTTCTCCGAGAGCGCGGCTCGCGTGGCCCCACTACTTTCTTTTCTTGGCAGCGGCAGCGGCGCTGGGACAACGCATTTCTGGCCAATAAGATCAAATATTGCGCCAGAGGAACTTGTCCAGCGTTTGGATGTACTCCATCGACTACTAAGAAATCATCAGGTGGGTCATTCGATTTTCTAGACCGAGCGAACTACAGTGAAAGGTCTCAGTGAATGGCAAGTGTGGATTGTAATTGATAAGGAAAATCTATATAGGCGCCGTAGATGGGTGAAATAGTATCACCAGATGGGATCAGCATTGAGATTTACGAATTCACTCACCTTCAGCTGCAATTCATTTGCTATCAAAAAAGTTGAGGGACTCAAATTGACGCCGTCTATTAATAAATCAAAGACTCAGTACCTACTTCGTATTCATTTATCAAAGTGCCAAAGGGGGTGGCATTTCCTATAAATACCCCATGCCATGCTCATGGTACTTGGTTGGGAATCTTGCAGATTAAACCATCATTTCTTCCCTAAAGCCATTGATTTCTTTCTCAGACATTTTATTCTTACTTCAACCGAATCCAGCTGGCCAAAGCCAAATCACAATGCCGTGGAAGACAGCCCTTTCCGAATTGGCCCAAGTCGTTCGAAACAACGTCGAAAAGGTCACGAAGATTTTGCCGGACAACTTGACAACACGCAGTAATGCTGTGAAAACAGTTGATCTCCGTGTTGATGTGCACCAGAGCTCCAAAGATCCGAACAGGGCTGTGGCTAAGATCCAAGCAAATGCACAAGCCAAGGATAGTGCGGTCAAGGATTACATCAAATCAGGGAACAAAGGTGGTGGTCATAAGGGAACGCACAAGAACATCGCTGAGATACCCTTCGATCGTACCTCCTTTGATGTCGATGACTTCACATCTAAGATCGAAAATGCGCGCAAATAGCCCGATCCACAGGGTCAACGGTATGCGCGCAAATCAGTCCAATTACACTCACTGGGCATCTTTCACTGATTCGCAGGAAAAGAAATCTTGAAAACTTACTGATAATATTGGGACGCATATAACGAGAAAATAACGATACCGCGACGCCGAATACTTATAATGTTACACCGAGACAAAATAAGCAACTGAGAAGCGGTGGATATGGGATCGTGAGGTGACTTGCAAATACAATCTTTGTTATTACTACAAGAAACACAACAATGGGGCATTTGTATGTAATAGAGCTAGATAACTTTGAAGTAGAAACGAGCCACCAAAACACATTTCGAAGTCTTAGTGATTGTTATGGTAATCTGTATAGTTTTCTAGGCAGCAGGTGGTTGTTGAAAAGAAGGTATATGGCTTTAGAATTGCCAATATGTACTCAATTATTCCATACTGACCCATATCGTTAGAGAAATGTGTTCGAAAAATGTCAAATTTGCAATAATAGTGTCGAGTACATATACCCTGTTTAAGAAGAGTCCGGGATCCCGTCTTGAATTAGACCCCGAATGATAAATTGAAAAACAATGCAATGCCACACTTTGATTTCATAAATTGCATGACTTCTTTGTTTGGTACTGCGATGCAACATTGTTGGATGGTTGGTCGCCGACTACAGCTCACAATATTTACCTCCAAAATGATGCCCTCTATTTATCATTTTATGTACTGAGTAAAGTGATTGTGATGATCGGAACGCAACATCAAGAAAACAAAATGATGTGATGTCAGAAACCTATGATGAGGGGTAATCTCCACTGATAGATAGCATGAAGCCATCTTGTTGGCGGTCGCTAACAGGGATTGGCGTGGATTTATAAGAATTGTCTCGGTCAGAATCACGACTTCACTCTTCATCATATCACCTATCCCCAATTGCTCAAGATGACTATCAGTATCGCATTGATCGGAGCAGGTATGTATTCTCGTAATTTTCGTAGTAGCAGCTGACATCTCTAGGCATTTTCATCCAAGATGCATACCTGGTGAGTATATCATACCATCACAGAATACTCATCTAACAACCTCACAGCCTGCAATCCAAGCCAATCCCAACGTCAACCTGAAAGCCGTGTATTCGCGCTCGTCCAAGGCAGCTGCATCCATCACGCCAGAGTTGCCCATTGACCGATACGCAGATGATGCGGAGCAGGGACTGCAGCAACTTCTCGAGCGATCGGATATCCAGGCTGTGATTATCGCGTATGCCTCACCTATCCCAATCTGAACAGAGGTAGTTAACAGACCGATGAATGCAGCTTGCCCATCCCCCATCAAGCTAAATTCGTCCGCGCGGCATTGACAGCCGGGAAGCATGTCCTTTCCGAGAAACCGATCGCCAAAGACGTCGCCGAGGCATCTGAGCTGGTGAACTGGTATAAAACTGAGATCGAGCCGAAGGGTACCTTCTGGTCTGTGGCCGAGAACTGGCGATACACAGAGCCCGTGCAGCAGGCACGCAAGCAAATTGCTAGGCTGGGCAAGATTCGCCAGTTCCGGACACAGGTGTTTGTCGATGCGAAGCCTGGCTTTGAGCATTGGAAGTATTTCGGTATGTCCTCACTTACCATTCTTTATGTGTGTGACAAGGAAGCTGACCATGATAGCAACCGCCTGGCGCAAAGAGCCAACCCACCAAGGCGGGATCATCCTCGACTTTGGCGTGCACTGGCTGGCCGCAACACGCTATCTGATCGCCCCTGAGCGGGTGAACCGCGTGTCTGCATTCGTGGCTGCATTCCAAGATGTGCTGCCACCAGCCGACAGCGTCGATGCGATTCTGAGCTGCGAGTCTGGCGCTCAGGGAATATTCCAGTTTTCCACGTGTTCGAGTTTGACAGAGAGTGGTTATACCATTGTCGGCGAGAATGGGAATATCATCGTCAATGGACAGACTGTCAAGGTGAGGATTAATGGGGAGGAAGAGGTGGAAGAGGTCAAGCCCGAATATGCTACGCAGTGGTCGTGCGTAGTGAATGAAGTCAAGGCGTGGGGAGAGGGATTGGAGAGGGGAGAGATTAATAAAGAGCAGAGTCCGGGTGAGGCCCTGGCGGATCTGGAATTGGTATGCATCATTGTCCCTATGAGTTGACGTGGCTAATGAGGATAGGTTGAGTTGATCCTGAAGAGCAGCGAGACGGGGACACTGCAGGTTACGAAGCATCAGTAAGACAGTGTTAAGGCAGGTGTTATAGATGCAGTATACAATATTATTATTATTACTCATGTTTAATAACATCACTCCCGAATTTTAACAGCCAAACTGATAAACTCAAGTAACCAGATAAACAACCACCAACACAATCAGACCCAGTCACTCAAGCACGCACGACAAACCCATAGTAATTCTTTGACGCATTGATCGTTCCCGTCCCAGAAATAGTCCGAGAAGTGCTAGAACAGCGTCGCTGGGTATCAAAGAGCTGCACCGTCTGGGCCCCATTCGATCCAGTCCACTCGATTTTGGAGCCTTGAGGAATATAAAGCGGCTTGCAGCTGAGGGCACCAGTGCCTTGCCAGACATTGTAGTGGGTAACGTCGCGAAGGATCCATGCCGAGCTGGTCCCGAGCTCAAGGGCAAGAAGGGCGAGCCAAAACTTCATGGCGATAGATAGTATGTTGTGTTTAGGTATTGGAGGGTGTAATAAAGTCTGATATATTGTATAGTGCAGTTGATGATAAGGTGCTTTCACTTCAATTGTTGCCTGCTTTTATATTCAATTACTTCGTATACAATTAGGTTCGGGTGGTTTGTGAGCCATGGTATCGGTAATCTGTGGTCTAGGCGGTTCTTCATGGTTTAGATATCCAACTGCTGAGAAAGTAAATCTCGATTCAGAGTAAAGTTAAACTGGTGTTCGTTGATCACAAGATCTCGTATACCCATTTGCCACATTCCATCAAGGCCGCGGCCACTCCAGTTTGTCTTTCTGCGAATCATCTGGACAGTCATGTCTTAATCTGCTTTTCCATATTATAGTATCACTAACTTCCAGTCGACCTTCCCTTATGCATAGAAATAATCGTGGTATTTAGGTTCTGACGCTGCCGCACTTACAGTTGTATCATGACTGAACTTCAATATCCTCCTGTCCTATTGGCTACGTAAACTTGCATAGTTATGAATACGGTTGAGTATGGTACATACGTACCTATGTCCTTATACTTCAGATTGTCGCCCGTCTTGTCAGCCTATTGGCCCAGCATCCGTTGTATTTCCAGAGGTCTAGCTCTTTCCGAAAGCCCCAGACCAGTCTCGAACATGACCAAATAATATGTATGCTTCATGCCAAGTCTTTGGATGCTTATTTCCCATGTTATTCAGCGTTGTGCACGCGTGTTATGACCAGCATAGACTAATTCCTCCAGATCATAACGACAGACGGAAAAAGAGGCCAAGGCTTGGCTGATGCAGAATCTGAGAGATCGGGGAGGAGAGAAAAAGCCAAAAACTCTAACTCTTTATTTCAAAGAGAGAAATCTCGACACGGGGTCAGAATGATGTCTAAGCGATGCCCAGACTGGATCCACGGCTTGACTGCAGGGTACAAAGCATCTACAGATGGAGATGCAGCAGTATATATATAGTCAATGAATGCAGGCTATTATTAATCTGACTTCACCGAGAAACCGATGAATTCGATCGTTATAAAATATAAATGGTGAATGATGACTTCAACATCGGAACCCGCATCGGCAGTTGAGCGCCCATCGGCCAGCAGCCTCGGGTCGGCTGCCTGCCATCGCTGCTGTTTGAAATTAACAGGATCCATTCCGCCCGACTTGGCTGGGATGTTGCATCTTCCAGCTCTCCTATTCGTGCGCATCTCGCGATAATGAAGCACCGAGAATTGGATGCAACGCCACGGGTCCACTTTGCGCGTGCATCCGGCAATATCCACGACAACAACTACCGCACTCTGCACCATCGCAGTCCGCCGACACCGTCTTTTCTGGGGTTGAATAGCGTCTTACCCCGCTGAGTTCCACATCTCCAGAATGCTCGCCAGTGACAAAAGCTGGAGACCCCAGATCCCTGCTCCACCATCCCTCCACCATCCCCGGGGGGGGGAGAGGGGGGCACTCAACGCTGTATATATGAGGGCGATGGCCTGATTTCCACGTTGCATGATTTTGTAATTTAATTTCCATCGTATGACAATGGCCACACCAACGAATGCGTCTGAAAAAAGCCACGCCCAGTCGGATTTTCTCGAAAAGGCTGAAACGGTCGATATCAACGGAAATGCCGTCTTCCTGTCTGAGCCGCATCGTTCGTATCTCCTCGAGCGACATGGCACGTTGGATCTCGATCCGATCCCGAGTATGAACCCGGCGGATCCGTACAATTGGCCATCATGGAAGGTGAGATCTCTGATATATACAGATAGATAGAATGCTGACAGGATAGAAAATAACTAATCTCGCTCTGGTCGCGTTCCACGCATGCATGGGCACCTTCACAGCAGCAGCCATCATCCCCGCCTACGAAGAGCTCTCCGAGCATCTCGGCGTCTCCCTGCAACGGGTGAGCTATCTTACGTCTCTGCAGATCGCCATTCTGGGCGGTGCGCCATTACTCTGGAAGCCGCTTTCACATCGATTCGGTCGCCGGCCGATCTTCCTCCTCTCGCTGGTGTTGAGCTGCGTGTGTAATGTGGGCTGTGCGAAGAGTCCGGACTATGCGTCCATGGCGGCATGTCGAGCGTTGGTTTCTTTCTTTATATCCCCTGCCATGGCGATTGGGAGTGCAGTGGTGATGGAAACATTCTTCAAGAATGAGCGAGCGCGGTATATGGGCATTTGGACGGTGATGGTCACGCTGGGAGTGCCAGTCGGCCCGTTCATCTTCGGATGGGTTGCGAATCGCGTAGGATATGAATGGATCTACTGGGTGTTGGCTATAGTAAGTCATCCACATTCTCATATAGATGAAGCTAACCGGACAGACAAACGGCGTCCAGTTCATCCTATACCTCTTCTTCGGCCCAGAAACCCGCTACGTCGGCACCGACATCTACTCCAAATCGTCCGCCATGAAGCAAGAATACCTCAAATTCGGCCGCATCGATCCGGCTCCATTCACGGTTACAGAATTCTTCCACCCCCTCACTCTGTTTACCAACATCCCCGTCCTGCTATCGACAATCGTCTACTCCATGGTCTTCTGCTTCGCCAGCGTCCTCAACTCAGTCGAGGTGCCGCAACTCCTGCAGGCGAAATTCGGGCTGAACGCAGAACAACTCGGGCTGCAATTTTTGGGTCTCATTATTGGTTCTCTACTCGGTGAGCAGCTGGGCGGGTTCATGTCTGATATGTGGATGAACCATCGCGCACGTCGTATTCATCGTAAACCGGACCCTGAGTTCCGGCTGTGGCTGAGTTATATCGGCGTGATACTTGCTATCGTCGGGATGATTGTCTTTCTCATCTGCACCGATCAAGCAAAGGAAGGAAAATGGACCGTGTCGCCTATTATCGGGACTGGCATTGCCGCATTTGGTAATCAGGTTGTCACGACTGTGATGACTACGTATGCCGTCGATACCTATCCGCAAGACGCAGGGAGCGTGGGCACGTTTATCAACTTTGTCCGGTCGACGTGGGGGTTTATTGGGCCTTTCTGGTTCACTCCTATGTTTGAGGATGTTGGTATTAAAGATAGTGCAGGTGTTGTGTGTGCGTTGTTGGCGGTGTTTAGCCTCTTTCCTACTATTTATCTGCATTTGCAGGGTGGGAGATGGCATGCTTCGGTGGATAAATCATAACTAGACTATAGACAATATATACTATTTTTTCATCCAATATCAACTGCTTCAATATCAATACTTTCCCCCATCTCATCCTCAAAACTCGGCATGCAGGGCTTCCAATCTAACAATTTTCTCGCTCGAACTGCCACTCCACGCGAACACACTCCAAGCACAATACGTGCATACGGCATCAACTTGTCTGCCTCGTCAGCAGAGAGATGCTCAACATCCTCTGAATCCAGTAGTCCCTTGTCATACATGATCTTCGCAGCTAGCTGCAGTATCTCCCGCACAACATAATACCCATTCTCGGCCAGATAGTAGCCCTCCTCATTCCATCCGACCGGGATGTTATTCACAGCAGCCTCAGCTAGACGGAGGTAAATATTGCCCAGATCCTGGACATGGATGTAGTGCCAGATATTCTCGCCTTTCCCAACAGCAAACACCTTTCTATGTTTCAAGAAAGAAGTAAACAGAGGAAAAGACTTCTTCTTATCAGGCCATCTTCCCTTTCCGTAAATAACAGCCGGCGCGATGATCGCAGTCTTCAGACTATTAGACGCAGCAGCGAGTACGATCCTGTCAACATGTCGATGTGGTGTATGCTCAGGGTGAGAAAGAAGCTCTTGCCCATTCTCCCAGTCATCGTAGACTTTGTCAAATCGATCGCCGTATCGCCCTGTGCTGATTGACTCGGTTGCTAGACTTAATCCACCAGATGTGTTGATGTAATATCCTCTCTGTCTCCTCTGCAATCCCCGTACAATCGCCTTGGCAGAAGGGGCATGTTCATCACTCGCGGCTGCGTGGATAACGATATCCGCTTTGGATGCTTCATCTTCGAGTAGATCGATGCTATCTTGTTCACCATAAACCAGGCTCGCTGATGGATGGGCAGCAGACACCTTTTCACCCTTTGCTTTGCTCCGCACGAGACAGGTCACATCCCAGTCCGGATGGGTGTTCGTGATGGTGTAGAGGACTTCGCCGCCGACGAAGCCGATTGCGCCGGTACTGGATTGTTAGTTTGATTTTTCGGAATGGGGGGACTGACTTACAGGAAGATGTTTGGCATTTTGGAGTTTGATTATTTGGGTTTATTGAGGTTGTTAAAGGTGGTTGGGATGGCGCCTTTATGTGTTGGTTCGTCCGAGGTTGCCTCGGACGAGTTTGGAGGTTCGGACGAAGTGGCGAAGGATGAAGTTTGAACATGAGTTAATTTTAATCAGAATGACAGGAAATGAGTCATTTACAAGATAATCTAGGATCTATTTACTAATTTGTTATCATTGATTTGTTGTGTGTTTGTTGTGGAAGAATGGCAGTTAGGGGACCGACATATATAAATTTTCAGAATGACTGGTGTAAAGTCAGTGAACCATTCAACAAAAAAGGTGAACACCATAGTTCTAATAATGAAAATAAACAAATTAAAGTCTTGCTAATTTTAATATGCTCAATGGCATGAGTATTATTATGTCCTCTACATTCGATGATAACATTGACAGGCTATCAATGTATGAACCCGTTTAAGGTCGAATTCTTCAATCTTATTACACCCATTTGTTTATGCATAGCAAAGCAGTTTTCTAACATTGGGCACGTAATAATTGATATGATAAGCTTGATTACGGATCTACATCTACATACATCTACTCTGCTCTACTCTATGAAGGTCATCAAGATCGGATGATCTCAACTACGCCAGGCAGCGAGTATTGGCTAATCGACCTCTCATAGTCAGATGTTCGATGGTTCACCAGAATTGTCAAAATGTATGGACCAAGTATGGAAAGAGTCTTGAACAGACAAGATCCAGCAAAAAGTCCCCTCCCTTCGTCACAGCAACTACTCGACATCATCGATGCATCACTCAAACTGTCCACTGTCCATTGGGCCAGATTCATTCGACAAAGCTGCTGCTGTCTTTATCAATCCGCGGAGAAATTGAATAAAGTCGATATTTCCAATTTATGTCGTGGATTTTGGCCATGCTCTTTCCGAGTACGTTGTTGAATACAACACGGACTTCGCACCGAGCGCATGCAGGCATTCATGTTAGAGGCGTTATTGAAGAAGAATAATGCCATACTTCAGTGCATATCGGAGCTGTCGGATGCTGAAATAAAGTATTATTCATAATCTGCAGATATAGAATCCCCGCAGCTAAATCCCTATTCTTGATTAATGGAAATTGTTATACCGAGAGTGAGACACGACACGTAAAATTAATCAATAGCAATCTACATTCCATCAATATTCAAACTGGTTAATCTTGGATATAAATTTAATATTGGAAACAACTTCAGCCTAGAAGCTTAGCCTATCAAGCAATGCCATTCTGGACATGTTGAGTTTTACGAGTACGATCGGGCTAAAGATCGGCAGGCCCATTTCTAAATACAGAATCCACTCATCAGATAGATGAACTCGCGTTCCTGAATTATACGCAATCAGCTGGTCCCGCCATAGAATCGGAAGGCCGGATAGTCAGAATAATCAATGATTGATAATTGCACAGCATGAAACAAGGGATGAGACAGACGAAGGGTTGGTGGATATGTATTCAAGCATCACCAGCGAAGCCGTTGTGGACTGGGTGTTACAGATTGATAATCGGGGTGGGGAGAACAGCTTTTCCACCAATCAATGGCCACCATTAATCTATACGGTTAATCTATGGTTAAGTTAAGGATAGAAGAAGGATAAGTGGAATATAGGGCTGTTTGGATGTTTTAAGCTGTTTTAAGATATCGTCCATTCTCAATCCACCGTATAAAGCTGCCCTTCCAGCTCTGCTTTGTTCAACATCCAACACACTCTCTATCATTCTTTCTTTTGTATCTCTATTCTATCTTTCTATCTTTAGTTCTGTTGACCAGAACCTACTCATAATGCACTCCTTCCAACTCCTCGGCCTGGCTGCCCTGGGCTCTCTCGCTGCTGCTGCTCCCCACGCCACCCCCGTCGACAAGAGAGCTTCTTCCTGCACCTTTACCGACGCCGCAAAGGCCTCCGAGAGCATCTCCTCCTGCTCCTCCGTCGTCCTCAAGGACATCGAGGTTCCCGCCGGTGAGACCCTCGACCTGTCCGACGCCGCAGACGGCGCCACCATCACCTTCGAGGGCACCACCTCCTTCGGCTACAAGGAATGGAAGGGCCCTCTCATCCGTCTCGCCGGTAAGGGTGTCACCATCACCGGTGCCGACGGCCACGTTATTGACGGCGATGGCTCCCGCTGGTGGGACACCAAGGGCACCAACGGTGGCAAGACCAAGCCCAAGTTCATGTACGCCCACAAGCTGGAGGACTCGACCATTAAGGGCCTTTCAATCAAGAACACCCCCGTCCAGGCCATCAGTGTGCAGGCCACCAACCTGCACTTGAACGATATCACCATTGACAACTCGGATGGTGACGACAACGGTGGCCACAACACCGATGGTTTCGACATTAGCGAGAGTACCGGTATCTACATTAACGGTGCTACCGTCAAGAACCAGGATGACTGCATTGCCATCAACTCTGGAGAGGTACGCTCCATCCCATACAGCATAAGCTATCACAGGAAGCTAATTATGTAGAACATCGAATTCACCGGCGGCAAGTGCTCCGGCGGCCACGGTCTCTCCATCGGCTCCATTGGCGGCCGTGACAACAACACCGTCAAGAACGTCACCATCTCCTCTTCCAGCGTCACCGACTCGGCCAACGGCATCCGCATCAAGACCATTGTCGACGAGACCGGCTCCGTCTCGGACGTCACCTACTCCGACATCACCCTCTCCGGCATCACTGACTACGGTATCGTCTTCGAGCAGGACTACAAGAACGGCGGCCCGACTGGCGAGCCCAGCACCGGCATCCCCATCACTGATGTTACCGTTGACGGCGTGACTGGCTCCGTTGAGGATGACGCTACCCCCATCTACATTCTGTGTGGCTCTGGCTCGTGCTCTGACTGGACTTTCACCGGTGTTGACATTACCGGTGGCGAGAAGAGCTCCAAGTGCTCCAACGTGCCTTCTGGTGCTTCTTGCTAGATGCGAGATCAGTGAGATGGGAGTGAGATTGTCTTTAGATACATCTTGTAATCGCTGTATATTATCATACTAGTATATATCAATCAATATGAATATACCCGCGCGGTGTATTCCGATCCAACCACTATCTCCGGTTTCTTATATCCACTCTGAATGATAGCGCTATTCTTCAGCTGAATTCCATCTAGCTTTGCTCCCTTCCCATCCAATGCCCATAGAGTTAGAGCGAGATAGTTCGTTCCATGGTGATTTAATATTCCCTCCGGAATGGGATACTCTGTCTGTGGACCGATATTGTTGACTGCATTGTTAGCACATTCCCTCAACATCAGATGTGAACATACTGTATTTCCCAAACTGCCATCCATTTACAAAGAACTGGATCCGGAACTCCCCTGCTGTATATCTATCTACTGCAGTACTGTTAGTAAACACCAAACTAGTCGGAATGTCATATCCATCTGGATACTGCAATTCAAACTCTGTCGCGAAGAATCCTACTCCAGCAGTTGAAAGGCCATCTTTCAGTGATTTCTTCTCCCACTTGTCATTGAGTCCACCAGGCAGATGGAAGCCTTGTCTTTCCGCAAAGAGGGAGCCCTCATTCAGTGGTCCTCGACTGTGATCGAGATATTGCTCTCCGCCTAGGTTTCCGGTTATCTTCCAGCGTATATCATTCTTTTCATGGCCAGACAGATTGTAGTCCATTATGCCGCGTGGCGATTTCATAGTGTTAACGTTGAGCCGGAAGTTAAGGTCATAGCCGAGATTATCCACAAGGACAGTGAGGATATACTCTTCCCCATTCTTGAGATCAGAAACAGACAGAGTCTGGTTATAGTTCTGTACACCAGGACTGCCAGCCCAAGAACCAAGGAATGTTGAGTTTAACCAGACAGAATGGCCGTATGCGAAGCCGCCTTGTGTAGAGAGATAAAGCGAGTCTTCGCTTCCAGTTGCTGTGAAATGACCTCGATAGAGAATTGAGCCGGAGTGGTAGCCGTAGTCGCTGCTATACAGAGAAACAGGGGTGGTGAGGTTCCGCCCGTTGTTGGAGGTGGTTTTGTTGCAGTTTATCCACTTGCTGTCATCGTAGCCTGACTGTATCTCCGGGAGTGAGTCTGTGTATTTCCATTCTGCGGTGCTGAGATCGGGGAGAGTTATCTTTGGTTTTGTATACTCCACCACACCATGGAGTCGACCATTCGATCTAGTAGTGTTGACCTTTTTCCCGTTGAATATGAGAGTTGAGCAGTTCTTCGGACTGAATAGAACTTCAATCGTGGTCGTAGCGTTGATATCGCCGATCAGATTGAGAGAATCTCCGGTAATCGATGCATTTCGAAGAAGATAGCCCCCTTTGACAATAACAGATGAATTCACTCTTGATGGTGAAACATGCAGTCCCAACGGTTCAGGCGCAGGAAGATCCATCACCCAGTGGTTATATGCATCATTTCTCCAAAGGAGGTAAACAGACAGATCGTCAAAGTGGACAGCGCGACGCGACGGTTCAACATCCCATTGTACGAAGGTTGATCCGTTCTTCTGCTTCACATTGACTCCGTCGCCTTCGATTGTGTGGCTTGATGTAGAATGTATGGCGAGTTCGTGTGTTTCATCTTCGCCTCCATATAACAATAGAACAGATCTACTGCCGGACTTCTTCCAGGTGAATACCTCAGCCGACGAATAGATCAGATTAACCCCTCCAACATCATAATCGGTAACGTGGATTTTCGAGTCCCGGCCATTCAACCTCAACGATCCACCCAGTTGAGGAACAGTGATATTTCCAATACTCGTATTAACAGACCATGTATACGCTGTCGACTGCAGGACTGTATAATCCGTATGACGAACAACATAGAAACTCGTCTGCGTGTCCTTTAACCGCGTCGTCGTCAACGCACTCGTATTCACATAGCCCCCTATGGTAGCATCCAACGGGGTGGAAGTGATATATGCCGGGGAAACCTGCAGAAAGTTCGCCTGCAGTTTCAACTCGCTGTACCGCTCTCTATCGAGTCGTCGGTCTTCTGTTATGGCTGCCCCGACGTCGTAGGATGTGTAGCCGGATGAGTAGCCGATGTTGCCCCAGTTTGTGCCGCCGAACATCTGTCTTGTTAGTTTGTTCTTGAATATATTTGTAAGGGAGGCTCACCATGTAGAGGTTGAAAATGGTAATGCGGAAACTGTAGTTCATCTTGTAGAACACACGAGCGAAGATGTCGCTGACCATTTCTGCGCAGGTGTTGACGCCTACTCCGCCCCTGTTGATCTTAGTATTGTTCATGATATCGTAGATAGACTCACCATGGATCAGGCGCACCGCCTTGATACTCTGTGATGCCGAAAGGAGATGTAGAGCTGATATTATTCAGCATCGTGTAGTTGTACTGCGTGAGAGGATCGGTGATGCGAGTCCAGTTGGCAGGATTGGCGCCTATACTGTTAGCATTATCCATATCACAACAGAAACAGAAGACGTACATCCATCTCCCCATCCAAACGGATAATCATCAAAACTGTAGAGATCAACAGCGCCAGCACCACTCCCTGGCGCCCAATTCCCCAGCACCTCCGCATCATTGTTAATGAACGGCACCACAATCCCAGCATCACGGAACTGCTTCTCCACGTATGCCATGTACTCCCCATCGAGACAGAAGTTGAGTTCACCCGGTTCCTCCGACTTCGCCCCCTGACAAACCGAATACTCATTCTCCGGCTGAAACAGGATAACAGGGCCGCCTTCAGTGATCTGAGCTTTGCGAACCACCTCCCCAATCGTGGCAGCATACTTCTCCGTCGCGTTCAGAAACGCAGGAGTCATCGTCCTCACATCCCCCGGGATCCGCTGTACCCACCCGGGAAACCCACCGCCACTCACTTCGGAGTTGATATACGGACCCGGTCTCGCAAGGAGATATATCCCCGCCTCGCTCGCCGCGGCGAAGAACTCATCTAGCGCAAAGACACCGTCTGATCGGACATGGCCCGGCTCGCCTTCCAGTAAAGCCCAGTACACGTAAAACGAAACGCCCGAGTATCCCATCGCGCGAATCTTCTGGAATACATCAAGCCATAGTCCCGGGGAGGGAAGACGGAAGGGATGAAACTCTCCCGAGAAGAAGAGGATGCGCTCCCCGCGGACGGAAATGGCATTGTTGTCCCATGTTACGATGTCTTGGAGGGGTTTGGAGAGGGCCGTTAGGCTGAAGAGGAGGAGGTGCCAGAGTAGCATTTTGGTTCTTTACTCTGCAGTATCTACAATATCAGATCTATAGTTTGTCTATATATGTATAGTCAGTTCGGACATTGTCCGTTTACGCCGGGAATTTGCCTATTCAAGTCTCGTGTTGATGTATGCTGAGTGCAGATCTGCGGGGTATGAGGTCAAAGATCGTACAATCAGGCAGAATGAGCTTGGCTATTTATCTAAGCTTTGGATCTTATTAAGTTATCTTCATCTCATTGTGATGCTTTATTTGTATAAAAATAATGCCATCTAAAGGTTACCAAACTTTTATCAGATATATCAATTTGGAAATCATTAGACCATGTTCTATCCAATATTTAGTACTTATCAGCAGGCCACCCTGTTTACTCCGAGAGATGTATTTCTAGGCATAATGCATCTCTGCATGATGGACCATCTACCCCTCTCTTTCGGAGAATCCTCATTTTGTGGGATGAAGCATGATTCTGTTGTTAATACCTCAGTATTATATCGGCAGGGATTATCTTTCATATAGCATTGGTCTATTATATCAGGCTTCATTGCAGCAAATGCGGAGTAACTGCGGGGAACCGACGCAACTGTCTGACAGCAACACCAAGTCTACAGGAGTATCTGCTTGATGGTACGATGTCAGAATGTACAATTCAATAGTGTCGGTCTCCTTGCATATAATAAAACAAGGGATGGAATGCCCACTGATTGGTCAATTCAAGCACTGGCATAATAAGAATGATGACATCATCACGCATATTATATTTCAATACCACCACCCCTGTTTCCAAACAATCACCACAACATGGCCGACAAGCGCAAGAAGATAGCCATCATCGGAGCCGGGGCTGCAGGCATGGTAAGTCTCTATACACATAAATGTATATGAAAGCATCACTGATTATCAGTCCTGCGCCTCGACTCTGTCCAACCACCCCGGCAAATTCGACATCACGGTGTTCGACATCGCGCCTCAAACAGGCGGCCAGGCAACCTCCATCCCTCTTGACTCGTCCATATACGGTGCATCCTGGCTGAATGATGGCGTGCAAGGCGGCTCTGCGATATTCAGACACACGTTCCAATTCTTCCGTCGATTCGGGTACGAACCACAACCGGTGAAACTGCAAGTCGCGTTCGGGAAGGGCAAAGACGATTTCTGGACGAATGTGTTCCCCAGTCCGCTGGTGGACAGATTCAGCGCGGAGATCAAGAAACTAGGACGCGTGTTGAAGTGGATCAAGTGGTTGATGCCCCTGTTGGGCGTGTTGCCAGTCAAGTCCATACTGTGGCTATTCAGGTTCAGCGAGGAGTTTCGGAATAAGATGGTGCTGCCACTACTGGCGTTGTTTCTGGGAACGGGGAATCAGACACCAAATGTGTCGAGTGTCTTGCTGGAGAGGCTGTTTGATGATCCGCAGATGAGGCTGTGGGAGTATGATCCAGACACGTTGCTCCCCAATCTACCGACCATGTACACGTTTCCGAATCTGCGCAATTTCTACCACGACTGGATGAGTGAGTTACAGCGCAGGGGAGTGAAATTGCAGCTCAACACGCGCGTTGAGATCCTGAAGCGGGATAAACGCGGTGTACGATTACGAGATACAGAGACGGGGATGGAGAGCGAATACGACGATCTCGTCCTGTGTGTTCCAGCCGATGAAGCGAAATCTCTTCTAGGAAAACACGCGACATGGCGAGAACGATGGGTGCTTGGGGGCGTGCATTTCTACAACGACCTCACCATCACCCATTCCGACGCGGACTATTTCACCTATCTCTTTGAAACGAGATACGGCTCCAATCTCACCGCTAAAGCATCGACATCCACACGAAAAGACCAAATATCATTCGCATCACAGAACCCCCTCTCGCAAAAGGATGGCTGGAAGGGCTTTGCGCCGATGTATTACATCCATGGGTATCCAACCGCCCCGGAGAAGATCGAAATGGGCTTCGACTGCACAAACTACCAGCATCAGTTCAGAGAAGCATTCGGCGAAGACCGTCCACCACCCGAGAAAGAGAGACACGTGTATCAGACCATCTTCCTGAACGACGCAGACAGCAAGCTCTGGACATTTAACAGCATCGACGAGAAGAAGATCATTGCCCGGAAATGGTGGCATCAGTTTGGACATCGATGGCAGCATTATCTGCGCGTCGTGCCGGGAATGATGTTTATCAATGGGAAGAATCGGACCTATTACGGTGGCAGTTGGACTATGGTGGTGAGTTACCTATACCAACTATGTTTACTGATACTGATAGTGTAGAACATGCACGAGATCGCCTGCATATCCGGCATCGCGGCTGCATACCGTCTCGGGGCAGAATACGAACGCTTCGACGACTTTGCATCTGACTTTTTCGCCAAATACCTTCTTGTCTGTCACGGGGTGCGGTATAAAAAAAAGTAGCTTATTTGATACCTGCGTAATAATCTATAATACATATCTGAAACTCTCAATCTCCCGATCCGTCTTGTTGGACAATTCCTGTTCCAGTTCCTCGTTCTCGTTGAGATCAGATGGAGAGCCGTAGAGAGCGTCTCGGCGACGGTTTTCCCAGATATAGTAGACCAGAAGGCAGATGAGGAAGAAGATGCCGAATGCCAGGCCAGACATAGCGGCTGTTATTCCAGTCTAGATATGTTAATAACTTGTATCAGATGGATGAGATAAGTGACATACCGGATACGAAGGCTCCTCGGAATCAATAAAAAACTGGGGCCCAACAATATTGCCCACACAATACGCGATGAACAACAAGGCGCTGACAGTACTCTTCTTCGTAAATCCCGCCACGTTGGAGGTGATGATACTCAACGAAAGAGGAATGTTGGTGGCAAAGACAGCACCCAGCGACAATCCCACCAGTCGACCAACCATGTTATCGTCAGCGAGCTTCATCACGAGGATCATTCCCACCATTGAGGCGGTGGTGTTGAAGATCATCATGATGATTCGGGTGGAAGGGACGTAGGTTGCGACGGCGGAGGATAAGATGAGGAAGAAGACTTGAGCTCCTCCTAGGGGCATTTGCATGAGGAGGGAGCGAATCTGGGAGAAGCCGAAGCCGTTGATGATGATGGAGGAGAACTAGATTGTCAGCTTGTATCTTCAGTATAGATGGGAGGACATACACTGGTAATACCACCATTGCACAGATTCACAGAGAAGGTGTACAACACCAAAAACCACGTCTGCGGATCCTTGACAGCCTTCCATGCTTGATCCCATTTAAACGCCCCAGCATCAAGCACACCGGTTTTATTCTTCAGCGTTCGCTGCACTGCAATTGCCCGTTCCGTCTTGGTGAGGAAGATAGCACCCTTGGGGGTATCAGGGAGTAGAACGACGAGGAACAACGAAATACCGGCCGTGATGGTACCGAGGACGATGAAGAGCAGTTGCCAGCTATTCACGGCGGTCGATTTGATACTGCCAATGCCGTATGCGACAACACCGCCGATGATGGTGGCGATGCAGTTTCCTAGGAACCATGCTGCTTGTCTAGCTGGCTGTTCCTCACGTTTGTAGAACATTCCCGTGATGAGCGAAAATCCAGGTGCGATGGCTGCTTCGCCGACTCCGAGGAAAAATCTATATCGTTAGTTTTGAATGCGGAGAGTATGGATGAAGCATACCTGGCTGCTACCAAACCACCGAAATTCTTCGCCCCAGCATGGCACATAAGGACACCACCCCAGACGAGTCTATCAAGTCAGTATATGCCGGTAATGGATAGGAATGGGATGCATACACAGAAACACTCAAGTACTTGGCCAGAGGCAGTCGAACAATCAAATAACTGGAGGGCCAGCTCCAGGCAAAATAACCAAAATAAAACACTGCCGATGTCCACGTATAATCACTGCCTTTGAGGTTCTACTCCTGTTAGATGAATCATCGCATACGAGAAAGTGACATACCAAATCCTCTCGTAAATTGAACAACGTCGCTTGACTCAATGCCAACTTGTCCATGTACTGCATCATATAACATATGCCCATCAAGGGAATCAATCTAACTCTTAGTATTCGTCGTGCAACATCAGAAGGAGACATACATCAAATCCAACTTCCATAATACCTTTCTCTCCTGCTCTGGCGTTGCCTGCACCTCGAGCATCTGTCCAAGCCCTACATCCCGGGCAGCAGATTGTGTCGCTGCATCGACTTTGTCATCGTGCAGGTTGGTTTCATCTTGGTATTGTTTTTCCATGTTGATATGTGTGTGTATTCAAATAGAACTGCACATGAAGAGAGTTATATATCACCCAGAATCAATGCCTAACCTACACAGTGGACCTTTCAGTCATCGAGGATTGAGTTTGCCATTTCCACCAGCCTGGGCAGAATACACGATCAACGCCCCTTGGCCGTCTTGGCTTCATGCTGTAGATGTCGACCAGAAAGGAAAGAATCAGATACACGCAGTGGCCAATAAAGTTAATTCAATGGGGCTCGGCTAAGGGACATCTTCATTTCCCGGGGTGTGCTCGGCTGTTGGGCCAATCAGGAGGGTTCGTCGGCAATGGACCGTGGAGTGACAGCCGGTCAGGGACAGCTTATTTTGAATGATGAGCGGGAGTCTGGAGACGGGAGGGGATGATGTGTAATGGGGATATGGAGGTGTTTACCCCGCAATCTAGATGTGGAGTCCAGGGGTGTTCTGTGTCCTTTACATTTTCATTCATATCTTTAATCTATATCGTTGTCATTAATGCCAGGTAAAAGGTTGATGGACTGTCTTGGCGGATACGGCAATAACTAGAGCATTTATATAGTAGTGGACAGTCCATTTTAGTCGATAAAGGTGATATAGTATCTGTATGACAGATGACATAGATCTATCTTATCAATAATATCAGGAGCACTGTCTTCCACGGTGGTCCACTCCTCCCCTGTCACATTCGCCATTTCGGGAAGTGTGGTCGGCATCATGCTTACAGATAAGTCACATTAACAATGTCATTACCGTATCTACCATTCTATTATCCTGATATCATACCAGTATCAGCAGTATGATATCAGCATATCAGCATATCAGTAGTGCATCGGCAATCTACCAATCGATACATCCCATCGGCAAGTCCCCGCCGCCACGCACATCGGCAACTTTAAGCTATCATGATATCAACCGAACTACTATCACGCTTATCATCCCTTCCAGCCTGTCATATCGACGCATCCATGCTACCCCGGAAAATCAGACCCCGGGGAAGCATCCACTGAAGCGTCCATCTATCAGTAGCGGAACATATCCGCATTCCGCTGTCTCCACTGACTGCTGTCCGAGCTCTCTATCTGGACTAGACACTGTGGTCTTCGGGAAACTATCATTCTTGATAGTGTATTCCGCGGGAAGATATGGATGGTTAAATCGGTTATCTCATTGTGGCTTTGATCGCGTGCCGCGGATATCGGTCTGTTTCATTGCGACGTCACCAGACCCCTTTCTGGTGTTGGATAAAAGTCGAATAGATCTCCTGATAATGGTGTTGTATCTTCTATCATAACAACAACCCACAATGGCCATCATCACTAGTCACCATATCGACGACGTCAGAGAGTCTGTCAATGACGCCCTGGCTTCGCTGCAGACTTCACTAAGAGAACTCAACAACCAAGTATGTCATCTCAACATCTTCCTTGACTATACTAACCATGTAGATCTGGTCAAATCCCGAAACAGCATACCAGGAACATCAAGCCCACGACGCCATCTGCTCCTTTCTCGAAGCGCAAGGTTTCACTGTTACCCGCCATGCATACGGGCTACCCACCTCGTTCGAAGCCACCACCGGTTCCGGGGGGCGGCTGATCAACTTCAACGCGGAATACGATGCGCTCCCTGAGATTGGGCATGCATGTGGCCACAACCTTATTACGACCAGCAGCATGGCCGCCTTCTTGGCGCTCTCGTTTGCCTTGAAGAAGTTTGGATTGCCCGGACGGACACAACTGCTGGGGACTCCGGCTGAGGAGAACGGGGGCGGAAAGGCCAAGTTGATCGACGCGGGGGCGTACAAGGGTGTGGATGTTTCCTTGATGGCGTATGTTTCTTTCTCCTGGTCAAGGCCAAGCTAACTGTTCAGTCATGCCGGTCCGAAACGTCTCTTCCCTGGTGTTGAATCAGACGGGGTGGGTGGAGTTCTGATGAATGCTCGTAAGGAGATACACTGCGAGTTCACTGGCAAGAGTGCCCATGCCGGTGGCAATCCATGGGAGGGGGTGAATGCGCTGGACGCGTTGGTGTCTTCATACAACAACGTTGCTGTTCTGCGACAGCAATTATTGCCCGACCAGCGTATTCATTGTGCCTTTCTCGATACACCCAAGGTGGCCAATGTAATTCCTTCACTCACCAAAGCGTATTGGCAGGTTAGAAGTCCAACGCTGGGTGGACTGAATAAGTTGATGGCCAAAGTGCGGAATTGCATCGAGGCAGGGGCGCTGGCCACGGGGTGCAAGGTGGATATTGTCGAGTATGTCTGTCCAGTATCTTCATATTGTGATATGTTCTAACAGAGCAGGAACGAACTATACACCGATATCAAGCTGAATGACACTCTCTGCGAGCGATATCAAGTGCAGATGCAGAAATACGGACGGAATGTGTTGAAGAGCCATGACAAAGTCCTGACAGGGTCTTCTGATATTGGTATGCTCATCCCTGTTGATACTCGTCCATCCTAACAATACCAGGCAACGTGAGCTATATCACGCCCACGCTCCACACCATGTTTGCCATTCCAGCCCCCGGTGGCTCCTTTCCCCATCATCCTTCATTTGCTGCTGCTGCAGGGACGGACGAGGCGCATGAAGAAGCAGTGATTGTGGGGAAGTCGCTGGCGTTGATCGGATGGGAGATGATTACAGACGATGCCATGTTCGAGCAAGCTGTACAACAGTGGCAGCAGTCTATACAGACAGAATAGTAAATAGTAAATAAATAATAATGGATAAGCGATGAATAATGATTCTTCAGCTGGGGAGATTTCCGACCGGGGGCTGACTCATCTTCTCCCCGCCCAGTTGGGATTTCATCATTGAATTTCTCCATCTCCAACGTTCCTCTTTGCATCCTCTTTCCTTTCTCTCCTCTTGTAAATCACCTTCCCTAATGCCTACGGGCTAACGTTCATCTCGCAGAAGTGGGGGATTCCATTCATGTCCGGAAGGAACGCCCCTCGCTCGAAGAATGGTATGCTCCAGATGCGACAGTTCCTCCCCGATCATCCCCAGTCTTCCCCCATTCATCCCCGTCATCCCCATCATTTCGGCTAACGGCTTCAAGGCTGCAGTACGTGCCGCCGTCGCAAAGTCAAGTGCGATGAGGAGCGCCCGGTGTGTAAACGCTGCCTCAACCTGCGCCTCAGCTGCGAGTGGGGAGTTCCCGTGAAACGAAGGGAATCCCGCGTTCGCAGTCTGCAGCCGGCGCAGCCCCGGCACTCGTACAACATCAACATCAACCACAACTACGGCAATATTGCGGCCTTCTGGAATGCCCCAGCAGTGGTCAGTGATTTGGTTCCAGCCCAGCAGGATGTCTTCCTCCCTCCGGTCTCCCCGTTCGATCCGAATCCGCTCTATCCGACGCTTTCCGGTTCGGAAGTGCCCTGCGCCAACTCGCTCATTTTGACGGAACACGATCTGAAATACTTCCAATATTTTCCCTCTTCGTCGGTGGTGTTTTATTATATGAAATCATGGCAATGGAGCAGTTTTTGCTATCTGTATCAGGGGCCGGCGGCGACCAGCAAGGTGATTATGCGTATGATCCTGGCGCTGTCGGCCAGCGATATGCATCGGAATGGGCTGGTGGTACGGTCACCAGGCCGTCCTACCGCGGAGGACCATGCCCGGTATCACTATAGTCTGGCTGTGAAGGAGTTTCGCCAATTACTCGAGACGCCGAGAGAGGTTTCGCACATGGAATTGGAGATGATTTTCGCCACGATGTTTTTGATGGTTACATATGAGTGGCAGTTTGGACACTTTGTGCGACATCTTCAGCTGCATCTGCAAGGAGTGCGATCGCTCCTCGAGTCGCATCCGCAGTTATTCCAGCTCAAGGACATCAATGGCATGTTCTTGGATATGAGTGTCGGCCAGGCCGATGAGGCCATGTCCAAGGTGTCTTTTATTCCCGAGCAACTGCTGCTCTGGATTCTGTATGTTCCCTTTCGCCATATTCTCTTCCAAACTGACCAAAAAGGTATGTGGATGTTAGCTGCCGGCCCATCGGGCTGACTGAATCACTGTACGATTATGTGCTCAACTCGGGCAATCCTGCCCTCCACCCCGATTATCTTCATAAATGCGCTCGTCTCTGGGGCCGATGCTTCTGGGGCAGTCAATACCCAGATCAGGAAGTATTGGATGACGTTGAAAACCATCGGGGATTGGAATTGCTACATGAGGGTATGGGGTTGCGGTACAAGACGTGGCAACTCGTCGTCGATCCGACTGCGTCGAGTTATACCACTGAGTCTTTGTTCACTGAAATGATGGGCATTCGTGATGTGAGTAGACTCCATGCCGACATGGACTTGACTAACAAATTAGAAATACTCGGATCTATTCATCACGGCTAGATTCGCTGGAGGATCCTCGGCGCGACGCACGCTGAACACGATCTACTTTGCCGTCAGCACATTCTATGCACAATTTTTATTCCATCGTCGACTGCTCTGCAGCGGTCCTCCTACCATTCTCCACCGGCAGACAGTGACCAGTATCCTCGAGATCACACGCAAACAATACGCCGCGGATCCGAAACTCTTACGACGGCTACATTGGCCACTTTTGATGGCAGTGATAGAGACAGATAACGATAGTGATCGGGTTTGGCTACGACAACGGCTAGGCGAACTCTGCGAGTACCATTCTGAATACGTATGGGCAAATCGAGTTGCAGAAGAAGTACTTTCCCAGCAGGATGTGAGCCAGGGGCAATATGCGAATCTGGCAGAACTACTGCGCAATCACCATGTAAACAGTTTGTAGTATAAAATATATCAAATAATAATAAGACTAGACATTCTCGAGAAAATACGCATCGTACGCCACCTCCCCTTTAGCTCTGGTAGCCCGTCCAACAATCACCCGATTGTTCATCCAGCGATACTTTTCATGGCCAGTTTCAATCTTGATGTGCAAATGGAACCAGTAGGAGTTGGGATCGACGCCGTCTCCTTCCATCAACGCCTTCAACACTTCCGGCGGACCAGATCGCGTTCCCTCAGTTCTGCACATTAGCATCCTTCTTAACTGTAAAAAGAAGAACAAACCGGATATACAAATACGCCCCGTCGTCACTCTTAATAACATAATTCGTATTCACATGCGTTGTCTGGTCGTCCTCGACGAGCCTACTCATTAGCACCACATATCATATAGCAAGATAAGAATGCATACATAAAATCCGCACCACCCGGAACAACCTCCCCATTGATATACTCCCCTCTCACCGTCCCAGATTCAATCGGCACGCATCTTCTCCTCCCATACGGACCGTTTCCGATCTCAATTGGCGCGGCAACAGCGCAGCGTAGGGAGAAGAGGGGCGTTAATTTGGGGGCGGGGGAGATGGTGTCCATTTTTTATTGTATTTTACTTAATGGAGAGTAAATACGGTAAGTTGAGGGTGGTTATATATGACATGCTGGACCGCGGCTTGATCAGAGCAGATCTGGTTCTTAACCGGTTGCACTGCCGAATGCGTCGGATCCACAATATAAGCTCTGCTGGCCATCATCTTAGGGGAATATCAAAAGCCAGTTCCCTCAACGCTGATTAGAAAGGATTTTGGAGCTACTGACATCCATTTCATTTATGAAGCCATTCAACCACTCATTAAATTGAAATATCTTATTGTGTATCTGTTTAATGATCAAGGTACACTACCAAGGGTGGTATCCTGATAAGGATGCCTGATTTTGACGCCTCATGGAAAAGGCATAAATTAACAAATTGTTATATATGAGCCAAGCCCACGGGATCACGTTTCGGAGTTGATGGATATTTGAGGATTTTTCTAAAGCCGATGAGGCCTAGGTCATTCCTTCACGATACATCAATGCGACAAGGACATCACGGCGACTAGGATAGGATGGAATCACTATAAGAATCAGCCATTATGACATATAAGGTTTACAGCTGCGCGTATACACTTACGCTTTGCATACTTGTCTTCTGCTCCATCCAAGCTAAGATCTGCAATCTGGACCGTAAAATCGTCGGGGTGAAATCTGTTCATGTTTCGCGAGATCTTCAGATATATCCACAGTCTCTCGGGTGGAAAAGTACAAAAGAAAGCTTGTCGATTGAGCCGAACGCAGACTTTATCTTCGTGGTTCAGCCGGGCGGTCTTAAGTGCTCTGTCGATTTTAGTACGCAGTTGCATCATGAGACTGGCTTGGTAGATGTCGTTCCAGAAGCCCCTTTCTGTTGATCCTATATACTAGTCAATACCTGTGCGAGCTGCTGGAGAGGAAGTGCGGTACCTGGTTTTAACGAGAAGTAAATCCGTGGCAGGGAACCCTCGCCTTCTTCCCTCTGCAATAATTGGATTGCGACCTGCCATGCCACAGAGAATGACATGTGAACTCGACCCGGTGACAGGCCGAAAGGAATTGTCTTACACTTGGTGCTTCCCCCAAGGTCGTGAAGAATTCTCGCGAGCGAAGCGAGATACAAACCACGTTTATCGAGCGGGTCCTTTTCAAAAACGGTTTTCATTCCTTCGGACTCATCTTCGAAATACTTTTCTATGCTTGCTCTTAGAGAGTTGGGCGAGTAGTAGACTATCGAAGATGTGATGTACCCTTCTTCGAGAAAAAGATTGTTGATGATTGCAACATGGGCGGAAGAGAGCTTGAAGCACTGGAATTGAAACCGGTCATTTGCGTGGAAGTCTTTTGATGATGTTGGTGTTGGCGAAACACGAACTGTCTTGCAAGGGCTAACGGGAAGATCTTGAAGCATAGATCCTGCTCGGTCCGGGTGGAGATGGTAAGATCGGAGTGTCCGTCCGATCTGCTCCCAGGCAGCCTCGAATCTGCTATCCTGAATCGGCGGCGATACAAGATGACTCCTCAAGACAATGATAAGCCGAGGGGATAGAGGAGCGAAATTATGATGCTCGTTGTACACGAGAGCTTCCATCTTCCTTGTTGCAGTATTCAGTCGGACAGTTGACGGGCCTTCAAAAACACCATAAGCATTCTGGGTGAGGAGAAACTCCTCCTCTGGAGCCTCTGGCGAACAGAAGGTGAGATAGCTATGTAGAAGATGCAACTCGAACATTTTCGCATCATCCGGATACATTTCCCCTGCCAGTGTTTTTGTCCAACTCTTCTCTGGATCCATCCGGAGATCCAGAAGCTGCCGCAGATTGTCAAACCACACTTCGCGTGGTTGATGAAACCCTTTCGCCTTCATGTATCTTTCCATTCGTGCGCGATCGTCGGAATCGTAGTCCTCGATGGAATCATGATTATACCTGTCGAACATGCTCGAGTTTCGATACTTCATCAGAAACAGGAATTTGCGTAAATTATCGACCTCGGCTCTCTTCAGTTCCAGGACCGAGTTGTTCGCAAAGCTCGTGTGAGCTCGCTCAATTATAATGCTGGCCTGGCCCTCCAGCTGTGAAAGCTTCTCCTCTAAGTGGTATGGGTTCTTGTCGAAGCCGGGGTCTCGATACATGTCCACCAGGGCAAATTCGGTCGAAACTGCACGCTGGGTCAACATGCATTTCTCAAGGTCGACCTTGTTGACGAGGAAGTCTCGACGCGTTTTTCTTCTAGAGGAAGCAGGGCCTGCAGGAGGCTGCTCTTTGGGTGCGAACCTCCTCAGGATAAATCGAGGAATGAAGTGGTGTTTCTGTTGTAGCGAAGCCATCTTGTGGATGATCGGTTGATGGTTATTGAAGTGCGAAATTGAGGATTTGGCGCCACTATTATATCCCATCAATTTTGTGGCGCAGCTATCTGTCCGCCAGCCTCGTAGGCCCAACCGACACGCACTTTAGATTCTATTGGTGGTCTGCAACTGGCCTGTCACTCTTTGCATCCGGAGCGGCTATTTATTGGATCAGACACACTGACAGCGACCTGCCGCAGCAATCCCAAATCTTTCTTTGGCTGGAGACGCTCATGATCACATATTCCTTGCCAATACCACCTGGGCAACTGATAATCATAACAAACCACTCTAGTCTGCACTGACCACGAATCCAAAGAGGTAATATCGCCATTTTGTAAGGCGGGGGTCGTGTGAGCCATACGTATGGCGGCGATAGGATGAAGCGTGTAGATTCTTTTAGAAGCAGAGAGTAGAGAATGTCTTATATAGGCATCATACAAAAGAAATTCTGGTGTTGCATAGGAAGTACAGTGGCGATCAAGCTAACATTATATTCATGAATTATCTAATCAGCAATCAGAATTGAGTTGATTGGCAAATGGATAAATGAGTCAAGTTTAAGGCTGTTATTGGATCGTGCATATCAAGATCTAGCTAGGTAGTATTCCACCTGATTCTAGTCATGTCATATATAAATAGTGAATCTATCTATTCCCCCTTAACCTTCTGCGCTTTATATACCCAAACATAGCAAAACGGGTATATCGTCTCCGGAAGCAAAGTCACGACCATAATGGCAATACTCCACGGCGAAGCAACATATTCCCAATTCTGGGGCACATTCAAATATCGCCAGATGAACACCCCGTAAGCTAGATAGCAGCCTATATATCGAGTTATCCTGCATCCATATCCATTAGCTATACTTTCACTCTGGCAAAACGAGATCGGGGAAGAAACACCCACCACATCTCCAACGAATGCCCCCTCGTCCCCTCTTCCGCATACAACGAATGCAAACAGACCCAGCCGATGGGAAGTTGAAGGAGAACCCCAGTCCAGTACGCCGTGACTTGTTCGCGATCATCTGGGTAGACGGTCGTTAGCCATTTCAGGCCGGCTATACCCAGGACGAGACCGATGAGCATGTTCTGGATGAGTCGTGGTCGGTGCTCGGCACGATGGACATGCTTGAGGGTGACTGCGACGTAGGCAACGTCATGGATGAACCAGGCGAGAAAGCCGACTCGCTCTAGGGTTGTGGATGTGGTGGTGAAGGCGTAGAAGAGTTCGTAGGCCATTGTTAGGCATCTGGTTGGTTGTGAGTAGGAGTCTACGATGTGATAAAATATGGGGTGGGCTTACAGATACTGGACACTGCCATAGCTCGATCCTGGGATTCGCTGGTCTCTATATGCGCGGAATGTACAAAATAAATAGCACAGAACGTAGAGGAAGCCGCAGGAAATGATCAGCCCATCTTGAACGTATAGATAGCTCTCTGGCGGATTCAGTCGCAGGTCTGCGGGTTGTATAATCAAATGCTGGACTTTGTTCGCTAACTTGAAATTTGACATGGTAACTGTACGGCGTGTATTTTATCTTGCGACTCTCACCTTGATGCATCATCGTCTTCGGATTTTATAAGCGCGGAGTCTGCGTCAGCTGACAGAGCGGAGCGCTCGGATTCATGACATCATCAGCGTTGCTGCTCTTCAAAAGGCACATTGCCGTGGCCAGTAAGATTGAAACAGCGAAGAAGGACCATGCACAGCCTTTCTTGGAGTTTGGGACCTGGTTCGTCGATCTGAGGGGTTTAGGCAGAAGTATATTTCCGTAAATAGTGTTTCCATGGGATGTTTGAGAAGCTGTATTGTCTCTATTTAACCTGGATTCAAATCTAAAGTTGATAAAGAAGATGAGTGACATTTATTGGTATCAGAGTCTATGTTACTAATAGGTAGAGGATATTTCACAGAACTTGAAAAGTGTGAGGTAAAATACAGTGATTAATTATCGCCGTTGTCGATAAGAGCTGATAGTGATATCGATCGACTTATCGATAGGGAATTTACCGTCGTCAAGCCTGGCCATACCCCATCTATAGTCTCAAGCGGCTAGATTAATATTGTTTAATGTTTAACCTCTCTGCTGAGCCTGCAGTGAACAATCAGAACTCGACCTTTTCGTGACTGTTGTGCCCCAACCTGGATTGACGATCATTTAAAGCGTGGCATTGTTTGAAGCTGGGAAACAAGATCTTCAGCGCGGCTACTTATGGAAATGATTGGCACGAGGCTTTCTGCCATTGAAATAAATATATTAGAGTAATATTATCAATGCGACACTTCTGGTGGAGTAGTAGCCGCATGGTCTTGAATCAACATGGCTGCCATTGTTCATGGTCACATACTAACTATATAGCTATGGTATACCTTCATCTACAACCTCTCACATACATGGTCTGGTCATCCACCAGCTTCCTGTATAACCTTAGGGCCCTGGATTTCACCAGCAGAAGACCAGTGCACATGGATGTGGATTATTTTATAGTTTTATACTTGAATATTTGAATATCTACATAGTATATATGTTTATTATCTATTCGCGATGTGACATGATACCCTGCCAATATCACCGTGATGAGCCTGCATGCATATGCACCCTTATCAGTCCAATAAGAGCATCCAGCGATATCAACACAATGTATTTAAACCCATCCCCCTTCATGCTCTCAACCATTGCAATCCCATTCAATTGAAACAAAATGAGCATCGAAGCAGCCTGGTCCGCCTGTTCCAAAACAGACACCCTCTTCATCCTCATCTGCAGCGTCTTCTGCTGGCTCATCATCCCCGCCGTCGGCCTCGCATACTCGGGCTATTCGACCCGACACAACGTCCTCGCCTCATTCTACCCCAGTCTGATCGTGGTCTGCGTCTGCTCGATTCAATGGTGGATGATCGGGTACTCGATTGCGTATAGCGAGAACGGGAATGCATTCTTCGGGGGGCTCGACAAGGTGTTTCATATTGGGGTGTTGGCAGATCCGGTCGGGTCGATTCCAGAAGTGTTGTTTTCGCAGTTCCAGTTGATTTTCTGTGCGACGGTTTGTGCTATTGCTGTTGGGGGTGTTTGTGAGAGGGGACGGTTGGTGTCGTTGATTCCATTTGTCTTTGTCAGTATGTCCATCTCTTATACCCCATGCGGTACTAACTGTATAGCTATGGTGCACCTTCATCTACACACCCCTCGCACACATGGTCTGGTCGCCCACCGGCTTTCTGTATAACCTCGGAGCCCTGGACTTCGCCGGCGGAACACCAGTGCACATCTGCAGCGGTGCCTCGGCGACCGCAATCAGCGTATACCTTTCCTATCCACTATTTCGCTCGAAGCGATCAGCAAAACGCACACCCAACCACCTCCGCCTCCACAAACCGCACAATACAATCTGCCAGCTCTTCGCACTGCTCATCATCTGGAACGCGTGGGTTGCGTTTGACGCAGGGACAACCCTCGCACTGAACTTTAAGAGCGTCATGGCCGGGTTCGTGACAAATATGTGTGCTGCGGCGGGGGCGTTGACATGGGCGTGTATCACGTACTACGAAACAGGGAAGTGGAGTCTGGATAGTACATTCCTAGGCGCCATCGCGGGGCTGGTGCTCATCACGCCGAGCGCGGGCTTCATCGATACCACGACCGCGGTGGGATTCGGGATCGCTGGACCTGTGATATGTCGGCAGGCACTACGGATTAAATTCACCAAGACGGCCGCGCGGTGGCGCTGGGTAGATAACGGGGATACGTTTGCGACGCACTGTCTGGGCGGGTTTGTCGGGACGATCGCGACGGGGTTATTTGCGCAGCGGGCGGTGGCTGCGTATGACGGGACGGAGATTGTGGGAGGGTGCGTGATTGATGGGAATTGGAGACAGTTGGGAGTGCAGATTGTCGAGGCGATTATTGGGTTTGTGTGGAGTTTTGGGGGGAGTTATGTGTTGTATGGGCTGGTGGATTGTGTGCCTGGGTTGGAGGTTTTGGCTACGGATGAGTGAGTCTATCCTGGTTCCTGGTTATGAGGTTATGGAGAGCTAACGAGATAGGGATGTTGTGGCTGGAATGGATGTGCAGATGGAGGAATCGCTGTATAATCAATGGCAGGGAGAAGAAGATTATCACCCCTTTGGCTCAGTGGATTGGCTGGAATAGATGCAAAATATACGAATATGATACACTAGTTAAACACAACCGTCTTGTGTCCGTTCAGCAGCACTCTCCGCTCCGTCACGTACTTGACCGCAGTAGCCAGCACGTTGCTCTCGACGTTGCTGCCGGCGTGGGTGAGCTCCTTGGGGCTCATGCCGTGGTTGACGCGGACGACGTTCTGCTCGATGATCGGGCCTTCGTCCAGATCGCTGGTGACAAAGTGGGCGGTGGCACCGATGATCTTGACGCCGCGGTCGTAGGCCTGGTGGTAGGGCTTTGCGCCCTTGAAGGAGGGCAGGAAGGAGTGGTGGATGTTGATGATCTTGCCGGACATGGCCTCGCAGAGCATGGGGGAGAGGACCTGCATGTAGCGGGCCAGCACGATGAGGTCGATCTTGTGTTCGCTGACGAGCTCGAGGACGCGGGTCTCCTGCTCGGTCTTGGTCTCCTTGGTGACGGGGAGGTGGATGAAGGGGATGTTGTAGGTCGCGGCGAGGGCAGCGAACTCGGGGTGGTTGGAGACGATGAGAGGGATCTCGATGGCGAGCTGGCCAGTGGATTGACGGAAGAGGAGGTCGTTGAGGCAGTGGCCGATCTTGGAGACCATGATCATCACGCGGGGTTTCTGGGTGGCCGGGACGATGTCGAAGGAATCGCTGGAGAACGAGGCGGCGGTGGGAGCAAAGGCATCGCGGAGCTGTTCGACGGTGGGCTTTTCAGCAGTGGGATCGCCGAGGGCAAAGTGAATGCGCAGGAAGAAGCGCTTGGAGGTCGGGTCACCGAATTGAGACGAGTCGACGATGTTGAGGTTGTGCTGGACCAGGAAAGCAGTCACGGCATGCACAATGCCGGGCCGGTCAGGGCAGGAGATGGTGAGGATGAAGCTGTCGGCCATTGTGATGTTGAACTCACGACTGGGTGTTGAAGGGAGGAATTAGGGATTAGGAATTAGCGACGAGGAAGAAAAAAGAAGGGATAAAACAAGGGATTCGAATGAGTCAAAATTTATGTCACGATTGCCCCGCCGCTTTCGGGGCTGACTAAGGCGGGGCTGATTGATTAGATTAGGGCTCATTCAGATCTGGCCCGATATCTACAAAGTTTATGCATTTGCATTCAGCCTGAATGGGATTTGTTTAATATACAGGCTTCCCTTTCAGTCAAGGAGACGGAGACGCGTCCGAATATATATCCTCCATTTGCTTGACGGAGCTCAGTCCGTATAGCCGTGAGGATGTATAAAAGGGACGTCGTCTTGCATCATTTCCATCCTCATCCTCATCATCTCACTATCTACTGTCTCGAGAAAGCAGAAGCATGTCTCTCAAAACTCTTCTTCCACTCTCCTTCCTCGCTCTGGCTCAGGCCCAAAAGGCCGGCACCCAGAAAGAGGAAGTCCACCCATCTATGACCTGGCAGAAATGCAGTGAAGGCGGCAGTTGCACCACCCAGAACGGTCAGGTCGTGGTCGACGCTAATTGGCGCTGGGTGCACACCGTCGATGGCTACACCAACTGCTATACCGGCAACGAGTGGGATGCCTCCATCTGTCCGGATGATAAAACCTGCGCTGACAAGTGCGCCCTCGACGGTGCGGATTACACCGGCACCTACGGCGTCACGGCCAGCGGCGACTCGCTCCGTCTCAACTTTGTCACGCAGTCCGCGCAGAAGAACGTCGGATCTCGTCTGTACATGATGAGCGATGACGACACCTACGAACTCTACAAGCTCCTCGGTCAAGAGTTCACCTTTGACGTCGACGTCTCCAAGCTCCCCTGCGGCCTCAACGGCGCCCTGTACTTCGTCTCCATGGACGCAGACGGCGGCATGGCCAAGTACTCCACCAACGAAGCCGGCGCCAAATACGGCACCGGATACTGCGACTCGCAATGTCCTCGCGATCTCAAATTCATCAACGGCCAGGCCAACGTCGAAGGCTGGGAACCCTCCGACAGCGACGCCAACTCGGGCGTCGGCAACCATGGATCCTGCTGCGCGGAGATGGACATCTGGGAGGCCAACAGCATCTCCAACGCCGTCACGCCTCACCCTTGCGATACCCCCGACCAAACCATGTGCGAAGGCGACAAGTGCGGCGGAACATATAGCAACGAACGCTACGCCGGCACCTGCGATCCAGACGGATGCGACTTCAACCCGTACCGAATGGGGAATACCTCCTTCTTCGGCCCCGGCAAGACCGTCGACACCAACTCCAAGATGACCGTCGTAACCCAATTCATCACGGACGACGGAACCTCCTCCGGCACGCTGTCTGAGATTAAGCGCTTCTACGTGCAGGACGGGGTCACCATCGCGCAGTCATCTTCCACCTACTCCAGCGCGGCTGGTAACTCCATCACCAACGAGTTCTGCACGGCCCAGAAGTCGCTCTTCGGCGATGACGACGTCTTCAGCCAACACGGCGGCATGGAAGGAATGAGTGCCGCGCTCGCAAAGGGTATGGTGTTGGTGATGAGTATCTGGGACGACCACAAGGCGAACATGTTGTGGTTGGATAGCAACTATCCCACTACTGCAGCATCGACTGATCCCGGCGTGGCGAGGGGAAGTTGTGATGTTTCGTCAGGAGAGCCGGATGAGGTGGAGAGCAGTCATGCGGATGCCTATGTGGCGTTCTCTAACATCAAGGTTGGTCCGATTGGGTCTACCTTCTGATGGGCTATATAGTATGTCTTAGTAGGTAGCACTATGTAGTACCTTAGGTAGTTGAGATAGTCCTCCAATCATGGAGAAGATGGAAATGAGCAATTTATTCGTCGCTTATTGAAATATATTTCTCCGTCAGCCACAGATTTTCATAATTATACAATCTAAGCATGAGGTACATTGTTACTATATAAATGATTAGGAAATATTAACAAATTCATATTAAGGGCTGCTACTAGCCAGTCGTAAATGAGGCCTAGGATATAGCACCCGTAGCGGGAATACCCTACATCTCAGGTATGCTGACACTATCCCGCTTTAAGCAACAACACCGACGCTTGTGGCTTTAGTCTGAGGGCGTCGCTTTAGCGAGACCGCAATTTCCGGACTTTCCTTCCTGCTTAAATCATATTTCCACGTCGAATGCAACAATGACACACAGAGGTTCTAGAACATTCTACCCCAGATATCAATCTACAATAACTTGTGTATGCCTTGAATCTAGGAAATGAATATGCATACTAGTTATGCCTGGACAGCGTAGACAGAAGTATCTCTCAGTCTCTGTATATACATTCAAGCAGGCAATTGAATAACAATTGAATAACTATGCACTACGCCTGCAATGGATATGACTGAATAACCACCCAGATGATCTATTATCATAGGCTCGTAGCTTGCAGACCGTCCTTATTTCCCCAGATCGACCCTAAGCAAGTCATTACGATGTGACCCAATGTTTATCCACAAGCGAATAGCACAGACAATGCCATGCTACCTCAAGCCCCCAAACGGCTCGGAGTCTACCGAGATCTACACGAGTTCGGAGCTCGCCATCGTAGGGAGTGGGCAACTAATCTTGTGGAGTAGCATCCTTCTGCCTCGAGCCGAGTCGAAGATCACGTCGTGGAGAACTCGGTAGAATACGAGGTGTTCAGGAAAAAGTATCCGGGTGGGTCTGGGTACCAGATAAAGTCGTATTGCTTTCAGATCAGATGAATCGAAGTAGATCTCAGAGGTAGACCCGCTAGACGGGAGGTGCTCGTCCATGGATCATTAGGAAGAAAGGCAAGTAACGATAGATGGACATGGTGATGTAGTGGCTTATTCACTGCGTTATGGGATGCCATATATGGTCTGTGATGTATCTGGCGGAGTGTATAGAGGCAATTAGCCATGTCATTGTCAGATTGATATGCTTCGTATTCATTGGTATTTGCGTGTCTGTAAATTGTCAGTGTTGGACTTGAACTCATCTCATCAATCATACCTGTAGTGAGAATGCTCATTATCATATATCTTATAAAGCGGCAACCAACTCGTCCACCGACTTCATCTTCTTATCATTATTCTCACCCACATCCAACGCCACCAAAAACCGACTGACACAGTTGTACCCCGCCACGCCCGTCGTCAATTCGACAATCTCTCTCTCGGAGAATCCCACCGTCTTCAACGCCCCAAACACCCCCTCCTCAACCTTGACGGTCTGCGTCATCTGATCCGTATACCGAATCACCGCCTTCTCCGCATCCGTCAGACAGCTGTCCTCCAGCGCCTTAAGCACCTCCCCATCCGAATTCGCCGTCGAAGGCAGCGTCATCGACACCGCCAATTCAGCCGGCTTGATGCCCCCCTTCAGCGCGAGCGGTGCATGCGCATTCCACTCATACACGGCGTCGTTGAGCACGGCAACCCGGCAAACGGCCAATTCCATCAGTCCGCCATCGAGGATTGTCTTTGAGCGGATGGCGCCGATGAAGCTGTTCCAGCCGTCCGCGACAGGCGGGGAGTGCAGCAGGGAGAGATCGAGGGGGATGAGGGGGCGCGGGTTGCGGCGGGCGGCGATGCGGGCGTAGATGTCTGATGTTTCCGCGGGGGAGTCTGCGGGGGGCGTGTTGGGGGCGTAGGGGAGACGCATTGTTCTGGTTTGTATAGGGGAGTGTGTGTATTTTGGGAATTGGGGTTTGATGGTAGTTAACCTGGTGAATCTGGTGAGTCTATACATGGCATGCATGCACTATCTTGATATGGGGTGGGAGGGAAGAACTACCGGGGGATGTGAGTTTATCCGCCCGGCAATGGAGTTGGCCGTAAGTACCGATCGGTAGATGAACGGGTAGCATCATATCCAACTGACTGACAATATAATAGAAAAACCGATATTGTAGTTTTTTATGGTACTCCACTTTGTATGATGAAGTATGATGGAGTAGTAATACCAACCTAGTTAGTATGGAAGCAGAAGTGCATGACGGCCAGACTCCTAGAAAAGCAAGAGCCAATGAGAGCGGTAGATATAAAACCATGGTTCAGATGGAAGAACGAACTGGCCAAGTCAACGGAAAAAGAAATAAGGTTATTCAGGATGGTCTGTGATCTGCAGGGTTGTATGTATAACATGTGCAAGGATCAGACAGATCAGAAAAGTAGGTGTTATCATTTCAAGGTCATCTTGATAGAAAGGGTAATGCTTTGGATGGGCCGTCCGGATAGAGCAGTTGGAGGGGCAGTGGATATGAACAGACACTAGGGTCTAATGACTGGCTAGTATGGCTGAGATAGTAGAAGTGGTAGTTGCTCTAGAAGTAGTGGCTGTTGAAGGGCTCCCAGATATCATGACATTGGTGAACAGACTCAGGTTAGTGATATATATCAGAGGTGGCTATTAGATGATATGGTCCTTCCAGAGCAGAAGGATGAATAGGGTTATGCTTGATTGGATGCATTCATAGGTAGCCTGCTGCCATAAATTGATACTATTCTACTGATCAAATTGTGATAGATATAAAATAGAATATTATAAAAATTCAGAAAAGGTAACCCCAAACCCCAGACCCGGGGAAACACAAGCAAGAAAGCTAGTGGAATCGGCATCTCAGGACGGATGAAAGCCGCCGGAAATGCGTTTAGAGTCGGGGCGAGGAAATGCCCAGTGCCGCTGGTGATGCCGATATATCATCTGAACTTGCAACATGTTTCGTTCTCTGCATTCTGCGTTCAAGTCATTCAGATCAATACACACAGCCCGCAAAATGAAGCATCATCTTATGGTCGGCACCTGGACCGCTCCCGGTCGCATCTACACGGTGCAGTTTGACGATGAGGAATTGACCCTGTCGCTGCTGAAGAAGACGGATATTCCGGAGGAGGAGCCGATTTCGTGGATGACCTTCTCTGTATGTTTATATTCTATTGATTATTATTATATTATGCTAATTGTGATTGAAGCACGACAAAAAAACCATCTATGGAGCGGCGATGAAGAAATGGAACAGTTTTGCTGTTCACAGCCCGACCGAGATTGTCCACCAGGCGTCGCATCCGGTGGCTGGCCATGGTATGTTACATGAAGCCATTCAGACGAAAGATATTAATAAGTAGAACTCGCTGCCTCGGCCGACACCAACACGCGGGCGATCTTCGTGCTGGCCGCCCACCAACCCCCCTACAACGTGTACGGCAACCCGTTCTACAAATACGCCGGCTATGGCAATGTCTTCTCGGTCGCAGCGGACGGAGCCCTGGAGAAGAACGTGCAGAACTACGAGTACCAGGAAAACACCGGCATCCACGGCATGGTGTTTGATCCGACGGAGACATACCTGTACTCAGCTGATCTGCAGGCCAACAAGATCTGGACGCACAAGAAAGACGCACAGGGGCAGCTGGAGCTGGTGGATTGTCTCGAGGCACCTTCGCCGGACGATCACCCTCGCTGGGTGGAAATGCACCCGTCCGGCAAGTATCTGTATGCGCTGATGGAGGCGGGCAACAGACTGGCTGTGTATGTGATTGACGAACGCACACACAAGCCCGTCTTTACACACATCACCTATCCTCTGCTTCCTCAGGGCTTGCTGCCTCCCCGCAACAAGTACCGCGGCGACGTGACCTTCACCACCAAGGGCGGCAAGTATCTGTTCGCCACGACGCGGGGCAACTCGTTCGACATTACGGGGTACATTACTGCGTTCAGACTGGGTCCTTCTGGCGAGATTGAGAAGCAGCTGTTTATCCATCCTACGTCTACGAGCGGCGGCCACTCAAACGCGGTCAGCCCGTGTGATTTCAGCGATGAATGGTTGGCGCTGTGCGACGACCAGATGGGCTTTGTGGAAATGTACCGCTGGAAGGACGAGAATTTGGCCAGAGTGGCGAGAGTGGATATTCCTGAAAAGGGATTCGGCATGAATGCAATTTGGTATGACTAGATCGAATATGAATTAGATGACTTGATTGAGGATGATGAGATGGATAATGGATTTTGTAACTACCGATCGGCATCTAACATCGGCCTCAATACTTAGCCGGCGGGGTATATAGCCCCTCCCTACCACTGCACTATCACCCACTATCAACTGTACTACCATTAACCATTCAATTGTTGTACCAGTTGATAGAATTAGAGAAAATGGAAGGCCTCCTCTACGTGACGATGCACCCCAAGGCATCGCTCCCCCCCGCCCAATTCCACGACTGGTACAACAACGAACATGGCCCTCTCCGGCTGCGCCTCCCCTTCGTCACCAACGGCTTTCGCTATCGCGCCGTCGACTCGCTCGAGCCAGAGTGGGTCGCCCTGTACGACATCACCGACATGGCCGAATTAACCCGAGAGCCCTACCTTGCTCTTCGCGGCGATGGCATCAAAACCCAGCGTGAAAAGAATACGATGGCCCAGATTGCCGTCGATCGCCGGCTGTATGATCTGCTCGACGATCAGAAAGCGCCCGGCTACGCTCCGCTGGAGGATCTGACGGACAACGAGTCCGACGGAGCCGTTTTGATCGCGGTTTCTTTTACTCTGTCGGATCCGGCCAGGCAGGACGAGGTGGATGCGTGGTATCGCGAGGAGCATCTGCCCATGTTGTCGCGCGTGCCGGGGTGGCGTCGTTCGCGCCGCTACGTGACGTCGTCGATTGATCCCAACGCGCCGAAAGAATTGATTTCGCTGTATGAATACGCGGCGCAGAATGGCCTCAACGGCCCAGAGCACCAGGCAGCGATGAACACGGCCTGGGGAAACAAAGTCAAGAGTGAATGTGTGGCTGACAAGAAGCGCCGCGTCTACCGTTGGGCATACACTTTCGGCCCAGCCCCCAGAGAGCTGCACTCGCTGGCCTCGTCTGAGGTCGCTGGTCCGTGGAACTCCAACGATCGGCGCACAAAGACGCTGCCCTCATCCCGTCCCGCGGTGGAATCCTTCATCACCACCCCTGATGGCGTCGACCTCCCCTATCGTCTTGAGGGCAGCACCGACCCGCGATCCCCGGTGATCGTGCTCTCAAACTCTATCTTAGTCGATTACTCCATTTGGGATGGCTTCGTGGACGCTTTCCTCTCCCATCCGGCAAACAGCAACTACCGCATCCTGCGCTATCTCACGCGCGGCCGGCTCCAAAAATGCGGTGAAAAAGACATCAACATCGACGTGCTGGCCGGCGATATCGTCGCGCTGCTCGACGCCCTCCGCATTCCTCAAGCCACCCTCATCGGCGTCAGTCTGGGTGGTGTGACGGTGCTCAACACCGCGCTGCTGTACCCCTCGCGCATCACCAAGTTCATCGCCTGCGACACCAACTCGTCGTCGCCGGCCACGAACAGAAAGGCATGGGACGATCGCGTAACTATGGCGGAGAACGACCGCGCCGTTTCCCCGGCCACTAACGAGACTATCATCGGGGAATCGCTCGCGGAAGTCACCACCCGCCGCTGGTTTGTGGACGAGTCGTACGAGACTCAGCCAGCCCTTGCTGAGAGGATTAAGAATGTTGTCCGGGACAACAGTCTGGAGGGATTTAGAAAGGCAGTGCAGGCGCTGTGTGCGTATGATGTGCGTGAGCGCATGGCCAACGCGACTGTGCCTGGATTGTTCGTTGCCGGGTCTGGTGATGGCGTTCTTCCTCAGACGATGCAGAAGATGGCACAAGACCTCAAGGGCGATGCTGAGCTCAAGATCGTCGACAAGGCCGGCCATCTGCCGATGGTCGAGCAGCCGGAAGCGTTTACCAAGATTGTCCAGGAATTCCTCTAAGGTATCTGTAACATAGGAAATATACATTAAGTATATACTATAAATTATAAATAGACCATCAAACATGTTCCCGTATGCTCGACTCATCCATCGTCTGCGTCACCTCCACCGTGCGATGAATACTGAGCCCAATCTCACCCCCCGTCTCCGAAATCCCCGGCAACGTGGGATGCTGCACATTCAACCGCTCCTCACTACTATGCGGACTGGCCGAGATATTCGTCCAGGTATCGTGGTTCTGGCTCTGAATGGTAGTGACCGTCACGGCGAGCTTGTCGGGCCGTAACCGCGGCGCGTCCCGGTCGACTGAACCGAGAGGATAGGGCCGATCGTGGCTGACGCCGGGCATGCGCGAGGACGAGCGATGGGGGAGACCGGATGTGTAGTCTCGTCCACCGGAGGATCCGAGGACTTTGCGGAGGAGAGGGCGGAGCGTGGCGAGGGAGCCGGCGGTGATGCCGAGGCCGGTTTCGATGTTGGACCAGATGGCGATTTGATAGGTGGAGTCTGAGGATATTAGTATCTATCTGCATATTCAGATGGATGGGAACGTACAGAGAAAGTCCGGGTCGGCAAAGGTGTGAACAAAGGGAAATCGGACAATCACAGCAGAAGAGGCACTATCCAGTCAGTACACATTTGCACCCTATAGTATAATGTAGAACTCACATGCAAGCCATACTCAGAATACCGATAACAGCCAACTTGGTCTGACGATGCATATTCAAGCTCTTCACGAGGAAGACGGGCAAAATGCCCACGGTAAAGTCACACGCGCCCGCAAACACACTGTACACGTATGTCATGGCCACGACAATCTGCATATTGATGCAGTAGCCCTGGATGCTGGGATCGCCGGCATGGCGGGTCCAGAAGTACTGCAGCGGATGGCACTGCAGCAACATGATAAGCATGAAGACGATGCAGGTGATGACGGTGAGCGTCATGACGGTGTAGAGCGTCCAGATGTGGAGGGGCTTGATGGTGATGCGCATCAAGAAGATGCAGACGGAGATTTTGCAAAAGACGGATGCGAAGCAATAGGCAATCTCACACAGCCACCAGTACTGACTTTATTAGTATTGTTCAAAAATGAAGTTATTCAGACGTACCTTCATCGCGATCATCCCGTTCGGCGGCTCTAAATCAGCAAACACATAGCCGGTCCCGTACAACGACCCCCCAATCATGCACCCCCCAAACATGAAGTAAAACAACATGGCCACCACCATGGCCGCATCGTCCCAGCCAAAGCCCTTGACGATGCGTAAGCGCACATAACACCGCAGAAACACGGTAATACTAGCAATGGGCATGAAGATGGCCGCCGTGGTCCGGACGGCCACGTTTCGCATGTGCCCATCCGACATGATGCATGCCGTCCAAAACAATGACAGCTTCAACTCTGGTTGACAGAGGGAATCGGTGAATTTTATTTCGTGTGCGGAGATCCGCCAGGGACAAACTCGTGACGAGGCTAGAGGCCACTAAAGCAGAGGCTAAAAAGTAGCCAAAGTGGCGCTCCCAAGTGCGAAATCAACGGTTTCTCCAACAGGCAGAGATTTGCTCCTTCCGATCGCCGTTTCCTCTCCACTGCCGGCTGCAATAGGCAGTGTGCCCGGCCTCATCGCGCCCAATCTCAGCGCCTGTCCAGCGGTCTGGATCGTCTAGTGCTGCTGCTGTCATGGTCCGCGAAGAACTAACGCCGTCTATCAAACTTGGCCGGACGACTTCCGCGCGTTGACATGTGTCCGACCAGTCCTGGCCTGACTCCATCGCAGAATGCCGAGTTTTTCTCTGCCGGGTCCACAGCGCGATGGGAATTAATATCAGTAGTTGGCATCTCTCCTGCAGTAGCAGCGTCTGTGTAATGCATTATTCAGGAGTGCCGATCGCTGCAAGGATCAGTTAGTCTGCCGGAATGGAAGCCTTGCCGAGATCCCCGAAAAAAAAGGGGCAGACTATCTGATATTAATATTAAGATTGGATTCGGCATTGACGCGGACGATGGAAATGAGGATGCGGATATTAATATCCTCGAATCCATCTTCTGGAATTCCTCCTGACCGGGTTCCGGGAATCGACACTATCTCATCCTGATGCATGTGAGGCCATGTGGTTGTTCCGCTGGTCCGGATGAAACAATCATTCCATCACACCCACTCCTCATATCGATACATCAACAATAGACACAACAGACACAATAGACCAGACAATAGCATAGACAATAGGCAGAATGAAAGTCACCTCTCCCCTGCGCGTCTCTCTCTCCGCCCATGGTAGACAGATCTGCCCCCACCAGCTCTTCCAGTACAACAATGGCCGCTTCATCGTCAACGAGGAATACGAGCTCGCCAAACGTTATTCCCCATTCGATCTCAAAGCCCTATGCCGCCTCGTATCCGACTTACCCCAAGTTGCATCGCCGATAAGATCGATAAACAAAAAGGAGGGCGGCTTCAACAAGGCCCTGCTGATGAAGGCTGAGAATGGGAATACAGTCATTGCCCGCATTCCCTGTCGGAATATCGTCCCGCGAGAATATGGGACTGCGTCTGAGGTGGCTGTTCTGAAATTTGGTATTTTAATATATATATATAAATCTATACTATATACACACTAATACAGATAGTAAAAACACGCTCGTCCACCCCCGTCTCAGACGTCCTCGCCTTCTCCTCCAACCCCTCCAACCCCGTCGGAACGGAATACATTATTCTCGACAAATCGCCTGGCATCCAACTCACCAAAGTATGGGATACTCTTTCCGAACCCGACCGGGTCAAACTCATTCGTGAATTCGCCCAGCTGGAGAGTAAACTCGCCAGTATCGAATTCCCCGCCTACGGGGCCCTGTATATGCGTGATGCGTTGCCAAATGCCCTGCGCTGTCCTGGGCGAACCATCGATGTAGACGATAAATATGTCATTGGGCCGCTGTATCACGGTGCCTGGCCTGGTGGATTCGCAGCTGATCCGGAGGATTATGCCGAGTATTCTGGTCCTTGTATATCATATATCTTGCCCTAGTATTCCGTATATACTGACAAGATACCTGTAGGGCGCAATCTATCCGACTTCGGCCACTCCCTGGCCCAACAAGGCATCTTCCAGATCAAAAACTTCAAAACCTCCTACGCAGGCCGAGGCCCCCATCATGGCTCGCCATCCGCCCACATCGACCTCCTGCACACCGTGATGAAACTCATGCCTGTCCTCTGCGCCTCGCCCACCCTCCGCCGCCACTCCCAGCCCGTCCTCACCCACCCCGACTTCCACCCGGGCAACATCTTCGTCTCCCGCGACGACCCCACCATCATCATGGGCGTCATCGACTGGCAGTTCACCTGCATCATGCCGCGCTTCACCCAAGTCCGGTGGCCGCTCTTCCTCACCCCGCCGGAGGGATACCAGACGGGCCTGAGTAGACCACAGCTGCGGAAGCGGTTCACGCGGGCGAACGGACAACGCGGGAAGCAGGACGCCGCGTTGCGCACGAAATGCTACGAGGCGGCGCTGGTGAAGACGCATCTCGAGTCGTATCTAGCCCTGACGGAGCCGGACGTGGCGGTGCGGCAGCTCTTCACGCGGGCTCCGTTTACGTACCGCGATGGGATTCTACCGCTGCGGGATACGCTGATTAAGATCTCGCAGCAGTGGGGGAAGTTAGGCGTGAGGGAGGAGTGTCCGTATCGGTTTTCGCGGGAGGAGGTGAAGCAGCACGAGAGGGAGTATGGTGAGTATGTCGAGTGGTGTAAACTGCGGGAGCATACGCATCAGCTGCTGCATTCGAATGATGGGGGGTGGGTGCCTCCGGAAGTGGATTTCGAGGAGACGCAGAGGAAACACGATAAGTTGTTTCGACACTTTCTCAAGACGAAAATGAAACACATGACGGAGCAGGAGGCGAGGAAGTTGTGGTTTTTCCGGGAGAGGGGGTGATGTTTAAGCTTGTTTTAATTTTATCTAGTCGTTATATACATCAGCCATAGCAATTTGTTGGCCTTGATTTTGATTCAACGAGAATGTCATGCTTTTGTAGTCTATCAGACTATTCCTCCACCTCAGTAACCTTGGCCTTCGGTCCCTTGCCCTTTCGGTAGACTCGCTCGTCGTTCGGATCGAAGCCTCCATTACCCCAGTACGCCCACTCCTCAGTCTCTCTCGTGTAATCCTCAGGACCAAACGGCGTACCGTCCGCCTTCTCCTGCTCCAAAAGCTGGAAGAAGCGATCGTAGTCGATCCGCGTGTGCCATTTTCCATTCACGTTGAAGCGCTCGGACGCGATCAGCACGCAGCAGCTGTGGGCGTGCTCGGCCGCAAGTCCGTATTTCAACCCGCGTCGCTCGAGCTCCTTGTTGAGCGCGACGACGAATTCGGAAATCTCCTCGTAGAAAGGAACGTTCTTCATGGTCAGTCCGGCTCCGGCGCTGGTGCTGGTGCCGCAGTATGTCACGCCCTTGATCTCGACAAAGCAGGGGAGTGCCTTTTCGACCAGGTTCGCGTATCCGATCACTTCATCATCCACATTGAATCCCTTGACGAGGGTCAGTCGGAAGACGGTACGTTGGACGAATCGCTTCTCGCGCAAAATGTCCAGGCAGCGCTGGAATCGCTCCCAGAAGTCGCGGTGGAGGGGACGGTCGATCTTGCGCAGACTCTCGCGGTTACTGGCGTCAATCGACACGTAAAGCTGAGTAACACGGTGCAGGGCCTCCAACTGGTCAGGATGCTGGGCATTGCAGACCAGGAAACTGGAGATATGCTCGTCGTGCAACATGCCCAAGAACCGGTTGATGTGAGGATAGAAGATCGGCTCTCCGACCAAACTGAGAGCGCAGTGTCGGATGCGCATGGCTTCGGCGAAGCGCTCGGCACGCACACCAGGAACACCACGCAGCATCTTGATCTTCTTGTAGTGGCCTTCTTTGACTCCGTTGAAAATCAGCTCGGGCGAGTCGACCTTCCAGCGCCAGGTGGTGCCAACGGGGTTGGTGCCGTGTCGCCAACAGAAGATACACTTGTTACTGCACGAGAGCGATGGAGTAGCCTCCATGCACAAATGCGACCGGATACCATAGAACGAATACTTGTAACACGAGCCTCTGCCACGCAGCGCAGACTTGGTCCAGCGACAAATCTTAACGCCAGAGTGCGAGCCAACAATTGTATATCCTTGTTTCGTGAGAGCGGCGTAGGTAGGCGAAGTCGTAGGAACCATCTCCTTTGCTTCCTGGAACGGAGCAGCTGGCTTTCCTGCTGTAGTAAAATCAACCGGGAGAGGCGACGCAGTAGCTTGTCCATCGGCACCCATTTTGATATCCTCCAGATCCATGACCGCCTGAGGCTTGTTCTTCTTGTTCTTTGCCTTGGTGTCAGAACCCTCTTCATCATCCAAGTCCTCTTCGTCACTTTCAAGCGGATCACCACTACCAGCAACACCTTCACCAAGACCACCATTTGCCAAGATATCCGACATGATGTCCTGCAATCCGTTAGACCACTCCTTCAAAGATTCTTCGGCGTCGCTGTTGACGTCTCCAAATCCAAGAGGGTAGGCCCGTCTTTTTCCAGTCAACTTGGCCATCCAGCGGTCCAATTCCTTAGCCTGAGAGCAGAAGCCTTCTTCCTCGGTCGGCCATTCAGACTTGTCTCCAAAACCAAAAACCGAGTAACCAGCCAACGTCGAAAGCGAACCGGTGTCAATGCGGAAGTCATGGTGGGTCTCGTCCAGGTGGCTGAGGAAAGTGTTGATGACCGTGTCAATGTTGTACGTGGGAATCAGAAGACAGTAGATGTAGCGCGTTCCAGGTGAAGTCGACGGCGCCTTGGGAGCAGAGGTAAAGAAGTCGTCGAAATCAATGTACGACAGATCGTGAATCTGGGGAGGAAGAAGACCACGCTCGCGGTTTTCAGGGTCGGCCTTCTTCTGCGCCGCGGCACGCATGTCCTCCAGCAACACATTGGCGTATCTCTCAGTCGCACCGGTCAACGAGGCGAAGAAGATGATGGGCTGGATATGGGTCAACGGCTGGGCGTCTCCTGCTTCGCCTCGACGGCTAGTTTTTGCCGGTTTCTTTCCTGACACTCTCTTTGGGCCGGATGACTTGGCTGGGGGGCTGTCCTTTCTTGCAATGACTGGTTTCTCATTTTCTCCCAGGCGGGGCTTTTCAGTTGTCTCGGGGGACTGGCTGCGAGGTGACGGAGGAACGGAGGAAGAGGCGGCAGTTTTGGCTTTTGTTTGGGATTTGCGGTAGGCTTTGACAATGAAGAACACGGTGGATATAGCGACGAGGAGAGGCAGACGGTAGGAGTGCCAGAGGGCCAACAGACCTGATGAAGATAATGTTAGGATGGAGGAAACATGACGGTCGCAAAACACCAGGAGATCATGAGATACCTTCTGACTGGGCGAGAGAACTCTCTGCCATGGTGACGCAGAAGACGCGATGGCAGTTGTCTTCTGGTCAAGCTGTGGATGAGTCGAGATGGATGGGTTGGTTGAAAGAAAGAAAAGTGAAGCCGCAGAAAGTTGAGAGTGCGGTCGGATCAGGTGGAGTAGCAGTGGAGGGGTTGTTGTGCATTCACTGCATTGGGAATATCCTGGAATCTCTTCCTCTTCAGTCGAGGCAGACGATTACCTGGAAGACATGGATGATGGGGTTGACGATGTTGATTTGTTGATTCTGGTGAATCAAGCAAATCGACGCTGGATGATTGTTAATTGTCGCCTTGATGGATTGTAAGATTTTTCTTATTCGCTTCGATTGTGATTGGTCGCCATTTGGACGGAGTACAACTTCATCACCTAGGTATCTTCATAATGATACTTGATTCAAATTTATTTCATTAAATGTAAATATATCTTATAGTATTATAATCAATTATAATCAATATCAATATGCACACCAGCTGACTGGCCCATCCCTATCGTGATGTTACACCGTATCCCCGACCAGCCTCTTTTTTTCGAGCCATCGTCATAACTAATTCCCCGCCTGCATCGGCATCGTTGGTTTTCATCTATCCTCACATTCTTCCATTGAAATGTCAGAAAAAGAGCACCTCGTAGGGGAATCTCCCCCTCCCTCCACATCATCTTCTCGACGCATCGGGCTGTCTTTCATCCTCCTCTCCGTTGCCAGTCTGTTCGTTCTGATCAACAATCGCTGGTGTTCAGGTCATCAACATTCAGATCTGCCCCTCACCATTGACGAGCGAGTGAATAAGATCTTATCAGAGACTCCATTGATCGGTAAGAAACTTCTCCATATCAGGATAGTAGATACTAATCATGTAGATGGCCACGATGACCTTCCCTACGTGATCCGTATGAACTACGCCAACCACATCTACGGCGACAACTTCACCACGCCCTGGGTCAATGGCAGCTTTCGAGCCCACGTCGACCTTCCACGACTGCAAAAAGGCAAAGTCGGAGGCACCTTTTGGAGTGTCTATGTTGACTGTCCCAAAGATGGGATGGACTTTTCAGACGAAAACTATGCTGCCAGTAAGTAAACGATAGAGTATCGACTGATATTGTCATTCTAACGATATAGGCGTCCGCACAACGATGGAACAAGTGGATGTAATGTCTCGCCTGCAACAAGCCTATCCGGAGGTCTTTTCGATCCCCCCAAATGGCACAACAGCCCTTCAAGCATTCAAAGATGGCAAAATCATCTCGCCCATGGGCATCGAGGGTCTGCATTCCATTGGAAACTCACTGGCGCATCTACGCGTCTTCTACAATCTGGGCGTCTCCTACGCCACCCTCACCCACAACTGCCACAACCGCTACGCCGACGCTGCCGTCGTCGAGCTGCCAGAAGGGGGTATTAAAAAATCCGAACCTCTCTGGCACGGCGTGAGTGAGGCGGGCAAAAAGGTTGTCCAGGAGATGAATCGGCTCGGAATGCTTGTCGATCTGGCCCATGTGAGCGTCGACACGATGCGAGATGTCCTGGGTGCAGGCAAAGACGACTGGTCTGGCAGTCGAGCACCGATCATGTTCAGTCACAGCTCGGCGTACGCGGTCTGTCCTCATCCTCGCAATGTACCCGACGACGTGCTGCAGCTCGTCAAAGAGCGAAACTCGATCGTCATGGTCAACTTTGCGCCGGAGTTTATCTCGTGTACCGCGTCAGATAATCCGAATGGATTGCCAAATGTTGATCCTGCCCATGCTACCCTTGAGCACGTTGCAGACCATATCATGTACATCGGAAACCTCGTCGGGTTCGACCATGTCGGACTGGGAAGTGATTTTGATGGCATTCTGAACGTTCCCAAGGGACTTGAGGATGTGTCCAAGTTCCCCGACTTGATTGCAGAACTGTTGAAGCGGGATGTCAGTGATGACGATGCGGCCAAAGTGGCTGGAGGTAATCTGCTCAGAGTGTGGAAAGAAGTTGATCGAGTCGCTCTTCAGATGCAGGCTGAGGGCATTCACCCCGTCGAGGATGAATTGCATTAGCTTTGATATTCCAACAGATAAACTGAGTCTGAAGATCATTGAGTCACCATAGCTACTGAATGCTGACCGTATGTGTGGTTTTTAACATTACATGACATTTTGTAGCTAGCATCTAGTTAAATTTCCTTTTGTAAATTCAATTGATGAGCCTGGGATATACACGCATAATATGTGACATGACCCAATTCTGCCAAAGGGAAGATCTATCCATGTTTCACACTCAATCTCTCGAATATCTCCATTGCCGCAAAAAGATTTCCCTCCTCCCGATCTATAAACATAAACTTGCCCTGCTGCATCCCATCCCGCACTTCTTCCTGGGTCACCCACACAAAATCCTCATGTTCGGCTGGATCTAACCGAACCGCATCCTCCCAGCCACTCGCCTGACTCTCATGAACCTCGACAATAAACGAGTACTGCACTGCCCGTCTCACCCCCTCCGGCCGAACTTTCACCCACCCTTCAACCGAGACGAGGTCCACAAACCGCGAAACGTGCAACCCCGTCTCCTCTAGCACCTCCCTCGCAACGCCCGCTAACAGCGTCTCATCGGTCGTCTCGCACAATCCACCAGGCCCTTCCCAGCATCCGGGATAGCTGTCGGAAAGAGAGCGCTGGATGAGGAGGACGCGGGGCTTGCAGGGGGTTGCGCTGGTGGGTGAGGTAGAAAAGATGTATGCGTTTGTGACAAAGTCGGCGAATTCGGGTCTTGAGGCGGCGAATTCAGCTCTGGGGATGTTGAAGAAGGAGAGGTGAGGTGGGATCGTGAAATAGGTGGTCATTTTGGTTTGAAGATTTGTTTTTTTTGGGGGGGTTTGTTGTTTTTCGATTGATGAGTTCAATGGTGGTTGTTAATTTCTATTTGACGGTGTGGTTGTGGAATTGAGAGTGTCGAATGACTCAGGATACGAGCTGCTTATGCTGATACGAGATCAATTAGGCAGCCGTCTATCTTTTTTATCGATTGAAAATTTTCATAGAGAACTAGATGAACAGTAATGAGTCAATGATGGGTGGATGTAGATTAGATTAATTGACTTGCGATAGTGGGGTAGGCCATCGGCTAAGTTGCATCCGACGAACATGGATGTTTTCCTACTCAAACACCACCATATATGTTACACAGGGTAGTCAAATGACATTAGGTGAAATAGCAAGGCTGAATGGCTATAGATAAGAAATATCGTGATACAAATCATCTACACTGCCACCACAGGCATAGAAATGACAAGGCTCCAGCTTGAAATAAAGAGATATATAAAGCCATCAGCTACTCAGGTCAGCATGACCAGAACCAACATCGTTGACTACCACAATTCGAACTACCCATAACCACAAAGTATGTATCTCTTCCTCTATATCCCGTTCCTTACTGACTATCAGACCATGTGCTTCTCTTCTAGCGATAACGATTACTATGCTCCACCCAGAAAGAGAAACAACAGACGGTATGTTGACAGCCCAACGAAGTGCACGCAGCAGCTGATGCTTTGACTAGATATGTTTATACCAGTGGGTCATCCGGAGGGGGAGGAGGAAGTGGAGGATATTCTGGAGGGAATCATGGAGGAGGGCATGGAGGACATGGAGGCCATGGGGGAGACGGCGGAGGAGGAGGAGATGGAGGAGGCGGTGGTGGAGATGGAGGCGGAGGTGGGGAGTGATCTGAATATGCTGTAATAGAGCGTCTCGAAGGTGTTATTAGACCAGGCTTGAGATTGTAAAGAATACTCAGTGGCATCCAGGGAGAGAGGGAAAAAAAAATTTGAAAGGACCAGTTCAGTTGATATGAAAGACCGCAGAGTCCATAAAGAGGAAGTTCTGGGTCTCATATAATAGTAAAGTAGTGTTATTATATAGATAGAAGAAAGTATAATAGGAACGGCAAAATCATCTTTCGCATTCGACATGCGGTAGGGTATGAGAAACACTTATCCCACAGAAAAACAAAGGACCCGAAGATTACCTTGCGTGATCCGAGTACGGCTGGAGGATGTCTACTACACATTGATGACCTCTATCAGCCGCCATTTTTAGGGCACTTAGACCATCGTTGTCCTGTATGTGGACATTGGCACCTTTTTTGACAAGACTCTCAACGACCGCGGTATGGCCTTTGGCTGCTGCCCGCCATAAGGCTGTTCTGCCAGTGTTTCTTTCCTGCAAGTTCACATCGATTTCTGGGTGATCCAACAGGTGACAAACCACTGGATTCTTATTCCACTCTGCTGAAAGAGAAAGGGGGTGCCGGCCATTCATATCAAATTCATTCGGATCAGCCCCATACTCTAGGATGAGCTTGGCCGGTCCTGGATCCCTAGATGTTGCCCACCACAGTGCTGTGTGTCCGTAATCGCTTGATAGACACGGGTCCGCCCCGTTTTCCAATAACACGCGACAGGCATCTGTTGCATCACATCTTGCTGCCCACATAAGTGGAGTTTGCCCGGCACTACGTTGGGAATCGGCATAGCCATTGACATCCTTCATGTTGGGATCAACGCCGTTCTTTACCAAGAGTTCAATGACAGCCGGATGGCCATATTCTGCCGCTTGGGAAATCGGAGACCGACCCCAGGGTTCATCTCTATAGTCGGGGTCTACTCCTTTTTGAAGGAGACGCTCGACTATGGATACATGACCATCGCGTGCGGCCGCCAACAGCCATGGCCGCCTATCTATTGTTTCGTTCTCGACGTTCGAGTCGATGAGGTGATTCTGCCCGGTTTTTAGAGCGTCGTCGATGATTGCACTTGCAGTTTGACTCTCCACAGTATCGCCGGTGCGGGCCCCATGCTGGAGTAACAAAATGACCACATGGTAGTGGCAATTATCTGAAGCCCACTCCAGGGGAGTAAGATTGTTGTAGTCCTTAACTTCCATATCAGCCCCCTTTTTGAGAAGGACCTCAATAATAGACTTATTTCCATGGCCTGCCGCCCAAGTGAGTGGTGTGCGATGGTAGACGTCGATGTGGTTGGGATTGGCGCCGTATTCCAAGAGTAATTGGGCCATCCTAACATTGTTGCGCTCTGCTGCCCATGGTAATGGCGTTAGTCCATCTTTGTCCCCATGATTAAGCTGCACCCCGCTTTCGATGAGTAACTTTGCCATCTGCTCCAATCCGTGATACGTCGCCAAGTGAAGTCCCGTAACATTGTTCGGTCCTGCTAGACATGGATCCATGCAGATACAACGAACCGCATGATACTCTGCGATGGCAGATGCTTTGGATGAATCTCTTAGAAAGTTGAAGACGGCCAGGTCATTTGAGGGTTGTGTCTGGGCATGATATCCCCAGAACCGAGCTGCATAGTCGCACAGTGCTGAGGAATCCTTTGGTTGGGACCGATTAATTGTCAAGTATGTGAGACACATTGAAGCAACCTCAGAGTGTGCATTTGGAAACCAATGCTCCCAGTTTCTCAGAAAATACTCCTGAGCAGTAAAATGCACCAACCGGATAATGTTGCTTTTCTTATCCACAGTGACCATAGAAGAACAAACGGATATGACCAGTGCCAGGTCAGGGAGGTCATCTTTGCATAGTGTCTTCATATTCCCTTTGACTGCAAGAGCACCCTGCAGTTCGTGGGTAGTCAAGGGCTTCTGGGTGCAGACAATCCATGTGAGAGTACGCATAGCCAGGCCTTTGTGGCCTTCTGTTTGTCTCTGTATTCGAACCATTGCATTGGCATACATTTTTTCATATGCCTCGGACCCCGTGGGAAGACTTTCAAGGGCTGTTTTGACTTCGCCCCGTGTGACCTTGTCTCTGAGTGAATCCAAATGAAATCTGGCGAGTAGAAACCTGTACGCTTGTCAGTATTGTGGACATGTGCATCGAAAATCAAGGATAAAGGTTATAGTAACTGACATTCCATCAACAGCTTCAACAATTGCATTCATGATCTGTGTCTTTAAGATTGCATCATCCGATATGAAGGGCTGCATCTTCACAACTTGTCCGCCAATGTAGCTGCGTAGATCATCGTTGAGGGCTCGTATTTCCAAGAAGCTGCTATGGTTATTCTTGAAGATAGTTGAAACACCTGTATTGGAGCGTGATGTAGCAAAGACGCTAACCTCTGTGGACTGTTGTAGATAGAAAATTGTGGATAGAAAGTCCCGACAGGTACCATCAGACGTCCTGATTTCATCAACTGCATCCACAACGATGAGTACTTTTTGGTAGCTCATAACAACAGCAGATACATATTTAAAATCTCCTCCTGTGTAGGTAAAGTATGCCCTTTCCGACGCCCTTTGTAAGGTCCATCCACACACTCAGGTATCTCAGCTTGCTGCTGGCAAAGCTGTTTGAGCACACACGCTAAAAGACCGTTGAGTGTTTGTTCATGCTGCTGCCTGAAGTTGCAGAATATATAAGCAATGCCAACATCATTATTTTGGTCAAAGTATGTTTGGAGGTAATTGATGACAATAGATGTTAGAATAGTCTTCCCTGTGCCCGGTATAACTTCACCAAGTAATATTTGGTTCGATCCATGAAGCCATTTCTGGAAGGATTCAGAGGTGAGAAGCCAATTACCGGTGCCTTCCTCATGTTGGGCAAAGAAATCACTCTGTTGGCTGCTATAATCCATCGGACAGATCCAATCCATAACCCGCGCCTTGTATGCATCGTCAACAGTCTTTCGTATCTGCCGGACGTCACCGTCCACATGATCTAATTTAGTGATAACTGTGCATTCAAGTTAGGACAGGAAAGATTAATTTAGCGTGGTTTGGCTCATACCATCTTGCAGTATACTAGTAGCAACCTCTGTCTTTGCCACTTGCCTGGGGCCAATAACCCGCAGAAGATCCTTCGCATACGCAGCAGCAGTAACAGCTGCATATGGCTGCCAGACCTTCGTCTTATGTGTATCAGAGTAGTCACATATACCCCGAATGACAAGACAAGGAAAGTAGTCCATCAAGCCCGCAGCCTCCATCTCAAAGCACAAGGCACCCCAGGAATGGCAAAGGTGATCCCGGAGCTGCGCAGACTCTATGGCCATATTCCCAGATGCAATTAAACCATAGTGGACAACTGGATCATCGGAGGCTCGCGGAAGCCGATATACAGTCTGATCAAGATCGCATTTCGTGCAGTCGCGACCTTCTACATGCTGGTAATCTGCCTTGAAGACCTGGTCAAGATCACGACCCGGATATGACGGATCTTCCGAGTCAGACATCCCTTTGAGTAGCCGCTTGAATATTTGATCGCATGGTATCTTTGCGGAATCGATGATCCACTCGAAGCCGCCTAATACCCTTGAGCAAAACGGTCGGCGGGGAATTCAGATGAGATTCGATCGACAGTTCCTTCTCACCATTCCACTTTCCCTTATCGTAATTGAGGACACCGCCTTAATAGTAAATGTAATCAGCAGTAGTCCTGGCTGAAAATAGAGATGCATGGCCTGATACACGCACCGTGATTTCCATGTGGCTCGCTTACAACAACATCTCCTAGCCGAATGTCCCTGGATCTTGCTGGGTCGTCGGGATGTGGTGCATTTGGCGCCCCTCCACCCACGCCTACCATCAATCCAAACCGAATATTTGGGAATGTGCGGACTAAATTGGTGACGACTTGAGCCGCGGCATATGTACCAGATAGATATGCAAATGCGATCGCAACATCATGTTCCCCTATCCGTCCAAGAATGTAGAGATTGTCGTCATTCAATGCTGCTTCCAAAGGTTCGTCTTCCTCGTCTAATAACGCCCGTACGGCATCCAACTCGCAGTCCTGAACACATACCCAACCTACTGTGTAGGCGTCGTAGTTAAGCTTTCTAGGGCCCATTTTATTCGATGTGATGTGGTCATAAGTTACAGAGATGGTTCTCGAGGGAGGTAGTATCTTTTTAGCTGAAAATGGTGGTGTAAAGTAGGCAGCCTCGTCTCACCTGGGCTACAGCCTTGTCCTCAGCTGCCTACAGCCCCATCTTATTAGCACACGTTCATTGGTTTGTTTGACATGATTATCATTTCAATAGCTTTACTCTGAATTTAAAATACACTGATTGCTTGATAACCTAGGTAGGTAGCCACCCCACACCATGTGAATGACTCTTATGCATAAATACAATATAAATTACATGGCATCAATAACATCCATCATCATAGCATAAAACGTTAGTTGGAGATCTTTTCGGGGACATGTTTTCTGAACCTGTTAGTATGTACGACAGTCAAAAAGAGAGAAGAGACATACCCAGTCTTCTTTTCAAACATCTCCCGGCCAGTATCGGTGATCTTTTCGTTGGCTGAGCGCATTTTGGAGGGGTCCATGCCGTGCTTGCTCTCAATGGAGTCGAGACCTATACAATTAGTATCCATCCGATAGCCAGGTAGTTCTAGACATACCCTTATCGACATAGTCTTCCTGACCCTGACCGGAGGTGTTGCTGCTAGAGCCGTGGCTCTTGTTGCCACCGAGCTTGGAGGCGATTCCTGAAAGCTTGTCCATAATGATATTTGATCTGGTTTGATATGGTAGAATAAAGAGTAATAGAGTAGTAGACTTGTGATATGGAATAAATCAGAGAACATCGAGGGAAAAGGCGCCTTAAATATCCAGAAAAATCCAGAATCCGGAATACTGTGCAACTACCGATGAGGCCAGATTATCGTCATTGTAGCAGATCCTCTGCATATCAATCCACATCGAACAGGAACATATTGGACGATCAGATTGAGATCAGCAGAATATGCATTCTCATTGGTGCATGATCATCGCTATATCAAGAAATCGAGATTAAATCTACCATGTGGCTATCTAACCCGTTGGGCTGACGTCATATCATGACATCATGTCTCCGACCGATGATGATAATGGATGTCCGGGGGTAAACCGGACAGATATTTTTGGAATTTATACACATCGATTGAATGATACCTGAAGTCTTCGAGGAAATCGTCATCATACGTAGTTCAGAAGGGGATAGATTTGATTAAGTGGACTGATGACTTGATAGCCTGGGTCGTCCAATCGCACAACAGCCTGATCGGAGACTGCCTAGAATATGATTGATTCAGGGTACTGGGCTGTACCTTGGATTGATTATGGAGGACTGTTCATCGCCATGGTACCGCAGTAACTAACCCGTATATGTATCTGAACCATGAGCTGTTCAAGGAGACGTTCAGAAGTATCCAATGGAACCTCTTTTCTTTGCAAGCATTGGATTTGCCATCCCTCTCCACGGTGGTCCAAATGACCAATATCTTCAATCCTTTTAGACAGATCGAGCTAGGTACTATCGTTTTATAAAGCAACAAGGGCAATGTCGTCAACTTCTGTTTGATTGTATCGGGCAGTCTTTGTTGCAGAGCCTTCTCAGATTCCCAAAAACAGCTGCCAGAAGGCATTCAGGACTGAAACAGAGTCCTTCACCGTGTCCTTTGCCACTTGCCAATCACCAACAATTACTAGCTACTTTATCAAAGCCCAAGGAGGTTTGCGTCATCTTGAATGGGATTGTTGGCTGGGAACAGACACTGGTGAAGAATGGGGATGACAATGTGACAGCGAAAATGAGAATCATGTTATTCTACCAGGATTGTTCTCCAAAACAGTAGCAGAAGTATCGCCTTGGTCATGTAAGATATAGATGTGGACGAGCGTGATTGGAAAGCAGGAGGCAAAGGGAGCAAAATGGGCAGCTGGATTCCTTAGCCACGCCAGGGACATTCGCCAAGTTTCATCCAGCAACGTTGGCAAGCGCCGGAATCCGTATACATATACACATATATATTCAATTTTTCAAAAAGGAGGAAAATCAATAGAAACAAACCAGTGTATCTTATCACGATATACTCCTTATCGTGAGTTAGACGAATAGCTTTTTTACCAGATGACCTAAATATATGCAAAACTATTTGGATTGGGATTGAATACTCCGGATTCGATTGATTCTTGTCTATGATTTGTTGTGTCCTAGTATCTGTCTAGTCGGACCAGTAGATACTTATAGTCTTTTTGATGCCTAATCATTCATTCTAGTTATAGGATATCGGATATAAGACATAGGGCCTGAGTAATAAACCTTGCCCGGCGATGATTTGTTAGAAATTCAAGCAAAGGCAAAAAAAGTCCGACAGCGGGGATTTGCGTGGTTACCCAACTAATGCCCGTTTGTGATCAAACCTCTGTAGTGACGTGCCCTAGTTGTGTCCAGACTCAGCTAGGTGCAGATCCCCTTGTCGCATTCCTTATCTAGCGAGAACTCTAGTATCCACCATCTCCCATCTTGAACCTATCCTCTTTCAACTTGATTTCTAGTGTTGGATGCCAAGATAAACTAACCTTCAAAACAATACAAACATTCCTATTTCGGTATATGTCCAAATATTATCATCTTAGTAAACGTGTCAATGGATGCTTACTTTGCGATGATTGCGTTGTTTTTATCTCCATCTTTACCCTACCAAGCTACGGGTGATCAGACTGCTTGTGAAACGCCACTAACCGTGATAATCCTTGTAAAAATGGAGAAGCCCTTTTTCTGTTACCATTGACTCCTTATTATTGGATTGGATTCAGTTTTACGGCTCAGAATCTGTAAGGAGACTGTGGGAGCGATAGATCGATCAACTTTAAACAAACGTATATAAGGTTATTACCTTCTCAAAGTAGTATATCATATCAAAACCAGATAGGGGCCGTTTTGGTGCTCCCAAGATCAACAGCAACTAGCCGGGGTGGTTGCATAGATCCCGAGGGTTCATTCAATTGGTAAAACGTCTCCAACATGATGGCGCAGCCTAGGCCAAAGACCAACACTTACTCGTAACTAATAAACAAAAGGTCGCACCCGTTAGCGGCCGACACATTTACAAATGCCCTACAGCCCTGTGCCGCCCATCCTACATAATTAATCTTCGCAGCGTCTTTTACTCCTTTTCAGATATCCCGTCACCGAATACTACTAATATGAGTAGCTGCGATGGAGTCTCAGGTTCAGCCAACTGCAGCTTTACATGCCCAAAAGGCGGCAGTTGGTTCGTCTGCCAAAACGAGCCGTATTTTGTCGGCTGCTGCTCTTCCGAGCCCTGTGCCAACTCAGGCTGCCCCGATGTCTACCCAGCCTCCTTCAACCACAGTGTCGCGAATGAAATCTTACCAAACGTCTGTATATCTCGGCCCACCACAGATTGGTATACGTGCAACACTACATCGCCTACATTCCTGGGATGCTGTAAAAGTAACCCGTGTGGAGATGGATGTCCGGCAGATGATCTCCTGCCCGCCGCCTGGAGTTCATCAGCGGTCGGACAGCTGGATTTGTTCTTAGATGGTGCCAGTTCCCCCTCTACAGCCTCTGCGGGCTCGTCGGGGATATCCTCTGGGGCCATTGCGGGAATAGTGGTTGGTTGTGTGGCTGGTCTGTGTGCCATCTTTGCCGTTCTATTTTTTTTTCGAAGACGTCGGAAACACAAGAAGTCGTCTCACGATTCGACGGCATACCATGCCCATATGTCATCCTATCAAGGTATGTGAATACGCCACTCTACGGTCTAAAATGCACATACTGAGAAGATATAATATAGACTCGTATATCGGCAGCCCCGACCCATCCGTCAAATACGCGTCTGGCTCTTCGGCCGGATTTACACTACCGTCGTCACCGCCGTTTAGTCCGAATAGTGTCAGAGGGATCTCAGAGATATACTCCAAAAGTGATGATCAGGCTCATTCAGATCAGGACAGGCGCGTATCAGTAATGCCAACGGCCGAGCAAGTCATCACTGAACTGGATGTTGATCAAACTCCGCGGCGAACGGAGGTTTATGAATTAGATGGAGGTAATCATTGATATCCATTTTCTTATATGCTCTAAGGCTGCCTGTGTGTATTATATAATATATCTAATGGAGGGACTAAATGTGCTTTATCTTCCGCCTCATTCTTAATTTGGGGATGGTAGAATTCTTGAGGTTAGTTTGAATTGAGACTTGTTAGGCTGATAAGGCCTCTGATAGCACGGTGGCAGTGCATGATACTATAAATGCAGCTTAAACCCCCCTCCCTTATAATAGAAATATCATATTCTTAGAAGTACGATGACTGTCAGATTATATAGGGAAGGGATTAAGCGCCTATAACTTCCTGGATTAATCCATACCTGGACTATAGGAATAATTTTCTCCCATAAATACTCGACGACTTCTGGTCAAGATTAAAACTCACTGTTACCTCCAGATCAAAGCAACATGGACCCCTTGACAGTAATCGGCCTTTTCTCTAACATTATCGGGTTCGTTGATTTGGGAGTGAAACTATTCAACACCACAAAGGAAATCTACGACTCCGCCTCCGGGACTCCTGACAGTGCAGCTAGCTATGAATTTATTGCGGAAAAAATGCAGGAATTTACCAACCGTCTTATCCCACCTGGTGAGACTGTATCTGATAAGGATAGGGCCATATGCGATCTTGCAAAGAAGTGCAGGAGTTTAGCACAGGATATTCGGACGCTGTTCGCCAAGACAAAGCCTCGGGATCCCAAGTCACGAGGCCAGAGCTTTATCAGTGCGATTAAAATGGCCAAATACAAGAAGAGAAGAGAAGAACTGCAGTCCCGGTTGGCCACTTGTCAGCAGCAGTTGGAAATGCACTTGAATTACGCCACAAGGTTTGTCCCTAGTATTCCAGTTCTGAGGATCTTTACTAACCATCGAAGCTCTAAGATCCAGAGAGATTTGAATGCGTTGATCACTAGTTCTAAAGATGACAGCAATCTCATTTTGCAGCTACAGAAGCGAGTCGAGGATCTTCATCAGAATGTGAACAATGCATTTTCCGCAAGAGGCCAAGTCCAACTAGGAGGTCTGCTACAAGTTTCAGAAGGCTCTTATAACACCTTCCTCAGCAAATATTTGCTTTCTGACCTTCGGTTTGACAGCAGGGACACACGGTTCGGCGATGTTGCTGAGCCACATGATGACACATTTCAATGGATCTTCGACGATGACTTAAACGCCACCCATATGCTTCTGCATCGGAATCAATTTCACCAATCCTTCAATTCCTGGCTGTCATCAGGCGATGGGATCTTCCATATCTCTGGTAAATTAGGATCAGGAAAGTCCACGCTAATGAAGTTGCTCTACCACGACTATCGCACCCAGGAAAGACTGATGGAATGGGCTGGTGATCGTGAGCTTATCAAGGCCCAGTTCTTCTTTTGGAAGCCAGGCTCGAAACTTCAAAAGTCGATGGAAGGTCTTCTTCGCGCGCTACTTTATGAATGTCTCATGTCGGTGCCCGAGCTTGTGGCGGAGACTCTGCCTAAGCAATGGAGTGAGATCAAGTCGACACCATTGCAGATGCACAGAAAGGTTCAATTTCCATTGGATGATCTCCAAACGGCCTTTGACCGTTTGGTAGATCGTGGGGTTGAAGGCTACCGAATTTGCTTTTTCATCGACGGACTAGACGAGTACGATGCCCCTTTACACGACGACTACCTGGCTATGGTTGAGAGACTCTGTCGCTGGAGTCAATTGTCCGAGGGAGAGATAAAATTCTGCGTGTCCAGTCGAGAACACAACGTCTTCATGAATCATTTCCCAGACAGCCAACGGATCTGCATGCAGGATCTTACTCGACCCGATATGGAACGTTTCATTCGCGATAAATTCGAATTGACAGAGCAACAGAAGAAGCTCGAACCGCTAGTGGAACTGATTAGTGAAAAGGCCAATGGGGTATTCCTTTGGGTTGCTCTGGTTATAAGACGATTGCGCGATTTGAATGAAAGGGAAGAGGCCACATTAAAAAGACTGAAGAAAGAGATTGACGATATCCCCGAGCAACTCGAGGATCTTTTCAAACATCTCCTTCAGTCCATCCACCGTTCCGATCGGAAGCGGGCGTATCGAACATTTGCGGTTCTCCAGAAGTTGAATGAGGAAGATTTGCCATATGTACACTTCCCACTTGCGGCCTACTGCTTTATCGACGACTGTTTGGCAGACCAACCAGATGAAACTATACCTACACTACACGAATTGGATGAAATGTCTAAGAATGAGAAACTGACACGGGGACGCAAGATGCTTATGGGTAGCTGTATGGGCCTTGTTGAACCAACAAGGATTATCTCCCTCATAGACGATGATTTCCAGGAGTGGGGAGTCTCCTTCACGCACCGCTCTGTCCCAGAATTTCTACAATCAGTCCATTCACAGGATTGGGAAGAGCATCTGAAGGGCTTTTGTCCAGAGGGTGCCATCTCCTGGCTACTCTTGATCTATCTACGGGACAAGAACACCATGTGGTACAAGAAGTCTGGCTACGAGCAACCGAGTTGCATAAGCCATTATATCATGGATATCAGACAAAAGGCCAATATCAGCAGAGAACCATTCTTTCTCGAGGATCAATTAGAGGCAACTCTTGTCCGACACGGATGCGCAGATATCAGAGAAGAAGATGACTATGGTAAACTACACATTGCCAGCCTGAAAGATGCTGCGTTTTACTTTATTGGGACCCTCAATCCGCAGTCTGACCGAGTCTTTCGGATATGTAATCCTTTATACCTCGCTGCCTTTGTGGGAAATACTGCATATGTCATATGGAAAACAACCCAAGACCCATCATGCATACAGAATCCTTTGACCATTCCGATTCTACTCTACTGTCATTACTACAGCTTTATGAGGGGAAGAACAACCGATAGCATACATGGAGTGAATTTACCACTTCATCATCTCACCACACCGACCAGTTTATCGCCCTGCGTACACCCCAGACTCTCGATATCGGACAAGGGTGCCAAGCTTAGCGTCTGGCAACACCTGGTCCTTGGACTTGTCGCGGGGTTCCAAATGTTGCCCGAGGAAACGGCCGCAGAAGATATATTTTGGGAAAGATTTTTAGAAACCAGAGCTGATACCTACTTGGCCATATCATCGACATCCAAAAGGAAGTGGGGAAAGCATCCTGTGAAGCTCATCGTTGGAAAGGAAAGGCGTCAAGTGGATCTTTCAATAGATCTTAACACTAGAGGAATAGGGCACTTACTGGGGTTGTTTGACCGGGGTGGTGTCTGTGAAATTACACTGGCCCAGATATTCGATCAATGCGGCATTCCAAATCGAGACAAGCTGATTTCGTTGGTTGAGCATAACAATCGTCTTTCATCGGAGGAATCAGCCAGAGCTGAGAGGGATGGATCGACACAGCCAATCTCTCGAGATGACACTCCCAGAGACAATTCTCAATCAGTAAACCAGCTTTCAACATACAACAGAGCCAGCAAGAACAAAAACTGATTCATGCATTACATACAAGCATCGAGAGTCAACATTATACCTAGATCACAACAGTATGATGGCACCATCCAATTGGTACAAAGTTATTTCTTTCAACATAGCATCACTAGCACCATAGATGCTCAGCTAACAGTGATCATAAATAGCAGTCACACTGTTATTATCGAATGCAGCATTAGACTCAAGGTTTTCAGCAACATTTGGCGTGTTTACAGCAGCCTGACTTCTTTCTGGAACATCGGTATGGGACAGCAAGGCTGAGTCGGTGAGCTTTCACCTGTCGCTAAAGTGACGTATAATCTGATGGCCGCAGATGGGGCCATTTATCTCCTATCTGCGCCTTCCAGTCTGATCCCTTACCCGATTAGGATATAAAATTGCCAAGGCGCTGATCTGGAAAAGCTTCGCCGCTTTTGGGCCGCACGATAATGCAGATCTTCGATTCTGAGCCACCCAATTTACTGTGTTGAATCGGGCCCTCGGGTCCGATTGCAGAAAACCCCACTTGCATTGCACAGTGGAGTATATGATTGGTGAATACTATAGAAACATGTTAACCATCTACGGGCAGCAAATCGGTGGCTCGAGGCTGTGGTGAGATTTAGATGGTATTTATTAGGCTTGCTTGCCAGCGATGTGAATGGATTTAATCTATACTCGTTCACATTCACATTCAATCTATATTAATTCTCTATCTCCAAGCAACCTTGACATTTTCCACTTCCACTTCTACAGTCAAACTTCTCTTGAATCAACGTCGTCATGTCTGAATCTTATAACCAAGGGGGGCAAGTCTGCTACCCTACCATGGTGAGTAGGCCTCTGATAGGACCAAGATGATAGAATATTTGCCATACTAACTTGAGTTACAGCAGCAACAACGCCCCAATGACCAGCCACCATACGGTCAACAGCCCAACTACCCTCCCCTCTACAACGAACAATACCAACAAAGCCACTACCCAAGCGGTTCTAAATACAATCAGCCATCTTACCCACCCCAGCAGCACTATCAACAGCAATATCAACAGCCGATTGGCGAAAATGCTTCCTACTACAACGAAGCCCCTCTAGAAGATAGAGAAGGGCACGCCATGAACTCCTCCAGCCCAGAGAGCGAGAAGGGCCTCGGGTCAACAATCGCCGGAGGTGCAGCGGGAGGATATATCAGCCATCAGATGGGTGGAGGGAAGTTGGCCACAGCCGGAGGAGCAGTTCTCGGAGCTGTTGGTATGAATATGGCAACTCATGCTATGAAGCCGTAAGTTTTGAAGACAACTTTTGTGATATGATGATACTGACAAGAACCAGAAAACCCTCTCCTGCTCCTATTTCCAGTCCTAATTATGCTCCGGCCCCGGCTTATGGATATGCTCCCACTCCCGGTACTACTACAACAACGACCACCATCACCACAAATGACGCCGGCCACGGTGGTCTCGGAAGTCTCGGGGGCCTTAGAGGTGGCCTGGGAGGTGGTCTTGTAGGCCACGGTCTTCTTGCGCAACGAGCTCACGGTAGGCTAGCTAACCGGGCGACTAGACATGGTTTACTCCTGTAGTGAGCTAGATCTACTATGCTTCATGCCTTAATCTTTGGCATTAATTATTCTAGCATGGCCTATGTGGAATGACGATGATGACTTTGGGAGTTTGGTTTATAGACAATTTTTTTTTTTTTTTCTTTCTGTTGTTTGTTGTGTTCTGCTGTAAATAGACCGTCGTTTAAGCAATATGGACTTATGTTTTCTTGATTATATATGTGCCTTTTCTTGCCTTCGTATATGTTCTGTATGTTCAAAAACAAACATGGATCTCTTAAATTATCAATTACTGTGTATGCTGTACAATGTACTCGAATGCTAGTCTCATCCCATTGGTCTTGGACGTAATTAAGGCAATAAGCAGCGTTTGGCAGCCCATCAAGCCCATGATTTGGAACTTTTCGGTTAGGGTTCAACTGTCAGGAATATATTAAGGTTATCTTTCTGCTAATCTGTAGTCGTTGAGTGGATCTCGTGGGAAGCTGATCCCCAGCTGATGTGTTGTGGGGAGAATTGACCGATCAAGTATTGTGGGTCCATCCAATCACCCCTCACTGGGCCTAAGGAAGGAGTTAGCGGTGGGAGTAAGGGAACGGTGATTTGCTTTCTTTTTCGTTTATGCAGGCAGGCCGTGGCGATATAAAGTGCTGCTTTGACTGGTTTGGTCAAGAACACATGATCAGCACTCCACTAGGTAATACGGGATTTGCCGCCACAGCCAATAATAGCACCGTCCATTTTTAGCCCCCATGTACCAACACGAACTAGACCCTATATAGCCCCACCAACCAGACTAGTCGGAATAAAATCAACCACCAAAACTGTCAGCAGAGAAACCTCATCCCCCTTTAAAATTTGAAAAGAGCCAGGAAATCGACAACAAATGGAGCGGAAGAAGTGGCTGGATGGCCTTCGAGGCGTCGCAGCGGCAATCGTGGCCTTTGACCACTTTTTCATGACCGATGTCTGGCATCCGTTCCTCTCCTTCTGGAATGAGAGGTCGGGGATGAATGGCCGTCTGGTCCAACTTCCTCCCATCAGGGTCCTCTTCTCGGCCCATGCGATGGTGACACTGTTCATGGTCATCTCAGGCTATGCCATCTCCATCAACATCCTCAATTCCCGCAGCAACCGTTCTCAGTTTTGGACGCGACTCTCGTCGGCGATCTGGCGGAGAGGTTTCCGCATCTACCTCCCCGTCCTGGTCATCTCCGCCATCACTCAGGTCCTTTTCTTCTTTGGCTTCTTCCACTGGACGTTTGATGAGAATTTGCTTATGGGAATCGAGCCATGGTCTCATCCATGGGCCCATGTCAAATGGCTCTTCACCTATATGATGGATAACATGAACATCGTCACCTTTCAGTACAGAGGAGGGCTCAACCCTCAACTCTGGACGATGCCCATCGAATTCCGTGGCTCCTATGTTGTCTTTCTGCTCATCGCAGGGTCGGCAAGTTGGCGTCCAAAGCTGCGGCTGTGGGTGTTGCCCGTCCTGGCCGTGTATTTCTTTTGGTACGGTACCTGGGATGTGTTCGGTTTTATCTGGGGACTTTGGCTAGCTGAAAGAACAGTCGCCAAGGAGGATGAAGAGGAGGAAAAAGTGTCACTGCAAATACCTGTCCCCAGGAGCTGCAACAAACTACTTCGTCTTGTTCATCTGCCGCAGAGGAAACTGCCCATGTCAAAGATCATCACAGTATTCTGCTTCCTCGCAGGCTTCCATCTAATATGCCTTGGAAACGACGGCGAACTCACCCCCGGCTACCAATTCCTAGCCGCATTTCAACCCTCCGCATGGAAAGACAACTGGGAGTTAATCCACTGGTCCTGGAAAGCCGTCGGTGCAGCCATGCTCGTGCACGCAATCAACGAATCGCCTTTGCTACAACGGCCATTCGACACCCGGTTTGCGCAATACCTAGGCCACATCTCTTTCTCCGTCTATCTACTCCACGAGGGAATCTACGAGCTATGGCGAGATCCAGTGAGGAACTTTTTCTGGATGCTGCTTAATGGATCACCATATCCGGGTGGTCCAGAGGCCGCCGCGAATGATCCATTTTCGTTCCATCTGACGTGGTGGATGTCGGGGATTATGCTGGGGAGTGTGGTTGTTGGTCTTGCGCATTATTACACCATTCATGTCGATCAGAGATGTGTGGCTTTTACGAAGAAGTTGGAAAAGCTGTTGACTCGTTAATTGCATTATATGTGACTATTAATTTTATATAATGGGTGGTGGCATGCTTCGAGTAATGGAGATATTTATCATCTAGCGAACTGGATACAATCTACAGCTTCATGAAGTGATACTGATGGATATTTGAAGTAAAAAAGCATTTAAGATCAAACTGTCAATTTTCTACCGTTACAAGAGCCATACAAAGCAGCTGGTTTATATAGCAGGAAAATCAACATATCTCTTGACAAGGCCGAGAGCTCACGACCAAGACAAATCGTTTATTCCCACTGCTTCATCAGCGCGTTGGCTTCGATTTCCTTGTCAAAGTCAACAAGATGCGTCGAATGGCACCAAGGCTTAATCATTTCCTCCTTGCGAATGACCCCAGAAAAGAACGTGCACCACTTAAGTCGCGGGTAGGCCGTGTTGATCTGAGCACGAGTTTCATCATGAACCAACTTCCCAAAGTCTTTGACATGGGGATGGAAACCGGTATTATCGTAGGTTGTGGCTAGTTGAATCAGCTGGCCGATGTATGTAATCGTCCCGTCAACTCCCATATCCTCATGGCGGATGATAGCCTCGGCAGCTGCTTCGGCTTGATCAACGGTAGCGCCGAAGTCTTTCAGAACAGAGAGAGCCTTGATGCCACCGTATATATCGAAGGACATGCGAGTGGCGGTGAGGTTCTCCTCGGCAGTGCCAAGATCGTGCAACAAGCAGGTCAGTGCCCAAGTGACGGGGCTGAGAGCAGCAGCTTGCTCTGGGAATTGCTGCTTGGTGATAGCCATTCCTAGCAAGTATGAGCGTCCGAACCGATAGAAATCGAATATTAGCTATATAAGCCATGCTTACCGTAGTGGTAGACTCGCATGGAGTGATTGAAGGTTTCAGGATGCAGAACAGCCTTGGCATAATCCAACGTCTTTGCGACGACAGGATCGTTAAATGGAAACTTTATCTCTTCAATCGACATGGCCTTTGGCTCATTGATGAAAGACCTATCCCCAAAGATGGTGCCGGCATTGGCGGGCATGCTGGTCCAGCCATTGAGTCCAACTTCGCGCTGACACATTTTGAGAGGAATCCGATAGAATTGATCAGATGAATTGAATGGAAGAGGAAATAAATGTATTCTAACTGAAGTTTTTCAGGTATTGCCGTGTTGACAATGTAGAAGAGAATGCTGAGACAGCCTTTATATAGCTGTGACCTCGGGGATAAGGGACTCAATTTGTAACACAAACTATATTGACTCACTACATCCTGATGAAGGCGAATGATGATGTTGTACTCGATGGATTGTTCGGGTTTAGCTCGGGATCTTAAGGTTTTCCCCACTTACTGTCACCCAGAATAGGAAGTTATTGGGAGTGGGGCTTCAATTATTTAGCACCAGCATTCTCTGTGATTTGAGGATCGTGAGCTTATTTAAAGCCTATGGTAGCGAGCACTTCTTTTTACTGCCAAAGTAGGAAGTTCTCGGGAGTGGATAACAGCATCGTTTAATCTGCGCTGATATTCAATGTTTCCTCTTTTACACGTGGTTCGGATAAGCGAAGATCTTGAATATTCTCTTTGATGAGTCAATGGAGTGTCTTGCTTTTGATTGTCCTATGCAAGGGTCTCTCTGCCCGAGCACTCGGGATTTAGTCGGGAGTTTGACGAGGGTTACTGTGATAATGCATCAATAACGTTGATTGAAGAGCTTGTTAGATGACATGACGTGAGATCTGAACCATGTCAATACTTACTTATATCACTGTAGAGTATACAACTGGGGACACACAGGCAGGGATTCAAGCTGATTGGAAGAACGCAATCTTAAATGTTGCATTCATCTTTATATGGATATCCGAGCTGAAAGAAGGCAAAACAGGAATAAGCCAGTGCAATAGGTACGGGCAGATGCTGGGTGTGCACTGCGTAGAATAATATGCACAGCTGATAAGACATTTGCCCATGATAAAATCGCAAGGACTTTGATTTGCTTGCGTTTTGCATCAGTCTTTCATTGTGTGAATACATATATATACATATATCCCAAAAGATCGTCCCAAAGACCATCCGGTAATAATCCGTCATTTATATTGACTAACAAAAGAGATCTATCATTCATTCATTCGAAGGATCATGACTAATGAGACTTGTGATGCAAATATCGCTTTGTTTTTATATCTCCAGTCGAAATGACTAGGGTGTGGAAAGAGTGTTTCCTGTCGGCTCAGCCGTACTTAAGCCATAGATAGCTCAGTGAACTCTCAACTTCGCCTGAGATGGATGCTGCTATATAGCTGACATCCTTTTCGTCGTTGCTATTGCAGTATTCAACGTCCTGGGCGACGCGAATATTAATGTGAACCTCTTGGGGGCATAAGGAGAGGATAAGCTATGGAGTTTCAAAAGCCACCCTAGCTTATGCAAGCTTAAGTGATATTGCTAATTAATGTACCCATTCCCAACAATTGGATCATAGATAGAGAAAGAGAGGATTAACCAAAGGTAAAAGGGGGAAACGGGCCATTATAGGAAGTAGTAGACCAGGTGATGTGTTTTGGTGTACTACCAAGACGCCATCCTGAGGGGAAAAAATTAAAATTAAAATAAAAAAATAAATGACCAGACTGGGGTTCGATCCCAGGACCTTATCGGATTCAGTTGAAAAACTGTTAACGATACGTGATAACCAACTACACCATCCGGCCAATTGATAAGAGATAAGCACCGAGTCAGGATTGAACTCGCGATGGTTCGCATCTTCATAAGGGATAGTGAGTGTTGCTTAAAAACATACTTCGTGATGGATGACAACTTAAGGTAAAGCTTATGAAGCTTAAATAGTTTCGATCAAGGATATATTACTGCTAGTTTATTTACGTTTTGAAACTGGATGCATTAAACTTAATAGAAGTTAGATACAATTGCAATGCTTGAAAGTCTTTGGTTCTTTCCACATAGAGTTTGCTCCTAATTCCGCCCCCTTATTCTATAATTCCATTCAGTTCCGTCTAAATATCCCAGAGCATAGCGATTCGGGTCACACGAACGTAGAGGATCGGCGACTTTCAGGGGATAAAGGTGTTCTGTATAGACGATCCACGAAGCTTTGGATCGGCAGTTGACATAGCGCTGATATGCCGCTCATCCGATATCCGGAATCTTTTGTTCTTCAGCAAGAGATATCCTCTTTATATGCGAACTATGTCGGATCATACCACATCATACGCTCCTGTTTTAGACAGGGTTTATAGTTTATTCCTCTTCCACCAGCTTCTACCATCGCGGTTTGTACAGAGAGAAAGCAAAAAAGGGGTGTCGCGGCGGCGTCCCGGGGACCTAATAACTCATGCAAGAGCCAATACTAGAAAGTGCATGATATATAACGGTCAGGGTTGTGTCAAACCCAATCTGGTTATGAACTATTCCATGGATTTTCTAGATTGAGATAGTGCCGTTAGTACTAGACCTAAATATTTCACGTGGAGCAGCCCAGTTTGTAGACAGAGTCGCACAAAACCTATGTAGTTATGTACTTACAAAAGTCTCTAGCTCCAAGCACATCATAAAAAGTGGATATTTGACACATGTCTGGTGTTGGCCAAAAAGCTAACTCCCAACAGAAACGGAAGCATCGGACTCGGAGGGCTTACTATCGTCACGTGTTTACCAGAAAGAGCTGAACAAAATCAAGCAATGGAACAAGCCATGCTTATCCCTCGTGACTCGGAATAGTATACACCCCTCATAGAAAGCTTTTGTACGGTACTCGGACCCAGTGTGGACCGGCTCGGTCGGATCCCGATTCCAGTTGGAAACAAGCTTCTATGCCGAAAGCAGACATCGGAATCGGATTCTCGGCATGCCGTATTGTAAGGCAGCTTACGAATTTTTGCTCGGTCCAAAAAAACAGCCAGGCGGCGTGGTTTTTTCTGATTGCATGACTCTTTCTCATGCATTGCGCTATACACTAGTCGGTGATTAGAGAAACTGGAGAATCTGGAGTCCCCAATGAATGTGTTTTAAGGACAAATTTGCACTGCTAATTGCAATCGCAATGATAATGAGGCGAATGCGGGGCCTTCGGTGAGCTTCAACTGTTATGGTTCAATGGATCAGGGCACAGCCGTGGCGACCCGCCACAGGGCTACGTGGTTACCAGAGATCTCCGCTCAGGGCTGGATATTTTTGGTCAGGCTTTTTGTCGTAGAGTTCTCAGCGCAGGACCGTTGAGGCTTGAAGATGAATTGAGTAAATGAACATATAATTACTAATCTGTCAATTATCGAGGATGACTATCTTGGTTTATGGTACTCTTGTTCCGCTTGCGTAATGGAATACCTAGTAGCTGCAGAAAATTCTGCATACTCATTAAAACTACAAAGATTCCCAGGAGAACAGAGTCAGAATAACAATAATATAAATAAATAATATAAAAATCAGAAGGCAGGCTATCATAAAACACGCGCGCTCAACGTATACTCATATATTCTTTCCCCAACCAACGCCAAACCACAACAGTAGGAAATAAACAGCCAAAATATCATCATTCGGAAACATCCTCGTCCCGACCAGGCCACATAATGCGCTTCTTCAGAACAGCCCGGACCGTACTTGTAAAGACAAAGAGGAACATGCAGATAATGCAAATAGACATGCCCGTGGCAACCCATTCAAACGCTGCGCTCCTCAGCGACTTGGCGAGGGTGATAGTAGCGAGGGTCAGCCCTGTGTTGGGGAACACCATGGCCCACCAGTTGAGATGGAAAGCCTTGGGCGGGTCACGGATGACAGAACCAAAAGCAATGCAGAAAAACCAGACACTCAACGCCCAGAGGAACATGCCCACGCAGATAGCGAGCACTCGCATGATGTGACGGTCATCCATGCCACCACCGTCGACCATTTTGAAGCCATCCGGTAGACCGTTCGCCATACCGATCACGGCGAGAAGAGTAAAGGCTGGCGGACCAACGCAGATAAACATGCCGGGTCTGTGCTCGCTTGAGGGGATTCCGGTCTGCATCAAGCGCCCAATGTAGTGAGCGTACATCATGAAACTGATGGAGAAACCAAGTCCCTGGAAAGTAAGACCGGCAACAATCATAGGAGTGGCAGAGTGAGCAGGTTGTTGGCCAGCGACGGCGGAGGCGATAGTCCCACTAAGCATGATAGGGAATGCTGGCAAGATCCATGAGGGCATCATAGTTTGCAAGCCGAATGTGTGGTATGAGAAGACAAAGGAGTATTGAATAACCGCACAGGCGAACGTGCAAATACAATAGATCCAGAAGAGGACATTGAGGGCATAGGCGAGGGATGGCGTGGGATTGGTCGCACCCCAGTACTCGGATAGACCACTGATCATAGTCGCGATGGAGAGCCAAAAAGTCGGAAAGAAGAAGCCCTCTCGGTCATGGCGGAGAGAGTCCATCATGTTGTTATAGATAATGAATCTGGTGACCATGAGAGAACAGATGACGATGAAGAAGGCGATGTTGAGGAAATAGACCAACAGGCCGATTTCCCTCAAACCACGGAATTGATACGGCTGGTTGTGGAGGAGGAGGGCCAGTCCGCCTGCACTCATGGTCAAGGTATACCAGGCCCAGGTAAAATGGCGCAGCCGTTCGCGGAATGACAGGCGAAAGAAGTCATCGGGTTCGTTATTCGGGATAATGGCGGACTCATGATTGATAGATATCTTGCACTCTTGATTGACAAATTCCTCAGAGGTGTTATTAGAAGTTCCCACATCCGACCTGCATGTAGGTACGATGCCGTGATCGATCATCGTGATTGTGTCTGGTATTTCCAAGAGGAATAATCAAGACAGCTGTAGATCGATATCAGTGGTGGTGGGTGAGAAAAACACCGACAGGAAGATTGCCGGGAAGAAAAAGATATCGAACAACTGGAAACCCCGCCTGGGACACGTCGAGAGGAATGAGACGGTCTTTAAACCAGAGCGAGTCATGAGGCCACAAAGGAATAGTGAAAAATAGGAAGAGAGCAGGCCCACAATACACCAGGTCAGCTCGGTGAAACAGAACTGCCGGAAGGCTTGATAACCCCGGTAGGATGACCACCAACCCCCTAGACGAGAGATATTTTACAGCGATGCATTGGGATCCAGAAGGACCAATGGATTGAATGGTCTCGAGAGCACTGCCAGCGATGCATCAAGACCAGCAAACAGCTCATACAAAAATATGCGCATCAGTTCTACGCATGAAGTGGCATACTCAAGCAGTGCGTCACGGGCTTCCCCAATGGCCTTCCACTGTCTATGGGGTAAACAGTCTGGAGTACATAAGAATCGTCCTGCAAAGGGGCTCGTAGTTCAGAGATGCAGCACCGCGGAGAGCAATTACCCCTCACAAGACTCACAGACCAGAAGAAGAAGAAAAAATGAAGCTGACGTATTACTGTTACTAGGGGTATGTATCTGGTATCACCATCTTGCCAAGGCGCGTTGGGATCCATCCTGCGCAGTCTGGTAAGGCTAAGATGATCCGGAGATCAGCCGAAGTGCTTGAATGCTTCTCAACATGCCAATTTCGACCAGCCAAGAGAAAGAAGCATAAATGCCCAGACGGACATCCTTGGTTCAGGATAGAGATCCGAACCACATCATCCAGAGCCAGGCACTGTAGAGAGGAGTTAGAATAATAAACTCGGACATTCTTCCTTGAAAGACAGGAAAAGACCCGAGATCGGCCTCTTCTTGAAACAGGTTCAAGCTTCGCTCAAGACCCACTGTGGCGCGGCGGCTCTAAAACTCATCCGACCAATCAGCAGGCGGATAATAAAGCGACTCGCACGAAAAATCGAGTCCCATCCACGTGCCTACACCTATTCCGCCTGATTTTGCATAACTTGACAGATATTCTGCTGAATTATGTTAGTGCACTAGTGTTAGCAACAGCTGTTCTGTTCGCACAACGCTAAATGAAGCTTCTCTAGCCAAGCTTCTAGAAGTTCTTCAAATTCTACTTATCAAAAGAAAGGCAATGGAAAGCTAAAGAGTCAAAGGGGGTGTAGTTATGTTCAGTATCCAGATCCTCTGCAGCTCTGCTGAATACAGCAGGAATCATCTGCGTGATTTATCTTCATGACCTATACCACATTTGGAATTGATAGCCAGTGCACAAATCATAAGTCAGGTAAACCTATTTTTCAATAGACTAGGCTATCCTTTTAGTGATAAGGTTTATGGAAGGAAGTTATCTAATAAACTGTATAATAGCCATAAATCCTGTCAATCACAGGATTATAAATATGTCAGGCATTACTGGAGCTTAGAGTCGCAGTGGCCTTGGTTGTCTATCCTAGACCACCCTTGGTCGCGTGAGCAAAACAGTGTCACTTATTCACTGACACTGGAGGCACATACTGAAATACTCCTTGAAACCTAATCATACATTCTACCAAATACACGCTCTGCTATCATTGAGCGTTGCGAATCTTTTCATACTCAGGCAGAGCCCATTTCACCATCCATTCAGAATCGAGGATTTACTGAGCAGAAGGACGATCCTCCGGTCTGACGACAGAGCGTTTCGTTCATCTGGTTCAAGAGGTGATATCCCCTTGTCAGTTCGCGGTCGCTGCACGCTACTTTCCCAGCACTCGTCCCATGCCTGATTCAAGCATTTGGATCGGTCAATGTTTAGCAAAGTAGAGGTAGCTAGGTCTCCCCATATAATCGTAATGGGACCGAAATCCTTCCCAGAATGTAGGGTCTTGTCGCGTCGGCTCGAAGCCCTGGTCCAATTCGACTAAACAATCCATCAGAGACTCCGACACGTATTGGCCGCCAAAGCCAACGAAGCGGGTGGACGGAACAGAAACATGGCCATCAGCCAACTGTGCGGTATCGGGGCGCGCATCCTCTCTGGCGGCCCTGAGTCTCGCAGCAGGTATGCGTGGCTCTAGCACGTTAACCTCACGCAAAATTACGCCGCTGGAAGCCTTCTCAAGCTTGCGCCCGGTGATCCCAGATAGATATCGTTCCACGTGTTTAGCGTATTTCCCGGAAGGCACACCACCTATAGTACTTGTGATCTGACTGCCAATTATACGCCCTTCAGTCAAGTCTTGCACTGATAAGAAGTGCTCTCATGTATTGATGCCAAAGCCAAGTGCAACTGGTATATCGCGGCTATACGCATGTATGCGATCGAAAAATTCAGGAAAGTTCGATCTCAGTGATTTAGAAGCACCCAGTCACACCCATTCTCGAAACAGCGTGGATAAAGGAATCCGCTAGGCTGCAGAGGGATTTTATCCGAGAAATGGACGTAGAAGGAGCAATGAGAGGGATAAAGGGAAGGCTGGGCCAATAGTCAGCTTTGTTTCAGACGAATGTATATATTTTTTTTCTTCCCTTTTTACAAACCCATTGCTCGCACAGAGTTTTCTAAAGGGAATTGCTTCCTCAACAGGGAGGTCGACGAGTATGAATCCATTGATGCCTGCCTGCTTGCAGTCTTCCAACAGCTTCACTTCGCCATAGCAAAGTACTGAATTATAGTACCTCATCAGAAGGATAGGAACCTGAAGGCCCGACACCTCGCCTCCCTGACCATGTCTAACACCCCCGACACTGTGACACCATGGGCAAGAGCGATCGTATTAGCCTCCTGGATGATTGGACCATCCGCAATTGGATCTGTGAGTAGCATACAGAGCTCTATCATGCCTATTGGTCCCTGAAATGTCAGATATCATTCGACCACACATCATGAAGGCAGGGCAATGAGTGTGCACCTGTTCTCTAGACTCAGAAGAATGCCTGGCGTCTCTTACACCGTGGGATATCCTGCGGTAACATATGCTCCCAAAGCAGTGTGATTCTGCTGCTTCGCTTTGGCGAAGGACTGCTTGATTTGCTCCATCGGCAGTATGGAATATGTTGGTTGGCAATAGACAGCAGACAACACTAAACGCTGAACTAGTTGTTGAAATTGAAATGGTCCATTCGCGTAGTCAATGCAAAGTAGAACAAGAGAAGTCGATTTCAGAACTCGCCTTTTTCAACATACGTCATTTCTCATTGCTATGGACTTATTTTGACTCTCTATTAGCCCTGAAGGAGCGATGTGATGGAACCATCGTAATGTCGGCCAAACATGCCGCCCCACATTGCGAACATGCTCCCCGCTGAGTCAGCGGGGAGAGTGTCACTTGGTGACATAGTGAATAAAGCCGGATAAACGGACTATCAATTTAATCCGCGCCCCGGCGCTCCCGAGTATTACTACTTAAAGGTTAGCTTTAGCCTTCTACCGCCTAAGACGTAGACAGCAAAATTGAAGGTAGTTGAAATCCAACCTGTCTCTACGTTCTTCGAGCTTCTGTCATCATGGCCGAGCATCCTTCGTTTACTCTTGCCGTCCTCTGTAAGTCCCCCAGTCGGTACGTGGAATGGATGTGGCGAGTTGCTGAATATTCATGACCGAAAACCAGTGCCTGTAGGGGGTGTCTTTGGGTACCTGCGGACACGCTCAGCACCGTCCTTGATTGCGGGTCTTGGACTTGGAATCTCATATGCGTACTCTGGTGAGTGCTAAATGGGCGGCATACTATCCTAGGGAGCGCTATTCAGTCCGCTGAGCTGACGAATCGCCAGGTTATTTGATCAAAGAGAACAAGGACTTTGGAACAGAACTTGCCTTGGGAAACAGCATTCTTCTTCTAGGCTCTGCAATCCCTAGAGTCGCTAAAACGCGGGCCAGGGCCCCTATGCCTTTAATACTCGGGACCACTGGGTTATTGGCATCATACTACTATCAAAAAAAGGTCCGGGAATTTCGATTTGGGGTTTAGATACTAGACCCATAGCCGGCAATGTCTGATAGAAACTTTCAACTGTGTATTTGCCTAGACATGAGTCCCTATCCTTTTAGTAGGCCAAGCAAATTTCGAGCCTGTGATGAGTTTGCAAAATATTGTCTCATGTATGGTGTTTCAAGGTGCGCAATAAGCTTGTCTACACAGCGAGTTACGTTATGAAACGTTATAATTAAGTTCTGTAACCATGTCTCATCCTTGGGTTGGAGCCCGCTTAGAAATCGGGGTATATCTTGGCAGCGTCCAGTAGAAGAATCAGACCTCTCAATGTTACCGTTCCCATATAAATTAGTATTCATATTTGGACTCCACCAATGCACTTGATTTGACAGTGTCCACCCAAGGATAAACTGCCATTCGTCTCATTTTCGTAGGATCTAGGCGTTTAGGCTTCTGGCGCCGCTGAGTCATCGGCAATATATGTGGAACATAGCATAGACACTTTCGGAGGACGGAATGATAGTTGTCCGTGGATTTAGGTCTTGTTCTTATATCAAACGCATAACTGAATATGCACTCTTCAGGCTTCCCTAATCCAATTCCAACCCCTTTCAACCAACACGACTTGGTACTTGAACTTGATCATGAACTATAGAGTAGTTCTTATTACGGGAGCCAACCGAGGCAAGTGCCTTGCTTTGACCTTTGAGTTTCGCTGATTAACCGGCTAAACAGGAATTGGGAGGGGCTTCGCTACGGCTTACCTTGCCATTCCCAATACTACCGTCATCGCAACAGTACGAGATGTCTCAGCACAAAATGCATCTGAGTTGTCTTCGCTGCCTAAAGCCCAAAACTCACGGTTGATTGTCGCGGAGCTTAGTCTAGATGCACCATCAACTGTCACTGAAGCAATCTCAAAAGTTATAAAGCAGCACCACATGGATCACATTGATATAGTCATCGCAAATGCGGGGATTTGCAACCATTGGGGGCCGGTGTCAGAAATAGAAGATGCTGATATGACTTCCCACCTTGAGGTGAATACGTTGGGTCCACTGAGGCTGTTCAGAGCAACTGCCCCATTGTTGAAAGCCAGCAAACATCCTAAATTTGTCTATCTGTCCTCTGAGTTGGCAAGCATTGCTAGTCTCGAGCAGTCATTGTCACTGACCACTGCATATGGAGTTTCAAAAGCGGCAAGTAATTACATGGTCAAAAAGATACATGAAGAGAATGAAGGCTTGATTGCTTTCTCAATTGACCCCGGGTGAGTAGAGGTACCCTTTTTGTATCGCCTTGGACTGCTTGTCCTGAGACAATATTACCATTTGTATACTTGTGCAATCATGTCTAACAGTTTCGATGTTACAGGTTTGTCCAGTCTGACATGGGCAGCCGCGGCGCGCGGTACGGTGGACTGCCAGAGGCTCCAATGACTATCAATGAAAGCGTGGAAGGAATCATTGGCCAGGTAATCCAAAGAAACATTTTCGAAAATTGGGACTACATGCTAATTGGCTTCTCGCTGCCCAAAAGATTGAGTGTGCCACGAAGACCACAACATCTGGGAAATTCATCAGATTTAATGGGGATACCTTGCCGTGGTAGGGAAAACTGCACAATGTCTTGGAGAATCGCCATCTTCGAAAGAGCTGTCAGTCACGGAGAACACATATATAAATGACATCAGTCCAATATCCTATGAGAGAAGACTGTGTTGTTCACTGCCAGTGTGCACCGAGTTCGTGACTCATAAGCCGTAAAAGACAAACAGAAGTGTCTCAACCCTAGCTATTGACATAGTGGAGGGTAGATCCTTGCGTACATGGTGACACCAACGTTTAGGTCTAAAGTGTAGAACGGATACTATCTGATGAATGCATCAACCTCGATCTCAACATGATGCTCGGGAAATGGCAGGCTTTCAATTCCGACCATGGTGAACAGCGGCTGATGTCTTGGGCACCACTTTCGGATGTTTTCCACCATTTGGTTTCTAGCCTCTTCGCGTATGTTGGAGAGACCAACGATGAATGCCCGTATTTTGACCACATGATCCCAGCCGGTATGCTGCTCCGAGTCAGACCATATATTTGCCTTTTTGAGTGCGTGCATGATGAGATCGTTCATATTAGAGAATGCCTGGGACACCTCTTCATCAAAGTTTGATGATGTCTTCAAAGTCAAAGGGTTCATTCCGGCTATAATGTGGTCAGAGAATATTCAAACTGTATATCTTCTCAGATAACTTACTTTGACCAGTCGTCACGATACGGTCCCCAATGATGCAAGAGTCGCTGAATCCATATTCCACGCGGCACTTCTCGCCGAATCCCGGAAGAGAGTAGTAAATCAGAGAAGCCATATGGATAGAGTCGATTGATGATGACATGACATTCGATCAATTCCCAGGCCCTTACTTAGAACGGACTACATCCCCATATTTATAACTCCCCATAATTCTAGCCGGGCCCGGGCAGGAAATCAGCGCTTTGTCAGCGAAAAGCTCAGTAACTAACCTATTCAGAGGGTGGATACAATGGGCCGGATGAAACATCTACTAAGGTACGTCGTCCTTCGCAATCGCACATGGCTTGCGAGCGAGCGCTCTGAATAACCGGTTCATAGTTTCGCATGTTGTACACTACAACAAAAGAGCAGTTGCGAATGGCGCTGGACATCAAGGTGTCACTGCATGCCGACATGCCATCGGATATAGAGTGGAAAACTGTTCTGAGAGAGGCTAGCGGCGGGCGAATGAGGGTGTGATTGTAATTGTCCTTATAGTCAGAAGAACCAATCATCAACCAAGAAATGACGACTAGAGACTTGTCTTGGCAATCTGGATGCTCGGGGCCGCGGGCCCGAGAACGCGAGTGAGTCTCCATCGCTCGAAGTCTCGGACGGCCGGGACTTCACCACTGTTCAACCCGTCGTAGCGAACAACATGTCTCCGGTCGACTCAGGAGAAACCATTGAAGCGAGGCGGCACAGGCTGTCGTCGCTTCCACGCGCGGTAGGGCCCTACCATCGTCGTCCACTTCCTACATTCCGCCGCTGACTCTAACTATCCTCCAGTGCGAGTGGTGTAAAATACGCAAGGCAAGTCTAGCGAAACAGTAAAGGGCATGGACTAACAGCCAACAAGGTCCGCTGCGACCGCACCGTACCATGTGCAAACTGCCGAGTAGCGAAAATTACGTGCCGGCAGCCGAATGACAAGCCCAGTCGACAGAGGCAAGCGGATCGGGTTGCTAATCAGTACGTCCTAGGTCACCGTCTTCGTGGGTCTCTTCGGGGGATATGCTGATGAGCCTCTAGGCAAAGTCTCGTGGAGCGCCTCGAGAGGCGCCTTGAAGAAGTTGAATCCAGGCTCGCCACTGTTGAGCAGTCGCCACCAGCCTCTGCAACGGTTGCTCCTGCCCTAGATTCGCGAACAGTAGAACCACCTGCTGTTCACGAGGGCGATCTTCTTTCACAGCCCAATCTATCCAGGCCACCGAGCGTGCGCGCTCTGCCTGTCAAGACGATGACTCTGCTATAACTGGCGTGTTGCTTGAGAGGCTGCAGACTAATATTCGCTCCTCGGACGGTCTATCGAAATCCAACTTTTTCTTTCGCAAGTCCACTGCACACTCCGTGCCAGCTCCGCAACCTCTTCCTGCTACCTTGGTAACATGTATTCTGCGACGGATACGTGGTATGTCACATCCCCCCTTACTCCCCATAAGACTTTTCCGGGCAAATCCTGACTATCCTAGCCCGTCGTCCTATAATTCTCTGCTCTTATGCTATCGGCGATGTGTCAATTGTTGAGAGCCTGTGTCAAAGGGTGTACTCGACCTCTGAGCTGGCATCCCCCGGCGAAATCGCCAGCATGCACGGAACACTGTACTTCGTCCTGAAAGAGCTTATTGAATTCAAGGACCCCCTATGTGAGAAGTTTGATTTATCTACGTATTTAGATCACTGCGAGCACAACTTTGCGGCTGCCGTAGAAACATACGAGGTCCTTACTATCCCGAGCTTTGAGAACATTCTTGCAATAGGTATGGGTGTGAGTGTGTCACAACCTTTGTCTCGACTCTGCGAACAAGCTAACCCGAGCTTAGATGATCAAGTCCCAGGGCGAGGGAAAGCCCTATTTGTACTGGAAGCTTGTTTCCGCTGCTGTGACTCACTGTCAATCACTTGGATATCATCGCCAATCAACGTATCGAGATATGCCGCCCCAGGAAGCGGAAAATATTCGACGGCTGTTCTGGACATTGTACACGTTCGATAAAAATATGTCGCTGGTTTTAGGCCGCTCCTCATTTGCCCAATACCTCGATATTGACGTACAGTATCCTGCTGTTTCTACCGATCCAGCCCTTCGTGCGTGGGATGAGTCGTTCATCATGGGAATCCGCTTAGCGGACCTCCAGGGCCGTGTCTTCACTAATCTTTACTTCTCGGGAACTATGGTCAGGGATACTCCGGCGCGAAAGCAGCTCATCAGTGACCTTGCGGTCGCAATGGACTCGTGGCATGCCGAGCTGCAGCAGATCAATCCAGACGGAGTCAATGGAGCAGAAGTATTCTCTCTCTCAAGAGGAAACTGGGAGATACTTTTTTATTCAACACAGACCCTACTATTTCACGCATCCTCCACAATAGGTGGTGAAGCGCAAATTAGCCCAAAGTCTTTCACCGCAGCGCGGAACAGTCTTTGTGCCCACCTTGACGTCTTTCCGCGGTACCAGGAAGCGCAGCTCCTCTCGGATAGCGATTATTGCAATTGGTATGTTTGGGCTGCCCCCCATTATCCATACTCAAGGCTAGACACAAGATTGTTGTACTGACTAATATTTTGCGTGCAGGATCCTGCTGTCCTCCTCCTTGGTCCCATTTATCGTCACATTCCTGTACGCCATCGCAGCGAAAGACCCTAACAGCACAGTCCTTCTCGAAGATGTCCTCTCCACCCTAAAAAGCTTCCGCTCATTCTCCCGTGGCTCCGAAAACCTCTACCAGATATGCTCCACGTTTACACAGGTTGCCAGGAAGCTCGTACAGTCCCAGCAGTGGCTCCCTACAACTGGAGGGGTGTACACTCAGCAACAGCAACAGGGCCCCCTCCCCATCCTAGATATCTCGCAAAACCCCTCGCTCTTCGAGCCGGGTTTCTTTCAGGATGCACTATTTGACGGGTCGTCGGCAGCCAATTTAGGCGGTTTTGATGGTCTTGATCCCACGTATACGTCGGATATCCTGAATGGCTGGCTCAGTGGGCCGCCCTTTCCATGGGATAAGCTGGATGTGGATTTTGGAAATTGTTCACGATAGGCGCGCATACAACTGTTATCTATGTAATGTAATTTTAATACAACGTTCTCATGACAGCCCCGCCGGCTTGTATCCTCACCCCTTCTACCCTTCAGGCCGTCAACGTCAGCGTCTGCCACATCTCATCACGAAGCAACCTTTCCATATGATCGCTGCGCAACATAACCACAACCTCCAGCCGCTCTCCATCTCCACTCTCCCTCCGCCTCGGAAGCACAATAACAACCCCACCAGCCTCGATACACGGCAACCGCACAAACGACGGCTTCCCACCGACACATTCGCCAAAATCAACCCCGTAGAGATCAAAATCCGCCCATGATGTAATCGTCATGTCCCGCGAGTTGAAAGGTCCCAGCCTGGGAATAGTGAAGGGGAAACCTTCCCGTGCGTTCGCGTGATTAGCTCGGACACCTCTGCTGCGAATTTGGCGTTTATAAACGAGGCCGACTGGGAGTTTGCTATTGCCTCGCAGACCCCTGCGAGATCGTGTATTTGGTTCATGTCTGATGCTGCGATTGATGCGGAGGGGTATTCGGCCATGGCATAGAAAATGGCGTTGCCCATGTAGATAGGGGTTGAGGATGGTGAAGGGGGTTCATACCAAGGCGCTGCCGGGTGTTAACGGCTGTTATGAGGCGGGTTGTTTGCGCCTGAACCCCCTGGGTATTAGGATTAGAAGCCATTCGGACCCGAGTGATTGTACTCCAGAGGAGGGCGCAGAGGATTGTATTCGTGGACGGCGGTGACGAGATATGTTTCCGAAGGAGCTCCTTTAGCGAGTTGATCCAGTGAAGGTTTGTCGTAAAGAGCTGTGACGTGGATGGGTGGAACATCTCCGGTAAAGCCGGGGTTAGGCGCGAATACTCCGGGGGACGCGCGAAGAGATCGTCTGTTGACAGCAACCAGGCCGCTTGAAGTGGAAGCCGCTCGGAGAACAGTTCACATCTCGTCTGTATCTTGGTGGGAGGACTTCCATTTGCAATCCCTCCACTGCCTGGGTCCGCGACTCTCTTAGCCCAGAGGCGTATAATCTCAGTAAACGCCGCCCCATCAACGACATTGTGATGCATACACACACACAACCCAGCGCCCCGATCCGCAAAGCGGAAGAAGTTCGCAGCAAAGACGGGGGCTCCCGCTTTGTGAAGGTCGTTTTCGATCATGCCAGGAGCCGGCCATACGGAGTCCGGTATGGTTTTTGTTGGCATCCCCTGAGCGGATTGTGTATTATATGACATTTTTACCGTCCCCTTGTCGACAAGTATCGGTGTTGTGGTAGCTGCGGTTGCATCCCATCGGATCTCGAGTGGGTATGGTGGCGTCTGCTTCTCCGTTCCAGCTGGTGCTGGTGCTTTGGGGAAGATCTTCCCGGCTACCCACGGGATTTGTGTCGAGACAGTATTGAGGCCGGATTGGAGACGTTGAATCGGTTCTACTCCTAGAGATGCGTGCTCGAATACCAGCAGCACGCGAATGTAGGTCCGCGGCATGGAGGCGTCGAGCGGGGTTAGGGGCTCGGTGTGCGTTAGGTCGGACATTGTGCTGGCACGCGATCGTTCTGGGTTGGTTTTTAACCGTCCGATAACGAAGCCATTGGCTGAAATAGCTTTATACCGAGTGCTGCCTGCGTTGGGTATTCAGTAGGTCGGGCCCGCGGGCCCACGCGGCCGAGAGTGCCGATACCACCCAGACAAGGGCCTCATACTTTTCGACACGGGCTCTCGGGAAGATGTCATCAAGTTGTGGGAAAAGGAGTTCCTCGAATGTGCTCCACGCGTGTGGGAATGAGACATTCATTCTCTGCCCGCGGCGATCAAAGCTACCGGTGCAGGTGAGATCAGTGATGTCAAGGCAGTTGTTTTGAGCCATCTTCATCTGGACCACGTTGGAGGCTTAGAGCATTTTTTCGGTACTGGTAGGTTCATCTTGCTAATCTCACGGATGGTATGATTAACAATTTCTAGGTGGCAAGATCAGGTGTCACGAGTCTCAACTCAAAATTGCTTTTTGGTCATCCGCCACAGGCATTGACGGTGGCCTCTTCCTTCCGGATTATCTGAGAGCAGATCTTTTGAATTGGAAGACTGTCTCAGAGGAAAAAGTGGAGCTCTGGCAAGGGTTGACTCTCCACAGATGCCCCGGACATACTGAAGGGTCCCTGGTCCTAGAGCTCACGTTTCCGGTCTCCGGTACTGTGATCCTGACTGGTGGTCTTTTCCATGCTAAAGAAAATTATGAGGATGGACGACCGCAAGGCTTCCTCATGAGATATTACTCTCAGTGGTTCAGAAGTCGGGACTACGTGAGAAGACTTGTACAGCGGACAAATGCAAAAGTTTGCCTAGGTCATGAGAAAAGCTACTTTGATATGTTTGAGAAAAGCCCTAAGTTTTTGACTTGAACAATTGCGGGATCGTTGCAGCAAAGGCTCTTGGTTGCCAGAGGCAGATCATTTTACTGATATAATTTGTTTGTCCTATCAATATACAATTGTTAACATGTTATTTTCCGTTATTGATGACATTGTATTTTTATTCTACAGTTTTTTTTTTTTTTTTTTTTTTTTTGGATTTTTTTTTCCTTTGCTTTAAAATGCGTGCATCATTTGGAAGTGCTTTCGTCGGGATATTATACCTGTATCTACTGTATGTTGAACATATATGCTGTCGACCATGGCCATGCATAGCGCAGACCTTTCCACAAAACAGGATTACTGTCGATGACTTTGGGACGTGGATACTATGAGAAGGGTGCAAAATTGGAATTCTGATCCAATTGAACAATTTGGATTCAAGGCCAATTTTCTGATTTCGATTCGACGCTATTGAACAAAAACTGCCTAGTTAGGAAATCCGTCAACGCAGCTCACCGCTTACTCATCGGACAAGCACACCTTATCTTAAGGACCAGTTCAGTTAATACTAATATCTTGTAAAATACAGCCCGGTGTAGAATTTGAAATTATTGGTTGATTATTTAGTAATTAAGAGTTCATCCATGCCACCCACACCTCCTCAATCAACTCCATCATATCGATTGGTTCCGTATGTAGCCATACAAAATCGAATTCTCTTAATCTGCTTGGCAATTAAAATCCGATGATTAAGCGGTGATGGAAGCTGTGTGGGGACGCTATCCAGTAACGCTATTCCAGGGTACGAAAGGATAGATCAGGAGATGATAAATCATAGTGGTTGGAGTGCGGAGCTGACCAATCTCTATATACAGCATTAGATCATCTCCACCTCACTTGTAGCTTCACACTAGTACCACTCAATCTAATCAGACGCTCTCCACTCAACAATTCATCTTGAAATCTTCCTTTTCCGCGATATTCCTAAACATGCGGGCATTCGGGCATTTCGGTCGTTCGCCGGGCCGCCAGGCACTGCCAACGAAATCTTTTTGCTCTCTGCTTCAAGCCCACGTACATATAAAGTCCTTCTCCTTCGGATAAAGATAGTCTCACATCATCAGTATCATACAGTTCAATTTTGCAAATACTTGCCCGTGCCCTCTCAAAGCCTCAACGCAATATGCCTTGTCAAACAGTTGTCATTATTGGCGCGACTGGCTCCCAGGTGCGGCCATGACAGTCCCTCGTGCACTGAAGAATGGATTTCTAACATTTGCTCTATCATGAATATAGGGTGGAGCTGTCGCCATGGAGCTTCTTAGTTATCCAGACAGCTATCATGTCCGAGCCCTTACTCGCGATCCTTCAAAGCCGGCCGCCAAAAACCTGGCTCACTTTGGGGCGGAGCTGTACACTGCTGACCTGGATGGTGGTCGTGAAATGCTCGCATCCGCGTTCTCAGGCGCTGACATCATATATGCAATGACTGACTTCTGGCAGACACAGTCTACTGATGTCGAAATTGCGCAGGGAAAGGCAATCGCTGATCCTGCTGCCCAGACTAGCACAGTGAAGCATCTTATTTGGAGTGCCCTTCCTGACCCTGTGAAGCTCTCAAATGGCCAATTCCTTAATGTCCATCACTGGAAGGGTAAGAGCTTGGTGACAGAATATATGCAGAATGAACAACCCGCTCTTTGGGCGAAGACGACCAACATCCTCTTCCCAAACTACTTTGAAAACTGCTTGACTACTCCCGACCGATATCTCCCAGTCAAGGTGCGTTCGCGTGACATTCCCAGCGAGTTCCAGGGATCCTAACTCAGGACAATCATTTCCCTCTTCAGATCCAACTGGCAGCTAATAAATACTTTCCAGGACACCTCGGGGACTTACCGTCTCACCTTCCCGCACAGTCTACAAACTGTGATGCCTAATGCCGCTATCGCTGACACTGGCAAGCTTGTGCGTGCCATCCTTGAGGCCGGCTCACGCTATTTGGAAAAGACCGTTGCTTTTTACAGTGAGGCCTTATCAGAGGCAGAAAAGCTAGCTATCATTGGAAAGCGTGAGTTAAAAGTTTATAACTTCTATATATATCTAACTCTCTGCTTTAGGCTATAATGTCCCAGTTCAGTACCAGCAAGTTGGCTCTAGCGAGTTCCAGAAGATTCTTCAATCTCGTGATGGCTTATCTGAGGAGATTGCTCTCGATTTCACAGAGCAGTTGATGATCTTCGAGAAATGTGGCAATGTCTACGCAAATAAAGATTTCGTGCAAGCAAACGAGGTACGTCAATATCCAGGACACCAGGCAGGTTCTGCTCAAGGCATCACACTAACTGTGGCTGGTCAGATCCCTGGTTTGAAGCTCCAAACCTGGACCGAGTTCCTGGCCAAGAACCAACTGCGACTAGACAGAGAGTAAGTAAGTCGTTTGTCGGGCTCTGATGGGTCTCCGTGCAATCGGTTTCGGACAATTCCGTGTCTCTTTCATTCTGCATCGCCCACCAATTTTTGGCCTTCTAGGCTTCAGTTTTGTCTCTACTTTCTATACAATGCCGCGTATTAAACCGAACAAGGGTTTCATATTGTGGATGTTACACACTCTCAGGTGCTCAGAGATCACCGACGTAGCTATATGGTCGATTATTACCGGGTACTTCAGACCATTCAGAAAAGCATCGCTATGTAACGCCCAGTATAGCCCCTGGATCGTAAGCGCAGGACGTGGGACTCATGCTCAAAAAAAACGTGATGTTCGACCGAGGCTCTTTGGATGTGTCTTGCATGGACTAAATTCAGTGATTTCCACTTGCTGTTATCATTATGTATGTCACCCAATGATGCTAATACACTGTCCACGATTCTGTTCTGTAGATACAGCGTGATTCGGAGTTTCCGCGATGCAATTGGTGCAAGCATCACAGCTTGGCCTGTACTTACAATGGAGTCTCCAGACAAACTCGGACAAGGTATGACAGATAAGAGCAGACACATCCCTGTCCTCCACCACTTCGCCTGGTCACGCTTTTCTCAGGCTTCCAACTGATCTGCTTGACCAGAGGCCATATCAGTTTACCTTTTCGCGAAAGTATCTCTCTCCAACATCGGTGCGTATGTTAATAAATCAAGGGTTTCAATTGAAGACTGGCATACTGTCTAGCCTCCTCCGCAGCCAAGTCAGCCCAGTTGCACGCCCCGGGACGCCGAGATCGCCAAACTCTCACGAAAGCAGCCTCGCGTATCAATGGTGGTCATCTTCTTTCTGATGAAGGATGTGGATGGATTGAGGACCAGGTGGGGGAGGAAGTCAGTCGTGAAAAATTCTATGCGCTTCAGCTTCCATGATCAATCCTCCGCCGACTATATGGGGATGTAACTATGCCAGGCAACAACCGTGCTCCGGACTTGCCAAGTCAGAATATTCTTGAAATGTATGTCATGCGATATACATCTGCATTTCAGAGTTTGGTCTGCCCTGTCATTAGCAAATCGCTGTTTATGGAGACGCTAGATCTTGCATACGGTCCCTTCCATGTTTTTGGCTATACTAGTGCTAAATCTTGTGTCTATGCATTTCTATCACTTGTAACCTTATTTGGTTTTGATGATGATGCATATCAAGCCGTGGATTGTGGCTCATATACATCTGCTGCCCACAGGCTTGTACCAGACATCATCCAGGAAATGACAGTTGATGGACTACAATCACTTATTATGCTTGTTTGCGAATCTCCTTTGACCCCAAGCCTTACTTCCTCTACTCATGGGGAAGTGGGTGTGGAATAATACGCTAATGCAACATCAGGCCCAATTCCAATACTTTCTAGGAGACCTTTAACCAGCTGGAATATCCATCTCTATTGCCACTCGGCTCATTTACATGCTAGGAGCCCATAAGCAACCTATTAATGACATTCCATACGGCATATCACCTTCGTATGACAAAGACTTCTTCAACTGTCATTTGCGAAACCTTTTTTTTCTGGTTATGCTATTCCTTTGATAAAGATATTTGTCTAAGGACTGGACAGCCTCCATCTATTGAGGACTCGAAATGTGACCTTTCATTAACAACTGGTTATTTTCGGCTGCAGGACATTAATATACAACGAGACACGATGGAGCTAGATAGTTCCACGCAGCCTCTTTTCCCTTGGGATATTCGCCTATCACAGATGAAGTCAGAAATATATGATATACTCTATTCAGCGAGCGCACGTTTGAAGATGAATGTTGAGATACTCGCCAGCATTCTACACCTTGATACGGCCTTAGAAATCCGTCCAACTCTATGTTTCTATCAAGACATGCCGCCCAAAGCGAACGTGAACACACAGGAAGTGATATTGCGACTTGCATACTACCACTGTATTGTCTTAATTCATAAAGCAAGTAATAAATGCAAACTAACAGGTGCTGATCCGGGCATCGGACTTGAGGGCATAAGCTCCAGCATCAACCTTTCCCTTACTGCCAGTCGTTCATCACTCTCTCTTATCCAAGCCTCACTGCCTATGTTGAAGGGGGAATGCTTCTGGTATGGCTTGAGCCTAACATCCATCCTCCTGTTTCTTTATATCTGACTTTTTTTCTCTGCAGGGTTGTTCTTTTTTATGCTTTAACTGCAATCCTAACACTATTTTGCAATATTCTCAAGGTTCCCCTCCAGCTAGACAGTTTGCATGACGTGAACCTCCTGTTCAACGCCCCCGCTCTGATACGCAGGATTCCAATCCGGCATCTGACTCCGGCCAAAATTATTCACTTGAAGTTTCTTGATGGATTCACAACGGAGCTTACAAGGCTAGAGATGTGTGCCATATCCAAGGCACAGGAAAAGTTTAATGCCTCAAACGACATGTCCATATTGAGTTAAAAACTTCAGCTTAAGAGCCCATTTCACCGCCGATTTCAATTAAACAGCTTACTGAGCAGAATGAAAATTCTTTGCTCTGAACAAGATCGTCGAGGGCAGCATATCGTGTCCAAAATAGCACAAAGCTATCGAGGTAATACTATCCACGATATAACTTTTAAGCTTAATTGTATGTAGCACAGGGGTGTTGCTGCTGGTTATTAAGATATATATTTTTATCTAGTACTGTGTATTGGGTAAATGTCCACTGTACGTACATTTGGAATGTGGTAAATATCCTGGTAGGCAAGTATGATAAAGTCAATGAATGGGGGGTCAATAAAATAAAAAATTAAATTTCTCCAGTAAAACATGACATTGAAAGAATGACTATACACGATCGACTTCATTTGTGTTCCCCTGTTCCTATTAGAGCTGAATAACATCACATTACCACGTCTTTTCATGGTCTTTCATGGGCTTTTCTCTTTTAACAATTAACGAGGGAAAAAAAAAAAAAAAAAAAGAGGCAAATGCCCAAAATCGACTGGGAATCCCTTTATTAGAGTGACAGCTAGTTCCCTCCGTTTAGTAAATTCTGCTCCTTTTTAAGCAGTACAGACAACATCCCCACCGTCCTATTTCCTCGTCAGTAAAAATATTTCTACCTTGATGTATGCAAAGGCGAAAAGCACATACCACAATGGCTTTATGCTTGCAGCATACAAGTTTTTTGTTGCCGCAAGACGAGCCAGTGACTGATTTGAGTGTTAGTAAATAGCCAAACTTGAAAATAAAAAAAGAAAAAAAGAAAAAAGGCATCTATTTGAGTATCATACGCTTGTAGCAATTGCCCGATCCCACGCCTTCGATAAACCAGAAGTTAAATGGGACGAATTTGTCACAGCAGAATTGGCCTCCAGGGCATGGATTTGGAGCTCTCTCCACGAGGCCTTCATCGCCCGTGATATCTTCTGCTGGAGCAGCAGAAGCCAAACTGGTCAGGGCGAAAAGGGCCAGGATGTTTTTAAAGTGCATGGTGAATGGTCTGAAAGTTGATTATCTCTTTGGGAATGTGTAAGGCAGTGTGATGGTGAGAAAAAAAAAAGGCTTGATGTGAGGATGCTAAAGGCCTTTTATGTTAACAGGCCATATACCGTAGATTTGTATATATGTATATAGTCACCTACCATAAAAATGTAGACCCATCTAGATCGAATAATGAATTACACCTTGATACTGTCAGTGACGAAGCAAGAATGATGTTGGGTTATAATATTAAGCCCAGAGCTCTACATGTGCACCTGACTAGCCTTTCGGCTAAGTATATTCAACAAAAAAAAATACGTGCAAACATTGAGATCTAGAATTGGGTTGTAGATCGGCTGATTGAAGGGTCCCGTGGTTCAAAAATACATTTCTCTGGAAGCAGGGATACTTGAGCCGAAATTGACATTGAGTTTAGATGCTTTTACCAGCGCCATGTAATCCTACTTGAGTTCCGTTGGATGTCATAACCTAAGTACCTATTGATTGATAGGTAGGAGCTTCCAACTTTACTGGAAATAAACCTTGGGACGTTTCACTTGATCGGATATGATTGGACGATAGAATGCCAAGAAACCAGTTCCTGCTTCTGGCATGGCCGCCTTTGGCTAGCTTTAGCCACACAGAGTCTAGCTGGGTCTACGAAAAAATCCGGGATACAGGTTATACTGTACGATAAAAAGCTTATTGCAACGAAATAGTTCGGTATACAATAGACCTCAAGGATCAAAGCTTATGGGAGACTTGTCATAGCGCCACTCAGCAAATGAATGCCTGGATCCCCATGGTCCTCTTGGCATAGTAATTCTTCTCGATGAAAGTATCTTGAATAAAGCCTGTCAATCTATTGCTCCTTCCTATTTGGGATGGACAGATGACTCAAATTAGATTTTGATACACAAGTTTCTGTATGCCCGTGAAACCCGCTACTGATCTCCGCGAGATTTTGCTTACTTTCTATGGATAGTGTACTGTTTCATCACGCCAAGGGATTTAATAAAAAGTATATGCCTATGGCTCGAGTTAAATGTCATAGACAAGGAGGAGATACCACATTGACTATGAACTAGTCTAAATGAAGATTCGATTGATGGTCCATCGGAGGACAAATGAATTGTTGGCATGAGGGAATCAGACGAGGCTTCATGCTTAAATAGGAGCACCAACCATTAACTACTATGCTCTCCAAGACAATCTCCAAATAAATAGGCCAGAATAAGAGACATAAAGCTAGCCATGAGGTCGCTTATAGCTGTACTGATTTCACTGAGTTGTTAGGAAGTAAAGATCCCATGTGCTGTATGATAAGGGTCTGTTGCGTGTTGTTCAATTCATGACATCTATCCATTCTATTGTCTGTGCTTGTGCTGTTTGCATACAGATGACCACCTTCCTTCGGCGGCGACTGTTCTTTAGTAGCGCTTCCTATTGACAACACCAGGACCCGTTTCATCATATTCCTCCTTCGGTATCCAAAGATCTTGGTTTTAGTCCTTGCGATCAGGAGGCGCTCTAACTTTCACCTTGTGTGGTGGGGAGAGAGCGACCAGATCCAGGAGTAATTGGTCCGCCATACCGGGCAAGATTGAAGTGCCTCCAGACTAGAAAAAGGATGAGAGAAAAGCCCTGTCAGTAAAATAAAGGCAAGATCTTTTATCATAGCAGATGTCTGCCTTTTTCTGCCGAGAGGTATGCATACCAGAACAATACTTGCAGACAAATCCCTCCGAATGCTAATCTCGCTTCTGAGGATTGATTCGTCTGTCTGTTGATGAATGCCTACACTTTCAATACCAACCGTAATAGGTTCGAACAGGATTTCAGGTGCCTGGAAGGCCTCGGCACCGATCTCAATGATCCGCCCATCACGAAGCTCATATATATGCTTCCTAATACACTGCAACTCGTTCTCGGCATCAAGCGCAACAAAACACTTTTTCTCTTTGATGTCCCCGCATATATCAGAACTGAAAGAATTTCCGAATGCGTTCATCAGGTATCCCGTTATCTGATCTCCGCCGACATCGAGCTGCCGAATTGAATGATGCAATACAGATCCCTCAAAAACCGGGACAAAATCATTAGAGCCATGGCCAAAATCAACAGTCCGCCAGTAGTACGGCCGGACGCGAATAAAGCCAAGACACCGTTGCGAAAAATAGAATTCGCTGGCACTTTGAAAGTTTCAAACATAATCTGCGTGGCTTTCTGTCGGTTATCGCTCGAGTTAAGCGGGCAATCGGTCAGGAAAACTGGGTGCTCTTCTGGAGAAACTTGAAGCCCATTGGCAAAAGTGTTGGCTCCAAAACTTCTCTATATCATCCCAGTTGGTGATAAATCCACGCTCGATCGGGTTGGTAAGCAAAAGCTTCAAGCAAACTCAGGGAAAATAGCGCGCGGGCACTCTTCACCAGCAAACCCGGCCTTGGTATTCATTGTCCTATAGATCAAGATTAGCTTGCGCTTTGTTCAATTTTGGAGATAGGGGAAATGGAGTAGAGTACCCATTGTCGATGACAATAGCAGAAAAATCTGGAATTTCATCAATGAATTAATATAGTCATTCAAAAACGCGAAGGGTGAAGATAAGCTTGTCTGCTTAGGAGTGTTTATGGAGTAGAATTTTTAGGGCACAGATAGAAAGTACTATGTTATAGAAAGCATACCCGCCATGGTTATGAAAGTAGGAAAAGGAAGTTCCCAAATTTTAAGGTTGTAATGAACCAGGGGAAACTTGCAACTAACCCAGGGGAATCAATCCAATTTATACGTTAGGACAGGGAACAGCTAGTTTCTAACGAGCTGAGAGGTAAAGTAAATCTGATTTTTCTCCCTTTTTTTCTGCGGCAGCGTGGTCCGTAGTAAGATGCCTACGCCAATATACAATAACCTTAACACAGTAGCAAGTTCGCCAAGATGGACACTTTTACAACTGATTTGCATTTATTCTCAGCACTCACCAGCCAACAAGTAGTTTGTAGAAACGCTGATTATTGTACTAGCATCAAGATCTTATTATTGCCAATGATGATAGGAATAATAATTCCAGCTTTCAGCTGAGGCATATGTGGGTCACGAGTTCAGCTGGCGGAAATGTGGATATTCCCACAAGTGGGGTAACCGCAGTTCAGATGAACCACCGATAGCCGAGCTGAGCACAACTTTTGGAAATAGGCTTGTCCAAGTGCCAGCGCTTTAAGGTGAAAAGACAGAAATGGACAGTAGTAATTAAGTTGATCACTTCTAAAGGAGTATCAGGGTGTACATCGATGAACCTGAAAAAACAAGGATATTATTGCGGTATCTCCACTGACACGGGGAGATGCTTTCATAGAAGCCATGCAGCCGCTGTATTCTGGGATATGATGCTTCGAAAGCTAGAAAACAACGGCATTGATATCCCGGTATGGTTCTTACAGCCCTCGACGCTGAAAAGCTCTCATATCTTTAGAACCATGACGTCGGTACTGGGTTGCATATATCTCAGGCGGGCGCTTCCACCCTAAGCGCCTCTGTTTATTCCCCACATACTCCTTCCACATTTTTCGTCGAGAAACGGGTGCACGGTTGATAAATCTATACCTCCCATTGCCGTCAGCGCGAAGAAGCTCAACACGTCTTTTCAGCCATTCCGTATCAGTGTCACCATCAAGTTCGAGGTTCTCTTCCCCCCACTCCTCTGATAGATCCATCGCGTCAATTAATTTCTCGAGGCCTACCCCGTCTTTGGAGTCAATGCAGCTTTGCACGAAGACTGGGAGTTTGGGGTATGGAAGGCCACCTATAACCTACATTAGGTTACTTTTCTAGCAAGGTCATATAAGAACTAACCGAGACTCCATTCAACATTGGCAGGTTCACAAGTAAGGTGATAAGAGCTTGCTGGTACAAGAAGCCAGAAGTCCAGCCTCCCAGAAGCCTTGGAACGGGGGTACATGTGGTAAGGTGTGCGACCACTATTCCTTGAGAATGGATGTGGGTCGCATGGCTTTAGTATGTCGATTGTTTTGAATAGTTCGACTGCACGTTCGTGATGTTCATCCGGGATACACAAGATCCGATCCTACATGTATAAGTCATCCGCTCATCCATGACATAGTATATAGGAGCAGTACATCTGCGCTATGGCGAGTTCCATAATAGAGGAGTGCCCACGCATCAACAATGAAGCAAGATATACCAGCATCTGTGAGGACGGAAATCACGGCACATAGCTGCTCGCTAGTGGCGGATCGATCATCAGGTTCTCCGATTGCTAGGGGGTGTAATATGTTGGAGATAAGCTCGCCATTTTCACCTATCTCAACCGCGTTCATCTTGAACTGGAAGGTAGAGATTTGGGTGTTGAGTATGTGGAGTCTGGAAGATAACACTTGATTTTGAGACAAACGCGGGGTTTGTGTCACCTGATCCATCTGGTATTCTATTTTTAACACTTTCCTGTCACTAAAAGATACGGTGTAATGGTTTGGGTTTTAATACATTTTCTAATAGCTTTGTGTTTTCCATGGTGCAATTATCCAAGATTAGATATAACGGCGTTTCTAGCTTTATATACGTAAGGCATGTGGCATTGCAAATATTATTGACAAAAGTGAAGGCGTTTTAATGCTCGCAGAAGCTATATGTTTCCTAAACAACATTAGCTATAGAGTCAAGACTGAACGGACGGGGAAAGCAATCCATACATTTCTCATGAAAGTGTCGACTCGGTCTGTCAACGCTCCTCGTTCGTTCATGAGTTTCTGTCTCACTTCCACAGCATCCTCCCAGCTCATAGGAAAGTCATCCACGTATTCAAGAATATTGTTGAAAATCTCCAAGGGTAAAGCGTGAAAGGGGGGCACATTCCGCAGTTCATCTGCCCACCAGTCCCTCCTCTGAGGTGGGACGTTTGCCGTTGAGAGAATGGGGATATGGGGATCTACAAGGAACATGGCCAAAATCTTTCGGTGGCCTGGTTTAGTCGGATCAGCCAGTCGGAATGGTTGGACTTTATGTTGGAGGACATTTGGGAATGTGAGAAGACGGCCAGATCTTGTCAAGACACTGCCCAGTTTTTGGATCGCGGGATCATCGTACTCGACTCCGAAGTATAGTTCTGCCGAGTGATATTCGCCCTAGAAAGAAGATCAGTTGTATGCAATGGGTGAATGAATGAAAGAAGCTCACCTGGGCAGCACTGCCCGTGATGTTCACACTTTCCACAGACTGGCGGAAGGAAAGATGAGAGGGCGTGATGTTCTCCTCATCGTAATAGTAGAGGGCAGTAGCACTGATGTGCTCGTTCAAAGCGCCTTCGATGTGCCAGCTTCCACCCGTATACTCGGGACCTTCCGGGGTGAGGTGTGTATTGGCCAGCTTGAAAATAACCTGCAGCCCAGACTTTGCAAAGTCCTTTTGCAGATCCACAACGCGCGGCTTGGTCTGTTCCCTCCAGTCCTCGCGCGACCGGAAATGCTCTGGCTCAAGCTGAATGAGAACTCGGTTTTGCTCGAACCAATCAACGAATCCATCTGTATAAGTGAGATCTTGATCTCTCGCCTCCTGCAGTGTGCGTGGCCGAAGATCCATGGGCATATCTGGAAGGCAAGCATCTATCATGTCCTGCTCTGATGGAGTATACGTAACTCCATTGGGAACTGTAAAATCCTCGTCCGAAAAGTTCTCATGTTTGATTCTCAGCCGGGGGACATCCCATGAGAGACACTCGTTCCAAAGGGGGATTGCAGCTGCAAGAAAGCCTTCTAAAGCTCCATAGAGTTCCTTGTGGTCGTGAGGGTGCAGGTTATTGATGTAACTGGTGATGCTCGGTCGGCCATCTTCGAATTGCACATTCGATGGAAGCCATTGGAAGTTCCCCCACGGCTTGAGTTGGCCCTTATAATCCCATCTATCTACTACTTTAGTATGTAATTCAGGATTGACTATTTCGCCCTCGCCGATAAATCGGGTGCAGCTGTCCAGGGGGACAGTCCTGTACGGCAATGCGCGGGATTTTCCATGGACCAACGGAAAGAGCGAAGGATGTAACAGATCCAACACCTTATGGTCTGATCCAGGATGCCAGTCTTTTGCTGAATCTGGAACTTCCTCCAGGGCACGTACGTTCTGTCGAAGTGCATTCATCAAGTCCTGGGAAACTGCCGTGTCGGATTTGACGATTGCTGTCTCGCAATCCAGCACACAGACCATCTGAGACTTTTGAAAATAGGCAGCTTTGTCACGAAGCTCTCTGATGCACTATCTCATATCAGTTATCCTTCATCGGACATAGGATCAACAGAACCAACATAGTCAAACATGGCAGCCGAAAGATAGTCATCATTCAACTCCTCTTTCCACACACAAGCCTCAGCCATCCATTTACTCACGATGTCCTCATCAAACACCTTCCTATCCCATTCTGGCTTGTCGCTGATCTGATTTATAAAGTCAATCATTCGCCGTTCCCGCAACACCACTCCTAGACTCTGGCATAAATCACGAATTGCATGATCAAAGTCCGGCCTTTCGTCTTGCTTGTAATCGTCAAGTGGCCGACCGAAGCCAGGAAGGATGATCCGATCTTGATGTTCTGCCATTTCGTGATGGGATGATTGTAAACAGGATCGAGAAGTGGAAAGGTGTCATTTATAATTAAGTTTTTATAGCACGAGGGCTGAGCTGTTGGCAGGCAGCAGAGTGGGTGCCTGGGTGCCTGGGTGCCTACGGGGATCTCCGCTAGGCAGCGAACACCACAACACCTTATGTCTACATCATATTTTGATATTTTATAAGACACTGGGTTTAAATTTGGCCGAAGGGATAAAGATAGACTAGAATGATCGATAAATATGGGGAAATATATTGTTATGCTGATCATGTTCAAAACCAAATGTATGCCCGGAAGGGTGCCAAATATATATCCATTCACATCCCATGGATTAAAGCTTGTATATAACTTGATCTTAAACTCTCTATCCCAATGATAATAATATTATTCTTTCATCATATTCCTAATTCCTATTGGCCCAAATGCACAAGTGAGACCTCTCAAAGTGTACGCGCATTCCAGTGCAACCCTGTAGATTAAATGCAGTCTAGGGCGGTACTAGAAGATAAGAAATTCCCTCCCAAAATGGCGTGCGAGAATATTCTGCAGATAAAACTCTTGTTCTCATCTTCTCTTGAAAAACTATTTCTTATCAATTTAATGATCCCTCAATGAGTGCTTCTATCTCTTCTTCCCCGCAAGGGGGAGATTCACGTAATGCAGGACCGAAAGACACCACCAGCGATTCGGGGAGCGTCCACCTCAACAATAATATCGTTACCGATGAGGAGTCGCAGAACCTCTCGCGAGGCCTGGCAGAGCGACATGTTCAGATGATCGCCATCGCTGGAGCCATCGTAAGTTTAATATATTTATTTTTGCTTCAATACTGACACACTCTAGGGGACGGGTCTGTTTCTCTCCCTTGGCTCCTCGATTGCGACCGGTGGCCCTCTCGGCGCATTGCTGGGTTACACCATCGTTGGCTTCATTGTCTGCGCCATTCAATTCGCCCTCGGTGAAGTCTCTGCTTTCCTCCCAGTGACTGGTTCATTTGTTCGCCATGCAGAAATGTTGATTGACCCTGCTTTTGGATTCGCCATCGGATGGAACGTCGTCTATGGCTGTTTCATGAGCGTACCGAGTGAGATATCGGCTGCTGTCGTGCTCATCCAGTACTGGACCGATTTGAGTGCTGCTATTTGGATTTCTATTCTGCTTGTCATTTCAGCCGTGGTCGCTTTTCTGTTTATTCGGGTGTATGGAGAGGTGGAGTTCTTCCTTGCCATTTTAAAGATCCTCCTCGTCATCGGTATCATCCTAATGGGTCTGGTTATTGATCTTGGAGGAGTCCCAGGTCAACCTCGGCTTGGCTTTCATTATTGGAAAGATCCTGGCCCTTTTGTTGAATACATCAGCACAGGCTCATGGGGTCAATTCCTTGGCTTCTGGGCTGTTCTCACCAACGCCGTATACTCTTTCTCCGGCATTGAGAGTTTGGCGATGGCAGCAGCAGAAACACAGAATCCGCGCAAGAACCTCCCAAAAGCATGCAAAAAGGTCTTTGCACGGGTCACTCTATTCTACTTCCTTGCTGTCTTGATAGTCGGCATGATCGTCCCTAGCAATGACCCTCGTCTCGGTGATGAAAGTGGCACAGCCGCTCAAAGCCCCTTTGTGATTGCCGCCGCAGATGCAGGGATAAAGGTCGTTCCCTCGATTATCAACGCAGTGGTTTTGACCTCTGCCTTTTCCGCAGGAAACCAGAGCATCCTAGCCGGAACAAGGACACTATACGGTCTAGCAATTAGAGGGCAAGCACCCAAGATCTTCCTGCGCACTACGGCGGGAGGCGTGCCATATATGTGCGTTGCATTGCAGATTTGTTTCTCCGGTCTCGCATATCTCAGCGTGTCGAATACGGCGTTGACGGTGTTTTACTGGTTGCTTGATCTTACCGCTGCTGGGGTGTTGGTGTCGTGGGGAACAATCGCCTTTAATCATATTCGGTTGCTGCAGGCGTTTAAGAAGCAGGGAATTTCGCCTACGGAGTTGCCGTGGCATAATAGCTGGACTAGTAGGTATTCATCAATAATTTGCTGTGCAGTATGTGCTAACGCACTTAAGTTTACTCATCATGGTGTGCCTTGATATCATGCATCGTCATTCTCCTTACTGGTGGCTTCAAAGTCTTCACGCATGGAAACTGGGATCCGGCTGATTTTGTCTCTTCATATCTGTAAGATTCCTTGTTATTTACTCCATTCAAACTAATATATTCCAGTGACATCCCCCTCGTCCTGTCTGTATACCTAGGCTATAAATTTATCCGAGGGACCGACCTCATCAAGCTGGAGGATATTCCACTCCGCCAAGCGCTGGATGAAGCACACAAGGATATACAAGAGGAAGGACCGCGCAGTAAATGGGCTAGGTTTAATTTTCTCTGGGGGTAGACTGTGGGCTTGACACATTGGGCGGGCTGGCTGTTTATTTCTTTTGATGATCATGTCATGAAACTCTCATAGAATCAGCGAGTAATTTGTAGAGAACTTCTTTTAGAATACCTAGAATATGTCCTGAGAATACTGTATCTCAAAGAGAATATAGAATTAGAGATTGGCGTTTGCATAAGCTACAGTTGGAAGAAGCCACGGATAAGAATAGTACATTTCAAAGGGAAATAAAAATAAGACCATGAGGCTGCGGAAAGAATAAGGTGGCTGTTGGGCATGAGCAAATCCCGCCTGATGTATGTCTGCGATTGATATGTCTGCCCATATGCCTGCGAAATATAGGCGGTTACAGGGCGAGACACTAGTTAGTCTTGCTATTGTTAAAATACGGTGTAAGCGGTTTGCCGTTGATAGGAGAACGGCATTCGATGAGAGTGTAGGGTATAAGATAGAGCCAAAATCCCCCATTAAGAATATCTAACTTTCATTCCCCGTATTATGATTAAATAACTTATAACAATTCCTCCACACGAACTGTGCGAAATGACAAAAACACCGGTTTTTGCACTCCACTTGAAGGACTGGAGTCTCCCAGGGGCTCACAGAATCCTACAAGTAATCCACAATGTCGAGATCCTCCAGGAAGCAGCGACCTTTATACTCGACAACCTTTTCAACGATGAGATTCCGCCACCCGAAGTCCAGTCAATCACCATCATCGTCACAACGGATGATTTCCTCAGGAGCATAGGAGCAGCCGCTTTCCATTCCAGCTCCGACCTAGATCCAACACGACGGACGATCGAAATATCCGAAACCTGGCTCTCGAGCCTATCACCCGAGAGACTTGCTGCAGAACTTCTCGGCGTTCTGAGACACGAGCTAGTACATTGCTTCCAGCCTGAACCTCCCACACAGACACCTAGCGGTCTCGTTGAAGGGATTGCAGATTGGGTGAGGCTTATTTCGGGGCTTAGACCGCCGCATTGGGAAGCGCGGAAGACGTCCTGGGACGCTGGATATGACACTACGGCGTATTTTCTGGCATACTTGGAAGAGGAATATGGAAGGGGGACTGTTGCGGCTATCAATAACAAGGCTTTTTGTGTGGATTACTCTCCGGCTATCTGGAAGGAGCTGCTGGGAAAAGACGTGGATATGTTGTGGGATGAGTATTGTAACAGTGCATCTAACTAGGGGTTGGTGCCTTTTTGATTGGGGTATGTTAGGACAAGGGCACGCAGCTCGTAGCTCTTCCTTGGCCGGGCATCTAGTTTCTTGTTGTCAGATTCGAAAGAGGTATGGGGAGTGCCTAGTATGATATTATCAGTATTCGATGGCAGAGTTACAATGGAAGTTATCTACACATACATGTAGCAGGGACCTTGTCATCAGAGTCAAATATTTTGAGAATGAGTACTTCATCAGGCCGTTGGTTGCTTAGGTAGTACCACTTTGCATCTGGATTATACAAAGGATAGACAGTTTCTCCAATATACGTCCTGGTGATGTGATCTGCGACTAAGAGATTTCCTGGTCAAACGGTGCTGCCATCGCACACGGCAAGGGGGCAATCCTCAACAGGGTGATCATAGGGCACCCAGATGCTTGGATTCATTAGTCCTGCTCGACACAATAGACTAGGAGAAATCTTACTTAAGAATCCTAACGCGGCCTTGGATGAGGCTACCTGCCTCATCTCCCTCCTACAGTCGGACTCGTTTCAACGCACCACCCAGGCTTTAATCTAATATTATCAGTAAAAGGAAATATTGTTAGAAAGTGTTAGGTACTAATATATACGCCTCTGGCAGGAGGCAGCGCTAGTGAATGATTTGCCACATCAACTAATTTAGACTGGAGTTCAGCTTCATTAGACTAGATCCGATAATTAAAGAACAACACATGATCTACAGCTTCAACATGGTGTTTCAGGAATGCCTCAGCCTCCAGGTAAAAGACCCTTTCCACCTCGTTCAGGTCACCGACATGGAAGGGGCTGAAGATATAACAAACAAATCGGAATCCATGCTGATTGAGGGTGAATTCGCCTTCGCTTCCTCAGACATCTGTGATGATTTCCTGTGGGCTGTGCATGAAGCTGATGTTTATCTTTTGCAAGTCACTAAGCCATGGCATATGACTGACAATTATATAGGGCTTTTCCAAGGTGAATATATCACTCCACTGAGCGTATCTCAAACTCTGCATTTGATGATGGGGTGGCATAGTCGCAAGAAGATGTTCGCAGTCATGTAGCCTGTTGACTACGTGGAATAATAAATTTTATTTATACTTCTAGCGCCCCAACCAGGTTGCCCATGAAGCCATTCATTTAAAATCCCACCGTCCCGCCAGAGTGGGCGCAGCGCATCAGGGCGCTGATTCTATCCGGACACCCATGCAGACTGCGGACATCAAGGCTTTGAGCATCAGCCTCGCGAGTGCCAGAAAAAAGCAATTCATATGCATGCACATCCAATCGAGTTATGAAGATCTGTTCTCATGACTTGTATCTGTCCAATTAGCACCCCTCCACATGTCCGGAAGGCTACTGGAGATATAATTGGTTACCAACCCACCGGCTGAAACGCAAACACCGTAGATAATGAAGCCCAAGGGTGAAATGACTCGTACAACGTTTGTCAGGGCATCAGATCTATGGAAAATTTTATTGAGCCTCCAGATTGTATGGAAGGTAGTGAGATAAAGCAAGCCATTTCCTGCGCATTTCCCTGAGAGTATCACACTCGGCGTGGCATTCAACAACACCTGATAGCTATCCCCTTATTTCGCCAGACCACTACACCGCAAACATGTACGTTCCTGCCCAAGATATACGTATTAACTTTCATTGTTGGGCTCACTATACTACACAGAAAAATGGACTCGCCCTCCGACAGCTCTACGAATTCCTCGCCCTCAAAGAATTGGGCAGAAAAGCTCGACGATGCAAACGCCGAACCACACGGATTGAGGCAGCAGCCGTGGAAGAAGATCCTCAAAGAAGATGAGAAACACCATTCAGGCCCGGACCTGGCGCCCATAGACTGCGCAGGATGTATCCCACCGACCCCCAGTGTTGCGGCTTGACAGTGGAATTATTGTCGTTGATCAACAACTACTATATATTGATTTGTGCTAGTGTCAACTGAGAGGGTACTTCTATCAAGGCATGAGGAGCCTAAGAGTGAAGCCTAGTAAATAAGACTGTAGAGAACCACCGATGTGGCAATAGTCTGGATACTCCGACTTAACATTATCAGAGCTTGAGATTAACTCATCTGCCACTTCAACCCAAGTTCAGAAAGTATAATAACAGAAAGAGAAATAGGCAATGCTCTAGCGTTCATATTTTCCAAAAGTATAGAGACAGAGCTGGTTAATAGGCGTAGTGCTGAGTGTCTTTCAAATAGCTCCCCAATTTCACTACCATCATGGGCCCATCTGAGCCCCGTCACCTTTCTGGTAACCAAATCTCGCTGGAATTTAACTAGGTAATGGGATGCACTAAAAACATTCCATCCTTGTTCTTTTTGTCCACGCGGGGAGATGAACTAGCTAAAAACATCATTGTGGGAGTGATTCAGGTTGAAATCCTCCTCAGGGAGGCCTTAGAATTGAAGTCTAAGCTTTCCATATTCAAAAATGATCACAAGTTTGAATGTTTTCGCAACATTCTCATATACCCCAGCAAAAGCATCTAAAGCCGCTGGAGCTGAATCAGGCTGCTTTAATACTGCCAAGTCATACACAGTTTTCGCGCACCATTTCTGATAAGAAGACACAACTTCCTCGGCGAGCTATACATATAGAGTAGATGTATCCTCCTCAAAAAGAACCTCAATAATCAACTGTGCTATCCAATCAGGCACATCAGATAGACTGTATATGTTTGTGAGAACCACCACTCCACTCAAACTATCTGGAAAGAGATACACAGCTGACGTTGCACTGGGTACATTTCCCTAATGATATATACTTAGCCGTGCAGTCAAGCTGCGTCCAACAACAGGCATGTTTTTAACCAGCCACAGATTCAGGCTAATTATGCCTAGATCACCTAGCAGTTGAGTCCTGATCCATCCTAGACCGTAAGTCCATTCGTTCAGAGATCAACGCTGACTGGGGAAAAAGGTATGGCCTGTTAATAATATTTTTAGTTACTTCAATAGTGACTGGCTTTTCTCCGCACTACTCTTATCTCCAAGCTGCTGCGATGCCACGTTCAAAATTTCCTGGTAAAAGATAAGAAGATCATCAATTAAGCTTCAAATTCCACCCAAGGCAATCATGTGCGAGTTCTTAAAGTAAAGTGGCTGTACATTTCTGACCACTGTTCCATCCTCAACAACTATGTATAATCTGGCGGTATTCAATGCCATCTTTCAGTCAGCTTCAATCCCGGTTCGATTCATTCCCAAGGGTTAGGTTATATATGTTTAGAGTAGGTCACTGTAGTTCATATGTGTTTTCAGACTCATCAATTTAGATATCAAACCATAGCCAAGGTTATTATACTGCATTGTTGACCTGAAGGGGTGAACTAATAGAAGGCTGCCAAATATTCCAGTAAGACTGCTGTCATTAAGGAGAGGCTAATCATAGAAGTAAAACATCTCTCCTCCTGCAATTCCCATCCAATGAGACAGGAGGTTAATCGCATTCACATTTTACTCGACCTGCGGTGAAGTGCTGTAGAAATCCAGGAGATTCTTGCGGATTGGTAACTCATAATTAAGTACGCCCTTATCAACAAGGCCACCGTAAATAGATGCCATAAATGCCTTGGACAAGGAGCTAATGGGGAATATCATATCACTTATTGTAGGTAATTTCTGCTCAAGATCACAATATCCAATCAATTCACAGAAAACGACATCGCCTTCATGGAAAACTCCAACTGACACTCCAGGAACCCTGGATATGTCTGCTATTTGAGTCCATATTAGAGCCAGGAGAGTGAGGGCTGCTGTAATGTTCTTCATTAATCCCTCTGTCCTAACTTGGCCCTGTTGCCTTTCCCTTAAGGAACAACCCAGTCAGCTCATTTTATATCATTATAATAAAAGGCCACTCTTGATGGATATTAAACTTAGCATATGGGGTTTATAGACTAAGATGCACAGATCACAGCTGGGCCAGTGAGAAAAACGCACACAGATGAGAAAAAGAAAAGAAAAGAAACTAGCAAACAATACCACAATGGACCTCTCCTGAGTCCAAAGTTGTCATTTGCCGCTTGATAGACTCTTTTCTCTGCTACTGCTGTAACATTTTGACCCCTGTTCAATATTAATGGGATACATGCATGAATAAGTCGGTGTGGGAGAATGTTGTGTTGTCCTCGCACGGCTGCCAACTGTGCGAACTGGACAATTTATAAACGTTGACTTTTGAATTACGGAACACATCATCCGCTAAAAATGGGAAAACAGTGTTCCACGGAAAAACAAAATGAGTTTCGGGAATAAACGGGTCATTAGTCCAATGGTGCGACCACTACGACATACCAGCGGCACAATAACATGGACCTGTCATAGCAAGGGGGGTGGCTGGCCAGTAGAAATGACCTACCGGCTGATAGGGCATACATGGAATAGTTCCAGGTTTGAGACTATCATATGATGAATAATACCTCACATGCATCGATGACTCGCAGGAGTTCACTGTTTCTCTATGCATGTAAGCGGGCCCAAAATGAGGGGCTGCTAGTAGTAACATAACTAGGGGTTCGGAAATACCCACAAGACTATCGCTATGAGGCCATCCCTGGAAACGGGATGATTGAAAAAGCAAAGACAGGAGACACCCCTTTTTGAAACCAACTATTTATTTTGGGATTGAGGTTCTCCATGACAGACGTCCAGGTTTAATTTGCCAGTCAATGAAGATGGTGCTGGGGCTGTGAATGACCTATAGTGCCCAAAACAGTCTTGTCTACAGTAGAGCCTCTTACATAGTATGGGATTTAACCACCAGTTATCCACCCTTGACAATGTATTACTCCTTTAAGTTAATTCTACATACTTCAATAGAATCAAACCAATAAGAATCGACTTTGTGGAGCAAATATGGACGAGCATCTGTGGAACAAGATCCTCGACCAACAGTTGTCCCGGAAGAAAAGAAAGAAGAAATATTCAAACTTGATCACAAGCCTTCAATTCTCCGATTTCGAAAACACCCTAGGCACCTTGCGTCGAAAATACAATTCCCCAAAAGTCGACACATGTTTGGATCGGGTTTCTTCCGTCCTGAACCATATCCAGTCGTTCCAGCAGGCCGTCAGCACGATTATTCAGGTGAATCCAGAAATTGCAGGAATGATATGGGGATGCCTTTCGGTAATTTTTGTGGTAAGATTGGATTCTAGAGAAATGCCGCAGAGTGGGATGAGACAACTGATCGTCCCGGTCCTGGTCGTACAGTGCGCATCCAAATATATCTCGCTGCTTAGTAAATCTTCAGCGATGATCCGTGATCTCACCTTGACCTTAGCTCGATTTGATAGATATCTGAAGCTTTTTCCAGACAACTCACAACTTCAGAAAGCTCTTGGTTCACTCTATGAAGCATACATAGGGTTTTGCATCCGGCTTGCCGTGTTCTTGAAACGCAGCCGAATCTGTAAGTCTTTCTACGTGCATAGATTCCATTGTTCCTCGTTGACATGACCAAGGGAACGTACTACTCGTGTCATTTTCCACACTGAATGAAGATTTCGAAGCAAGTAAGACCAGCATCGAGGAAAGCATCCATGCATTCGAAGCCGAATGTCAGGCCTCCGTCCATGAAGTAGCAGTTCAAGGAACACGCACTCTTCAAAACGCCCTTCCAAATCTTCACATCTCTGTCAAACTCCGTCTGCCTTTTGCCGATCTTCTATACCCAAGAAATCATCGATTCGTGGGCAGAGATGAGGAGCTCCATCTCATTGATTCATATCTTGGATCCCCTGGTGTACAGGAGTTGAGCTCATGCACTATCCATGGCATTGCAGGGGTTGGAAAGTCGCAGCTGGCTGTGGAATATACACACCGGTTTGCATCTAAATTTGATTACATCATGTGGCTGCCAGCCGAAGAAAAGACAAGTTTAGCAAGTGCTTTTAGTTCACTTCATGGCAAGCTGCATCTGGAAGAAGGAGTGGCGGATCAAAAGTCCATGATTCAGTCTGTTCGGAATTGGCTTTGTCAAAGTAAGTTCCCTGTCCACATGTAAGCAATTCCAATGCTAATATTATATTGTCGAAAGACCAGAATTGGCTTCTTGTATTCGACAATGCAGAAAACTGGAAGAGCATTGAACCATACTGGCCCCCGATGGCCAAGGGCTCCATTTTGATCACAACGCAGAATCCAGAACTGGCTCAAATCACCAAGAACCATAAAACGCTAGAGTCCCTATCCCCAGATGATGGCGCGAAGCTACTACTCAATCATCTTCAAGAAGGACCTGGTAGGGGGCATCCCAGCGATGCAAAGATCGCCTCGTCCATATCCGAAGAACTGGGTGGATTGCCCATGGCCATTGCACATTTGGCAGGATACATCGATCAATCACAGACGTCACTGGAGAGCTTTCAACGTCAGTTTCAACAGAAGCTGGAAGGATGCCATATATGGAACGCGGACGCAACAGTGACAACTTCCAATCATTCCTTGAAACTTGGAGCGCTATGGGATATTGCCTTTGCCAACCTGGATGACAGCAGTGTTGAGCTGTTGAATACACTGAGCTTTCTCAACCCAGACCGCATTCCGGAGGAGCTTTTGACGTGCCACTTGCAAGATGCATGTAGCATCAACGAGTTTGATCGAGCGGTGGCTAATCTTCGAAAGCGATGGTTGATCGATCGATATCCGCAAGGCCAATCGTCATATATCTCTATTCATCGATCTCTACAGAGAAATATCATCTATCGATTACTGCAGGACCCGGGTAAATATTCCATCGTGCTGAACCAGGTCACCCAGATTGTACGAGACGTCTTCCCACACAGAACTAAGCTGGAAGAGCCCGACCACTACAATTGGAGGATATACGAGCGGTACATAGGCCAGCTAACGAGACTTAAAGCTGTAGTTAAAGGCTATTCAACACTTAAAACCTGCCCTTTATCCTTTGCGGATCTCCTGTCTGATGCGGGGCATTACCTCTGGCACCGTGGTGATATTCAAGGCGCAATCGATATCCTCGAGACGGCAGATGAGATTTGTTGTCAGTTTGAAGAGGGTAAAGCTGCCTTTGTGCGTACCAGTGTCCTAGTTGCCCTACAAGCAGTCGAAAATGCAGTCGGATATTCGAAAAGAAAACAGGCACTCGAGCACAGCAAAGAGGTGGTTCGTCTGCGCGCAAAGTATCCGGGTTCTGATTTAACTCAAACCAAGATCTTACTGTCGAATGCCTATCACGATCTAGGCTGCACATATCTTGAAGCTGAAGAGTACGAATTGGCCAGCGATAGCCTGGCACAATCGTTATCAGTAAAGCGCGAGTATGGGAACGAGGAATCGATGCCTTTTGAATTTGCAACCGAATTTGAAGATTTGGCCTATGTCCGCCTAAGCCAGGGACAAACATTAGACGCCCTTCGCTTGATAGAACAGGCAGTCCGGATCGCCATGATGGACGAAGCAGCCAACCGACCCACTATCCTCCAGTTCATTTTTGACTGGGGCGTCATCTTGCTCAACTCGGGGCAATTCGAAGCAGCATTAGAAAAGGCCGAATACGCATACGAGGGACGGAGAGCAATCCTGGGGGAATATGCGGTGCATACCCTCAACGCAGAGTACTGGATTGCCAATGCACTGTACCACCTGGGGAGATTCGACGAAGCAGAGTAAGTGCTGTCATCACTGACGAATGCCATCAAATTAACAGTGTTAGGAAAATTCTTTCTTCCCTTCTGAACAAGGCTGAAAAATCTCAATGGTCAGCGGAAAATACAGCACGCGCTCAGTACCGTCTCGCTCAAGTTCTCGACAGAGTGGGAAATGAAGAGGGCGCGATGCTATACGAAGCCAATGCTTTGGACATATGTAAAAGGATTGGAAAATACAACAAGAGGTCAAGTACGTCTTCAGACTTGATGGAGACGTTAGATTCCATGGTGTCTATATATTTCGGGCGTTCGAGCGGAAAGTTGTGGGTTGGTTCTATTAAATGATTGGTTAATCCAGAAACGTTAAACAGGGAAATATAAATGATATACTAGAGATTTTACATGCAAACTGCAGTTTCCATGCACCTATTCTGCTGTTCCTAAAGAAATGAAGTTTGGTTATTGTTTTAACTTGTCTAAAAATATAATATATAATTCAAGTCTCAATCGATCGCAGTGACTGTTGTTATCTCATGCAAAATAGTTTGTCTTGATAGTTTTTTATGGTTGAGAGCAAATATTGTCCTAATAAAATAGTGGAGCTTACCATTATATTGACGTCCTTACATAGCAAGACTGACATTTGTATAGCTATATGCTTCCAATGTCCTTCATATAAAGAAGTACCAATGGTGGATAAAACTGTCTCCGTGCAATCAATAGCTCTTATAGATATCAGAGAAACTGTATATAGTTAAGTGTGAAGAAGCAGTCAGAACTTAATGGCTCGGGGAACTTTTAAAAGCCGATAGAAGACCGAATATTCTACTCCACAGGACGCCGTGTTTATCTCCACTCTTTGCGGGGTTTGCTGGACCCTTCAAGAAATTATCAAATCGCGAGTGGCAGACTGGTTGGAAATCCTTTCCAAACAGGGTGCTGATCTGCGTGCGCAGTGTGGCAGGGCAAGATGGACACAAGGCTGTGCCTGCGTTTTTGATCCCGAGGCTCCGCGCCCCGTTTTTGGCAGCCTTTCGCTCGCCCCCGCTTGGGGGAAATATCAATGATACACAGGAGCGTTTGAAGTGTCTCATCCATTTTTCTATATTTTATCTAATCTGTCTCGGTATAGTCGAGACAGGCATAATGACGACTCACCTTTCATACTCGCCACTGGGAAGCAGTCAGGGCGAGCTGAACGGGAATTCCAACAACCCCGACCAACACACTCCCAATTCGGCGATTCCAGAATCACAAAACGGTCATAATACTGTTGAACTGGAAACCCCAGAAATCAAAGCTAGTACGGACAAAGCAAAATTCGATTGGGGTGGTTCATGGATATGGGAAATCGGGGGTGGTGTATTAAGCGTGATATGCATCGCCCTCCTCATTGCGTTTCTCGCATACGTCCACGGTACTCCCTATGCAGACTGGCAGTATACAGCGTCGCCCAACACCGTGGTGTCCATTATTGTGACTATCGCAAAAGCCGCACTGCTCGCTCCTGTTTCCGCCTGTCTCAGCCAGCTGAAATGGAATCGATATCGCACTTCAGCTCCGCTCTACCACATGCAGGCCATTGACCAGGCCAGTCGTGGTACTATGGGCTCTTTGGAGGTACTGTGGAGGGCTATTTCAGGGTCCAGGATGGGCAATTTAACACTTTTCGGGGCATTGATAACAGTTGTGGCGCTTGCTATCGATCCGTTCGCACAGCAGATCCTGGCCTTCCCGTCGCGGACTGTGCCTGCTGAGAATGGAATTGTATCAGTCCAAAGGGCACAGGAATATGCTTCCATGGACGGACAATGGGCTGATAGCATGTATTATGGACTTCCGCCATCGATGTTGGTTTCCATCCTGAGTGGTTTGGCGCAAACAAATACCCCCCTAGAACCAAAATGCGGCTCGGGCAATTGCAAGTATCCCGAATTTGTCACCCTGGGAATTTGCAGCCAGTGCGAAGATGTCACCAGCCGGACAAATCAAACCTGCCAGCCCTTGGACGACTCGGCGTTCTTGAAACCGGACTCGTCGGTCTACAAAGAAATTCCAGTTAACTGCACGTATACATCCCCGAGTGGATTCATTCTCAATCTTTCCCTCGATGACGTGTCGAACGGGGGGTACAGCGGGGCAATAGAGACATTTGATCTCAACTACTGGTCCTCAATCACAAGAAATGGTTCAATGTTCGGCATTAATAGCCCGATTACATCTTTCATTGCGGCAAACTACTCACTGGAGATAACCTACGTACCGGAGAACACCACAGTCCCTCTTACAAAGCCCTCTCTGACAGAGTGCACTGTGTATTACTGCGAAAAGCAGTATCCACCGAGCATCTATCTGGCTACTGATCAAAAGGGCCATTCTTCGCATCCCTCCAATACCCAACAGCTCATCCCAAAGGACGCTCGTGCCAACGATAAAGATTATTCTTTAAAAGATGTCGTTCATCTTGGGCCACCAAATGCCACTGAGACTCTATCCCAGAATTCATCCTACAGCATCGATCATTACACCTTCACCTGTCTCAAGGATATGCTAGGGAATCTTTTGAACACCACCCTCTTTACCCCGGGCACTGATCCCACAAAAGACGGCCTCAATATGGCAACGATTCTACGCACTAGCAATCTGAGTCAATCCCTCACTTCCATGTCCAACAGCATCACGGATAATATCCGCGTCAACTCCAAAGCCACTACCGTTCCAGGAAATGCCTTTAGGTATGAGACATTCATTCATGTTCGGTGGCCGTGGATCATTCTTCCTATTTGTGCCGTCTTGGGGTCTATTCTCCTACTGCTCGGTACTGCACTGGCGAATAAGCGGCAGGACACTGTACTTTGGAAAAGTTCAATCCTGCCGCTAATGATAAGCCAGCTTGATACAAGGCCTGATCATGGGATTGCGTCGATACGCCACGTTGATGAGGTACAGGACATATCCAAGAAGATACATGTCACGCTGGAAGAGAACGGGGGGCCACTTGTGTTTACTGAAAAGTAGGCTTACACACTGCCCGTTTGAATTGCCGAGGGGTTAGGTTTGTAAATAGATGAACAATGTCACAGAGGAATTGATTTAGTCAATATAATATCCACACAGTTAGTAATCTCATTGATGAATATTCAATAGCATGGAATACTTTCTCTTAATCTCATCCTTTATCTGTCAGTGCAAGATGAATAGTTTTGTTGGCTAATCTTATCTCTTATCACAATGTCATATCGTTTGGACCTTCTGCCAAGCCCGATAACATGCTCGGGTTTTGATCCGGTTCTCCACGTGGATTGGAGATTTGGGGTAACTATACAGATAAGAGTGGAGTACGATAATGACAGCAGTTCGTATAGATTAAAGGGCTGACTATAAATGCCTCATTATCCTCTATAGATATCACCAGCAGGATAATTCCAATCAATCAACCATGGCTTTCAAGTCGGTACTCGTTTCTGCCCTGGCAACCCTGAGCTATGCCTCTCCTCTCCTCCACCTCCGAAGCAACAATGATACAACATTCGTCTTCACCAACTCCAATGGCCTCAATTTCACCCAAATGAACACCACCCTTCCTAATGTGACTATCTTCGCAACGGGAGGAACAATCGCCGGTTCTGGCTCGAGCTCGACTGCCACCACCGGGTATACAGCCGGCGCAGTGGGCGTGCTGAGCCTTATCGACGCCGTCCCTGGTATGCTTGACGTGGCCAACGTCGCTGGTGTTCAGGTCGCCAATGTAGGCAGTGAAGATGTCACTTCGGATATTCTCATCTCCATGTCGAAGAAGATCAATCGTCTTGTCTGTGATGATCCCACCATGGCCGGTGCGGTTGTTACTCATGGCACAGATACACTCGAAGAAACCGCCTTCTTCCTCGATGCAACCATCAACTGCGGCAAGCCTGTTATTATCGTCGGAGCCATGAGACCTTCCACTGCTATCTCTGCAGACGGACCATTCAACCTTCTCGAAGCTGTGACAGTGGCTTCCTCGCCTAAAGCCAAAAACCGTGGTGCCATGGTTGTCATGAATGACCGTATCGCTTCAGCATACTATGTCACCAAGACCAACGCCAACACCATGGATACCTTCAAAGCCATTGAGATGGGATACCTTGGCGAGATGATCTCTAATACGCCTTTCTTCTTTTATCCTCCTGTGAAGCCTACCGGCAAGGTGCCGTTTGATATCAGCAATGTCACCGAGATTCCGCGCGTGGATATCCTTTTCTCATATGAGGATATGCACAATGACACCCTGTACAATGCTGTCGACAGCGGTGCCAAGGGTATTGTGGTAAGTTCTTCCCCTTCTAAATTATATCTTACTTGATCAGGATGCTTACCAAGAACGTCAGATCGCTGGAGCCGGCGCAGGAGGTGTGACAACCTCATTCAACTACGCCATCGAAGACGTTATCAATCGTTTCGACATCCCCATCGTGCAGAGCATGCGGACTGTCAGTGGTGAAGTGCCCCTCTCTGATGTTAGCAGTGACACTGCCACGCGCATCGCGAGTGGGTATCTGAATCCGCAGAAGTCGAGGATTCTGCTCGGACTGCTGCTGGCCAAGGGAAGGAATGTTACCCAGATTGCGGATGTTTTTGCCCTGGGGACTAATGCTTAGATGGCGTGGATGGCCTCAAGGTGGTTATGTATTTATGAGAGTATACAATAAGTTAATTATCAGAAGTATTTAATACTATATAGTTTAGTGTGTATAAGTGTAAGCCATAGTATCTAGTCTAACTTTTGGGGTCATTAATTACTATCCTGATAAATTATGCAGGTCTTCAAGGAGAATTGATACCATTAATTACTATACTTAAGCGTAGCTAAACTATTACCAGAGATCCTTTTTGCTGTCGGTTAATGGTCAGAAACCTTATTGATTTGAGACAAATTACCCTTTCTTCCTAAGCAAGGAAGCTATGGAGGCTCTTCGGAAGTGCCTTTGGCTGCCGCTGCTATCTGTTTCCTCCGAGCTGAAGACGTTCGTTTGGTTTGGTTGCTCTGATACTGTGTCCTCCGAAGGCACTGCTTTAGTGGTAACATCCATGTCCTCTCTGTTACCAGCAGTTTGAAGCTTTAAGCTGTTATATCCAAGCCCCCCGTCCTGATATTCTTTCTCTAACTTGGCCTCTTCAACCTTGAGAGATCTGGTCTTTGTGGTTGGGAGACTGCCAATCGCTTTCGAAGACGGCATTCCTAATAATATATCTGACCAGTCCCTTTGTCCAATAAACTTGCCATGGTTCTTTTTCTTATGAAACATCTGATCACTGCAATCAGACTGTCGACAGATGCCTGGAAAGGAAATATGGAGGTGGTTGCGAAGCCCATGGCCGAGTTCACCAACATGGCACTTGGTATTGCGTCAGACAAAACGCCAAAATCTATGATATCCTCATTAGGATACAAAAAAGCAAACCTGTAATTGAAATTGGAACCGAAAAAGCTGGTCCTGTTTTTCGGTATCATTTGCAGCCTTAAGATCTTCTTGCGGCACTCTTCGACTGACAGTTATATTTCGTGTAACGCTTTGCAGATGATCTGGTGACAGCTGGTTTACTTTACACTGTAAACCCCGCCAGTACCACTCATGAGCAAAATATTGGTTATTTTTTCCTGTCTCTCATGTTCAAAATTTTCCTTAGATAATAATAACAATAGATATCTATATCACGTACGTTGCTCGCTCACTGTCAAGCTCCAAGTTCTAAGTTTCTGTTCAACCGTGCAAGTTGAGCCTCTTGTCCAGTGGACACGAATAGAGCCTCCTTGGCCTTTGTCTGAAGCCTCCAGGCTCCCCTGTACTTCGGTGGCTTTGCTGCTTCCATCAGTCACGGTGAATGCCCCACTAGGATCAGATTCAGGCTCTGCCACATAATTCATGTCGTCGGCGTAGATAAACTGAAGCACTATGGAGTAAAAGAAAAGTGGATTGGTGAATTTGGACTTTCTATAGGAAATGATATTAGCCATGCCTTTGTTGGTCTGATCTTATGTGCTTACTGGGTAGACTGAAAGTTGTAAATGCTTGTTTGTAAATTAAACCTTATGGTTATATTATAATCAAGCCCTGAATTATCATTGTTCGGCAAAAGCTCGACTGAAATTGTTGGATGAAGAATAGAAAACGTTGCAATGGCCTGGCCCCTTTTATTCTTAATTATTTCGGGCATTTGGGAAGGAATGTCGAAAAACCTGACTCGATCGAATTGTTCATGGTCCATGATCAATCAAATTAAATTGTGTATATAGCTTGGATATGTTTGTTATCAAAATGCTCGTTGCTTTAGTTGTCCCTGCTCGCGCGCAGATGATGGCCCGAGATTATAAGCAGGAGTAACCAGAGGGGTTATTTATAATATTATGGTTATTATCAAGTATAGAACATGGGCTTTTCCCTACCACAGGTAGTGTTGCGCTGCAAAATCATCTGAGAAATGAGAGAATAATGACATAACTCATCTTCATTATTTTTCCTTTGGCAAGAGTTGGGATCTGGAGGTTGGACCATCAAAGAAGATCCAGTGCCACACAGCATAAAATGTTCCCCAATTTCGTGCGTGATTCATGGCCATATATCAGTCTAACGTTTTGGAAACTTTTGGTGACCTGTGGTTCCCAAGTAAAAGTTGGTGCATTTGGCAATCTAAAATTTCTGGGTTTTAACGCTACCTCGTCTACCATTCACAACAACAAAAGTGATGTCAGAATAAGGACCTTTTCGCAATTTTCGATCGGCCTCGACCTAAAGACCAATATCAGATTACCATCAGCCTAAACAGCCCCTTTAGACATATAAAGGGTTCAGAGAAAGATAGAAGCATCTAGACTCTGTTAGACAGTCATACATTTGTCATGAGGTTACCAGGAATATGGTCTTAGTTGAGGGGTATTGGAAATTAAAAAGGCCTAAGGGCTGCTGGATCATAAATAAAGGCGCTTGATTTTTTCCGTGTAGCCCCTAACAACCAAACTCGTACTCTGTGTCTAGTCTGAACATCAGATAGCCTGAAATCATGTTTTTCCAATCGAGCTCAAAGGATAATCGGGGTCGCAGAGGCTCTCAGCCTTTTACCCATAGTGGGCTAAACCCTGATGATGATACTGGTTCAGAAGCAGGTAAAAGATAGTTTTCGGTATAATACCACAATAATGTTTTCTTCACTAATAAGACATAGGAAATGATTCGCAACATCTACTCGAATATGAAGTTCAAGACCTGGATGGTACATGGAAAGCTGGAGGGACCACTTTGGATGAGAACATCAAGAATAAAAAGAATTCCAAGACTACTGGAATGCGTTCGACTGGTGAAAATAATAAAACATTTGAAGATTAATACTGTGAAGTGAAAATATCATTAACTCTAGGTACTGTTCAAGGCGTACAGGCGTAAAAAAAGACTTCAAAGGCGATATTTAATAAATTCGCTATGCTGTTTGTTGGGGCGGCGGGCTGTCGCTCCCAACTACAGAACCTTGGTGTGGATTGCTTATAATTATTATAATTATTATTTGAACCTTACTATGAAACACACCCACCCTATACTATATACTCTATAGAGTATATAGGCTCTTCTGTAACTAAGTAATTAGTCTATATATATTAATATAAATAAGACCCTATGTTTGTAATCACCACGCTTTCCTATAAACCCTACCAGCAGCAGCAGCAGTAGTAGTAGTAGTAGTAGACCTTTTATTCCTGTTGTAGCTAACTTTAAATACACGTCGCTATGCAGGATTGCCCAGAGCGCCGCTCCGAAGCAGGTGAAATACAGCGCCAGCGCTGCGAGAGGGAGGTTCTCCCAGGTTCTCGGCCGTCTAATTCCGAAACTCCAGGCCAGAGACAACCCCACATACTGGGTATATGGTATCATGGCTATACCCAGGTGAGAGCCCTTATTCTCAGGACTAACATAGATTTGTAGATAAATATGTTACGCTATTACTTTGCATTAGTATAGCATAGAGTAGACAAGAAAGACACGGCCCATGCTGTTATGAATAGAATAGTCAACAGCTTTACACGTTATTTTGCATACATGTACAAATGCACGGCATGAAACCGCATATTATTGTCAAAAAGTAAGCACTAATTACTGGCGCGTTTAAGCGGGGTCGCTCAAATTCCAGCCACCCCATTTCATCCCATCTCAACAATTGCGTTTCTCTTCAACCAACTATTGTCCAACGTCTGAAATGTCCACCAATGACGAGGACCAGCTAAGCGACGCAATTATCAACGAGTTCACTGCCGCCGGCTACACCACCGACCAGATCGAAACCATCCTCGACCGACAACACTCGCTTAAACACGAACCCGAGGGACCAACGTGGATTAAAGTCCATCGAAAGTATCTGCTGCCGGATACGTTGATGGCATACCGACTCCCCTGGGATTGGGACGAGGTATGCGCTTCCCCGGCCTCTTGGAGAACTGATAGCAATTAAAGCCACGAAACTAGCACGATAGCAACTTTATAATGATCAAGGAATGGGTCAGCGAAGATCTCCAGGAGGAGCTGTTTGCGCATACGCGGCGCCTACGGGAAGGAAAGGAGGACGACGACCTAAAAGGTCTTAAAGAGCTAAAGGTGAACGATCGGAACAAGGATAAAATGTATCTTGTGAGAAAGAAGGAGCCGGGTCGAAAACATTGGATCTTTACTTAATATGATTAATATTAACATGGCATCTGCTGTTATGAATTCGAGGTACGAGATACCGTAGATTACCCCTCTGTCAGCCTGATCGGGCAGCCAATCAGAGCAAGTGGGGGCTGGGAGAGGCTGACACGCAAAAAAAACCATCTTTTCAACCCTCCATCTAATGGTGAGATTGGAATAATAATATCATTGAATTGATCACGTAGCGATGGAATTATTCGACAGGATTCGCAGATCGCTGGAGAACAAAGCAGCGGATGAGTTAATGCTGCCTCAAGCCAATCCACGCAAGACAACAAACCCAGCCTTGCATCCAACCCTCTTCTCAATTGAAGCCACAGCACAGGACGAGTCTCGTTCTGATGAGGAGCATGTTCTCTTGGGAATTAGAAATATCAATTGGGCGAGTCAAATCCAGGAACCTGAACAGCTACGATGGATGTAAGACCCCTTCTAAGAAATTGCATATCACCACTGACAGCCACAAGGCATCTTTCCAATGGGGAGATCGAATTCGATACTTTTGTCGTATGCCCCTCTTGCTTATATTGTAACATTCAGCACTGAAGACTTCAGGGGCGCGCCTTGGACGCATACGGACTCGACAAGCAGGGAAAGGCCGTCGTGATCTCACGCTTCTTCAACCGCTTTTTGTCAACCCTGGAAATGCCAGCCTTCCAAGGCAAAAAGCTGCGGGCCGACCAAGCCTCGACGGACGTGCAACTCCCAGGCCACTCGGAAGAAACAAAATTTAATTTCATGGCCATTCCATACTTCCTCCTGGATAAGGCACGTCAAAGAACCGAAGACCATCGCTCCAAAGTGCACTGGGTTCAGCCGTTGGTCCAGTCGGCCTACCATCTCGACTCCTCCACGGCCAGGGAGAACCAGCAAGCAATCCGACGCTTACACGGCAACATTAGTGAGGTGATCCATGTTCCTCGGCTTTGGCTGCTGAGTATAGGCGATAGTATTTCTTCCGTCCTGCGTTTGTTGGCATGGAGTAACAAAGGCCAGAATTCATCGCGACATGCTCCCCTACTCCTATTTATGACATTGAAGGATCGTCCATCACCACTAGCAACATTGGACGGAACCCTTTTCCACCTACAATCAGAGTTACCATGAGCTCGGGGTTCGTTTTCTGTCTTGAGCGTGATAAATGCAGTGTGTGGTTTGTAAGTCTCACATGCCTTTTCTAATTCGAATCCACAGCGGTAGCTAACGACACAGCAATTCTTATACCATTTAAAATGCACAGCAATGGTATCTGTAGGAGAGTACGAGAACATGGACGTGGGGAACTATGAATATAGACTCCAGAAAGACGGTAGCCTCATCGAAGGGCGGAACTGGCAGTCGATCTTGCAGTCTAACTCCAGCCATGAGCCGCTGTTTATCCTGGCCTCTCCGGGGCAAACTGAATCAGTTAACAGATCACTCTCTACTATTCCCCTTGAGGGAAAATATTCTATCGAGGCATCGACGACCGATGATAAAGGGTATCCGAGAGCAAGTACGGACGTTCTCAGTCCGGAAACACTGGATGCGTACAACATACCTTACTATTGGGACTTTCCCAAGGCTGGAGTAAGTCATACTCTATAATGTCCAAGTTACCTATTCATCCTTGGCGCTTTTTTTTAGGCACAAAAGAAACTCATCGTCGCGCAACACCTATCTAAGCTCGACCGAAAGGTTCTCTACGATCATACCAGGCGATTACGAGCTATGGAGCATACTAACTCTACTGATTATTACACATCGAACAGCGAAGATCCATATTATTGGACCCCGAAATACGTGATGGATGCAGCAAAGTCGCAGTTGGCAAAGGCTGTTCGAGAGGACGATTCACATCGGGGAGAAGATAAGGCAGGAATTGAAAGCCAGGCTATCTTCAAGTGGCCCTTTAAAATCCTCTACGATGCGCCTGACGGTACATACAAGCAAGATGAGCATAGCATATCGTCAGATGACCCTACTCCTTCACAGCGGATGAAAGCTTTGGTAGCTCACATCCATCATGAAATATTATTCAGCAACGGCCTGCGCTCTGTGAAGAGCTATAACAACCTACCCCTGAAGACAAGAGCGGATTTAAACGAACACCTCGCCAACTTAAGAGATAGTCACCATGCTTATCGTCACATCCTCACCCTCGCTTCATCCTTTGTGTCGACCGTCAGTGACTTTCTCGATTGTTATATTGACAAGGAATATGATTGTATTATCAAGGGAAAGGTGTGGGCAGCTCTCATTCCAGTGATTGAGGTATGCCTCCTGTTCTACCTCATGGGAACATCGCTGAGAAGCTATGCAGACATTTCTATTCCCTTCCTCCGATGATTTGTTCTCCTTCCACTGTGAAGTCATTTCCATCCCACTTCGCAAGTTTATCGATCAAATCCAGGACTTGCGGGATGGACTGTCCGGTACAGATCGCATCTACATTACATCTTCCATGGTGAAGGCATTTGTCCAGGTCGTGCTCCTTCTCGCGGATGCAGCTTCTGAGGCCTCCCGGCTTATGAAAAAAATCGATAGTGATAGCAAAAGGGATAGTCAGGACGCATCGACATCGACACAACCGGATATCCAGTCTAGTGAGACTCAGAACGCAGAAAAAGAAACAGACAATACTGCCCCATTAGACGCAGAAGCTCCCACCAAGCAAACCGAGTTCACAAATAACACAAACCGCCATATCGAGAAGATATTTACATATCTTGACCAAGCTCAAGACGAATGCTGCGCAACGTATCGCTCCGAAGACAATGCCGAGTCTACCTATAGTGGGGTAGACCGTGGGAGGATCATTGCTCTCATTATAGATTCTGTCTTGTGTGGGCATTCGACCTGCGCCTCACTGCCTGAATTGGACATTGTAGAAATCTATGCAACATACACAACCTACTTGGTAAGTGTACCTGTCCGCTCATGATGGACGCAAGCTGACAGCGGTCATGATAGCAACTCCAAGCCCGAAGCAGACCCAGCAAGGCTCTCCTGATGGACATGAACCTGCTTCGAGAAGAACTAGAGATCATCACCAATAATGTCGGTCAACAACTCGATTTAATCAGTGCCCTATGCGATCCTGACTCAGATGGCTACTTTGATGGTTCAGAGAGCGATTTTGGTCAAAGTGAAAGTCCTATACCCTTCGAGATGCTGTATTCCTCCACCTCCGAAGGCCATGCAGTGATCAACACATCCACCCGGAGGGTCTTGCAGAAGATAAAAACGGACTTACGGGAGAGGAAGGATGTAGCCGACGAGCTTATCAGTCGTGTTGAGCGTTTAGAGAAACAGGTATGCTTCCCTTGAACCGTTACATGTTAATCCAACTCACAAAACAATCAGACTGTCCAACGCGTCGACATTATCGAGGAAGACCACGGCAAAGCTATCCTTATTTTCACCATCATCTCGACAATCTTCCTCCCGCTCTCCTTCGTGACGAGCTATCTGGGCATGAATACATCCGATATCCGTGATATGGAACCGAGTCAGGCGCTGTTCTGGGAAGTCGCCACTCCCTTTACGGTGGTGGTCGTGTCTGTTGTCCTTGTGGTGGCGTACAATGCTAATAGTATCCTTGGGTGGATTCCGCGGGGTCCGGCTTTCTCATAATAGCGTTCTCTGACTTTCTATATATCAAAAGGGCTGGTTGATTGTGTATACCCTACCATTTACTCTTCGGATAGTCCGTCTGAATTCATATTGTCGGAGGTAGTCTATATGGATAAGATGATTTATTATAGAATAAGAGAAATGAAATATTATAAACGGAGACTATACTATGCGATCATTCCACAAAGTAAACATATTGAATAAGATCATATCAACTCAAGCAAAAGGATTCCAGCCCGCCTCAACCAGGTCAACCGAACGCTTTGTCGCCAGATCCAAATCATCTTTCGCCAAACCAATAACATCATTAGCAAGTCCCCTAGTTGACTCAAAGTCACCCCCTCCGCCAGGGAAGAAAGCACGAGTATACATGGCTTTGACAAACCCAGTCCTAACACCGTTCTTCATCTCCTCCAGGCCCTCGCTGTATCTCTCCTTGCTGGGTTGGTAGGAAATAGTCCAGTCAGCATCAGTGGTGCCAATGACGCGGTGGAGACTGTCGAACATATCTCACTGGCTGACAGTAAAGCTGTTAATATACAATGGCTTGTTCTTCCACTGTGACACAGAAGGCTCTGCACCACTCTCAGGCAGACTCAGCAAAGCAGCAATAGCTCGTCCACATTGACCGAAAGTACTCGTCGTGATTTTCGTATTTCCATCATCGATAAATGTAACCGTCCTGTTCTTAATATCGAATCCAAACCACTGCTCCCCAATCGCCAAACTCCATTCATACCAGAACCCGCATGCCATGGCGATATAAGCCGTGTTACCCTGTTTCTCAACCTCCAAGCAGCGCTCATAAGCACCACCGCTATAGAGATCTTCTTTACGCATGGACTCGTTCATGATATCAGACCCGTAGACATTGGGCATGATATACGGTACTCCGGCCTCGGAGGCTGCCTTGACGATCTTGCCGTGTGTGTCTGGGGGTGTGGTAATAGATAGTGTGATGATGAGGAACTCCTGGCCCTTGAGGGCTGAGACAAGGGAGTCGCTATTGTCATAGTCTACCTCGACACGTTTGACACCCTCGGGGACCGGGCTGGTGCCGCCAACGCGTGTGAGGGCCGTAACGGTGTGCTTGCCAGTCTTGAGAAGTTCTTCTGTGAAGTGTTTGCCAACATTCCCGCCAGCCTAGTTATGTTAGTCGTGGTAGAGCATAACGTGGATAGACTTACGCCAACAATGGCCACGTTCTTGATATAGGTCTGAGCCATGATGTTCAAGATTTCAGAGGAATAATAGAAGAACTATTGATGTGATCTCGTTGTAATGATTGAATAAAATGATACTTCATAGCCAGAACAGAACAACACTGGAGAGGCATTATATAGTCCTGTAAGACGGACAAACATAACCATCCGAATCTCGGACTTCGGGGTCAGACGGAGATAAGCAGGAAATAAGAGACGGACGAAGCGGACAAAGCCACTACGCCACCCATTATATCATATGTGTCTGCTTTACCATAAAGAAGACCTGGTGACGTTTGGCCCGGGAGGTTATGATGCTGCTCTACCAATGAGAGAAATGGGTGATCCTCTTACACCCTTCCCAGGTCAAAATATATAACGGCTCCTGGGCAGGAATGAGTATGAGTGCAGATTCTAAGGACAAGTCAACTATATAATTTACTTGAGCTGGCGATAATGAAATGTCTCAATAACATCTCGTATAACATGTTTACTACAGAACAAGGTGGATTAACCAAAGATATCCTACTTCCATGCCCTACCTTCTGCATTGGGAAATATTATCTCATAGATCACGTGCAGCTGGAGTTGATCTAAAACATAGCCAATCGTACGACATATGTTCTTTTTATTTTTTATTTGAACAAGGTCATTGTGCAGAGGTGTCCTGCAAAAATATAGAATGACGACTTGCCAGATAGTCAAACCTCTACTTCCGTGAATCGCCCTAAAACTCATATGCTAATGTAGACATCATCGGATCTTTTGATAGCCGGCGGAGCTTGCAAGATCCCGATCCATCCCCACTTTTTGAATCTGATCTGAAGAAATTCAATTTCTCAACGACCACATCAATGAAGTCGAGGAATGCGAAATCCCTGACGCTGAATAGCTACATCGATACCTCATTTCTGGTCTAAAAGCACGAAATGGCCATCTGAGGAATGAACAGACGCGGGTGCTCTGGCGCATGTCATAGGGCAGAGAAATCACAGGATTAAGTGACTAGTTTAGATGATATGTGGACCTTGTCGCACTACTACATGGACAGCTGAAAAGAGCCCACATTGAAAAGCGACAGGCGGCGTCGGATATTCGTCGAAGAGCTGAAACATTCAGCGACGAGGGGTTCCAGCTGGATACGTGATCAAGACCAGTACCGAGTTCGAGATGGAAAGTATGGATGTATACAGGTGTAGTGCTAAAGCGGAATCCGGGACTGACGGGATGATGCAAGCGGACAGCTGGATATGATTCAGTGTCGAAGAAGATTCAGGCAGGTAATGATGAATACTTAATCTATATCTATATCTGTCTAATCTATGTAAATAGTGATGTGCATCTGATGGCGGGCCTGACTGTTAAGAATCAGCTGTGATGGGATCTCCTGTGCTATTTACCCGACAAAACCCCATTAGATGGTGGAGCACACAACGATATCTGACCCTATTCTAACCACAAACACCTTAGCAACCACGGCACTTGACTGGCTAAACCGAATGGAAATTAAACTGCCCCACCAGGCACTATATGCCACGTGCGCTGCCCTCGGGGCACCTGCCCAAAGCGGCCAGAAACGGAGATCATCTATCTGGAACAGCCAGCCTGCAGCCAACAAGCTTGTCGTGCCTCAGCCAATATCCATCACGCAAATAATCGAGATCCGTGCTGTTTTCGAATGCAGATTAGGTTTGGCCGCGTTGATCCACGATTTGCCGTTGCGCCGGAGTGGCCGGACCATTTGCAAGCTGTGGCTTAGTCGGGTTTCACTTTCAGTATTTGGCCAGCATAGCCGATGCTCAGAAATGAAGATATTTCAGGGTCCCCTGGGGGCTATTTCTTTCGTCTTTTCAACGGTCTTTTCAACGGTTTGGGGGGTTCTCTCGCTTTCAATCATCGTTGAAAATGCGTATATCCAAGTTGTTATTGTTTTCGGGGGTGCTGAGTGTACAGGCAGCAGCCCTGAATACAACATTTCCTTCTTGTGCTGTATGTTAGTTGCACTCTGCGGCTTGATCCTGCCACTAATGTTTCATACAGGTCGCTTGCAACGAGGATGTTTTGGCCAGCTGCTCACTGAGTCGTGCAGAGTGTTTCTGCAACGACCATTCCATCAACCCATCTCTACTCAGCTGTGTCTCGAGTAACTGTACCACAAAAGAGCTTTTCAGTAAGAGCCCCTATAATACGGATGAGGACTGTCTAACCGGGCAGCATCAAAACGAATCTATGAGCAAGAATGCAGCATCACACCCCTCCAAGGCCCCAGCGAAGCCCAGGCCTCCACGATAATACCTTTCATCCTCGCTTCGATATTCTTCGTCATCCGAATGCTTGCAAAGGGGTACGGACTGGCTGGAGGCTGGGGATGGGATGATTACACCATCATCGTCTCCTATATCATGGGCCTGGCCATCTTTGTCGTCAACATCTACTGTACGTCGAGCAACCCATACCCAAACACCCTACTAACAACACAGTGATCCGCTTCGGATTTGGCCGCAACATCTGGGACATCGACTTCGACACCATCACCAAGTTCTACAAATACTTCCAAGCCATTGCTGCAATGTACAAGATCCAAATCTCCCTCGCCAAGATCTCCGTCTGCCTCTTCCTTCTTCGAATCTTTCAAACGCCCGCTTTTCGCACCGCCGCGTACTCGCTCATCAGTATCAATGCCGCGATCGGGATAACGTGGGCTTTGGTGGACTCGCTACGATGCCTCCCGGCGCATTTAACATGGGATGGATGGACGAATGAGGAGCAGGGGAAATGCATCAACTTTATCATATCGATTTTGATCAACTGTCTGGTAAATATCTTTGTTGATACGGCGTTGATCATCATGCCGGTTTACGAAGTGAGCAAGCTGCAACTGCGTCCTGCAAAAAAAGTGTCGGTCGTTGTCATGTTTGCCGTTGGCTCTGTGTATGTCTCGTTGATCTTCACCTATACTACCCTACTAACAATATACAGCCTCACAGTTATCGCCATCATCCGCCTCATCGTCTTCTGGAACAACCGCTGGGGCCAGAACCAAACCCTCGGCCTATACCCTCTCATCCACTGGTCCGTCATCGAATGCCAGGTAGCAGTCATGTGCGCGTGTCTCCCTGCCTCGCGCGCTCTATTCGAGTTCTTCTTCCCCGGCTTACTAGCTGGATCGTCACGACGCACGACAAACGGGACTGGAGCTGGTCCGACAACATGGTCGAATGCGAATAACATCAATTTTAACATAGGTGGTAACAGCCAGATCTCGAAGCAGGTTAGTTACTCGGTGAATTATACGTCGAGGTCGCAGCGGGATGGATCGAATAGTTCCATCGAGTTGGTGGAGAGGAATTATCGGTGTGATTATCCAGCTCATTAGCATAAAAAGAATAACATAATTTTCATCATTCAAATAATAGGGGCGTCACATGCACTCGACAATAATGACAAAAGTACGACATGCAGAGATAAGATGGTGAAACGCATTGTCTTCCTTTGATCCGGGTGTAGATCTTCTAATAAATGTTTCACTTTCATCTAAGCAGCACTCCAACAGCAAGTGTCCCCGAAGTGTCCCCGAAACGGTGGTTATTGCATGTGATTTATTTAGGTCATCAATTGGGTTATAATATGTGTGTTATAGATGCCAGCTTTAAATGATGGCATGTAAACCCCGATGCTAAATATATATTCAGGTGGCCTGTGAGTACTATCTGAACTAACTCCGCGGACCCGTTTAACGGCCCACAATACTAGTTAAACAATAGTATGATCCTGATTGATCTAATGAGGCATTATAGACTATTTGCCCGGACATTCCATTATTGACAAGGCTCTTATATCATAAGTAACAAGCTTTTTTCATCTATTGAATTTGGCGGATAAACTGATCTACAAAAATAGACTGCCCTTGTCAGCAGGTGGAATGCGAGATTAGTCTGCTGGCAAAAGACTGTTATCATACTGTAGAACTTTCATCCTCTAGATTAATTTATTGAAGACTGGCCTTCTAAATGATTTCGACTAATTGTACATTAAGGTAAATGTAAATCGCCTTTTCCAAACTGAACTGACCAATCATAGATGCCGTCCAATACAGCTTCTCGACCGGAAGATTCCACAATAGAGCGGCATAACAGACCACGTTCCGCAAGACTCACACCCTAGTTAGCGAGATTAGTCTGGAAGAACTGGGTGATTCTGCCGAATGGGATAAGTTCCACGCGGTCATACAGGTCAACATGACCAGCACCAGGCACCCAGAACAGCTCCTTTGGCTCAGCTGCACGCGAGTAGGCATCTTCGCTAAACTCACGCGAATGTGCCTGGTCGCCCGAGATGAAGAGGATAGGTCGCGGCGAAATTGACTCGATGTCGTTGAAGGGGTAGAAGTTCATGAACTTGACGCTACTCGACAGCGTTGGGTGAGTTGTGAGATTCGGCGACGAGCCAGCAGGCGTGAACTCGCCACGGGACGTGCGGTAGAAGTCGTAAAACTCGCGGTCTACTGCGCTCGAGTTTGCTGTGAGCTGGTTTGGGGTGCCGCCGGTATACTGGACCTCGCCGCCGTTGATCTCAGTCCAGCGCTGCTGCGCCGCACTGGCGATAATCTCCTTGCGCTGATCGAGGCTTTGCGAATGACGCAGTCCGTTGCGGCTGACAGCGCCCATGTCGTACATGCTTGCCGTCGCGATGGCCCTGATACGAGGGTCAATCTTGGCCGCGCTGATCACATAACCACCGCTGGCACAGATGCCGAGGACACCGATCCGTTCGCGGTCGACCAAGTCCTGTGTGCCGAGATAGTCGACTGCCGCGCTGTATGCCTCTGCGTAGAGGTCGGGCGATACTGCGTTGCGCGGCTCACCGTCGCTGCCGCCCCAGAAGGAGAGGTCGAGGGAGACCGTGATGAAGCCCTGTTCGGCCAACTTTGTGGCGTAGAGGTTTGCGGCCTCCTCTTTCACTGCTCCCATGGGGTGGCCGACGATGATGGCCGGGACATCGGTGCTGTCAGTCATGTCGTCGGGGACGAAGAGGTTGCCGGTGATCGTCATGCGATACTGGTTGTTGAAGGTGATGGGGTGAAGGGTGACATTGTCGCTGCGGTAGAAATTGTCGGCTCCGTACGACATGTTCTGTGCCATAGCTGACATGGCATGGATGGATGCCATGATGCTAAAGGTGGCAATGTTGCTTGTCAACTTCATGATGATGTTGTGGTATTATTCAGGTGAGTAATAGAGATGAACGAAAGTTGAGAATGGAATAGATGCTTCTATCTAGGTGGCATATGATCGTTCTTATACTTTTATCGGCAGCGACAAGAAGTGGCATTAAGGTCAGCACCGGAAATTAGCGTCATTGTCTCCGTTGGATATACCGTGTTACTAATACTTGTTTCTGCAGAGTTGTCATCATGCCAAGATATCCAAGCAGGAAATTCATCTGCCTAGAAGAATGAATACTCGTAAATAGTCCAAACCCAAGCCTTGGCCCTGATCGGCCTGGTGGCTATCGGCCATCTGATAGGCTGTCCAGGTTAAGGTAGTGGGGCCTGCTGCGAGTTGCTTACATGTGGGTCTGGATGCACATCATCTGGACCAAGAATTGGGATGATCTCCGACTGTCAGGTAACTCGTGTCTTCTCATAACTGCAACTGGCTTACGCACTACTGCGACTAGCCGGGTCTTCATGGCGGAACTGCCTCATACTGCACTACAGCCACAAATCAGAATGCCACAGGATAAGGTTCACCTATATGATGCTATTTCGGTAATATTTACTTCTAGATAAACACCCGACGGGCCGATTGTCCATGCTAATGAGATCATGATTCCTGCACATTTAATCCTTCTTCTAGGCTTCTAGGGACTCTGTTTCCGCAGATATACAGTCCGAATGTGATTATAAAATATATACACCTCGTGAGAAATCAATATTCGAGCTGTTAGAAATAATGAATATCATTCTCTTCCAATGATTAAACAATGTTATATGACTCTATGTAATCGTCCCGAGTTGCGTGGCCAAAATGAAGAATTCCCCACTCCTTGAAATCTATCCAACACGGCCCTAATAATCGAAACAGCCCTCTTAGTGTTGGATACAGATGATTATGAAAGGTTTGATTCACAGTCGGATCAACGGCAACTGCTCGTAGGACAGCCCCAGTAGCACCATAGTCACCAGAGCTGAGAACATGAATGAAATCACTTGGCTGGGTAGTCTCTGGGCCCACCCACATCGTCCATGACTCCATGATATAAGCCACGATAAACCGGTGATGCTGCATCATGCCGTTGACTTCTTGTACGAAGGGTGTTTGTCATCCAACAGTACCGGACACCATAATAGGATTAGTAACATTTCTCTTCTCTTAGTAGGCGACTGGAACCCTGGAGCCAGGGAGAATGTAACCAGTAACAGGTCAATCAGAGCTCTGATGCTTCGCCTCGGCTCCACCAAATAGTCTTTGGACTCATGTTCGAAAGCCTGCTCATTCACCTGACACATTCAATCCCTCTTCAAGATTCTGGCTCCATACAGTGACTGGTCTATAGGCCATAGATTGGAGACGCACTTTATTGGGCTGATATGGTTGCGATTCCATGGGACTTGGATCCCATAATGCCCTTCCTCCAGGATGGAGTATTTATTTGGGTTGAGCCATTTGAATCTGCACCCTGGGTTTGAAGTCTTTGGTACCATGTTATTAGAGGGATTTTGAATATCAAGTCTTGAGTGGGGCCAGTTAGGAACCCAGAACGGCAGACTGTGGTCCAGGTCCGAAAGACTTCCAAATCCATGAACCTGATTGAAAAGGTTTATCATTTGGTGACCTTCAATGGCAATTTCCAGGAAGTTATCGAGATGTTCCACGATCATGCAAGCACCGCGCATGAGGACAGTGACTGCAGCTAACTGATATGTGTGCGTCCAGTGTTGGCTATAATCGACTTCGGGGAGGACATGCATATCGCGATTGCGATTGCATACCAAGCCATATAAGGAAAACAGCCGGTCCCTGAGATCTAAACATTCGGCACGGTGGAAGTCCCAGAGCAGTTCAAAGAGGGGTCTTGGGGGTTGTCGGATGGTTCTAACCAAGTTGACTGCGTTCCTGACAGTGCTGCTAAGTGTCCCATCTCCGACGGATGGGTCCACGAGTACGTTGACTCCTCGAATGAAGAATAGCTATTTGACCTTATGAAGACCCCATTGGACTGTGACTCTATTGCTCAGTCCGGCCTCCTGAATCACCCATCGTCGCGTGAAGCAACTCAAATTCAGCATCCCCTTTACCAGCTCCAGACCTTTATCGTGGATATAAAGTTGTGGAATCACTGTGATGCCAGAGCGACGATTTTCTTCAACACCAGAACCCTGATCGTCCGCGTCGTTGAGCACCCTAAACGCACCTGAGTCATCAAAATCCACCACACCCAGCCAAACATGGACTGTCATAGCCTCCCGATAAATTTCGGCTTGAACGGCCTTCTCCTCGTTCTTTTGGTTGATGCGGATGGCATCGATCCACAAAGAGCGTACACGTCTGCTTTTTCGTAGATAACGAAGCACCGTGTCGACAGATGGAGTCACCGCCAAGTAACTCTTCGAGGATCGACAATGGACAGTGTGGGTGAAGTTGGGAGGGCTCCAGACATATGAGACGGCTTCATAATCGCCAAAATTCTTTTCCTACTGTAGGGTATCTCGGTTTTCGGTGAGGATGTCGACTTCAAGGTTGTTCGACATCCGACTGGCGGGGTAGAGCTGAACGATTCGGATATACCGGTCAGAGGAAAGTTTGTCATATTTATATGGCCTCTTCGACGATATTGTAGCTGCGATCAAACTGGCTGTTAGATTGCTTGCGTTGATAGAATTTGACAATAAAGATTGTCAAGTTCGTCTGCTATTTGAATGAGGGACAAAAGAGGTTTAGCCTTGCATTACTAGGTCCGATTACACGTGTACAGACTGGATCTGGAGTATGCTATGTATATGGATGCCACATCAACTTAATACTTCGTTATACAACTCTGTACCGGACGTTGTCGCTTCAAGTAGTTGTAACACTTTCTAACTGGTTGACTGTTCCGAATACCATGGCAACAAGAAAAATAATTTAATAGCGGATCTGTCACTGTGTACACTATGATCATTCTCCATGTATTCCCATGAATTCGAATCGGACAAAGTAAGGAGAGCCTACTTGCTCTCCATCGAGCCAAAAATAAACAGATCACAAGGACACATGGTGCTCTTTGGCGTGATGATATCCTCCCCAGGCGCAACCACATTTTGCGTTCGGAAGAAGTTGATATCAGGCAGGTTCATGTCGAAAGTCTGAAAACTCACTGAGCCCGACGCCCCTGCGCCGCCAATATCGGTGAATTTGGCATTTGGCTGATTCTTCTCAGTAAAAGCGATTTTGAATTCCAGATGATCGTTGTTGGTGAAAGTGGCCACTGGTGATGAGTTCTAGTGATGTTAACCTTGTGTCTGTTGAATGGCGTGTTAGAGCTTACCTCGGGGATGCTTGCATGCATGGAAGTCGTATGATCTCTACTCCTACCTGCCTTAGGGGTAATGTTCCAGTAAGTCAGGGTGACGAGCGCATTGTCCCATTTCCACTTGTAGCGCGGCTCAAGAGTCGAGCTATCGTCAAAGAGTGTCAGAACGAGGGGATAATTGTCCCAGTCAATATCGATATGTCCCTCTGTGATAACCCCGCCTCCAGTTTTGAACCCAGACCAAACTTTGCCATTGTTGAATTTCAATTTAACAGAAGGGCCAAGCAGTCCATCGTCTGTTGTTACACCGCCGTGGTCTTTGAGCATGTGCCCACATTTTTCCTGTATCTGGGGAATCATGTACTTGTCGCGGATCAGGTTCTTGGACAGGATGATACTTGCATCGTATCCTTTGGGCATGGGGGCAAAGTGATTGTCATGGGCGAGCTTGAATTGAGGCGCTGAGTTGCCTTTTCCGTCGCCTCCCTTTACATTGATGAAGATACTCAAGATGCCTCGGTCGACAGTAAATTGGAATTTCTCAGGAGTAAGGACATAATCCTTGGGGTTAGGGGTGTTCTTGACCTCGCCTAGGGTGAATCTGAAGCCTTTCACTCTACTCTTATTGTTCAATTCACCAGCAATATCCTTTGCCGCATCATTTAGCTCATCGGCAATGCCCTGTTTGTCGTCATCCTTGGAGTCCGTTTTGGAGCCCGAAGTGGCATGTGAAGATTCCTTTGCGGAGCCCTTGTAATGGACTGTCCAGGTGGTGGCTTCAGTGTTTTGGAACTGAAGAGTGATTTTGTAAGAAGAGTGGACGCCGTGGGAAAAATCGATTATCTCATGACTTGTCTATATAATATCAGCATTGTCGAGGAATAAAATATCTTATCAATTAAACGTACCTTCGCCTTGCTAATGTCTTCAGTACCACTGCCTATGGCATAGAGCGGCGTCAAAACACTCAAGGAAAAGCCATCTTCGGCTGTCAATGTTGTTTTCTCATGTGTGTTCTGTTTGTCCACCTCATCAGAAGTGCCAGTAAAGGCCCACGTAATCCTGGCCATGGAAGTGCTTCCTGCATCGTTTTTCAACTTCTCAAACTCGAAATGTGGCGCGCTTAGATCGAGAGTGTACGTTGTCGTGAGGGCATGTCTTCCGTGTCCTGATCTGTGAGGAGGCAAACTGATAGAAGTAGGCCCGATTTTCTCGGACCAGTACTTTTTCAAGAGAGGCTGCAGTTTCTCCTGGGAGTAGCTGGCCACTACATCCCACTGATCGGTTGTCGATACGTTTGCATTTATGAGGGCTTTGTGGAATTCGGTTCTCGAGGGGAAAGTGAGTGGAGGGTCCATTTTGCCGTGGTGTGCTGGGATGATGCTGTCGAGGGAATGAAAATATCGTCCATTATAAGTCTGACGATGACCGAATATAGCAGCCACAGGTGAGCCATAGTGTGGATCAACACTAATTGGCCATCGGCGACTCCGTGCATTGAGCGGAATCGAATGCCTGCAAACCCCGCTCTGCAGACGCCAGCTGAAAAGATGGACAACTCAGCACGCATTACAGCCACAATGATATATTTCCGTAACGCAATATGCAAAATTACAACTTCATAATTTTGCAAAGCACACCACAGGGCATAAAAGCCGAATGAATACAATCACATTCACCTCTATGGTTGTTAGACAAACGAAAGTTATCGCATCATGGATCCCGATATCATCAAATACCCGCTTGTCAATCCGAATCTGATCATTTCAGTTTCACCCGACCCCATCAGTCCCAATGGCTTGAAGGTTCCAGTCTCTCTGTACGTGGAAGGGTTCGAAATCAAGGAGGACCAGACATGGCGTAACGAGAAAAATCCACCCAAAGACACGAAGGATACAAAGGAGAAACGCACTCCGCATTCGTTCAATTTATACACATACCAGATTTACGGTCTCTCTCAGAAGAAATTCAAGTTGGCCGTCCCTGGCAAAGATGGAACCAAGGAACATCCAAATGGTATATCTGGCGGAAACATACGGCTCTATGTCGAAGAGCTTGCAGAGTCCGATGCAAACCATCTCCAAATTAACGGTTCGTCCATCGCACCCTTCCCTAAATTCGATGAATCGAGCTGACATTTCCCAGTGCCTGGAGGACACGGTTGGGACGGCATAGCGACAACACAAGGCCAAACTCTAGACAACGGCGGAGATGGAGGCGACGGAGGAACTGCCAATGCAATCCTGGGACGTCCGTTTGGAATGGCCGTCTTCGTGTCTGAGCTGTTGCGGGACCGACTTGATGACGGAAAGAAGAAATGGCCAGCGGACTTTGCCGACATCGTCGAAACCTGGGTCGATGAAATGACTGTGAGCAACGCGATCAAGCAAGCAGCCCCGTTGCCAAGTGGCATGACAAACACAAAGGAGATCCTGAGTACATCGAAGGATCATTTCAAAAAGGAGCTGAAACGAACGCAGAAGCATCTTCTTCGCCCTGGAGACAATCTCCGCAATGCTATGAGCAACGGCATCGACGTCAGTGGAGGATCGTACGGCACGGGGGGTACAGGTCCAAATGGACAAGGAAAGAGTGGAAAGAAGGGTGTAGAGGGGAAGGAGTCAATCGTGCTTACCGATGAGTATGACGATATCCTCGCTGCGTCGACTTGCTTCCTGCATCCCGTGCAATGCCAAATGCTGCTGAACAAGGCAAAGCTGTATCTTTTCTTGGGAACCGACGAGAACCGCGCGAGAGCCTTGACTCTGCTTGAACGACTGCAACTCCGACTGTCAATTTTGGGTGATCCAGATACGCCAAAGGATCTGTCAAAGACTGCTCTCGGCCAGGCCTATCGGAGCGCAGAGCCCAGCTTGCACATCGTGAAAGGCGATGAAACGAAAGAGCCCATATCTATCCAGCAGCTCCGGAATATCCGCACCGAGGTCGAGACCAGGTTGAGAGAACTGCACGTTCCCAAAGCCAAAACCAAGAACACTCCGATCAAGGTCCCTCGAGCTTCATTTGCCTTTTACTCAGCCTATGCCACTTCTTTTTTAAAGGAGCTCAAGGAGGTCGAAGACGCCTATATTAACTACTTGAAGCACGACAAATCTGCTGAAACAAAGAAAACAACGGTACATGAACGTGAAAACAGATGCAAAGCAGCGATCTCGCACAGGCAGGACTTAATCCAGACTGTCCGCCACGATATGGATTCAGCTGCGCATAAAGTATCTGTCGCACAGGATACAATGGATGTGTCTAAGATAAAGCTCACCAGTACACTGAATCAGCTGAAGGAAAAAGTGGCAAGCTACATTGGACTCAACGTTGACAATCTAATTTCCGCCCTTGGCCAGGTCATCTTTACGGGGGGTTCGAACTGGATGATGGCCAACCAGGGCCTCTCCGTTGCCTACGACTCCCTTACTAAGATGCAGAATGATTCTGGTGTGCCGATTGACAAACGATATCTTGTCAACAATATCACCCGAATCAATGGATCCATTGAGGGTCTGAAAGAGGGCTTTGAGCTGCTGAAGAACGGTGGTGTGAGCTTTAGTGACCCTGGGGGCTCCAAACTGGCGATTCTGGACACCCAGATGGAAGCTTTTATCAACCAGTTCAGTACCAAACTGGGGGAAACCACTGTCAAAGGTGTCAGAGATGACTTTAAGAACTACATTGGTATGTCTATCCTTCACTGTAATGCTTAGTTGGTCTGACGAATCAACAGAGGCCGTCCAGAAACGCAATTCAGCTGTCCTCAGCTATTCGCAAGATGTCCAGCTTCTATTGCGTTATATGACTGAGATCGACACTTTCGAAGCCAGTAGAAAGGACTTGATCCGCAAGGAATACAATGAACTCGGCACGGAGCATCCCACACTGACAGCATTTATGCGGACCATGTACACGAATGCCTTAACTGGCGTACAGGTCTGGCTACATGGCATGCAGAACGCATACAACTTTTGCGCCTTGGAGGATCGAAACATCATAGGTGAGGAGATGAAGAACTTCAACTTCTCCAGCTTCAACTACCCCATGTTGAACCGAATCAACACCAGGCTGGCTCAAGCGTATACGGACAGGGCAGCGGCATGGGGTCGTCCTCCGCAGCAGATGAAAGGCATCAAATTTCCCATTCCAAATGGTGACACATACCTGCAAGAGAAGGGGGCAACCGCCAAGAAGGCCATGATACATGCCACTATCACGCCCGACACCCTTCTGCCAGGCACTAACAATCACTTGTTTGGGTCGGAAAGAGTCGATGTGCGTGTTACTAGTGTTCGGTTCTACGTTGACGGCGTTGTGCCGAATGGTAACTTCTTGGATGTCTGGATCACTCACGGAGGTAGCGAGACCATTGTGGATGACATGAACAAGTCCCATTTCTACGACCATGAACCAGTCAAAACCAACTTCCGGTACAAGATGGGTGATAAGAACTACACCGGCGCCGGCTATGTCAAGGGTGATATCGCTCCTGCTGCTTTCAACCCATCCGTCACAGGCCAAACCAGGGATCCATATGCATTGGTTGGGCCGTTTACGACATGGACTATCATGATTACGCGGGAAGGAAATGATGGATTGGAACTAACTAAAGCAGCAAACGCGCATCTGGAATTTGACATCTTGTTCCGTGCGAAGGCGTAAAACCATCTATCTAGCGGCGTGCCTTTTCTTGATTGACCCTCACTTCTGCCAGTCGCCTTTTCTCGTCGGTATCAGCTTTGATTGCCTTGATGAGCGCCTCATCTGCCTTTTTTTCCACACGCTCCTTGATATCCTCAGTCTGCTCCTCAATTGGCCTCCTCTTCTTCTCTATTTCTTCTTTTTCCTTTTCGAATTCCTTCTTTGCGTCTTTCTTTTGCTCTTCCCTCTCTTCTGTCGATAGGTGGTCTTGTTTGTCGATCTCAGCTAGCTTCCTTTTGTACGCATCATCATGTTGTTTCAAATCCGCAGCAAGCCGCTTAAGCTTTTCTAGTGCTACCTCCGTCCCCCATCGTCGGTCCAAGTAGAACTTGAATAAAGAATCCAGCGAGACAGGGGGCATGTGTTCATCAAATCGAGTCTCAAGCGCTTTCGCATACGTCGTAAGGAACTCCGTACGCCAGAACTTGTGCATCAAGGAATGCTTCTCATGTATCGTGTCATCCATCTGATCTCGTGCCCAGGGGATATACGTCTCATCCCGGAACTGCTTCCGGAGCTGGTCGAGGTACTTTTCATTCTTCAGCTCTGTTTCCGGGACCCCATTGGCCATTTTTTCTGTTTCCTTCGCGACGATTTTGTCTATTCCTGGTAGCTTATAGCATAGTACCCTATCTGTCATTCGCAGTTTGCCGTTCTCGACGATTCGGTTCTTCACGCTCGTGGTGAGGAGCGACCCTGCTGCGCCCACCACACCACCAACTATAGTTCCCCAGGGTCCGCCGATGATATCGGCTGATCGGATTGCAAAGCCGGCTCCTGTAATGATAGCGTTGGCGCCTTGCGCCAGTTCGTCGCCTGACGGGCGTGGCTTGCCTGGGCCGAATAGCGCATATTCCTCGGGGTCGTGTACATGTTCTGCATGCTTACGTTGCTCAACAAGGTCAATAGCGACCGATAATGACTTGTCTGCGAGATCGTCCCGGAAACCAGCAACTGCGACCATGACATCCTCCTTCGCTGTCTGGCTCGATGGAGAGGTTGAGTTCGGTGCCAGTTTCGAGTCAAAAGCGTTTCCCCCAGGGAAGTGTCGATCGCCCTGGATGGGCTTTGTGGTTGTACCTTTTCCAATCTTACCAGAGAATCCCAGGTGATCGGGTTGCTTCTGTCCCAGAACCCAAGGGAACTGGAACTTCAGCTGCAGGCTGTAGTCGGAGTGGGTGAAGCACACATTGCCTTCATGATCGACATGCAGGTTCTGGACCGGCTTGGAGTCGACTTAAAACCGTTAGCTGTGTAGAATTAATAGTTGATACTTGAAACATACTATAGATAGCCTTTTTGGTGGAATCAATCATTAACTCCCAAAAGCCAGCTTCATTGGAATGGAATCGATAAGCACCTCCGGCCAGTCGAAGGATATGCAAGTCTTCCTTTGCAGCGCGAAGCTGGTCGATGAGATCAATGTCTCCTTTTTTAAAGGTGAATCCCTTTTCTTTGAGGAGTTTGAGTCCATCGTTCTTTGCGGGGTCACTGCAGCACTCGAGCAGATCGTGTAGGAACTTGTCGTCGGTGTAAAGTGTGTCGAGAAAGTTTTTGATATAAGCTGTATACTGTCAGCCGAGTTCAATCATGGTTCGGGGTTGCTGACCAAGGCGTTCGGAAGACATTTTGATGGTTTGTTGTGGATCTCAAATTGGGTCAAAGTGAAGCTGTACTATTTGTCTGACATGGAAAAACTGAGATAATAAGCGGGATAAATAATTGCAAATGAATTGAAAAATGTGATAATTACATTGTGCTGTATTTCCAATACAATACCTCATGCAGGCAGAGCTGAGTGATCTGCACTAACACATGACACTGTCTCCACAGGTTCGAGCTGAATGATTTTGCCCTGCATATCCCAGAATTGAGTCTCATTGACAGCATGTGACAGCATCCGATAGCCTATCATTGACTGTCAAAAGGCAAGCTACTTATGCAGGCTACCTTATCGGGACGTCGCTTGCCTATTTAGGATGTCACACTTGTTCCACAAGATCCAGCCGTGCGCGGTTAGTACACGAATCAAATTGGGTCATTGCCATAAGCCCCTCATCGTGAATAATTGATGACATAGTGATAACTACATTTGGAAGGTCAAGGATCGATGCTCAGCTCGCCACTGCTAACTACACCTGCCATTCATCGCAATTATTCGTACTCAGAATCATTGAAATACATCATATCATAATACTGACAGGAAAAAAGGATTGAAATGTGGATATCATCGCGTAATGCTCTCTATGAATGGCCATATCAGCGAATGCGTCATTACCCAGAAGAGCAACATACATACCATGTTACATTATGATATAGAGTTTTTATGAGCCGTGGAGGCTGTACTTTATGGTTTGGTCGTTGCGGTGTAGCGGGAATAGAATACGAGCGAAATAGACGAATTATATACACAGATGAAGTAAACGAACAGAAGATCAACCATCAATGGTTATGTCTCGGCCCATCCAGCTGCCCCAGCCCCCGATATTTGGTGGCCTTGCGCATCACCATGCCGTTGCCCAATTGATCCGTTTCCTGTCTGTATATCTCCTGCCACGGTGTTGAGCTAGGGACCATAGGGTATCCACCCCGTGCATCCAGCTCGTGTCTGCGCTGCTGCAGCTCCTCGTCACCGATCAGAATATCCACTTTCCTCTTCCGTAAATCAATACGCAACTTGTCTCCATCACGGAGAATGGCGAGGTTTCCACCCGCCGCTGCTTCGGGGCTGGCGTTGAGAATGGACGGACAAGCGGAAGTCCCTGATTGCCGACCATCACCGATGCAGAATAAGGCGTCCACACCTTGCTTCAGGAGATAACTGGGTGGATGCATGTTGACCACCTCTGCGGCACCTGGGTAGCCGAGTGGTCCTACCCCGCGCATAACCAGGATGGTTTGGTCGGTGATGTTGTCGGATAGCTCTAAGCGGTGGTGATAGTCTTCTGGTCCGTCAAAGACAGCAACTGGACCTTCGAAAGCTTCGAGATCATCTGGGTTAGAGAGATATCGTTGTCGGAAGGCGGGAGAAATGGCACAGATCTTCATGATGGCTGAGTCGAAGAGTGTGCCTTTCAGGTGGATGAATCCAGCTTCTTTGAGCAGTGGGTCGCTGTATGGCCGGATGACCTTTCGATTCCAGGAATGCTTCCCCTTGACATTCTCAGATACTGTCCGTCCATTACATGTGAGGATATTCTCATGTATCCTGCCCACGTCCATCAACTCCGCCATGATAGCAGGAAGGCCCCCAGATCGGAAGTACTCTTCTCCCAGGTACTCCCCAGACGGTTGCATGTTCAACAGCAACGGAATTGTCGCTCCTATCCTATCCCAATCATCCATACTCACCTCGATCCCCATATGCTTAGCAATGGCATTGATATGGATCGGTGCATTCGTACTCCCACCAATAGCTGCATTTGCAACAATGGCATTCTCAAACGCCTCACGGGTCATGATGTCGCTTGGCTTGCGGTCATTCTCAACCATCTCGACGATTTGCTTTCCGGTTTCGTAAGCACATTGAGCGCGATGTCTGTAGGCAGCTGGGATGGCTGCTGAGCCGGGGAGAGCCATGCCGAGTGCTTCAGCGAGAGCGTTCATGGTCGACGCGGTGCCCATTGTGTTGCAGTGGCCGACGGAGGGGGTTCTATGTTATTGTTAGGTAAATAGACATAGACATGGATGAGGTTGGTATACTTACCCGCTCGATACGTATTCCATAAACTCATACTCGTCAATCTCTCCCGTGGCGTACATTTCTCTGCCTTTCCATAAGACAGACCCGGCACCCGTGAGTGTGTCTCTAGAGTATCCATTCAACATCGGTCCGACATTCATGCAAATTGCCGGAATATCCTACTCAGTCAGTATGTCTTTGAAACATAACAGAGAATCAGAGTACTCACCACTGTAGCAGCGGCCATCAGGAAAGCCGGCGTTGTCTTATCACAACCGGTCAACAACACAACTCCATCCAAAAAGTACCCTGTCAACACCTCCACCATGGTAAGATACGCCAGATTCCTATCCAATGTCGCCGTCGGTCGTCGTGATGTCTCCTGAATTGGATGCGTGGGGAATTCAATCGCTATACCACCTGCCGTGCGAATTCCCTCTCTCACCCGCTTTGCAAGCTCCACATGGTGCCGATTACACGGGGACAGATCGGAACCGGACTGTGCAATACCGATAATCGGCTTGCCGGACATGAGTTCTTCACGGGTGATGCCGAAGTTGAAGTATCGCTCCATGTAGATGGCCGTCATGCCGGGGTCGCTGCGACAGTCGAACCATTTTGATGAGCGGAGAGATTTCCTAGCAGGTGGTATCTCAGCTGGAACTTCCACTTTCTTATTCACTTCGAGTTTGGACTCGAGTTCACGATTGCGCTTCCGTAGAATCTCAAGCTCACTAATGCAGTCTTCAATGTTGATGGATTGAGCTGGAACTTTGGGGCACGAACACCCCTCACATGATTTTTGGCACGACATTTTCAATGAGTATATTCTGCTCTGTAATCGAAAACAAATGACTGGATCTGACACCCTTTATATACAAGATCAAACGAGTCATTTCTTGCATTCCCCCGCGTTTCCCACGTGGGGGACGGGAATAAGACGTTCCGATTGGCTTTTGTGGATCCACAGAAACCGTCATGCAATTGAGTTCGCAACCAATCAGTGCGGATGTGTTGCAAGATCGGAGCTTATTTTGATTGGTCAGTTTCAATCCGGAAAGTTATGTTCCGAGGATATGACGATACTCTGTACTCATAAATTCTTCCGTTTCAATTGCATCTCTTTGTGAACATATCACCATCAATGAACTACAATGGAGCAAGCGAACCACGTTAAGAAAGTCCTCAACCAGAACAAGCTCGCCCTGGGCGTGTGGCAATTACTCCCGGGCAGCAATCTAGCTCGGACTTTGGCTCGATCTGGATATGATTGGGTGTTGGTTGATTGTGAACATGGAAATATCGATGGTAAGATAGCACCAGATGGACGAATTTATATATTCTAATATGATGATAGATGCCGCCATGCATGAATCCGTCGCTGCAATCTCCTCATACGGCGTCAGTCCGATTGTCCGGATTCCCGATTTTCAATCCTGGATGGTTAAACGTACTCCTCCATCCTATCTATATTCAGGACCATGTCTAACAAGAGTAGGAGCGCTCGACTCCGGCGCCCACGGCGTCCTAGCCCCCCTCATTCATACAGTCAACGACGCAAAATCCTTCATCGAAGCATCCAAATTCCCACCACACGGCAAACGTGGCTTCGGATCTCCCTTCTCCATGGACAGATTCAGCATCGGGCTCACCGCAACCGAGTACCTAGACCAGGCCAACGATAATATCCTCTTAGCCGTCCAGATAGAAACAGCCCAAGCACTAGCTTCCGTTGACGAAATCGCCGCCATCGACGGACTGGATTTACTCTTCGTCGGACCCTTCGATTTAGGTAACGGTATTGGGTATCCGGTTCGGGAGAAGGGTATCGAGCCACCACTCGAGGAAGCTATTCGGCGGATTATGAATGCTGCGCATGCGGCTAGAAAGAAGGCAGGCATTTACTGTGGTAATGGACAGCAGGCGAAATACTATGCCGACATGGGCTTTGATTTGGTGAATGTTGCTACGGATGTCGGGGCTTTGTCGGCGCATTTGGGCGGGGAGTTGGCGATTGTTAGACAGAGTGAGGCGAACAAGGTGGGTGGGCCGTATGGTTGATTGTATATTTTATTTATAGTTGCAGTATACTTGTGCCAATAATTTTGAATATACTTGTTCATTATGCTGGGTGCTTTGTCGCAGTGTTGATTTGGTTGTGTTGGGTTGTACAGGGTGTGGCTAGCTGGCCGACAGGTGGCAAGGCAACCATGCATATGTAGAACAGTTCATACTAACACTTCACTTTTTGTTTTTTATTATCTCTGCTGTACAATAGTGACGTAGCCACTCTAGACTATCATGAGAGACAAATTCCGATATAAATAAAGACATAATCCCACCTCCAACTTCTTTGAACAACCACATCGCAAAGAATATTCCATCAATTACCAATATTCTCAAGTCAACCAAACCATGTCTACGAATCTATAGCCTGCCAGAACGGGTCATCAATACCCCAACTGTCGCACTGCAGTACGTGCATCACCCACTATCTTTCACTAGCTGCTAATGTTCCATTACAGGTGATGAACCTCCAGGACGCAAAGGAGGCCCGCGCATACTCAATTTCCGAAGAGCATTACTACGAAGGATCCGTACTCACCTTCAATGGACCAGCCAACGACAACAACAATGCATCTGACAACGAACACTCCAAGGAAAGCGGCACGCACGTTCTCCACTACAGCTTCGGCGCGGCATCAAGACAAGAACAGGGTATCCTCCGAGTGACACAAGCAAACGCCTCAATATCCATCTTTCACTCGGCAAACACTACAGGACCCAGCATCACGCAAGCGGGGGTTGATGTACTCGAAGCCAAACTCGGGGCTAGGATGGACACGGTGGGCGATGTGATTCCGCAGTATGTCGGTATCGAGGCGACTGCGAACTTGGTCGATGTGAGCTGTTGGGCGTTCATGGCTAATCTGGGGCTGGGTGCGAATACGGAGGTCGGGGTGAAGGATCAGTCGGTTACGTGCAAGGTGGCTGGGTGTGGAGTGCAGGTTGGCCGCGTTTTGGGCATTTCTGTGTTTGGGTCTGGGTTTGGTATTGATTTTGGGAAGTTTTTTGGATGATTGGTTTTTCTGCCTAGTTATGATAATGGATGCATCAGATAATGCAAGTCACGATCCACCAGGAATCCCTCCGCTATAGCGTCGAGATCTATATCCGACAATTCCCAGTTCATCTGTGATAGATCACCCAGTTCAGGCATCACTTCTACCGGGTCAGGGTCATACACAGGCTGCTCTACCACCTCCCCCGTGTCATCTCCACGCTCGGTCAAACTTATCCCCAAATGATCAATCATCTTATCCAAATTCCCCCTCGCTTTCCCAGCAGCCGCATAGATCCATGTATGTTCGATCAGAATATTCCGACAAAATAATAGTGAATGGAACGCATTACAGTCCTTTCCTTTCTGCGCCACGATGCGTGCGTGGATCGTTGCACTGATATACGTGGCGTAGGACAGCATATACGGAGCACTTGGGATGGAGAACCGCGTTGAATAGTCGCGTAGGATCTGCACGATTTGGTTTGCTGCAGTGGTACAAGCCGTGATGGATTCGTGGGCGATGGGTGTGTTGTTCCTTGTAATTAGGGGGCGTTGAGAGAGGATGATGAGGATGTTATACAGGGCTCTTTTGTACATTAGCGATGTAGATGAGAAATATATGGTGACATACAAAAGACAGAGTGATTGAGGGAGGAGAACTGCATTCTCGGTAGGATAGGAGAGATAGTCAATCTGTAGTGGAAGGCTGTTACGCCATGCATTCAAGTCTGATTTGATTCTTTCAGAGACGTTTGTATCTTGACTTGGTCTTGTGTCGCGTGCTGACTCGGAGTAGACGTCGCAGAGAATGCGCTCGATGATAATCGAAACTTCACACAGTTTGGTCAATAACGTGACATTCATAGAAGGTATGCCAGGCTGATGCGTTTCAGTGTATGTCAGACTCTGGAATTGATCCAACTCATCGTATTCATCCAGAAACTCCAATGGTGTGTTAAAGTCGACTTGACGGAGGAGAGGAGGTCGGCCTTGTAACAGGCATTGAATCTTGTCAATCACTATACAGTCATCAGCACATATCCCGTCTAATTCATAGGATGAAATACAATAAGCCCCCCAAAGAACCCTCTTCCGAATCTCCAACTCCTCCGCCGACATGGCATTCGTCAGTGGCAAAACGTGCAGCCCAAGATCGATAATCATATTAAACGCATTCCCCGCATACAACCACGACAGACTGCGTTCGTCACATCTCGAAAACAGGGCATTCGACATGATCAACAGCGCCTGCAACGTAGTAATCTCACTCTTATCGAAACTGTCACGGAGGAGTTCTGCGAATCGCTGTCGAAACCGCCACCCTGCCGTGGTGATATCCTGTGGATTGGAGCGAAGCTCTGGTCGTGGGCAGTGCTTAGAAACGACGAAAAAGATGGCGTTGAGCAGGAGCTTGGAGAAGTACGGCCCGTTGCAGGCCATGTCGCGCATGAAGGCGGGTCGGTAGATGATCTGGGCTGTGTAGAGCTGTCGACTCCAGTAGATTGAGAGTAGGTGGGTTCCGATTTCGGGATCGACGCCGTCAAAGTCGAGTTTGCTGGCGGCGTAGTTGAGGGGTTCCAGTTGTCCTGTGATATTAGATATATCCTGCTACTACTATTGTAGACTTACTTTGCCTGGCTGTCTCGGCAAACAGAAGATGTCGAGACCATTCTTCACTCATGTTAGTATCTCCCCGTGTATCCTCTTGGGTATCATCGTAAGCAGTGCTAGTGGGACCATGGTATAAAGAGCGACTCCTTCGACGGTTGTTATCAGGCGCTTCCGGATGAGGAGTCTCTGCCTCTACTATAGTATTCTGACTCGGTGAGCTATTCATATCAGGTATCCGAGGTGACTCCTGCGTCGTGACATCACCACTCTCGCCCTGGGAGAACCGTCGACGAAGAGCTTCATTTTCAGACTCCAATTGCGCAATGCGATTATTTGTTGGTCTGGCCCGTCAGCGATACAATGCGGGGCTGGAGATATGGATGTATCACCTCGGCTTATGCACAACAGTCCCTTGTCGGCAATCAATGCCTTTAACTAGACAATTACCACAAGTGGGTTTAACTGCATCGCATTTCAACTACAATGCATTAGTCGGTGCTCAATAATACGGGGCATGTTATTGGTCACCTTTTTCTGGCGGCAGAAAATGCAAGCCGCTGCTGCTCGGCCGTGGCGTCTATTTGGCATGGCGGCATCTATCTCAGGGTATTTTATGTGTCATTTTAACATGCAGAACGTGCGTGTTGCGTTGAAGATCGCTGTTGAGTCAGAGATGTCGTGCATTTAGGAGTTGGTCCGAGTGCCGAGGTCAGTGTGGCGACGCTGATTGGTTAGAAAGCAACGACAAACTTGTTTATATATATATATATTTATTTTTATCATTTACATTGGTTATAGATTATTCTATTTATCAAGGCAAGATGATATCCTCGTCCTGCGGAGGTGCCAAATACATATAATTCGCCTGCAGTGGAGTCACACTGTCATCGTCAGTATCGCCAAATATATATATATCATCATATACATACCTGGTCATTCCCTGATCAACAACCCATCCATCATTGCCCGGCCCACTTTCGCTGGCCGTCTTCCGAAGGTCCTGCAATCTAGGCGCCCATTTAAACTTCTTCTCTCCATCTTGCTCAACAACATCAAACGCACTCCCCGATATCCACCGATTCCGTAACATTCGCGTGTACTTGATCCTCTGCTTGCTCACACCAACCTTCAATGGAACGTTGACCGTATAAACATCCACATCTTTAGCCCAGATATCATTCAAATGCTGAATCAAGCGAACGGAATGGCTACACGCCTCGTCAATCGCATTAGAATCATGTCCACCAGCGCCATATTCATCATGTGCAAAAGACACAGCAATAGCCCGCTTCCGACATAACGCCGCCTCCATCGCAGCCCCGATCGTGCCAGAAGAAAGCGAAAACAGCGCCGTCGAGTTTCGTCCCAGATTCGGTCCCGAGACGACTAAATCCACCGGTCCTTTTTCCTGGAAGTAGTGGTGGAGACCGATTTGGGCGCAGCTGGCGGGGGTGGAGTCGATGAGGATCCATTCATCCTGGCTGTTTTCTGGGCGGTAGATGGTTGGAGTGAGAGTTTTGTCCTTGAAGTGAGCTTTTCCGATCCAGGATCGCTGCTCGCTGGGGAGAATTACGGAGACGGTGTGGCCGGCGGATTGGAAGGCTTTGACGAGAGAGTGCACAAATGGGGATGATTTGGGGCATGGGGGCCCGTCATCGTTGGTGACCTGTTTATTAGTATGTGTTTACTGGAATTACATTGAAGACGTACAAGAATATGCATTGTGTGTTGATTAATGATGAATTGAAGAATTCAAGACAAAGCAGTGTTAAATGTGGGCTTAAATGGGATGTTTGCCACTTGTGGACTCGGAAAGTGTTGTTCCGACTCGGAGATAAGCCGGACCCACTGGTACATATATCAAACTATCGACAGTCAGGATGGCTTAAGAAAGTACAATAATTGAATAGCAGACCTATTAGAAAAATGGATTCATTCTATTTAAAATGGCTAGAGGATTGTCCCAGGGACTCACACACGTGATATGCATTAATGCCCATATCTGCCCAACGTAAGTGCCGAATGAAAGGAGGCATAGCTTCTATCTGATTCATATGCCAAGGTATATGAGGTTTTATGTCCTTTCTATGGCATTGTAGATAGGGAGATTGCATTATTACGCTGTTCTATCACCGACTCATGGATGTAATCCCTAATTACTACCCCCTTTTAAGCGATTCTCGCATTCTCTAACCAAATCCCTCGCTCGAATCCGATCAAGTTACCAATCCATAGACGGATCATATGCGTCGGCCGCAGTCAGAAATGACCGAGTACCGCGAGGTCCGCAGGCAAAGCAGAACGACTGCACGGCTGTTAATCCCCGCCGATCGACCAAATTGAGATCTGCTCCCCTGTCAAGCATGAAACGGTATAATTCTGGACTGGTTTCAAATGTATCGAAAAGTGCAGTCTGGCCGAGATAGTCCGTAGCGTTTATTTCTGCCCCGTGGTCGAGGAGAAATCTTGTCTTTGTGATGCTTCCGCTGGTTGCTGCGCAATGAAGAGGAAATATTCGATGATGTGAAGGGTTGACGGGTTGATAATTCTGAATCCTCGCGCTGAATTTTTCTTGCATATACTCGCCTTTTTCTCCACCCCAGGCCGAGCCAATAGACTCGCTAGCTAGAGCCATGATATCAGCTCCATTGTAGAGGAGCATCTCGATGAGCTCAGTATCGTCTGTTTCTGGTCGATGATGATCATTCAATTTGGTATAGCGACATGCGAGATGGAGGGGAGAAAATCCCGAAATCGATGATGTACCAATGCCGGCACCATGGTCCAGAAAGACCCTGGCTGTAGCAGCGTCATTGTGTAATGCGGCAAGAAGAATTGGGGCCCAGCCATGTGAAGTATATTCATTGACGTCAAATGTGTAGCTGTCCAGCAACCACTTGACCAGCTCAGCCTTACCCCCTTCTGCAGGACAGTGAAGAGACGAAGTACCAGTTCTGCTATGAGCAGTTATATCTGCCCCCGCATCGATATGAAGCTTCATAATCTCATCAGAACCACCATAGGCCCCAGCGTGCAAGACCGTATCCCCATATTGATTACGGTGATCGACGCCTGACCCAAGAAGAAGTCTCACGCCTTCCACATTGCCATGTTTCGCAGCCTCCCACAACGCTGACTCTCTCATATCGTCTACAGTGCCAATCCTAGCTCCACACCCGACCAAAAGCTGAATAACAGATCCATCTCCGTTTTCCGCCGCGTGATAAAGAGGCGTTCGTCCTATATAATCCACGGCATTCACATCAGCACCACGTCGTAAAAGTAGCCGTACACATCCCACTGATCCAGCCCGCGCAGCAGAATGAAGTGGTGTATCTTCATATGCTCCCGATGAATCATGGCCACCTCTCATCTGGAGAAGATATTCTAGAACATCCGTTCGCCCATGTGATGCGGCAAAATGCAGTTCATTGTAGTCCAAGTCATTCGTTTTCAAATTCGACTCCGTGCTGAACCAGGAGTTTTGTAATTTCGAGATTCCCAATTGCTACAGCGCGATGCATAGGGTTTGCATTTTCCTCGTCTAGTTCGACGCCGTTTTGGAGTAGAGTCTGTACAGCGTTCATGTTGCTGGCGGTGATTGCGGCTACCAAAGGGGTCATGTTGATTGAAAGAAGGAAGATAAATGGGAGGACGATGGAAGATTGACACGGAGAAGAGGCGAAAGAGTTGAGGGGAAGAGGTTATGACTGTGCCAAAGACCGCATGACATGGACAGCCCTAGATATGTCTCAGAAGATGCTGGCCAGACCTACGACTATTCCCTATTAGATTAGCTGGGATAGTAGGTATTGATTAGGTGGATTGCTGACAACGCGCTTTGTTGCCTCGATTCTACGGGCTCGGAAGATCCGTTTCAACCAGCTACGAAGTGTAGAGATTTTCATCTTTACTTCCTCAAAAGTAGTCCTTAAGCAAAGGCTATTCAGAACGTCTGACAATGAACATAACGATATTGATAGGGTTGATGGTGTGTAAAACCTTATCGTCGTTCAAATAAGCAATTGGAGCATCATATTAATAGTCTTGACTGATTCATTAATCGCCTTCCCCGCAAGCTATATGCCTCATATAACTGAATTGAATTCAACATCTGGAAAATCTACTACAATTTACTCGTTTCAACTCCCACATCCAACTTCTCAAGAGCCTCCCTCAAAACCACCCTCATACCCTCCGGCGCCGGCCTCCCCGTTGAACGCTCCACAAAAACATGAACACAGTGCGACACAACCTTGGGATCATCGACACCTTGCTCGAAAACACCAACTTCATACGTTACGCTGGACTTGCCGAGTTTGTTCACGCGCAGGCCCAGCTCTGCAACGGCGGGATATGCGATTGACGAGAAGAACTCGGTATGGGCGTCCACGGCCACTCCATACATTTCGGCGGTGGGTGGGTGGAAGCCACAGGTTTTGATGAGGTAAGCGTATATTATGGAGTCGACGCTGTATTGGGTTAGGTGAAGGGTGGTTTTGGTTTTTGGAAGAGGTGGTTACAGGAAGCCGTAGACGGATTTGTTCATGTGGTCATACATGTCGTTATCGGACCTGGAAATAGATAAGTATATTCTGTTATTTAGTAGTGATATGATTGAGTAAGTGAGGACTCACCATCGTGTTCGATAGTCAAGGTGGTAACGGTAGTCTTGTCGGCGACGCGCCTTGAGATTCTTGGTAGATTCCATGATAGCGATGAAAGTTGACTTGTTGAAACTAAAGGAAGTGTATGAGGTAAATAAGTACCTAATACCACAAGCCAGGATATCAAGATGCTTGGACCGAGGTCGAGACATCCGAGGCATGTAGTGAACATTTTTCTACACGGGAGGTGAAGGAGATCCCCAAATCGGGGAAACGATGGCAGGTACCCACACAGGGGAGGCTTAGATACACCGACAAGTACATACAGTTTTGAGATTGTCATTTTAGATTATTGGGCTGATCATCAGAATACAGTAAATGTGAAATTAAAAAGTTGATATTATCATCATAATGTAAACACAATATCTAGCCGACTAAATCATAGAATCATCCATCAGAAGTTTAGGGCTCGGGAAGTCCTCGCAAGGATAATTCATCAGGCCAAATAAAGGATCCAAGCAGTAGTCGATATTTGCCATATTATTCATATCATTGACACCGGACTTCCGGTCTAGTGGAAACATATTAAAGATCATCTCGAGGTCGAATGTCTCGACTGCTGGCGCTATAGGGAGAGGGTCTTGTTAAAGTTAGTATGATACTCTGACTGTCACAGGAGGATAGCTACCATATCCAGGATCGATTTTGTTGGCTTTCATTCGCTGTCTGATGATGATAAGTAGCCGTTTGACTCCTTCATTTGCATTGCACATGTCATCCAGGTAGTCGATGGTTGAGACGAGGAGTTGTTTATGGTCGGAATTGCCTGCCGCGTCTCCAGCAACATTGCGTACTTGAATAGTCCCAGCGACGTAGATGCTGTAGCCCATGATGTACGGTGCCTTGATGAGGCCATATGCTGCTTTGTATGGCTGGGCAATGGAAGATGTCATCTGCCCTGCGGCTGTGCACTTTTCCCAGGAGTGCCGAGGCGTCTTTGAGCGGAGGCGGGCATCAGAAATGAGTCTTTGATGGAGCAGAAAAATGGAAAGGGAATGATAGATTGCGTTGAGCACCATGAAATTCGCAAGTGGAAGGGTGCGTTGACGAGTCCAATGCATGTTCAGCAGATGCAATGCAACCTGGGTTGGGGCACCGGCAATGTCTGGGTGGAAGCGTCAGGAAGAGTTCCGATTGTCACTGGAGGGCTGCATTTGCAGTTAAAGTCTTTCTTCTCTTCTCGAACGTCTCATTCTGTCTCGACATAGTAGGAGGCTCACTCTGCGTTGGAAGATTCCATACTGTTGATGGTCCAAAATTCTCTGGGTGTCCTAATTCATCGACTGTGATGAACGGTGCAGCATCTATAGCCTAATCTGAAATTCAACGTCTGACAAGTATGGCTGGCAGAGACGATCATCAAATCTCGACCCTTGTCTCGACATCCTTATCCTCTTTTGTAGATTCCCAATTTCTTCACTCAAACCGTTCGTTACCAACCGATGTAGATTCCAGAATTGCACCCTCGTCACTCGGTGTCGCCGACATATGACGCCCAGTAAGCGGCAGTAGAGCCACTCTTTCATTTCAAGCTTGCTGATCGGCGCAAACGTCGGTCTTGATCAGGTTCAACCCGCTGAGACTTCTGTTTAGTCCCATGCCACGTACCTCTTCCTTGGAGCTTCCGGATGATATACGCAGTCGCGATTCTGGCTAGCTTATGTCGCGCATGGTGGCCGGGCAGTATCGCACCGGATCTTCTTGTGGTGGCAAACCAGACACGCGCGGGCGATGATTGTGGAATGTTTCGATTGCGACCCTGCAGTCATTGCTGGTCTGCTATCATAACATGCATTGAAGAGAGAGAGAGTTAAAACATATGGACTAGTCGCAGCTGAACAGTGTACCTTTTACGGCCAAGATTTCCAACAGAGCAGCGCCATTTATCTCTGTGCACTTTGTCAATTGCCTTATAACCTCGCGCAGATAATAGCACACTGTGCGCTAAGCGGGGGTCCAGAATAGACTCTGATCGCGGGGGAGCTCTGGACTTGTGGCCGAAATGATAATCTATCAAACGCACATGCCATTTCGGTCGTCTGGCCGATGCCTATTGAGGTAATTCGAATAGGGCGTACGCCCTGCAGTCCCCTCATTCCCCAATTTGGGGGACTTTGATATCACTTTGAAGAGTGTTTTGTGCATCATTTTGTTGGGGTTACTATACTCGAATTTATGATGGCAGTAGTGTCACAGCAAAGTATATTTAAATTATGTGTCACCATGTGATGCTGGCTAACTGCCAGTGGAAGGCAAGCAGCACCATCTCCAAAACCCCCGATGGTCTAGTTGGATATGGCGGTCGGCTGTAATGTTAAATTGTTACCGACAGGTCACCGGCTCGATTCCGGTTCGGGGGATCATGAGATACCTTTTTTTTCCCCCTCTTTCCAGTTCGATCCACAGACGATACATTTATTTTGCATGGTAACTTGGATGTGGAATATCTTACTATAATAATGAAAAGATACAGACACGATTTATTGATTTGCTTTTTGTTAATCACTCTTCACGTAGTTGTGTCAAATCCATCCATACACACAACCTCTGAATTTATAGAATGACTGGCTACGGGCTGTGCCATACTTATGACGGAGATCCAAGTGACAGTATTTGACACGCTGAGCATACGACTCATGCATCATCCATCGCCTGTGCAAACCGCCATTCATCGGCTCTAATTTCATAGTTTGCCAGGTTTATTCCTCGAGGGGACAAAGATTGTTCCAACACTATCTGGCGACGGCCTCTCCAACCTGGCATTCCACGTCGTCGCCATCTCCCTTACAAAATTTGGATTCAGCCAAGGGCTGAAAACTCGGGGATTATCAGTTAAGCAGTACGCAGAGACATGCCACAAGCTGATGCCACAGCTGGGATACCAGTACTATATAACGCAGGGAGGCGACTAGGGCTACTACATCACTCACACAGTAGCACTTCTGTATTCCGACTCATGCAAGGCAACACACATTAATTCCGACTATGGGGGCTCCTCTCCTGACTTTTGGAACTACCATTTCCTGGCAGTAGAACATGCATTGAAACCATACACAGTGTGAGAAGAAGGGCCTAGCACGATGCAAATGGTTCACCGGGGAGAGCTCGGGGTATCGTGCTCTGCAGGCTACGCGGCCCACCACGACCAGCTACGGACTAAAAGACACCCCAGTGACACTATTGGCATGTATTTATGAGAAACTTCTCGATTGGTCTGACAGTTATCCCTGGACGGGAGAGGAGGTCTGTACATTGATCAGTACATACTGGTTCAGCACCGCCGCGCCGTGGGTTTTCCCCACTTTCCTATATGCATTTCTTTGGAAATTAACAGACTATATAGGAGTATCAATAAGGATATATTACGAATCAACCCATACCTGGCGGGCGGACACTCCAAATAGAGTGACTCGCCCATGCACAAACGAGTGGATCGGCACCGCTAAAATAGGATAGAGCCATCTTCCGATGGAGCTTTGCATTGTCCCCGACACTCGGACTCGAAAATTAGGTCCCATCATGTTCGATCGCCACAATGATCGTGTCGGGCACTTTTTACATGGGAGGTACCAGATTCGCTTGTAAGAGATGTGCGGGATATGTCCCGGCGGGAGGAGGCTGCTTATGGGGTTGTTCCTAGTCATAATGGTATTTTATATAGCCTTTCGTATCATCCGATTTCGTAGTCAAAGTACTATTTTTGTGCATTTGCAGTATTAATGGAGTAGCAGGAAAGTATCAAGACTTTATACATTCTATGTTCCTAGAAGCCCCTACTTTATATAAGAAATGTGGACTACAGGGCTTATGTGTTATATAATTAAATACGTTGTGAGCAGCCAAGACAAATCACCTATCAATTTCTTAGGACAGGTTCCTAGGGTAAAGACTAGCTGTCTCAATATCATTTCAGAATGATATTCTTGAACTCTGGAGAAGCCTGGGCCCATCTCTTGAGAAAGATTCTTCCTATTCCGAGTCTGCGAGCAACACCGGTATTGGGCATCGTTTAATCAGCATCACTTTCAAAGATATCGCGGATTTAAAGCTATAGTTATTGGGTGGACATATGTTGCCATCGTCTTCGAGATAAAACAGGTCTTCAACACCCGATGCTGGATCATAGTAGCCGCAAGCGAATGTTGAAAGCAACAAAAACTCCTCCAGTTCCCCACATATCTCTGAGATATTGTAGTTGGGAATATAAGTTTTGCCCACCTTCATTTCATCTGGTCAGCGAATGCTTAAAGAATCGTCTAAATGTCTATGTTCGAGCTTCACGACGAAATGTGCAGTCTGACAGCGCACAAGTATCCGCCCAGGAAGGCACCTGAGTCGCTACAGACGCTGCTTAAGTAGCAGTCTACCATAGTTAGTGTTGCAATAGCCATTGATAAGCGATCAACATACCGTTGCTTCTTCCTGTAATAGCAAACGGAGAAAAGCTGTTCATGACAGCTGTGAGAATCTCAAATGCCAATAGATAACAGCAGTCATTGAGATTTTGAACCTACAGCTACGATCATGAAACCACTAATGAAAGATAGTTTTCAAAAAGTAAGACAGATAGCAGCAGGATTTGCTAGTGCTGACTCAGCCAAACTACTCTTGATAGACACTGTAATATATGGTAGTAGATGGGAAAGCAGCAGATTCGGGGATGCAATGTCTCGCAGGTGGGCATTATATGCTATAACACAGCCTTCCTTGACTGCAGTATTGATCCAATATGATGATGGTACTACTGTACTGGCTGACGTGTGGGATCGATAAATGTTACTCTCATCCATTGCATTGGCAGAGAGCCTTGTGCCAATCGTTACTATAAGCGGCTGAACTGAACATCTGGTTTTGGCCCTCAAAGCCATTCAAATAATTCCACGCTAGAAATGATCGTTAGTCCAGCTTCATTGTGCTTTATACCTAGGTTTAGGCGTAAAGATTCCAAAAGGGTCGAGGCCTGGTTTAATACTAAAGGCTCAACATAGAGGTTAATCATTGAAGGATATCCACATATCCGCTGCAGAGTATAGATAATCCATAATTTGACAGGTATCCGTCCCCTTACTCAAAGTCCTCTGCTGATAGAGAGTGCCACCAAGTTGCCTCGGCTACACATGGTATGATTAGACTTCTTGGTGGTGCCTCGTTAAGCACTAAGTATTCAGTGACGTCAAGGCAATTTGCGAAAAGTTCTAAACAGTGAACAGTTTTATAGATCATCAAATTAGTCTTGCAGCTAGGCTGCAGCTCATGTCATCAAGGGGTACAAGGCTGGGCATGCATGAGTGCCCCTTTTTCTCACTTTTCAACAGTAGAAGTCAAAAAACATAAACTACTAGGGTCTAAGGATGGGCATATAAGTAATGCGAGTAGGGTATACAGTATGCGCATCCTGTATATGGTACGTATACATTTATCGCAGAATCATTCGGTTCCTCTTTGACCACCGGCTAGGCCAACAGCATAGCTGTGATTCGGCCAATGCCTTGGCTCTTGGCAGGACCCTGATCTGCAAATCCTGATGCTGATTGTGACGTGGCTCTAGGTAACAGACGAGGCTATGAATTGGCCTATGGGGCTTAGACACACGAGGCTGTGGGTTGTTGGGAATAATTTGTAGACACAGTCGATTATTGGAACTGGTTTGAAGAGAGACAAGGCTGTGATATACCAATCTTGATTCGGCATGAGTGCCGATCATTTCCCGCACAAGATACATTATATCTGATGCTGGACGTGGCACCGCCACCGACAACCGATGGTTTGTGTTGGCCGTATTGAGGTGTGTAAGAGCTGTGCCGTCGTCATCACATAGTGTTCCCAAGATATAAATACCACCTCTGGTCACCATAAACCATCGTCTATCAAAGCGATCACAAGACTAGAGCCAGATCTCAAAGGCAGTTTCTCATCCAATTTCTTATCCATCAACATGAAGCTTTTCACTGTTCTGCTGCTGTCCCTCGTGGGCCTCTCCGCGGCAATGCCGGGCCCAGATGGTGGCCTTGAAAAGGTATGTCTGTCTTTGTTTATGACCGTTGTATTTATCACTGATGGTACTTCAGCGCTGCATAGATGGGCCTGATCCCTGCAGCTCTAACTCCGATTGCTGCAATAATGATTGTCGGCTAAGCTCGGACAAGGAATATAGATGTAACTACGGCTGAGCTATCTTCGACTCATTGGATGATGTGGTACTGTGATTCTCCTTCCCATTACATTCCCAGCAAGTACGGTGGTCGCTGATGAATCTGATAGGCAGGGCATATCAATATCTTGCTCGTCTAACTTAAGGAGGAAACGAGGAAAGGTATTAAGGGGTGCTTTAAGTGAACGTACGCATCGACAAGTTTAGCTACTATTATATCCCAGCCTTCCAAACATACTGTCTTTCTTATGATTTCACTGTCGGATAAAGTAGTGAAACACGCGATCATATGCCAATCATGACTTTGATTTAACAATGCGTGACATGGAATGCTATATGCTGAATGCAGTGTAAATATTGAAATAGTGTGTGATAGTTATCCAGTAGTACACTTAAGTCATTGGATCGTCACACACTCACACCTAGAACGAGCAGTGAGATCATCTTATATAACCACAATCCCTGGATACATTCATGCAATTTTGTATAGCCTGTTGCATAAATGGCATGGAATTAGAATGTGCGCTAATCAGCCAGAATAAGGGCTTCTGGATAGATGGAGATTTTAGGCGTAAAGATGGCTTATTTCTTGTATGTAAAAGGGTTCGTTCTCTTCTCAGTGGATTCAAGTTATGTTACATCTCACTTTAGAATACAAATGGCACAACTGAGGGATTATTCAATGAAACTTAACAGGTTTATTCTCCTTATCAACCCGGAGTACCTCTACCGCATCAATACGGAAATACTCCCGAATCTTGGGACTCTTTCCCATAATGAGTTCCCCACTCCTCGACGTCTCATCCAGCACCAGATCCACCGTGTCAGGGTCCTTCTCACCCATGGGAATGGTCATCTTAATTGAGACAGGGTCATTCTCCAGTAAAGGGGGGGTTGTTTTGACATCGAAGCAATATCCACTCAGCGGGCGGAAAGACCTATGAACTGGTTTGAGCTGGAAGATGCGGCTGACAATCATACGTGGAGTTTCATTTGCTGCAGTTGGTGGCGACCATAGGAGGGCACCGAAGATGACATGATCATCTTTGTCGCTACTCCCTGAGATGACAAGGATTTGGTGCGGGGTTTGTTGGTCTGTCATGGCAGTATGGAGATCGCGGAGGTTGAGGTGCTGCTCTCTGCCGGCTGACCAACAGAGAGATGCGTTTTCAGTCTGCAATTGAGAGAGCATAAGCAGGTCTAGCTGGCTAAGTCTGGGAAGGTCTAGCAGGCTGGACTTGGGACCCTCTCGCTGAAAGAGAGGGGTATATGTTTCTCTGAAGAGGGATTGGGCCTCGGATACAGAAGCTGACGCAGGAAATTCGTGCAGATGTTCTGTTGAATATAGTGGCCCAAGGATTCTGTCCCATCCCATCAAGAATCGTGGCTGATTTATTAGCACATAAGCTATAAGATGTGGATGAATCTTACCATTGACCTTGCCACAACCCGATCAAAAACCTCCCAGGAAATACCGGTCGCATTAGTGTTTTCCTTAAACGCCCCAAGAACGGAGTCTATAACGTGTTCCAACTGTGGGGGATAAGTGGAAAACTGCTGAGGATTAATGCCACCCCGATAGAGTTGAGAAACAAGTAATAATCGAAGTAGAGATCGCCACTCGTCAATGGGGATTAATCTGTGCAAGTCATTTGACCAAGATGAGGCATAGTCTGAGACTGATAATTCGGGGCCGAAAATTATACACTTGGGATCTTCAGGATTTTGCCAATTATATTCCTTGTTGATACGGTGAATGACCCGTTCAAGGTGGAAGTCATCTTCTTCATCACGCTGCCTCTGTTGAAGCTGTTTGGATGGAAAAGGGTCCAGCGTTGCCAAGCTCTGAAAGGCTACTCTCCTGAAATCAGCAAATGACGTATCATATTCCAGAGTTGTGTCTGGCCCATCGGCTTCAGCTCGTTCTGAATCATAGATCAACATAAGTATGACCGCCATTCGCAGGACATCGAGGGTTAAAAGCTTGTCTGGGTCATTCTGATACGGGAATGAACCCAAACGCAGTAGGAAGCGGTGCAGAACTGGGATTGCGTCTAGGAGAATTGGTGCTATTTCCTGAGGAAAAGTACTCTGTAAAAAGTCGGTGAGGTTCGATTCTGACCAGACTAGAGGAAGGGTAAGCATCATTCAAGACGATGATAGCATCGAGACTTGCATTTAATTGACTCAGAACAAGTGCAGAAGGTATCAAACACCACTTCAAGTCGGCGACGCTGCTCTAACTTGAAGCCTGAAGATTCAAACGGGTTGTATCCATATCGGTCACGAAGCTCCTCTGAATTGAATTAGCATTGACGAAAAAACATAGAGGATAACATACGGCGGTTCTGTGGGTGAGGGGGCCACGTGAAGCCTTCTGGCAATTGTGGTTCTGGTTGTGAAGAGGATATGCCCATGGTAGTAACTCATAGGGATTATTCGTGTATGGATTGTATGGAATAATACTTTAGTGCTGTAGAAGGATGAAATGCTGATAGACAGTTAAATAATGCTGATTTGGAAGGTGGGGCTGTGCAGGTGACGGGCCATAAATGCGGTGTTCCGGTTGTGGGGGCTGTTTACTATTTATAGTAGCCATCTCGCCGTACCAACTACCAAGCAATAATAAACTAAAAGCTTGTGTCACAGCCATCAGGGAGCTGCTGCACTAGTATTATCGGAAACCAGTCCTAGAATCGCTCTCATAATGTAAGCTGACCTAGGCAGTCACAGCTTACAGTAATCAGCCTTAAGTATGCGAATGAGGAACATATTCACTTTGGCTATTCCATATCCCAGGACGGGCGATAAATCCTGTGTTGTGGGGGCTACTTACTGTTTACAGTAGTTCTCTTAGCGATAATTTAACTAGCAATAGGCTAAAAGCTTACTGTGGTTGGGCTTAGCTATTCCAAATTCCAATGACGTATTTTGGCTATTTAATATTCCAAAGTCGCAAGATCCCGCAGGATCGTGTATACACAGCCCTAAAAGGCGAATGTAAACTAAAAGCTTACAGTAGTCAGCCTTAACCATTCCAATCATCAGCCTCATCCTGCAGGATGATTGACAAAGTACCTGGCAGGGCTGAAATTAAAAATATAGCCTGGATTGAAAGCTATTAAAGAGAGAATTTGCGCATCCATAAACTATCATCAACAGATCTCACAGAAGCAACAGAATCATTCATTGCATCTCTTGTTGTCATTCCACTACCTCTTATTCCATATTTTCCATCTTTATCTATCACTTTCACGCAAGATGAGAGGTCTCAGTTACATCTTATTTTTCCTCTTTGCTCTTCTGTGCGCGGCTTCTCCGAACAATCTCAAACTCTCCCCAGAAGTAGAGAAAGAAACAAAAGCAGACAACATCAAGGTGCTCAAAGAGGCTGCCAAGGGACATGCGCTGAAAGCCAAGACACGATATGCCCTCGTCGAGAAGTGGGCCCCCAAGGGTCATAACGCTTACGAATGTGTGACTGGCTGGTCCCATGTTCGTCTCATCGTCGGTACCTATGAATCCGACACGGAATTTTCCGACCCAAAGGCATTCGATCTGGGAACAAGAAATGGCCGCATCGAAAAGGGTGGGCAGGTTAAGACCCAAGAGTCTGACTGGAGAGCCAACCACATCCTTGCTGGTGCTGGGCCCTTGGCATACTGGCACAAGGTTGCAACCCCCAGTAAATATGAGTTTGCGGGAGAGGTCAAGGATTCCATGCACTCAATTAAGAAAAAGGGTATGAAGGTCACTCTTGTTAGGAACAAAACAACATTAAGCTAACTATTTACTAGCCGAGGAATACGAGAAGAAGAATCCTCACTACAACCTCCTGACCAACAGCTGCTTGACCTTTACGAATACTTTGTATAAGGAGATTAAATGATGGAAGTGAGCAGCGATGAAAAACATGTATATTATGATGACGCGACCCTGGCATGGGGGTTGACGCGTCTACTGTGCCGCCAAAGTGGCGCCCATTGGACTCCATGATATTCTTATGGCCTAGAGGCCTATCCTGATCGATCGACGCGTTATAAATACGCGTTTTCTATATTTTTTGGTTTTGGTGTTCTGGCTTTGCGATATATATACATCATTCAGAGATACAAATATTTCAATTTTCAAATTTTAGAGATCACATCTTTGATTGGTAGCCAGAACTTGGCAAACTTTATTTTCCTTGCTTCTGTTCCCTTTACACTCTATAATGAAACATCAAGTTTGTAAAACCCCTCAAATTCTCTTCGCTCCTCTTTACACAAAGTCAACGTCCGGTCATGTGACATATTGCGGGGTATTCCCCGGAACAATCTCTCCTGTGGTCGTATGTACTACTAGATTAGGCATAAAAGAGCGCTATGGCGAAACAGTCATCGATTTATCTAAGCTGTAAGTCGCGTGCATATGTCAAATGCAGATTTTCCCAACGGTTTTCCCCGCATATGATTTGATCTTGCAACTCAACAGCGGACGAGTCAAAAGTTGAAGCACGTTGCTCTCACCAATGAAATCATTAGGCTATACTAGCACATGTAGCTAGTTAATGGTGAGGCACACTATCCCGGAAAGAATATCGAACTTGAATCTACGAGTAATTAAATTAGGCAAAAGTCTTATCCTAACTGGGTCGCATCACCAAGGCTCGGGCCTAACCGAGCTGAAGCCCCCAACTTAAATGACAGTTGACATTTCCTGGGGTTTCCGCTTTTCTGTAACCATATCCAAATAACTTATCGATCATCATGTCTGGCAGTGAGTGTCTATAGACATAATACTAGGCCGATATTAACAGGACTAGATACCAATGCATCACGCAAGGATGCCCCGCCCAGGGCAGACCTGCGGACCATGATGGCGCAGCAGCCACTTCCGGTCATCGCAACTGGAATGATAGACGCAGCATCCATGTCGGGTGATAAATCGACTGAGAAGGTTAGGGAGTTATTAGATAACTTCAATACTGCACTGGCCAATGGAGATGCAAAAACCCTCGAACACTGCTTTTTTCCAACACAGGCATATTGGAAAGATCAGCTGGCGCTCACGTATCACCTGCGCACATTTACCACTGCGAGTGTTATTGCTGCGGCGTTGTTGGAGACGAAGGCATTGAGAGGTGCCACGGAAATTGTTGTCCAGGGCACGGCGCAGTTTATTCCAGCCACGCCTAGCCTTGTAAGTAAGTGATGATTAGTGGATTATAGAGCTAACAAACCATCAGCAATTTATTGATTGTGGTATACTATTCAGAACTTCTTCACCAGGTGCTACGTGTACAGGAAAAATAATGCTACTGCCTGTCGAAAGCCAGAGCGGAATCCAATGGAAGATTTGGATTCTAAGCACGATGCTTGACAATTTGGATTTACAGCGAGAGGATCCGTCGCTGCTGCACTCTGCTGCGAGGCAATTAAAAGGGGTTGAGAGCTTCGAAGCGGATGTATTCATCATTGGGGGAGGAAATGCGTACGTTGACGATAAAATAAAGCACGATAATTTACTAACAGTTGATTCAGTGCCATTGCACTCGCTGCGCGACTCAAAGCATTAGGAGTGGATAGTGTCATGGCTGAACGAAATGCCCAAGTCGGAGATAACTGGGCTCTGCGATACGACTGCATGCGCTTCCATATCCCAACATCAGTGTGTGACCTGCCTTACATGAGTATGTTAATCATCGGCCCTCACCAATACGATACTGACACAACTAGGTTATGAAAAGAGGCTTCGAACACCTCATTTTCTCAGTCGCGATGATCTGGTTTCACAGGTCCGGCGATATGTAGACGCTTTCAACCTGAATGTTATTACTTCCACGCAGATTCAGTCAACGCTGTATGACTCGTTAGCCAAACGCTGGATAGTCAAGTTTCAGACTCCAGATGGCCAATGTATAGCGGTATCCAAGCATCTGGTTCAAGCAACAGGCTTTGGGTCGCAGAAGCCCAACCTTCCTTCGATTCCGGATAGGCATTTATACCAGGGAATCAGCGTCCACTCGGCGCAGTACCAGAATGCCAGACAACTGAGAGAGAAGGGGGCCGGAGTAAGCAGCCAAAAACCGAAAAGTCATACATGAAGCTAACAACATCCAGTCAGCTTTAGTAATTGGCTCTGCCAACACAGCATTCGATATACTCGAAGATTGCCACGCAGCAGGACTCCAGACAACAATGGTCGTCCGATCACCAACATACATCGTGCCCGTTGAGCACATCTGCGACGGGCGAGCTCTTGGAGCCTACGATGGAGGCGTCGAGGCAGCCGATAACATCTTTCTAACTATTCCGACAGTGGTGGATAGCCAGATAAGCTGTGGTCTATTTGCGCAGCTGGCAGCTAATGAACCTACACGATATGCCGCCCTTGCTGCGACTGGCTTTCCTGTTGTTGATAGCACTCATCCGGACTCAGTCCTGATGCATAATCTTCTCGAGCGAGGTGGTGGTCATTATGTAAATGTGGGCGGTACTAAGCTGCTGGCTGAGAGCAAAGCTGGTGTCAAGGCTGGGGTTGAGCCAGTTGCCTATACTAAGACGGGACTACTTTTCTCAGATGGGAGTACCCTCAACGCAGATGCTATCATATGGTGCACAGGATTCGCCGACAAAGACGTACGAACAACTGCATTGGAAATCCTGGGAAACACTTCAATCAGCAACGGAAACAAACATATCCTCGGCCTCCGCGAAATCGCCAACCGTGTCGATCCAACATGGGGTGTTGACGCTGAAGGCGAGATCAGAGGCATGTGGAAGCGTCAATCAGATCTGGACAACTTCTGGGTTATGGGTGGTCATACACAACTGCATCGGTGGCATTCGAGGACGTTGGCATTGCAGATCAAGGCAGAGCTGGAGGGTGTTTTGCCACCTGCTTATCTAGAGACACCAGTGAGGATATCGGCAAAGATGTAGTCCATTCTATATCATACTGCATGTACATGGTTACCATCTAAATGTGCTCCAAGATACGCAATCAAATATCCTAAAGCGGAAGGTGAATAGCCTCCGATTCTCCCCAAACCTGCATCCGCGCACGCCAGAATAAACACGCATGGAAGGACCTGTAACGCGATCAGTCTCAGCTTCAGCATACATCTAATAACGTAATACATACGCAGCACCCGCAAACAAAATCGCCATAATAATCGTGACGCAACTCAAATTCCACAGCCCCGCAAAGACCGCAAACGGAATATTCCAGACTAGGGATATTGTCGAGAGAAGATCACAGGCGAGGTTTACGATTGGGTTAATTTTAATTTCTCTTAGGTGGAGGGTGTAATCAATAAATGACCAAATGACGGGGACAAGGAACTGTGCAAATGCATTAGCATCTGGGAAATAGCTGATAGGAATTTGAAGTACCAGAATTGTGTATGGGTGGATATGGCGTGTGGCGAGGAGAATGAGGCCCAGCGAGCTGCACAGGACGGCCCCATGTCTCATCCAGATGTTTGTGGCCTTATATTCTGGTCCAAAGTCTGTAGGGAAGAAGAAGGACATTTTGTGATGATGATGGATGATTACAGGAAGGGAGTGGAGGGGAAAGTAGATATCATTATATAGGCCCTGTAAGGCACAGCCGCAATGCGAGTAAGAGAGTAAGAATGCTGCTAGCCCCCACTCAGGCTGACCTTGGCACCTGCCCGCAGCATTGCATCTTCTCAAATACAAATTGACTTCTAATCTGTAAAGTAGATATAATTCCAACTAATCTCTTTCTCATCAATGGCCCCGAAGTGTCGTTGTGGTATTTATATAATCAAGTCCTGATTATCACTATAAAGTGTAGATTTTGGCGGTGGGGGAAATACCATTCGGAACTCATGCTTGGGTCATATCAAGATTATGGATTAAAATCAAGGAATTTTAGCTGGAAATATCTTCTAAAATAATGTCTATTTATTTATTTAATAGGCTTGAGAATAAAGCATAATATAATGTTGTCAGATGTAGACCACCAGGTTCATCCTCCAGCGGCATAGGCCCAGGCGAAGTGAGCTGTTGATCAACCCGAAATGACATTCATTTAAAACATTACTAGTCATCATTTCAATACAATTCTATAACAAGAAAAAAAAATTCAAGGTTATCAGCAGCCAACTTATAACCCAACTGATGTTTATTTACAGTACATAACTACATTGTGCCTAGATACAAGACTAGATCATTGGCCAAGAATAGTAAGGCTCCCTTCTTTTATCGAAGACTTCACAGAAATCCCATTTTTATTCCATTGTCATCTATGAACACTGCTATTGTTGACCATCTGGAATTAAATACATGTATTATGCAATCAAAAGTGGTAATGCTGAGATATCATAGTATCCAGGACAGGAGATCAGGCAAAGCATGGAAACAGACTCAATAATCATATGTATAGCAAAGATAGCCCCCCTCTGTATCCATAACATGGTAGATAGTAGTATCCGGAATAATCTCATAAGACGTCAATGTATAATTCAGTGTAGTCTCAACCCATCCACCCTCCGGCTCAGACTCTGTCGTATGGCCATTCACCTGATAAAGCCTCGCATCTCGATCCTGGTTCTGCCAATGCCACCAATTCCTATCGATGAAGCCATGGTGCAGGAAGAAGATCGGGTCGGCGGGAGAGCCGGAGACATCGCCCATAACGCCGCCGACACCGCTGTGGCCGGCTTGGTGGGGATTTTGGAAGACGCAGTCAAACATGGTGGTATAGTTGTTGTAGGAGTTGCATTCAGCGACTTTGGCGGTGCTGGCTGAGGCGCTCATGTCGTTGTTGACGTCGCGGGATAAGCAGTGGGTTGTGTCGGAGGAGCCGAAGCCGATGTGTAGTGTTGTGTTGGCAAAGTACTGTTGCATATATTAGCACAGTTAGTTGCTGAGAGTATGCGGTAGGTACTTACCCCATCGGTCACACAGACATAGTCTGACTCGTCTTGATCGAACAGAGTCCCGTTATAGGCAGTTCCGCTGATAGTCCCAAACGTCTCAGCCGAGAAGATGGACGCATTGGAGAAAGCACCCGCATCCTTGCGTTCATCCCACCATCTGCAGGAAGTCAGTAGACGCCAGTGAGATAGTTGGGCTAGCTTACGGAATAGGACCAGTGTAGTCGCACTGGTCTCGAAGCAGAGTCTGGTGCGTGTGCATAAAGTACCGGTGCCATGGCAAGAATGGGCCATCCCAGTGGACATAATCTGTGAGGTTTTGGTGCAGCGCAACTAGATCCATATAGCGGCTGGTGACATTCCGAAGATGGGTCTCGGCAGGGAGGTTCCATAGACACAGCTCGGCCTCGAGATAGCTTGTCTGTTGAGAGGTAGTGAGGTTGCTCCATTCAAGACGAACCTCGGAGTTGGTACATGCGGATGACCGGGATTGTAGGGACGAAGCTTGCACTGTAGCTGCAGTAAGCAGTGCTAGAGATGAAGATAAATGCATGACTGGCAAACGGGAAAGGCACGAGTGAATCAGACAGAGAATGAAGAATAGAATGTCCAAGTAGTAATCACGTTACATGGCGCGGGGAACTTATATTTATCACTGCCAATCAGCACAGAACTCTTCATATAAATAAGACTAGATCCACTTTCAACGCGTGGTGTATATATAGTAGTATCCTGGGGCAACTGCATGCAAATGAGCCAATTGACTTTTCCCCAGCTTTCGATGCGACGGGGTATACACATTCTAGAAAAATCTCAGCATGATTAAACCTTAGCTAGATAAAATTAGATCCACTGTTGATAAACATCTTACGTATCCATTCATACGTGGCTCACCACTGCTAATGCAGGCACTCTTTCAATATAGATTCCCTTGACCAATCGCAGAGAGGATTAGCCCCGAACTGCCCCGCAATAAGCCGCTTAGTAATAAGGATTCATCTCTCGATGCGATATCCGTCGTGGCTTTGAATCACATATGGGTTATTTCCGTATAATAAACGAGTTATAGCTGTCGTGATAAAATATTTGGATGTTTGCCAAGTATATCTCTCCACCGAGGTTACGTCCGCATCTTGTCGGCTTGCGACTGCTGAACATAAATCATTTTCTTATTGGTTGGTTCATTATGGACATCAGAAGTATATATATCGGCTTGCTATTACCCAACAAAATAGAAAACAACCCTCATTGAAAATGCGACTTTCCTTTTTCTGGGCCTTTGCCCTCCTTTCGGGCATCGCCGTTGCCCATCCCGGCCATGATCACAGCCATGAAATCGCCCAGCGAAGGGCCTTTATGGCCAATTCTAAGCGAACCGATCTCTCTCATTGTGTGTCTAAGCTCAAGGCTCGCGGTATAGAGTCTAGAAACATTGCACGGCGGTCTGCGATGATAAGCTCCAAGCAGCAAAGTATGTGATGAGGGAAATAAAGAAATACATATAGCTAACGGATCTAGAACGTGATCTTGATCGGGTCTTGGACACCAACCATAACGAGACCAACTTGCGCTACACTCCTACTACAGCTGAGACAACTGTTTTCTCAAGCAACACCGGCTGCGCCTTGACGCCCGAGTCTACTCAAGGCCCGGTACGTATATTGCAACAACCCTCGAGGCGCCATGCTGATTCAGGTCTTTAGTATTATATAACCGGGGAACATGTTCGCCGCAACTTAATCGAGGATCAGCAGGGTGTCAACCTGTACATGGATCTCCAAGTTATCGACATGAACACCTGCGACCCGGTCCCAGACGTCTGGCTCGAAGTCTGGAGCTGCAATGCCACAGGCGTATATTCGGGCGTAGTAGCAGCCGCAAACGGGGATGGCACTGATGATTTGGCCAACATCGACACCACCTGGCTCCGAGGTATCCAGCGCACCAACGCAGACGGAGTGGTTCAATTCGACACCCTCTTCCCGGGCCACTACACCGATCGGGCAACACACATGCACGTCTTGATTCATCATAACGCGACAGAGCTGCACAACCAGACCCTGGGATCGGGGAATTCAACCCGCGTCATGCACGTTGGCCAGGCATTTTTCGACCAGAGTCTCATCTCCGCGGTTGAAGCTACCTATCCGTATACTGAGAATACGCAGGTGTTGACGGAGAATGCAGACGACAGCATCTTGTCCACCGAGGCCAGTCTCGGTGCCGACCCGGTCATGGAATACGCGTATATTGGCGGCAGCGTGATGGATGGCATTTTTGCGTGGCTCTCATTCGGCATCAATGTCACCAAGAACTATGAAGTGCCTGCCTCGGGATCATACTGGGAGGATGGCGGGAGGCCGGAAGACAATTCCGAGTGGACGGTCACGCCCCCGGAGACTGGGTCGAGCAATAGCAGCTCTGCGGCTTCTTCTGGGATATAAGTAGTTGCTCTTCAGGGGCTGTATGTGGGGGATGAATTTAGTAAATTGTAGTATGTTTAGTGTTCTCACTATTGAATTACAAGCTAAAGATTACCCACGTACATTACCAACCAGTCAATGAACAGTATATGAACATGGCAACCCCTGTAGCGACCGTCATCCATGGAATATACACGGCAGTCAGAAAGGGCGACATTGATGCTGGCTCAATCCTCACCACCCGCGATACAACACCACGGACATCCTGTCCGATACTAATCTAAAGCTGTACGGATTCCATTATACCTCCTATGTCCTTGTTCGGGCACTTTGTATCCGACACGGTATAATAAGCGACCATGCCACCCATGAGGTGATCATCCACATGGCAGATGGCCTGCCAGGTACCAGGAGTGGTTGCCTTCATGAACAGGGAGAACATTTCACCATCATTAATAGCTTGGCAGGTCAGTATTATCTTCTTCAATCAGGAGCAGAAACATACAGATGGCGTCTTTATTTATTCCACCCGTTTGGAACCCATGGCCGTGCATATGGAAGGTGTGAGGCTCAGTTCCGTGGGCTGTTATTAAATCATAATTCAGCAAATGTATGGCATATAGGACGGACTCTTGAAACTTACCATAAACATACCAAATCACCTCATCATTCAAACAGAATTCAAACGGCGCGCTGTTGGCCATCACATACCCATTCAGCGCATAGAACATCGGGGCATCATCCAATCCAGCCGCACCGAGCGAGTTGACCAGTTGCGGGCGCCAATAGCTGCTATTTCCGTACGCAGCCAATCCACCCAAGACTCTCGCGGTCGCATTCAGCGTCGCACTCGAGTTAGTGAGGGATTGCTTGTTCGTCGCTGTGAGAATCGACTTCGACTCGTCGAAACCCATAAAATACAGCGGGACCTCGTGGTAGTGAGACACGGTGTGTTCCATCTTGCCTCGTGCGTAGGTAATCTGCGGCCCGGCGAGCCCGGCGTTGAGATCCTCCAACATGCTGATGTAGCTGTGGTACCCGTGCATGTGAGAGGGCTGCCCGGCAGGGGGCGCCGCGCTTTCAGGAACAACCCACTTGTATACGGCGCATCCACCTGGGGCGACTGCGTCGCCGGGGGCAGGAGTCGAGTTCCGGCTACCGGTTGGGTAGAGAGAGCCCTCGTATTCCTTGGTGTAAGAAAGACCCATGGAATGCATGGTCGCGTAGTGCTGGGGAAGGCGGTTGATGAAAAGGATCTCAATCATGTCGCCGACTTCAGAGCGGAGAGTGGGACCCTGGATGCCCTGCCATGGAGGCTGGGGGGTCTGCTCGGTGAAGCTGGCGTCTTTGTACCCCCGGTAGACAGCTTTCTTCCACTTGGTGCCGTACTGGGTGTATCCTGCTGCTTGGGCTCGAGGGGAAACGTCCAGGGGGAGCCCGAGCATGTTGTCCCATCCACTGGGGGCGTAATCCCAAACCACCTCTTCGGCAGCGATATAGTACTTGCGTACATTACCGTTGAATTCGAAGTCAACGGGAGTTTGGCTGGGGAGTTTGCCATTCAAGGTAGCAGTGCATGCTGATGCTTTGGTAGAGGTAGGAGAGGCGACGGAAATGGATGCCAATAGGAATGAAGCTAGTAGGAGTGCCATGGCTAGACGACAGAAGCTAGCAGTGCTGGCTGTTCTTCGACCGTATCTTAGTAATTTCTATAGACATACTTATACTGTGTAGGAGGGATTACGGCCGAGAGGGTAAGCTCAGAACTGATATCACACTCGTCTACTCTGATTGGACTGTTAAAAAATGAAATATTTAAGCTTTTGAACTCCCTGCTCCGTTGCCGATCCACAGATATACACTTACCTGATAGGGAAGCCGTCTGCCGGATATTTATCGGATTTCGGTATTTCGGCATGCCGAGGAGTGCGTTCTGAAATCCGCTTATCCGATTGGACATTTAGGAGATCTGCAGATGACAGCTATTGCGCTGTAAGAAAACGAAAACGAAAACGAGAGAGGCGCAGCCGCCACGAACTGTTAATCAATTTGATTAATAATGTTTGATTCAAAACATCACCAATCACCGTGCAGATATGATTCTAGAACGTGAGAAACAATCAGAGTTTGTAAGCTGCCAGGCTATAATCCAATCAATGCTTATCCATTTTCTAGATACAAGATCATATCATTTGCCAGGTTTAGCTGACTGCTATTCTCAGCCACCTTGCCTAGGTGCATGTATTATGCGATCAAAAGGCCTCGACTAGATTTACAATGCTGAGCTATCGCAATACCCGGAACAACACATCGGACAGAGGAAGCCAACAGATTTAGTAATAATATGCATAGTATAGGTATTCTCCCTCTGTACCTATAGGATGATAAATAGTAGTCTTATGAATAATCTCATACAACGTTAAGGTATGATTAAGAGTTATCTTAAACTAAACCAGTCTCTAGCTCAGACTAATTGTATTTCATTAACCTGATAAAGCCTGGCATGATGACCCTGATTCTGTAATGCCACCAGTTCCTATTAATGAAACAATGGTATAGGAAGAAGATTGGGTAGGTGGGAGAGTGACATCCCCCATGACGCCACGACACCGCTGTGGCCGGCTAGGACAGGGTTTTAGAACATGGAGTTAAATATGATAGTGTAGCTTGTGTAGGGGTTACATTCAGCGACTTTGGCGGTGCTGGCTGAGGCGCTCATGTCGTTGTTGACGTTGCGGGATAAACAGTGGGTTGTGTCGTCGGAGCCAAAACCGATGTGTATTCTACCATATCTTAATACAGTTATTTGCAGAGAGTAGAGTACTTACACAATTTGGCACGTCTCATGGCAGGAATGGGCCAGCCAAATGGAGAATGGTAGTAGATTTTTGTATATAGATATGGCGAATATTGTACGATATTAATAGCTGGCTTCGGTACCTCACATGACAATATATATTTGTCATTCTGTGGCTGGTATTTCCCCACCAATCATTTAGATTGTAATTATCAGCCAGATATATACAGGCAGCATATATTATAATTCTGTTTTTATTAAATTAATTCATAGCTACAAAGACCGTTTAAAAAGCTGTCGGCTAATCGGCTACAGTGCAATCCCCACAACAGCCCCTCATTTGCCCCTCATTCCGACCCGCGCCAATCTTATCGCAACGTCACACAAACCTCTTTCCAACCAAACAGGCTAAAATGGATCCGAAAAACTGCAAGGCCAGGGTAATTTCTCGAGAGCCATTGGTGGGTGCATATCCTGTATGAAATTGGTCCGTGCTGACTGAATTGTAGGACTCCAAAGACGCCGAGTGGAAACGGCTGGTCAAGACCGTCTACGCAGATCCCAATGGGGTGCAACGAACATGGGAGTCCGCTGAGATGCAGGTATTTTTATAATATTTTACCTATCATATAAATGGATTGCTAAGAATGGCAGACTCGACCGGCAGATGCTGTCGTGGATGGCGTCAGCATCGTGAGCATCCTGCAAAAGGCCACAGGTCCGGAGCTTCTCCTCCTCAAACAATACCGCCCTGCACTGGATAAGATAGCGATTGAAATTCCTGGCGGATTGATCGATGCTGGTGAGACCATCGAGCAGTGTGCAGTGCGTGAATTGAGGGAGGAAACGGGGTATGTGGGCGTCGCGGAGAAGGGGAGTGGTGTTTTATTCAACTGTGAGTTTTATTCATTCTATCTATCAGTGAAGTAAGCTAACAGTAATAGCCCCCGGATTCAGCAGTAACAGCTTTAACCTGGTTCATGTGCAGGTGGACATGTCTGCCCCAGAGAACCAGAACCCACGTCCAGACTGGGATGAGGCGGAGTTTATTGAGGTTATCTCGTTGCCGGTTGATTCTTTGGCTGCCGAGTTGAAGATCCTAGAGACGGAAGGGTATGCCGTGGAAACACGGGTTGTTGCGATTGCAGAAGGCGTTGAGTTGGCGAAGAAATGGAAGCTGTAGATACTTTGAGTTATTAGACATTCAAGATCATATCACGTGATATATACACCAGGTGATACAGGAACAGCTGGCAAAGTGTTCACCTCGACGCCCCACCATCATTTGGTTGATATCATATGGATGGTTCAATTGTCAGTAGTTGGTAGATCTAATGCCGCTGATAAAAAACAGTCACAGTCACGTCCTCGACATAATTCACCCAACCCCGCCGACAAGCCTTGGGAAACACATGTATAGTATCTCCTCCTTGTATCCCTTTCAGCCAGTTCGACAAACCCGGAGATTGGTCATCCACATCCCAAATGATGGTATGCTGTCTGAGCACATTGCTGGTGTTGATATTGTCCTGAATCCGCCGATGGCAGACTGTTTCACCGTGAGAACCTCGTTCAATACCAGCTTCGAACCATGTTCTGGAGCCGCAGTATGTTTCTCTGTTACGGAGGTTGACGGCACTGTCGTTGCTCCGGCCTGGAATTACATTAGCCACTAGGTAAGTTGCTTGTGCGGGGTAGGCTTGCCTTGATCATGCGATGCCATGGTAAATATGATTCGTCGAACGGGCGATGCAATGGCAGTGGATGAGATATGAACAGAAACATGGGCTGAAGTATCCGAATCCCACCCCCAGTATTTCCTTTGTGTACTGTTCCATCCGATCAATGGTGTCCCCCATTTCGCTTCCAATCGCTTTGTCTCAGCTGCGATAGTCGGCTGACATGAATGGAGAATCCGAACCAGATGTGAATACCATGTCTCGTCAGACCACCTGGTAATCCACGTGCTGTCTGGATTCCCTTCAACCCCGACGGTGGCCTTTCGCTTCGGCTGTACAAGAAGTTCGATGCTTTCTTCTCGTCCCCGTTCGAGTGCAAAGTCCAGTGCGGTTTTACCGCCATATGTAGCGATTTGTGCCAGATTGCCCTCATCAGAGTCAAGCAAGACGGTCATCATCTCCTCCACCAGGTTTCTGTTGCCGTTCTGGACACAGGTGTGCAGGGCAGTCTCTCCGATGTAGTTCCGTGCATATAGATCGGTACCAGGGGATTCTAGTATAGACCGGAACTTGTCCATTGAAAGTCCCATCACGGCTCTATGCAAAGGGGTGTTTCCATATGCGTCAATTTCAAACGGATACTCGTCCAGGAGGAGGTTTTAGAATGGCATCATAATGTTTCCCTCAGCAGCATAACGAAGCGGGTCTTGGATAGAAGGGGAGGTGATGGTGATATCAGCGCCTTGCTGTAGGAGATATTTGAAATTCTCCAGGTTTTCAGTCTCGAATGCAGCAAAGAGAGGCGTTCTTCCCTGATCGTCAATACTGTCAATCGGCATGGCTTTCTCCTTGAGAAGAGAGGAAATGAGTCTCGGTGTGCAGTGCTCTGCAGCCAATTGAAGGACGGTCGACTGGTTCAGTTCAATCTCTGGCAGCTCTAATAGCTTCTCTGCCACATCTTCATTTGCACAAGTCAGAGCCTCCATCAACGGCGTCATTCCATCCCGATCGGCCAGATTCACACTATCCCTCGCCCCATTCTCTAGAAGGTAAAAAATCACCTTTGGATCCCGATGTCGAGCCGCATAATGCAACGACACTTTCCCCTCGGTCGTTGGCGTCAGAAGAATCCCCTCACGCTGAGAAAGCAACTTGATCCTCTCCACCACTTCGTCCCCGGACAGCGTCGGATCCCGATTGCTCAACGCCTCCATCAACGGGCTTTCGTTAGCTCGATCCATCGCCCCAATATCTGCCCCCTCTGCAATCAAACGCTCAATCAGACTAACAGCACAGTCCGTCTGCGCCACCAAATGCAGAAGCGAGTGTCCATCGTTATCCGTAAGATTGACAACATCTCTCCGTCCATTTCTCACACACCACTCCAGAATCATCACAAACCTATCTTCCCGACCGCACGAGATGGCACAAGCCAACACTGTGCGTCCATTACGATCCGTATTATCAACCCTCGCCCCCCTCTCCAAAAGCATGTCGATAATTGTCTCTGATTCCTGACCACCAGATCCCTCAACGGCGTAAAACAGTGCTGTTTCACCATTCGTATTCTTATACTCAACATTCGCCCCGTGATTCAGCAGTCGTTGAACGATACGCTTTCGGCCGAAATTCGCTGCCCAGGATAGCGCGCTTCCAAACGAGTCCGGCTGTTCTTCTATGTCTGCCCCCTTCCTGAGTAGAAGCTCGACTACGGGGTCAAGGCCTTCCTTTGCAGCGCATATTAGTGCTTCACCTATGTCGGCGCCGTCAAGTTCGTGCTTGAGAGTGGCTAGAAAATCCATAATTTCCCAGTCCCGAGAGCTGCCGGAATAATCTGCCACGATCTTCATCGTGTGCCAGCGACACGCTATATCGGGGATGGTTTGGGCGGGGAGCAGGATTTCATCATGTAGCATGTGGACTGTGGGTTCGATTTCCGAATTGATGAGGTGCGATCGATCGAACTGTTTCTGTTATTTTCAGATGGTGTTATCTGGATGAGATGGTTATCCTGTACGTACCAGTATTTCTTTGATAATCGCATGTCTGTTTTCTGGTATGTCGAATATCTGCCATAAGTGCTGGCAGCTGCGGCGGAGGCGCAGTGCATCGTCCAGATCGTCAAAGGCTTGGTAGATTGATACAAGTAGCTCCGCTGGAAGTGTTTCCATTGCTGATTGTAACTCTGGGTGCTAGTGAATTGTTGAGGGAGGAATATGTTCTTATAAGCACTGTGACTCATGCCTGACTGAGGATCACTGCCCAAGCGGAATTTGAGACAAGGGTGTGTTGCCGCAGGACGCATCATTAATGTATGTCTCATTGTACCGCCGCATCTCCTTACTTTTCTCCCTGGAAGCAGGGATATGGATCAGAATCCCAGATAACACACTGGAGTAATCGAAGCCGTCAGATCAGAAGAAATATCCAGGAAGCTATTAGCGCAATCAAAAAATGTCCTGCAAATTAACGCACTAGACAATATCTTCAGCGCAGACATTTCTAAGTAAAGGGTATCTGACCTTTACAGATATATTCAAGCTGTCTATATTTCAATTTAGCATCATATACAGAATGAGATAGTACATACAACACCAGTGTGTGGAGAACAGGGCTTCTCGTCCATTCAGCCGCGCTTAAGCCAGTATTATGAATGTGGTCAGAACATAATTGAGCCTTCAGGGGCTCGCCACTTTGTGGGTGATGGCTGTGAAACAGCAGAGTGAGTTCAGGGGAGCGGGGTAATTTAAGGGTGAGTTAGTGGGTGAGTAGGTAAGTGCTATTGTTGACAGTGAAAGACAAGATAGGTACGGCATTCTATCAGGCAAACCTGTCCAAACCACCCCAATGGCAACAAACATTCAAGTTGCGATACCTGGATGCGATCCTTAAGGAGTCAATGCGATGCTGCCCGGTCATACCGTTTGGCCTAGAGCGTGTCGTTCCACCAGGCGGTATCATTCTTGAAGACCGATTCATTCCCGAGGGAACTTTACTAGAATGCCATATCGAGGCTCTTCGAAATGATAGAGCGGTATATGGGGAAGATGGTGAAGTCTTTCGACCAGAGCGTTGGCTTACCACTGACACCCAGCGGCGACGACGCATGGAGCAAGGACTGTTGGAATTTGATATCGGCAGACGAATTTCACCAGGGGTTTTCGTTGCGTGGATTGAGTTGAAGAAAGCCGCTGCTTTGATGATACTGAACTTTGATGTGAGTCAATTGCTTAAACAATAGGGTACTAGGCTGATATTGGACCGACTTAGTTCCATGCTCAGAGAGATCGCGACCTTAATATCACGGCCTATCATGATCTGCCACCCCTGATGGTCAGTTTTTCTCAGAGGGTACACTGAATTAACCAAGCATCAATGGGAATAAACGCCCGAGCCAGAAATCACAGCCCGACAGAACCGACGGGCATTTTGGTGAGATCCTGTACCATACTCCGTTTGATTTGGAGTTTAGAGCGATACACGAGAAATGCCAAACGAGAGTCCTCTAGTAGGCCTATCCGGCCCAGATATTTTGCACCATTTGTGGCCTGCAGCCAACTTGCTAGATATATCTTCATCTGACCTCTGGGACTACCGAAGGTCGATATTTTTCTAATTCTCAGGCGCCGACACCTGTTCCGTTTTGTCGAAGACCTTCAACACAGTCTGATAGATTGCTATCGATATGCTGGATGGACTCCTAGATGCTTGGAGGCCATGCAAGGTCGAATGCGTTTCAAATTCTACAGCGCTTCTTCCGGAGCTTATCACGAGGAGCAGCGTCTATCTCGCTGGCGGAACCACAACCAAAATGCTCGCAGAGCAGTGATAAAACACTCGATGGATAGTGCTATCTTGTAGTACCCTAGTTGGCTTCTATCAATGAGGCAATTCTATTTCTGAAAAATCGCCAGGTATCAACAAACGGGAAGCTTCAATTGATCTTGGTTTCGCCAGTCAAAATCAAGTCACGAGGAAGGGCAAGTCCTTTGTCAGTGCTGGCCGAAGAAGGGTCATCAGCGTTGAAGATGTGCTTGCCAGGGTAAAGTAAGTTCCTGGTCAAGAAATAGTCGAGTGTGTTCATCTCCAGTTTCACATTCGGACTGGGTACCTTCAAGTTCCGAAGGTGCTCAGGAATAGCGGTGCTGCCACCAAAGATCTTTTCCCACCAGCCTACGTCTTCCGCAGATTTTTTGATCGTCCATTCCTTGTCGCTTGTCCAGTCGAATCTGAGCAAATTAGGGTGTTCCGCGGTCTTTTTATCTTTCCACGAGCCTTTTGCGGTCCAGACAAACTCACGATTTGTGGTGCCACTTGAAATCATAACTGGACGGTGAACACCACTCTCTCTCCATTCCCAGTTTACTCGCTGCCTGTCGCTGGTGTAATTTATCTTGTGGGACTTCGAATTGAGGCCGCTGTCAAAAGAGATTGTCGTCTCCGGCTCAGAGGGACTGAATTTAATACCGTCCACGTGATGAGTCTTGTGAGAAGGATAAAGGCCACCCGAGTCATATTCGAGGTCATACTTCTCGATGTCAACATCGCTGGCGATTAATTTTCCGCTGAATTTCAATCCACCTGCAGATCCGTCATTATAGGTCAGTCCTGAATCACTTCAACGGATCTCAACCGTGACTTGCCGTTGCTAGACGCGATAGCCTTGAAATCATTGAAGTATTTGCTTAAACCAGGCTGTGGTGGTATTGTTAGCAGCCTCTCCTTCAAAATATAAATGTGGGTGGTTGTACCATTAAATATTGTTTCGTCAGTAAATCATTATCCAGGATGAGGCTGCAAGTACGTCCGCGGGGGATGGGAATCAAACCCCTGTCATAAAATGTACCTCTGAAATTCCCCTTGGAGCTTTGGTCTTTGTTTGTTCCTTCCTTGACAGAGATCCACATACACAAGGCCGATTCGTCGTCTTTGGTCTTGCCTTTCAACGTGTTGAAGCAGAACGAGCGAGGCTGGAGAGAATGGGATCCTAACTGGGGATCGTATTGATTGGAAACACTGGCGACAAAATATTTGAGTTCAGCATTTTCCTGGAAGTATTGTTTGAGAGCATCCAGCATGAATGTCTTGCCTTTGACTGCCTTTCTGGACTCGTCGGTGGTGCCGATTAAGTCGACTGATGCCTTCTAAAAAGGTAAGGCAAACACCCTGCGATATGTCTTTCTCGTCTGGGTTGATGGGAACTGTCTCGTTTGCCGGTGCGGCTTTCGCGCCTTTCCCTGCGAACCCGCCTTTGCTCTGACTGGAGTCCACGGTACCAGTCACATTGCTAAGCGTGGTCTTGAAACTGAGCACCATTCCGGAGGGTAATGTTGTAGTTCTGATATGGCCTATAACATCATAGCGTGCTTTTTGGATGTCGAATTTCAGTGTGATGTTTCCGTGGCCGTCCTCGAACTGAATGAGAGGATGGTCCAGAGTCATGAAAACGTCAAGTTCGACATCCTCATCTGTTATGGGGTCGGAATAGGATGTCTTCAATGGCCCAAAATTCAGAATTGATTCCACCTCTTAGGAGCGCGCCCAGAGGAGTTGATTGATTTTCTCTTCCGAGTAAGACACCAGAACGTCGAACCCTTCGGTTGTCTTGATGCCCTTCATCTCGTTCCCAAGCGTGAGGAAATTAAGTTGCTTTGCCATTTTGCGACGTAAGTCTGAGGCTGTTCAGGCGAAAAGAACTCAAAGATGATTGTGAAATTCAAAGATCGTTTTGTTGGAAGACCTGACCAGGTTATATGATAAATGGCCCCATCACAGTCCCCGTAGCTTGGCCGCGGAGTTTGAATTGGAATTTTCTGTATTGGTATGTGGGAAATCGCATGTCTGGCTGAACTTGTTAAGAAATAACTATTCAGCTGAGCTGAGTTGCCTGATAGCAATCATCGTTCATTCGGTGATGATTTACATACCCACACGATTCCACTCCGTGTTTATAGCGCCATGATTGGGCCAGTACGCGTGACAATGCAGCCTATCCGAGTCCAAGCAGCACAGCCCGGAATGTCTTTGGCGGCCCGACCAACCAATACCACACAGAGTACGAACAATAACATCAGAATGCGCATGGTGGGGGTTACTTTTATTTTTTTTTTTTCTTTTGTGAATTAAAGCAACGCTTCAGCTCGCTTAAGTTGCTGTCAGTCTAGAAAGAGAAGAAATCCTGAAGTGCCGGTATCTTGGACTTGGAGGCCTCACTCGACCGGAAAAGGGGTTGTCTGCTGTTCAGAGAAGTGGTCCCTTTACCAGATTCCATCCACCATGGCTTCTGTTTTGCTAAATAACAACTATGCTTCTCATAGCAACGACAAGGCCACCATTATTCTGAGGACGGAGAAATACACCATCCCAAAAAAGTTCAAATTCTCCACAGACACCTGCCTGATCTACGCAGAGACAATCGAACTTACCTCCGACATCACTGCCCAGGGCAAGAGCATCGGTCTCTTTTGCCATAGGCTCAAACTCTCAAGTCATGTCACCATTGATGTCCCGGGCGATAAAGGTGCGGCAGGCGACAATCATGTTGATAAGGATAGGAGACGGCGAAGATGCTGGAAATGCTTGAATCTGCGTCCAGTCCCTTCCAAGAGAAAATGCTTTCCATAACCTGGAAATCAAGGCGTATGGAGGAGACGGTGGCAATGGTGGCGACAGCACTTCATCCCAAGATGATTCAAAAGAAACCAGAACCGGTGGAGCTGGCGGGAACGGTGGAAATGCAGGTAGGCATGCATGTTCGGGTTCTCTCACGGATAGGCATAATGACCTGGTCTAGGCGACATAGAATTGTTGTTCGGAACAGCAGATATGGACGCTGCTCGTGCTCTGGTGAAAGTCCAGAAGCGACCGTGGCCGGAGCCGGCTTTGTGTCTGACAGGGCCAGTGCTGTCATACAGTCTCCCTGGTTATCTCCCAGAAGAGCAAAAACAGCTCCTTGAGCTTCTCAAGAGCCTTAGTGGTGTGATTCAATCCCTGGCCCGCCAGCTCAAGATCCTGTCGAAAGCAGGCGACACCAAGGAGATTCAAGCCGTTGCTTCTTCCCTCATGCAGGAAGCGTATACCAATCTCGCGCTGAAGAGTAAGGCACCGACGAATATCACTATTGAAACAGTCAAATTCCTTCAAGTGGTACTAGACTCGATTCGTTCTCTGAACCAAAGGACGCCAAACCTTGATGCAACTGAAATCCTTACAGATGCCAAACAAGCCATCGTAATCGTCGTTCCTCAAGAGGATTCTGAAATGGTCTCTCTCACGGGACATCTTGAGAATCGGCTTCGTCAAAGTATTTCAGACATGGAGGGTTCTGCTTGCGAAAGGGCCAAGTTGAACTATAGAGGCGAGTATCTGAATCAACCAGTTTAGATTGCTCTCCAGCTGACAATATTAGGTGCCGGGGGCTTTGGTGGCATCGGATCCAAAAACAGTGCCAGCGGCAAAGATGGACTGAAAATTGGCAGCAACCGTGCTAAAGACTTGCATTTTGAAGGAACAAAGAGAGACGTTGATGTCTTGCAAGCCCATATTTTCCCTGAGCATTGTCAGATGCTTTTGAATAAGGCAGACGATTTGTTCTTCAGCAGTAATACCGAGAACTAGAAGTGCGCAGATACTCTCCATAACACTTTACTCGACCGTCTCCAAGTGCTAGATGGCTTCCAGGGCGGAGATTCATCTGGTTCGTTCAATGCTCTGGAAAACCTGGAAACTGAGCTTAATGTAACAAATAATCCCGGCGTGCAATTGAGATCAGTCTGTGAGCAGGCCAATAGCCGACGCAATCGGCTGCTTTTGGGCTAGGATATGTTTGGACACGTCGATAGTTGGGTACCTCGTCTGTCCTTTAGTTTCTATGCTCAGTCTGTTGAACAGCGATTCGGGGTGCTCGAATCGGTAGAGGATCTCACAGCAGCATATGAAGAAGCTTTTCAGAAAGAAACCGACACTCGTACCATGATCGACCAAGGCATTAGCAAGATGGCGGATGCCCAGAAAGAAGCCCAGGACAAGATCGACCTTCTTACTTCCCCTAACGGTCCGCTGGTCAATGGCGTCCATAAGATCTCCTTTCTGACCGAGGATATGGAGGCTAAGCGGCAGGTACTCGTGAAGAAGTTGAAAAACATTCAGTTTACTCGAAAGGATTTTGACTGGTCAATTACTCTTGACGCTGGGTCTTTGCTTCTCTCGACCAGTTTGAGTCTGAAATATTTTCTCGATGAGACGAAAAAAGGCTACGAGATATATCAAAAAGCGACGGATGACTCAACGGCCAAGAACCTTAAAGGTGATGCAGTGAGGGAAGAGTACATAATCGACAACTTCTCAGTGTTCCGAAACGGTTATTCACTGGAAAAAGCCCTCAAGACTAGGAGAAAACAATCAGATCGAGATTGATGACCCTGGGGCCTTGAAGATTATAGCTACCAAGGACGATATTAAGAAGATTCTGCGCGAGTTCAAGAATGCGATTGTGGAGGAAAGTAGAAAGGCTATAGAAAGCGCATTGGATGATTTTATTACTGTTACTCTAGATCGCAAGCCACTGATGGTGAAAATTGCCCATTCCGGAAACGAAACCTTGGAAAGCACCGAGGGACAGGGACTTGAGTTCTCGCATGACACCGTCAATATTCAATTCGAATACAATACAGCCAATGTCCACACGCCAGATGACTTTAGCACCAGTGTCGTGTTCGGTATGCAAGGACTTGAGAATGATTGGAGTGGTGGTGACACTCCACCGATTGCATCGACGTTTGCTGCGACAGGACCCTTTCCCTTTACTCGGTGGCGTTTCACTATTCGCGAGTCAGAGAACGTCGGCTTAGATATGGGATCAGTTACGGCTGCAAATGTTGAATTTCGGGGAGCCAATCGGCCTTTCTCGGTGGATTACCAAAAGGCGTAAATGAAGGGCTGCGGGTGATATTGAAATGTGTACCTATTGACGCTAATAGTGTGATTCACATGAAATTGGAATCGTCAGATTGGCACGATATCAACCCGCCACTATCATTATCTGATATCAGAACTCCAGAATGTTAAATACAAAGCGCATCATGGCACTCTCCTGCGGCAAAGGATCGATAATCTTCTCGACATATTCTGGCCAGTCCTCAATCCACTGCAACAGGGGAATATAAGAGCGTATTCCCAATACGAAGGATACCATCCAGCCGTTTCCCAGTCCACGAGAGCGGCTATTTTATACTCTTCTTCATTTGTAGAATTCACAACATTCCTGACAAGAATATTCTCTCTCCAGAGATCTCCATGTGCAAACATAGGTGGATTATTGCCAAGCGCCGATGGGAGATGTCGAGCCAGATAGTCATCCTCTTAACACCATCGCTAGTAACCAGCAGGGTAAGAAGTAAATTACTAAAAATCCAAAGGAGGACCAGATTCGCGCACAAGCTCTTCTACGAATCGTCCATGCTCTTCTCGTCTCCTTCATTGGGGGCAACGAACGGCCCCTAATACACGGAGGTTGAGCAGCATTTTTGACTATAGTGTCTACTGACATACCATGCTGTGGCCCTATGAATGTATAGTAATTTAGCAGAAGAGCCTAGTATAGTCCCAGCCAGTACTAACCACTAGGATAAGGTTTATATATATAACTAAAGGATCTCTTATGAATATTATTTACATTTATTACTGCTGTTAACTGACTTTTTAATGTCTGTTTGATATTTCTGGAAATAGATGGTGAACCATGGGCTTATATCTAAATTAAAAATTGACAATCATTTTGTATAAGAGAATATATATTAGGGTTAACGATCCATGCTTTGATGAGCGTGTTGGCGATTTTTCCTCTTGGCAGCCGGTTGCTGGGGACGTATGGAGCGGCGTGGATGTATCCATGTTTATATGGTGGAAGAGGAGTTTTGCAATGACGAAGCACGGCGCCTTATCCCGTCTACAACAGCTTTGAGACCAAGAGGGGTCTTCAACGGGATCTTCTCTATGACACCTGAAAATATGCCACTCGTTAGGTCTAGCTCTTCTGTTAACGATATCTACTTGGCAGCAGCAGTATGAGTTACTCAAGCAGCTGGTGCAGCCAAGATCCTGGTTAAGATATTTTATGGAGTGGTGGTTGATGATATGTTCAAGGAACAATTGGATCCAACGAGGGTTCAAAGGAGAGAAATCGAAGTTCTGAAGCGAGAATCATTGATTGGGTATAATAATATATACCAAACAGTTGGAAATAACATGGGGGGTAGACAGCACTGGTTGTTATGACCTATCATAGAACAATACAAGGTCAGCTTTATGACCCAAACACCACGTAGCTGCTGACAACAATATAATTATAGAAACCCACAAGGTATATAAATCAAACAGACATCAATGGGTATTGATTAGTCTGATGAACGATGAAATTGTATCTTTTCATCGTATTGGTATGTATAACACACTCACCGATGACAGCATTTACAGCTTTGACTTTACTACCTCGACGCCTCATAAAATCACCTGGTCGCATCTCAAATCAGATGGAAGATAGACAATGGGACTGACGTCCTATTATGCCATGACCAAGGGAAATTACAAGCCACTGTTCTCATTACCGAATATATCGAATTGTCTATTGGACTATGTGTGGTCGCTCGCAACGTCAAAGTTTGGTGGCGCATGCTCCATGACGCCGATGCACAAGTACAAGCCCGGCTGTCTAACTTTACATGTTAGAAGATTGTATGCCTCGGCTATTACAATCAGATGGGCTCCAGCACATGCCAGCTCTTTACAGTTTAAACATTTGGATTTTGAAAATAGCCATGGCCATAATATAATCTGTCGAGCTGCAGGGGCTTCTCAGGATCGGTGAAAAAATGGTTCAGCCTCAATGATTTCATCCATGACCATAATACTGTCGAGAATAAATATCATCCGTATATATACTAACCAGGCAGACCCTAGTGGTATCAGCGCATCGAAACTATTGCAGTTTCGGCAGCGGTTGGGCCTGAATGATAGACCCGACCAGTCATGACATCGTTTGAAGCCGCCAACCTCAGTCCTGCGGCAAGTACCCAAGCACGCCAGCGCCGAACGACGATTGTTATGTGTGTTATCGCCTTATTATTCACGATACTACGTGTAATTTCTCGCAAAAAGCAATCTTTCAAGCTGGCAAAGGATGACTGGGCACTGTTTATTTCTTTGGTGAGGCGACAGATATACTACGGTGAATTCTGACCCTGACAGCTTTCCAGGGCTTTGTATATACCCTCAGTGGGTTGAACTTTGGGCGTATGGAACTAATCCTCATATGTATAGGACAAGGCTAAAAAAACGCAGTCGTTCATAATGGGATGGGTTTGCATCAGGCTGCATTGCCTGCCCAGAATTTAATCGTGATACACAAGGTAAAGGCATACGCCCAGACACAGGCACAATAAACTGATAAATGATCAGATATTGCTAGCATTTGAGTGCATCTATACCTCCTCGGTAGCGATGATCAAGATATCGGTTCTTCTCATGTACCATCGTATCCTCAGGTCCGAAAGGAGCTTTCGAATCGCTGCGCTCATTCTCGGTCTGATCACCATTGGATGGTGGATCTCGATTGTCTGCGTTTGCATATTTCAATGCAATCCTATCGCAAAAGCCTGGAATATCGTGCTTCCTGGAACATGCATCAATCTACGAGGCTCGTTTATTGGGAATGGCGTTCCCAATATCGCAACTGATGTTGCTATCTTATCCTTACCAGCTCCGCAGGTGTGGAAGCTTCATACGAGTGTACTGAACCGCCTTGGAGTCATAGCTATTTTTGGCTTGGGAAGTTTGTAAGTTTGAGATATCCATGGCAATACTTGCTCATCTTTGCACTTGCCGATTTACGCTTTAGTGTCCTCGCCGCCAGTATCTACCGATTCAGTACTCTGTTTGCTTTTGACATCATGGATCTTACCTGTAAGTCTCTGTCTCAATGACATGATTGCCAGAAATTACTGACCTGTATAGGGACACTTGCAACCCCCTGTACATGGTGTGTCGTCGAATGCGCAATGGGCGTGACATGTGCCTGCCTTCCAACCCTCCGCCCACTGTTCAAACTAGTATCGGCATGGTTCGGATGCAAAGTTGGCGCCAAAGACAGCCCCTTCAGCAACATTTTCGGACAAATGAGACAGGCCGAACACCCTGTCTGGCTCGGTAGTGATAATGGCTCGCCATCTTGTAATGGTGCAGTGAAGGACTCGCAATCTACGGCGGGCATGGACAGTATGGTTTCTGATGAGATGTTCTTGCGGAGGGAAATGAGTGTGCGCGGTGAGAGGATAAGGTTGGTGTAAACTTTCAGATATTTAGATTGTGAGCTTTGTATAGAGGGTAAAGGATAAAAATTGCTAATTTATTTTTAAATCCTGGGAGGTGCCGGCACATGGTCATGAAAGAAAAAATGTATTCCCCGGGTCTATAGTAAGGTACTGGATAAGGTTTCTCAGCATTGTGGCTGTATTTAATATCGAGGGTTGATGATCTCTGTTATTGAATAAACCTCAAGATTAGCTGCTAAGATGAGGACCCGCGATTGAAACAGTAGACCATGTTCTGGTTTCAGAATAGGTCTGCTCTTGACTTCGTTTCGTCAACACTCTGCATTTGGAATACGATGGGCTGGCAACAGCGCGTAAAAAGGTAAACAGAGGAATTATCGATATTAGCTTTGTTTGGATTTTGCCCTGCGTTGATATTGCAACCTTAAATAGAATGAACTTCAGATCTGCAGGGAATGTAATGCTGCCCCATCCCAAAACGTATACATGATTCGTCAGCCATCCAAATGGCATATAGCAGTTTTGCGGTCCTGCATCTTTGAAATGACCCAGATACACGTGCCATATACTCAAACTTAATAGGCCATTCACAGTAGTATATACTTAGTAGTCTTCCACTACTTCAACCCTGTCCTTGTCTATGAATAGCATGTCAGTCGAGACTGTATAAGGTGATCAAGATGCATACAAAAAGCAACGTGGTCCTTGATGTGAGCAGCGGCATCATATGGATATTGATAATACCATGCTGCATTCTCGATTACTTCCCCTGCAGCCATTAATATTTATCTCCCTCGACATATAATTCACGAACCATTTAAATTAAGATGCCAGTATGAAGCATGGCCCTTCCAGGAACAAAATGTTGACCGGTCTGAGTGCTGGAGGATCGAAGGATCTTTGATTGCTGATATGGGAAACTGTATTTATTAATCATTTTTATCAGCACGAACCGGAAAAAGTACATACATAAATATTGTCTTCCACCGTCTCCCAAACTTCTGTTTCTGCGATGATCAGATCGCCTATCTTGGCCAGAGCACGAGGCATGATGCGGAGGGATGATAACGAAGATGAAAGTTAGTTGCAATTAAGATTATATGTAATTTCCTGTAATTATGAAGTCAGAAAAAAAAAAATTAGGACAGTTGAAATGAGATGATTTATTAATCGAGTCATATGCAGCCGTTCTGATGCAATACGAGATCCGAGATAGGCGCTGACTAGGAAAGGGTCAATGCTATTTAATCTCCGCCGAAGCCACTCAAACCCTCCGATTCAGGGAGATGCAAGAATGTGGTGATGATGTTTATTATGATGAATTTATAGGGTATTCCATGTGTCTTGATGCTTTCGGCGGGAATGTGTCAACATATTTTGTGTGTATGTTATGGCGTGCTCTGAATATTGCAGTATTTTAAATGCTTCATGTTGAATGAGGACAGGAATTCAAAAAATTTGTTTATGTGAATGAGTCAACCGCGCCCTAGGCATCATGACAGTAACAGAAACCACCTCTTTAGCCTCATCAGCCAACAAAGAAATCACAGACGATGTATTCGACAGCTCCGTTTTCGACCCGGTGTTGGCGAAAAAGTTGACTCTGGTCAACACGGCCATTGACCAAATCGGCATGACTCCATTCCAATGGAAGCTCTTCTTTCTCAACGGGTTTGGATATGCCGTTGATTCGGTAAGACACGCAGACATGTTGCCTGTTTGGCGCTGACAATGCAGCTTTTGATCATCTGCCAATCTATCGCCCAGCCAGCTGTTGCGACTGAGTATGGTGCCCCGAACAAGAAGCTGGCCGGAATTGCCCTTGCATCCCAGATTGGCCTGCTGGTGGGCGCTGCCGTTTGGGGTCTGTCTGCTGATATCATCGGGCGTCGATTTGCCTTTCATTCCTCCTTGCTGCTGGCGGCGGTGTTTGCCATTATCGCAGGTGGAATGCCGGGATATATTTCGTTTGCAACTTTGTAGGTTCTCACTACATGTTTTACAGGCCTTTACTGATAATCCAGGGTGGCCTTGTACTCGGCAGCCGTCGGGGGGAATTATATCCTCGATTCAACGACTCTGCTGGAATTTCTTCCAGCACGCAAGTCGTGGCTGGTAACTTTCATGTCCATCTGGTGGGCTGTTGGGTACACCATTGCCGGATTGCTGGCATGGGCATTCATGAGCAACTTCAGCTGTGCCTCAACTGCGACACCGGCTACGTGTGCGCATCACGAGAACATGGGATGGCGATACCTGCATTTCACCATTGGCGGGCTAGTGCTTGTTCTCAGTCTGCTGCGGGTGTTTGTGATCCGCATGGTGCAGACGCCGAAATGGCTGATATCGCAGAATCGTGACGAAGAAGTCATTACCTTTTTGACCGGGTTGGCAGGGAAGTATAATCGTCAATTCAGTCTGACCTTGAACGATCTCCTCAATGAAGGCGACGTCATTCATACAGATCAGTCGGCCTGGTCGTCTGTCCGACTGTTAGAGCATTTCAGCGGACTGTTTCAAACGAGAAAGCTCGGCTGGTCGTATATCATCATCATCCTTAACTGGTTCGTGATTGGTATCGTCAGCCCTCTTTACCACGTCTTTCTTCCGTATTATCTCAAATCCCAGGGCGTCAAGGTCAAGAGCAGCTCGAACTATATCATCTGGAGAAACTACGCGATCAACCAGGCCGTGGGACTAGTCGGTCCCATCATTGCTGGTCTTTTAGTCGAAACCAAGATCTTTGGTCGTCGAGGTACCATGGCCCTTGGTGCGTTGCTCACCATGGTGCTGCAGTTTGGATACACGCAGATCAAAACTCCAGCGCAGAATGTGGGTGTTTCTGCTGCCATTTCTGCTGCGACGTATGTTCCACCCATCCCTTTGTCCGAGTATAGCTAACTGAGGCAGGAATATCTACTACGGAACAATGTACGCATATACCCCTGAAATCCTGCCATCTGCACACCGCGCCACGGGATATGCAATCTGCGTGATGTTTAACCGGCTCGGGGGTATTCTGGGTGTGATTATTGGAAGCTATTCGAATGTCGAGACGACAACGCCACTGTTCGTGTGTGCTGCTTTGTTTGCTTTGTTGATTATCCTCAGCCTTCTTCTTCCTTTTGAGAGTCGTGGGAAGAGAACGCAGTAGCTGTGTTGTTTACATGGCCCTGTATGTAGGTTGAACCAGGATATATAGACACCAGACCAGTGATCGTAACATCGCAATCACCTGAAAGCTGACTGGACCCTTGCATGAAGTGATTTAATCATACGGCGGCTTGCTATTATTATATCTGCAGCGATAATGGCGTGATTCTTTCACTGGTATAAAGTTCAGGAACGTCTCATGTCACCTCGTATTCTGTAGCTTAGACTATATAATCTTTCGATAGAATAACTTCCCCTCATTTCCCGCTGATAAGTATAGACATTTATATCAATACTTCCTTGTAATCACGACATAGCTACAGTACCCAGGCCGCGAACCTGTATTATCAGGGGGAATCAAGATGAGCCTCGTGTTTATATAAAACTGACACCCCAATGCCTCCACATTCACATGCAACGTGCTTATAGGCCTTCATAAAATGGGAACACAGAAACCAGCTCTCCGGGCATCCTGCGACAATTGCCACCGCGCAAAGGTAAAATGCGTCCCTGTCTCAACGGCTGGATGTCACCGATGTCTGACACTGAATGCGAAATGCATTCACAGTCCACCTGGTCGGTCTGGGAGGACTCCGTCGGGGAGGAAGAATAGTGCTTCGTCTGCTTATCCAGCACTGAATACCGAGGAGTATGGCGATGCTGCACTTTCGTTAGATGGTGCAGTCGATTCAACACTGTCAGGATGGCTGTCGATGCCTCCTACGCCGTCCTTGGAGGAGTCGGTGTATACACAGCTACCCATTGCACCGGAAACACCATCTTTATCGACGATCTTGATGGACCCTTTCAGCGAGACAGGCAATACTAGCACCCATCCATGCGGCTGCTGCACCTCCATCCTACGCGCATTGGAAACCGTACAGCAAACCGATGTCAACTCTCTCAGTCTCGACGTTGCATTGGCTCGGAATAAAGACGCTCTAGTGCATATCTGCACGTCTATCAAATGCACACTTCCGCACGATAGCACGACCCGACTGCTCATCTTGATCCTCCTCCGCAAGACTCTCCAGCTATACAAACACCTCTACCAGAACCGGCTGAAAGGACGACCAGCCGTATCTTCACCGGGTTATTCCGTGTCAGGAAGCGACTATGACTACTTTAATGTCCCTAGCTACACACAGCCAGAGAGTTCTGGCACGGCGCCTCAGATAGCCCGACTCACACTTGGGACGTACCAACTCGACGATGCTGATGAACGGTCATTAACCAAGCAGATTCTCCTACTCGATGTCGTCAAGGTTCCACGGTTACTGGAAAGATTGGATCAGAGGGCATGTGGGCTTGATGAGGCGGATGGGTTGGATTTGTATAATATGATGCGGAGTTCCCTTATTGCGGATTTCCGGGGTGCTATGGCTGATCTTCAGAGTTGAACCTGTCTATCTGTTCGAGTTATATATTGTTTATGCTGCTAAACCTTCCCCCATGTAAACCCAGCTTTAACAACCCGAGTAACATTCATAAATCCCCCACAAGCGAGCAGCACCACACCGGTGAATATCAACGTTCCTGTGAAATCCACCTTATCCTGCTTACTCTGGCTTGCTAGAATTGCCCCAGCAATCGGCGACCCGATCAATACCCCCACCGACGCAACGGTAAGCGCCATCCCAACGCGAACTCCGATCTGGCTCAGGTTTGGGCTCAACCCGACCAGCACCGCGGGAGGGAGTGCCATCAGTCCGCCCGAAAAGAAGGAGTATAGAAAGGAGGCTGCGATCAGGTTGGGGAGGCGCTGTACGGATGACCAGGCTAGGACGGTTATTCCGGAGATGTATGCGCAGGGCACGATGACGTTTAAGTTTCCAACTCTGCAATGGTTAGTTTATGCTGAAGTCAGTTGGGGGTAACATACTTGTCTGCGATGGCGTTCGGGACCATTCGCCCGATCATCCCTCCCGCGTTCATGATACTCAGAATGTAAAAGGAAAGGTCAGAGTCAACACCGATTCCGAGCGCATAGCTCTCCGCATAAAAGAACGGAATGAAAAACGCTGTAAATGCCAGTGCCAATCCAACAACGAAAGTCGCATATGCCGGCTCCTTGAAAGCATCAACATCCACCAACGGACCAGACCGACGAGGCGGCAGTCGCGGTCGGAGCAGGGAAACGCCAATCCCCAACGTAGCGAGCATGACAAATCCCATGGTCCGTACAGCCCAGGGGAATCCCACCGTGACGATGAGTCGGCGGATGAGGATGGGATAGACGATACCGCCGACGCTGCTTCCACTGGCTGCGATGCCGGTGGCCAGACTTCTCCGGGTAGAAAAGTACGTGCCGACCAGCGATATGGCAGGGGTGAAGAGACAGCCGGATCCCAGACCGACGCAGAGCCCCTGCGCGAGGAAGATCTGGTAGTATGTTGTGCTTAACGAGGTCATCATCATACCGAACACCTCGAGGATGATTCCTAGTGCGACCACGGGGTAGAAGTATCCGGCGTCAAAGGCGCGACCACAGAGAACCCCGACGAAGAGCAGCAGGAAGCCCTGGATGGAACCGATCCATGAGATAGCGGATGGAGAGGCGGTGGTGAGTAGCGTTGTGGAGTAGTATGTTTGGAAGATGCCAAAGGAGTTGGCAAGGCCCCTGATGGTCAGATTTGATGTTGTGTATCTGATGGTTTACTTACCAGGTATTCAGGACCAGCATGAAACTGCCCACGACTTGCAACCATGCTTTGAGACCACCATTTGGAGGAGGAGGAGGCGTTACTACCTTGACTTCGGCTTTGGGTGAGTCGGTCATTGTGTAGATTGAAGATGCTTGGATGACCAGGAGAATCCCACAATATTGTTCCAAAATATACTCGGGATAAAGGAAACTCTAAATCCACCGGGTCCAGAACAGGAAAGGGGAAAGGCAAAATAACGCCATCCAACGACAATTGTGCGTTGTCAACTTTATCTCGATGGTGAAGAGATCAAAGCGGGATCGTCCCGTTATTCCTCCATTTGGTTCGACTGAACAGGGATATAACATTATACAAAATATAGACCTCGTATTCATAGATAACTGTCTGCAGGCGAGCGACTATTCACAAACCAACAATCGAAATGGAATTTTCTCTCTACCTGGCAGTAGCAGTACTTGCTGTTATTTTCCTTGCCTTCTATCTGTCCCCTCGACGCGCAAAGGTGCCTGTGTATAGCACGCATTCTGGCTGGCTGGGAACCTGGAAGGACTCGTTGGACTATCTCCAAGACAGTGCGGGCGTTCTCAGAGCGGGTTATCAAAAGGTATTCTCATATTCCTACATCCTCTCCTTTGCTAATAGATCAGTTTTCTCAACATGGCCAATTCTTTCAACTGCGCACTCCCATCCGCTGGGTCGTAGTCGTGCCACCAAAATTCGTCGACGAAATACGCACAGCACCACCGACACATCTCAGCGCGAAAGAATCAGCCAACGATGTGAGCATCCAGGAACAAAGACAACTCGATAGATAGGATGTGCTGACAATCTAGGTGCTGTAAACGAGATACACAGTCTCTCCCATCGTAGAGACGCACAAATTCCATTTCCATATTGTCAAAACGCATCTCACGCCCAATCTGGAACACAAGATCGATGACCTTCGCGAGGAAATCAGTCTGTCTTTCAGTGATGAAATTGGGAATCCAGCTGGTGAGAACGTAAAATTACCAGATGAGAGTCATTCTAATATCCATAGATTGGACACCAGTTGTCATGTCCACGGCAGCCCATCGCATTGCGACACGAACGGCGAATCGACTCTTGGTCGGAGCTCCATTGTGCCAGAATGAAGAGTATCTCAACATGTCAATCAAATATACCGTCGATGTATTTGGAGGCGCCGATAAACTTCGTGGATGGCCTAAATTCTTACGCTCAACGGTGACGCAGTTCGTGACCAATGTCAAGGAACGACAGGCAATTGCGCGCAAGCATCTAATTCCGTATATCCAAGCTCGGCTTCAGGAAGAGACACCTGAGAAGCCTTATTCAGATTCCCTTCAATGGGTCATGGATGCAGCACCGCATGCAGGCGAGAAAGATCCGGAAAGACTCATGTTTCGACTGTTGCATCTGAACGTGGCTGCGGTGCACACCACCAGCGTCACCTTTCTAAACGCCATGTTTGACCTGGCTATGCATACTGATATTCATGCCGAGCTGCGTGGCGAGATTGAAAGCGCAGTGCAGGAACATGGCTGGACCGGACGAGCGCTGAGTCAAATGCGGAAGTTGGATAGCTTCATGACTGAAAGCCAGAGATTGGCTCCGATTGCCAGTTGTAAGTTCCCTTCTACACTCCATAATCCATGACTCTAACAGCTGCAGCCCAAATGACCCGAGCAGTCATCCAAGACTTCACCTTCTCCGACGGCACTACCGTCCCCAAAGGCTCCTACGTCCTGGCCCCAATGTATGCCATGTATCTCGACGATGATATCTATCCAAATGCATCCACATTTGACGCCTTTCGCTTCTCCAAGTTGCGCGAACAGCCAGGCCACGAAAATCGACACCAGTTTGTGAGTACTTCGCCGACACACATTAACTTTGGCCACGGTAAGGATGCATGCCCGGGGCGTTTCTTTGCGGCACAGGAAATTAAATTGCTACTCGCTCACACACTCATCCACTATGATTTGCGCTTGGAGGATATGGAGAAAGTGCCGGAGCCATCGTGGTATGACCGTTCTAGACGGCCGAATCAGACGGCCAAGGTGTTGTTTCGGAGGAGGGAATAGATTAGCTAGATATTTGTTACCTACTGTTACTCAATCTACTATATCTGCTGCGTTCATAATTATTGAGTGATCCATGATACTAGTAGACGATTTACTGTAGAGTCCAAGCACAATGCGCATACATCTGGTGGACGGCCTAGACCTTCGAGATGCGCCGGATCGGGTTAAGATAGAGTTAAAGTTGTGGAACGAGATCACAGCCACCCTCCGGTGCAGCTGTCGGCGGTTTGCAATTTTATTCGCCGATATCATCATCAAGTGATAAAGGTGGCGAATACGCTCTGTTCATCTTGCGCGGGAAGGTCGCACCTCGCCCTCGTGGCACAAGCAGGGATGGACCCGATGGGATTGGAGGTCGGCACGTTTTGCTAGAATACGAGAATGCAATCATTTCATGATATGGCGCATAATAAAATCGATGCGAGTATGGGTTTCAGAAATGTCACGGTGATGTAATTTCTTGGCTACCTTATTGTTCATGAAGTATAAAACCAAACAAGCTCGTCAGCTGCTGTTGGGACCATCGATACCCATAAACACCCCAAACCATCATGACTGACCAGTCCGACACGCTGAACCTTATCCTCCTTGGCGACCAGACGGGCAATGTCTCCTCGCTGGCCAAGAGACTGCTGCTGGATGCCCCGCAGAACGTTGCCCAGAGCGAGTTTGTCCGTGATGCGAGTGCCGCATTGAGAGCTCTCACAGATCGACTTCGCCCTTTCCATCGCGAGTCTCTTCCTCGCTTCGACACGGTTCACGCACTGGCTGCTATATATCACGAGAGCAATGGTAACTGCCATCCTGCCATTGCTAGCACTCTGCTCGCCATTGTTCAATTGTTACAGCTATTTCGATACTTGGAAGGCAAGCCTCGCCGGCCAGATACCAACCAGGATACTGCCGTCGTGGGCTTCTGTACTGGATCCCTAGTTGCTGCCGCATACGCTGCCTGTGTCTCTCTGGATGACCTCAAGGCACTGGCGGTGCCCACTGTCTGCATCGCGTTCCAGATGGGTCTTCAGGCCTCCACCGCCAGCAACATGCTCTATGAGCAGGGCAGCACCCTAGAGAGCTGGTCGACGGCCATCTCGAAAATCACAGAGGACGAGGTCCTCTCCGCCCTCAGTGTGTACGACGCAGGGGGTATGCTCTCCCTCCGCCATCGCTGCTTTGTGAGCGCTGTCAGCCTAAACAGTGTCACAGTCAGTGGCTCACCACCTGCATTGCAACGTTTCACGGACGGCCTGAAAACATCTCAGCCAGAACTAAAACTCCGGCCACTTCCCATCTTCTCTGCATACCATGCCTCCCATATCCACGCTGTGCTGGACTTCCCCAGCTTTCTTGCCCGTGCCGGCGTGGACCCTGAACTACTTGCCAGCTTCCCGACGAGCAAGACTCTACTTTGTCCATTGACAGGGAAGCCGGTGGAATCTCCAAATGCTCTTGGCCTGTTCAGGAGTGTTGTCCATCACACATTGCAGGCTCCGCTGCGCTTGGACCTCGTGGTTGACCAGTGCGTGGCACAGATCAAAGCGAGTAACAAGACTTCCATCACGCTGGACGTGGTTGGACCTACTCCTGGTGCGGAAAGTGTTGCGGCTGCATTGAGATCTAGAACCCAGGCCCCTGTATCCGTCAGAGAGCTCGTGGCACTGGATACTAGAAAGGACCGGTCACCATCGGCGTATAGCAATGCCCCTCTCGCGATAGTGGGACTGTCGGGCCGATTCCCTGGTGCTGACAATGCTGAGGAGTTGTGGAGGGTCTTGGAGGCCGGACTCGATATGCACCGGGTGGTAGGTCCAATATCGAGGAGAAGCTATATAACCGCGATGCTGACATGACTAGATCCCTAAAGACCGATTTGATGCAGATCACCACGTTGATCCGAGTGGGAAAGCAAAAAATACCAGCTGGACACCGTATGGCTGCTTCATCGATCGACCGGGCGAGTTCGATCCCCGATTCTTCAACATGTCTCCCCGTGAAGCCCTGCAGACAGATCCCATGCAGCGTCTGGCTCTGGTCACCGCGTACGAAGCACTCGAGATGTCGGGATATGTTGCCAACAGGACCCGTTCGACAGCCCTCAATCGCATCGGCACTTTCTACGGCCAGACCAGCGACGATTACCGGGAAGTCAACGCATCCCAAGATATTGGGACATATTTTATCACTGGTGGCATTCGTGCCTTTGGACCGGTACGTTTCTCTATCCGCAGATAATCCACCACTAACACTCACAGGGACGAATCAACTACCACTTCAAATTCGAAGGGCCCAGTTTCAATGTCGACACGGCCTGCTCCTCCAGTCTGGCCGCCATCCAACTTGCCTGCACTTCGCTGTGGAGTGGCGACTGCGACACCGCTGTAGCCGGTGGTTTGAGCGTACTCACCTCCCCCGATCTCTTTTCAGGATTAAGTCGAGGCCAGTTTCTCTCGCAGACAGGACCATGCAAAACTTTTGACAATGCCGCCGATGGCTACTGTCGTGCCGATGGCGTAGGAAGCGTCGTGATCAAGCGGCTAAGCGATGCCGAGCTGGACAATGATAACATTCTTGCTGTGATTCTCGGGGCAGCGACAAATCACTCCGCGAATGCAGTGAGCATCACGCATCCGCATGCTGGAGCTCAATCGAATCTTTACAGACAGGTACTGCAGCAATCCGGCGTAGACGCGTTGGATGTAGGCTACGTCGAGATGCACGGAACCGGCACGCAGGCTGGAGACGGAACAGAGATGCGGTCTGTCGTTGACGTTTTTGCTCCAGAGCGTCGGGGTCGAAATGCCAATAACCCGCTGTATGTGGGAGCGATCAAGGTGAGTTATATATTACCATTTCAAATGCGATGCTAATTTTGAAATAGGCAAATATTGGCCATGGTGAAGCTGTATGTATATGGCCCTCGTTATGATGCAGTGTGCTAACCAGATAGTCATCCGGTGTTTCATCCCTAATCAAGTCCATCCTCATGTTTAAGAAAGGCTTCATCCCGCCTCACATCGGCATAAAAAATGAGATCAACAAGGGCTTCCCTGATCTTGAAGCAAGAAAGTGAGACACCTTCTATATCCAACTGGCCCATCTAACAACGACAGTGTCCGCATCGCGATGGCAAAAACACCACTCCCTCCGCCGAAAGGGCAGAAGCGAACGGTTTTGGTGAATAATTTTAGTGCTGCAGTGAGTCCAAGATGATATTTTCTAGAGACAGAGACTGACTGGGCAGGGTGGTAACACGGCTCTTCTTATCCAAGAACCTCCATCCGTGGATCGCAAGGAGATTGATCCTCGTCCGTCCCACGCAGTGACGGTTTCCGGACATACCGTCTCGGCGCTTGACAACAACATCCAGCGGCTGGTTGAACATCTGTCGAGCAACCCAGATATTCTTCCTGGCGATCTGTCATACTCTACGACTGCTCGACGCACCCACTATCGCTTCCGCGTGACGGTTGCTGAACCCTCAACGGAGCGTATTCGAGTTGCCCTAGAGACTAAGCGAGAACTCGGTGCGTCCAAGTCGCAGTCAACCGACAAAAATGATGTGATTTTTGTCTTTACCGGCCAGGGCGCAAGCTATCCAGCTCTCGCCCAGGAGCTGTACGCAACATCGACCCAGTTCCGTGCGGACATCTCCCTATTCGATGGGATCGCAAAACAGCAAGGATATACCTCATTCCTCCCTCTCGTCGATGGAAGTGTCTCGGATTTGACTCAGCTCTCCGCGATCCAGACACAGGTCGGTCTAGTCGCGATCCAGATCGCCCTGTCTCGTCTATGGAAGTCATGGGGTATCATACCGACCGCCGTCGTTGGCCATAGTCTCGGCGAGTATGCTGCTCTCCAAGTAAGCGGCGTACTGTCCATCAGCGATGCAATTTTCCTTGCTGGCCATAGAGCTCGTCTTTTGGAAGGTCGATGCCGGATGTATACTCACTCTATGCTGGCTGTATCGGAGGCTTTTGCGGTTCTTGAACCGGTGTTGTCCGGTTTCCCTAACATTGAGCTAGCGTGCGCAAACAGTCCTCGAGAGGCTGTCTTTGCAGGTAAGCGAGAAGCAATTGACGATCTGGAAAGAGAGCTATCTAGTGCGCATATTCGCTCCACAAAACTCCAAGTTCCTTTTGCCTTTCATTCCGCGCAAGTCGATCCCATCCTGGACGATCTGGAAGGGGCGGCCAAAGCGATCAACATGGGCCCTCCTCAGATCCCCATCATCAGCTCACTTGCCGGGAAGCCACTTGGCCTTGACGATCGAATTGACGCTTCTTACATTCGCAACCACTGTCGACAAACTGTCCAGTTTTCCACCGCTGTGCAGAAGGCATGAGACCAAGGCCTTGCGAATGAATCGACGACGTTCATCGAGATCGGACCTCATCCAATCTGTCTAGGTATGATCCGTGGAATTCTCGGCGATGGTCCCCTTAGACTGGCAACTCTGCGTCGAAAGGAGAATCCATGGAAGGTTATCGTGAGTAGTTTGGCTTTCTTGCATGATCAAGGATTCGCGATCAATTGGTCTGAATACCATCGTGACTTTAACCACACTCATCGCCTTCTTACTCTTCCTTCATACTGCTTCGATAACAAGAACTACTGGATGGAGTATCGCAATAACTGGACCCTTCGAAAGGGCGATGCCGTGTCTACAACCGGGCCGGTCAGCCAGGATCAAGAGCCAAAGAAACTGTCCAGCTCTGTTCATCGTGTTGTGGAGCAACATTACGATGAACCCGAGCCAATCGTGGTGTTCGAAACAGAGCTCTGGGATTCCCAGCTGCATTCTGCTGTCAGTGGGCATCGTGTGAATGGTGCCGCTCTTTGTCCGTCGGTAAGTTATATGGAAGTTTCTGATGGCACTTGCTGACTATGACTGTAGTCCATATATGCAGATATTGCCCTCACAACTGCCCACCACATCCAACAAGAAAATAAATCCGGCATCTCTTCCCCCGGTCCCAATGTTACCGACATGGAGGTGGTTCAGCCATTGATCATTAAGACTCCCATAGAAGAAGAAACCCGTGTCTTGCGACTTGTTGCGCACATCAACAGAGCATCGCAGACAGTGCGAGTCGAATACATCACTCTCACAGCAGACCGCAAGACAACGACTAAACATGCACATTGCGTGGTCGAGTACGGATCACCAGACAAATGGCTTGGGCGTTGGTCGCATCATCTGCATCTCGTCCAGGAGCACATCGACGGACTCGAAAAGAAGGCCACGCTGGGCGAAGTCAGTAAAATCACCAGTCGTCTGGCCTATCGACTATTCAGTAGTCTGGTAGACTACGCTCCCCAGTATCAGCGAATGGACCAAGTTCTTCTCGCCAGTGACCTTTTCGAGGCGTCCGCCACCGTCAACCTGGATGACCGAGGAGACGATGCCTCGTTCCACTGCAGCCCGTATTGGATTGATGCATTGGCCCATCTATCCGGGTTCGTGATGAACGGCAATGAGACCATCGACTACAATGAAGCGGTCTACATCTCTCACGGATGGGAAGGTATGCGATTTGCCAAGCCGCTTGTGTCTGGCGGACACTACACAACGTATGTCCGCATGCTCCCCAGTGACAAGACTATGGTGGGTGGCGATGTGTGGATCTTGCATGACGGCGAGATTGTCGGTCTGATCGAGAATCTCCGTTTCCAACGTGTTCCTCGCTCTGTTCTCGATATGTTACTCCCGCCGGTTGCCGTGAATCCTGTCAAACGAGGCCCTCAAAAGACTCGTCAACCAGCTTCGCCAAAGCCACAAATCAGCCCAAAGCCATCTACATCAGTCCAGAAGCCAAAGGACCCATTTTTGGATTTGATCGCGGTGGAGCTGGGGCTATCTCCATCTGAGCTGTCGCCTGGTGATCATCTCGGCGATCTGGGAGTCGACTCGCTCATGGCCTTGACCCTCGTAGCCCGACTCAAAGAGGAATTCAGCATTGACATCTCCCACAGTCAATTCCTCGAATGCACCACCCTTTCTCAGCTTCTGACTGTATTGAATCCCGATCACGGGCTATCAGATTCAGTCCCGAGTGATGCCGTCATTACAGATCATCCAATCGATCGTGTCATCCCATACGACGACGCATGGCCATCTTCAGGATCATCTATCAGCGAAGTCGTCACACCGGATAGTACCCCCGACGACACTGCGGATCTAGTGAGATCCATTATCATGCAGGAAACAGGTCTCGCCACGGAAGATCTAGAACCGAGCGCAGACTTGGTCTCGCTAGGAATCGACTCTCTGATGAGCTTGACTGTCCTGGGAAAGCTCCGAGAGGAAGGCGTTGAGCTGCCGATGGATTTCTTCCTCCAAAACCCAACCATGAACGAGGTGTTGGGCGCTCTGGTCGCTGACAACAAGCATCTGCAATTGGAGCCAGTCGCTAGAAAAGACTACCAAGCCAGACTGGTTCTCCTCCAAAGACGTTCGAATCAATCCAGCAATAAAACGTTATTCCTGTTTCCTGATGGTTCTGGATCGCCAGTCTCCTATGGTGCATTGGAAGAGCTTCATGCCGACTTTGACGTCTATGGTCTTGTATGCCCCTTCCTCAATAGCCCAAACCATTACACCACCGGAATCGAAGGTGTTGTATCAGAATATCTGGCGATACTCAAAAAGCACAGTCCCAGAGGGCCATACCATCTCGGCGGCTGGTCAGTGGGGGGTGTCCTTGCATACGAAGCATCAAAACAGCTGATTGAAGCCGGAGATGAAGTCCACACTCTCGTTCTCATCGACGCCCCTTGTCCCACTGTGCTTCCTCCCATGTCCTCGTCTCTCATCGACTTTCTCAATTCCATCGGGGTCTTCGATCGAAGCCATCCCAACAGTTCCGAATTGCCCGACGCAAAACGCCAACTTGTCCTCGACCATTTCAACGCGACTGTTAAAAATTTAGCACGGTATAAACCAACTCGTCTTGCATCACCACCTCTGCGACCTCTTACCACGTTCGTCATATGGGCCAAGGAAGGTGTATGCTATGCACCAGACGACCCTAGATTAAAAGCCAACCCTTCCCTAGCCACCGACGCCACTGCAACTTGGATTTTGAATGACCGGAGTGATCTCGGTCCTCGAGGGTGGGAAACGCTCTTGCCGTTGAAAGATATCGCGACAAAATCTGTTCCCGGGAATCATTTCACAATGATGCAAACTCCAAATGTAAGGCCTTCATCTGTGGTCCGTGTTCAAAACTAATACATCTCAGATTGGAGAGCTCTCGAGACAGTTGCGGACCATTCTTACTGCCTTGGCATAGTGTTCCGATTAGTGTTTGTTTCGTGTGTTGACATAGGTCAAATGGCAGTGTCGAGGTTGATATCTTACAGTACAATCTACGGTACTTGGTTTAGGACCTGAGGCCAAAAGCTGTCTGTTGTGGATTTAGTTTACTCTCGTGGATAGTATGTAGTTGTGTTGACCGAGATACCCGCAGACATATTTATTGGAGACCTCCGCAGGTCGTTTAAACGTCCGTTCCATCTTCATAAACAGTCGTAGAAAAGAAGCAACTTTTATTTTGACGCAGAAGAATTACAGAATGCAAATTCGCTCAATTCCTCCCAACGCGTTGAGTGCGCGATGTCTTGTGCTCGACACGTGACCCAGGCGCCAACCTCGTCTCGAGCCCCCTTCTGGCTTCTGGGACATCTCTCACGCCGTTGACGATATTCAACACGCCCGAGGCTGGCTGCACGGGTACCTGAGGAGCAAGGGCCGGTATGATGGTGTGATGATGTTCTCTCGGGGTTGCGCTGTCGGCTCTAGTATCCTTTTGCATAATGAAAGGGATTCACTCAACACTCCTCCGCCATTCAAATTCACGATATTTATGAACGGCACTGCATCTGACCTAGAAGATGTATTTGGTCTGTCCATCGAAGCGCAAACGAAATTTCTCCGCCGGCCAAGGCCAATGAATGGACAGAGCATCATATCTGAAGACGTTTTTGACGAGACATTCCCGTCATTGTCAGAGACTGGCTTGAGTCGTATATCTACCCCGACTGCTCATATTGTCGGCTCCAAGGATTATATCAGGGTTAGGGAAAGTTCTCTGCACATTTATGTGACCCCCAGAAACGCAAGATATATGACCATGGAGGGGCATGGAACTCCGCGAACGGCAACGGCTAATATTGCCATGGCTGCCATGGTTAAGTGAGCTGCGTCGATGGTGATCTCGAGTTGAGGTTATTTGTATGTACTGGTTAAATAATCAACTTGTAACATTCTCTAACAAAAGACTAAGGAATAAGCAGCGAACTATATCGCTTTGGACTTGTAATTTATAGTCCGAAATTATAGATAGTTCCTGTGTCATTGTATCTCATGATTGAATTATAAACTCCTCGACTGCTTATTATGAATCGAAATTGGCGGTATGTGATTTTTACAGAGTAAAAAGAACAGTAGAAGAGGTACGCCGGCTAGAGCTGCTCAATGGCACATATATATTTACAGCTCCAGGTCATCTGCCAAATCCTCATTGTCTTTCGCAAAGTCCACCGGCGTCCGTCCGTCATTATCCCGGGCATGCCGGTCCAGTCCTTTCTTTTCGAGAAGTTCGAACCATTCGGATGTCCGAAGCGACACTTGCTGTGCCACCAGATGCAGCAGAGTTTGCCCAGCAGCATTCGTGTCCTTAAGACGCCCACCAGCCCCTTCAAACATCGCAATCACCGCCTCTCCAATCTGTTTATACTTGACAGCACTCCACTCCCCTTCACGTTTGTTGTCATCTTCCGGCTTAATCAGGAATACCTCAAGCGCCGAAACACCATCTGCATTCCGCGCGTTCGGGTCAATCCCTGCCTTGAGGAAGTCCCGACACATTTGGCGTTGTGTATCGCCCATGCCACCAATGTCGCCAAGCTGGTCGTCGGCGAGATAGTGCAAGACTGTGTTGCCTCTTCCATCACGGGCGAAAAGGTCTGCACCTGCTTTGAGGAGGTCGTATACGTGGGTTTCAAGTTTGCGGGTGCGATCGGGAACATTGCTGCTCCTCCAGTATACACCTATACGGCGTAGCGCAAAATGGAGCGAATAGAAGCCTGCGTGGTCGGGCTGATTTATGAGGGTTGGGCATTTGGCGACTAGATATCGTAGCGAGGTCGTAATGCCTGGCGGATGGCTCGTGGGGATGGCCCTGTCTATCCCGTCAAGGAGATGATGGAGGGCGTTGCGGCCGTAGTTATCGACTGCGTAGAGGTCTGCCCCATGCGATAGGAAGAACTCGAGGAAGGTCTGAGAGCTCTCTGGAGTTTCAGTGGAGCCTGGACGCTGCAATTCTCTCCATGGATTGTCAGGCTGAGGGAAAGGGTTGTGGGAGATACCGTGAACAGTCGAAATGCACGCAATATCACGGCACATGCCGTCAGTAGCCGAATCCAATCCCAGATTACTTCGACAAACAGATAAAAATAGTGTTCGTCCCTGAGGATCCCGTCGTTCGACATCAATATCACCACCGAGGAAGTCGAGCAGCGGCTGAACGAACACGCCGTCTTCCAGCATGGCATGCAGAATGCTGCGCACCCCGTACCGGCGAGGAAACTGATCCTCGTGGGAGGTAAGAGACTGGAAGTCTCCAGATGTAATGTCATTGGGGTGTTTCTCGACAGGCAACCCTTGCTCAAGTCGTTTTCGATCACGTTCTAACTAGAGCGCCCTTTTGCGAACAGCGTCGCGGGCCATTGTCACCCACCCGAGATCGAGATGCTCATCCTCAAACTGGTCATCGACTGAGTCCGTCGGAGACTGAGACCATTTACGGGAGATGAAAATGGGCTGGAGGAACAGAGCGTAAGGGTCGGCGCCATGCCGAAGCAAGGCTGTCATAATGCGCGTCATGTTAGATTTGTCAACTGAAACGCAATAGATTCCATCCTGTGCCGCCAAACGGAGAGGGTGCCATTCAGTGATATCTTTAGAGAACACTGGAGGGTGTGACGTCTTATCCCTACTCGCCCACTCCCCATTCACAGCGGAAAGATCGGTATTGGCGTCATCCGGGCGTGTGTTGGGGGCAATGCTAGAAGCTAGGAGAGATTCGATGGTGTCGAGCTCGCCCCGAGCAGCGGCGTTGCATAGGGTAAGGGCAGGGATATCTTGTAAATGAAGCAGCATCTTGAACTTTTCCTTTGTTGGATGGGAAGAGTCGTGGTCATGGGGAGGATTTATGTCCTGGCAATGAAGATAAGATTACGGAAAGTGGGACTGAGCAGCATCTTGAATTGTTTGTTGTGTAAGAGAAACGTTGAAGTCAAACGGATATCTTATAGTAGACATACAAGGGTAAATAGGCTATGTGACTCGCTATCATATCCCAAACTAGAACCCACAGCCTCAAAATTGAGACTGGCGGTTTCGATGTGACGCCCAATCAGCAGTTGTTTCTGCCAACCTTGTTCACAGTAACACAACGCTAAAATAGATCGACAGGTCCTTAACCAAGCCTAGTTTGGACTATCGTCGCCTGGAGCTGCAACCAGCTGCGGCAGCTGCAAGGAATTGACTGAACCATAAATCTACTCATGTAGATCACTGACTCATGGCATATGCCTGACTAGTTGGCTGCTGCGGCAGATGACTTGTATCCTGTTTATGGTCTATCCTTTTGTAGAAATGAGTTACAAGGGTCTGTAGAACCAATGCTAATATCTATACAGTATATGCAATTCAACATTAATCCTCTATATCGCCATGTGCCATTTAAACATGTGTAAACCTATATACAACTCAAACATACAAACCCCCCTTCACCAACCGCGTAACCTCATCAGCCGAAAAGGTCGCATGTCCAATCCCACCCGAGTCCCCATCCGGATCATGAACGACCCCCCATTTGAGCTTCTCATTCGCCAGGTCCTGGGGGAAGGTAGACTGCGCTGACCCGTTATCAAACACGCGCGAAGGTTGACAGGCGGCAGCCATGCTTGCGCTACAGCCTCCAGCTAATGGCATAGAACCGGGGTATTTTCGGAAGATTGCCAGGGCCAGAAGACCGATGACGACTGCTGAAGCGAGGACGACAGCAGGAAGCATGGCAAGAGGTGAGTAAAAGACATGGTTGTTGGTGAGGATCTGGCCGGGGTCGCTGAGATAGACGTCGACTTGCGTAAAGAAGATCATTTCAGAGACGAGCCAGTGAATGGTGGTGATGATGATGGTGGTTGGAATGCTCCATTTGTACGGGACAGAGAGGAAATAATTAGAGCGCTGGTTGGTATCACGAACAGGGGCTGAGACCCGGAGGCCCTTTGATGGTTTGCCTGATGCAATTGAATAGCCACACCACTCGGCCATGACCAGAATGCCACTCATCATGTTGTTTAATGTCAGGTAGATGTACGAAACAACGACCTGCGGGATGTTGGTGCGGATAAAGGCAACAAGGACATTGGATGTTCCCGGCCATACCAGCTCGAACCGTGTATCCGGACGAGCAAAGCCAACGTTCCCTATGGCACTCCAGCTTGTTTGTCTCGAACCAATCCCAAAGGACGTCCCTGCGTAAATAACCAAGACTGTCACGGTGACGAAATAGACGAACAATTGCCATTTATTAATGGCTTTGAACCATCGATACCGTTTGCCCGACCAGATCTCCCAGCCATTGGCGTCACGAGGAATCCACCCTCTGGCCGTCGAGGGCCGTAACCGTTCAAAGTGTTCTTTAGACACGAGACAGCGGTTCTGGGTGTGTGTATCTGGGTTCTTGAGAAACGACTGAATGACATCCCCGATGGTGCATAGCGGTGGATCTTTCTTGGTGATGTATAAGGCACATAGAGCGGAAGCGATCTTGAGAACATTGCAGGCAATGACAATCCCCAGAAACACGGGAACAACATGCAATTTACACTGCTCATCTGTGTTGGCCGTTTGCGAATAGCAATAACGCACCGGTGCATTGCCCTGACCTCCCAGCATAAGCGCGTCACTCCCGGCTATACCAGGGATCCAGTTTCTGGAAGCATCTTTAGACAAGCATACATTCAACGTCGTGGTGTCATCGACATCACACATCCAGGTGAAAACTCCCTTGCTCATAGCATAATATCGATTGTCGTAGACGGCGAGAACGGCCGATTGAAAGTCATCGTAGCTATTATCCACAACGAGCAGAACATGTTTTCGCTCTGTGAGAATCTGCTTGTAATATCCATCAATGCACTCTTGTACACTCAGTCGCTCCAGCTGGTTGTTCTGTGTCTGGTTCTGAAGCGTCTGGATAATGCTCTCGTAGTCTGGAGTCGGTCCAACAACCGAAGCATCTTTGTCGTCTACGTTAAACCATCCATATCCATCTCGTCCGATTTCAGGAATATCAAAAGCTCCTCCAGTCAGGAAGTTTTCAGTCACCGTCACAGCGAGATAATTGTTTGTCGTTTGTGTCTCAAAGACCACCGCGTTCCAGACCATATGCAGCGGGAATGAACTGGCTGCAAGAATGACCCAGAGCAGCGCCTTCCACTTGGACACGAAGAATAAATTGCGGATACTGGGGGTGCCAATGTTGAGCCAACAATGCTTTGCATGGGTGGCGTCGATTTCCTTTCTAGTAGGCGAATTCAAGCACTGCATGCTAAAATTGCTGTACGCGAGCAGAATCGTACTCAGAATATTGATGATAACATGCGCAATTGTCGTCACTGTACGCGTTGTACGGCATTTGCCCGTGTATATCGTGATACTCTCATCTACCATGCTGTATTTGGCGCATACCACAGCTAAAGTGGTAATGTTGATTATTAAAATGAGCGCTCCGGCCAGAGCCCCGCTGGTCACGGTGAATCGCCATGCTTCCAGGGCCCGTTTTTTGACGGGTTGGTCAGCCTGACTTTTCCTCTGCTCCTCTGCTGTCATTAGTGGGATTTCCTCGACGGCCATACTGATGACACAGCATGCCAGCTGTCGAGGTTAAAGAAGGAAAACGTTAAAACGGGGAGAAATGAATTCTGCAGAATAAAGCGGGAGAATACGAGGCTGGGTGTTGTTTCGCCCCCACGTCAAGGCTCTGCAGTGCTGATCACTGCCTAAACAGGACTGACCCTTGAGATCCTGGATAGTATCGAAGACGGTTAGATCAGGTAGTTTATATCGATATTATTATCTACGTTAATTTGTTTAGTGGATGTATTGTTAGTGGTGTTTGTTTCAAGATGGTAGATGTATATATTAATAATTAGTTGTACACTATCCAGGCCACTTATAAATATCAACAAAAGAAATAAAAAGAAGACATCACTGCGACAACCGCTCCACATTAACCAACTCCTCCTGACTCTCATCACCACTCTCAGTCCTCACTTCCGTCACCACCGTCCTCATAATCCCCGGGCCATGATGGCCATCAGCCGGCTCATCGACAGTTCTCCCCGAGATCAGGGTATTCATCTTCATAGAGCCAGGGAACGCGCTATCCCGATGACTGCCGGGATGCGGACGAGTTGCTTGATTACTGCTGGGATACCATTCATCAGACCGTTCTTTGCCGCTGCTCTTGACGACTTTCGAGATGAGGACGGCCATGGTGAGCTCGATGTGTAGCTTGACGATGTATGCGAGGGGTGCGAATTGGACGTAGCTAGTCAATAGTAAGTTAGTTCCGCGCTCATGGTCATGGTAGAAGATACAAACAGACACATAAGGATCAGGATAGCTCAGCAATCCAAGAAGCAACACATCCATCGACAACGAAACAACGACAATGCCCGCGTTGAACTTCCACAGCCGCCAGTACTTTGTCAGACCACCACTGATAAGCCGAGACCGCACCAAATGCAAGAAGTATAAGTTGAGTGAGAGGTCCAGGATAAGGAAAAAGCTCTTCTCCACCCTTTCCCAGATATTGTTGAGGGTAACCCATGTGTGATGAGCATTCGGCATGTGGGCGGGAATCCAGATGCAAAAGACGGAGATGTTGACAGTCGTGATCAGGCCGAAGAGGACCCATTTCAAGATTTTCGATTTGTGTCTGTCAGTCATAATCAAGGCGACTCCGTTCGCGATAATCTGTGAGAGAAGCTGGGTTTGGATGGCCCATAGCAGCACGGTGCCGAAATAGAATCCAAGACTAGGACTGTCAGCGTTGAGCGTGGTATGACGGTGTAGAGTGATCTCGCTTTCCAGGGATAACCCCAGATAGATAGAGAAATGTGACGATAGCAAAGATCAAATTCACCACGGCCTCTGTCCAAATCATGTAAAGGTATACATTGAGAAATCTTCGTGACCGTTTCCAAATGCCCCATGTTTGCTGTATTACCTTCTCAAAAGCCGCCACGAACAGGCCAAGAAAAAGAGCGAAGAAGAAGGTAGAAATTTCCATCTTGAGCAGAATATACTGGGGTGGATGGACACCAGGCTAAGAAAATATTTTCTCTTCTCGCCCTGTAGAGCACAGACAATTTAAAAATCGAAACAACACGGGGTATCAGGGATAAAAGTGTGATCCGAAAAATCAAACCCTAGAGATAAGCTTCTTTCACATCGTAAGGTTCTCGTGCCCATGGTTCGCACGTTTATAGCCAGTGGTAGGGCAAGTCAATCCGCAGTCGATCATCTGCGGGTGTATTTCGAATGGCTGCCTTTGATATAGTATTCACACCACACCTCCCTCACGCTAGATACTACTGTGCTATAAATATGATAACAGTATCTATATACTTTCGGTGTCGACTGAAAGCAGCGTCTGAGAGATAGACCCCTTTCAGCCATCGTTAGCTTCATCGGGACACCACCGATCCCCCAGTTTGGTACGCTTTAGTTAGCCTTCGGAACTTTCCAGTCATCTACCAACAGATATGGAGGGAGATCCACTACCCCTGACATGACGGCCCAACTAACAGCCTGATCCAGGGAACCGGTTCAGCCAAAATGTGACTAAGGCTTGACCATCAGAGGGTCTAGTTGTGATTGACATGGAAAAGTTAATAAATACGAAGTGGAGTCATGCGTTCATTTCTACCTATAATATCACAATAATATTGTTTTGGATTGGAAATAATTTCCGTGGGGCGTTTATAGTGTCGAAAAATGTGTTTAACGTCAAATGTGGCTTGTAGACACCATGGTTCTCATGATAGTTGCCAGAATTTATGCTCTGGTCATTGCGCGATTAAAACCGATTACTTAATAGATAGCTACAAGCCTAGATCTTCCACGAAAAACCAATAACCCAATAATGCCGCCTGTGGTTGATCCCTTTCTGCTTGCCCCTGCATTTATTCATACATCGACGCCGAGTGCGCCTTCTTCACGGCCAGGACAGCACTGACAGGAGGAATGACTCTTTGCCTCTCCAACCCCTTGTGCCACGTCATGTTGAAGCCATGGCTTTATAAAGATAGCTGGATGCTGGTGCCTAGTGTGGGTGCCGAGTCAATGGACGAAAGTCACTTCTATTAGAATTAAAAGGTAGATCTATTCTATTATAATTAGGAAGCAACCCAAGCACATGCCGTACCTAACCTTGCCGCCCTCCCAGTTCAAACACAGCTGGTTTTTGTGTATTCTCCACTTCTGACGGAGGCTGCATGGCGACAATCTGGCTATATGGTACAGGCTCAGGCCTGGCCATCTGCCGTGCCAGTTCCTCCGTGAGTGCCTGCACCCGCCGCTTATGCATGACATGCTGGAAAATCAATCCGGCAATTGTCGCGAGCAGACATGCGCCTAACGCAACGCCCACCCCAACACCCACAGATGTAGCCTTAGAGTCACTCCCTCCACTCCCTGTTTCTGATGTCGCTTCAGCCGTGTTGGTCGCGGGGGAGGTCGAAGTACTCGATGTCGAGGAGGAAGTCGATGTCGGCAGAGGCGGCATGCTGACACTAGAGGCACTTTCGCAGCAGTCTTCCCCAGACTGCGAGCAACACCATTGACTTCCTCCCTTGGCTGGACAGGGCAGCATGTAGTATCCCGTACCCACCGCTACATCCGTCAGCCTCCATCACAACCAACTACCTAGCCAGCGACAACGTACCTTTCAACGAATTGCAATATCGCGGACACTCTGCGCTCCCCCAGGTTTGATCCGTGCACGCATCCTGGAAAATAAACCCACTGGCGCCCGTGTCCTGAGAATAGCAGAGCCCGTTATCTAGACATATATCGTTCGGAGCATCGTTTGGTTTCGCCAAGACGCAGCACCCGCTGTTTGGCTTATCGGGGAAGCAGGGTTTGAATGTGTCATCGGTTGCGGTGCCGTTGAGATAGTAGCATTGGCTGCCTGCCGCGTAGCTGATTCCTGCGTGCAGGATGAGGGATAGGATCGTGATATGGCGGAGTGTCATTGTGGTTGAGGACTTGGTGGTAATGTTGAGGAGCTGAGGGGATTTCGTTTTTTTCTGAGAAAAAAGGGGGTCAGCGTTTCTGATCGCAAGGCTGTGATCCTGCAGGTGGGGGCGATTCAGCCTCGCGAGATATGAATGGTGAACTCTGTCTATAATATGGCTGAACCATTCTGTTTGTTGATATCATTTCATCCAGCATGGCTCTTTTATTGATCCATTGTAATTCTCTTCTAAATTTATATTCTATACTACTCATATCCCCAAAATATCGAATATATCTAAAGATCTAATCTGTACGCACTTTGCCATATATTTGGACCCTGGAAATGGCGCAAACCTTAATTATAGTTTATTACTAACAAATGCACAGCACTTAAAACAGCATAACCCATTAGAAAGCAGACACTTTTGTAGTCTGCTATTAACAATACTAAACTCATTAGGGTAATACAAATGATATGTGCGCTTATGTCGATATGTTTCTAGCAGGTATATTTACCCTTCACCTTGCTCAATCAGTCAATTAACCTACCATAAGTCTAAAGGTCGATCTATGTGCACTCATATCGGGTTATATATAACTATAAACTATCTGTAAACTAAATTCCGATTCGCTCTAACGGCTAGATATTATAACAAGGTTATTCAAGAATGACAGTTTTGAACTCTGGTTTTGCATCAACCCATCGCTTGAGAAATATGGAACCAATCCCAAGCCGGCATGCGACATTTGTCTCCGGATTCCTTCCAATCAGCATGACATTTAGGACGATACTGTTCTCCAGTTTGTCAAGAAATTCAGGACTCTCGGGACGAATATGCGCTGGCCTGTGAGGATGCTGGCCATGTAAAAGGTGCCGTATCTCATCAGTAAGCTGGCCACAGATGTCGTTGTAACAGGGTTCCCCAAATGAAAGCAGTATGAATTCTGCCGGGCCACCATTGGTAGAAATCGGGTGAAATTTAGGCACTTTGATTGTACCAGCAAATAATCCATCCCTGGAGCTGATCCACAGGTCAGGTACTGATAGGTTTGAATCTGAGCTTATAGGCGGACCCAAGTAGAAAGATGCACTCTGACCATGAAATAAAATCCTACCAGGGACTGCAAATGCTAGCTCACAGTCACTTGGAGAGAAGATCTTTCCAGCCTCCCATTGATCAAATGCATCATGCCAATATGCACTGTATGTGGACCATCTCTTGCCAAGAACCTTAAGCTGCGATTGATAAAACCGCTTAGCACGACGGTCATCGCTCCAATCAGAGTACAATAAGCACTGAGGCGCCAGACTAAGGTCGGTAAAGGGGTAGCTCGCATGGTGGATAGGAAATGGACTTTTGATACATCCCGTCAGCCATGTTATAGTCAATCTATGCAATGCATTTTCCGTGGCAACGTCCATGCAACTTCGCGGTCTCCATTTATACTGCAACAAGCTCTTCTCATCATTTGCAGTGGGTCGACAGATGGTGACGGCTGTTTTTGACTGGGGAATGGCCCACACTGCAAGTCCAGCCTGAACATCTAATTGCTTTACAGGACCGGTATGCGATGCCCATGACCATGACGGAAATATATCCCGGCTCTTCAAAGGAGCTGCATCTTTGAGACTGGGTGCCCAGGCAATGGCTTGGTCAATATAATCGAGCGGGAGTCCATAGTAAGTGTGATCTCCAAAGGTGGCCCGCAATACTGCAGAAAAGGCACGCAATGTATCAGACTGATAGGACAAATGTCTCTTGGTATATTGCTCAAGGATTCCCCAATAATACGACGAGTTCCAAATAATAGGATAGTCATAGTCGCACATAGCCTCAGAGTTTATTTTATCTGAAGAGAAATGCGAGTTATAGACGCCGTATTTGGTAAAAAAAAGCAATTCTGATGAATAGAAACCCTCTTGAAGGGTCCAGCCCCTGCTCCACCATTTGCTTCTTGTGATATTCCTGGTCAGAGAAGGCGCCTGATTACTAAATCCTAGACCAACAATTTCCGCTAGTGAATTCCGCCAGGAGCGAGGCGCAGTCACCCCAGGAAGACCATATTTAGAGTCCTCCCCTTCAAGTGCCACCAGAGTGCACTTGGCATGGTGATAGATACAGTCCATTTGATTAATTTGCTCTTGTATCTCGGATGCTTTATTCTGATCAATGCAAAGCTGGTCAACCCAGAGGTATCGGTATCCCAGTCTATCACATGCAACCAGTGCATCCCGAATAGTCAAAGGTAAGCCGGCCCTTTCAAAACAGCGTGATGACGGTAACTTGATTGTGGTGATGCCCCCAAACACATAACTTAGCGCCAGATATTCCCATTCCGCGGCAGCATGAACCACTCGATCTTCGAGAACATCAATGACTTTGAGATTCTGTGGCTTTCCAGAGTAATCTTGATCTTCGATTGAACGTGAAGTTCTATCTATCCAAGAGCGGACCGTTCTCCAATCAACGAATTCTCCTAGTGTGGGTGCTGGATGATCAGATTTCAAAAGTTCCCAGGGCTCGGGTGGACGGTCTAAGACGACGGTAGGAGCAGCATTGGAAGCCCATGAGTAAAGGGAGTGAACTCTTATTACACGGTCTTTCGTAATTGCGTAGTTTATTTCGCCTTCACCGAATATCCCAATTTGAACTGGACAAGTCAAATCATAACCAAAAGGGTAAAGCTGCAAATTCATGTGGCACGAAGAACTGATCAATCGACAGAAACGACAAGCTGAGCTTCTGGTGTCGACCTCTTGAATGGTTCCCAAGTAAAACGATTTATAGGCATATCTGATACATCGAAGCAGGTGTGGAAGTCTGAGATGACAGCAGAGGCTACACAAATCATCGTGGACACCCTCCACGGAGCAGTGGTCACAATGTGAATGGAAGAAGTCACGTATATCCCTTGGTTCCATTTCCACATCTTCCAAATATTCATCTGTCAAGTACGGTTGACATAAGGTGCAACTGGGGGTTTCTTCTTGGGGGTAGAGCGCTGCCATTGCAAAAGATGGTCAAGATATGAGATGAGAAGTGGAAGTTGGAGACTTAAGACTGATATAAGGCTGGGTCTTGGCATGCATGACCACCTGTCTACCCCGCTTCTAACACACGCATTTATGCATCTTATGCTTGCTATGTTTATATCACTTTTTTCTTTTAACATGGCATCTTATAGTACCAAACTCATAAATCTATATACCTCACTACATACTGACACTCTTTAATATCGTCTGCTTCCCCAGGTTTATCAACCTCTCAACAAAAGCTTCAGCGATATAAAACGGCGGAAAAGTGTTCCCATCCCCCATCCCAGTGTTCCGATTCAGCGTAGAAAATACTTCCTTCGTATCCTCTAGCAGCTGAAGATCTTGCATGACGGTCTCTGCGGTTGGTCTTGTGATCAGGTACCAGAATATGCAAAGAACAGATGTCATTGTAAATTGAGCGTGGATCCTAGGAAAGTTAGCATATGGATATGCAAGAGTGAAGATGGTGATTATGAGACTTACCAGAATGTATCTGGGTTGACAAAGTGACATACTCGATTCATATAGAACAGAGTAGATCGCGCTGCCTGGTAGTACAACTCCATGCTCGATGGAAGTAACGACCAGCTCGTAGGCGATGGCATACTCGTATTACTACTTGCTTCGTGGATCTTGCCTAGACAAAAGTAGTAATCCAGATGCATACCGACTCCACGCATACTGAGATCGTGGAAGGAGTAGTCCGGCGTAGTCTCTGTGGCAAAATACGCATCTGGTTGGAAACGCGGTGGGAAGCTTGCTTTCAGGTCACTCAACTCCTGGTCGAGTTCACGGATATATTGCAGTCTTCTAGCGTCAGACTGAACTCGAGCATGATCTGAGTATAGGAACCGGTGAATTTTGGATTTGAGCATCGCAAGACGCAAATCTGACGGATAGAGGAGCCGATCAGCGGAAAGTTTTTTTTGCAGGAACTGATGATCTGATGATTGTAGAACGTATTTCGCAGGCAATTCCAAGTCGCAATCTTCATCTTGTAGCATAGGCTGTTGACGTTTTCGAATCGACATTTCTTTATCGGGGCCGTAGCAGGCCCAGAAGAGATTCCGCAGATGCTCTCTGTCTCTGGGGGTGCCTTCTATGAGTTCGATGGGTCTTTGACCTCCGAGATTAAGAAGTACACGGATTGCCACGGCGAGTAGCAGTTCCGCTGATTGTGGCTGACCCATGGGTGCGAGATACAAGGCCTGATATGTTAGATTGTTACGTATTAATATATGGAGTACTTACCAGAATCAGTATACTTTCCAGCGTTCTGATATCAGGATCCTCCATCAACAAGTTCGGCAACAGGGTTAGCACAGCCTGCATATACCCATCTGAATCAGTGCCAGCAAACACAGGGTCATGACGATGGATCCGGCTAATCATGGCCGTAAAGGCAACCAGACATGCTCGATTTGAAGCACGACCCGTCTGCTGTGACTGGTTAAGAGTACCGGCATTGAGCAGACTCTGCAGTGCCTCAGTATCGACAATGGGAAAGATAGAATAAAGCCCATTTCGCGAATAGTACTCTATACACTGCTGAACCAGATAGGTCGTTGGCCATTTTGGCTTACTCCCGGTCTTCGGTTGGTTAGGATAACGCCATTTAAACGACCGAGTAACCTGGTGGCAAAAGTCATCGATATTGAAAACGGATCCGGTGTGCTGGTAGATGTTTGAGTAGAATGATTGTCTTTCAGCGGTATTAGCGACACCAGGTCCACAGAAGGCAATATGCCATTGAAATGCCTCTATCGCAGCATCGAATTCACTTGTATTTCGCAGCAACGGAGGGGCAGGGGAATAAAACGCCTGAAGGTCTGGGAGATGGTATCCTTGTGCAACGAGGGCTTCTTCCAGCTGGCGCACTCGCGCTTTGCTGTCGGATAGTTGTCTGCTTCGCTATTAGCCACCGAATGACGACGCTTCTATATCAGGATGCCTTACTCTCGGACACTTTTGTGTGGCTGAGGTTCAGGGGTAGTGAAAGTGCAGAAAACGCCTGCGCAACGGCACGTTTCACAGGCCGGCTTGACTCCATCGCAGCGGATCTAGACACGCACTGTTAGTGATCCATCTCATCATGTCTGCTTCGTTCATGTATGCATACCTTTTTATGCCGGCATAAATCACACGCACTGCGGGTTCGGCCGCCACGTGGAGCCAGCGCAGAACGAACCATCATTGCACGAAGTAAATCAGCTAGGCTGTCAATGGAGTAGTGTTGTTGTCAAAGGTGGATTCATTGGATGATCTGTCCATTCCTGATGAGTAATCGGGGCGTCCCAATCCCGAGATGGCAGATGGTCTGTAAGATAGTCGAAGTGATGTGGATGGCGATGAAGGTTTCGACGTTGCGATGAGTCATCGGAGTTGTGGAGCTCCGAGAGAGTTTCATCTTAGCAAAGCCAAGAAATCATGGTTCAGGGACATAGCATTCTAGTTTGTACTGTGTACGTACACAATGTGCAGGTCAAAGTTGTGAGAAACAGTATGCTGTCTAACACGGTATACAAACATCTTCGTCGAGAATAACATACTAACTACGCGACACTCGGGTACACTACGCAGCGAAACCCGCCGAATACGAATCCTTCTGAGGGATCTAGTTCGTTTACCTTTGTTACCTTTCTCCAGTACAAGCTTCGCCAATCCTCAACCTTAGAACTCAATTCGGACAGCTGAACTGTGCCTGACTATCACCAGAACACTCGACGCATCCAATATTAGCAGCCAAACGGTGAATTTCCCGCCACCCCCGCGCAGCGCCAAGGAATGCCGAGGATGCCGAGAACTTTCCAAACCCAGATTCGGCAAAAAAGACTGCAGATTAGATAGAGTTGGCCCACATATGTGGGGCTGTTTCCACCATGCTTAATTCTGCCTCCAATCATGTCGCAGCTGTTCATCATCCACGAATACGTGATAAATGCAGCAGTTGTAACCACTTGATATGCCAAGCAAATATTCCTGTCTCAACACTTATGCTGACGACGGTGGTGACGAGTTTTTGATATAGAATTATGAAAATATGTACTTCAATGGCCTAACAAAGATAGCTGACCGGAGCATCCGAAATGAGGGAACGAAGAATATATATAATGCCTCGACAACGCTGCTCATGAAAATCTATCAATCATCCCAACTCTCCCTCATTCAAAACATTATTATCTTGTTTTTCTATAATGCATCTTGTCCAAGTTGGAAAGCTCGCTGCTCTGGCCATGGCCGGGCTCGCCGTCGCCCATCCAGGCGTCCACGAGCCCAGCTCCTACACGGCCTTGACCAAGAAGAACTTCCTCCACAACGCCCGACGCAGCCTGGACAAATGCTCCGACACCCTTGAACGCCGCGGTGTCAACGCCCGCGCCGAAGCCCGCCGTGCCGCGATGGTTCAGATGCACCAGAAGCGCTCTCTGTCCACCCGCGACACCAACAAAACCGTCAGCATCGACCACCACTCCTCCCTCCATGTGACCCCCTCCACTGCTGGTTCGGACCTGTTCAGCAAGAACCCTGTCTGTCTTCTCTCCCCCGAGGGCGAAATTGGTCCGTTCTGGGTCAAGGGGGAACTGATCCGCTCGGACATCGGTGATGGCCAAGCTGGTATCCCCATCATCATGGACGGCCAGTTCATCGACATCAACACCTGCGAGCCGATTCAGGATCTCTACTGGGATGTTTGGAACTGTAACGCGACAGGCGTGTACTCTGGCGTGCAGAGCAGCATGAACGGAAACGGAAACGACGCTTCCAACCTCGACAAGACCTTCTTGCGAGGTATCCAGAAGACTGACTCCGATGGCGTGGCCCAGTTCAAGACTGTCTTCCCCGGCCACTATGACGGCCGCGCTACCCACGTCCATGTCGTCGCTCACATGAATGCCACGTTGATGTCCAACAACACCCTCACTGGTGGCTACATCCCGCATATCGGACAGCTCTTCTTCGACCAAGACCTCATTTCTCAAGTCGAAGCCACCTACCCCTACAACACCAGCACGGTCGACATTACCAAGAACGCAGATGACCATGTGGTTCAGGATGAAACTGAAGATAGCAACTCTGACCCCTTCTTCAAGTACGCTTATCTCGGTGACTCGATCGAGGATGGCCTCTTTGCTTGGGTTACTATGGGTGTTAACGTGTCGGCGAGCCACGATTCGTCTGCCTCGTATGCTGCTACTCTTACCTCATCAGGTGGTGTGTCCAACAGTGACAGCTCCAAGGGTGGTTTCAAATAGGAGTGTTGTGGTCTTGAACAAATTGAGAAGCACTTCGTGAAAAGAAGAATAAGTGAGATGTGCAGTGCGGTATTTACAATTTCTTTCTGATAGTTGCTGGTACTTATATCTCTGAATAAAATCTGTGTTGCTATTTGTAAATGTGCATAGACATACTCAAGACTAAAATTATCGCAGCTTTCGTACCGGGTCAATGGTAATAAATCCACTAGATATCGGCCGGAAAGCCAAGCTGGTCAAAGCCCTCAAGAACCTCCTCTATTCAATCCTGAATTGCCCGTAATGCTGCTTCAAGTTTTCGCCGCTGGTCGGGATGCTCCATACTTACTTTGAACGATCCTTCGGGCATATTGATGCGAAGCTGATTTTTCCACATGTAGCAAACCACCCCCTCTTTGAAGCTCCTCTCGAAGTAGACTTTGAATAGAGACACCCAGTGTTCTTCATCCAAGATTTCCAGCAAGGTATAGAAGTATCCATGTTTTCGTAGCGCCTTTTCTACAGCTGCCGGTCTTCTCCGAGGACCTCTTGTTAGGAGCGATGCAACCGATTGCAAAGTGTTGTTTGGTAAACTGCGCTGCTTGTATAGAACTTCTGCAGCCAATATACAGTTAATAGAAATGGCTATTCAATGTTAATTAGCCGGGATTATCATGTATGAGTATTAGGGTCCATTTTAATGTTTGAATCTTTCCCCCTTTATTGGAGAGGGGATAAGGGCACTGAAATTACTTACTGTCTACGCAATCGACTAGACGGTCCAGAACCCGATCCAATAGAACTGATTGATTGCCAAGAATATACCAGCCGCTGCTACTGATGTCAAGGCCCGAGTTTAATAAAGCGTTTTGGATATCTGCTGACAGGTCTGAATGTTGCTTGAGGACATCAGATGCAGCTTGTGCTATCCGATATGAATCATTGCTCAAAAGTGAGACATATTGTTCAAGGCTGTCGTCTGATAAGACGGGCGGCTCCCCAAAAATGGCGGCTGTTAAAGTTCCTGCGATTTTATCTTCGTACCCTGACCGAACAAGAATCTCTTTGTGGGTCTCCTGCGTTATGTACGAATGGGAGACTAGAGCTGTCAGTATTGGGTCCTGGACATCTGTACCGAAAGAATCAACGTGAATCATGAGGGTTTCGAGTACGTCCTTCGGCAAGGTGTGCTGCCTTCCTAGCAGTTGCACCACTTCTTTTTTGGCATATTCAGACGTAGTTTCATCCAGCAGTTTGGCCTCTAAACATTTTAGAACACTTCTGGGCAAGTCGAACTTCTCAGATACTGCCAAAAGCAACAACTCCTCTATAAATTGAGATTTACTATCGAGTAATGTGACCACGGCGTTAGAGACGTCCTCTCGATAGAGCGATACCCGAGACAATGACGCCGCTGCAAGTGCCCTGCTCGTCTCGTCTCCATCTCGTATTCGAGACACTAAGTCCTCGATAATGTCCTCTAGTAATGAATGCTGCCCTCTCATTATAAAGCATGTTGCGCGAAAGTCATCGAAATCATGCGTTCGACTTAGCAGAGCTCTAAGAATTCTCTCAGATAAGTTTGGCACAAAGCGTAAAAAGCCTTGTATCCGTTCCCATGTTTCGTCGCTGTGGATCATATTTTCATTCATGTATTCTGAATTACTGCAGATCACCTCGGCGGCTGCTTGCCTCTTACCACTGTCATCGCATTTCAAATGGGGCACCACCAAGTCAAACAACTGCAATGATATTTGCGGGCGCTGGGTGACTGCTGTGATGATACCGAACTTGAATCTATCGGGCCCTTTCTGCAAAATATATTGTAGGATTCGCTCTGGGAACTCTATCTCGCAACCTATGGTTGAACTGTATTTCAATACGTCTGTCAGACATCCAAACAATAGTAGTCGTGCGAGTTGGATATCCGTATCGGATTGAAGCCGCTCTATATCAGGATTGCTATCCGAGCCAGAAACTTCGCTAAAGCAGTGCATAAGAAGACGTGAATGGACGGTTCCGAGTAGATCCCGAGGTTGATCGTCCAGTTTCTGGAGAAATCGACTGAGTTCATCTTCATCCTCCGCTTGAAGCAGTCCCGAAACAAAGCGCCACATAATATCATAACGTCCATTGTATTTCTCGCGTTCAATTAATGCTCCAGTACTAATGGAACTCTCTGCTCCAGGATTCAGTTTCAGGCAGATCAGTGGTTTGTTTTCTATCCAGCATCGAACGAAATACTGGGCTGCGAAGAACTCTTGGAAGGTCAAATGGATGAAGTAATGGTTTCGATCCTCGTTCCTCAGTGATGAGTCTGAAGTTCTCATGAATGAAAGTCGGTCTAAAACACTAGCGCTTGTTGTGGGCATTTGGCGAAACACCTTTGTCCGACAGGAGTGATCGAACTCGTTGATGTTGTGGTAGAGACCGTTGAAAGCCAGCAGTTCTATTACGTTCATTTCGTCGCGCATGATGTTTGTGATTGGCTCACGAGGATGGTAATTTCGGGCGCGGGTTTCATCAATCAGTCCTTCTTTGTCTCTTCTACCCAATATGACCATGTCCTTTTTCCATAGCTTGAGCTCAATGGCTTGATAAAGACTTGTCATTGTTTTAGGCCCGCCCTGTAGGTCATCGTAAGAAAGATCTTCATCCCAGGTGAAACAGAAAGCGTCGAGCTGAATCGGAATCTGAATAAGTCCTTGGATGACCCAATGCTGCGAGATAAATTCCTGGATGCTCTTGACTGTCGTCTCATCTTTCATAACTTTCATCAAATAATCATCGACTTGGTTGGCGCGGAATCCGATTGTCTCGACCTCAAGATCAAATGTCTTCAGTCCCGATGGGTTTATTGCATATGGACGCGATGTAACAATCACATCATGCCGGTTCAGGAGACTCTGGAATAACTCCACAAAATGGACCCCGTTTTCGGTCTGGTATGCAGAAACTTCATCAAGGCCGTCGAGTATCAATAGTGTCCTACTGTCCTTCTGTGATACAGCCTTCCGCAGAGCTGTCGTCATGATGTCTTTCTCTTCATGGAGCGCGAAATAATCACTGGGTATAAAATCGTTTGAATCTGATCTTCCTTTGAGTCGCCGTAGTGGTATCCAAAGCACCCGGTCAAACTGGTCTTGCCACATTCCATCGTGGATGAAGTCATGAACAATCCTTTTGCACAAAGTTGTCTTTCCCACTCCTGCACGGCCACGGATCAAGATTCGCTTTGGTCTTCCATTGCTGCCATCCTTTAGCTTCCGGCGATTGAAGAGATCTGACAACGGTACGTCCTTTTCCTGACTGGGTTTCCCAACTTTGAGGCGATCGTACAAAGATGATTCAACGCGCTTGTCCTCTGTCCTTGGTTTTTCAGGGGAGTCTTCAACCAACGCTAGATTGATATAACAATTATCCATGGGCAACTGTTCTCCAGAGAGGCGTTTGATCTCGAGATGGCCTCCGTCGATGTAATATTCAACCACTTTGGCATCCGTGTAGAAGGTCTTCGGGGCGTCACTGCTTTCCCAGGCTGTCTGTAATAGGTAGTCACGACCACTGTCGGGGTGTTCCGATTCTCCAGCAAATCTTTTGAGCTTGGGTTCATGCTTTTTCTGTCTCCAGAAGCGAATCCTGTACTTCTTCTGGGGAATAACCCGCTCCCAGTCGAGTTGATCCATCGTTCGGGAGACCAGGGCAACCCATTGTTGAATATATACATGTTTTGGCACCAGTTTCTGCATGCACGGCTGTTGTAGTGTCCATTTAATGAACGCCACAACTCCATCTCTCATGGACGTTTCAGCAACCCAAGCGCTTTCCAGCTGGGCATATAGTCCACACCAAAAGGCAGGATCATCCCGGCAAGACAGATCGGATATCAACTGCTCTAGCATACCAAACGCACCGCATTTGACGAGCACACTGGTATACCGAAGAGCTCCATACCAACCCTTCACCTCGGACGCATCTTTCAATCCATTGATGAGATCTTTTATGTCATTGGATGCCTTTTATATGTCCTTGGCCGAGGTTACTGCCTTTTGGAAAAACCCCATCAATTCAATAAGATTTGGCGCAGCACCCACCAGCTTGGTTGGATCCATCGATGAAACACCCCCAGCAATATTGGCAATCGCTTCGATGGCTTTCCAGCTACAGCGACCGAATGCCTGCCATGGGCTCTCGTCATCCGGTACGTGTTTCAGAGCTTGATGGGCATAACCGCCTATCTGAGCTAATCGTGGCTCTTCATGCCTCTCCAAAGTACACAGTTGATTCAATAAAGGTTCATGTATTGCCTCCCGACCAAGCCCAGATATTTTTATATCGACCATCGCATCCAACACTGTCGCGATCGTAGAAACCACATGATACTGGCTTTCCAGTTGTGCGCTTTTCTGACTGTCCTGCAATCGAGTGTTTAGGCTATTCAAAACCACCCCCAGTTGCGCCGTTTCCCGGGATATTTCACTTTTTGCACGACGAAGACAGTAGGTGAAGTTGGCCAATAGTCTGGAATCGGTGATCGTGGCATCTGTCGTGCCTTTAATGACAGCGTTGGAAAATCCTAGTACGAGTCGAGGGTAGTCCTCTTGGTCGGCGATCTCTGACAGCAAGGCTGCTTCCGCGTTGAACGATGGTTTTTGGTCATCTTCGAAAAGCCGTATCATTTCTTTCACCCATATCTCCAGAGCATATCTCTCCTTGTCGTCGGTTTTTGGGTCATTGACGCGTCGAATGAGGTCTTCTGTACGCGTAGGTCGCGACGGGAATTGCAAGGCTGTCATCCTGATTTTGCGGTCCGGAGATTTCGCACTCTCTACTGGTTCGACATTAGAATCTCTGCCACACTTTGAGAAAAGACAATCCTACTTCCTTGAACGGAATGATTGATGTTCTCAACGGCAAACACACGATGGCCAGGCGGCCATACCAGACAGGAGCTGCAAAAACCGATAGAGGATGGGAAAATGAATGTGGGATGTTTTCATCGCCAGCCTTATTTTCCAGTTCATTAGGTCTAAGACTAAGGCATGTGGCGTGTGTTCATCGCTGAGCTGTCAGGCTCTTATGCAGGATGAATCACACTATCACATTTTTGTTATAGGCACTGTATGCAGCTCATAAAACAGTCTCAACTAATACAAATCAAAAAGTTTAAGTAGGTGTGCATATTTTACTACCAGAGTTTTATATGGAATAAAGTTTAATACACAGTAATCAGTGCAATAGAGATAATGGATTTGACTTATTTGATTGTTATATTTTACCCAATTAAACGGCTTCGGATCATCTTTACACTGAAATCCTTGGACCACACGTCAATTTTAAGTTAACAAATCTATTCTTATATATTCCTGAACCATGGGTTCGTAGTCTGAGATCTAACTAGTAGTCAACTATTCCTGTTTAAATTATATCTAAGATTGCCAGAAGACGATCAACAGATTGATGTATGTGGCTTTACCAGGCCATCCGCCACGCAACCAATCAGTCCTTTACGCGCTGGTGCCTAAGGCACACAATATGATAACCCGATTGTCTCCATTCCATCATAAATTCTTTTCTTAATGACGGACATGATATACAATTATTTAATGTAACAGATTAGATAGCATAGTGCAATATCATGTTACATTGTAGAGTGCATGGAGTACATACGATGAACAAGACTACAATATGCTTGAAGAGCTTAACTATAATGATTGACAGTAATCATATAAAGCCCTAGAAATAATTAAATTTATCATGAAGTAACAATTTATAAGATATTTAAATAATGATAAATCATTACTAACATACGATGACCTAAATTAAAGTCAGAAATAGTAGATAGTGTGTCATAGAAGTTGAAACAGACGACGAGAATTATGCTGAAACAAGTCAGTCACATATTAACCACCCTCTTCCTTCATTATTTCCTGGATAAACGTTGATGCATACTTTTGAAACCCCTCTCAATCACCATACTCACTATAATGACATCTTTTCGGACATTTCAACATTTTAGCTCAGTCAATCTGATAAGGGAAAGTCTAGATCGTGATACAGCATGCAATATGACAGGTTCTATTTCTGATTGGGCATTATTACACGTGTCGGCAAACCTTATTGTTATTTATCGATAGGATAAATATATTGATAATCATGAATAAACCGATTGCGCTGACTCGTGGTGGCAGCTGTACGAAAGGCGAAGGTACAATTTTCGGAGACGATTGCACCATCAGCCACACCCCTGTAATGAGGATTTCGCCGATATCAAGATTCCATGAAGACAGGAAATAATATCTCTACTAACAAGTGACGTGATTGTGGAGTGCAGTGAGGCCATGTCTGTCATTATTTATTTAAATACGGTCTTATCTCCGTTTCTCAACAATCATACCACGCATCCATCATGGCGGACGCAGAGGCCAACAACTCGCAGGAGCAAGTCGTGCGGCCCATCAAATCATGGAAAGGATATATCTGGGATACGTGGGAGCTGCCCCGAGATCAGCGCTGGTTGCTGTTCAAGGTGGATGCTTTTGTGCTTACGTTTGCGTCGATTGGGTACTTTCTTAAGAATCTCGATCTAACGAATGTGACCAATGCCTATCTCAGTGGTATGGAGGAGGATTTGGAGATGTATGGAAACCAACTGGTGACGAGTACTTCGGTTTTTACTGTTGGTTATGTTATCGGCCAGATTCCGTCTAACTTGCTGGTGACTCGACTGTCGCCCAGATGGGTTATTCCTACGGTACATATTATCAATCCCCACATTTTTCTCATCTGATACTGACTACAATAGCTCGAGGTGGGCTGGGGCATTGCTGTCATGTGCATGTCGAGCGTCCAGTCTTACAAGGCTCTGTATGCCCTTCGCTTCTTGGTTGGTTTATTCGAGTATGCTTCAGTCCAATCCCTTCATATATTCAAATATGCTGACAGCTGTCTACAGATCCGGTTTCTACCCCGGCATCCACTATCTCCTCGGATCATGGTACACACCACAGGAACTCGGTAAACGCGCGATGATATTCTGGCTGGCCGGATCGATAGGAACACTATTCAGCGGCTTCCTGCAGGCAGCCGCATACACGAACCTGGACGGCGTGCATGGTCGTGCGGGCTGGCGATGGCTATTTATCATCGACGGCATCATCACACTACCACTCGCGTTGGCTGGATATCTCTTCTTCCCAAATCTCCCACAGGGAGGAAAGAAAACCTGGTGGACAACTGAGGATGAGCATATCCTTTCAGTGAAGCGAATGCAGGCAATCGGTCGTGCTGGCAAGGACCCGTGGACTATTGCAAAGGCTAAGCGGATCTTTAGCAGCTGGCATACCTATCTGCTTCGTAGGTTTCCTCCATTTATCTATTTTCTGGTCTAACATCTCGACAGCATTGCTATACATAGTTTGGAATAACGGTTATCCACAACCCGGTATGGGATACTGGCTGAAGAGTTTCAATAAGGACCCTGCTCCCCTCCCTGGAACGTCTTTTACGGTGGCACAGATCAACAACTGTAAGTATATTCACACCCCCCGCTTTTACCAAACTGGCTAACATCCGACGTGCAGTACCACTGGCTACTACCGGTATTTTCATCGTCGTCGCTTTAATATGGGGCTTTCTGTCTGATGGACCCTGCTGTGGTTCACGATGGCCCTTTATCCATGCCGGTGCTGTCATTACGGTACGCTCATGCGATCTCTGTCTCTAATATAACTAACTGACTTTTCCAGCTCATCTTCGCGGTCCTCCTACGCCAGATGCCACTATATACTAACATAGAAGGTCGCAAGGTTGTTTACTGGCTCAGTCAGACTGGAGTAAGTCTCCTTGCATATTCTAGCAAAACTCTATGCTCATCTGAAATATAGTGTGGCGCCGGCCCCCTCATCCTCAGCTGGATCAATGAAATATGCTCCGATGACACGGAAAAGAGATCGTTGATCATCGCATTGGCTAATGATCTTGCCTATGTTGTACAGGCAGTGGTACGTTTCTCCTTTCTCAGATAGAAAGAATATAGCTAACTAAAGCAAAGGCACCCAACTTTGTATGGAAAACCACAGACTTCCCAGCTGCACCCAAGGGATATCTCTGGATGATCGTTTTGCAGATTCTCCTTAGTACGTCTTTTCCTAAAACACACCTACGATATACTAACTTATTTGACAGTCATTGTAACCGCTACGATTCAAATTCTCCTCTGGTGGGACAAGAAGAAATCGAGAAGAGAAATCGAAGGCTCATCTCCGTCGTATTCAGAGCAGAATTCTGTCCAAGATAGAAAATTGGCCTCTGCTGAAGTGACGCCAGTGACTGTTGAGTAACATGTTCCATGTTTCTGTGTGATGAAAAAAGTATATAGCAGTGTATAGTCCAGTTTAATCACGTATACCTCAATGTTGCGGTATGTTTAAATGGTGTAGTTTACTATTTTATTATCTTTTCACCTGTTAGTCTTTCATGCCTTGTTTCTATGACTGTACTAATAAGATTTATTAGTTTGAATTGGGCATCCAAATACGAGGTTTGTGATGATGTAGAGAGTATGTGAAAACTGCTATTAATTATGACTCATTAAACGCATTAATCACGGCTAATTAGCACTACCCCGCCTTCCCCGACATTCTTTCTCCATCTTCGGAACAATCTGAATACCAGATTCATCATGTCTCTGCTGGTTCTCCCCAATGAAGCTCTCCTTATAATTTCAGAAAATCTACATTGTTACAGAGACATCCGAGCATTACGCCTTTCAAACCGCCGCTTCTACTCTCTACTCACACAATGCCTGACTCAATCCAGCACTGCAAAATGCCACGAGACTCTTCTCCGCTGTGCAGCAACAGCAGGGGATATAACACTCGCCACAGAACTCTTGGATAATCTCGCCACAAAATTTCCTAGTCAAAAGAAGACAAAACGCAGCATCCAGGACATCGACTCGGCCATTCATTCCCATCCGTTGTTCAGAAAAGGATACCCACCAGAGACAATTCTCGATATCCAATCTGCCCTTCTTACAGCCGTTAAAGCAAGATTCAAACACTTTGTAGCTCTCCTTCTCGATCGGGGCGCACGCGCAGACTTTCAATTCCCCTACAAAATCGAACGAGGCCGCCAAATAGCATCACCCACCCCGCTCTATCTAGCCGTTCGGTCCGCCGATAATGGGATCTTCGATGTGTTAGTTGAGAACGGGGCCCAGTTTTGCCATAGTGACTGCCCGCTTGTTTTAGCAGTGCGGGATCGCCAATTCCACATGATCAAGGTCCTCGTGGGAAAAGGGCGCTGTATGCATCGCTCGAGTCTCTTCGAGGAAGTGCTTCATTTAAATGATCGTGCGACGTTTGACCATCTAATAGATGTTGGGCTTCGGGTTGACCTGTTCGGTGATGGCGCGTTATTCTTTTTCATCGCGAAGGGCGATGAAACGATGGTGCGGTATCTACTTGTGAAAGGGGCAAATCCTCATCTAGCTGGATATGTATCGGCTGACAGATGGACTTTCTACTCTGATTTTCATTGCGTGTCTTCGGATTACCATAGCACTGTTTACGTTGCCATTCTGGGTGGCCATACGCGTATATGCAAGATGTTGGTTGAAGAATATAGAGTCATTCCTGATCGAGAGGATTTGAATTTAGCACAGAAGACGGGAAATCGGCAAATTATTGACCTGCTTTCTGGTCTGCCTTATGATGATGTTCCAAGGAAGCCGCCGATCTATGAAAAAGTCATTGCTATTGCTAATAAAGATGCTTGGAGTTAGTCAATTTAATGAAGCAGTTGATATGTTCTAGACTTGGTTTACACAGTATGAAAATACCTCACTGTACTATCAAAGACAATGATAATGACTCCTCATACTGTATGAGGCTCTTATAAAGTTCGTTGACCTCGTATACCATTTCAGGAAAGTACACGATGAATCTCGCATTTGGATACTCAAAGGAAGGCGGTGCTCGTATTTCACTCTGCCTAAAGAAAATCAACGATGATCGTCAGGAATTAAGGTTAGAATCAACCAGATACGAGCTGATCTTGGCGGCTGAACATGGCTCTCGTTTATAATTTGCCGATATTTATATTTAGATACTTATAAGCTCAAGCTAAAATGAACATCATCGCCATTTTAGTATCAGCCAAGATCGATTCATCTCAACGAGTGTATCTGCCTGGCACTCTCGTATAGACATGTTGATCTTAATGACACTGTCTATATAAACCATCCAAAGCATCACAACTATGAGACCAGCAGCCTCAACCTCAATAACCAATACCACAAGATCAAAATGTCTCTCAAGTCTCTCGCCGCCGTGGCTGTCGCCCTCCCCTTAGCCATCGCCTGCACCGGCCCCCCCACCAACGCCAACGGCCTCAACCTCATCAAGAGCTTCGAGTCGTTCCAGCCTTCCGTGTACGACGACGGCTTCGGTAACCCTACTATCGGATACGGCCATCTCTGCGGTGATGCATCCTGCTCGGAAGTCACCTTCCCCAAGCCTTTGAGCGAGGGAGACGCCACTAAGCTGCTGGCTGGTGACTTGGTTGTATGTTGACCACCCACGCCGCGTAATATAAGTATGATGAAGCTGACAGATGATTAGAAATACCAAGACGCACTCACCAACGCCCTCGCACAGCCTGTCACGCTGAACGACAACCAGTACGCTGCGCTTGTGTCGTGGACCTACAACATTGGAAACGGCAACATGGCCAAATCCGACCTCGTCTCGCGCATGAACAAGGGCGAGGATGTCGCCGCTGTTGCACACTCTGAGCTCCCTCAGTGGAACAAGGCCAACGGTGCGCCTGTCAAGGGATTGACCCGTCGTCGGGAGGCGGAGTTGAAGTTGTTTGATGCGCCTGCTATCTATGGTGCTCTTCCTGCTCCTTGCTAGACTTGACGCATAAGGATGAGATATCTGGGGATACTTGTTGTAATTGGCTTGGGCATGATGTTCATTTAGAACACTCGATGTATTAGGCAGATAATACTCGCTTGGAGGATATAAATACAGTACTTCATTGAAGAAGGATAAACCCCTATCAACCACCAATGATATAAACGAAGGGAAGGGCAATATATATGCTGAGAAGATAAAGAATGTAAATGTATCGCAGATATATGATGCTCACATGAGACTGAACACAACAGCCGCACTGAATGCAGCAAGCAGCGATCCCTGCATGATGTTCTCGCTGCGAGAGGAAGCACCGCTCTCCTTGCCATCGCCAGAGTCAGATCCAGAGCTAGAGCCACTGCCACTGCCACTGCCAGAGCCGGAAGAAGAGCCAGACGAGCTGCTCGAGTCTGTCTTAGATCCCGCAGTCATGTTCAGCCCTGTATCCTGGAGGTTGTTCAGGACGGTATCATTTCCGGAAACTTCAAAAGTCTCCGACAGTCCGCTGTAGCTGGTGTAGACGTACGACTTGTCGCCCTTGACGATCGTGCCCTCGGGGGGACTGTAGCATTCAATCGTGATGTCCTTGTACATGGCGTAGTAGTAGCCGTACTCCTTGATGTCGTCGCTGTCCCAGTCGACGAGACCACCAGCCCACTCGATGGTGCCGGTGCCTGCGGTGCTGAGACCACCGGGCCACAGCGACATTTCCAGACGGGAGGGACTCTGCGGGAACTGGTAGCGGTTGGCGGTGGCATTGTACGTTGAGTTCTTGGTCAGAGTGTGCAGGACCTTGCCGTCGACGAGCCAGTCGATGGCGTCGGGTTTCCAGTCGATGGTGTATTCGTGCCAGTCGCTGTAGGTGTTGGAGTCGACGGGGACGGTGACTTCGTTGCTGTCTGTATGTATATTAGCACAGGCTCAATCGGGTAGAATAGATCAGGCAGGCCTTACAGTTCTGAACACCCTGGAAGTAGAAGTCCGTTTGCACACTGGTCAAGTTATATCCCACCCACTCATAGTCAATCTCATCCTTATCATCCGACATGAGAATGAATCCTGTTATAACACCCCCTCCCCGGCTACTCTTCACCTTGGCCGACACCTTTCCATACCAGATATAGTGGTTGAGCGAGACCAAACTACCCGTAGTCTGGTTGGGCATGGTAAGCATCAGACTGCCATTTTCCACCTTGGGATAACCGCTGTACACCCAGTCGTATTTGGTCGCGTTACCCAGGAACTGGTCGTACAGGATGGCATTGTCCAGGTTATCCCAGGAGTAGGTCTGGTTCTTGCAGATGGGGGCGGGGGCACATGAGTCCAGCGAGAAGGAGGAGAGAGGATCGCAGCCGCCGAGGCAGTAGGTTCCTGTGCCGCATTGGCCGTATTCTATTCGATCAGCGGGAGTTATTATATTGTATAGGGAGGGGTCGTACGAGAGCAGCAGGGGGCTTCTTCAGGGCATTGCTGCGAGGTGCTGCAGGAGGTAGTGGCCGAGACAGCAGCGGCAAAGGCCAGGAACAGCGCAGGAACGTGGCGCATTGTTCCAGGTGATAGCAGTAGAAACGAGTGTATGTGGTCGAAGGGAGGGTGAAAGATGAAACGAACGCAGTGGATCTCAGATGGTACGGGGAATCATTATATTGGAAAAATCCATAAAGCAGAGGGGCTAAGAATAGGGGAACGTGGAAAAAGTCAGAGCCAAAAGAACGCAAATGATTCAGACAAGCGAAACATCCGAGATAAGCATTGAGACTGTCTCACACAGGGCCAATGGAGAATCAGGCCAAAAGAGACTAAAGAAAATAATTTGAGAAAACTGGTTTTGCGCCGGAGCCACCCAGTTCGGGTGGATATACAATCTCGCTTATCTCAGAGTCTTCATAATTTGTGTCCTGATGAACTAAGCCTGAGAAATTAATGCATTCTGTTCAACTATTATTATCCTGACTTAGGTCTTATTCATGCTTGTGCTTGCTAAATAATGAAAATGAAGGGCAGGCAGCAGAATTTGATTTTCTTCTGCCCTGGTCAAGCATCGCTAGTGCAAAGGCTAAACCAGGCTAAATGTTACTATTTCAGGGGTTGCGTGGATGCGTCGTACACTTCAACCAGGATATTCAATTGTTCTCTATCCAAGAGGGTAACAGTAGATATTCATTCAAAAACCATAATACTATACTGCGTAGTTACTATTGTAGTCTGTATACATATGTCGGTTGTAGAAATATGAAGCAGTACGAGTGGCAATCAAAATCTTCAAGTGGGTCCACACAGTGGGGGTTATCGAATATTATGAGATATGACTTCATGTCTCAGTCTCCTGAATATGATCAAATGATCAAAATGATTCAAATATACGAGCAGTTCATATAAGCAATATATTCGGAAATTACAGAATCAATGGTTTCCAAGGACAATCTCTAGACAGGAAAGCTTGGCTAAAGCTTGTTTGGGATCAACAGATCTTCATTCCTTCGTGTTCATCATTTTAGTACCTTGTTCTGCCGTCCTTCAGGATACTCTGGCCATAGATATTGCACAGAGAATGAAGATCAAATAGCTTATTCTGTCGATTCGGGAAAGAGTTCCATCATCAGGTGCTCATCAGCAATCCCATTTCCACAACAAACAAGCTGATCGCATACAATATAACACCGAAGTAAGCCCGTCTAAGACATCCTCATCCCATGCCCTGATCATACATGACCCACAATCTCCCTAATCATGGTCACACCCCTTATCCCCTGAACCGCTGGATAAGCTAGGGCTTTCTTTGCTTGATGCTTTTTTCTGATAATATGGCAACCTGCGATATGAGCACTCTCAGTATGTATACTGACTCTTTATTCGTTCAGCATAATGTTATGCTAATGCATATTCCTCAAGTCAGGTACTATGACTTGACGACCGCCGCAAATGCAAAACTAGACAAATGTGTCTGTGAAATCTCAAGATGTTCAGGGTGTTGTTGGACTCGGCGTGTAATACCTTTCCCCTCCCCATCTCACATCTCCATATTATGTACATTCCCAATGTACGCTGAATCCGGTAAGTCCGACACCTTTACCGAGTCGGGATTGTCGGCCAGTCACCAACAGTCCAACACAGCCGCTTAGATGGATGCATTAAATGTTACCTCCCCCAATAATTATAACCAGTGACTTGTATCATGTATACAGTAATAGATTCGCAGTGAACATAGTAGTCGTCCCCGAAATAAATCCCCGAAAAAGAAACCATCCCCGACCCCGACCCCGACCCCGACTGAGCCTTTCCCCGCCCCATATAACATCACCCATCTCACATCACCTCATCTCCAACAGACACACAGTATAATAATAAATCAGAATCATGTCACCTGTTCCCCTTTCCTTCGCCCCCCCAGTATACGACCCATGGTCCCCCTCGCCACAGGGGAGGTAACACCAGCCGGCACAGACTTGAATTTCATCCAAGTCAACCACCCGCGCAAAGTCTTCGTTCAGATGGTGAAGAATAAGGAGTGTGATGCGTCAGAATTATCTAGCATTGAGTATATTTCACAGTGTGCGAAACCTGTTTCATCAGGAAATGGGGATAGGAAGAAACGCTTTGCAGCCGTCCCCGTTTTCCCGCCCGCCCCGCTCGTTCAGACATGGTTTTATAGTTGTGAATACCGAGCGTGTTAAATGTCCGGCTGATTTGACAAACCCGGTGCGCATGGAAGTCCATCAACGTGCACAGCGTCGACAGCTGAACCTCGCCGCCGACTATGCACAATAATTCGTCCAAATCTATTATCCAGTTACTGGTGGGCGCGATCCGGTGGGGTAGTTTACAAGCGACATAAATGGTAGCGACGAGTTTGTATCGCGGGTGTATTGAGGCGAAGGAGTTGGCGCGGAAGTGGACGTATACGCTTCGTATGATTCAGGTAATGCTACCGTGGATACCAGATGAATTGGAGGAAACCAAAGAGGTCTTTGGGGAAGATGGCTGGCCGTATGGGGTAGATGAATGGGAAGACGCTGGAGGCGTTGGTGTTGTATTTGTATGAGGGCTGATTAAGAAGAGACTCTCGCTGGAGGAGTTGTTTTTGCCTGTTCAGGAGGAGGCTTTTGTTCATCATTAAGCATAAAGTATATATAGTATATATGGATGCAGGTTATGTCTGCTGCTTTTTCGGTGGTCCATCCATGTAAGACAAGGACAGCACAGCTAGTACCGCTGCAAGACACGCAAAGGTTATTGTCATATAGTAAAATCCAACGTTCTCTGATAAAGGACCAGCAATGAGAGGTCCGGCCATCGTGCCCGTGCTGAATGCGACTTCCACCATAGAAAATACCCTTGAGTGGCCTCCGTGCGGTCCGAATATCTGGGGATTCTTCGTCTGCATTTCTTTGCCAACACCTGCATCGCATTAGTACACGCCAGTTGATAAATGGGAAAACTCACGAGTTACTTGTAAGCCACCTCCGCTACGGACCAGCATTCCGAATGTACCGTATGCGACCAAGGCACACACGAATATCGTTTTCCCATTTGTTTCTGCGCTTGCCCAGGGAAATTTCTCATCGCCAGGTACACCCAAAAGCCACAGGATGGGTGTAAGAATACACCAGCCAAGGGTGATGGGATAACGCTGGCCATATTTATCGCGCATCCACCCAGCAGGGACAGAGAGGACAAAGCACGGCAGCTGGAGACAGAGAAACATCATACCAGCGGGTAAACTGCCCCAATTGAAAGCGTACCGAACATGAAGAGGGATGGTAGCGTTGAAGCCAGCCATGATAGACGAGTACAGAAAAACGTTTAACAGTCCGATCAGGACGCGAGGTTTGCTGAGCATGAGGCGATAGAACCCGGTTTTACCAATCTCAGGCGTACTGTTGCCATCTTGACTGTGCAAAAGTGAAGTTTCCTCGTCTGCAGGACCAGGCACATCAGATGCCTCGGCCTCTTTCGGCGTTTCAATCATGACCACACGAGCCAAAAAGTCCATCGCAAGCACCACCAATGGAACCGTCCAGGCTGGCCAATATCCAAGCAGCTCTAGCATGGCACCAGCAACCATAGGACCACTGATAATTCCCGCCGTGACAAAACTCAACGCCACGCCCATCATTTTGCCCATGTGCTCAGTCGGAACGGCGTCAGCCATCATGGCGAACCCAACAATCCAAGCCGCAGACCCAGCAATAGACTGAAAAACCCGCCCGACAAAGAGCATCGCGACTGAAAGGTCAGCAGAATCTTCAGAGAGTAAATGTAGAACATGACTCACGATTCAGAGTACTCGCTACGAGAACCGTTCCAACAAGACATCCCGCCAACGCAATCAACAACGGAACCTTGCGATTGGGAGTCTTATCTGCAAAATGGGCAATTACAGGAGCCGAAACAATACCCAAAAACCCATGGATGGAAAGAATCGCCGTCGTGAGAGTCTGAGTTTGCGACGGGTCAAAGCCCAGCCGCACCTCGAGCATGTGACTCAGAATCGGGACGGGGAATCCATAAAGAAAAGCTTCTCCAAAGAGGGCGATGGTGACAGTTCCCAGGAGAAATATTTGGGACGATCGCCATCGGTAGCCGATGGGCTGGTATTGATGCATTTTTGGACGTGAGGTTGTTGTTGTCAGATTACACCACCATAAGCAGATTGTACATATTTATCGTGACCACGTGACCGTCTAACCAGATCGGGCTTATCAGTGTTAATCTCTGGTTGGTCAGGCTGGCCCCACGTGGTCTGTCCCCCTTTCTGGATACATCATGTGACTTATAGAGCATCATTGACCAGATGGATGTAACAGACACACGCTGCATTATTATGTCAGAGCATCTTGTCGTTTAAACTGATAGATCAACTGTCGGTGAGGAATTCAGGATGAGAGATGAAAGGGATGGGAACACAATTCACGTAGGCCACTACGTGTCTATGCAAGGCGTGTTACTTCTGTGGATGGCGTCCACTGATATAGCACAAACAGACACACACTCCCTGCAAGGACATAGACAAAACCAAGGACGATTCCTGAAAGTCCGAAAAGGACAGGGCATGAATAAGTAGACCTCTACCTCTCTGTCTCTCTCCCCCGACCAGTGAGATATTTCGCATTCAAAATGGGCTCATACGAACCATCTCCCCGCCAATTCTGGCTGCTGACATACCCACGCACCGGGTCGAACCTCCTCGTCCGAATTCTAGGGCTAGATGCCCAGCCTTGTCTCCTGTCGGATCAGGCACGTGGGCCCGGTTATTTCTTCCTCCCTGTGATGAGGTTAATGCAGGACTTGGATGTTCGCGAGAAAGACGTCAAGGAATGGACGGAAGATGCAAGAAGCCAAATCAAGCAGTGCTACCAGGCCTGCTTCAATGACATGCAGGGATACGTCGACGAAACTGTATTGAAGAACCACTCCGTCTTTGTGAAAGAGCATGTGAATTTCCTCGTTGACCCGATCGCTCGGGCATCCCAGCTGCGCGGTACCAGCTTTGATGAAACAGAAACTTCGTGGATGGTGAACATCCCTGAGACAATCTACGGTTCGAATCGAACGCGATCCGCGCCGAATGAGACCATCCTTCCGGACGAATTCCTGCGTAGATGGTCACCCACTTTCCTCATTCGTCACCCGGCATTGGCATTCCCATCGCGCTATCGAATTTTTCTAGATCTAGACGAAGCGGAGACGGGAAGGGGGCCGGGATGGACGGATATGACGATGCGGTGGACACGAACACTCTATGACTGGTATAGAGCGAATATACCCGGTGATGAATCGGTCATCGATGGCCATGGTGATGTTACCTGGCCTCTTATTATAGATGCAGACGATGTCATGGCCAAGCCGGAGGTTGTTGTTCGATTCTGCGATATCCTCGGCATGGACCGGTCGAAGTTGCGGTTTACCTGGACGGCCGAAACAGAGGAGAAAAAGAGTCGGATGGGAAAGTATCCGAGCCGGTTTCTTTCGACGCTAATATCCTCCGAGGGGATTGTAAGTGGAAAGACATCGGAGAATGTGGATATAGATGTTGAGGCGAAGAAATGGCGGGTGGAGTTTGGAGATGAGGCAGGTGCAAAGCTTGAACAGGTGGTCCGGGCTGCCATGCCGGATTATGAGTTTCTGAAGGCGAGACGATTGAAGGTGTAGACTTCATTTGACACATTTATATAAATATTCAATAAATAATATGCAACCCTCGGATCTGGCTCAACTACCTCCTGTGCGGTAAAACTACAATGTCGACACACCGTCTCGATATCGTCCATTCCAGGCCCATAATGCGTCGTTAGACTGGGAACATCCATGTTGACTTCTCCCCACATGACGGGTTTCTCAGCGGCATCAACATCACCCGGCGGGTAATGGCAGGCGGCACTGATGGTGGCACTACAGTTGAGTGCGAGTGGCATGGAGGCTGATTTGAATCTTCTCTGCATGACGACGCAGATTATGAGAATGATGACGAGGAGTGGGACGAGGAGAACCTTCACCCCCACAGCAGACAGCTTCATTCCTTGGATCAGTTCGCTTTGGTCAGAATTGCCGTGCACGTCTTGGGGGATGAGTTGGAAGCATGACATTGTTTCCGAGGCAAGCCAATGGGCGAATGTGAAGATTATGAGAAGAGGAATGCTGTAGCGATATGGGATGGTGAGATAGTATGTCGATCGCTAGTCGCCAGTTGGAGAGACGCGGAGGGGTTTGCGCTGCAGGCCGTAGGTGCTGTATTTGGCGGCCAAGAGCATACGAGTGAGGGCATTGTTAAAGATGGTGCATATGAGCGAGATGAGAATCTGGGGACAGTTCATGATGAGGATTGTCCCGATGAAACCTACGCCACGGATTGGCTGTAGCTGGGTGTGATAGATGGAGCCGAGGGTTTTATCCCAGCCAGACAGGCCATCTTGGTTGACGTTGGTGAGATAGGAGCCTACGAGGCGATCGCTCACCAGGCAGAGAAAGGTGATCACAGCTAGGATGAACAGCGATTCGAATACCGTTATCCAGAACAGCGGCGGCGGAAGAGCCGTGAACCATCGCCGTTTCACTTGGGATAGCTTCTTCGGCTGTGGAGGAGCAGATTGGCTCATCGGACGTCCTTTGAAAAAGATTGACGACCACGGATACTCATTCACAAACGCAGTCGTGACGGCCTTTTTGCGCCCTTTGTTCCCTCGTTCCATAAGGCAATTAGTCGCCGTCAAGGGATCGACGCGATCCAGAAAAGAGGCTATGGCATCTCCAACCGTGAGGAAGATCTCCCTCCGTCGATCCAAGTCTGCAAACGTCATACAGAGGAACTTGACTCCAATACAGACCAGCACGACCAAGCCGATGGGCAGACTGCATCCCAAGTGGCAGGGTGGCGAGATTTTGTAACTGAGGCAGTAATCGACACGCTGCTCATTGACGGTATAACCATCCCACCAGGTGAGATTACCATCCTCATCGATGTAAAGCCCGCGGTCAATCTTAGGAACACACGCTATGCCCTTGACATAACCACCGGTGTCGGTTGTGATTTCACCATTTTCCTGCAGAACGCATGTCCACGCCGTGATATTGCCGATTGCACTCGGGCCGACAGCAACCAAGTAGCTGCGAGTTGTTTGCTAATCACTGCTGTATGCCGACGCGCATGACTCTACATCCAGTTTTTCGAACTGCCCAGAGGCGATCTCATCTCGTAGAGTCTCCCCTGACATGCCAAAATTGCTGGTGAAGTTAGATGGACGTTATACGTCATTGTGAGATCGGTATTCGCATTCTGAGTCGCAAAATTCGAAGGTACAGCCGCTACTCCATAGTCGTTGGCGCCCATGGCTACGTAGACGAAGGAGTTATACCTGATATGATCAGTTGCTGGTATATAGTAGGATAAGGAAGAAACAAAACGTCATCTGGATAGAAATCGATGATTCCAGAAGCAAAACCCACAATGTCTTCCTCCACCACGGCGCATACCAGATATTGGTCAGGCTGGACGAACCAATCGATAACACTCGGCGTGAATGGGCATAGTCAATCTCCTTTCTCGACGGAGCAGACAGGACTTGACCACAGTAGCTGCTGGTAGCTGTGATTGTGATGACGAAAATGTTAATCATAACATGTAATCCAGTCGCTGTCTGGTTGGCATTGGAGCAGGTTCCGGTATAGACGATGCTGGATGACAATGTCCATTTGTTTCCCGCTTGGGCGGCAAGTTACACGTGAGAGCGACATGTGCGACGATAGAGACAAAGACTCCAAGTAAACATAAAAGAACGCCTTTAATGCATGCTTTTCTGTTCGCTTTTGGCTTTTGTTTTGGGCTGTCTGAAATGGGTTCATGTTCCAAGTCGCTTACATCGACGGCTGTGTATCCTTTTTTGGGACTGCTTTATATTAATTACTGTCTGTGGTATAGACCAATCGCTTACCCCTGTTCTAATTGCTGCAGCGAGATCCCATCATCATCATATAAAAGATCCTGCTGCGAGTGATTCAAAAGGTGACTCGCATCATCTGGTCCCGCCATATTGGAGGCATGTAAGAATCACAAAACATGAACAGGAATTTTTCCATGCCTCTTCCTTCACAATTTACCGCCCAGCGTTGCTCAGCCTGATGCATGGCTAAAATAACGATGGACATCGCTAGCCAGCTCTAGGATGGTTCTCCCGCGATGCACAGCCTTGTCGCAGCTTGGCATCTGTATATCTTCACTTCTGATAAGCCACAACGCTTAATCCATCACTTAAACCCAGTCTAGCTGAACCACCAATGCTGCAGCGCCTCTCTCGCTTGAATCCTTCGTGTAGGGTCCAAATTTGTCATTTTTCCCACCAACTCTCGCAGATCAGGGTCGATATACCCCCGTCGCTCAAGGGGTTGCATTGGATTTTCCGGTCCAAAATTGTCAGTCAGGCTAATTAGGCGTTCGTAAAACGGGTTTTCTCTGCCGATATGCTCTAAAAGCCCGTTTAGTCAGTCTGCGTCGCCAAAGTATGATATGTGCTGGCGGAGGATATGGCGCCATGAGTCGGGCGAGTTGAGCTGCTCGTCTGTGACGCGGAAGACCATTTCATTCAGCATCACGTAGAGCATCTGAGAATTAGCTATCTGCCTCTGTGTAAGGATTGGGGACATACTATAATCCCAAAGGAAAATACATCTGACGCCTGGTTCTGGCGCGATCGACACCAGCTTTCGGTGCTTCTCCAGATCGCATTGCCGCAAAGGGGTCCTCGTAACCATTTGCCTGTTGGAAAAATGACTGTATCTTCAAGGTCTGATATCTGGACATCGTTTATCGTCACCTGACCTGCAGTATCCTCCTCATAATCGGCGAGGATGTTGTTGGGTTTGATATCTATCCAGTCAGCACATCATCAAAACACAGAGCATCAACATACCATTTTGCAGAATATCCCGATCATGCATATCCGCCAGCCCACGTAGCGCTTGTCGAAGAATATCCCTCCTTATCTCTAGTGATATCTTCTTCTGACTCAATCGAAGCAAATCGCCAGCCAAGAACGGGTAGATGAACAACTCCTGTTCCTGGACAGTATCGACTACACTTCGTACATTTTGACAAGTCGATAATTGTTTCTGGAGGCTCAGCTGGTACTCAAATTCGCCAGGGATCATGTTTGTGATAATGAAGTTCTTTTTGTTGGCGCTTTTCGCGTGTTAGAGGTTGTAAACAACGCGTCGCGTCTCGATGAAGATAAGACAACGCACCTTGCGCGATATACACATAATAGAGGTTTTCGCCGGTCAGCAAGAATCTCTTCGATTGTATATATATGTCCAGAGTCGCTTTTGAGGATCGTGCCTTGGCTCAGGGGGCCCTGTCGGACCTGCGACGTGGACATTAGGCGCCCCGCGTCCAAGATGGGGGATTCTCAAGGATGGTATTCTTGAAAGCATATCTAAATGAAAATGCTAAATATTAAAGTGAAGGACTAGAAAAATACAATTGATGGAAGATTGATGAGTTGGAAATATATCACTTACATGGAGCATCACTGATCTACAAATATATATCCCCGCCAAACAGGCCACACGTGCACCTCTTTGAGCCTTCATATTTTCTTAATCTATACACGTCAATAGTATAATATCAATATTGATAACTTCTTATTGTAACAGATACAAAAATTATACCTGGCTTTTTTTAATCATTTTCTAATGATTATCATATTTGTATTAAACTGGGTAAAAGAGCTACAAGTGAACAAAAGCTGCAATCTACGAGAAAAACACGAGACAGTCATAAAAGGCCATGGCATCTAGCCATGCAAATATATTCATCAACCATCCTAAAACCCACAAAACATCCCCAACCGGGAAAATGACCAGCAGAATCCAAAACTTTTAGTGTCCGATTCAGGTACGAGCCGTAGCCCATAAAGTTGAGGTAATCGCCAATCGCTGCGCATGAGTCGAACTCCTAGACTTGATGCAAATATTAGCAACAATTCAGAAGAAATCTTGGGGAAAACATCACCAGGCCACCCCACTATGCCTTCTCGACAACTTAGACGGAGCCACCATTTAAAGGATAAACGCAGCTGTCCTGGTAGCAGTAACAGTTACCGTTGTCGTGGTGGCAGACAGCTCCATTGTTGCAGTCGCTGTCGTCCTTGCATCCATCCTCGGCACCCTCGACGCGGAGGTCGTTGCGGGGAATAAGAGACGAGCGAACGTTAATGGTGAAGTCTATTTATGGAGCAAGGTTAGTGAAAAAGATATTTCCAAGAGGAAGAAGATTGACTGACCACCGGGAGTCGCACTGGGACTGGGGACGACGGCAGCAGTGGCCGCAGCCACAAAGGCAAGGGTGAAGATGACAGAGAGCTTCATTCTGATGCACTTTGATGTGAAGAGAGTGGTGTTCGGAGTAGAGGACGTTGAGAAAAGTAGTGATTGATCAGGAGGAGGGTGAATGCAAGGAAGATGGACAGAGCAGAGAGGAGAGAAAAGGAGGAGGGCTTTATATCCCAAGGAAGTGATACAAACTTTCCAAATGTAATGAAAATGAAACCAAATAAATATTCTCAAGCAGTAAACGACTATGCAACGTCATCATTGAGCTCGGGAAGTCCCTGGGATCGACAGTATCAACCCAGTGAATGGGAATAGCAACACCTATCACCTGGGTGGCATATCAGACCCACTTTGGCTTCATGCTGTCATACAGCGAATTTCTTTATTGTATGCTCCACTCTGCTTTACTCACTTGAGGGGTAACTAGAAGGTATTTAGTGGTTGGAAAGAAAGTCGTGATATCCGTAGTATACGATGAGGCAAATCGTACAAAGTCATGTGGACATTTTCGTATACAAAATAGCGCAGTAGAATAGAGTAAGATTTTCCCATACAGATGACAGCTTCCCCGCAGTTTTTCCCACGTACCACAGCATCGAATGTTCTTTGTGAGAACTCGACTTCTTTGTTATGATCTAGAATCCTGACTCGAGATAGATAAATACCTTGCATTTGACCGATACTAATGTACCCCGACAAAGAATGACAGGCTACACTGTTGAATCCCTGTTGTTGATCTATGACAACAAAGAAATGGGCTTCGGGTATCCCAGGATACGTTCAAAGAGCAATTGAACTGACAAAAGTACTATCTACGTCTAGGAAAGTCTTCCGATCGTCGAATATCGTATACGATATGGATATACGCGTTTTGGTCATACCATCATATTTGCTACTCTTTTCTAGTCATCCAAGATGAGATACACCCGGTGGACTGAAATTGAAATAGTCGTCAAACAAATCCACCTCTGGAAAATCCGCCTCTGGGATATTCGGGATAGCTTCATCTGGCAAATTCCCAGGTATATCAGGCTCATGGACAGGAGCAGTAAGTCCTGCTTCCTCTTTGACAGATCCCAGCCACATCGGATCCCAGTCCGCATACGTCGCATCCCAGGGATCATTGTACCCATACGAAATCATCCGTGCTTGGTCTCGCAGCATCTGATCCGTTGGATAGATCCCATTGGCCATGCTGGTTTTGATATACGCAACCAGTTCGCGGTGCAGATCTGTATATCGGCTAAAGGCATTGGGGATTCCGCTTTGTGTTTGGAGATTCAGTACTTCAGATGACTTCCACGGATCCATCGTGTGTCTCTCCAGACCGACAAGATACGGCGGCATGGCGTTTTCGACTAATTGCTCGATTTCAGGTTCGAATCCCCAGCCGCCTTTCCAGTTTGCCATGTCGGCGCCGTTTTTGAAGTGCTCGGCCACGTGCTCGATTCTTTCTTCCCAGGTGGATAGGTTGAGATTGCAGAATCCGCATCGTGATTTAAGGCAAGTCGTTGAATCCTGCCAGTCGTCCATGGAGTGGTGATAGTTGACGCGATGGACTAACTTGAGGTGTTGTCGTAGATGGTCTTTTCGAGAGAATTTCTGCAGACAGACAGAATCCGGACCGTCTTGATAATGGCACGTCCACCATTCCACCAGCAGATGTAGTGCCTTTTCATGCCGCTGCCAGTCGTACTTGGTGCGGAATGTATCCGAGCAAAACGTACACTGAAACGCCCGCTGGCCGCGACTTTTCGATCCGCTCAGCTGTCCAATGGGGCGTGGTGGTTTCCGACGCCTTCGACGACTTGGTCTCGCACTTGGTATAGGCGTTGGTGGTCTTTGATATGGCCCGCGAGGGCGATCGAATGAAACATCCGAGTTGGATGACTGGCTGTGCTCGATACTACTCGTCGACGACGGTGCGCCGTGTATAAACGACGCACTGGAGCTATTACTCGACCATGCATCATCGGTGGCAGAATGCGAATGATACCCAGCGCTTCCTTCAGAAGTATACGGGGCGTCGGCCAGCGCGCGCATGATTTCCCACGGCGCAGCGGCTTCAGTTTCCGGTGGCGAATTCTTCCATCGTTCAAGCGGCGATACTATACTCCCAGCTTGAGGATCTTCATGTCGTTTGCTGGTCCTTTTACGCAGTCGCCGTCGTCGCGCATTACTGAACCAGTTGTAAATCTGCGTCTTGCTGAGTCCAGTCTGCTCCTGCAGTTCCTCCTTTTCCTCCTCAGTGGGATACGGATACTCCTGGTGCTGGTGCAGCCATGATCGCAAGACCTTTACTGTGTCTTGTGATAATCGCCGATTCTTTGGCCTTGTCGATTTATCTTGATTATCATGTCTTGAGATGGCTGATGACTCTGAAGTATGCAACCCATCCTGTTGGTCGAGCAAGTGGCTCAGCAGGGGATCAGGACTAGTCGTGTCCAGAGGTGGAAGGGACAAGATATCATCGCAGAATTTGGGAATCTCCATGGCACGTGGAGGTTAAGGACCACTGAGTTATAGTAGGGCGCGGGCAGCGTAACTGGCATCTGTGACTGTCGGACATGAAGTGATTCCCCGCCACGCCCTTTGTCACTGCAGAGGTGCCGCCATTAGCCGAGATATCCGATGATAGCCGATCTATTTAAGGTTATCATGGAGTTGACTATCAGATCAGATCAGAGTAAATGATAGTATCATATTTATTTATGAAATATGAGATCATTTCTAGAAGGCAGGTTGTAAATCTTCAGTTTGTAGATTGGCCTTTGATGGAATTGGATACGCATTACTTTGTTATGTATAGATCAATCACGCTGATTGACATTCTTTATTGTATTCAGACCAATAGTATTTGATGTCAGACTGGCCACAGAGTATTAAGAGAGCATCCAGGCAGAAAGATGTCTTAAGACAACAAAGAAGTCGACATGGCTAAACAAAAGCCGAAACACTCTGAAACGATGGTTTCAAAGAAACCTCAAATGAGAGGAGAACGTAAAGGATTTCCTATTTATAACAGTTCAACAGACCACACCAAGACATTGGTTATAAAACCTCTCCGTTCTCCTGATTTTTCTCCAGTCCAATCCTCCTATCACCACCCTCAAGTCATCAAAATGAAGATCTCTACTTTACTCACCTTGACCTTTCTTACTGCCGTCACTGCAGCTGATATGAATAATTCCGGTTTGTCGAGCCCTCTTCATCTGGCTTCCATGCTAAAATTCCATAGAAAATACCCTCGTCACTCGCGGCAGTCTCATCGTTAAAGATACTCTTGTCGAATGCAGCAACAGCAATGATTGCCAGAACGGCGCAGTCTGCAAAAACTTGAATGGGAACTGCTACTGCTACCAGAAGAAATGTGTCTATCTCCGCCGTCGCGAATAGTTGGTCGGCTGATCGCCTATGGATAGGGTGCGTGGTTTCTCTTACGATGGATATGTTGTGGATAGATGTATGGTACTTCTCGTCATCTTACGCATGAGCCTAAGCAGTGGTATTGTGTAGCTATATAATCCAGTCTATTATCCATATCGCGCATCAACCTCATCATCAAACCACACCGGCGCCACCCCATAGTTAACAACCGTACTCTTCACCTTGGTATAGCTCTCATACGCCTCCTGTCCATTCTCCTTTCCAAGCCCACTCTGCTTGAACCCTCCCCACGGTGATGAGGGGTCATTCAGATGATGTCCGTTGATCCAGACAATGCCCGCTTCGATTTGCGCGGCAACCCGATGAGCTTGCGTGAGATCGTTGGACCAGACTGACGCTCCTAGCGCGTATGGAGTCCCGTTCGCGAGGTTGATGATTTCTTCTTCGGAAGAACATTTGATAAGGGCGATGACGGGGCCAAAGACTTCGTTGGTGGCGAGGTCTGTACCATGTGTTGTTTCGATGATGGTGGGTTCGAAAAAGAAGCCTTTTCCTTGGATTGCGTTGCCGCCGCAGAGGATCTTGCCGCCTTCTTGGATGGATTTTTGGACAAAGGCTGTGCATCTTTCGACTGCTGTCTTTGAGATGACGGAACCGATTTGCGTGCGTTCGTCGGTTGGATCACCGACTCGGAGTGCTGCGACGCGTTGCTGGAGGAGAGCCGTGAAGTCGTCGTATATGTCTGCGTGGACGAGCAGTCGACTCCCAGTGACGCATGTCTGTCCACTCGCGATAAAACTGGCAAACAGGGCAGCCTGTACAGCGTGTTTAACGTCCAGACTGGGAAATAGACACACAGGGGCTTTTCCGCCCAGTTCAGCCGTGATGGGAATCATATTCGCTGCCGCCACGGATGCAATGGCCTTGTACGTCGCCAGTCCACCAGTTAAATCCACCTTGGCTATATGCGGACTCTCACACAGATACTTCCCCGTCTCATATCCATACCCACAGATAATCTGCAACACACCATCCGGCAATCCAGCCTCTTTGAACAACGGACCAAGCTGAAGGACAGACAACGGTGCCAACTCGGACGGCTTCACAATCACCACATTCCCCGCCGCCAACGCCGCCCCGATCTTCTTCGTCGCCATCAGCAACGGATGATTAAACGGCGTGATCTGTGCAACAACACCCAGCGGGAGCCGGGTAAGTGTATTCACCACCGGCCCTTTAAACGGCGTGACGCGCCCCTCGTGCACGCGCGCAAGTGATGCAAAATACTCCAGCCATTCCGGAACTCGCGCGAGCTGGGCTTTCATCTCCCGGATTGGGCGGCCGGTTTGTTGGGTTTCGAGGTGGGTGAGTTCGGGGATGCGGGAGCGTAAAAGGTTCGCGGCGGATGAGAGGACTTGGAAGCGTGTTGATGCATCTGCGCGAGACCAGGATCCCGTGTTGAAGGTGGTGAAACTGTCTGCGATGATGGTGGTGACTGTTTCTTGGGGGGTCGCGTCGATGGTGGCGATGGGAGATTCGGTTGCAGGGTTGATGATGGTGATGAGGTTGGGAGTTGGAGGGGTGAAGGCACCGTTGACCCAGTTTGAGGTGTGTGGGAGAGCCATGATGTCTTCTGGTGGTGATGTTAGTTGTGTTCGTGATGGTTTAAATGTGAGGGGAAGAATACCCCGCACTGACTGATAAGCTATCTGCTATAAATAGATAACATGTGCATTAGATATCAACTATACAGAAATAACTAGAGCTCAAAATTACTCGACGGCCGTATCTCCATCCCAGCCTTTTCATACGTTCGATCAATCGCCTCCATCTGCCTGATGCTGTCCTCGCCATCCACCCAAACCCCCGATCCACTGCGTCCTTTGACCTTGTTGACAAACTCATGAAGCTGGTAGTTATAGCTCGACCACCACTCTTCTCCATCACCAGAGGGCCATGTATACGCCTTGATATTCTTCGAATCCTTCCATGTCTTGACTATCTGCCCACCCCGACGAAGCGTATGCGTATCTTCCACATCAATCCGGTGGTACACACTCGGCATCAGATAATTCCAAATCGTCACCTTTCTCTTAAAAGAACCTCCATCACCATCTCCCTCCCTCTCTGCGAGTTCAACCTCGCATTTCGGCCAACCAAAACTCGGCAACCCTTTCGTCCATGAAGCAGGCAGTAAAGGCCATCCTCCAGCAGCCGCAAGGTCAGCAAGCATTTCCCCCTTCGCCCCAGATTCAGTCGTATACGTCGCCCTCATCGCCTGATCGGCCCTGTCCTCGTATTCAGATATCGTCGGCTCAGCAGTAATCACCCTCGGCTCCTCCCGCAGAATCTGCCTTAAACAACTCAAAGGATACGTCCCAAAATCCATCATCGCACCACCGGCCAAATCAAACCGCCATCGAATGTCATCAGCAGGTATAGCCCACTTAGGCAGAAACTGCTGCGCATGTGCAGATTCCACCCGTCCCAAACCGTGCCCATGAATCTGCGCCAGAAAAGCCTGCCAAGCAGGATGAAACCGATAGTGGAATGCTTCGAGCAGAATTGGGGCGTTGGGCGCTTTGACTAGAGGATGGTTGAAGAGGGCGCGTGCTTCTGCACTGTTCGAGCATGATGGTTTCTCGAGCAGGACGTGTTTGCCGGCGCGGAGTGAGCGGAGCGCCCATTCGAAATGGAGGCTGTTGGGTTGGGCGATGTAGATTGCGTCGATGGAGGGGTCGTCGAGGAGGTCTATCCTACATTAGATGGTATTCAAACAAGACAAATGTAAATATATGCTCACCTTGATAGGATGTATGGACGATCGGAATCCCATATTTCTTAGCATATGCTTCTGCCCGACTGCGATCTCGCGCCGCGACAGCAGCGACGATGACCTCTGGATGCGCTTTTGCAGGCGCAATCAGGGAAATAGGACTGTATCATTAGTATGGTGATGATTGTCATTCAGAATACGTACGCAATGTTGGACGCCCCCAAAAGTCCGAACCGAATGGCGTCATCTTTCTTCGTCGCCTGCGGGGGACTGATCCAGCCTTTGTAGACGCGGTATAGTGCACCAAAAACCATCTTGCTTAAATTCTTAAATTATCATTGAACTGATGATGGCTATATAGAATAATCTGCTAAATACTCTGCTGTTTTGACATCATTTAACGATTGCGATCCGGGACGTCAATCCTTCCGTTGACGCGCATATGGATTAAGTAGTAGATACGTCATTGACGCATTTGGTAAAGTTGACGATGCGAACCACATACACAACTCAATAGAGCCTAGGGTCATATTCATTCCTTTAAGCTATTTTTCAGTGAACACTGTTCGTCGGCTTGAGAATAAAAATCAGCATTACTTCCCTCTCTGCTTTAGGGGGAATTAGGGCGAAATTCCCCCGTCGACATAATTTGAGCCGACTGCTTGTAGTTCTTTTGATGCCTGTTATTCGATTTATCTCTACAAGGATGATTCCTGATCTTGGATATTCATGAAGTTCGGAATAGGTAAATCCTCATAGGTCGTGGACAATATCTGGATCACCAAAACGCAAAACTTGTCGCTTTACCACCGGTATATGGTCGATTACTTCCGTCTCTCGAGTCACCCCATACTTAACTGGTATGTCTCCCACGTGCTCTATCAGCGTGTCCAGAGGGGCATATGAGATAGTATCATCCTGCATCAGAGACGAGTCGAGCGCTTTAGCAATTTCCACCGGGCTCATCGACACGGCTCGACCCAGACGCCACCAACTGGAGAGCGACCCGGCTACCAAGATGATACACAGCACCATAAGGGCAACGGCCAGGGCAAAAAACTCCCACTTGACTCTATAAACCAAAGTGTGCACACTCTGTTGCGCATCTATCGTCTGCACGGGAAAGGGGCTAACTCGTCCAGCTGCCAGACCAGTGCGGAACATAAGCCCATTCAAGACAGAGAGAATACCGCTGGTGGGATCGGGCATGTTGATGACGCATGACTGGGTGCCCCAACTGGGGAGTTGCATGTATCTCGCGGCCATGCGGCCGGTGAAGGTCGGCTGGACAGTGACGTCCCTCGTATGGTTAGTCAACATCGTTTCGACCATTGCGCTGATGGTTATTTGGGAGTCGAAAATGTATTTTGCCGCGGTGAGAATGCCGCCTATGGAGTTGGCATCGTATATTGGCTTCCCTCTTCCAGTTCTGGTTTTATTGGGGCCGAGGAAACTGGAGTCGCTCACAGAAGGAAAGAAGCCAGTGATTTCGTTGCGTATCGTCAGCGATCCATTGGAGATGGAGACGGGATACTCGACCAGCCCTGGAGTGATGCTGCATCGCTTGGTCACCATCGTTCCCGGGCATCCAAAGAAGCTGGTGCCATTGGAGAATCTGAGCACCGTATGATTATGGGATGGAACAAAATAGGTCGCATCAATGAAAAATAGCCCGTGCCAGGGTGACATGTCGAGTCCCAAATTATCAAAGTTCACCGCAATCTCCATTACCGACGGCTTTGGTTTGGTGTGTGGCGATTGTTCTCCTATAAGTAGCTCCTCCACAAGATCAACCGTGGTGGTGTTGTGTATGGGACAGCTGCCGGTGATACCGACAGTGGTTAGATTTCCAGTACAGGTGCCCTCGTTACAGCCGTGGATGGGACTCGTGGTTATAGGAGACCGATCGAGATATTCTGAAATGACGGCCGCATAGTCCAGGGACCAATCCAGAGCCTCGTCGGACTTCGATGCGCCCGTCGTGTATGAAGAATGCGTGCTAGCAGCTGGAAGATGGACCGTGGCGGGCGATGAAAACCGGGCAGAGTCAGAAACGCTGGCACGTTGAAGAAGAGGCGACACGACCAGGCAGAGCGTGACACCGATCGTGGCCAGTGTATTGCGGCTGAACTGGCGCCAGAAGAGCAGCGACGACCAGATGCCCGTGGAGATGGCCCATTGGCAGTGCAGATCGCGGAGAGTGCAGCCCTGCAGTGAACGAGTCCACCAGGAGATGGTGGCGCCTTCGCTTCGTGCCATCTCCAGCGACGTGGTTCCGACAGCACTGCAGACAGCCAGGATGACAGCAGGCGAGACAGGCCATTCCGACTGAGGCCGTCCGTCCGACCGGTATAGCATCACGGCGGCTGCGATCATCGACAGCAGACAAACGAGAATAGCGGTAAACGCTGTCCATGGGAATTGGGACCAGATTCCCGGTGACCATTCTGAGGCATCCAATGTCTTTGCTGGAGACTGGCTGGGTGGGAGAAAGTCGCCCCCACCCGCACTTTCTCGTTGGCTTGAGACTTCCATCTTCGCTGAGATTGTCTTTTGTTCGTCCTAGTAATAGAGACCTCACCTTATGCAAGCATCGATTACCATGGATCCTTTGAGATAGATTTAGATGAAAGGAATGAAATAATGTTGAGGAATTGAGTCAAACCATTGGGGTGAGGCTGCCAGCCTTGCGGAGGTGGGTGTCCATCAGTTACCGGATTAGGAATAAATGAGGCTGAGCAAAATCCTTGTTCCTGAATATTCACAGATAACTATATTAATATGCTTAACTTGTGAGTCAAGCATGAACGCCATGCGATGCAAAAGCAGATCAAATGAATAATTCCATCCATCACGCCTGCGATTGATCCTCCACGACGACAATTCTACGAGAATTACATTGAGACAGCAACGCTCTGCACGGTGGGCATGGATGATCTTGAAGAGAAAGATGAGCCGCTGGGTGGTTTTTCTTTCTGAAATTGCACATTTTACAGCTGATGAGCGAGAGTTGTCATGAGGGTGTTCATATCCCCAGACTGTGCGCTAGTCAGTTTCGATATCCCTATAACATCTATTATCATAACATACTACCGTCCTTTCTCCCTTATACTCTCTTAATAAACAGACCTACCGAAAGCAGCCATATATATATCTGCCCTATTAACCTCCAGCAGCTCAACATCAGATCAAATCTCTGCAGCCTGAATGGGGAATGTTCAATGGCTGAGCGGACGGGAAGCCCTGTTCTCCACAATGGTCGTACGTGCTAGACGTTACCATACAGGGGAAAATATAGGCAACATTAGTCTGATTACTACGTTAGAGGCACGGGCAGAGTAGTGATGACGTCTGGATTTCTGGATAATATCTCAGCTATATTACCATTTCAGCTAGGAAATGGACCATTGTCCGGTATAAGTCTCATTGATATAGAATTGACCAAGCGTTGCAGCATTGTCTGCAGTCACCTTCTCTCCCTGGACCGTCCAATCAGAAATGTGCAACTCCATCTTGAGATTCTCCGATCCAGGATAGGTTGTCGCAGGAGTAGTAGCAATGATGCTATCCCCAATGTGGAGATCTCCACCAATCAACCCATCAGGCATGCTCACTCCGCTGACTGTAAAGTTCACATAGTTCTGTAGCGGCGTAAGGCGGAATAAAGCTGGACATAATCCTTCACAGGTGATATTGGATAGAGACACGCTGATCGATTTCGAAGCATCCACCTCTCGCTTGTTAAGGTAACTTGGTGAAGCGCCGATAATCGACGTAGGCACATACGTGTCGCTCCACTGATATCGAGTGTGGATGATATAGACTGTGTTGATCGAAATGCCGTGGACGTCTCGAGGAGCCCAGCCCATCTGAATGATTGGGTCATTGAACACTTTCCAAATGGTGAGCCGGGTTGCGTTCACACCAGAATGATAAGTCTTGATGCCATCATCATTAACGTGGTAGAAGACATCGTGGACAGTACCGTTTGTGTACATTTGCGGTCCATCCGTCTGCGTAAAATAAGCGCCCACTTGTTTGTAGTCGGATATCTCGACGGAAATATCTTCCCTATCCGCTGCACCGTCCTTGAGATCCATGCTGTTGAATGGCGGAGCATTCGTAGTGGGACCAGTGCAATGCCAGGTTTGGCCAGCCTGGATGGTTCGATGCCACCACATGTGGAGGCTAGTCACATCGTCCTTGATGTTGAAATAGTTCCGGTCCGCATTGGCCTGGTAGACGTAGATCTCACCCGAGAGAACCCCATGACCGGATGCATAAAAGTCTTTTCGTGAGGTGGTGTACTCAACAGCTCCCTTGACATAGGCGCCTGGAGCCAAGTATACCCAGTACGTATTTGGGTCCAGCTTCAGATGGGCTTTTCCAATCGGGTCCGAATTGACATAATATACGCCAGGTGGGAAATACACAATCGGAGACGCTTGCATATCCTCCACGGTAATCGGGCCGGGTTTCATCACTTTGGTGTCATTGCCGTTCATGGGGGGAATGAGATGTTCTGAAAGGGGCGGACTTGCAAAGATGAGCAGGGCATTTCTGGGTTCCACGCCCACAATGTCGCCTTCACCATGTGTCGTATATCCTTGTCCGTCCGAACGATACGTGAAGAGGTCGTCGTCAAATTCAACGGAGAACCTGTGGCCATTGGGATCTGCAGGGACACGGATGATGAGACTACCATTGGAATGTTGAACCTCGTATGGGATGGCAGTTGGTCGGAGAGTCACCCGCTGATCAACGGGGCTCCCATCTCGCCTGGAGACCTTGACATCAACATTCTTGGTGTGCTCAAAGTGAGACCATGCCATGTTGATGCCGGCTTCTATTTCAATCGAGATACCATCCGTGCCATTGAATGTGTTGCCCGTTGGACTATCACCCGGCCTCATGACATTTCCATTTCCATTGCGCGGAATGGTTTCGTAGACAAACGAGTCGAAGAAATTGTTTGTGCCCGCTGCCGCAACCTGGACCAAGTATGAACGAGACTGTCGGACATTCTCCGGGCGGACAGCGCTGTCGGTGTTGATCTCTGCGGTGTCATGCCACCAGGTGCAGAGGTCAGGGCCACAATGGGCATTGGCAGTTGAATTTGCCTGTCGAGGGACAACAGAAGCTCCGGATACGCTCCCGATTGGGAGAGCACACAGCGCCAGAAATGCTGCGATAATCATTCTAGAAGTAAAGAAATGGATTGGGGTGCTGTATGGTGGGATATCTCGAGGGATAACACCTACTTTATAGCAAGCGCTCAACCCATCACTAGATAGTATTGGGTGTTTCCTCCGATAAACACCCGTTGAGCGAAGTCTTAATTCACTTTGTTCCGATAATGGCCCATCTGAAGATCATCATTCAGTTGGACCAATCGTAGCTCGAGAATAATCCACATTCCATTAATTTGGACCGAATTGCCCTGCTGGTTATTAACCTTCGTACTTTCGGCGGACAATTATCGGATTAGATACCCCTGCCAAGCTCGGCTAATCTTGTTGTCCGGGCTGTGACATCTATACAAAGAGATATGGATATATTGGTTTGAAATGGGCAAATTGAATGTTCAGTTCCTTGATTCAATGATAGCTGATACTGGTTATAGTTTCTTTCATTTCGGTGCAAAACTACAACTTATATGTTGGTCTGCTCTAGTTGTTCGCACCATTTCCGAATACTGGCAAAACATTCGCTGAGCTCGCGCTGGAAGCTCGAGCCTTTGATAACCGCGCCTATGACTTTCGGCACTGCCTGACGACGAATATATCAAAGCATCTTGCCTAGCCCCGCTATAGTCGCGGTGTAAAGTGCATCGCTGAGACTTTGGAGTTTTGGGGGCCAGTTGTAAGCGCCGAGCACCCTTTGAGAGCCGTTTGGAAGAACCGGGATGTCGTGCAGCCACTTCAAAATCTCTTCGCGTAGATCCTTCATCCTCGCGTTAAAAACAAAA